CCCAGACGGCCCCTGCTCCCCTGCCGCCCCCACCGCCTCCGCGGCCTGCTGCTGCAGGGCCCGACCGCCACACCAGCGCACCCGCCCGGGTGAGAGCAGCGGAGCGCACGGGGCCGCCCAGCTGCCACTCGCGCACCTGCAGCAGCTGCAGCGGGGAGCGGGTGAGGAGGCCTGAGGGGGGGAGGAGGAGAGGGAGGAAGGGGGGAAGACAGAGGGGGGAAGGTAATGGAAGCTCAGTGGGGGGTGGCGGCGCCGCCTAGGGGAAGCACGAACACATAAGTTTCGGCTGCTACTGTTTGCTGGAAGCATAGCCCAACCCCACCGTCGCCTTACATACCGCCGCGCCGCCCAAACAACCGCCTATCGCACCCGCCTCCCCTCCCCGCATCTCACTGTAGCTGCGAAGCACCTCCAGCGCCCGCGCCTGCCCAGCAGCTCCTCCTCCTGCCCCGCCCCCGCCCCCTCCTGCCCCCATCAGCGCCTCCGCCGCCTCCGCTGCCTCCGCCTCCGCTGCAGGTGCGGGGCTGAGCGCCACCAGCCGCCCGCCCGCTCCCACCAGCAGCAGCGCAACAGCACAGTCGGGGGGCGGGGACGGGGCAGGAGGGGACGGGGCAGAAGCAGGAGGAGCGGGAGCGCGGCGCGGGGCTGTTGCTGCTGCTGCTCTGTCTGCTGCGGTGTGCTGCTGCTGCCCCTGCTGCTCCCCCGGTGGCGGGCGGTACACGGGCAGCAGCGCCACTAGCGGCTCCTGCAGCTCTGCCAGCAGCACCGCACCCGGCACCCCACCGCCGCTGCTGCCAGCACTGGTGCTGCCATTGCCACTGCCACTGCCACTGTGCGGAGGCGGGTGCTGCTGGTGCTGTTGTATCGGTGGTGCGCCGGCTGCCTGCCCCCCATCTGCGGGGGCCTCCAGGGGACACGCCCACAGCTGCCCGCTGCGAGTGCCCAGCAGGAAACAGCCCCAGGGCAGCTGGTCGGCGGGGCAGCGTCCGCTGCTGGTATGGCCGGGGCCGCTGGGACCACTGCCGGCCCTGACAGCTGCGCCCTGCTCCTTCCTCATGCCCTGCTGCTGTGGGTGCTGCTGCTGCTGCCGGCGGTTGGCTGCGGCGCTGGGCGTGAGGAGGGCCCGGTAGAGGGCGGGTGTCACTGCCGCGTGCTGGCAGCCGCCCAGGAAGGCCAGCTGCTGCAGCGGGGGCAGACGACACCAGGCAGCAGCAGCGGCAGCAGCGGACGATGGCGATGATCTACCGCCACCGTCACCCGCGCCCCCGGATCCCGGGTGCTGCTGCTGCTGTTGCGGGGGAAGTTGCTGCTGTTGTGGAGGCCGCGGCAGGGTGCGGCTGAGCGGCTCCGTCCAGCTCTCCAGACACAGGGCGCATGTCGTACCCGGGATCCAATCGTACGGCAGGGGGCAGCCGCCGCCTCCTGCCAACCCCGCCGCCGCCGGCACATCTACCTCGTACACACTCCAGGTGCTGCCGCCTCCGCCAGCACCTCCGCCGCTGCTGCTCCTGCCGGCAGCCGTTGCTGCTGCATGTGCAGTGGGGCGCCCCTCACCCGGGCAGCTGCTGACGGCTGCAACAGCACTGGCAGCGGGCGTGGCGCTACTCGGCATTGGGGCGGTTTGCAGCCTGGAGGATGCGAATAGGCCGCAATGGGGAACGGCAGCTGCAGCAGCAGCGGAGGAGGCGGTGGGGCCTCCCAGGCGAGCGCGCTTGGCGGCGGGCTGCAGGGAGGGATGCAGGGAGGGCTGCTGGTGCGGGAGCTGCTCGAGGGCCGCGGGGCGGGGATGCTGTGCCGGTGCTGGGGCGGGGCTGGCGGGTGCGGAAACCAGCCTGAACAGCGGTTGCCGTGCGGCCGTTGGGTTGGCGGTAGCGGTCTCAGTGGCATGTTCGGGTTTAACTGCCGTCGGCACGGCAGCTGTCCCCGTTCCTCTCCCGGCTGCTGCCGCTGCTGTTCCTGCGGGTGCAGCCGCGGCGGACGGCTCGTCAACAGGCTCCACTCGCAGCCGCCGTACCTGCCATGTCAGCTGGGGAGGAGGCGGGGGCGCCTGCTGCTGCTTGTGTACGGCGCCTGCCCCCTGCTGCTGCTGTTGCTGCTGCTGGTCCTCCTGCCTGCGCGGCGCCGCGGTTGCAGGGGGCTGCAGGGTGAGCACTGTCAGGCGGCCGCCGCCAGCGCAGGCGGGCGGGTCTGGGGCGGATTTCTGCGAGCGCGGGGCGGGGGTGCGTGGGGTGAAACACACCACGGACTGCAGCGAGGGCAGCGGCTGCAGCAGCAGGGGCCGCGGGCCACGAGCTGAGGCGGGGAGGACACGGGTGATGCTGGCCTGGCAAGGGAGGGCGGGAAGGTGAAGTGGAACAGGGTAAGAAGACGAAGTGGGGCACTGTAATCGCCAGTCGCCAAGAGCCCGATGTGGAGGAGGAAGGCGCCAGCTTTGCAAGCGTGCGGCAGTTGAGGTTGCATGTGTGTGTGCGGTAAAACGGTAATGGCCATGATGTTAAGTTGCGGGGATGGGCGGACCTGTCCGGTTAGGCCAACACACTCCGCGCTGACGCCCGCCGGCCCTGCAGCGGCGACGCAGAGCTGGCGGGTGCCGTCCTCGCCGGTCTCCGAGACCCAGGCTGCGGCGATGGTGCAACAGCCGGACCCGAATGCTACCGCCATGGAGCTAGATGGGTTTATATTGCTTTGAGTCTTCTGTTAGAGGCTATCGGTATGTAAGTAAAGCGCCATTTTAACGACGATGTCCCACCATGGCCATGGACTGCTGTGAAGCCTAGCACTGTAAAAAGCGGTTAAACGGGCTGGCCGATACGTTCCCTGTGTGGATGCCAGGGAACTGAGATTGCAAGCTTTTGACGACCTCAAACAAGGGACTTCGTGACCTCGCCTTGCACGTACGTTGGCTGCCGTGCAGCGCGCCAAAACTGCCGCGATCGCTAGGAGGAACCAGCGCCGTAGGAGCTATGTAGTCCTGTGCTCCTAGGACATGAAATACTTACTTTAGTGCTTCAAGTTCACGTTATTGTCTCCGGGTTAAGGCCGATCGGCTAGCATTCAACTCACCACGGTCCCCATCCCGACTGCAATTAAGGAAATAAGGTAGTTGAATATAACCGTTATTGTAAAAACCTTTCACAGCAAGCAGTTTGCCTTGCAACGCAGCTACAATCTGGGCGGCGCTCTGCTAAGCACTTGGAGCACGCTTTGTTAGGCTGTCATTATTACCGCGTTTATTACAGCTTCCAAGTAGTAAGATCTGCCCGCAAGGGCCCCGGCAGCCATGCCGTTTTTCGGCGATGCCCTCGGCGCCTACATGCTGCCGCGAGTTGTCCTGGAGCTACTGCAGCAGCCAGGTGGCCAGCACCAGTGCGGCCTCTGCGCTGATTCCGGCTTCGCGTGGCTGCTATACAGCCAACAGCTTTACATCTGGCGCTACCGCGAGGGCAAGGAGGCCCGTCTTCGCGTGCTCTCCCTGCCCCGCGCCCCCGCGCCCTCTGGCCCCTGCTGGGTCGCCCTCATCCCCCACGGCTCCTCCACCCCTCCCTCCGCCTCCTCCGGCTCCCTGGGCCACACCCTGCTGCCTTCCTCCGCCTCCTCCGCCCCCTCCACCGCCGACGGCCCCCTCACCGTGGTCGTCTGCGACTCCTCCGGCCGCCTCACCCTCTGGCTGGACGCCCACCACCTAGCCTCCCCCGTGGAGCACCAGCTCCTCCTCCCTCCCCCTTCCTCCTCCTCCACCCTCCCCTCCCCCTCCCCTTCCCCCTCCCTCACCCACTACCACCACCACCCTCCCCCTCCCTCCCACCCACCCCCCTCCTCCACCCCCTCCTCCCCCCTCGTCGCTGCCTTCGCCGCCACCCGCCTCGACCTCGGCACCGGCCCCGCCTTCCTCGCCGCCCTCTCCGCCTGCGACGGCTCCCTGCACCTCCTCCAAGCCGGGCAGCAGGGCATCTTCTCCAAGCAGCTCGCAGCTCCCACCGCGGCCCCCGAGTCGCGCGGCCTCGTGGGCACGCTGGGTTCGGTGCTCAGTCGGGCGTACACGGACGCCTTCGACCCCTCCGCGCGCTACCTGCGGCGCAGCCCCGCCACCCGGCCGGCGCTGGGGCTGCACCTGGCTGCTGCGGCGGGGGGCGGCGGGACGCACTTTCGGCTGCTGGTGCTGACGGGGGAGGCGCTGGACTGCTGGGCGGTGAGCAGCGGGGGGCAGAGGGAGGGGGGTTAATAGGGATACGTATTCCGTATTAGGGAAGGGGAGGACAGAGGGGGAGGATAGATGGGGAGAGGCCATTGGGGGCTAGGGCATGTGGGCGGGTGATTGCGAGTTGGTTGGGAAAGGGGGTTGTGGTGTTGGGGCGGGGAAGGGAAGGGATAGGCGACGGACCCACGCTCATCGCCCTTCCGCTCACCACCACCCTCACCAACCCGCCTGCCCTCCTCTTCCCCCCCCCCCCCCCTCCCCCCCTCCCAGATCAGTGTGGGTCTGCGCCCCTCGGAGGCGCTGCAGTGGTCCTTCCTCAACGGACTCGTGCGCGCACATGACGCCAGGCGCCCCGCGGGCGGCAGCAGCGGTGCGGGCGGTGGCAGTGGTGGCAGTGGTGGCCCCAGCAACCTGGCGCTGGCGGTAGTGGGTCCGCATGTGGCGGTGTGGCTGGCGGAGGCGGGGCAGGCGGGCGGCGGGGTGCAGCACGTGGTGCAGCTGTGAGCAGGGGGGGGGGAGGGAGGGACGGGGGGTGTTTGATGGAGGAAAGGGGGTGAGGTGAGGGAGAAAAGTGGGCTGGGGAAGTAGCGTGGGAGATCTGAGCGTGGGAGGGGGAGTTGCAGTGGCGCATGTAGGCTTGGCTGCGGGTCTCCGAGTTGAGGTGGGGGGTTATTCTCTGTGACATACCGTATGCCCCCTTTTCCTTGCTTAGAGTGTCGGTAACGCGGCTGGGTTCACATGCGGCCTGCTCCCCTGACACCCCCCTGACACCACCTCCCTCCACCTCCTCCCCCGCCCCCAGCTTGGAGCTGATGCCCGAGGGCGGTCCGGGTGTGTGCAGCGGTGTGCACAGCGTGGTGGAGGGGTACACGGAGGAGGTGAGGGCGGGGCGGGGGGGGAGGTGCAGCAGCTGAAGAGCGGGGGCCGTAGGGGGTTGGTGTCGGTTGGGGTTTGGTCTCCGTTGGTCTCCGTTTGGGCGGCATACAGCCCAAACGTACACAGCCTGGTGCGCGTTGCCACCCTTGTCACCCCTCCCTTCCTCCTGCCTCCCTTCTTACGCAAACCCATTCCTCTGAACCCCCTCCTCCTTCCTCCTTCCTCCTCCCCTCAGCCCCAGGCCCCAGGCGCTGCTCCCCTCCTCCGCCGGCTGCTCTACTCCCCCCACTCGCGCACCTGCCTGCTAGCGGCCTGGGAGCAGTCCGACCCCGCAGCCACACACCCGCACCCGCAGCAGGCGCCCTTCCAGCTCTTCCAAACACACGCCCCTGCAGAGACGGCCAGCTCCTCCGCCCCCCTCGCCTGCAGGGGGCTGCTCAGCTGGAGCGCCCTCACCGGCACCGCCGCCAGCCTACTGGAGGACCCGGACACGGCGGCGGTGGATGCCGCGTTCGTGGCGGCGGCTCCGGCGGCGGCGGATAAGGCCCCCGGCGCCTCCGCACCCTCAGCATCAGCACCCTCAGCAGGAGCAGGAGAGGATGCGGCAGCACGCTGGGTGGTGCTCTCCGCGACCTACGGTGTGGTGGAGGTGGCGGCTGTGGCGGCGGCAGCAGGCGGGGCTGCGGGTGCTGCTACCCCCGCAGCATCCCTCCCCTCTGCCGCGGGTCTGGACCCCGCTGCCGCCATCACGCACCTGCTGGATGCCGTACTGTCGCAGGCGGCCGCCATCGCGGCTGCGGGCGGCAACCTGCAGCCGCTGGTGAGCGGGCTGGGGCGGCGGCTGGGCGCGCTGGGGGCGCTGGGCGGACCCGCGGGTCAGTTGACGCTGGCGCACTACAGCACGCAGCTGCTGGACCGGCTGCCCAAGCAGTGGGCGGCGGGGGGCGGCGCGGCGGCGGTGGCGGCAGGGGCGGCGGGAGCGGGAGCAGCTGAGGAGGCGGGTGGTGGTGGTGGTGGTGTGTCAGTGAGTGTCGCGGAGCAGCTGTCTGAGAAGGAGTTCCGCCACTCGCTGCTGCTGCAGTGCCTGGCGCTGAGCGGGGTGCTGCATGCGCTGGAGCCGGAGGTGCTCAGGTGGGGGGGGCGGGGGGGAGGGAGGTGTGTTTCGGGGCTCCCAGCTCTGCCGGTTGATACAGCTCTTCCCCGTCCGTGTAGCCTGTGCCGGGTACATAACCCTCCCCGGGTCCACCTGTCACCCTCCCTGCAACCCCCGCACGCCCGCACACCCGCGCAAGGTTGGCGGGTTCCCTCCCCCGCACCCTTTCAACAGCCTTCTTTCCTGACCTCGTCACCTCCCGTCTTTCCCCACCTCCCTCTTCCCCTCCTCTCACTTTCCCCCTGTGAAGGGTTCTAATTGAGAACTCTGAGAAGCTGGCGGTGGTGGGGGCGCTGCACCGCCTGCAGGCGCACCAGCGGGACACGCAGATGGCGGGAGCAGGGGGAGCAGGAGGGGGAGCAGGAGGGGGAGCTGCTGCCGTGGGTGCGGCGCTGCTGTCGCAGCTGATAGCGGAGGCGGGGCAGGAGAGCAGCGCGCGGGAGTACGAGGTACGGCCTGGGGGGGGGAATTAAATATGTGAAACAACGAGTCCAGACATGCGCGGCTGAGAGGGGTCTAGGGAGATTGCTGCGTTGCAAGGATACAACATGCCCTTTTCGGCCTCTCCTGTCCGGCACCCCTCCACTCCCTCCCCCTCCCGGCGCCCACGCACAGGTCCTGGCCGCCCCCGACATCTTCTTCGCCCGCCCCTCCGCCTCCGTGGGCCACTGGGTGGCGGCGCTGGGCCGGGCGGCGGAGCGGGTGGCGCAGCAGGCGGCGGGGGGGCTGGGGTATCCGGGGGACAGCGGTGAGGGGGGCGGGGGTACCCGGAGAGGTAGGAGCCGGGCGGGAGACCACATGCCTAGGAGGTGCTTGAAGACGGCGAGGACATGCAAGCGCGTGGTTTTCCTTGGCAGGCAGGTTGCCGAGAGTGGGGTCCACTCCTGCGGCTAAGGCTTCCCACCTCCACCTCCTTCCCTCCCCTCCCCGCCCCCAGGTCTTGCCTCCCTGCGCACCACTGTTCGCGAGCTGGGGTCGCTGGTGGCAGTGGCGGTCAACGCGGCGGTGGGGCGGCGCGAGGCGCTGGCGGCGGGTCAGCGGCTGAGCTGCCACGAGGTGTCCGGGCGGCTGGGGCGGCCGGACTGGCTGGCAGGGGCGGGCACGCGGGCGGCGCTGGAGAAGCTGGCAGGGGTGAGGCGGGGGTAGGGGGTGGGGGGCCTGTGGACATGGGGACAACAGGAGCGCCATCAAGGAGTGCATCATGACAGCTGTTGCTTGTTCAGATGTTCACCCACCCGTCCCCACAGCGCCTACTTACCCATCCCATCCCCAACCTCCCCCACCTCCACCCCCACCCTCAGGCCATCCAGGCCGTCCGCCCCGCCCCCTCCTCCCCTCCCTCCCTGGACCTCTCGCACACCCTGTTTGGCGTCACCGACGTGCTGCTCACCTGCTTCGCGGCTGCGGTGGCCGCCACCCGCGACCCGCCCGCCCGCGCGGCGCTGCTGGCGGAGTACCGCGGGGTGCGGGGGCGGTGTGCGGAGGAGCTGTGCAGGGACGCGGCGGCGGAGATGGGGGCGGTGCTGGGGGCGCAGGGGGGGCGGGGCTGCCCGCCGCCGGAGCTGCTGATTTGGTAGGGGTGAGGGGAGGGGACGGGGTGGGGGTTGTGTTGGGGTGATTGTGTGTATGATGTGCGGGTAAGGATGCGGGGAGTAAGGCAACAGAATCGTGTTTGCGCGGGCTGACTCGGGCTGCTTTTGCGCTCTTGTCACCACCAGAGCCATAGTCATCCTTCCTCCTCCCTCCTTCTACCTCCTCCCCTCCCCTCCCCGTCCCAGGCAAGTGGAGTCGCTGTGTCGCGCGCACCACTGCTACCCGCAGCTCTTCTCCGTGTGTGAGGCGCTGGCAGCCGCCGACCCCTCCCTGGCGCCCCGCCTGCACACGCACATGGCCACCCTGCCACCCGAGGAGGGGGCGGCGGGGGCTGGGGTGCCAGGGGGCGGTGCGGGGGGTGCGGGCGGCCTGGCTGGCTACGTGTTCGGTCGGCTGCTGGCGGAGGGGCGGCCCGCAGACCTGCTGGACCTGCCGCAGCAGTTCCACTCGGGGGTTAGCGGCTTCCTGCAGGCGCTGCAGCCGCCCGCGCCGGACCTGCTGGCAGCGCACCTGCTGCGGGGGGGCGCGTTCGGGGACGCGGCGGCGGTCATCATCCAGGGGGTGGCGGCGGGGGGGAAGCAGCAGGGGCAGGGGCAGGCGCAGGTGCCCGGCTCGGGGTGTCTGGGGGGCGGCGCGCGGCTGCTGAGTGTTGCGCGGTTGGCTGCCCGGGCGGGGGGTGCGGGGCAGGTGGAGGAGACGGCGAGGCTGCAGCTAAGGCTGCTGGAGTTGCAGGTGGTGCGGGGGGGAGGAGGAGGGGGAGGAGGGTGTTGTAGGTTGGAGGAGCTATGGGGGAAGACGTGCGGTGCGGCTTAGGGAAGACTTGCTTTATCCGGCCCCATCGTGCATCAGAGCGCCATTGACAATGTCCTGTGTGGTGCAGCGCCGTACCCTGAGTCCTAAATCTTTGGAGCCCTGTCCCTAACTCTGACCCCGTCAACCTTCTCGCGCTCCACCCCGTCTCCTCCAGGCTCGACTGGGCCTACCTGCGGACGGCGCCCCCCTGGAGCCCGCTGTGCTGCTGGACGAGGCACTGGCGGCGGCGGCGGCGGCCACCCGCTCCGGAGCCGCCGCTCCCACTGCTGGCGCCTCAGCTGACGGCGGCAGCAGCAGCGGCAGCAGCCCGGCCGCGAAGGAGGCGGCGGTGGTGGCGGTGGCGGTGATGGCGCTCATGCCCGCAGAGGTGCGCTCGGCGCACTCCAGCAAGTGGCAGCTCGCCTGGAAGGCGGCGTTCGCGGCCGACCCATGGGACGATCTGGCGGCGGCGCGCGTCGCCCGCACTGGCGATGACGAGGCGTCGTGGTTGGGCGCACTGGCGGGTACGGCGGTGTGTTTGGCTGTTGCGGCATGTCGCGGCAGTGACGCGCTGGGTGCTGGGAGCAGTGTGGTGGACAGTGCTCCACTGGACCAGGTGGCGAGGTGGCTGCGGACGTGGGCGCTGGCGGCCCCGGGGGGTGCCGGCAATGGAGGGGGAGCGGGGGTAGCAGGGGGAGGTAACGGTAATGGCGGGGGCGGAGGGCAGCGGGGCGGTGGTAGCCCCGCTCGCGGTGGGCCGGTGGATGCGCGGGGTGAGGGGCGGGTGCAGGCTGTGATGGCGGCACTGAGGATGGGGCTTGAGGGGGTGGGGGGCAGGGCGGGGGTGCAGGAGGTGGCGGGAGGAGCCGCGGGAGGAGTGGCGGATATGATGATCAGCTGAGCGGAGAGGCTGGGGAGGGGTGTGCTGGATGGGTACAAGGGTAGAGCGGATAGGTAGGTTTGCACGGGAGAGGAGTTCAGGGGTTCATTGGGACGGTTTGTGGTGGGTCGTTACTCCTTGCCTCTTCCTACCTATTGGTAGGGACTGAGCGTGTTTTGTTGGGGTGTAATGTATAAGCCAGTCGGACGGCAATTCGAAAGTGCGGCACAGATGTGGAGGCACGAGCTGCTGCTGCCCTGGCGTGCGGATTGTCAAGAGGCCGTTGGGGCAAGCAGGTCACCAGCGCTTGTTGGGGAGGATGGGACGTGTTGGGAGCCGTCCTTGCACTCCTCACGTCTCTGCTGGCCACTGGCGTCCGAGGGCGGGGGGTACGTGCGCCGCGGCGGCCTGGGGTGAGCGCTGATGGTTCGGCCTCTGAAGGGGACCCGCAGCAGCCGCAGCTGGGGACTGCTACGGTACATGGGGAACGTGCAGTGAGCAGTGCTCGGTTGACGTGGACGATGGCACGCCGAACCCTGGAGGCGGCTCCCAACACAGCTGCTACTTATCACGGTATCACGGTGTGCATGCTGCTATCTCTCTTCAGGTCAGGTCCAAGCCACGCAAGGAAGTCAGGCTGGCAGGATTGTCGTTACAGACGTGCGTCATCTCTCGTACTGCCTGAAAGCCATTGCGTTTGACGTCCCAGGGAGACGGGTCTTCCCTCTGCTGTGTTGGCCACAAGGAGTATCCTTTATTCAAGCCCATGCAATCAACCATACAATCAATGCAACACATGTTGTCCTGTACTCGCAAGTTAACGACTGTGCGGCAATACAACAGGACTGTGCTGATTCAATCTCATAAGATCATCTTAGCTGACCAAAACCGCCCAACTAACAAGCCACATAACTAAATTACGTATGCCCTAGCATAACATGCAAACCAACAAAAGAGTGTTGCAGCCCATTCCCCGAATCTAGCGTGATAACCAACGTGCCAACTAACGGATACAAGCGTTTGCCGCCCAACCCCTCGCTGCCAGGCTCCATTGCTGTCGCACGATCCAGGCGCCGGCAAGGCACAAGACCTTCAGGGGCGAGAGGAAGGCATCCATGCATTCTGCATGCATGCCCTACAAGCCACACAAACGACGCCCAAGACCACGCTCGTAGAATAACGGCTTCTGCAACGCCCTTACACAGGACCTGTGCAGTCTCACCATTAGCTGCGGGTGTTGCCGCGCAAGCGACGCCACCAGCTCCTCGGGAACCTCCTTCGCCTTCAACACATACACCTCCTCCAGCCGCTCAACCAGTGCATCCCAGTGGCCCTGACCGCCACCCGCTTTGTCCACAGCCCACAACAGGTCCCCCACTACGCAGTCCGGCCCCGCGCTGCACACCAGCCGATCCTCCAGCTGCTCCCCCGCCTCAGACAGCAGCAGGAAGTCGGCTAGCTCGATGGCGGGCCGCAGCAGCCGCCGGGGGCACTCCTCCAGCACGCCGCCGTACATGTAGCGCAGAAGCAGCTCCAGCGCATCCGGGTTGGCGTCCGGGAGGTTGAGCTCCTGAGTGTTGCCCTGCTGGAGGGCGGTGTGGAAGGAGGTCCAGAAGAACTCGCAGCGAGCGGCCAGGATGGCCCGGTGCACCGGGAAGGAGCGGCGGGTGGGGCCGGTGCCGGCGGTGAGGGTGAGGTCGGAGGTGGCGCCGGGTAGCACCAGCAGGGCCAGCAGCTGGTCAGCCAGGCTGCCCTGTCATGTGGAAACATGGGGAGTTGGCGAGGGTGACAACCACCTTTGTTCCCAAAGTTGAACACTAACCAGCTGAATCGCTCGCCATGCACCTTCTACAATAAGTCAGTAAAGCACGCTGGGAGAGCGTGGCTGGCTGTAACACTTGGGGCCAAGACTAGCCATTGTACTTGCTCTGCACGGTGGTTAACGCCCATGCTGCCGCGTACCTTGGGCAGGGCCTGCGGCTGCTTGACTTCCTTGTGCATCAGCACCAGCCGCAGCCTAGCAGGGTCCAGCAGGTTGCCTGGGAAGCTGCTGCCAGAAGCTGCTGCAGCGGTGGCGGCGTCAGCGCGCCGGCCGAACCACTCGAGGTTCCCGATTATGTTATCCTCACTTCCCAGGACGGTGTTGCGGGGAGACGACGTGACAAAAACCGGGTGCCAGTCCGCAAACTCCTCTGCGGTGACACCCAGTAGCGCCTGTAGGGGAAAGGCACCACGGGAATTATGTGTCTTTGACACACGACAGGGTGGAAAGGGCAGAAGAGAGCAAACCCGAACTCTAAACGTATGTCTTGGTGTCAAACATATTCCTGGATCTCGCACACCTGCAGCCTTGCCCGCAGCTGCGCCATCGTGTCGCCCGCAGCCACTCGGACCAGCAATGGCTCCCCAAGCGCCTTGCCAGGCCGCACGTCCCGCAGGGCTTTTAGGCGTACTGAAGCGTCACCTATCGCGGCTATCGGACATGCCGGCATTAGCGGCAGCAGCGCATGGCACACGTGCAACAGGTAGTCTTCCTCCCGCGGGTCCGCCAGCTGGTCGCGCGGAATGAACTCGGCACGCAGCTGCCGGTCACCGCTTGACAAGGAGGCCACAGCATCTGTCGGCTTGAGGACCTTTACAGGGGGGGAGATAGCGGGGTGTCGGCATACATGCGGCTTGTGCCTGTCCTGTAAGATATATAGAGGGAGCGCCTTGGGCACAAGCCGACAGATGCAGGCAACCTATCCAGCAGTTCGACCCAGGAGTGAGACTTGCTTCTGCTCGCGCTTCCTCCACACGCATACCCCGCTATACCCTACCTTGCTGATCTGCCTGTCACGGACCTCCAGCAGCCGCATGGGCCGCCCCGCAGCTGCCATGGCCGCGACCTCCGCCATCACAACACAACCGCCGGGCCAACCCGAAGATGGTGACGTTGTGGCCGAACGGGATGGCACTGCTGGTGCCGTTTGACGTATACGGGTGGCCAGCTCCGCCAGCAGGTCCTCCACCTTGGCATCCCCATCCAAGCTTAGCGTGAAGGGCTCCCCCACTGGAACGCCTTGGTAGAGATACAAGGCAACCTGAAGGAGGGCGGTCGTGTACAAGGTTGCATTCAGCGCTCAACTTACAGAGGAGGAGCCCATACTCCTAGCATTGTAGTGTTCGGCGCAGAGTTCCCTAGTGCCTAGCGCCACATCGTTATGATATGAAAGCACTAGCGTCCACGCAGGCCCAGGCCATCCTAACTAGGATGTCTTGCCACCATTGGCAAATTGGGCATACTATGGAGCTTCAATCGTGTTTACCTCGATGGGGTTGGGTTGCGCCATTGCTGGTCCACACACTAAGAGCAGCGGCGATTGCAAGCAGCCCCGCGGCAAAAGAACGAAACCCGTACGCTGCAACAGTGCTGGCCCGTGCCACTGGTTATTATACGTATGTCTGCGCCTGTGGTAGAGTTTTGTGGCGCCCCAACGCTGCTTTTACCAACTAGTGCCACCGGGGTCAGTGGTACAACCAGAATAACTTGAACACTTTCAGCACAAGCATTCCACACCGCCGCGGTCACGCCCGTGAGACATGCCCTTGAGACGTGCCCGTGAACGTTACTACCCGTGACCACAAACTGCACGAGCCCGCCGACCTTAACTGCACGACAGTCTAGTTAAGGTTGCGCTTTGGACTTCCTGTATATCGCAACGCCGTCGTACCTGGCAACAGCTACTCTACCTTGGGCGAGCCTTACTACATCGGAGCTGTGAGGTTTGTAGCAACGCTACCCTTTCTGGCCCAGCAAGAGCGACGTGACGTTGCATGAAGCAGCTCGCCATGGGGGCGTGAGTGATACGCGGAATGGAGCATCGGGCGCCACTGTGTTCAGCTACGATGTTCTAACGTGACATGCCAGTAATCTGCTACGCGCTGCTGTGCCCTCTTTGTTTTAGTGGCACGCACGTTTCGCCAGTGATGTTACTGGTACTTCGCAAAGGCCTAGACGCGAACGATGCATCGCAATATCCCTTTTACACAAAACGTCCTCCAGTAATTGTGGATTGTCAGCGCAATGCAACGGCATATGAGCCCATGAAAAAAGCTGCCGGTAACCAAACTGCAATCCACGACCCATGGGTCACTATCACCGTACGAGTGCGGCATTTGTCCTTCCTGTCACCTCCCAGCCGCCCCTACGCGGTCCCCCCGCTGCTAACTACTTGCAGTACGGCTCCCCCGCCATCGCCTCCTCCACCACCGCCTCCCACTGCCTCGCCGCCCGCCCCCAGCCCCAGTCACGCTGCATACCCGCCCGCATGACACGTCGCCAGCGGTCCGGCTGGCTGCCGTACAGCTCCAGCGCTGCTGCCAGCGCCTCCCGCAGCGCCTGGGGGGTGGCGGGGGAGAAGGTGAAACCCGTGCCGGGGGAGCGCGGGGGCTGCCGGGGGGTAGTGGCCGGCAGCAGGGAGGATGCGGAGGGCGGCGAGGAAGAGCCGGGCTGGGTTTCCTGCTGCTGTCGCTGCGGCTGTTTGTGGTAGGAGGGATGGTGGGCGGGGGACGGATCGTCCTGGGAGAGAGGGCCGAGCCGCCTGCCCCAGGCAAGCCCTGCGGGGGCAGTTGAGCAGTGAGGGAGCGGGTTGTCCAGGAACCCATTGGCAACCCCGCCAGGCAACCGAAGCAGGCTAGAGCAACAACGGTAACGGAAGTACGGTAGTAACCAAGAAAGCGGCTGCATCACCAGCAGCACTCCCGCTACTCGTCACCACACCGCTTCCCTCACCACATGCGGCTCCTCACCTGTCGCAAACAGCTCCTCCACATCCACCCCCACTCCCGCCCCTCCCTCCTGCTCCTCCTCCTCCTCCTCCACCTCCTCCTCCTCCTCCAGCCCCTCGACCTCCTCCTCGCCGCCAAACGCCTCCACGTCCTCAATGGTGTCCCGCAGCCCCCCAGTACCGCTCGCCACAGGTACCGTGCCGTACCGCATGCCGTACATCTGAGTCAGCCCGCACGGCTCGAAGCGGCTGGGTATGACCAGCATGTCCGCTCCCGCCAGCAGCCGCCGGGCCAGGCGGGGGCTGAAACCCACATGCGCAGCCACGTGGTCGGGGTGGGCGGCGGCGGCGGCGCGGAGGGCGGCTTCGTAGTCGGGAGCACCGCTGCCCAACAGCACCAGCTGGGGGAGCGGAGGGACGGAGGGGAAACATGAGGGGTCGGTTTGTTTACGGGTGCCGGACATTATACCGGTAGTTGAAGTGGAAAGGGCTGATCCCAGGACTCCCAACGCACCCATCCTACCCCACCTGGCGTCCTGGACCCCTCCCCAGCCCCTCCTTCCCCAGCCCCTATCACACCACACATTGGAATTTCTTTTCCCCCAGCCCCTCCCTCCCTCCCTCCCCCCCCCGCCCCACCTGCGCCCCCTGCTCCGCCAGCCAGTCCGCCAGCTGCAGCAGCAGGTCGGGCCCCTTCTGGTGCTCCAGCCGCCCGATGAACGCCAGCAGCGGGGCGCGCGGGCGGGGCGGCAGGCGCAGCTGGGCCTGCAGGGCGGCCTTGCAGCGGGACTTGCCGGACAGGTCGTCTGAGGGGAGGGACAGGGGGAAGGGGGGTCAAAGACCATACCGAACCATAGGAAACCACAGGTTGGGGCAAACCAATAGGGTAGGAAGCGGCAGGGTGCCGTAAAACAAGCGTTAGATAGCAAAACAAGTGGGGGTGAGAAATGAGACAGCAGGGGAGCAAGAGGGAGGAAGGAAGTACTGTATGGTATGCAGAGCAGAGGTGAGGGGACAGGTCGCCGCCCTCCCTCACGGATTCGTACCCGTACCCCATACTCTTCACCCCTGCCCAAACCTCTGTCCGCGCTAGAGTTCAGTGGTTGCCCTCTTCCCACCCCTCCCCACCTCTTCCCACCTCTCCCCACCTCTTCTCACCTCTCCCCACAACCACCCAGCCTCCCAGCACAACCACCCTCCCCACCACTGCCCCCCCCCCGCACCTGCATGGTAGTTGAAGGGTATGTGCGGGTCCGTCTGCGGGTCCCACTGCGCCGGGTCGATACCGTTCACAATACCCCGCAGCTGCACCCCAGACATCCCACCTCCACCTCCCGCCGCCATGCCCGCCCGCTGCCGCAGCAGGGGCGCGAGGCTGCCCGCCCCGCCCGCCTCCACCCCCACGTCACTGCCCGACCCCACGAGCCCCTCTGCCGCTTCTCCCTCTCCCTCCTCCTCCCCCAGCAGCTGCTCCTCCTCCTGCTCTTTCTGCTCTCCCTCCCTCTGCCCCTGCCCCTGTCCCTCCCCCTGCCCCTCCTCCTGCTGGTGCGGTGGCGGGCGGCAGACCTCCGCCGCGTAGGAGGGGGACACAGTGACCAGCCGGTCCGCCGTCACTAGGGCGGCCTGGGAGGGAGGCAGAGGGAGGGAGGGCGTCAGGCATTCATGAGATTATGAACTTCAAGAGGGAATGGGGCGGCTGGGAAGGGGGAAGCACTCCACACACAGTAAACCCAGTTTATTGGGTCAGTGGCTGCGACCGATGACCGGGCGGATACACCTATTACTATTCTTCGCGGCCGGCGCGTCCCTGAATCCATAACCACCCGCATGCTCAGGCGCTCGCCCCCTCCCCCTGCTCAGGCACGCACCCCGGTCCCCCCCCCACCTTGAGTATGTTGATGGTGGGTGCGCCCGCCTGCACCCACTCCAGCGCCCCGTACCACCCGCCCGGCAGCCCCAGGGAGCCGAAGCAGTGGGGCGGGTGGGAGCCCTGGGGGGGAGTGGGAGGGAGGTTGGGGTATAGGGTTGTAAGGCGAGGGGGAGGGGGCTGGGCAGCAGCGGTGGTGGCAGCAGGCCGGCACGGACTGGGCGCCAGTCATCAGCGCGCGGTGTGCTTCAGGGAAGACAAGGGGAGGAGGGAATAGGAACGGCAAGGGTCCCGTGGGGGCCGGGAGGGGAGGGAAGCCCCGAGGCAAGCCCCTGGAAGCAGGCCATCTGGGAGGCCGCTGCCGCCTCAGCAAGGCCCAACCATGGTACCCAACCACGGACCTCCCACCCACGGTACCATGAATCCATGGCATAGGTGCGATACCAGGCAGTACGGGCATTGAGCACCAGGTTCCCATCCCCCCGCCTCACCGCTGTCCACATTCACCGCTCTTCTTCCCCGCTGCCGCGTCCCGTCCTGTATCCTCCCTCCACCCTTCCTGCCTACGTCCTGTCGCCTACTTCTACTAGTGTTCATATGCCAGGTTGGGCTTGCTTTTACGGGTACCCAACCCTTCCTCCCCCCCTGTCCCTCCCTCCATCCGGACATCCCGGTGTTCAAACGGCACCCGGGTGCCCCACTGCCCTTGCCCCTGCCCCTGCCCCTGCCCCTGCCCCTTTCCTCCAGCTAGTATACCATTAGCAAGCCACACGGTGGATATTCCCCTTCCCTCCCCCTCCCCCCCCACCTGGTGCGCCAGGTTGTGCAGCCCCAGCACGCACCGTGCCCTGCCGTACACCCCGTGCGGCCGGTACCGCGCCGCCAGGTACACGGGCAGCAGCCCCGCGTGCCAGTCGTTGGCGATGAAGGCCAGGTTGTCGGGGCCGTACGGCAGCCCGGGTGGGGTGCCGTACCGGTGCCCGCCGATGTGCAGCAGCAGGGGCGCCTCTAGGGCGGCCAGGCAGAGCAGGGAGAACCTGGAAAGAAGGGGGTTTGGGGGGGACAGAGTAGAAGGCTAGTGGGTTAGGGGAATAGGGGCAATGAAGGTAGCGAGGATAGAGGATGGGCATGGCGGAAAGGAGGGACGGTGTGGCCTGGAAATCCCCAAACTTTTATCTTGGTGTGCATCGGGCGCCTCCCCCCACCATCCAGTACAATCCAGTACGTTCCTACTTGCGGCCGGTTTCCTTAACCCATCAATATTTCCCTATTTCAAAACATTGCACCGCACCCCACCGCACGCGCGCACCTGAACAGGTTATCTCCGTACGGTCCATGCTCATTGCCGTACGGCGAGCCATCCCTGTGGTACGACATGTGATCCACAAACACCCAGTCCACATCATCCTCATGCCGGTGGAAAAAACCCACCTCATGCCTTCCTCCCCCGCCGCCTCCGCCTTCCCCTCCGGGCCCATTCAGATCCAGCCACATCCGAACCCCCGTGTCGTACAATCCGCCGTACCGGCCCTCCGCCACCGCCGTCGGGCCCATGTAGCGCGGCGCCACCACCATCACTCGGTGCCCCCGGGCCGCCAGCGCTCGGGGCAGCGCCGCCGCCACATCCCCCAACCCACCTGCCTGGGACCAGGGCGCCACCTCCGCGGTCACGAAGACCAGGTCACGGGGCCGGGAGGTGCGGGAGGAGAGGTGGGAGGGGGGCTGGGAGGCGGAGGAGGGAGAGGGGGAGGGAGGGGTGGAAGGGGTGGCAGAAGAGGTGACGGCGTGGGTTGAGGCGGCAGGGGCAGCAGCGGCGGGGGTGTGGGAGGCGGGGCTGGAGGGACCGGCCTCGGGATGTGCGGTCCGCTGCGGCTGCTGTGAGGTTGCTGGCGGTGCATGTGGGGCGACTGCTGCTGCCGCCGGCGCTGCTGCCGCTGCTGCCGCTGCTGGTGAGGGCGCTGTTGCGGGGGAACCGAGTGGGGCCGGAGCCGCCGCCCCTGCCCCTGCCCTTGATGCTGCTGATGCTGCTGCTGGTTCGGGTCCCTGCTGCTGAGGGGTCTGCTGATGCTGCACCGCTGGGCGGGGCAGTGGAGGAGGAGGAGGAAGTGCAGCGGGTGCGGGTGCGGGTGCGGGTGCGGGTGTAGAGGCGGGTGTAGAGGCGGGTGTAGAGGTGGTGGCCTCAGCGGTTGCGCCTGATGCGGCGGCCGGCTCAGGGCGGTCCTCGGACCCCAGGATGACGAAGGTGGGGCGGGGGGAGCCGGGCGAGTAGCGCACGGTGTAGCGCTGGACAGGCCCCTGGAGGTGGGGGTGGGGGTGGGGGTGGGGGTGGGGCGGGGGTTGGAGGAGGAGTGGGGATGTTGGTGGCTGCTGCTGCTGGTGCCCGCTGGCAGTGTGGGGGATTGCAGGGGAGGATTCCGCGCCCCGATGCCGCTCCATTCCAACCCCGGCGCTGCTCTCGCTGTTGCTGTTGTCAAGACCGATACTTCCAAGGCTGTTGTTGCTGCTGCTGATCCCGCTGTTCGTGTCGTGCATGTCGCTGGCCTGTGACAGCGATTGCAGCCCTCCACTGGTTTGTGCCGGTGTCCGCGGTGTTTGGACTGCCTCGCCCTCACCCCAGTGCGGCTGAGAGGCGCGGGCGGGGCTGCCATGCCTGCTGCTGGGGAGTTCCCGGGGGCGGGGTTGCGGGCTGGAAGCCAGGTAGGAGATGGGAGTGCTAGGAGGGGCAGCGGCGGCGCTGGCGGGGAGGGGCAGGGAGCCGGCTGGGGCCGCTAGGACGGGCGGAGGCAGGGGATCTGCGGCAGGGCGGCGAGGCAAGTGGGTGGAGGATCGCCATGGCGCCGAAACCACATGACTGAGGAACCTCCAACATATGGGTTCATGACAGCTTAGCGGGAGGCTGCTATGTCAACGTACCGTCAAAGTCCGAGTCCGAGTCTGAAGCCAGGAGTTCGACCTCCTCGTATGCTTGCTGGATTTCATGCTCGTCATCGAGAAGTGCGAGCTTTTCCTGGATTTGCCGAAGCCTCTCGATCTTCGCTCTTAGCTTCTTTGTCCGAAGCTGAAAGTCATCATCCTTATTGCTTTTTCGACCTCCCTCTGCGATTGGGCTGAGGCCGCTTGCCGCAGCGACCCTAAGCACGGTCCTAGCTGGCGACAGCGAAATCACGGATGGCCAATTGTATGTGGTTGACAAGAGAAGCCTTCCAAGTGTACTTTGGCGTCGGTAAGCCTTCGGGGCATGCGTCGCTCGTCGAAACGTCCGAAGGTGCAAACGCATGTTTCGGTCACAGCTCTTGCACCGATGTAAGAGGATCGCCAATGACGACTGCTAGCAAACTTCGGCTGCAGCGGATAGCGGGGGCAGAGTCAGTTGGTCACTGGCGTTCGTTAGCTTGCCATCGTAAGGGTAAGCACTAAGCAGTAATCAATGTCTTATTACTGGTTTTATACTTAAAATCCATAACATCAACACTCCATATTGTAGCTGAAGAGCAACACCACTTCACAATGTTTTCACAAAGCAAGCGTTGTATTCCGTTGAAGTATTGCGAGTGTGAAGCGGCCATTTATTGTTTGCGTTGGTCCTATGCTCTTCCCTCGCATGCCCGCCCGTAACGTACGACTAATGAACGCCGACCGCTCGTCGACTGGACGTCGGCAGCTTGGCTGGTACCCATCGCATTGAATGATGAGTCGTATGCCCATTACCGGCTGAAACCTGCAACCTATAACTCATCTTAATATACTTGCGCATACAATGCTGTGGTCGGCCGACCTTTGTTCTGCTGTCGACCATTTCCTTAAATCATCGATTAGTTTCTAGCCCTGTTACCATAACCTAACCACACGAGTCCAGCGAGTGGTTCTATCCTGGCGAGCTTGCTAGCTTTCATGGTGACAAGTCCAGCGATGCCTAGCGCGCTATGTGGCGCGACGCCCACCAGCCAGCGCCCGCTCCACCACGTTGCCACCCTCCGCCGTACCGTAGCTGCCGCTCGGCGGTTACCTGGATCAACCGCTCCTATCTTCCGTACGCGCGATGCCCGGTCCGTCGCTGCGGCAAGCCACATCAACCAGATGCACCCTAAATCTGAGGTATCGGTAACATATCTGGAGGCAGCTGAGGACGCCGCGGACGTTAGCTTGTCGCAGGCAGCAGCAACAGCAGCAGCGGCTCTCGCACCAAAGCCAGAAGCAGCGGGAGCTCCTGCGGCGGTTCTACCCGCGGCAATCCCCGCCCCTGCGCCACCTCACCCCGCACCCCGCGCCGCGCCCTCCGTGGACCTCCCCCTGAACCTCATCGCACCCCGCGGCGTAGCACACGCAACCGCAGCAGCAGCAGTAGCAGGTACGGCAGCAACCGCAGTCGCAGCAGCAGCAGCAGCTTCCCCCCGGCGGCCCTTCCCGCCCCCCCTGGACCTCCCCCGCATCCGCGACGCGCTGTTCGGTGAGCCCGACATAGGGCCCGTGTTCGCCAACCTCTTCGCCCTCAGCCGCCAGAGAGCCGTAGCCATGCACCAGCAACAAGCCACCACCTCCTCCACCTCCTCCGCACCCACCCCCGGCCCGCTGCTGTACGCTCCCCGCTTCCCCCGCCCCCCCGGCAGCCCCCCCGCCGCCTCCCTGCCGCTGCTGGTGTACCTCCCTGGCATCGACGGCACGGGGCTAGCGGCATACCGGCAGTTCCCCGGGCTGGCTGCTCGCTTCCAGCTGCGGGCTGTGTTCCTGCCGCCGGAGGACCGCACGCCGTTCGGGCAGCTGGTGGAGCAGCTGGCGGAGCAGGTGTGGTTGGGGAAGGGAGGGGTATGTGTAGGATGTTTTGGGTGTATGTGTAATAGGGAAAGAAGAAGAAAAAGAACATGCTTTGGAAGAGGCAAGGGGACCTCCAAGGTGGCAGGGTTGACCAGAGATCGTTGGCTGTGCCGCCACTGCCGCCACCGCAGATCAGTGAGGAGGCTCGGCTGCTGGACCCCGGCTGCCCGGTGTACCTGCTTGGGGAGTCGTTCGGGGGGCTGCTGGCGCTGGCACTGGCGCAGAAGCTGAGGTGGGGGAGGGGGGGAGCTGAAGGGGGGAGCTAAGGTGTGGGGAGGGGGGGAAGAGGTGGGTGTACCGGTATCACCGCGGGGTTGAGCCTTTGGGACTGGAGGGCCTATGGGATGCAGGGCATGGGCAAGGTGCGCTGTGGCGGTCGCCTTCCGCCTCGGCGGGACCCTGTCTTGACCCTTTCCACCCTTCACACACACCACCCTGCTGATCCCCCCGCATAGTAAACCGTAACCTCTATGCCGTCTCTTCCTCTCCTATCCCCTCACCTACCCCTGGGGTTTCTTCCTCCCTGTCCGGGATTGGGACTCCAGTTGTCGCACTTCTGATGTGTTTTTCTCCCCTCCCCTCCCTCTCCCCTCCCCTCCATCCCCCCCCAGCTGTGTTGACCGGCTGGTGCTGGTCAACCCCGCCACCTGCTTCCCCGCCACCCCCTGGCCGGCGCTGGGGCCGCTGCTGCCCGCGCTGCCGCCCGAGGCCTACCGGCTGCTGCCGCTGCTGCTGGCGCCGCTGCTGGCCAACCCACTGGCCATGGCGGCGCATGCGGCGGGGCCGGGCGACCACCCGGTGCAGCAGGCGCTGGACACAGCGTATGTGAGTGGGGGGGGAAGGGGATTGGGTAGATTAAGCCGGAGAAACACTGACCCTGACCGTAGGAGGAGGGGAGGGTTGGGGAAGGAAGAGGGGTGGAGGGGCATGGAAGGGAAGAGGCCAGGAGCAGGCGTACGCAGAGAAATGAGAGAGGCGAACGCAAGAAGAATAAACTGGTGGTTGTTTTCACAGAGGTGGAACAAAAGGCTTTACGGTTGGTATGGAAGGGAGGTCTTGCAGGGGTCAGTTGACCCGTGTGCACCTCCCTCCCCCTCCCTCTTACCCCATTTGTTTCATGGTAAACTGCTTTCCTGCCCCCCATGGCTTTGCCCTAACCCGTGGTTTTGGTATATGTCTTCCCCTCTCCCCTCTCGCCCCCAGGGTCTGCTGGACCTGCTTCCCGAGCTGTCCAGCCTGCGGGTGGTGCTGCCGCCCGCCACCCTGCGCTGGCGTCTGCAGCTGCTGCAGCAGGGGGCGCAGCAGGTGGAGCCGGCACTGCCCCGGGTGAGGGCGGGGGGCGGGGGGCGGGAGGGGCAGGCGTGGCAGGCGGAGGTGTGCGACAGGGGGCGCAGACGGAGGAGAAAGAAGGAGGGCAACCAGGAACACTGTATCCTCGTATCCGTGAAGGAGCCTGACCACTGCACACCCGCCAGCTGCTGGTGTGCTGCGCAACGTACATAATCTGACGTGAGCACCCGTACTTCATACCCACCCACTCAGTCAAACCATCCCACCCCCTTCCCCCTCATCCCGCCTTGAGGGGGTTGCCAATGCGTTCCTGGAAGCCTAGATGCGTTCCAAGCACCATGGCATCAACACACCCCCACCCCGACCTGCCCCACCCCCTCCCTCCCCAGATCCCCCACCGCACGCTGCTGATCGCAGGCAGCGGCGACCTGGTGCTTCCCTCCGCCGCCGAGGGCGCCCGACTGGCCGCCCGCCTGCCCCGCGCCCGGCTGGTGGAGGTGGCGGGGGGCAGCCACGCGCTGCTGCAGCAGGCGGGGGTGGAGCTGGGCAGCATGCTGGAGGTAGGGGGGGAGCAGGGGGAGCAGGGGGGGCGGTGGGAGGCTGATATAAGGGAGGTGGGGAGGGGTGAGGCGAGAGGGAGTGGACACCCGGCACCTTCAGCGATTGTACGGAACGCATTGGTGTGCACGGCAAGCATCGCCGGTCGAGCCCTTGCCCCCGCTAGGCAACCCCGAGACAGCTTAAACCCCAACGGCACCTCATTGGCACCAGCCGGTCGCCGCCTTATGCCCGTACTGCAACCCCCACTCCCATGCCTCTACCTCGCTATCGTCAATCCCACCACCTCAATCCCACCACCTCAATCCCACCATCTCAATCCCACCACCTCTCCCTTTCCTAGAGGAAGGAGAAGTCGTAACAAGGTTTCCGTAGGTGAACCTGCGGAAGGATCATTGAATCTATCACAATCCACACCGTGAACTACTCAACGTTGGCCTCTGCATCCAATGTATGTTGGATGTAGGCTAGCCTGGATGTTTGCTCGTCCAGTGCTAGGTCGTTGCTGTACGACACCTGTCGTACAGTGGCGTCGGTCTTCTAACCAACAAAATCCAAACCAAATCCAAAACAAAATCCGAGCATGCAGCTGAGAGCTGCTTATGCTCACCAACAAAGACAACTCTCAACAACGGATATCTTGGCTCTCAGATCGATGAAGAACGCAGCGAAATGCGATACGTAGTGTGAATTGCAGAAATACGTGAATCATCGAATCTTTGAACGCATATTGCGCTCGAGGCTTCGGCCAAGAGCATGTCTGCCTCAGCGTCGGGTTAATCCTCGTACGACAGATCTTTTTTGGTGTGCCGTACGGAACTGGCTGTCCCGGCAAAAATATCTTTCCACCTCTCCCTTCCCCTCCCTCCCTCGTCAGGAGGAGGACTTCTACGTCCCGCGCCGCCACCTCACCCGCTCCAACGTACCCCCAACCACCCCTTCCTCCTCCTCCCCGCCGCCCGCCCCGCCCCTGGGCGGCGCCAACTTCGGCCGGCCGCTGCCCCTGGAGCTGCCCACGCCAGGAGAGATCCGCCGCGCAGCCGACGCAGCCGGCCTGACCGCGCTGCGCCGCCTGGTGTCACCCGTCTTCCTGTCCACCGACGGACCCACGGGTCGCGTGCAGCTGGGACTGGACGCCCTGCCGCTGCCCGCTGCCGCGGTGGCTGCTGCTGCTGCCTACAGCAATCATGGCAGCAGCAGCAGGTCCCACAACGGCAGCACCTCCTTCTCCTCCTCCCAGCGGACCTCCTCCTCCTCCTCCTCCTGGTCAGCTTCCTCCTTCCCTGGCGGTGGCGGCGGCGGTGATGGTGGTGGTGGAGGTGCGGTGGCGCCGGGTCCGGTGCTGCTTGTGGGCAACCACCAGCTGCTGGCTGCGGACATGGGTCTGCTGGTGGAGGGGGTGCTGCGGGAGCGGGGGGTGCTGCTGAGGGGGCTGGCGCACCCGGTGGCGCTAGGGGCGCAGGTGGGGGAGGGAGGGAGGGAGGTGGGACGGGAGGGAGGGGGGTGACTTGGGTGAGAGAGGGAGGGAGGGGAGGATGGCGGTGGTGGCTTTCTTTCTTCCTTCCCTCCGTCGCCCTGCTCCTCATCCCCTCCTCATGCCCTTCCCCTTCCCTCCCACTCATCCCTGGGTTTCATTTGTACCCACTGTGCCGCCTGACTGTAGGCTGCCAACGCGGACGCGGGTGGTGGTGGCGGCTCGCCCGGGCGGCTGGGCTCCTTCCTGGAGACCTTCGGCGCGGTGCCGGTGGGCGGCCGGGCGCTGCACTCGCTGCTGGCGGGGGGGGAGGCGGCGCTGCTGTTCCCGGGGGGCGTGCGGGAGGTGGGCGTGGGCGGGGGGTGCTGGGTAGGGGCGTGCGGGAGGTGGGGGTGAGACGAGACTGAGGCATGGGTGGCCGTGGGCTGCTGTGGCAGCGGGAGGCTGGAATATTGTGGCCGAAGGGGTGTGGTGGGTGGTGGCCTGGCGACCTGGGCGAACCAATGACCGTGTGCCGGTGTGCGCCCCAGCGCCCCAACCCAGCCCGAACCCCAAAACCCGGCATCCTCCCCCTCGCCCTCCCCTCATGTTTAACTTCCCACCACCCCACGCCCCTCTTCCTGTCTCAGGCGCTCAAGCTGCGAGACGAGCAGTACTCGCTGTTCTGGCCGCGCAGGGCGGAGTTCGTGCGCATGGTGGGTGGGTGGGTGGGTGTGGGCTGTAGGGTGGAGAGGGGGAGACGGTAGGGGTCCAAAGTGGATGGGGCATTACGCTGTGGGTGGCTGAGGGGTGGGGCGGCGTGCGTGCGGCCCTGACATGGAGGAGTCCAGGACTGGGTGCTGGTGGCGGTTGGGATCCGGCACAGGGGCAGAGGCAAAAAGGGAGCGCCAAGCTGCTGAGCTGCTAGCAGGGATGGATAGGCTGTGTCAGCGCCGTTCGCCAGCCCTAGGAGACCACCACCTTGCCGGCAAGCTCCCTCCGACGCCTTGCTTCCAACACCCTTCTTCCCCTCCCTTCGTCCCTTGCCTCCCTTCCCACCCCTTCACCCGCCCTCCCCCCAGGCTGCCAAGTTCGGCGCCACTCTGGTTCCCTTCGCCGCGGTGGGCGCGGAGGACTCTCTGGCGCTGCTGGCGGACCGGCGGGACCTGCTGCGGGCGCCACTGGTGGGGGAGTGGCTGGCGGGCAGGCAGCGGGGGGCGGCCAAGGTGGGGAGGGGAGGGGAGGGGTGGGGAGCAGGGAGGAAAGAAGAAGGAGAAGATGAATGTGCTGTGAAGGATAGGGGAAGAAGGAGGGAAGGAAAAAATTATATAAGCGAAACAACGAGTCCCAATCCCATATCCCGACTCAGGAGGGAGGGAGGGAAGGAGGTGCTGGGAGGAGGGAGCTGAGGGAGGGAAGGGAATGACGGCAAAAGGGGCATGGTTGATGGTGGCAGGGCCCTACGAGGCTGAAGCGTGAAGGAGCTATAGGGCGGCGGTATGGTATGGCCTGATGCGCATTCCCACCCCTTCATGCTCACAACCACATTATTCCTAGCGCCCTTCCCTTTAAACCCTCTCCTGAGTCCTGACCCCTCCCACAGGCTCGCCGCGGAGTGAGCGAGTCGGACGAGGTGGATGACGTCTTCATACCACCCCTGGTAGGTGTCAAGCCGCCCGCGCGCTTCTACTTCCTCTTTGGCCGGCCCATACAGACCGACCCGGGGGTCGCGGAGGACCGCGCGGCTGTGGCTGAGCTGTACGGCAGGGTGCGCTCGGAGGTGGAGGGCTGCCTGGGCTACCTGCTGCGCAAGCGGGAGCAGGACCCCTACAAGGACCTGCCGCTGCGGCTGCTGTATGAGGCGAGCCGGGGGGGCAGCCGGCAGGCGCCCACATTCATTCCGTAGAGACTCTGAAAAGTGAGGAGAGAGAAAGAGAGAGAGGGAGGGAGATAACGAGAAGAGAGATTGAGAGGGAGGAGATCGAGCCTAAGGAACTGATTCCGAGTGCGTGTGCGTAGAGCACAGAGCAGTTTGAGGGCAGGTGAGGAGGTAAGGACTACGGAATTGTGCGTGTGTGCCGTGCACGTGCTGTTCGGATAGAGGAGGGAGTGGGAGATGTAGAGAAAGGAAAGGAGAGAATAAATTCTGTGAGCGAGAGGGAGGGGGAGAGATGGATGGATGGTTCGGCAAGCTATCATGGACTTAAATGACTCGGCAGTGTTGCAAGGTAGTACATGCAACAGCGCTGACTTGTCCGGATTGTACTGAGCTTTGGGTGAGAGGGGAGGCGGGTAGTGAAGGAGAGTGCCGTGGATTGACGGCTGAGATGGATTGCAACAGCGGCCGGAAGGAAGTTTGCGTCAGCGAGTCGTGAGGATGGGTAATCACGCCGTCGTTCCTGCTGCTTGGAGGCGCGTTGAGCAGAAGTTGTTACTATGAGAGCGAGAGGGCTCCAGGGTACATGTAGGCAAGTGTTGGCCGGTGGGCCAGCTGCCAGGAATATATTCACACTTGGGCGGTACTTATGTATTTGCCTTGATTCTTTTACATCACTTTGTGTAAGGTTGCCTCGGTAAACTGATATGTAAACTGGCTGAAGTATTGCCAGTTGACCAGGTTCCAAAGCCGGATTCAAAGCGGACAGACGCGATAGGAAGGTGTACCGACAGAGCGCCCCTTTGAATGGAGATTACGCGTCTTCGATGCAATCAAACATTATAATAGTAAGGCTTGCAATCCGCGTAGACAAACTCCGTCAAACTGGTTCTACAGGGCTGTCAATCCATAACGATTCACGACCGCCTGCTAGGCCCAACATGACGAGATATCCCGTGGTGAGTAAAGCTATGCCTGTTACCAGTCCTGCTTTCAAGCAATCGTGGTACCTGAGTAGTACTGATTTACCGGCGACCTCAGCTGTCTCAGCTGTTACTATTGGGAGACGGGTAAATAGGCCGCACGCTGCCGCACGGTAAACTTTACATTACACTTTTACTTCTGGCTACAGCACGGAACACCCGGCTGCGTGCCGGCGTCGCAGTCGGACAATGGCTTCATCAGCCCTACATTGCGACGGCAAGCGGTACCCGGACGGGCACAAGGCTTGCTCGACAGCACCAACGTTTACAAGAACGCGTTCAAGGATCCGACAATGGTGCGTGTGGCCGGCTGTGGTGTCTCCCAAAGCAACATGCTGTAAACATTTTACTCTTGAGGGCCTGGAGTGCAGCAGAGCGTAGGCTTGGCGTCCCTCTCTACAATAACCAAGGGCAATCCCCAAACGGCTTCACACTCCGTGACTGAGCTGCGTCCCCATTGATCAGGATGACCGTACACTCTGCTAGCGCCTGCCCCAATGTTCATCACAGTTAATGAGCGCATTCCGCCCACCCACCTTCTCGCAGTCGTCTACGAAGAAGAGTCGCCACGTGGTGCAAGGGTTTACTGCGGCTAGCGCACAAAAGGTGTGCTGTAGCCGGGGCATGGTGGTGCGTGATAGAGGACGTGAAGATGCACGCCGCTGGCGTGTAATCCCGTTGCAATAAGGTCTACCGGGGCGCCTATGTATTGCGCACCCTCGAGGTTTACGCTGACGCTGCTTTCCCGGCCTGAACTTCCCAAGGCAGCTTTCGACGGAGGTGCGATTGTAACGGACGTGGAGGACCAAGATGCAGCCGTTATCCAACAACTGGTAAGCGGGGACTCCGTGGACGATGCATCGCATGCCCTGGTGGCTCCTGGTTCATGGCTCATGCTTAGTCAAATCCCAACTATTGTGCTGTTGTTGGCATGCTGTTGGTCACTTGGCCTTGCCAAGCCTACATGGCAATGCGCCAGGGAAGCATCATGGCCGTATGTTGGCGTCTTCTCATCAGGCTATTTTCTAGGCCTACTTAGACACTCTGTGTGTGTGGTCCTCAAAAGGAGCGCAAGCTGGAAGCGGGATGCGCACTTGGCCCTAATAAGGTGCGCAGAGACGGCCTGCAGTACGGGTTAACACCTCCCACGGGTGATGGACAATTAGTTGTTGCCGAGTTACACTGGATGGGTCTGGAACATAGGTCGTGATCTGGGTTCTATGCTTGGGGTGTCAAGACAGATTGGGTGCAAATTCTTGTACCCATAACGGTGTCCTTCCAACATTCAACTAACTATGTGCTGTGCGAACCCAATCCATTCTGGTCGTCCCGTCCCTGATCGTCCCGCCCCAAAAGCAGTCACAGTGAGTAGCGGGTCTGGTGGGTTCAGTTGGGAGCATGAAAGAAAGGAGGTCACATGCACTGCTAGGCAAGGCGGCACCCAATTGCAGGGTGCGAGCAATCTTGGTCCGCATGGCAACGATGCATCCAGTGTCCCGCTTACCGCCTCCTCGCTCCCATGCATGTTACTGTACTCATCTCCCGCACTCTGCCCACCAGCGGGCGCCGTGGTGTGGACAGCACTGCGCACCTGGAGGGCCAGGTACGGCAGCTGCAGAGCTGCCTTGCCGCCAGGGAGCAGGAGGTGCGGGGCCTCAAGCACGCCCACGACGACCTGCAAGCAAAGTACAAGGCAGTGGCGGCGGAGCGCGACGGCTTGGCGGAGAGGAGCCGGCTGCTGGGAGAGATGCTGGTCACGTTCGCAAAGAAGAAGAACAGGCGGAACGGTCTGCTGCAGAGGACGCTGGACCTACAGCAGGAGCAGGTGGAGCTGCTACAGGAGCAGCTGCGGCTGCTGCGTGCGGAGCGGGTACGTGCAGGGGGTTTGGGTGGTCGGCAGACCATACCGGGCATACCGTAGTACTAACCCAGCTACTGTATGAGTCTACACACCCGAATGCTGATTGCCTTAACGCGCATCCTATGTTACCTGTCAAGTCACATGCCATAATCTTACTGATCGCCCTGACGGACCCCAATGTTGCTCCTGTCGTTTCCAACACTGTCGCAGTCCTTGGGGGGAGCGTTCCAGGCCGAATCGTCCGATTAACGGCGGCAGCAGCAATCAAGAGGTGTCATGTCGCCCAGTCGAGGATGACCGGTACAGGCCAGCTAACTGGCTGCCAGGCTATCTGGCAGCACTACCAACCTAATGATGGCACTACAACTGTTGCCGCTTTAAAGCAGGACTGCTCTACTTGCTTCATGAGCTGCTCTACGTCTGCAAAACCGACGTCCCATTGGACTTCAGCCTGTCCGCTGCGGGAAGTGGACTAGCCAATGGGGGCTGCTGGCGCTGGGGTTGGCAGGGGTTCAGGGATGTCGAATGGGACTGTGTCATGCGCTACTGCGCTTAGCTGTGAGTTATGGAAAACGTGGCTGGACTACCAAAAGTAGCGTTTGTATGAGGTAACCAGGTCTGTGGTTGCAAGTTTCGTACATATCCTGTTCGTCGGGAAAGACCCTTTCTAGAGGATTCCTAGAATCTTTCCTGCGCTTTCATGCTGTTAGTATAGTGTAGTAGGGACCCATGGGTCGTATAATGCGTGTTCGAAAGCTTCCTTGTGAGTGCATGTGCAGTGGACCGCTGCATGGATAACAACACGGCAGATTTGTTGCAAATGAGCATTGGGGCCAACGGATGGGCTCTTGGACTGCAAGTGTGCCCGAAGCAGCTGCCGATGCCAGCATGTACAAACATATCAAATGCAACATGCCTAAATGTTCGCTAAGCGCGAAGCCAGCGCGAAGAACGCACGTCCCCTTTAAGTCACATCGTTTTTCAAGACAGCGGTAGGTAGCCAGTGCTTAGGTTTAACTGCGCAGACTTTGACAAGCCTGGCAGCCTGCGATGTAGACATGCCCGCTGCGCAATCGCTTGGGCTGTGAAGCAGAGAAGCAAGGAGGCACCGTAAGAAGCCATATTACTGAATGCGTGCTGCAAAGCCTAGACCGGTCAGCAAGCCAAGGGCAGAGGTCATCCAGGTCTAGGAGGTTCTCAACTGGATTGCGTTGCAACGACAACCGCTAGCCGGTACGGCGCGCGCCCATGCGGGCCGTCGTTTCAACTGCCATTGCTAACCTAATGCTGGCAATTTGGCAAGGCAACGTTAGGAGCCCAGCGTGTCTTTGTATTACTTCCACCAATGGCTGCTAATCGACAACACACTTATCCGACAACCCCAATACGAGCTAATTCATTCTAGTCTTTATGGTTTATACGCCTGAACATTCTTCATTCTTTAGGTTCTGATACCGGTACAGTAAAGAAAATGACCGCCGCTGCCACTCTTCCTATTCGGCAATTTGCTAAGGAAATTTTAGCCGCAATAGAATGCAATGACGTCATTGTGGTGATCGGAGAAACTGGCTCCGGCAAAACTACGCAGCTGTCACAAGTACGTTGGAACCCATGGAACGCTTTCGTCGGTTAACGACCTAAAATGGTCACTGCCCTGGTACATGCAGATCCTCTATGAGGCAGGCTACGCTTCAGACGGCATCATTGCTGTCACCCAACCGCGGCGCGTGGTAAGGAAGACGGGTGGATGGTATCATCTGCCCGCTGCCAGACCATGGGCTCACGCCCTCTCATGCACCGGACCTGAATTGGAGCCCCTTCCCCTCCCGCCTAACTCAACCCCTGTACCTCCTTCCCAACTTAGCCTGACCTGATTCCATCCCTGCAGCTGAGCATTTGACGAGGGGAACTCGAACCCCTCCTCTCCCCTCCCACCCCTCCACAGGGTGCGGTAAGTGTCGCCAAGCGTGTGGCTGAGGAGCGGGGTGTGGCGCTGGGTCGCGAGGTGGGGTACGCGGTGCGCTTCGAGGACTGCTGCTCGCCCGCCACCCGCATCAAGTACCTCACGGGTGGGGGGGAGGCGAAGGAGGGGGGGCAGGGCCAGGGGGAAAGAAAACTTCTCAATGCGTTGAAAGAGAGTGCAAACCAGACGACAGGCCTCGGGCAGGAGGGGAGGGAGGCAAGGGGAGGGGAGAGGAGCAGGGCATGGCTAACTACACATGTGGGCATGTTGCTGTTCTGCCGTACCCCTGTTCCTGGCGCCCCTACCATCCCGCCCCCTCCCTCCTGCTTCCTGCAGACGGCACCCTGCTGCGGGAGTGCCTGGAGGACTCGCAGCTGCAGCGCTACTCGGTGCGGCGGAGGGGCGGAGGGTGGGCGGGGGGGGAAAAGAAATTCCATTGTGTGGGCGGGCGGGGGAGGGGGGGGATGACCCCGGGGGCTGCAGGAAGGGGGTGGGGAACTGGGGCGCCAGGGAGGGGGGTGGCGATACCGTCAGCCGTGGGGGATAGTCGTATGAGGAGGGGAGCCGGAGTGCCCGGATGGAGGCAGGAGTGCCGCGCAGGCGGGGCCTGGGAGCAGCGCCCCGTGAGGGGGCCTGCATGGGCGGCCTGCAGTGCTGCCTCCTTCCTGGGTGGCATGGGAGGGACGCAGCGGCGGTGGTGGTGGTGGTGGTGGTGGTGATGGTGATGGTGGTGGTGGTGGTGGTGGTGCGTGTCCGCTGGCCTGCACGCGCTGCTCGCCTCCCCGACCCCGCCACTCCGCCCCACCCGCCGTTCACCTCCTCGCTGTCCCTTATTGTAACCCCAGCACCCCTACCCGCTGCCCCTCCCTGCTGACCCCCTTCCTCCTCCTGCAGGTGATTGTGCTGGACGAGGCTCACGAGCGCTCCCTCAACACCGACATCCTGTTCGGCCTGCTCAAGCAGCTGGCGGCGGCACGCAATGCCGCAGCGGCAGAGGCGGCGGCGGCAGCAGCCGGGCAGCGAGGGGAGGGGCCGGCGGGGGCGGGCGGGGCGCAGCTGCCCCCGGCTGCTGCCAGGCGGTTGCGGCTGGTGATCACCTCCGCCACCCTGGATGGGGAGAAGTTCTCCGCGTACTTCGGGAACTGCCCGGTGAGGGATGAGGGGGGGAGATAGGGGGCAGGGGGGCAAAGAAATACAGAGTCCCAATCTTATATCCCGACTCATGCAGTGAGCGCATTCGGGGGCAGGGGGCAGGGAGGGAGACAGGGGGGAAGACAGGGGGACAGGGGGGATGGGTGGGAGGTATGAGGAGCAAGGGCGGAGTTTGGAAGTGGAGGTCCCTTCGTGCGCATGTTCCAGTTTCCCTCTGCCATACGCTGCCACCTCTACTGCCCTGTTCTGCTCGTCCACACCTCCCCGCCCCCGCCCCGACCTCCTCCCTTCCATGGTTGGTAAACACAACACACCTGCCCCCCTCCCTCCCCGCCCTTTCCCTCCCCGCCCCCCCAAAAGGTGTTCAACGTGCCCGGCCGCTGCTTCCCGGTGGACATCATCCACACGCGCGAGGACCACCTGGGCGACCACCTGGCGGCGGCGGTGGACACCGTCATGCAGATACACACCAGCCAGCCGGAGGGTGGGGGGGGGGTGGGGAGGGGGGGAAGTGAGACACTGAGGGGCGGGGGTGAAGGGGGGGGGTAAAGAGGAGGCAGGGAGGGTGCGGGGAAGGATGAGGGTGAGGGCGAGGAGGGAGCCGTGCAGAAGCCAGTAGGCCACACAGAATCTGACGTGCAATCCTTACGGCTCCCCTCTCCCCTCCGCCCCCCCCAGGCGACATCCTAGTGTTCCTGCCGGGCCAGGCGGACATCGAGACGGCGCTGGCCCGCATCCACTCCGCGGTGGCGGCCCTGCCCGCCGGCAGTGCGGGGCCGCTGGTGGGGCTGCCGCTGCACGCATCGCTGCCGCCGGAGCTGCAGGTGTGTGTGGGGGGAAGCTGTCGGGGCAACTGACGAAAAAGGGGGGATGGGGGGGAGGATGAGGGGGGTGCGAACAGTCCATTAGGTGGGGGCCTGGGCGGCTGACGAGGGGCACGGGAGGGGCTGGCGGCGGGCGGTTAGCCGGATGAGGTGGGTGAGCCCTTGAGGCGGTTGGTAGTGCGGTGTAACAGCATGTGACATGTCCTGCGCGACACCCAGCATACGTGTTCCTTGCTCCTTCATGGTGGCTTACCCACATCCCAGTTTGCCTCCTGCTTACTAAACCTTACGACCCCTCCCCCCCCTTCCCGCCTCCCTCCCCCCCCCAGGTTCGTGTGTTCCGCCCCGCCCCCCCGGGGGTGCGCCGCTGCATCGTGGCCACCAACGTGGCGGAAACATCCATCACGGGTGGGGGCTGAAGGGGGGAGGGGGGATGTGCGGGGTTTAGGCACTGACAATACCGCGTGGCGCATGCCGCTCTCTCCTGCCCTTGTACTTCCTTAGCTTTCCCCCCTTCTCCCCCCCTCCACCTCCCCCTTCCTGCCCCTCCTCCTCCCCCCCCCCCAGTGGAGGGTGTTGTGTACGTGGTTGACCCGGGCCTTGTGAAGCAGAAGCGCTACCAGCCCTCCTCGGGCATGGACAGTCTGGAGGTGGTGGCCATCAGCAGGGTGCAGGCCACTCAGCGGGCGGGCAGGGCGGGCAGGACTCGGCCGGGGAAGGTAGGGGGGGCCGGGGCGGGGGAGGAGGCGGTGGGGATAAGAAAGGGAAGGTGTGGGGCACTGCAACCCCCTATATCCCATAGCCCGGCGCATGCAGTAAGCCCGGCGCATGCAGTAGGCGCATGCAAGAAGGGGCGAGGAGGAGGAGTGGGGCAGGGGGCTGGGTGGCTGAAAACGCGACTCTCTCTCCGCTCCCTTTCCCCTCCCCCAGTGTTTCCGGCTCTACACCCGCAGCTACTACGACACCAAGATGCCCTCCGTCACCGCACCGGGTGGGTGAAGGGCAGGGGGGAAGTAGTGGCTCTAGTGAGAAGAGCCGGTTAGGGCTTGATGTTCTTGTCTGCGGCAGTCTTTTGCTGCCCCCCACTCGCCCCCGGCGCCCTCCTCCACCCTGCTCCCTCCCTCCCTCCCTTCTCCCCCTCCCCTCCCTTCTTCCACCTCCTCCTCCCCCCCCTCCCCCCCAGAGATCCAGCGCACCTCGCTGGTGGGGGCGGTGCTGTACCTCAAGTCGCTGCGGCTGCCGGGCATCGACGTGCTGGGCTTCGACTTCCTGGACCCGCCAGCGCAGGAGGCGCTGGAGGTGGGGGGGGCGGGGGAGGGGGGGGGGAGGCGCACAGGGGGGGACCAAGCATGATGGGTTATAGACTTTGTAGGAGGCCTGCCCCCCTCCTACCTCACCGCCCCCCTACCTCACCGCCCCCCTCGCCTCCCTACCACCCTCCCTCCCCCCCCTTCAGGACGCCCTCCGTCAGCTGCTGGTGCTTGACGCACTGGACGGGTGTGGCGACGTGACGCCGCTGGGGCAGCGCATGGCCGCACTGCCGCTGGAGCCGGCACTGGGGCGGGCACTGCTGGCGGCACGGGAGCTGGGGTGAGGGGCGGGAGAGAGGGAGGGGGAGAGGGGTGAGGGAGGGAGAGGGGGAGAGAAGCAATTAACCGTGTCGCAAGGCACCCATGGGTTGTGACATGGGTGCTGACCCCATGCGCCCTGCACAGCTGGGGTGAGGGGAAGGGGAGGGCGGTGACCCCTTGCCACCCCCGCTATCCTTACCACCCCGTTATCCTCACCTTCCACGCTCTCTTCGCCTGCTCCTGTCAGGGTTGCCCCCCCCTCCCCCTTCCCCCAGCTGTGTCCGCGAGATGGTGGCAGTGGCCGCCATGTTGTCCGCGGAACGCATCTTCCTGGCGGGGCAGGGGCCGGGGGAGGAGCAGCAGCAGGGGCGGGGCGGGGCGGCGGACAGCAGGAGGTGTGTGTGGGGGGGGAGAGGGGGGGCGGGGGAGAGGGTGGGGGCAGGGGCGGGGGAGAGGGGCGGGGTTGGGGCGGAGGCGGCTTGGAGCCCAGTGCTGTGCACACGGGCTGCGACGGCACTCCACAACACACTCCACAACTCTTTTCCATTTTTTCCCTCCTCTAACCCCTCCTCGCCCACCCCAGAGATGCCCCCCACCAGCGCGCTGCTCGCGAGCGGCTGCGCGCCCTCATGACGGAGGGTCTGGGCGACCACGTGCTGCTGCTGCGGCTGTGGGAGGGCTGGCAGGCGGCTGGCTGCAGCAGGGACTTCGCGCGGGAGCACGGACTGGACCTGCGCGGACTCAACTTCGCTCGCGACGTGCGGAGACAGCTGGAGGGTGGGTAAGAGAAGAGCACCCAATGTGTTGAATGAGACTAGCAAACAAGCCAGCAACAAGAGGGTGGGGGTGGGCGGTGGGCGCACTCCCAAGCTCCCTATGCATCCTATGCACCCTAACACACCCCACATCGTCCAAATCCGCCTCCCTTCTCTACCTCCCCCTCGCTACTGCCGGTAACCTCCCCTCTTGCAACCTCACTGAGCCGCCCCTTGCGCACCCGCCCCCACCCCACCCTGCACAGCCGTGGTGGGCCCCGACGGCAGCGGTCTGGACGTGCAGCCGGGCGGGGAGGGCGGCGGCGGGGGCCGCAAGCGGGGCCGCGGGGGCGCGGAGGGGGGCGAGGAGGGGGCCGCGGGAGGCAGGCAGCGGCCCGGTGGGCAGGGGGGTGATGAGGATGCACCCGCCCCCGCCCGTGCCAGCCCGCGCCAGGTGGATGCGCTGAGGCATGCACTGACGATAGGCTTCGCTAACAAGTGGGTGGTGTAGAAAAGGAGGGTTGAGGCTTTGGGATTGTGCCGTACTGCTCGGCTGGGGTGCGAGTGGGAGTGGGGTGCGAGTGGGGTGGGGGGTTGCAGCGGTGTGCGAGGGGGTGCTGGCTGTGAGTGGTTGCTCGCGGGTCCCCCACTGGGGCCCTAGCGGTGGGTTTGCTGGGTGGTGCTGACCTCCTCCTTTCCTGCACGCCTTACCCCGCCTCACCCGTCCCCTCTCTCCCCCCCTTTCCCCCCTCCCCCACCCCCTCAGGCTCGCGCGCCGCCTGCCCCGCCACAACGGCTACAAGACGCTGCACGCGGGGGGCGGCCAGCTGGCTCAGCTGCACCCGGGCTGCTCCGCTCTGCGGGAGGACGGCGAGGGACTGGCTCCCGAGTTCCTGATCTACCACGAGCTGGTCGCCACCAGCAGGCCCTTCCTGCGGCAGGTGAGGCAGGGGGGCAGGGAGGAGGAGGAGGAGGAGGGAGGGAGGGAGGGAGGGAGGGAGGGCCCGATTGGGTCTCCCAGCTGTACAGTGGTGGTCTGCTTGGGCAGGCGGGGAGGGGAGGCAGGGGGAGGACAGGGGAGCAGGGTGCGTTGTGTTGTACGTTACAAGGAGGGAGCTTCCCATGCTGTAGGAGGGAGCGCTCTCTCGCATGCACGCAGCATCCGTTTGTTGGGTGAAGACACAAGCCGTCTTGCTGCGGCTGGTGCACGGCAGCTGCAGTGTTCCGTGTTCACGGTCGAGTCACCACAGGGAAGCAGCCGCTACCAAACCTACAAGGCAGGCAGGCACGTAGCTGCCGGTATTACCGGTATTACAGTGCAACACCCGGGCTGGCTTGCTGTATTGGCCTCATGGAGACCAGCTGTGCCTCCGTTTTCGGACCTCTCAACTCCCGAGCCCCTCTCTTTCCCGGCTGCCCTTCCCCTTCACTCTTCATTTATTCTATTCCCCTGTCCCTGCCCTCCCTCCGCCCGCCTCGCCTCCAGGTGTGTCCCACCCGCGCCGAGTGGGTGGCGGACGTTCTGCCCAAGATTATGGCAGCGGACGTGCAGCGGCTCAGCAGGGGCAGCAGCGCGCGGGGGGCCGCAGGGGAGGTGCAGCAGCAGGCAGGGGCAGGGGCAGGCGGGGGGCCGGGAGGGGCGGGTAAGGCCCAGCCGGCAGGGGGTCCGGAGGTGCGACGCAATGATGACCGGGCGGTGGATGCGGCCAAGGCGCGGTACCTGGCACGGAAGCAGCAGCAGGCGGCGGAGAAGGGCGGTGGGGGGAGGCGGTGAGAGGTGCAGGGCGGCGCATGTGGCGGGGAGGGCGGGTGGCCTGCCGCGCATGCGCTGCCGTTCCGTTCGTTAGTTGTTATGTCCTCCTGTGATTTTGACTACATGCCGTCTTACAGGCGTAAGACTGCGGGGCTCAGGGGCCTTCACCTTGCTTGTTTCCGGGACGATGCCTGGATTGGCTACCTACATATGCACTACCGTATCTCCTTGCAACACGGTGTATAGGGTAACAGTGGGCGGAGTGCATAATGGTTGTGACAGCGATCCTCCTGTTTTGTACACGGCAAACAATACACGTTTTGCACACGGATAGTCTGAAGCGACTTGCAGTCAATTGTCCCAGGGCTGATTATCGGGCAGTGGTATGCGTTGCGGCATGCGGCATGAGGTGGCATGTCAGGTGGAGGGTTAACGGGACGGTCCGTGTCAGGGCCTTTGACGGCTCCAAGTTCCTGGAATCTACTTTCGTACACATTTGATGAGCTTTTCGGCATACGCTGAAGATGGCACGTGTTTCCAACGGACGACCCGGGACAACGAGGTTTTACGGCATCGCGTCATACCATGTTTGCAATAGCGCCGAATAGTACATCTGGGTTTCCCAGCCATGCAGGAGTCAACTGTAAAACCCAGCGCCCAGCTGTCCCTGCATCCTGAATTTCTAATAAGGGCATACCGGTATACCCAGCAACGGCAAGCCACCGTACGTACGGTCTTGCGCCGCTCACACACTCATGTACATAGTCATTTGTATTTTTTTTACATACGTTAAAAGTATCTCCTGGTTAACACAGCCTACGCCCCGAACTGCAAAACTGCAAGTATAGCGTAACGCCGTTCGGCCAAACGACGGTCTCCACGGGGCGAATACGTTCTTAGCTTAGCAATTATTTGTTATGAACATGAAGATTTCATTGTCTTCGCTTACATAGTAGGGGTTTGGCCCTGTTTGTGTGGCATGGTTGACGGACGAAAGGAGCGCTAACGTGTCGTCTGCCTAAAAACTTGTGCACATATTGAAGCCGCTTATAGAACATGGTTTCTGGTCGTCGCTCCGGTTGGGGTTACGTATGGGCGCTCATTGTCGTTGTGCACATGGCTACCAGGTAAGCAAAGCCCGAACGCGCTGCAGCACCTCGCACCTTTCGAGTATCACGTAAGCATTTACTTACGAGTGTCCAAACATGCTTGCTAATGCAGTCGGGTCGCAGCCTCAGAATCCCGTACTCGCATCGAGACGCCATGGCCGACTCAAGAGCTGCTCGACAAGGACAGGTGCGCGCGACACAGGGCAAAGCCCTTCCTGAACAACCTCTCGTTCCACCTTACCCTGTATCCAGCATTGCCGTGCAACGGAAACGTGTACGGCAAACCGCCATTTTACCTTGCCACGCAACGGGGCTGTCCCTCCCTCCCTTGGTATCCTCCCTTCCTTATCCCTTAGGACCGAGCCCTGGGTCAGCTACGAGAGCTCTTCGTATATTGGTGTGCACTTCCTCACAGCTCCTCCCAGCATCGCCGGCGTGCTCAAAGAGTCAGCCTACACCATCCAGGGCAAACAAGGTACCGGTGCCGTGCATGTGGCGAAGCAGCTGGGGGCACGCGTGCAGCTTGTGCTCGTGCCTTGTCGCTAAGCTGACAGTTGTTCAGGATGAGCACACGCACGCAGCGGCTGTCAAGGCTGTTACGTTGGCGCAGTAATGCGGGCTGCATCGTACGGCACCCACTCTTTCTGTATCTTTGCCTTTCATCTCGCCCACACACCTCGTACTTGGTTTCCATCCCTCACTCCCTTCCCATCCCCAAACCCCCCAAAACCCCCAAACCCCCAGATCCCGCCTACACCAAGCCGCAGCCCCCCACCTCCGTCTCCTACCGCTCCCGCGTCCTCTTCGCGCAGCTCCTCCCCTCCGCCAACTACCTGGCCCCCATGCGGCACGGCTACCACGCCTTCCTGCAGCTGCCCTCGCCGCTGCGGGACGGAGTGAACTACACCGTCAGCGTCAGTGCGGGCCCATTCGGTGCGGCCCGCAGCTTCCTGCTGGCTGTGAATGAGCGCTCGCAGCTCAACACCAACATTCGTGTGAACCAGGTGCGAGGGGAGGGATTGTGTGAGTAGCCGTGGTTAGTGGGAGAGGGTGGGGCAGGTGGGAGCAAGAGGGCAGCAGGGTATGTTGGCGCGCGCCTTGCACTGCCTTTCCTAGCCCCCTCTGTCTGTGCCCCCGGCTGCTGCCGCACCCCACCTCCCTCCGTCCAGGTGGGTTACCCCCTGACCGGCCCCAAGCTGGGCTTCCTGGGCGCCTGGCTGGGCTGCTCCTCCGCCACCCCGCCCTACGCCCCTGTGGCACTCAAGCTGCCGGGGGGCGCCGGGGCGACCTTCAACGTGCGGGATGCGGTCACGGGGGCGGTGGTGTTCACAGGTGGGGCGGTGGGCTGGAAGGGGTGGTAGGCTGGAGTAACGTAAAAGCACACAGACAGCAGTGGCCCAATGTTTTCAACACCAGGTGTTAGGTATAACCGGTATACGTACGAGCATGCGATTTGTGTGCATGAGGCGCTCAGCGGGGGGCTGGAGGTGGTCCAGTTGCTGCCTCAAGGACTGGTCCCGGCGGCTGGAGCTTCGGGGTTCCCATGGAGGTGCTCCTTTACTGCCTTGCCGTACAGTACTGCCTTGCCGCAAACCGGTATCCAACGAGCCTCATCCTTCCGCCCTCCCATGCAATCCCGCCTCCTCCTGCCTCCTACCCCCAGGCACCCCCCAGCTCTTCGCTCCGCCGGTTACCATCGACAACACCAGCAGCCCTGCCAGCCCCGACCTCTACACCGGCCAGCGCGTCTGGCTGCTCGACTTCTCCGCCCTCACCGCCCCCGGCCGCTACCACATCCACATGGCTAGAATAGGCGTCTCGCACGCCTTCCTGGTGGCCTCAGACGCGCTGCGGCCGGTGCTGGGAGCGCTGGCGCGGGGGGTGTACGGGCAGAGGTGCGGTACGGCACTGCAGGAGGGGTTCCTGGGGCCCTGGGCTCGCACGCGGGAGGAGGAGTGCCATGCGGATGATGCGGAGGTGATGCCGGTGCGGCCGCCGCCCAAGTGGTTTACTGACAAGTGAGTGAGAGGGGGCGGTGGAAGGGTGGGGTTAGGATGCAGCGGTGGTGGGGTGGGTTTGGGTTGGACTGGGTGGTAGGGGTGCTGGGCGAGGCAGGATGTGCCGTACATGGCGCATGGTAGCCTCGTCCTTTCCCGCTATGTGTGCAGCAGTTACCGGTACTGGGCTGCTGGGTGGCGCGGTGCTTTGGATAGCCCTCGCTTACCCCCTGCTTGCAGGCCTGCACCCAAGCATTGCCCCTCATCCACCTCTTTCGTATACCCCACTCGCTTCCCACACCACAACACGCACCCCGCCCGCCCAACCCCCCGCAGGATGCCGCTGCCCAACCCCACCCCCAACATGACCACGCTGCCGCTCAACTCCTCCACCGGCTCCTACTTCCTGCCGCAGCCGCGCGGGGGCAGCCCGCTGCAGGCGGCAGGCGGGCACCACGACGCGGGGGACTACGGCAAGTATGTGGTCAACAGGTGCGGCGGGGGATGAGGGGTGGCTGAAGGCTGGGCTGGGGTGGATGGTTGAGGCCCTCTGAGTGTATATAGCGGTAGGAGAAGCAGGCGGGTGCTTGAGGGCCCTGAAAAGCATGCCTGTGTCCCTCTCCCACACCTCCTTCTTCCCTGCTACCCTTCCCACCTCGCCCCCCGATGTTCTTACTCTCCTCCCCGGTCCCTCACAAGTATTGTGGCGCCCTGCCGCCTCCTATCCCCAATGCCTTGCCCTAACCTGTGGTTTCCTACGATTCGGTATGGGCTTTCCTCCCCCCTCCCCCCCTCCCCCCCCCAGGAGGTGCAGTGGGAGCTGCGCTACCTTGAGGGCATGCAGGACGCGGACGGAGGGGTGTTCTGTGTCGTCAAACCCAACACAACGGCGGGAGGTGGGGGTGGGGGACTGGGGTGCAAAGCGTCGGACCACGTGGCCCGGGCCGGGGGGCTGCTACCCACACTGGGGGGCTGTCCTGTGGCGGCAGGGCTGACTGGGCTGGGGACTTGCGCCGCGTGACTGGCAGCCCTCTGTGCCGGCACTTCAACCTCCTCCCTTCTGCCCCTCCTCCCTACCCCATTTTGCCTTTTCTCGGTTTCCTCCGCCCCCCCCCAGAGTACTATGAGGACCACCTACCGTGCCTCACCCCCGGCCGGGACGACTGCAACTTCGCGGCGGGGGACCCGCGCAGGGGGCCGCGCATCGCCTGGCCCAAGGACACCACGTGCACCGCCCAGGTGCGTGTGAAAAGGAAACTGTAGGAGCGCACAAGTAGGAACGTACCGGGTTGTGCGTGTATGAATCTGTGTGACCGCCAGAGGGGGACTATTCCAGCATCCGACCGGGAAGGCCACCACCTACCTTTTCCTGACCTCCTTCTCCCTTATCTTAATTTACCTTCCTTAACCATCCCCCACCCAGCCTAGCATTAGATCGCTAACCACGCCCCGACGTGTCCCTACCCGCCCCCACTACTTGCACACCGGCTCCCTCCCCCACCGGCCCTATTTCCACCCCGCCTATGCCCACCGCCTCCGCAACCCACCCAACACCCCTCCTCCCTCCCCCCCTCCACCCAGTTCGCCGCCGCTATGGCTCGCGCCGCCCGTTCGCCCTGGCTGCTCAAGCTGCGGCCCGACGACGCGGCACGCTACCTGGCCCGCGCCCGCGCCGCCTGGGACTACCTGGCCGCGCGGGCGCCCTTTGGCGCGCTGTGCTACCACTTCTACGGCTGCATGGGAACAGTGGATGCGACGGAGGCAGTGCGGCCAGCCTGGGAGAAGGCGTACGCGTGCTACGACTCCAAGGTAGAGGACAAATTATAAAGAAGGGGATGTTAGAAGGCGTAGAGCGGAATGGGGGACCTAGCTGGCTACCGTAGCCGCGCTTTCCCCCTTGCACACATCCTCCGACCACCCGCTCCCTGCCGCAGCTTGTCACCCGGTTTGCCATCCTCGTTCACCACACCGGATATCCTCCTCCCTCCCGCAGGGCGACCAGTCCCATGACGAGCGCGTGTGGGCGGCGGTGGAGCTGTACGCCGCCACCGGCGAGGCGGCCTTCCACTCCTACTTCACGCAGCGGCACTGCCCGCGCTACCGGCGCTGGGGCTGGCAGGCGCTGCCCTTCAGCTACGGCCCCGCCACCGTGGCGTATGCGCAGCTGGCGGCGGCGGCGGGGAGCGGGGAGCAGGGGGCGCTGGCGGTGAGGGGCCAACCGGACCATACCGTATATATACGGGGGGTCAGAGATATACCAGAACCAACGGCTAGGGCAAAGCAATGGGGATAGAGGGCAATGGGGATAGAGGGGGCTAGAGAAGGAGAGCGGGCTAGTGGTAAGAGAGGGGGTGCGTTGGAAGCATATACCGTCACCAGTCCCTAACCACCAGCTCGCGATACCATGCATTTCACATGGCTTGATTTCCCGGCCGCCCTTCCGCATCCTATCGCCCTGAAGCAACTGCCTGTTCCTAGCGCCGCGCCCTTCCCCTCTGCTCTCTCCCTCATCCGGGCCGGCCCCCTTCCTCCCCCTCCACACCTACGTACCAACACCAACGCGGTTCATCCTACTCAAGTTATCCCCCCCCTCTCCCCCCCATCCCCGCCCTGCCTCCCCCCCCCCCAGGTGGACCCGCTGGTGGCTCAGCGCTGTCTGGACGAGCTAGCTGCGGTGGCTCGGGGACACATGGAGGAGGCCAAGTCAAGTGGGTCGGAGGGGGGGGCAGCTGGGGTGGACACGCATGACACCTGCCGGGGCTTTAGACATGTGGCTGCCCGGGCTTGGTTGAAGGGGCCAAGCCGCCGAGCATCATCGCTTCCTACATAGCTGGGCGTAGCGTATGTCCGCCAGCGTTGACTTTAACAGCGGCTCCGTTCCTGGCTGCCCGCCCTCGCCTTCCCCCGCCTCAGCCAGCCCCCACACAACGCGTCTTCCCCACACCCGCTCCCCACCCGCCCCCCAACTCCACCTCCCCTCCCCTACCAGACGCCTACCGCCTAGCGGTGCCCGCCCGCACCTTCCGCATCTTCGGCTACGGCTGGCACTACCCCGCCGAGCCCGCGCTGCACCTGCTGCTGGCGGCGGCGCTGGCGGGCGGCGGCAATGCGAGCGAGGCGGCCGGCTGGCGGGCGCTGGCGGCGCAGCAGCTGCACTACCTGCTGGGAGCTAACCCGCAGGTGCGGCGGGGGGAGGGTGCTGGGGTGGGGGTGGGGGTAAAATAAGGAACCTGGCGAACTGTATGACGAGGCTTCTCCATGGGTTGCTAATTGAACCCGGCCCATCTCACCCCACCCGAATTAGTCAAGCCAAAACAACAAATGGGGGTGCCGCTGGGGGCGAGGTGAATGTGTTTTTTCCTGGTGCCGTGCGAGGGGAGCGGGGCCGTTGGGTGCTGCGGAGGGGCTTGCGATGCTGCAATGGGAGGTTGGACGGAGGCCCCGTCCTTCGGAGCCGCCTTCTGCCACTGCTTTACGTGGAATGCCGAGCGGCACCCGGCCTCCTTCCTGCCTACAAGGTTTCCTCCTGTACTTGCCTCTCCCCTTGAAACCGTCTCACTCGGTGCCGGTAGGGGCTTCTTCTATGTCCGCTCCCCTCCCCTTGTCCCATCCCTCCCCTCCCCTCCTCCCCCCCCAGGGTTTCAGCCTGATCAGCGGTCTGGGTGCCCGGCGCTACCAGAATGTGGTGGATGAGGAGAGCGTGTACGACGACATTGTGAGTAGGGAGGCCTGCGAGGGGAGGCGGTGTGTTAAGAAAACTAGCCGCGAGTGAGGCGGTGTGCGTGTGTGGGTTACTGGCCTAAGCTGCCATAATCGAGGCGGCTGCTGTGAGGCCATGGTAGTAAGACGGTGTCGGCTGGTGGGGGGTGGCTAGGTGCCGGCAGCCCTGCAACGCCGCCCTGCAGCCCTTCACCACCCGGTGCACAGCACGCTGCGCATTATCGCACCCACTCAGGCTGCTCCTGACGCCCCCTCCTCACACAACCCATGTGCACCCAATCACGCATCCCCTCATCATCAATTGCATCCCCCCCAGGACCCCGCCTGGCCTGGTCAGTCCGTCGGCCTGGCCTCGGGCTTCAGTTGGATCAACAGCTACGGCTCGGCGCTGGGAGCGGCCTTCCCGCCCGGCATCGACTACCCCGCGCTGCACCGCATCAGCGACGTCTTCAACGTCAACACCGAGTTCACGGTGCCCATTCTGGCGATGACGCTGGGGGCGGTGGTGGCGCTGGCGGGGTGAGGGGGGGGATGGCGGTGGGAGCTGTGTGAAAAGGATGGCCCAGGTAGGGGCTGTTTGGGTAAGATGCCATGCGGATTGTTATAAAAGACGCAAAAGGGTGGATTGTCTCGGTGCGCGTGGGGGGAGCCGCAGTAGTGCTCCTTGGCTGCTTATAAAGCACATCCGAGGCAGGACATGCCAGAGGGCTCGCCCGCCTGCCCTGTGCCCCTCCCCTGCCACGGTCAACTGCACTGCGCGGTTTTGGAGAGTCGCAAAAAATGCAGCCCTTGACTCCTCCTGTGTCCTCTGCCGTACCGTGTGCCCTGCAGGGATGCTGCCAGGACGCCCCTGCCCCCGCCGCCCAACATAACACTGGAGCTGTCCACGAGCTCGGGACCCGCACCGCTCAGCGTCGCCTTCTCGCTGTTTATCCAAGGTACGGTGGGGCGGAGGGTTGCACGTTGGGAGGGCTAGCGCGGGATGGGAGTAATACGCGGTTTGCATGGCATGCATCTCGAGGGGTGCGTGTTGAGGGGTGCTCCTGCACTAGAGTGCTACCCAACCTGTGGACCAGCAAGCTCACCATCCGACCATGCGACGGAATCTGACAACAACACCTGCTGCCTGCTGCCCCGCAGGTGACCCGCGGGTCGTTGCCACCGTGGAGTACGACTTTGGCGACGGCGGCCACTCCTACCAGGCCAACCCGGTGCACGTGTACGGCGAGGCGGGGCGGGCGCTGTACGGCAGTGTCACGGTGGTGGACCGGGCAGGGCAGGCGGTCAGCAAGGTGGGTGATGGGTGTGGGGTCAGGTGGGGTAGAGGGGAAACACTAACCACTAATGGGAGGAGGGTATTAATAGGGATACATATTTGTGGAGGGAGGGTGTGGGGGGAGGGAGCTTGTGGTGGAACCTTGAGGTGGGGTCGGGTTGGGGTGGAGAGGGTGCTGCTTGCCTTGGACGGCAATGCGGAGTTGGCGGTAACGCCTCTACCTAGAGTACATGGCTTCAGGAATCAGTGTCAAGGCCCGCTCCCGGGGTTCCCTCTCTTCTCTTATCATTCCTGCGCTGCTGTGTTCCCAAGTCAGGCGCCGGACGGATGCATCCACGCCCTTGTACTGCCTGCCTGCCTCACTCCCCCTCCCCCTCCTACTGCTGCTGCTCCTGCTGTTGCCAGAGCTTCACCGTCTTCACCTGCTGGCCCGAGGGGTCCGACCCCGCGCCGCCCCCTCCCTCGGGGCTGCTGCTGGCTGCCCGGGTGGCACATGAGGCGGACCCCACCGCCTGGGGAGGCCCCCTGCCGCCGCTGCTGCTGGCAACCTCGCTGGCGGAGGGACCTGACGACGGCGGGGCCAGTGTGGCTGGTGCGTACCGGTTCTTGCATGTGGGCACTACAGCTGTCAGGGGGGTGGGCCAGCCTGCAGGCGGCACAGATCCCCTTCATGACCGTCCCGATCCGCGCGGGTGGTGCGGATTGCACGAGTGATGTTTAGGCGGCACCGTAGTAATGTAGCACCGGGCTTCATTCGCCTCATGCAGCGCACTCCACCTAACGACTCGGATCATTCTGGCTGCACCGTGTTTACTGAAGCCGCACCCACCCAAGCTGAAACCACAGCCATCCCCCACACCCCCGCTCCAACCCCAACCCCTCCTCTGCCTGCTGCCCTTCATGACACCGCCGCTGCTGCCGCCCTCCCGCCCTACACCCCTCCTCCCCCAGCCACCGCCAGCGGCACCATCGTCGCCTCCTCCGCCAACCTGGCCTGGCAGGGCGTGCAGCCCGCCTGGCAGGGTGCCGCGCTGCGGCCGGTGCGGTACGAGGACACCGCCACCTACACCCTGCTGCCCGCTGCGGGGGCTACTGCGGGAGTTGCAAGTACTGCTACTGCGGGTGCTACTGCGGGTGCGAGTGCCGCTACTGCGGGTCAGGTGCTGCTGGGCGCTGCCTCGGGCGGGCTGGTGCTGGAGGCTTGGCTGTACGTGGAGAAGTTCCTGAGCTACGGCCGCGGCAACACGCCCCTGCTGGGGATCAAGCAGGGCACCAACCGCTTCTTCGGGCTGCAGGTGGGGGCGAAACGCTTGTCTTCATTTACTGCCATTCGTTCCGGTCGCTGCCACGTCCCTTCCTCAGCCTAACCCAGCCCCCCCTCCACCGGGGGTTACCAAGTTGGATAGCAGTGCTTACCTCGCCCGTTCGCCTCGACCCACTCGTTTTTCTTCCCCCATGGCTTGTCACCTAGTTTGCCATTGTCAGACAGGAAACAACACATAGGCTATTCTTATCCCCCCCCTCCACCGCAGGGCACCATCTGGAGTGGCAACATGCTGGTGGCCGGGCAGCAGACCCTCGCCAATGACACGTTGCTGGCACCCCGCCTCACACTCGGCCGCTGGCACCACCTCAAGCTCTCAGCCACCTCAGCCAACGCCTCCACCTCCACCTCCTCCAACACCTCCTCCTCTGCCGGCAGTGGGCAGGCTCAGGGCCAGGCGCAGGCGTTCTGTCGGGCCTGGGTGGACGGTGTGTTGGTGGCGCGGGTGGCCGGGTGCAGCTCGGAGGAGGTGTTTCGGTACTGCGGGGCGGCAGCGGGACCGCTGCAGCTGATAGTGGGCTCGTTCAAAGGGTGAGAGAGGGAGGGGGGGACGGGAGGGCGGGAGGGGCGCGGGTGGGTTTGGGGACAGTTACCGGCCATGCTAGTAGTTGCCGGGTACATGCGGGGAGAGAAAGCTTGGCTGTTTGGGCTCCTTGTATTCGCTGGAGTGTACGGCTGAGCTGCTGCTGGGAGATGAGCTGCTAGGTTGAGCTGCTAGGAGTGGAGCTGAAGGTCCAGATTACCTAATGCCGTAATCACAACGCGTCACTGCAAACACGTGTCACCTCCTTGGGTAGCCCTGCTAACTGCACCCTGCTGCTGCCGCACGCATGCAACGCTCATCCTGTCAGCTACGTGGACGGCCTGCGTGTGTACGCCTCTCCAGACGGCGACCTCGACCGCCTCTGCGGCCCACGGCCTCCTCCGCCCCCGCCTCCCCGCCCTCCTCCGCCTCCCGCGCCCGACAACCGCTTCTATACCGTCACCCCCGACCGCGGCACGCTAGCACTGCTGGACTCGGACTCCGCATGCGGCCTGACGGGTAGGGCCCTGGCGGCGGCGATACCGCTGCGGCTGTTCAGCGGCGGAGCACCCTCCGGCATCGTGCTGCTGCCCAACACCACCACCTACGCAGCCGGCCTCTCCGCCAGTCCTGATGGGGTACCTGCGAGCAACAACAGCAGCAACAGCAGCAGCAGCAGCAGCCAGGCGGGAGAGGTGGGAAACACGCAGTGGATGCAGCAGCCCGCGGGTTGCAGCCTGCGATTGGGCAGCCAGGCGGTCCGCAATGGCAGCTCGGGACTGGCTTGGGAGCTGCCGGGAAGCATCCTGGCAGCTGCGCGGGCGGCAGGGGAGTTTGCCATCGACGCCAAGATCTTTGTGGAGGCCTGGCGCACAGGGTACTCGCTCTGGAACGCGGACGTGCTGGGGATCTCGACCAACTGGGATGCCTATTTCAAGATCTCGTACGACATGTGGACCCATGCGAGGGTGCTGCTGTCCACCCCAGCTACAACCACCACAGCTGCTGCCAGCAGCAACAGCAGCACCAGCAGCATTAGCGCCCTTCAGGCTTTCGCGGGTGTGTTACTGAACACCAGCCAGCTGGAGGCTGCGCTGAGTGCGGGGTGCTGGCACCATGTGGCACTGACGGCGAACGCATCGGGTTGTGCGCTGGCGGTAGATGGTGTGGAGCTGGTGGCGGCGGCGGGCTGCAACGCCACGAGGCTGCTTCCCAAGCCGGCGGGCAGGGCGGTACTGGCGGTGGGGGGCGTGCGGGGCTGGGTGGACGAGCTAAGAGTGTCGGCGGTGTGGCGGCGAACGCAGCGGCCGGGGGTGAGTGTGGGGACATGGGGATGGGGCCGGAGGTGGTCCTGTGGGGAGGTAATTTGAAAGGAACAGCGGCGAGTATACCAGTAGGTGCCCGTAATACGGGAGGGCTCGCAATATTAGGGAGAAGGGCAAGGGGCTTGGACTATGAAAGGCATTCCGCAGCTTTACGACATACGGTAACCAAACAGAGGTGATGACTCCCTTGGCTGTCTCGTCCATGCACCGCAGGACTTCCAATGGTCGCCGCCGCCTCCACCACCCCCGCCGCCTCCACCGCTACTGCCCTCGCCGCCGTCACCTCCACGACCCCCGGCACCGCGGCCTCCCCCGCCGCCGCCTGTCCCGAAGCCTCGATCACCCTCACCGCCGCCACCCCGGCCCCCGCTGCCGCCACCGCCCCGCCCACCCCCACCTCGGCCGCCGCCACAATCCCTCTCCTCTCCGCCCCCCAAGCCTCTCCCACCTACTCCCCCACGGCCTTCAACTTCCCCCCCTCCCCCTCCGCCCCGACCACCACCTCGCCAACCACCCCAGCCCTCACCACCATCCGCCCCTCATCCACCCTCCCCCGCACCCCTGCCGCCGCCTCCCTCTCCAGCCCCCCCGCTGCCCCCACTGCCCCCCGCACTCAGCCTCCTGGACTCCACCACACTCCTGCTGCTGGGCCCTAGCGCCACTAGCTGCTCTGCTGCCAACATCACCACCAACAACAACGCCGCCGCAACGAATGCCATCGCTGCCGCCTACCTGCTAAGCAACTCCAGTTCCGCGCTGCTCGCTGAGAGGTACTCGGGCGGTATGTCAGCTGGCGTGCTGGCGCCCTCCACGGTGGGCAGCCCGGTGCTGCTGTCAGCGCTGGGAGGCGTGGGGCAGGTGGGTAGCCGGGTAGCTGGGTTCGGAGTAGGGCGGGCGAGTGGGCGCGTCCGTCGGTGTATCTCGGGCGTTCATAACGTGTCGCACGCCCTGCGTTCCTAGTTGCCCACTCCGCAAATGCTTTGTCTTCACCACCTGCGCAGCCTCCCTCCTTCGCGGGCCACTCGGGCGGCTGCGTGTTGTGGCTCAACCACAGCTCCTGCGGCTCGTGCGCCTACGTCAAGTACGAGGTCTCCACGGCAGCTATGGCGGCCGTCAAGGCAGCAGGGTGGGTGACGCCGCGGGCGGGGCGGGAGCACACAGCGAGCTGCATGCGTGTGGGATACATGCGGGCATATGGCACACCAGGCGAGCTCATGGGCGGCTCGAGCCGCTTTGCGCAGCCACCCCCTTTGCCCAACATGTCATAAACCTAGCCGCTTGCGTGATCTGGTACATGCACCGTCTGTTGGGATGTTGGGGACCACAATGCGCGGCTTCCGCCCTCCTACTAACCACTTTACCAGCCTGCCACTGCACCAAACCGACAACCCCAGCAGACGCTCTCCTTTCCCGCCCGCCCTCATCCTCCATCCAAACCCCCGCTGCCCTCCCACTCCCCCACGCCGTTGTCGCAGTGCCATGACCATTGACGCCAAGCTGTGGGTGACCAAGTGGGTCAACTACGCCATTGATAACTCCGACCCCTTGCTGGGATGGCAGCAAGCTTGGGACCGCTACTTTAAGCTCACCAGCGACAAGTGAGGGGGGTCTGCAGGGATGGTGGTGGCAACACATGTGCTGTTGTGAGCCTAGCCCAGCATTGGGTGACTTGGGCCGAGTGTGGGTGAACGGGCGGGGCTATAAGATGTACCGCGCAAACGGCCCCTTGGCTGCCCCTGCAGATACCAGATGGTTCGGGCGCTGGTCAGTGCTCCCAGCACCGTCACCACGCAGCAGGTGAGCGGAGGGTTGTAAGATTCCAGCACACATAGACCGTAGCTGAAGCTGCAATAGCTTGCGACTGGTGCTCATGTCCGCTGGGGGCGGGGAAATGCTACTGCCGGCTGTGCGGGTTTGTACACACGGTCCTGCACACGGTCCCTATTGCCGTTCACGTAAATGTCGTACAACTGCAGGGTTTGTACGGCGGAGAATTCGTCAAGTGGCCGCTGCTCAACCCCGCTCTGTCTCCCGGCGCCTGGCACCATGTGGCCCTGACCGTCAACAGCAGCGCCTGCGGGCTGTATGTGGACGGAGCGCTCATGAACGGTACCACCGTGCCCTGCAACGTCACCGCCATGGCTAACTGGGGGAGCGTGGCGACAGTAACGGTGAGTGGGTGCGCGCGGGTGTGGAAGCGAGTGGGTAGTACCCTAGTAAGGGGTTGGAGGGAGCTGCAAAGTGTGTGCATTGGGGTGTCTTAGGATTCTGTCCGTCCAGCTACTGCGCCTGGTACAGGTATCGAACGGACCTACCTTGTTACACAAACGTCCTGGGTCCGCACCTCTGCTGCTGCTGCGGTGCAGGTGGGCGGCTTCCAGGGCTATGTGGCGGACCTGCGGCTGTCCGCGGGCTGGGGAGTGACGTCACGGCCTGTACCCCTCAACTGAGTAGTAAGGAGCCCGTTGGGGCTTTGGGGTGTCTTTGCGGTATCTGTAATCAACAAGGTTCCTGTACCATACACGCTGGGCCGCTAGGTTTCAATGAACACATCGGCAGTAGTAATGCTTATGCTGTGAAGTTATGGTGTATGGTTGTCTGGGCTTCAGGTGGGGGAAATTCAAAGGAGACGGAATCCAAAGACGCTGCCGACGTACGGCAGGGGGGAGACGCATGCTACCCTGTACCATTGGAGTCGTAAGCGTGCCGTGGCTTGCAGCACTCGGTATATCGCCGGACTGCTGCTGATATGTTTCGGCGTTGTGAATGCGATGAAAGCGGTTGAACTGGGCGTTCCTATTGGTTCTCAAGCTGCTTCTGTGAATGCAGTTATCAGATTGTGCTCGCTTGGGCTCGTGAAATGCGTGCACGTGTGTGATAACAGGCGCGAACAAGGTGCCATCTGATTTAGGCAGGGAGTTTGTGTGTGCGTGCGAAAATCGTACAGACATTCATTGCTGTCGAAAGGGACTTCCCGGCCCTGCATCACTTACAAGTATACACCAAAAATGTTGCTCCAGACTGGCTTTATAGCGATGCCAGCAGCTTACGATGTAATGGTATTACGGCGGACTCGATGCAGATGGTGCCTCTATTGTGGCCCATGGGTCTTCGTTGTGTTTGTGACGTTACCGTTGCATGTCTACCGTATGGCAAGGATGACCATGTGCCTCAAGTGTCCTGTCCTCCTCGTTGCAGTCGGGGACATCACGGATGATGTACATCCGTACACCCATCACTGTCTCGAGCCCCGCGTACGACACACATCGCCGTGACCGAGGTTATGAAAGCCCAGCACCCCAGCTCGCACAGCTGATGGTGTCACACGAGGACACGGCTACCCTGCCCCTCCACTCCCTTGCTAGCGTAGTAGGCATGCGCACAAAGCGACGTAGGTGAAAGAGCAACGCGCCGAGGGCTGCGTGACGGTTCCTTGCAACAGGTGTGCATGGCTGTGTGCAATACGGCCCTCCACCCCAAGACGGTCATCTTCTGTCCTGACCCCAAATCCGTTACCTTTATTCTCGGGCCCTCGCCAGAAGGAGAAAGGGGTTCTTACATATGTGACTTGGAGGTCGCCGAACGCGTCCTGGCACACTCCTCGGCAAGCTTCCATGCTACCATGTGCACATGTAAAGCTAGAACAAAGGCCTTGAATCCAAGCACAGGTGGCAAACTATCCAGGATGTTGGGCACTAGGACTAGCCAAGCGACATCAGCGCCTGCGGTGTAGGAAACTTCTGCATAGGATGAGGTCCTTTTATCGCCGAAGCTACGCTCTTAGGCTTCTTGGCCCAGGAACCTAATAGAAGTTTGCTTATCAGACATGAAATATTACAAATAAGATGGAACCATGCTTTGAGGCAAACACGTATTGGCTTGGATTGCATGGATCCAGCTGTCGTAACTTTGCCCCGCGCACACGCGACGTAGCATAGCATGGCATTCTGTGTCTGCTAAGCTTTCTATACTAAAACAGCTGTAGAACAGGATTCCAACATCTTCGTCGCTGTCTGTAGCTATTCTTTTAGGAAAAGCAACGTCCCATAATGGCTCGGCCCAACGAAATGTTTGCGTCGGAGGTCCAAGTTATGAAAGCGTTATTCCAGGACTTTAGCAAGCGAAATGACATCGATGCAGTAGCAGCTGTAGACCAGGACGTGCAGGACATTGGCGTAACATGCTCGGCAAGGGAGGCGGATATCCGCCAAATCATCAAAGGTGCGTCACTGTCTTGCACAAGGCAGCTACTCAGGCATACCCAAGCATATTATCCGAAAGTGGGTGGTGTGCAGAGCTCTCCAAGGAGGTTCAGGAGCTGGAGGCCAAGGCTGCGTATCCGAATCGCGAGGGACAGCACCTGGACCGTGTTGTGCAACTTAAGAGGGCAATCGATATTGCGAAGGGCCTCGCCGAGGAGATGTCCTCCGAAACCAGATAAGCTGTTCCGGGACCGGGACTGGTTGGCGCCACACTATACACCGGGAGGACTGACCCCTTCGTACTATCCCTTGTCGCCCCTTTCTTAACTATACATCGACCGAGGAGAGGTACCAGCAACTGGGAAGCGAGTTAAAAGCAGCCATGGCCGCGGCAGAGACGGCAGCTGTGAACTGCGACAGCGCCATCAAGATGAACATGTACGGATAGAGGGTTACAGGGGAGGGGAACTCTCTGCCCGCCAGACGTACGCCTGGATGCAATCTGTAGCCGGATCATGCTCCTCGACACAGTGTCCATGTACCTGTTCCGTACGCATGACAGGAGCTACCTTTCATACCGTATGTGCCCTCTACATGGTTACATGCCTGCATACCGTAGTGCTAGCTCCTGCATGTTGCCAGCTTACAAGCCTCCCGCCACCGCGGTGTGCCTCCTTCTTCCTCCGCCTCCTCCTCCCTCCCCAGGCACCTCGTCAGCCTGTACGCCCACATCTCCAACATCGTCTGGCGCGAGGACCTGCCGGAGCTCGTCAAGGGCAACGTGTCGGACTGCAAGAAGGTGGACATCCGCAGCTTCGAGTTCGACCCGCGCACCACCAGCAAGTTTGACATCTGCAACGGGCTGTGGGAGCTCATGTAGTGCAGAGCAGGGGCGCGGGGTCATGGGCATGGGGAGGGGTAGATGGGAAAAAGCTCGAGAGGGAAGGAACGAATGCGTACAGCGTGAACGGAACGCGCCATGTTTAGGGGTAGTATGGCGAAGTCAGAGGGAAGGGGAACCGTGTTTGGTGTGGCATGGGTTGGGGTGAAGGATGGGGAACTGGGGATGAGAAAGAGGCCCGCAGGATGGAGGTGCATGGTGGCCCACGTGACCACAATGATGCTATTTCGCAGTACGGCTTGGATACTGGCGCGGTGCCACTCTGCTTTGCCGGTGCAAGCAGGCTTCTCTGGCTGCTGTTCGGCGCTCATCACCTTACGAGCGTTCTGCAGCTGATGGGCACTGCGTGTGTGTTCAGAAAGCGGGCAATGCCTGTGCATTAAGGAAGGGGCGCCACATGTCTGTGTGTCACTCGCGTTGTCGTGCGGCCGGTGATGGTGTTAGTCTGGTGGACTCAAGCAAGCCATGCTCAATGGCCATTACATGGAAGCAAGCTTGGCAAGGAATCACACTGTAGCAGATAATCATTCATTTAATCTGATTCGACCTGAAAACGCGTGGGTAGTCACTTTGTACCTTTGTCGGCTTTTGTCGTGTACCGTACAGCCGCACCCATGTGCTCCGGCAACCGAAAGCCGTAGGAGGCATTTAGGCATGTGAGGTCGGAATTCCCGTCATTCCATCACGTCACGGTTGTCACCCACCCTGTATGTGTTGTCCAACCCATGTTATAAGAGTGCACACCCACGAAACATGTCAACTGTTCATTGTAAGCAAGCGGCCGACGTGCCAAAAGCTACAAAAACCGCAAACCGGGCCACTACGTACATCCAAGAGCGTCCATGTCAAAAGGTAAAAGCTATACAACCCTGCTACAGGGAAAAGGTCATCCGAGAGTAAGTAACCCAACGCTCACCTCAACCTCAACCTCCAAGCCTCTCCAACTGCCCCCTTCCGACCCCCACCACCCCCTCCCTCTCCCTCTGCTGCCCCCACCCCTCTACTCCCCGCCCATATCCACCGGACCCGGCCGCGACAGCGACGCAGGGTCCACTGACAACGTCTCCATGAGCGTCTCAATCTTGGAGCCCCACGGCAGCGTGTCGCGGCTGAACGTGTCGGGCAGCTCCTCCAGGTACTTGAGCTTGCTCAGCGCGTTGCGCGCCTCCACCCGGTCGTCCAGCCAGCCCGTCAGGATGCTGCCGTCCTCCGCCGCGTGCTCCACCCAGTCCTCGTGCCCCTTGCCGGCCAGCAGCACCACGTCCTCCGGACCCGCAGTGCCGATGGCGGCGCGGATGGCGCTGTAGCGGTCCTCCATGATGTAGCTGTGGGGGGCGGGGGGGGGCAGAAATTACAAGTGAGAAGTGAAGCAACCAACCCCATGTCACGACTCATGCAGTAAGCGCATTAGGGGGCACAATTCTAGGGATGGAGCATGGAGGGGAGGGTGTTAGATGGGGAAAAAGGTAAGTTCCCTGTGCTTGATAGTCGTGTTGCGCAGCAGCATGAGACATCGTCGCCGACACACCTCCCCTTCTGCTTGTCTCTCCGCCCTCCCCATTCACGCACCGCTTGTTATCCCGCTGCGCCTTCTGCAGGTATGGCTCGAACCACAGCGGCGTGCGGCCCTGGTCCTGGAAGGGGAAGTAGGCGTAGGCGGAGTAGCGGCTGACGATGTCGTCTGGGAAGCCCGCCACGATGTCCGACACCACCTTGGCGGGGTCCTCCAGCCGCGGGTTCTCGTTGGTAATGATGACGTAGTCGGACTTGGCGTGCGCCACGGCGCCCATCTTGGGGCGGATGGAGGGGTCCTCGTTGCCGGAGCAGCCGAACACCGTGAAGATCTGGGGCGGGCGGAGGGGAGGGGGGGGAAGGTACCGATGGGTTTAGGGGAAGGAGGGTCCACACTTCAAAGCGGCCCAACTACACGGCATGCATGCATCCATGCGGCCTCCCCAGTTGGTAAACTACACACAAGCACAACTCTCCATGTCCCACCCACCCACCCGGCCCCTACCTGTCGCGCCCCTCCCAACCGCAGCGCATCCAACATGGCCCCCAGTGTGTCCGGGTCGCGAGCCGCGTCCACCACCACACTGAACTCCTGACCCTCGTCGATCACCTCCGACCTGGAAGGGGGGGGCAGGCGGGGAGGGGGAGAGAGGGAGGGAGAGGGGGATGAGAGGCGGGGCAGGGGTCAGCCTGACAACAACTTCGAGGACGGAAGCGGATGGCGGGCTGGTACGGTAGGTAAAAAGGGGGCACGTTGGGGCGGTGGGGTTGGCGGTATGTGATGTGTATGGCTCAGACAAGGCTGAAAGCGGTCATCAGGGCACTGCGTGCCTCAGCATTTGATGGTACTGTAGTTTGGTCATCACAGCCATACTTGGGACATGCACAACCCGCGTCTAATCCAGGCTAATGTGGGGCATGCAGCTCCCACCCCGGCAGAGGAGCCCCAGCTGCCGCTGCCACTGCGCACCCGCGCCATCACCCCAGCCCGCATCCCCGCTCCTGCTCTATCCCCCCCCCCTCCCTCTATCCACTGCACACTTGTTCCACTTGCCCGCATTCATGCCCTTAACATTTACCCCTCGGTAACTATACCAACTATACCGCATTCACCAAGCCACCTGCTCTTCCTCCGCCCATATATCGATCCCTCCCACCGACTTCGCAATTCCTGTCCCGCCTTGTCGTACACGTCTGCCACTCTTCATATTGCATGCTCACCCCCGCCCCCACATTCCGCGCCGTTCGGTCCGTAGTTTCCCACTTTAGGTTTAGGTCACAGGGAGTGTGGCATTGTATTCTGCACTCCGCTACCATGAACACGATAAATGCCTGGACTGCTCCTCACCCTTCCTTTCAATATGCTCGCATGTACTATCCTCCCATTCTTCGTCGCTGGTCCTCATCCAACGCGCCGGCCTTGACCTACGTATTTCGGTCGGCGGTTACTCATCTGCTTACAGGTAAGTCAGCCGGTTCTTCGTAAATCGTTGTTCTTTGTTCTTGTATGGGTTTGCATCAGTCATTGGGTTGTCGCTGTGTGAGTTGCGGGACCTACGGACCGTCGGCGCGGCGGACTCCCCTCGATGCACTATCTCCGCTACTCGGCGTCTTCCTATCGCGAATGGCCATGGCTGCAGTAAGTCTCATCGTTACGGTAAGACCATTTGTTGTTTTGGCTTGACTAATACGGGTGGGCTGGGATGGGCCAATTAGCAACCCATGGTGGAGCCTCGTCATTCAGTTTGTCAGTGTTTCTTTATTTTTACCCCCCCTATCAAACCATCGGGAGTTGATCCCATCAGGGGTGAAAACTGGCACCCCGCCGGCCCGAGCCTGATGGCTCGCGGTTGGTTGGCTGCGAGCCCGACCTCTGACCAGCAGAGGAACGACAACGACAATATGGCTGTAAAAAGGCCTGACTGGAGCCACCGCAGCCACGGAGCATACAGCGGGACCGGGTCAGCGGGATCGGGGTCGCGGGCACTGGTCAGCGGAGCTCTGTCAGCGGACTTCAGCCAGCGGGCTGCCGTCCTACGGCAAACGCCGCCACACCTGTTGGCGTTCGGCGTATTTAGGCCTCCCCTGTTTAATACATCTTAAACCTTTTTGCCATTCCGTTCGTCCATACTTCTAGGTTCACTTAACCCCCCGGTTACATAACTTGTATGCCCCATGTTCGTGGGGACTCCCTCGTTCGCATACCCACCTATCAATATAGGACCGGCCAGTTCACACTGCAGTGAACTACCCGGAAGGCACTTAGTGTTGTGGGGATCTGTTCACACAGACCGCACCCTGCCTATCCACTGCACACTTGTTCCACTTGCCCGCATTCATGCCCTTAACATTTACCCCTCGGTAACTATACCAACTATACCGCATTCACCAAGCCACCTGCTCTTCCTCCGCCCATATATCGATCCCTCCCACCGACTTCGCAATTCCTGTCCCGCCTTGTCGTACACGTCTGCCACTCTTCATATTGCATGCTCACCCCCGCCCCCACATTCCGCGCCGTTCGGTCCGTAGTTTCCCACTTTAGGTTTAGGTCACAGGGAGTGTGGCATTGTATTCTGCACTCCGCTACCATGAACACGATAAATGCCTGGACTGCTCCTCACCCTTCCTTTCAATATGCTCGCATGTACTATCCTCCCATTCTTCGTCGCTGGTCCTCATCCAACGCGCCGGCCTTGACCTACGTATTTCGGTCGGCGGTTACTCATCTGCTTACAGGTAAGTCAGCCGGTTCTTCGTAAATCGTTGTTCTTTGTTCTTGTATGGGTTTGCATCAGTCATTGGGTTGTCGCTGTGTGAGTTGCGGGACCTACGGACCGTCGGCGCGGCGGACTCCCCTCGATGCACTATCTCCGCTACTCGGCGTCTTCCTATCGCGAATGGCCATGGCTGCAGTAAGTCTCATCGTTACGGTAAGACCATTTGTTGTTTTGGCTTGACTAATACGGGTGGGCTGGGATGGGCCAATTAGCAACCCATGGTGGAGCCTCGTCATTCAGTTTGTCAGTGTTTCTTTATTTTTACCCCCTCCCACCTGCTCCCCCAAACGCCCACACAAAGCCGCTCCTTACCTCCCTGCACAGCCACCCGCTCCAGATCCCCCCCACCTCCGGACCCCTCCCGCCAAGCCCCTCTCCCTTTGCTTCCACACTCCCTCCCGCGCCCTATCCCTCCTTATCGCCCCTCCCTCCCGTACCCTCCCCCTCCCGCCCCGCCCCACGCACCTGCCGGGTATCTCCACCGCCTCAATGCCCGCCACGATGGATTCCAGCGGCGCCTTGAGCGCCACCCCGGTCGCCACCGCCGCCAGCAGGTTGCCCACGTTGTGTCGGCCCAGCAGGTTGGTGATGATCTGCAGGCGCCCGCTGGGGGTGCGGATGATCACCTGGGCGCAGGAGGGGGAGAGGGGGAGAGGTGGGGGTGTGGTGGGGGAGAGGTGGGGTTGGGGGGGGGTGGTGGGGTTGGGGGAAAAGAAGAATACGCTATCTGATGGGGGAGGTCAGGGACGGCAGGTTAAGAAACGGTACGGGAAGCAGGGCGGGGTGTGGCGGCCGGTGCAGCGCGCAGCTTGTGACTCAGCTAAAACGTGAGCACAGATGGGATGGGGAGACGTAGACCGGTACCGGTATACCTGGATACCCAAGTGTGCCAGCCAACGCCACCACCTACCCAGCCCGCCGCACCCCTCACCAGCCGGGCAGCGACACCCAGCCATCAACACGCACCGTATCACCGGTACGTCCGCCCCCTCCCCCTCCCTCTCCCCTCCTTACCTCCGTCTCCCAAATGTTGGACTTGATGCTCTCCGCCCACACCGCCGCCCCGCTGTTCGTGATGCCGTACGTCACCACCGGCACCGACCCGCCCAGCCGCGCCAGCAGCTCCTCCGCGGCCGGGTCGTCCGCATTGAGCACCAGCGCCTGGCTCTCCGGGTCCGTCAGCTTCACCTGCAGGGTGGCTGCCGCCACCTCGGCGGTGTGCGCCCAGCGATCATCGGTGGCCTCGGGGGTCTGCTGGTGGGCGGGCGGCGGGGAGAGGCCGGTCACCACCGCCACGTTGAGGTCCACGAAGTCGTAGGAGCCCAGCTGGAGGGCCTGCGGGGGGGGCGGGGGTTGAGGGGGTGAGGGGGCGGGTGAGGAAGGAGGGTAAGGAGGGAGAAACGTGAGGTGGAAGGCGGTGACTGGCGGTGGAGACGACACAGCATGAGCAATAGCAGGCACGCATGACGGCGAGCCGCACAGCGTGTGCGTCCATGCACTCATGCTTGCTTGCTTGCTTGCATGCGCTGCACGCCCCTGCACAGCCCCTGCACGGCCGCCCGGGCGCTGCTGCCCACGGCCCCTCAGCTCGCGGTCCGCTCGCCCACCTCCCCCCCCCGGGTTGTTCCCTCCCCCTCCCCCTCCCCCCCCTCACCTCCCCTCCGATCTCCATGACCGCCACCCCCGCGCCCCGGTCCACCATGGCCCCCAGCAGCTTCTGCACGTTGAGCCCCGGCATACGGTCGCCGTACAGCTGCACGTACTTGCCTGCGGGGGGGGGGGGGCGGGGGCAGGAAGGGGGTGTTGTAGGTAGGTGGGGGCAGGGGGCTGGAGGTAGGTGGGGGCAGGAGGTAGGTGGTAGGTTTTAGTGGTGGGCAGCCATGCCCTCCGTCAACTCGTCCGTCAGTCGCGCTACGCTCACCCCTACGCTCACGCACGCATACGGGGCATGCCGCCATCCGAGTCTCTCTGCAACACAGCTCCCCGCCGCCTCACCTCGCCCCTTTTCAAGCCCTCCCTCCCTGCCCCCTTCCCTTCCCTCCTCCTCCCTCTCCCCCCTCTCCTACCCGCGTACGGTATGAGCTTGAAGGGCACGGACGACTCCCGCTCCGCCGAGGGGTCCTCCTCCAGGGGCTCCCACAGCTCCCCGTCCTCATCCAACCTGGGGGGGGAAAGAGGACGGGTGGTAAGAAGGAAACCAGCCATGGTGATTAGGCAAACCCATTCGGCAGAACAGTCCACCGAAGGGACGCGAGACCAGCACAGGCCGCCGGCACACCGGCAGATGGGCGGTAGGTGGAAGCGGGCTGTGTTCAGCTGTTTGAAACAGCCCTCCGTTTGCCCCCCCGCTGCCCCCTGTCCCTCCTCCTCCCCTGCCGGCGCCCCCCCCACCCGCACCTGTCTTCTGCAATTGCGTGTTCGATGGACGACACCAGCCCCACCGTCTGCCCCAGCTCCTCCAGGATGCCCCGGATGAGCCAAGCGGTGGTGCTCTTGCCCAGATAGCCCATCACGCCGATGGTGACCAGGTTGCGGGAGGGGGCGTCTGGGGGGAGGGTGAGGGAGGGAGGGAGGAAACAGCTAACTGGCCGTGTGATAAGGGGGTCATCGTGGTTTGCAACATGTGAGCCAGCCCTACCCGCCTAGCCTGAATTAGCCAGGCGAGTATGATAGGAGGGAGGAGGAGGGTGAGGAGGAAACAGGAGGGCGGAAGGGGGGAGAGAGGAGCAGGGCGTGTGGCACCTGACAGCTGGGCACCCAGCGAGCACGGCTGGGCTCGGGATAAGCTGTGCGTGGTAGTGAGGGACGGGAAAGCGGTGCCTGCTTAAGCAGCCGAGCCGTCCAGCAGCTGCCGGGTAGCTGCACCAGCTGCGGGCGGTCGCGGTATGCCCCGGCCTCGCAACCCGCTCTCGCCTGTCCATGTGAGGGACCCCTGAGGAGTGCTGCCACAGCGTCAGAGCCCACCCGCCACACACATCGCTCATCATCATTACCCCACCCACACCCCAAGCCCCACCCTCCCACACAGCTCGTCACTTTCCTCTTTGTACCCTCCTCCCTCCCTCACCATAGAACGCAGTCGCCAGCCGCGCCCCCGCCGCCACCGCGTCCTCCACCCGCACCATCGGCACCTCCTCCGGCAGCAGCCCCAGCTCGCTGACCGGGTCCGGCACCGCGTCACCGGCCAGCCCCGGCCCCTCCTCCGGCGCCAGCGAGGGGCCCACCACCGCACTGGCGCCCTTGGACACCGCGATGCGCACCGCCTCCAGCTCCCCCTCCTCGCCCGCTAGCCAGGGGTGCAACACGAACAGGTCGCCGGGGACCACCTGGGGAGTCAAGTGGGGGAGTCAAGTGGGGGCGTCAAGTGGGGGAGTCAAGTGGGGGCGTCAAGTGGGGGAGTCAAGTGCAAAGCCCCGCATGTGTAGTTGTGTACGGTGCATTGTTGGAATTTGTAAACGTTGACGCCTGGGTACTGGGAAGATGAGAGAGGGAGGAAAGGGTTCAAATCTGAGGAATGGGCGGGGCCAGCTTTGGGTTGAGCTTCCACAACGTGGCCCCTTTCCCGGCGTCTCCCAGCTGCACATGCAGCACCGATTGAGGACCGCCTGAACACCTTCGAATTCGCGCTGCACGGGTATATGGAGAGGGCATGGAGAGGGCATGCGCAGTCCCCGACTAGCCACTGCAACCCAGGCCGCAGGAAGTGAACCGTACAACCCACCAAGTGCGGATTGCTTTGTACGCCGGAGATGATGCAGTCCGGGAAGTCTGTGGGGAAGGGGAAGGACGAGAGACGCAAGCATGGGTTAGCCATAGGCAGCGGAAGACCTTCGCTTGGGGAGCAATGCGGGCAGCAATATCGCTCCCTTCCGACAGCAAATGGAGGGTCACGGCAAGGCCTGAAAGGGTGATGGCTTTGTTTGCTTGGCCTGGCTTCCTGTAATCCCACAGACCCGTACAACCCCACAGAGCGAGACCCTCCAGTAACTCCAGCTCGCCGTGATCACGGCATACACCTCGGCCCAACTCACGAGCGGCTAGCCACAGCGCTGCATCCATGATGGCTGCTTCGCCGAACAGGTCCGCTGCCCGGAACACCCGGACAGGTGGCTCCGGGTACGAGGTTGACGGTTCCCCGACATCGTCCGCTGCCGCTCCATCCCGATCTGCGCGCCAATTGTGACAATTTTGCATTAAAATGATGAAGCTGCAACTGGCTTAGCACCATGTACCGTCGATTAACCGGCGGCGCCTGGTCGCGCAATTCGTGGGCAGGGGCTGTCGCACCTGCTTCCGCAGCCTCTTCAAGCAAGCTCTCGTCTTCTAATTGCTCATCTTCTTCAAATTCATCGTCTTCGTTTCCGTCCTCGTCATCCATACCCATAAGCTTCCTGGACATTGGGTCCAGTTGCGCCTCAAACTCTCCGTCTTCGCCTTCGTCATATTCGAATTGGTCCTCGTTAATGTACATGTCGTCGTCGGGTGCATCAGGTGCCGGTTCCTCATCTGGGGCGGGTGGCCGCCCTCGGCGACTCGCTCTGGCAACCGTAAGTTCATGGCGCAGCGGCCCATGTGACGTGACGCATGTTTGCGATACACATGTATGATGCCTAGGCTGTCTTACGACGACCGGGCATGTGGCCACAGTGCTGCAAGGGGCATGAACCTGGCGTCGTGATTGGTGGATCCGTGAATGCAATTGCTGTGAAAGCATTGTGGCTGGTTTAGATGGTGTAGAGCAGCGTGCATGTATCTGGGGGTAGGGATAGCGTCAATTTGCAGTCCGGTATCCGTACACCACCGAGTATTCAGCGTGAACAGGGTTATAGTCGAATCGTGTTGAGTAGAGTGCGATCACTGTCCTTACCCATTTTGTTGCACTTTTTGTGCTCTATAAGGCTTTGTCTTCCCTCGACACTCGAAGGTGTTCTTTCTTTATGGTTTACCTCGGCCGCTCCATAGGGCCGGAACTTTTGTTCACGCTCACGCTCATATAAATATTTATACAATCTATAAAAATGTATAGGGGCTTTATCGAGCTGCGTTCGGTAGATGGTTCACAATGAGCATACCAAGGCCAGCTTATTTTTCCATATAAGGACACACGATGGCGCCAAAGGCGGATGGCAAGGGTAGATTGGACCCTAGAGCCAGGGGACAAGTGCCCCAGGTACCCCAGGTGTCCTTCCTCGACCGCGCGTTTCCAATATGGCAGGAGCCTATAAAGGATGAGAAAGAGTCGTCAGGTCAGTCAAGTGGCCGTAGCATGGAGAACAATTAGGTGGCCGCGGGACATGCACGTCATGCATGGTCATGCCATGGCCACAGTGTCCCCGTACCAGCCCTTCTTTCGCAATAACACTCGTAGCCGGGAGGCGTGAGTTAGCGGCTACTGGAAGCAGTGCTTCGCCTGCCCAGCGTTGCATAAGTGGGGGCCTCGGTGCCAGCCCTTGGCCCCAGCACTTGACCGTCTCGTAGCACCTATGCAGTAGTTCAGTTAGGACCCCTGTATGCCACGAATGCCACCATGCTCCACACAAAGCCCCGCTACCCACTCAACGCAATCCCCCCATTCTCCCTTCCCACCAACTCGTCCCTGTTGGCGGCTTCTGATGCAAACATCAACACCGTGAAGACGGACGCGGTACGTGCTGGGGCCTCTTCAGCCCGCAGCCCCCTAGCATGCACCTGTGCGCCAACCTTCAACACACATTGCTGCAGCCCTGCTCATCCCCACTCCTCCACCCTCTCCCCCTTACCCCTCTTCCTCCTTTACTTAACCCACAGCCCCTCCAATCCCCTCAGCACCGCACTCAAATTCAACCCCCACCCACCCTCCCTCCCCTGCCCTCCTCAACCCCCCCGCCCTCCTCACCCTCCGCAGTCGCCACAGCCGAGAAGTACGAGGATGTGGCGGGGCTGGTGCTGCCGCCCGAGTCGCAGGTGTTCCTGGACACCTGGAAGCGGCCCGAGGACCTGGTCCTCAACTTTCCCGACGTGCCCATGGTGCTCACGCTGCCGTCGCCCAACGCGCCCGCGGAGCCGCTTGGCGCCAAGAGCGGCAGCGCGGCCGGCAAGGGCGCTCCTGTGGTGCTGAGCCGGGACCTGGACGGCACGCTGTTTGCGGGGCACCGCACGTTTGAGTGGCTGCAGGCGGTGTTCATCATGGTCATCTCGGCGCAGGTGGGGGGTGGAAGTGGAGTGCGGGAGGACGACGTGGGGGCGGGACGACGGAGGGGAGAGAGGACTAGGGCGCGGAAGGAGAGGTGCTGGCTTGGGTGGCGGGTCTAGCCGTCTAGCCGTGACGGGCCCCGGTAAGCTTGTAGAGTTAGACGAGCCATGGGGGTGATTTCAGCTTATGCCATGTCCCCTAACGGCGCCTCTGTGGCGGTCCCGCACAGTCGCCATGCTTACCCCGCCAACCCTTGTGTCCCGCGCTGCGGTGTGGCGCTCCCCCCTCCGCTTGCTGCCCCGCAGAAGGCCGTGAAGCCCGGGGAGTACCTGTGGGAGCTCATCTACCCCAAGGACCCCAAGGACGGCCAGACCACCAAGGCGCCCAACGGGAAGTACAAGATCAAGCTGTTCATCATGGTAGGCGGGGCAGCGGGGGTGGGGGCTCCATCCGGGTGGCGCATGCAGGCGCCTAGAGCTGATACCGATACATGGGTGGCTTCGTTGCATCGTCCGCCGTTGCGCCCTTCTTAGACCCTTTATTATCCCTACCTTCCCGCTCTCCCCTCCTCCCACCTGCCCTGCCAGGACGCCTGGCGCACCGTGGTGGTGGACGACCGCATCCCCGTCGACCTCTTCGGCCGCCCGCTGCTGGTCAACGCGCGCCCCATCCAGCTCTGGCCGCTGCTGCTGGCCAAGGCGGTGCTCAAGGTGCTGGCGGCGCAGCGCATCCTGCACTGCGGCCTGCCGCACCAGGCAGCCGCCTTCCAGCTGCTCACCGGCTGGCCGCAGGAGGACCTGCTGGACCCGCTGTCAGGCACTCGGCTGTCAGGCGGCCGCGCCTTCGACCGGCTAGAGGAGTCGGTGCGCGGCAACGATGAGCGCACGGAGCGGCATGCAGTGGCGGCGGTCACGCTGGTGCGCCGGGCGTTGCCGGAGCGCCCGCCGCCGCGGCTGATCGTGTTGGTGGGGCCGTCGGGCGTGGGGCGGGGGGCGCTGCTGCGGCGGCTGGTGGCCGAGCTGCCGGACAAGTTCGGCATGACGGTGTCGCACACTACCCGGCCGCCCAGGGAGCACGAGGTGGCGGGGCAGGACTATTTCTTCGCGGAGCTGTCCTCGTTCCGAGAGGAGGCGCTGGCGGGGAAGCTGCTGGAGCATGCGCCGGTGGCGTCCACGCGGGGGGTGCACCTGTACGGCACGAGCTTTGCGACGGTACGGGAGGTGGCGGCGACGGGGAAGCTGTGTCTGATGGGGCTGGACGTGCAGGGGGTGCGCAGCCTGCGGTCTAACAAGCGGATTGACGGGCTGTACGTCTTTGTGGCGCCGCCGTCGCTGGAGGAGCTGGAGCGGCGGCAGCGGGGGCGGCTGAAGGAGGCGGAGACCACCATCTCCAAACGCCTGGCGTGGGCGGCGAACGAGGTGGAGCGGGTGCGCGCGGCCGCCGGGGTAATCGACTGTGTGGTGGATAACGTGGATGATGGCGAGGCGGTGTACGTGGACGTGAAGGAGGCGATCTCCACGCTGTCGCCCATCATCCGCAACCGGCTGCATGGGCTGCCGGCGTACGTGCTGGACTACGCGGACCTGATTGCGCCCAACCTGGTAGAGAAGCCCTTCCTCAAGCCCGTCATCATTACTGGACCTAACACGGGTGAGGGGGGGGTCGAAGACCATACCATACCATAGGAAGCCACAGGTTAGGGCAAAGCAATGGGGGGAAGGGAGGGCGGGGAGCCTCTGGCTGCAAGAGGTGTGCTGCAGTTCTCTGAGCCACAGCATGCATTGCACGGGACTTTTTCCTCGCCTCCCCGCTCCCCCGCACGATGACAACTCCCCCCCTCCTCTCCTCTCCCCTCCTCTCCCCTCCCTCCCCTGCTTCAGGCGAGCGGCGCGCCCTCATGGAGCAGCTGGTGCACGAGTTCCCCGACGTGTTCGCCTACCCGCGCTACACCACCACCAAGCCCTACCACGAGGACGCGCTGTACCGGGTGGATGCGGCGGAGCGGCCGCCGGAGCAGCCGGCCTGGGAGGTGATCAAGAGCAAGGACGGGGAGGACGTGCACGTGTCGCGACCCACGTTCACCTCCGTGTCGGCGGCAGGTGCGGAGGCAGGGTCTGGCAGGGGGTTCAGTGGCCATACCAGACCACAGGAGACCACCGGGGCGGGATATCAAGGGGGAGGGGTGGCTGGTGGGGTGAGCTGCGTGGAAGAAGGCGCACCTGGTCGTAGCTACCGGTACATGTTACTGTCTACACATCCAACGGTGTAGGGTGTCATGCCAAACGCGCACAGTGCTGTAACTAAGTGGCTGATCGATAACGCGATAAGAACCAGCATTGCGGCACCCTCCTCGAACACTGCCTTCCCCCCCCCGCCCGCCCGCAGAGTTCGCTGCCTCTGCCCAGTCGGGCTCCTTCCTGGAGTGGCACACGGAGCTATTCAAGCACTCGCTGGTGGCGCGCAACTGGGGCGTGACGGCGGAGGCGATCAAGGAGGTGATCCGCGAGGGGCGGCTGCCGCTGCTGGAGTGCGAGACGGAGGGCGCGGAGATGCTGAAGAAGCGCGGCATCGACTGCCTCACCATCTTCCTCAAGCCGCCCAGCATCGGGGTGTTTGAGGTGGGAGGAGGGGAGGGTGCTGCACCTTGTGTGGGAGGAGGGACTTCGCCGTATCACATAAAGAGGACAAGGGATCCTGGTTTGCACTGAGCTGGCGTGTTCACCGCAAGCTGACACGATTGCTACCGTTTCCCAACACCATAGCGGCTTACTTCCATCCCCACGCATCCGAACCCTCCACTGCATGCATACCCACCACCCATGCACCCAACCCCTACCTGCGCCCTCAAGCCAACCCCGCACAACCCCTACACCCCGCAACCCCAGGCCCGCCTCCGCCAGCACCTCACCGAGACCGACCAGGAAATCGCCGCCCGCATCGACATGGCCCGCCGCGAGGTGGAGGCCGCCGCCGCACCCGGCGCGCCCTTCGACGCCACCATCGTCATCGACGACCCGGAAGCCGCCTACCAGCAGCTCACCCGCCTCATCAGCCGCTGCCGCCCCGACATCATCGTGCCCGAGGAGGAGCGCCAGGCCGACCCGCCGCCGCCGCCCAAGCAGCCCGTGCTGGTGCTCTGCGGCCCCGCTGCCGGCGGCCGCTCCGCGCTCGCGCGACAGCTCATCAGCACCTTCCCAGACAAGTTCACCGCGCCGGGCTTTGTCACGGACCGCAAGCCGGGTAAGGGCGAGGTGTCTACCCCGGCACTGACGTTCATGGCGAGTAAGGACTTGATGAAGCTGGTGGCGGAGGGGCAGGTGGCGTACCAGCGGCAGGGGGAGGACAAGGCGTCCGGCACCACCGCGGTGACAAACAACGCGCTGCTGCGGGTGGGCGGGGAGAACAAGGTGGCGGTGCTGGAGCTGCCGGACTACGTGACGGCACTGCCGGGGCTGCGGAATGGCCCCGTGCTGAAAGACGCGCTGTACGTGTTCGTTGCCAGCGCGGGGCAGATGCGGGAGGCGCTGGGGGCGCAGCAGCAGCAGGCGGCGCAGGCGCAGCAGACGCTGGTGCGCAGCAAGAGCGCCAAGGGCACTGGCGGCGGAGGTGTGGGCACACCCAAGGCGGCCACTCCGCTGGATGTGGAGGGAGCGCTGGCGGACCTGGAGCAGCAGGCGCAGGTGCGGGGGGCTGGGGGGGTGGGGGGGTCAAAGACCATACCAAACCATAGGAAACCACAGGTTAGGGCAAAACAATGGGGGTAGGAGGCGGCAGGGTGCCACAATGCAGGGGGGAAGGGGCGAAGGGTGTTGCTGCCGGGAGCAGGGGGCACTAGTGGGGCACGTTTCATCGACATGTCAATATCTTGCATCCCCCTTGCCGTTTGGAAGTACGCCTTGTGACCATGCGCCATGTCTTCTCGCGCCTCACAATCCCCCACGCCACCCCCTCCTCCAGATCGCCTCCTCCTCCTCCGAACTGTACGACGCTGTCGTACGCGCCGACGACATGATGGACCTCATCAGTGTCGTACGCACCTCCCTGGCCGCCCACGTGCCCCACGTGGTGCCGCCGCCCTACCGCCCCCTCGTGGTGGCGGGCGCCTTCGGCACCGGCAAGCGCAAGTTGCTTGCTCGTCTCTTCGACGCCCTGCCAGGCCGCTTCGCCGTGCCGCTCATCACCACCACCCGCCGCGCCGGCCCCAACGACCCCGACCAGCAGCGCGAGGGCATGCTGGTGGTCAGCCGGGAGGAGGCTGCCGCCATTTCCGCCGCGGAGGGCTTCATGACGTACCGAGAGGTGCTTGGGGAGGTGTACGGCATCACGGTGGCGGCGGTCAAGAAGGTCGCCGCCAGCGGCCGGGTGCCGATTGTGGAGGTGGATCACGTGGAGGATGCGGCGGCGCTGCGGCGGCGGGGCTTCGAGGCGACCTACCTCTTCATCGGCATGGAGGACATGGGCAAGCTGCTGGGCGTGATCCACGAGGAGCTCTCCTCCAACCCGCCGCTGGGCTACGAGCTGCAGGACGCCGTGAATCAGTTCTTCGCGGCTGCCAAGACGGAGATGCTGGCCTCGCATGAGGCGGGGCTGTTTGATGAGTGGGTGCACCACGTCCCCGACGCGCCCGATCCATCCTTCATCCGCCTGGCGGAGGCCGTGCATCGGCACTACCCGGACGTGGTGACGCGGCACTTTGTGTGGGGCTACGGGCGGCAGCTGTGGGACCCCTCCGTGCGGGCGCATGGGCTGCGGCCGCTGCGTGTGATGGTGCTGGGGCCCGCTGGGTCGGGCAAGAGCACGCAGTGCGACATGCTGGCTGCGCACTTTGGCATGCCGCACATCAACGTGGGTGAGCTGATGTATGAGGAGGTACGGAAGCGCACGCCGCTGGGGCTGGAGGCCAAGCAGTTCATGGATGCCAGCAAGACAGTGCCGGACAGGTGGGGTGGGGGTGTGGGTGTGGGGGCGGAGGGGGGTCAAAATAGACCAGACCAAACCATAGGTAACCACAAATGGCTACGGAGTGGGGTGGGATAAAGAGGAAACACGAACTATGTGAATAGGCTTCACCATGGGTAGGAGCGGGAGGGGGGGTGGCGCTGCGCACTGTTGAGGGAGGAGTAGGGAGGTTTGCGGAAACGTGGACTACGAAGGCTGTCCGTTGCTGACACATGCCCTTCTCACCCGCCACCCCCCGCTCCCTCCCTTCCCCCTCCCCACCCCGCAGGTTCTTCTTCGAGCTGCTGAGTCGGCGCCTGTCTGAGCCCGACTGCGTGGCCCGCGGCTGGCTGCTGGACGGCTTCCCGCACACGGCAGAGCAGTGCGCGGAGCTGGAGGCGAGGGGGATCGTGCCTGACAAGGTAGGTGGGGGAGGGGGAGGGGGGTTGGCCCTACGATGGGGTCAGGTCAGGAGGCCCGCTGGGCCTGGACTGGTTGCCTAGAGCGGTTAGGAAGCACACTACGCCGACTGAGCCTCATTCACACCTAGTGGTAAGCCTCATCCTTCTTGCCTTCCTCTTTCCAAACCGCTACCGCTGTGTTAAACAACACACCCTCCCCCCATCCTCCTTTCCTCTCCCAGGTGTTGTTCCTGGAGGGCGAGCACGCCACGCTGCTGGACCGCACGCGCCACCGGCGGCTGGACCCCGCCACCGGCAAGGTCTACCACATGCCCGACGACAACTCCGACGCGCTCAGCCCGCCCATCCGCCCGGAGAGACCCGACGGCAGCCTGGATGCAGAGGTGGCGGCCAGGTGGGGGGGCGGGGCGGGGCGGTGGTGGTGATAGCGGTACCAACAGCAGGGAGGCGCATGCGACGCAATGGACTCCCCCGCACTACATCTCCTCCCAGCCCCTGTGCCTTAACCCACCTTCCCACCTCACCTCTCGCTCCCCATTCCTCCCCCCCCCCCGCAGGCTGGTTCCCCGCCACGACGACAGCGAGGAGAACGTGTGCGCCCGCCTGGCGCTGGCTGACACGCACCACACGGCGCTGCGGGACGCGTACGAGGACGTGTCGCTGCGCATCGGCTGCACCGCCGACCCGCGTCAGATCTTCCAGCAGGCGCTGGAGTACCTCACGCTGGAGGCCAGGGTGCCGGAGCTGCAGGTGGGAGGGGGGGAGATAAGTGAAAAGTGAAGGTGGGAGGGGGGGAAGGGGGGGTGCTGGGGAGAAAATGAGGAAACTGACGAGGAAACTGGAGTGGTGGGGTGGGGGGTGGGGTACCGTACTTTAAGGGGCATGGGTTGGTATGGACAGGAAGGCGGGGCAGGGGTAAGTTGCTAGGGTGGTGATGCTGTGCTGTAACACGACCCGCGTCGGGATATAGGTATGGAGCAAAGCGGGCGTAGGCCTTGGAAACACAGCTCGCCCTGGCCTAGGCAGTGTACAGCCTCCCTCATGAACCTTATCTCACCACGCCCCCCCCCGGTGTCCTCCCTCGCACCCCCACTCCCCTCCCGCCCCCCCCCAGGTCGTTCCCTCCACCTCGCTCAAGGAGCTGCAGTACCTGGTGACCACCACGCTGCGCTACCGCCGCCGCCAGCTGCTGCTGCTGCAGCAGGACGACGGGCGCACCTACTGGGTGGACGCCAAGGAGGTGCTGGGCGCCAATGCGCACTGCGCGCTGCTGTGCCAGGTGGGTGTGGGCGGAACGCTGGGGAACACAGCCATAGGGAGTTAGGGACAGTTAACACGGTCGCCGCTATGTGGGCTTGCTAGACCCTGTGTAACACCCTGTGTTAACAGAGTCGTTTAGCCACTTGTCACCAAGGTGCTCCTAACCGAACCCCCCGCCCTACCCATGCCCCTCCCCTTCCCCCTCCCCTCCGCACAGGACCCCTCCCTCTACTCCACCTCCCACCAGCTGCGCCGGGTGGACACCGGCAAGCTCTCCCGCGTGGCGCTCCTCTACGTCGACTCGCCCGAGCCGGTGCGCCTGCTGGCCTCGCTCTTCACCGGCCCGCAGTACGGGCTGCTGGAGGACCCGCCCACGCCGCGCAACGTGCTGGTGCTGGCAGGCCCCGCGGCCGTGGGCAAGACCACGGTGCTGCGCATGCTGCTGAGCGCGCTGGGGGGGCAGCTGGAGCTGGTGCCGGTGCTCACCACGCGGCCGCCGCTGCGGCGTGAGCCCGCGGCGCAGGTGATGCTGCAGCCCGCGCTGCCGGACGGGACGAGCAGCGAGATGGCGCAGGGGCTGAGTGGACTGGGGCCGTGCGGGCGGGAGGCGATCGCGACGGCGTGCTGTGTGCCGGAGGAGGTCATGGCAGCCGCGGCGGCGGCGGAGCAGCTGATGGTGTCGTGTGTGGGTTGGGATGGGCACCGCTATGCGGTGTCTCGTGCGGCGCTGCAGGAGGTGTGGGCGGCGGGGAAGCTGCCGGTGCTGGAGGGCCCTCTGGAGCTGGCGCTGGCGCTCAAGGAGCTGAGTCCGCAGCGGATGACGTCACCGCCGCCGTCGCAGCCCGCGCTGCCGATGTTGTCGTTGAGTGGCGGCGAGGCGGGCTTTGGTGGTGTGGATGCGTCGGGGAGCGGCGGCGCGGTGCTGAGTGCGCGTGTGGTGTACCTGTCCGTGGACATAGCGGAGCTGGACGTGCGGTTGCGGCTGCAGGACCAGCGAGAGGAGGCAGCCATCGGGGTGTGCTTGCAAGCCGCGCAACGCGAGGCCGAGACGCTGCAACGCCTGACCAAGGAAGCCGAGGCGCCGCCCAAGCCCACGTCGCGGCTTTCCACACCGCAGATGCAGCGCTCTGCGCCCACGCCGCCGCCGCCTCCACCGCTCGTCCTGGACCTCATCCTCATCGCCACGGACGCCGTGTTCACCTTCCACGCCGCCAAACAACTCGCAGCGGACAGCTGGCGGCGGCCGCGCGCGCAGGTGGCGGGGCAGCTCCTGCTGGAGTCCTTCGACTGGCGCGCGCCGGGCGGCCGGCCGGGCCGCACCGTGCAGCGGCTGCGCACCCTCATGGCCAACGCGGCGCTGCTGGAGCTGCCCCGCGGGCGGCACCTGCTGCGCATCAACTCCGACTCGCTGTTCCTGCACGCCGTTACCTTCATGTCCGCCAGCCCCTGCACCGTGGGCGAGTACAGCCAGGTGATGCCGCTGTGCGAGCCGGGGGTGCATGTGGCGGCGCTGGAGGGGCGCTACCCCGACGTGCCGCCCGACTGCGTGGGCCTGATGTTCCGCTACAACCTGGCGCTGCCGGAGCCGGCGACCGTGTCGGCGCACCTGGCGGTCAATGGCGAGGACATGCGGTCCGTGTCGCGGCTGCTGCTGGTCAACCGCAGCACCGGGGAGACCAAGCTGCTGCCCAGCAACCGCCTGCATGCAACCGAGCTGAGTCCCGCCGGCGCCAGCAGCGGCGTCGGCGTGGGTGGCAGCAGCGGGGGTGCGCTTAGCAGCGGCGGTGCCGGTGCCGGTGGCGGCGGTAGCGGTTACTGCCTGTTGGCGCTGTACGACACGGCTGCACGGCCGGTGCTGGAGGAGGGCAGCTTCTGTCTGACGGTGACGTCCACCGCGCCGCTGTCGGGGCCGCTGGTGGAGGTCCCCGCGCAGCGCTGCGAGGAGTTCGTGGAGGGCTACCGGCCCAACGCGCGGCACGTGCTGGGGCGCCACATCATCACCACCACCAACTCCTGCCAGGTGACCATCCTGGCTGCCACGGAGCCCCGCCTGCCCTTCCGCATCACCCTGCAGGAGGCGGCGCCGGGGCGGGAGGTCACCTGGCACTCCAGCGCGGACTACCCCGTGCATGTGACGGCGCGGAGTAATGACGGCGGGCCGCCGGATCCCACCACGGGGCCCGCCGTGGCGCCGGAGGGCTACGCGCTCATCGCCGACACCACCATCCGACCCGGAAAAGTCCTCATCACGTGCACGCTGGATGCGGGTGCGTGTCCGGAGGGCATGCAGCCCGACCCGCAGACGGGCGCCATGCCGGGCAATACCCCCGTGCAGCTCAAGCTGTGGGTGCACCCCTCGGCGGATGAGAAGACCTGCACGGTGCTGCCGGACAACAGCCTGACCAAGTACGTGCAGGGCGTGTACGAGAAGTGGAACACGGTCCCCATCCAGCTCATTGCGCAGCCGGCGCCGGGCACGGCGGCGGGCTCCAAGGGCGCCAAGGCCGCCGCCGCCGCAGCGGCGGCGACTGCCTCCGCGGCCATGGTGGCGGCGAGCGCCAGCGCCAAGAACTTCATCGGCAGCCGCTCCTCCGTGGCCGCCAACATGCTGGAGCGCTACCGCGCCGACCAGCAAGACGGCCTGCAGCGGGGCTCCGCGGGGGGTACGGCGGGGACGGGCGACGGCGCCGTCACGTCGGCTTCACCGGTACCCGGTCCCACGGATGCGGTGACACGGGTGCTCAAGGACGGAAGCGTGCTAACAATGGACCCGGGGCCGCAGGTGCGGGTGCTGCACACGCAGCCTGAGGCGATGTTGACGGCGGCGCAGCTGGCGGAGCGGCAAGCTAGCGCGACGGAGGCTGCAGCGGCGGAGGGTGCGGCGCGGCTGGCGAGTGTGGGCAAGGCGTTGGAGGCGAGCAAGGGCGAGAGGGCGAGCTTCCGTTCGAGGCAGGCGAGTAGCTTTGCGGAGTGGCGTGCGTCGTTGATGCGGGCGCAGCGGGAGGCGGCGTCTAAACGGGCGGAGGCGGCGCATGTTGCGAAGATAGCTGCGGGGGTGGTGCCGGCGCCGCCTGAGCCACTGCCGACGAAACGCTCGGTTACTTCTGGGTCTATGGCGTAGGTCTGAGTTGGATAGTAGGATTGCATGAGGGTCACAAAGATGATGGAGGAGGTGCAGCTGTTCAGCGAGCGTTCATTCGGCCTTGTGGTACAGGGGCAGCAGAAGCTGGATGAGCTCTGCGTTGGTTGGTTGCTTTGGCAAGCGCTGCCTAAGCTGACAGGTGCTGTGGAACTTCCAATTGTACATACGACTGGACATGCTGACGTAAGGGTACGACACGCATCCTAGTTCGTTACTCGCCCGATTGGTACCTAGCCCCGTTTGTGCCGTAAAGACATGGCGTATTCGTGCTTCAACGCGAGCAATGGTAAGAGACGTGGCGCTACCGCTAGGTTGGCTGCCATATTAATTGGAGGCTTGCAACCGCCGCCAGAAACCTCTCTGCTGGCAATTCAATCGACGCTATACATATGCAAGGCTTCCACCACAGCTTTCCGTTTGCTGAGGTCTGTATCATGAGGCAAATGTGTATCTGTGTTCCAAACACCCTACGGATGGCAACAGTCCACTGAGCAACGTCGTACGTTTGTCGAGGCTAATATGCACCGGTTCTGCAGGCTATGTTGCGGTCCTGTCCAGCAATTGGTTCTTAACTCGCTGCACGCCACACTGCAGACCCTTGCACCCTTGCACACGAAACGGTTGGCAGGAGCTAGTAGAAAAATTGGTCCTTTACAACAGATAGCGTGTTCCAGATATGCCAAATAGTCAACCACGCCATACAGGCGACCGTAAACGGTAAAGTCCTTGCGGCTGTTGCAGGTTACAAACGGGTCGTATCAGTACGACTTAACTGGAATGCGATGGCTGGCACTTGATTGTGCTACTACAGGAACATGTATTATTCTTACTATGGTTAGGTAAAATGGCAGCTTTGGCGCAATTGCACCTCTGGGGCGCCACCTTGTTGCTATGTCAGTTTCTACTTATTGCCGGGGAGCAGCTGCATTTGTCTCGCTTACCTTTCTGCGAGGAGCACCTACGTAACCTACCAGCCCACACACCCGAGCTTCGTGAACTTAGGGACCTGTTCCAGACATGGACGATGCACAAAAGAATAGAGCTGGACATGATCAACTTGCTCGGTAGATTGCGAGAGCCACCTACAAAGATAGAGGAGATTTACGCATGGAAGACGACGTGGAATGAAAGCTACGTCTCCAGCAGGCGCCGAGCGTCGGCTGACGCCCTCGATCAAATAGAGCGAAACATAACAAGCCTTGTGAAATCATTGCGGTCAAAGGGGCACATTCCACCATCTACTACTGTTCAAGACCTGGTGAGGAAGACCCATGGGCGACTGCGGCATGTAGATTTGTAATGCGTGGCGTTCGAACCTGGCCGGTCGAGGCTTGGGATTCCCGTCCACAAGAGGTCAAGGAACCCTTACAAAGCTATATCACCTGCCTCGCCTGCCGAGGGCGGCACCAGTGAGTTCGTGGGCTGCTCCGTCCATATGCCTCCCCCCTACATCCCTCCCATGCACAGGTGCAATGTACCAGCGGCCATTTGCAGCCCCGGCTCTTCCCGGACCAGCCGGTGGTGTCCTTCATGTTGCAGTACTTCAAGCGACCCAAAGTAGTGGATGCATTCGTTAGCATGCTTCAGGTAACGCGAGGCCGGGACGTCACTCCCATCCCAAGCGCACAATTTGTGGCAGCATGCCAGACCCGCTCGGACCCGCTCGGGTGCTACCAAACCGTTGCCTGGGTGCCCTCTGGGTACATCCCGCTGGGAGCGCCAGGGCGCCCCCATGCTCCCATGCTGCTACTCATGCAGTAGTACTGTACCGCATGCCCTCCTGTGTGTGCCCTCCTGCGTGCCCTCCTGCGTGTGTCCCGCAGGTGTGCAACCAGCTGATCCCCTCCGAGTTCTTGGTTAACGTGGACAGCCCGCAGGTGGGGCGGGGGTGGGACGGACCGGGGCGGGGCGGGGGTGGGGCGGGGCGGGGGCCGTATAGCTCGTGGAGGCTGCAGCAGCTGGAAGGGAGTTGTTGGACTGAGCGGCGAGGGAACAACAGCTGGAAGATCGGATTGTGGGAAGCTAACCGACCGTAATGAAATGCAATTGCTTGCTTGTACACGCGGTGCCTTGCATCAGGTTGGGAAGCGTGGCCACTTCAATTCCTTTCCACGAGTGTCTTTGCTCCATAGTAGGTGCCCTACGGTTACTGAAACGCCTGTTGGTGGGGCCGTGTTGCTGCCTTCTGTGTCGCCTTCCCCGAGCGCAGGAGGGGCAGCGGTGGGCTGACCTCAGCTGGAGCACCAGCGGCTTCGTGGTGCCCGTCATGTCGTTCAACCTGCACGAGCTGCGCGGCTACAACAGGCTGGCGGGCATGGCGCGGGGCAAGTACATGGTGCTGCTGCAGGTGGGAGGCGGGTGTGTGTGGGGGGGTGGTGGGATGGTGGGGGCTGGCAAGCCGAGTCCCCACCCGCCGCCGAATGCGCTCATTGCATGAGTCGGGATATGGGATTGGGACTCGTTCTTTCAATTAGATAATTTTCCCCCCGGCCCACCGCCCGGTTCAGACCGCCTTGCTGCACCCTCATCCTCCTCTGCTCTCCCCTGCTTTTCTCCCACGCTCTCTTACGCACTCCTATGCTGCCGCGCTGCTCTGCTGCTGCTGCTCCCACGCTTTCGTACGCTCTCCTCCTCTGCCCCCCCTCCGCTGCAGGACGACGACCTGATTGAGCCCGCCGACTGCTCCTGGCTGCCCCCGCTGGTGGCCCAGTTCGAGGCCATGCCCGAGCTGGCCATGGTGGGCTTCAACAAGCTGCAGCTGTCGCACGGGCCGGGCAACGACCTGAACGCCAACAACTTCTACGACCCCGCAACAAACAACGACATGATCTTCGCATTCCAGGTGGGCCGCCGGGCAGGGGGCGCTGGTCGCATGTGTACACGGGTCAGGGGAAAGAGTACCCGTAACACATGGAGGTTGATGTCGAATCTCATTCGTTGCTTTGCAACAATTGCAAGGGTACCCTGATCTTTGTGATCGCGTGGGCCCGCATCACCACATGCCACAACCGCATGTGCCCGCCCCTGACTCCCCTGAACCCTCCGACCCATGGGTCGCAGGTGGACCTCGCGCCCATAGCCATCCGCCGCTCGGCCTTCCGTCTGGTGGGCGGTCTGGACGAGGGGATGTCCGACCGAGGTGAGGGCGGCACAGCCCCCGCCTGCGTCGCTACCGGAGCAGCCGCATGCCAGCTTGCTTGCTCCCTTGCCATGTCAGCCTGAAGCGATTGGCACTCCTGCGTTGGGCCAGTTCGGCGGCGCATCAAGAAGTACCCTGTGCCCTCCTGTGCCCATGGATAGTTACTCGCATTTGGAGTGTTTCGTATCGCAGTCGTCACGCAGAGTGTGTTCTTCCTGCACTGCATTTGGACGCGGGCACATGCCGCCTGGCAGCATCCTCTCTTCCTTACCTCCCGAACCTACCCACCACCACCTGCTACCTCTACGCCCCCACCCCCTCCCCCGGCCAGGCGAGTGCGGCATCTGGTCCGACTGGGAGCTCTCCATCCGCCTCTGGGTGGCAGGTGAGGGGCCGGGGCGCAGCCACACCAGCAGCGGGGGACCGGCCCCCCCCCCTCGCAATCCTTCTTTCTTCCCACTCGCACTTCCCGTCACAGCTTTCCCACCTGCATGCACTCCGTCTACGGCCTGCTGTGGCACACAGGCGTCGCGCAATGGTAGTAAACACGCCGCAACTGTGCCGCCCTTCACCTCTCCTCCTCTCTCTCTCACTCTCTCTCTCTCCACCCGCCCACCAAACAACCCACACCTGCTCCCCGCCCCCACCCGCCCCCCCCCCAGGCTGGCGAGTGGCCTTCATGCCCCTCATGCGCAAGACGGAGGGCGACCCGGGGCAGCCGGGCGGCACACACAAGCCCGAGACGGGGGTGCGCTGCTGGGGGCGGCAGCAGGGGCTGGGCTCCTCGTTCTACATGGCCCGCTGGGGGTCGGGCTGGGGCGGCGCGCCGGGCAAGTTCCTGGAGAAGCTTGAGAACCATGTGCGTCTCGCGAACCTGAAGCTGCTGAAGGGCAAGTACACGAGGTGCCCGTTCAGGAAGGGCTGTGTGCCGGAGGGGGATCCACCCCTACCGGCGGAGTATGGGGATTACAAGCATGAGGCGAAGGGAATGGTGGATGCGTAGGGTGGTGAGGGGGGAAAGTTACATAAGAAATGCAAACAACTAGGGTGGAGAGCGAAGAGGGGGAAAGAACGGGTTGTGTTGCAGGCTTGCAGCCGGCGGGTGTGGTGGGTGTTTGGTTGGGTGGGCGCCGTTAGTGCCACCCCAGTAACCCAAGAGCGGCTGGAGACAGGACGGGGACGTATTGCATGGTACCGCAGGGTGTGTGGTAAGGGGTGCAGGTGCGGTTACTTTGGCTGCTTATGTGATCTAATGGGTGGGGATGTTGTGCGGTGGGGATTACTCGGTGTCGTCAGTGATATCGGGCTTTTTGCGTCTTACGAGTTTTGGCATACCGGTATTCCTCTTCACAATTTATTAGGATGGGCTGCCTGTGATGTAGGTTGCTTGCAGGCACAGGTCAGTTGACCGGTTTCCCGCTTTACCGAAAGGGTAGTAACTAGTCGGCGCTGTTGCTAGCTGGAGCGGCTGGGACGCTGGGGGGATGCCTGGTGTGTCTCCATGACCTGCGTGGGCTCCTTGTGCGGGTGTGGCTTTTTGAATTGTTCAGCGTTTAGAGCAGAGCGGCACTGCGATTCATATAAGTTCTTATAAGTTCTATACTGGAAACTTTAGGATACGATAGGAGGGATATGAAGCGAACCGTGGGGCGCTGGTGGTTGAGGGTCCGTATGGAAGGTTTGGTTGTACAGCAGGGTACGACCCCTCCTGGCACGCTGGCTTGATGTACGGCAACACCCTGGCTTGCTATACTGGCGTCTGACTTTGCGATACTTTAAACCATTCTCGAGTCCATGCTGCCACCAACGCAAAAGCTTAGTTGTCATGTCGCTTCGACCGCTTACCCCTCAGGCCCTAGGTCTTTCCTGCAGCAGGGTACCGTCGGCGCGGCGCCTGCGAACGGCCATACGCGTCGCGGCTAGCTCGCCCGACGGCTTCCAATACATGCAGCTTGACCTTCCACCTCCGATTAACAGTAACATTCGCAAGGCAGCGTTCCTGAAAAGCAGCAATCGCGTCGCGGACTGTCCGCCCGATAAGCTACCTGAATTCGCGCTTATTGGCCGTTCGAATGTTGGCAAGTCTTCTCTAATTAATTCGCTGACAAACAACGACAAACTTGCGAAGGTTTCTAAGGACCCGGGTGCGTGGAAACTGCGTCGCCAATTCGACGTGCAATTTAGCCCGGTGACACCTTCGGCTGTTGATACCGCAGGCATGACCAAGTTAATCAACCACTACTTAATTAATGACTCCTGGCATCTTGTGGATTTACCCGGATATGGGTAGGTGGTCTATGTACTTTCGTGCCCATCCATGCTGCTCATGACCATGCTGCCACCATCACCAGCAACATCACCGCCACCACCTGCCCGCTGCAGGTTCGCCAAGGCGGGCAAGGCCAACCGCGAGGAGTGGCTGAACTTCACGAAGGATTATTTCATAAGTCGCGACAACCTGGTCAGCGTGCTGCTGCTTGTGGACTCGAGTGTGCCGCCACAGACCGTTGACAAGGACTGCGCCAACTGGCTCGCCGAGTGTGAGGTGCCCTTCTGCCTGGTCTTCACCAAGACCGACAACCGCAAGCGCGACATGCCGCCAAACGCGCAGAACATCCGGGCTTTCAAGCAGCTGGTGAGGGGGTCACACGCACGGGCTAGGGCAGAAGGGCATGGAGGAAGCAGCCTAGGAAGGTCGAAGCAGCAACACGGGGGACGATAAAATGCGCTATTCCGTCCCGCTTGGTGCGACCCTGTTGAGCTCCCTTGGTTAGCCATTCCCACGGAAGCAAGTCCTGAACCTGCTTCCGTGGTTGCACGCGCTTCCTGATGCGCCCCCTGGCGTGTGTCCCTCTGTGCATGTGTTGCGACTCCCACCCGTTCACCGCACGCACCGCATCCACCGCACGCAGATGTGTGAGGACTGGGAGGCGCTGCCGCGCTGCTTCGAGACCAGCTCCCGCACCGGCGCGGGTCGCTCCGAGCTGCTGGGCTACCTGGCCTCCCTGCGCCAGCTGCACACACGCAACACCTAGAGCCGGGGCAGCAGCGGCAGCGGCGGAATCTAGCAGCAGGGGCAACACTTATCGGTAGTAGCAGCGGCGGCGGCGGTTACTAGTCGGCAGGTGGTGGAGCGGCAGCGCCGGAATGGCCGCTCGCTGGCAGCAGCGTGCCTGTTTTCCCCACCGGCTGCTACCGGTAGCTTGCAGGGAGGCAGCACGTGTGTTAAGGAGCCTGGCCGCGAGTCGGAACGTGCTGCGATGGCCGGATGCATGTGTGTGGTGAGAAAACTGGCCGCGAGTGTTAAGAAAACTGGCCGCGAGTGTATGCATGTGCATGTGTGTATGTGTAACTGTGGATGCGGGTGCAGCGTACAAGACAGTATACGGACTGTGTACGAAAGGACCTGGGGACCTGTCTAGGGGGGGTGTCTTATGCCAGCATGTAGCTTTACAAGTTACATTTAGTAACGTCACGTTACGTTGTTGTAACTTGGGCGTGAACTTCCTATTGGTACCATTGGAATGCGGGGAAGCTGGTCTGAGGTCCCGGCGGACCTGCGGCTTGTCTGCGGTTCGGGTTCACCGGCGGGTGCTTGCAAGGCATCCGTTTATAATATAAATCCGTCACGACGTTTGTCCAAAAAGCGGTCGAACAACCGTAAACATCAAGTCAATAACAAGCCGAACCCCTCCATCTGCGTCAGAGGCCTAAGCGCCTGCCTCAGGCATACCTAGCGAGTTGATCAAAAAAACATGCCTTGTGCTAAATTGTGTAGGGCCACAATCTCTCACCCATTCCTTTGCCACAACCTGAATACCAATTATGCAAACAACAAAACCTAATCGTCGCTTGCCCAAATAATGACTAACACCACACCATCACCCTCCAGCGACCCCACTACCTTCGGCCACCATACATACCCGTGAACCAACACCCCTAGCAGCAGCAATACTCAGCCCAGCTCAACCAGGTCCCGCTCACATCGTCCCCCAGTGTCGCCGCCACATTCCCCTGCCCATCCTCCTCCTCGCCGCGCTCCTGACCCACCGCCTCCGCCGTCGCCCGCCGCCGCAGCGCCGATATCAGGTCCTCCTCTGCAGCCGGCGGCGGCTGGTAACTCGGGTAGCTGCAACCCAACGTCTCCAGCAGCCACTCCAACTCAAACGCGCTGAAACGCCCGCGCTTGTGGTGCGCCTCCTTCACCAGCTCTTCCACTACGCTGCCCGCTCCCAGCTCTGAAGCCACATCGGGGCACAGCCGGGCTAGGGCGCCCAACACCAGCGGGAAGCAGGCGGGGCTGAGGGAGGCGGTACCGGCCCGCAGCCGCTCCAGGGCCGCCTGCAGCCAGGGATGAGGCGGTCGGAAGCCCAGCTGGGCTAGGGCTCGCAGCATGACGGTGATCTGGTCGGGGGTGGCGGGCTGGCGGGAGGTGGGTGTGGGCGCGGAGGCGGAGGCGGGGTGTGAGGAGGCGTGGGGGTCCACCAGGTGGTGGGTGTGCAGGAAGAAGGCCTGTGGGGAGGGGGGGAGGGGATGTGAATGCGAGGAGAGGGACAGGGAGGAACGAGACAAGGGGGGCGGCAACAGAGAGCGCATGGTCGGCAGGGTGCAGAGGGGTGAGATCGCACCGCGCAGCCCCACTAGGTGGTCTCCTCGCACCGTGACAATGCTCCCACCGTGCCACCCCACAAAACACACCGCCCCCCCCCAACCCCCTCACCTGCATCCACTCTCGGGACACCTCCACCTCGCCACTCGCCGCGAAGTGCAGCACCCTCGCCGCCGCCGCCGCATCCACCTCCCCCATGCGCCCCAGCACCGCCGCCATCAGCGCCGCCATCCACTCCTCCTCCGGGCGCACCCGCAGCACCAGCGCCGAGTGCGCCGCCAGGCTGAGCTCCTCCGCACCCAACACCGGCAGGGCCGCCAGCAACGCCGCATGGTAGCGCTCCTGCCACCCCCGCTCCGGCTGCACCCCCATCTGCCCCAGGCACCAGCCCACACGCACAAGCGCCTGCGGACTCATCCGCTCACTCTCCTTCCTCGCACCACCCTTGCTCCTTCCACCGCTGCTACCCTCCTCCTCCTCCTCCTCCTCCTCACTGCCCCACATGCACCTGGCGGCCAGCTGCAGCCACTCTCCCAGGAACCTCCAAGAGGGCAGCGCGCGGAAGGCCGCGCAGTGCCACAGCAGCCGCGCCAGCTGCTCCCCGCTCAACCCCTCCATCAGCCCCTCCCCCGCCAAACCCATGTCCACCAGCGCCGCCAGCTGAGCCGGGTGCGGCCGCACGCGCGCCGCCGCCAGCACCTCCAGCGCCTGCAACCGCTGAACCGCACTCAGCCGCTCCGGCTGCGGAAGCGCGGCGGCTGTGGCTGCTGACACGCTGCCGGCGGCGGGAGCAGCAGCAGCAGCCGCCGCGCCCCCTGTTGCAGCCTGCTGCTGCGGGGGTTGCTGCACCAGAGCAGCTAGCACCAGCCGAGGCAACAAGTCCTCCTTAATGGCCGTCGCCAGGTCTTTGTAAGGTCGGAACCCGCCCTCCAGCCGCCCCTGCAGCAGCAGCAGCTCCAGTGCAGGCAGCAGCCGGCTCAGCGGCGCGGGACCCGGCAGCTGCGGCTCCAACGCCAGAGACAGCCCCAGCAGCAGCGCCGGCGGCGCAATGTACCGCAGCTCGCCGTACGTTTGCAGCAGCGACACCACCTCCTCCACTTGCAGCGTATCCGCTTCCGGCAGCAACGCGGCAGCATGTGCATCCAGCCAAGCAGCCGCAGCAGCACCACCACAGCAGCTGCAACTGCTGGCGCCGCCACTACCGCTGTGTGCTAGCTCCAAGGGCTGCAGCCCCCCTGCGGACTTGAGCGCCTGCAGCAGCTCAACCAGCTCACCCGGGGACAGCTCCCGCAGCGCTCCCGCGCCCAGCCGCCCCTGCAACACCGCCGCCTGCGCAGCACCCAGCTTGAGCCCCTGCTGCGCCGCGAACCGGGCCACGGTCACCAGCTCGCGCGCTGAGAGTTGCTGCAGACGAGCAGGCGGACTTAGCGCGGCAGCCAGCAGGGCGCCGGGCCCCACACCCGCCACCGCTCCGGACCGCAGGGTGAAGCCGCGCTCCACGCATGCGGCCAGCAGCTGCAGCAGCGGAGCGGGGCGCAGGGCGTGCGGGCAGCGAGACACGGCGTCCGCCCAGACGCCGAACTGCTTGTTGTTCAGGCGGTAGCCCAGGCGGCTTAGGCCGGCAGCGCAGGTGTGCAGGGCGCGAACCGCCTGTTTCTTTTGCTGGTGCTGCTGCTGAGGAGAAGGAGGAGGCAGGGAGCTGCTGCTGTTGCTACTCGAGGCAGTTGCTTCAGCTTTGCGAGAGGAGAAGACCAAGAGGGCGAGGGGTTCCAGATGGTGTGCCGGCGGGGTGAAGCCGGCGGCTAGGCATGCCGCCACGACGGGGGCAATGTGTGGGTGCGGCACCTCCCGCATGCCCGCCAGCAGACGTACTGCCGCCGCCAGCAGCGGAGCCGGCAGCGCGGGGCGCACTACGGCGGCTGCGGCGACGAGGGAGGCCAGTCGCTCTGAGGTGAGCGAGGGGGAGGAGCTGGCGGCTGTGGTGGTTGGGAGGAGGGAGGCGCCGCTGCTGCTGCTGCCTGCCCGGGCCTGAAGCTCAGTCCTGACGGCTTCGGCTAGCAGCGTGGACAGCGCCGCAATCGCATGCTCCACATCAGGAAGGCTGCCTGGCTCTGTTTGCGAAGGGCTGTCATCGCCCCGCACCCCCAGCAGCGACAGCTCGTCCCTCAGGCGCCGCAGAGCAGCGGAGGGGTCCTCCGACGGTGCCTCCTCCTCCTCCTCCTCCTGCTCCACCTCAGCCTCCTGAGACACCTCCGGCTCATCCCCACCTGCTGCCGTCGTTTCTGCCTCCACCTCCGGAGTCGTTGGCTCCGTCACCGCCTGCTGCTGCACCCGCGCCTGCGGAGGGGGAGCAGCTGCTGCTGCTACAGCTGCCTCTTCCGGCACCTGCTTCTGGCTCTCCGCAGGGTCCCCCGCAGCAGCAGCAGCTCCTGACGAGGACGGGGACGAGGGCAGCGAGGGCGACGGGGAAGAGTCTGCCCCCTCCGCCCCTTCCGAGCCCAACGAAGCCGACCTGCTGTCCGCCTCCACATCCGCCCCCGCAGCACCCTGTCCGCTGCTGCTAACCCCCGTGCTGCACGCCGGCTCCGCTCGCTGCTCTGCCTCCGCCTGCTCGCCCTCCTCCTGCCCCCCCTGCACCTGCGCCCCTGCACCCCTGCCCGCGTCCGCCTCCCAGCACAGCTGCAACAGCTCCCCAGCTGCCTCGTACACCCCCCGCAGGTCTCCCAGGTAGGACCGCGCCTCCAGCAACCTTCCAGCCTCCACCCCCGGCCCCGCCTCCGCCTCCTCCCTCACCACCGCCTCCTCCGCCTGCCGTACCGCCTCCTGCACCCGCTCCCTCGCCGCCTGCAGCCAGTCGTGCTGGGGCAGCAGCCGCAGCTCGCCCAGCAGCTGCAGCACCTCCACCACCTGCCCCAGCGGCATGGCGGCGGGAAGGAGCTGCTGCAGGGAGGCTGCCAGCGACTCCGCGTCCAGCGGGGCGACTGCTGGTGCTGCTGATGAGGAGGAGGGGGAGGAAGAGGAAGAAGAGGAGGAGCCCACCTGCTGTCGGTGTTGCGAGGGCTGCTGCTGCTGCTGCTGCGACTGCAGGCTGGCTAGGGCGGCCCAGGCCGCATGCATGGCGTCCTGGAGGGGTGGGAGTGCTGGGACTGATGCTGCTGCCGGCGCTGCCGCTGGCAGGGTGGTGGTGGTGGCTGCGGCTGGGGCCGGCTGGGCGACATGTGCCGCAGCAGCCGGCGGAGGAGGAGGAGGAGGGGGAGGAGGAGGAGGAGGAGGAGGAGGAGGAGAAGGCGCAGCAGGAGCAGGACTAGTAGCGGTGGTTGGGAGTGATGCCGGGGCCGCAGCGGCGCCGGCAGGGCCTGAAGACGGTGCTGAAGGCTCTCCATTGGGTTGGGAGGAGGTGCTGTGGAGGCTGCTGCCGGTGCGGCTGGCTGCTTGCAGGCTGTCGGGCACGGGGGCCGCTGCGGGCTGCTGCTGCTGCTGCTGCACCGGTACCCCGCTGGACTCAGCAGCAGTGGAGGCGGCAGCTACAGGCGAGCGTGAAGCCCCTGGTTCCCTTACCTGCCCCGCTGGCCGTCCCTGCCGCCCCTGCTGCTGCCGTTGCGGTTGTTGCTGCTGTTTTGTCGCCGGCTCCTTGTACTCCTGCCGCCGCTGCGCCGACCCGTCCTGCACCTGTGGCCGCCCTGGCTGCTGCTGCTGGTTCCGCGACCCCGAGGCGTCAGCCGCCACCCGCCCCTGCCGCGCCCCGCCCTGCCGCGCCCCTCCAGCAGACGCGGCAGCCGGCGAGCGCCCCCCCTCGGAGGGCTCCGGCCGCAGCTCCGGTGGGGCGACAAGGCCCAGCAGGGCCGCCGCCTGCGCGATGGCGCCCCTCAAAGTGGGCGACAGGTAGGTGGGGCGGCGCTGCAGGCGGGTCAGCAGCTCCGAACCCAGCTGTCGGGCCTCACCCGCGTCGGCGGGGGAGGCGGAGGAGGCAGCCTGCAGGGGCGGGAGGGGGTTAGAGGGCGGGGGGTAGGGGGGTGTCAGGCGATAAGGTGGGGCTTGCGAGGTGGTGGCGTGCGGGGTCGTGCGGGGAAATGCCGAAAGTGGAAATGTTTGGGATGTTTGGATGTGGACAGACCGTCTTCCTATTTGTAACGGGTCACGGTGGACAGCCAATCTTCGATCGCGCGCCGCTGCCCCTGATCGCACCCACCAGTACACCAAGCCTCGCCAGCATGGCAACTGCATGAGCGGTTGTAAGGCAGTCGAGAGCTTGCGCTTTCTGCATGACGGCTCGAAGTTCACGGACATTTCCGGCTCGCGGTATTGCCTCTAGAAACTCTGCTGCAGCCGCGAGCGCTGCGCCTGTCGCAGTTGGTTGTGGCGGCTGGGACGTCGCGGCACTGTCAGGTATTGCCACAAACGCCGTCAGCCGGTTGACCTGAAAATAAGCGTTTAATTCAGTTGGTCTGTTTCCATGACGGGTCCTTGATTGTTGCAAAGTCTTCCGACGGCCTACCGTGGTTGAGTGTTGAAATGCACGACTTCGCCCAAGCGATGTTCCTTCAATACGTGGACATAATGCGGTGTGATTGCACTTTAGTTGCGGCAAAATTGGGGTTCCTGCCGGAGCAGGTCCGGCAGTGTTCTTGCGCATGGCAAGAGAACTAGTAGTAGAGCGTATATCCGACATTTTGTATTGTATAAGGTGAGCTTTACGAAAGCTTTCTCGCGCTTTTCCTTTGCAGTGGGAAGCTCGTACGATACAAACCAACCGCTCGTCGCTCGCTCACAGTGACTACGGTATTGGAGGTGACGCATATTCATGGTATCTACGGTGTAGCTGCATCGGTCACATGATGAACGGCGACGAAGGATATTCTCATTTGTAAGGAACCACAGTATCGTTGTGCCAACGGGTAAACTTTTCCCCCCTCTACGTTGGCGTTTAGTCTACCTGACGTGCTGCAACACGCGGAGACATGTCTGCTCAACGAAAGAATGCCATTACAGTTGTTAAGGCGGACACTAGGCAGAGGCTTGCCGAGTGCCTCACCGAAGACGACATCGACGCCTGTGAGGAAGCCCTACTACAATGCTCTCGTGAGAATTGTTGTTCATGTTTTGTTGGCAATGGCTGGTCCTGGCGTAAGGGAGGTCAATCGACTTGACCGTTAACGCCAAAGTTGCAGAAAATGAGAGTCCGCGAGCTGAACTAGGACCATTTCCGTGCCTTGGAGCGTCGCCATGCGGGGCGCGACCTGGACGCGGCTCCTTATCAGGGCAGGAGCGCACCCTATCACGAGCCTCGGTGTTGTCGGTTGCACCCCGCTGGTTCGTTCGCGACTACCTGGCGATAAAGGAGATCCTGTTTTCCAGCTGGTTCAACTTATTGCTCGTCTGCGTTCCGCTGGGAACTGCCTCTGGGTTGCTAGGATGGGGCGCTGTTCCTACATTCACACTGGTAGGTATACGCCGGGCCCCATCCGCGGGAAACGTAATCCGTAGTTCCCATGCTGCTGCTCTTCAGCCTACATGTGCCCCCAGCTTTAAGTCTGCATCTTAACTACGACCACTTTCGTTTGGCAAACATTGCATCCCTGATGCCATGCACAACCTCCCGCCCCCCTGCTGCTGCTGCACCGCAGAACTTCCTGGCGCTCATCCCCTTGGCGCTCATCCTGGGGGACGTCACTGAGGTGCGGGGGCGCGTGTGTGCGGAGCCGCATTATGATGATGGACACACCTGTAGGCCCATCTGGCTGCGTCTTCCTACTTGACCCCCATATCTGGCCTTGTGGACATCGCGGCCCACCACGTCACGGCATAAAAACTGGGACCAAGAAAAACGGGAGAGTACAAACCCTCTTCGACCTTGTGCAATGCACGCTACATTCGCCCGCCTAATTTCCTTTCCCGACCCAGCCCTACCTCGCATCACCCACCCAGCCTTCTCCCACACCAAACACGTCACCTTTCGCCCTGCTTCCTCCGCCATGCCGCCACCTCTCGCTCCTCTCGCTCCTGCCCCTGCTCCTCCTGCTGCTGCTGCTCTCTCTCTGTGTGGCTTGTTTAGGATCTGGCGGTGCGCTTCGGCGACGTGGTGGGCGGTCTTGTGAACGCCACCTTTGGCAACGTGGTGGAGATCATGGTGTCGCTGTTTGCGCTGTACAAGAACCTGTTCGATGTAGTGGCCTTCTCGCTGCTGGGATCCATCCTGTCCAACCTGCTGCTCGTGCTGGGTGGGTGGCGGGGCGGGGGGGGGGAGGATGAAAATTGAAATAAGTGAAACAACGAGTCCCAATCCCATCCAGGGGGGGTTGGTTGGGAGAGTGTATGGGTGGGAGAGTGCCATAGATAGACAGAGCCGCTAGTATGAATGAATCGGGTGAGTGGAAAACACCCACGATGGAAATGTGCTTGGCGGGTGTGTGGGATGCGGAACGTGTATGGGACAGGTAGTTCCATCCGAAACAGCATGCCATGCCCCCCCAGGCTACTCCTAACCCCTCCCTAACCCGCCCCCTCATCCCCCCACCCCCCCAGGCTCCAGCTTCCTGCTGGGCGGGCTGTACCACCCCGTGCAGACATTTAACGCGGTGAGCAACCGCGCCTGCTCCTCGCTGCTCATGCTGGCGGTGGTGGGCATCTGCATCCCCTCCGCGGCCTCCATGGTGCTGGTGGACGACCCCGGACTGAGGCCCGATTGGATCCTGGACGTGTCGCGCGGCACCGCGGTCATCATGCTGGTCTGGTGGGTGTACGGGCTTTATGCATACGGCCGTATTCGGGCTTTGTGGGGGTGGCGTGGAGTGCTAGCCGTGACATGACATACCCCCCGGAGAGTGCAGGGGAGGGGGCGGGGCAGAGCAGGTCGCGGGGGGGTCCTGGGGAGCCTTCATTTACACCGGTGGCCGGTGGCGGGTGGCGGGTTGTCAGCGTTTTCTGAACTTGTCTTTGCAGTTCCCAACTCTGGGCAGTACAGACGCCAGGCCCCGTGCCAAGGCGATGACGACACGGACAGCGCATTGGGCGAGGTCAGGCCTTCACGCGGCCCCACTCTCTCTCCGCCCGCTCTCCCCATCCCCACGCGCCCCACCTCTCCCTCTCCTCCGAGTGCCTCACACACACGCTCTCCCCCCCTCGTGGGTCTTCTTATCCCCCCCCCCCCCCCGTGCAGCTACCTGTGCTACCTGGCCTTCCAGCTGCACACGCACTCGGATCTGTTCCGCTGCGAGGGCGAGGAGGAGGCGCTGCCCATGCTGAGTCTGGGCAGCTCGCTGGGGCTGCTGGCGGCGATCACAGCGGTGGTGGCGGTGGCGTCCGAGTTCCTGACGGCGTCCATCCAGGAGGTCAGCGCGCACACGGGCATGAGCCAGGCGTTCATTGGTGAGGGGGGGGGAGCTGGGGGGGGAGGCGGAGAAGGCGCGAGGGATGGATGAAGGGAGGGCGGGGGTGCTGGGCTGGGGCTGATGGGACCTGGGCTGGGGAGAGTGGTGGTGGTTGCTGCATGCATGGGTGGGGGTTGCTGCATGCATGGGTGGGGGTTGCTGCATGCAGGGGTGGGGGTTGCTGCATGCATTGGTGGGGGTTGCTGCATGCAGGGGTGGGGGTTGCTGCATGGAAGGGATGGGGGTTGCTGCATGCAAAAGTGGGGGTTGCTGCATGCAGGGGTTGCTGCCATGGTTGCTGTGGCAAGCGCAGTGCGGGGTCGCGTAGATGTGATGCTGAATCGCAGCCAAGGAATGCATGCTGGACAGCGGTCCGAGTCGCGGCTACCTGCAGGCGGAAGTCCCTGTGTGATGGATGCCAGGGGATCCATACGGCCGCAACTGTGCAACGAGCCCACACGGACTTGTCCCGCCGCCTCCTCGCTTCCTCCTTGCCACAGGCCTTATCATCCTTCCAATCGCGGGCAACGCCTGCGAGCACCTCACGGCGTGCATCGTGGCTACCCGCAACAAAATGGACCTGTGAGTGGTTGGGCCCTACGTCATGCCGGGGGCTCCCTTGCCTGCAGCACCATGACTTGCATGCGACGGCGACTTGTAAGGACCAGGGCTTGACCCCAACATCACCCATCCTGCTTCACCCCACTCGTCCCACGCACCCCATGTGCCCTCCCCTCCCTGCCCCGCTCCGTGTCTCCCCCACCTTGGGGTTCTTCTTCCCCCCCCCAGCTCCATGGGTGTGGCAGTGGGCTCCTCCATCCAGATCGCGCTGTTCGCCATCCCCTTCAACGTGGTGGTCGGCTGGGCCTCGGGCCACGACTTCTCGCTGGACTTCACGCCCTTCTCAGCCATGGTACTGGCGGTGTGCGTCATACATGCGGTGAGGGGGGGGAGGGCGCTGCTGTCGTACCGGGCTGTGCGACGCACTGCCGTGCTGGGGGCGGGGTGCCGATGGCAAGGAAGGGAGGAGGATGGCATGCGACGTGGGGGGGGGGGGCGTGTCTTACTCCCCTTGGGTTTGTGACTTGGTGTTGTACTTGTAATGCGTGCATAATATGTTTAGTACCGTATGCTTTGATGCTTATATGGATGAGATGTTTGAGGAAATCCGTCCATGGTGACGTCCAAGTGCGCGCATGTACTTATCCCACTCCGTGCTCATGCCACCCGCGTGCTGCCACCCAAACGTGCTGCCGCGCAGAACTTCGTCACCGCCGACGCCACCTCTCACTGGCTGCTGGGGGTGCAGCTGATCGCGCTGTACTGTGTCATTGCGATCGCATACTTTTACAAGTGATGAGACGGAGTGGGTTAAGGGAGCGCCGTATCTCGAATGCACTCATGGTATTTTGACACATACGTGCGAGAAGCTGGGGGGAAGGGTATTTCCGCATCGTGGGCTGTTCGCAGCCCCTCCTATGTATTGGATACACTATTTTGAGCATGGCGGCTCGGGAAGGTGACGCATCTGAACTCAACAGTTGCGGCGTTGGCTTGCATGCATGGGGAGAAGAGTTGTAGAGTGTTGTGCCTGGGTACCGGTGTTGTGAGGCAGTGAGCGCTATGTACGCGCAGCTGGGAGAGACAGAGCTGCAGCACCTCAGCTCTGATTGGGTGGCCCGCATCCTGCATGGTCGCGCATCAACATGGCTCATGTGTTGGCATTGGTTGGAATGACGCTGTGCGTGTAGCATCGGCTTTTGCCGTACCGGTACTCGGCATTCGGGGTGTCAGAAGACAGCGGTGAAGCATGCAGCGGGGCTTAACAGGCTGTACGGGAGCGGCTGTAGTCAGGAGGGGCTTTAGTCGTGTGGATCCGGACACTCCTGATGCATTGGCGCTCTTATGTGATAGCTAATATTCATGTAAGACTAATCATCATCGGCGGGTCTGGGCGGGTTCCACATGGCCCCTTTTTTGGTGCTGGCAGCTGCTGCGGCTGTGGGGCCTGCAGCGTTCCGCTGTTCGGCAGACGGGGTGGCCATCGCACTTTGTTTAGTAGCTGCTACGTTGCTATGTGTCCTTTGGGCTATGGGGCCTTGTTAAGGGTGGTCTGGCAGAATGTGGGAAATGGTGATACCGGTATGGCTGTTGCATGGTGGTCCTTGGGTCCTGGCACACGAAGATGTCAGCGGGTTCCAGGGCACATATTTGTATCCCGATGTCGCAGATAGCACGAGAGGAGTATGCACGAGTGCTTCGACTCCCGTGCGTTTTGAAGGCGTTGTACGGCAATACGTGCCATCGTTTGCGCGTCGGTTAGGTGGATTGAGTTGGTGTAACGGCAGGTCACCCTGATCTTCCAATTCTATCTATCCTACAGACATCTACTGCTCTTCTCCCTGTAATATTAGCGTTTTTGCGGAGTAGTAGTTCGCTCAGCAGTTGGCAACAGACCGGTTCAGGCCAATAGTCGCACCCATTTCCTGTACATAGTTGTTTCAGGTTTAGACAAGGTCACCAGATGGCGTCCAGCTTCGCACAGGCCTCCAGCTACTTGCAAGGAATAAAGGGACCAGACGGCTTTATCCAAACACAGCCATTTTTAGATGTCTGTCGACAAGTAGTTATTGTTGTAGGTAAGATAATAGCAAAGCAAAGGACTTTCCTCACAGACATGTTTTCTAGGTGATCTTTTCTTATTGCAGAGAAGCTAGGCACTGCTTTTGCGCTGGTAAAGACGGACATCGGTGGAAACATCGAGGTAGGCATTTACTTTACGGCTACTGGTTTACAATTTGACCTGCAGCGGCAATGTGCGAACTGTTCCACGCAGCGGTTGTCGCAACGAGCGGCGAAAGACCCCGAGCGATATGCGCGCCTGTTCAGCATTGTGCAAGATGAAGTCGTCGACAACGTCCAACGGGAAAGCTCATCTTGCACAAAAGGGCTACTGTGGCTGAAGCGGTAAGCCTGCGACGGTTACCCCGAAGGCTCGATGGCCACGTGGCCCCTCCGTTTCCGCTTGCTTGTTGCCAACATCACCCCATGTGGGACCTCACAGGGCAATGCAGTTCCTGTGCTCCATGCTGCGGCGCATGCACGATGACCCCGACGCGTCCCTCAGCACAGTTGTCAGCGAGACGTACGGCATGACGCTCATGCGCTACCACGGCTTCTTCGTCTCCAGCGCCTTCTCGGTGAGCACCGCGAGCAGGCAACACAGGGAACGTGGAGGTGACCGAACGTGGGGGTTGTGTTCACCTCGGGGTGTGGCCACACCTCTTTGGGATTATTGCCGACGTGGTACAGCACAGCGCAGCAGCGCACACGAGGGTGGACAGTTGCACGGGTTGGAAGTATCCGTGGCCTCCTACGGAACTACTCACGTTCAGAAGAGAGAAGAACATGCCCATGGCGCTCGCAAAAGCAAAGCCATGTACCGTAAACGTAGCGTCGTGCAACCCATACCGCCGCGAAAGATCTCCTCAAGCTCGACGACGGACCAAGCAATATCCCAACGCCTCTTCCCCTTCACACATGCCCCCTTCCTTCTCCCCCTCTTCCCTTTCCCTGCAGCTGGCGTTCCGCTTCGTGCCCAGTCGCGAGCAGTTCCTGGACCAGGTGGGCGGCAGCGGGCCGCAGGTGATGGCCGAGCTGCAGGCCTTCATCGACGGCTTCACACCCGTGCTCAAGGAGATACACAACTTCATGGTAGGGGAGGGGGAGGTGAACAGCACATTCCCATGTCCCGACTCATGCAGTGAGCGCAATAACCGAAACTACTCTAGGGATGCGCAACCCAGGTACTTACCAAATGCGTACTTACCCGAGGCAGGGGAGCGGGGGGTGGGAGGGGCAGGGAGGGACGGGTAATAGGATAGCAACAGGGAGGGACAGGGTAAGTGCAGGGAAGAGGTAACCCAAGGACGGCGCCAAGGAGGGGTTATCCCTCAGCAATAGGGGCTTCGGACCAGCAGGACTTGCTGCTTGACAGGCAGGCAAACACTCCAAGGATACGTACGTAGGAAACATGCACCGTAGCGGGCAGGGGTGCCGTATGGGGTACGGCATCCAGGCTCCAGGATCCGTGTGTTCACCTCCGTGCTGTACCCCTCCGTGCCGCAGGACGAGCAGGGCCTCGACGACCCCACCCTTGTTTGACGGCGTGATACGCCTTTTCAAGGATCCCTTTTGCATTGACGTCAGGAGGCTATGCTGTAGAGTGCACAAATTTGGGCCTATGATTATAGCTTGTGTTATACTGGCCGCGAGTGCTGTCCAGGTGGGGGGCTGTAAGGAAAAGGGAAAGGGGTTTCGGCTCCGCACGTCTCCTGACTTGTCGGCTGTTGCCTGGCGTGCCAGGTGTGGTGTGTTTCTATACCCGCACGGGCGGGTAACCGATATCTTGGGGTTGCTGCACCACCATACTATATTTCGGTATCGGACGGCTATCTTGCAGGTTGTGTCAGGATGCTGGTAAGGGGTTTTCGCTAATGTTCTGGTCTTGAAAACGCCAAGCCAGGCCGCCGCCAATAGTAGGTAGTTGGCAGGTAACGCTGACGACGCGAAAGCGTTCTAAGCATGTAAGCTTTTATCGTATGCGCTTGGTGATACCTAGGCTAAAGTTATGTTGGATTGGATTGGAAAGGGATGTATGGCAGGTGAGCGACATGATGACCGATGCCGTAAAAGCATTCAGTAGTACGCAAGTGCTCTGTGCCCGAACTACTTGCCAGTTCCTAAACCATTGCTTCTCTACGCATAGCGGCACATAGAGAAAAATGGCGAACCCAGAGACCGCTGCCGTGGCCATCAACGTTCTGAACAAGGTCATTCGCTATGCTGTTGGCCTAGGCGTCGGCGCCAGCGTGTTGCAGACATCCCTATATACTGGTAGGAATAAGAAAACGTGGGAAGCCTGATGTCGGAATGTTTTGTCGGCGCCATCACCAACGCGACTTCGCAATGTTTGGACGCAGTGGATGGCGGCGAGCGGGCCATTATCTTTGACAGGTTCCGCGGAGTGCTTGATGAGCCAGTTGGCGAGGGGACCCACATCCGGATCCCCTGGGTGCAGCAGCCGAACGTCATGGACATCCGCACGCGGCCACGCAGCATCAGCTCTGTAACTGGTACTAAAGGTACGCGCCTAACGAGCTTTAGTATATGTAAGCTTTGGGGCATCTTATGGGACTCCACCTAACCTGCTTCCACATCCTTCTTGCAGATCTGCAGATGGTGAACATGTCCCTACGCTTCCTCAGCAAGCCTGATGAGCCCCGGTTGCCGCACATCTTCAAGGTAAGCGCAAAGTTGCAAATGTCTTCAGTCAACGCCTTGAACCTAACCCCCTCTCCCCTTCCGACGTCAGACCCTCGGCACGGACTGGGAGGAGCGTGTGCTCCCCTCCATCGGCAATGAAGTGGTGAAGGCGGTGGTGGCGCAGTACAACGCCGAGCAGCTCATCACGCAGCGTGAGAAGGTGTCCCGCGCGGTAAGTCGGCTGCAAAGCTACACCCATTCTATTTCATCCCCCTGCCCCCCTCCCCCGCTTGCTCCTTCCCCCTTGCTGTCGTGGCTTACCGTTCCCTCCGCACCCACGCATTCCAACACTGCACCGCTTATGCCAAAGCGAGTGCCTCTGCACTTACACGCGTGAGCATAACAACACAAGAGGGTGTCATCATGGGTGATGTCTGTTGGCTGCAGGTGCGGGAGGCCCTGACGGCGCGTGCTGCCGACTTCGGCATCGTGCTGGACGATGTGGCCATCACCCACCTGTCCTTCGGCACTGAGGTGAGCTCCTTGCTGTCCCGCTCGGAAGGGGCTGGGGGAGGGCGTGAAACAAGGTTGCCGCGTTATCCTGTTGGGGCCCTTCCACCTGGCGAAATGCCCTCCTGCTTTTCCTGCTTTGTTGCGGTGTGGCCGCCCTGTTCCTGACTGCACCACGCTGCCCCTGACCGGCCGTTACAACGATTCCTCCCTTGCCTCGCCCCGCAGTTCACGCGCGCCGTTGAGGCGAAGCAGGTGGCTGAGCAGGACGCCGAGCGCGCCAAGTTCGTGGTGATGAAGGCGGAGCAGGTGCGACTGGGGAGGGGGCGTGTTGCATGGCTCTGGGTGTCTGGTGGGGTGGTTGCTAGGTGCCGCCCGTCTTGCATGACCGCATGTGGGGGTCAAAAGGATCGGGTTGGAGGGCGCATGAAACACCTGGGGAGTGTTCCGAAGCCGGTAGCCCTAGAGTGCTGCTAGTCGGGCATGTTCAGCTGGAGCAGGAGAGGATGTGTGGAGTTGGTTGATTTCCCTTCGCGCTGTGTTCTGATCTCCCTTCTTTCGGGTAACCGCAGGAGCGTAACGCTGCCATTATCAAGGCCGAGGGTGAGAGCGAGGCCGCCAAGCTCATTTCCGACGCCACCAAGCAGTTCGGCTCTGGACTCATCGAGCTGCGCAAGATTGAGGTGGGTCTCATATATGCACGAGGGGTCCCGCGGGGGGGGAGTGGGTGCTAGGCCGTGTACTGAACTGTAAGGAAGCTGGATGCTGCTTCCTTGTGCGCTGAGGATTGTATGTTCGACGCATCTTACTGGGGTGGAGGGTTTCGGGTGCTCGCTACTTAACGTGCAATTAATAAGCTCCGCCGCCTCTTTTCCCTCGTAGGCCGCCAAGGACGTCGCGGATACCATGTCGAAGAGCCGCAACGTGGTCTACCTGCCCAACTCGGGCAACATCCTCATGCAGATGAACCCCAACCAGTAAGCCGCTGCAGTGGCGGCTCAGGGATGACGATCAAGGATAGTGGGTTACATAGGACGGGATGACTGCGGGTTAGGGTTGTCAGAGAGGTCTGGAGTCTCCTGCCGTAGTAGTTACAAGTTCTTCGCGCGCTGCTGCAACCTTGCAAGGAACTTGTCAATATGCTGCATCGGGCAGTGGAAGTAGGTTCGGGAGTTGTGCGGCGTGTTATGATGGCATCGGCGCTTATGGGAAATAACATGTCCTAGGCGCAAGAGTTTTATTCGGCAAATTGTTTGCCACCTATGCTCGGTGTTCCAGTCATGTTCGCGAAGTAAGGCGGCAGATGGATTCGCTTTGTCGCACCTTGCGTGTGGTCTTGTTGATAACCCAGCCAACAACAACTCCAGCGCAGAAGCTCGCTGCACATAATTTAATGGCAGTAGCGTTCTGCATTTTGCGGCGTTACTCAGATGCAATCGAGATACACTCCAGTGTTTTTAGTCTTCTTACAGGGTGTGTTATCTGACCGATGTAAGTAATGCCTCGCTGTGCTCAACTACCTTACGAAAGCTGGGGAACATGTAAGTCCAACCAGCTTATGTACGACAAGTTTTGGTTGGCCGTGGGTCTTGGCCATGTGGAGCAATGCAAACTTTCGCAGCGGAAGCTTAAATTACGGGGGTCAATTAAGGCTCCGACGAGCTAGGAAGCTCACGGACTGCAGGTAGCTCGTAGGCTGGAATACCGGTAACATAGCAGTACTATGCATGCCTTTAGGCTACCAACGGCGCTGCCTTGGGACATTGGAGAGTCGTTTCTTACAACTTAAGAATCACTCACGCAGATGCCAGCATCCTGCTAGGACCCGAGGCTATACCCCTGACGACCGGCAAGTCTCACGTGCCGTATTGCAACCCACCATGCACTCTGACTCGCGGACCTGTTCAAATATGTACGAGCGGCAGCTGCCGCTTAACCAGGCATTTATTCAAGTCCTGCATCACACTCTGGGAAGAATCCACCATGCCCTATGCCCCCTTGGATAATAATGGAAATGTAGTACAGCGTGCATAACTCGTTCGTCAGCAGTACACAGGCACCCACTCCTTTCCCCTCCTGCACACGTAAACCCACCATCACAGCTTCCCGCAGATCCTCGCTTCCTGCTTCCTGTGTCCACGCACCCACCACCTCACGGCCACGAGGTGAACTCAAACACCTTCCCCACGATCTCAAAGCCCGTGGGAAGCTGCCACAGGAACAGACCCACATTCAGCGCGTTCAGCGCAATGTGCGCGTTACGCGCGTTCTGGTCGCCCTTCTGCATGGCCGGCGTCAGCGCCGCAGCCATAGCCCACAGCGCTACAATTCCAGCGCCTGCGTACAGGTGCGGGCCCGGGAACAGGCGGCCGGTGCGCATGAAGGTGTTGGCGCAGCCCTCAATCCCGATGCCCACGCCCGCCGCCAGCAGCAGGGAGCCCCACCACCAGTGCTTGTCCCTGTAGTCGCCCTTGAGCAGCTCCTTGCGCTCCTGTACGAGCAGTACGGCAGTACGGCAGCAGTACTAGGTAAAGCACTCCACAAGGCGCTAGGAAAGGTAGGCTACAATGAAGAGGTATACTTCAGCGGGCAGGTGTCTAGTAACAGGTGTGGGGCGGATGGCTGGCGTGCGCTGCTATGTGTAGGAGAGGATATGCCTCTCCTACATAGGCAGAAGCCTAGTGCTTTGCCGTAGACATCCTTGGTCATGACTTAACAAAAATAGTCAGGAACATTGCTGGTATGCAAGCCATTAGGCTCACGCGATGGACAGCTTTCGGAACTTACGGTTTCCTTCTGAGCGATGACCCCGTCCGCGGGCGATGATGGACGAACACCGTCTGGGCCAGCCTCTGGCAGGCTCTTCTTAAGCTGCCGAATCTCATCACCCAGTTCCCGGGCCCGCCTCCACTGAAAGCCGAGAAAGCCAGCGTACAGAGTGCCACCAAACAGAAAAATCATCACCGCGGGATGGATGAGTGCCGCGGTGCGGCCCTCGAGGAGACCATACTCTCCGTCCTTTGCAAGCGCAGCGCTGACTTGCAGCAACAGGGGTGCCAGCGCACCGCCAGTGACTAGAAGCGGCCGTAGCGTCGCATCGTCTTTCTGGATTGACGACGCAACCTCAACTGACGAGCGCTTGGCTGACGGACGCGCTACACATACGATTGAAAGCGAGCGAATTCCACGCGCAGCGCATGTACGCTGCGCGCTTAGCGTAGGGATTGGGCGCTGTGCAAGCATTATCGCGCTATGCTAACTGCACAAAAGAACCAAGATGCAGTTGAACACTGGTGTAGATTCCTATAACTATTTTGTGCGTAATGGTCGCGTGTGTGAGAACGCACGTTGGAATCGTCGACCACAAGTTGTGCTCGCCCTGGAGCTTTGGACTCCAGATGGAGCTCCCTGTTCACATTCTAAATCTTTGACACCGGTCTTACCTAAGTTTTACTTTGGGTCACCAATTGTAAACATGCTTGGTCGGCAATTGGGCCGCACGGCCACTGCGCAGGTGTGCATTTACATAGGAACTGAGAATAGCTTGCTCCTTCGCGATCACTATGACCACCAATTGGCGTACATTATATATCGCAGGCCCGTGGCCGCAACGTTGTGGCAAACTTGCGCCCCGTCGCCGGCAGGTGCGTTGTGGCAGCCGCGACTTTATGTGGTGGAAGTAGCAGACTTGAGCGATCCAACGCGTCGACCTCGCAGGCGTCCAGTGGCATTCAAAGGCGCAAGGCCTTCAGTTCGCGTGTATGCGGGGGCGCCTGCTGCCGGGGAGGCACCAAAAGCAATTAAGCTAGCAGACGTCAAGGAAGGAGATGAATACGAGGGCACAGTGGTGCGTCCAGCAGCATACCTAACATCATAGAGTGTAGTGCAGATGGTCGCGGGGATAGTTACCCTATCTTATCTGCATTTGCAGACGACCGTCGAGGAGTTCGGCGCTTTCGTCGACTTCGGTGCCAGCTCGAACGGCCTTGTGCACATCTCAAAGCTTTCGGTAAGCAGGGAAAATCAATTTCAGCGGATGGTGGAAAGTCACAACCCACTGACACATGTATCCCATCCCAACTGTAGTCCGGATTCACTAAGAACGTCAAGGACGTCGTCTCTCCGGGCCAAAAGGTCACCGTTAAGGTGCTCAGCGTCGATGCTTCCAAGAACCGCGTTTCCCTGTCGCTGAAGAGCGCCGCTAACGCAGGTAAGCTTCTCCTGCTGCTGCTGCTGACGAAAGAGCTCGGCCCAGATATGCCCTCACGCCTTCTGCACCCGAGCTCCACATCCCACACCTGAATCACTTGAATGAACACATTCCAATTTCCTCACCTCCAGAGGCGCCAGCTGCTGCTGAGGAGGCGCCAGCGGCCGAGGAGGGCGGCGTCACCGCCAGCTTCCACGAGGATGACGAGGAGGAGGGCGCAGCGGCCGAGGAGGAGGAGGTGGAGGTGGAGCTGGGCGAGGGGCAGCGGGAGGTGTACTCAGACCTGCCGGGCTTCGAGGACATCCCCTTTGTGATGGAGGAGGAGGATGCGGACGAGCTGACGGACTCGGCCATCGCTGCCATGGAGGCGGACCTGGACTCGGTGCAGGTGCGGGGCGGGGGTAGTGGGTACGGGTAGCGGGTGGGGAGAGGGGCGGTAAGGGAGAAGTAGAGTAGCTGGGCGAGGGGGAAGCGGGGTGGTGGGCAGAGGGAGGCAGATGGAGGCAGAGGGAAGCAAGTTGGGGAATATGTATTGATGTAGATAGCAGGGGCGGGGGCGAGGCCAAGGGCTGTACTCGACAGGGGTTGGAAGGCTTAATGTGCCGGGCGCATGTGTGTTGGCGAGGCCGCCGTGTGCGCGTGCCGGCTTGGGGAACGATGGGGGTTGGGGGGGTGTCGAGGGCGGGAGAGCGCTGCTGTGCTGTGCCCTGCTATGCTGTGTGCATGGGCACAGCTGGGTGGAGGGGACGAGCACCCCACCCGCCCAACAGCGGCCAGCACATCCACTGCCGTTCACCGACCTGCCTTTCTTCTCACCTGCGCCCCAGCCTCCCACCGCCGCCTCCCCTGCTACACTCCGCTCTATGCGCATCCTCGCCCACCCTCCCACCCCCTCTTAATGAGTCGGGGTATGGGATTGGAACTCCATTGCTTCACTTTTCGTTCATTTCACATCCATTATTTGCCCCTCTCCCATCCTCTTTTCCTCACACAGATCCAGTACAACCTGGAGGGCCCCGCCTACCTAGAGGAGGTGCTGGGCAAGGTATCCCGCATCGAGGACTACGGCCTCTTCCTGGAGTTCCCCTGGAACGGCAAGACGCTCACCGGACTGCTGCCGCGCGACGAGCTCAAGGTGCCCTCCTCCGCACTGCCCGAGGAGGCGCAGGCCGCACTGCGCGCCGAGTGGGCGGACACGGAGTTCGACATGCCGGCGTATGTGGAGCTGCCGGATGATGAGCTGGACGTGAAGAAGTACTATCAGCCGGGAGACATGGTGCCCGCGTTTGTGCTGGAGAGCCCCGTGGTTGGCGCCAAGCTGCTGCTGACGCAGTTCACGGATGAGGACGTGGCGGCGGAGGCGGTGGGCGCGTATGAGGGGCTGGAGGAGGAGGAGGACGAGGAGCTGGATCGGCTGCTAGAGGAGGCTAACGAGGAGCTGGGAGGGGAGGTGCTGGCGGCGGAGCCGGAGGCGCTGTTGGATGAGGCGGGCGGGGAGGAGGACGCGGCGGCGGCGGCCAGGGAGGAGGGGCTGGTGGGGGGTGAGGACTACGCGGGGTACAGCAGCGAGGCGCTGGATAACGCGGCGGGGGTGCACGAGCTGGGGGTGCTGCGGTCGGGTCTGCTGCGGGGGAAGAACGGGGCGCAGGTGGCGCCGCTGGGGCTGCCCAGCAGGCCGCTGGTGAGTGGGGGGGGGAAAGGGAGGGAGGGGAGGGAGAGGGGGTGGTGATGTTGCGCGGTGGCTGACAGGGGGTGGCTCACGAGTGGGACTGGCAGCCGAGGGTTGCGGATGGAGGGCGGGCCCGGGTAGGGGTGGCCCCCGCCTGGACCTCCACCTCCCGGCCCCTCTCCACTCTTGTATCTCCCCACATCCACCGTCCTCCCAACCCCCCACTCCCCCTTCAACCTCCCACCCCCCCAGGTCGAGCCCGTCACCTCCTCCGGCCTGGCGCTGCTGGGCACTCAGGAGCGCGACTTCGCGGGTGACGAGGTGGCGCTGGTGGACTACTGGAGCAGCGAGGAGTACGACAACATCCCCAAGGACATCCTGAAGCGCATGGGACTCAAGATGGCCTTCAACGACGTGGGCGAGGCGGAGTTCACGGAGCGGGAGGGGTACGAGGTGAGGCGGCGGGCGGGGGGGGTGTTGGGTGTGGGCTGGGTGTGGTGGGAGGGTGCAGTCGCTTGTCTGCCTAGACGTGACATGTGCGGGGGTCCGGGTGTGGCTGTGGAAAAGCAATAACGTGTAATGATAAGACCTTGCCCGCTTTAGACCCAGGCAGGTCCTTGCATTGGTCCGGTGCGCTTGCTGCTGCCGAACGGATCCCTGTTAGGTTGGCACAGGGCAGTCTCATAGCACCTCCTCCGCTCTCTCCTTACCCCCCTCCCTTCCCCCTTCCCCCCACGCAACCCCCCAGGAGGACCAGGACCTGCCGCTCTACCTGTTCGAGGCGGGGGTGGACGAGCGCGCCGCCGCCTTCGTGGCGGACCTGTTGGAGGACGAGGAGGACGAGGCGGAGCTGCCGGCGCGGGCGGCACGCAGGCCGGCGGTGCTGGCGGCAGCTGTGACAAGTGCGTGAAGGAGAGAGAGGAGGGAGGTGCTGTTGAGGTTGCGATAGGGGGGCGAGGTCGCGCCTTGTGTATGAATGTGTACATGCCGGGGGTTTTCGTAGCAAGGAGGGGGCTTAGGAGGGTCTGACTGGGGTTGACAGGCAAGGGGGCTGGCAGGCAAGGGGGCGACGCAGCGTGCTGCGGGTCGCGCGAGTGGGATACAGGGGCGGGGTGCGAATGGGGTCGTGCAGTTTGATGAGTGGGGATGGTGCACTTAATGTTGATAGGTGGTACATCAGGCCTGTCCGCAAGGAACGAAGCAGTGTGCGAATAGGGATGGCTTGTGAAGGCTTGGCACATGGGGGCGCTAATTTTGCCGTAGCGCCTGGGGTGTGATGGCGAGTTTCTCTTTGTTGCTGCTGCAATGTATCCCTGCTTCCAGTTGTTTCAGCTGCACGTGCGCTGGAAGACGCTGTTACATGCTGCCTTGGCAAAACGACTCTGCAGCATGCCGGTGCTTCCTAGCATCGAATAGCACATGCGTGTGTGTATGTTGTGTGCAGCAGTGTAATAGTGGTGATTACCGAGAGAGTGATAATACGAGACATGGATTAGTGTTTGTGATATATTTTCAAACGTCATGTGCCCCTCCTGTTCCGCATCCCTCTGCAGGCATCTCCGCCTCAGAGGTGAAGGCCCTGCGCGAGAAGACGGGTGCGGGTATGATGGACTGCAAGAAGGCGCTGGCGGAGTGCGGAGGGGACGCGGAGGCGGCTGCCGAGGTGAATGCGGGGGCGGTGGTGGCTGCTGCGGGGCGGCGCGGGGCTGGGCTCGGATGGCGGGCAGGAGAGAGTTAGCAGAGGGAGGCATGCATGGGGGGTGCTGGTTCGTCCCAGGTTTTGGGACCTTGTAACACTACCGCTTGTGGTGCTTGTTAACTGTATGACATGGCTGATCTACGACACAGCAGTTGGCGACTCGCTGCTGAATTGGTGCAGTCTCAGTTTCGTAACTTCAACTCAAATGCCACAGCCCCCAGGCACTGCAGTTTTTAGGGTAAAGCACCACCCTAGCTGCTCCGCGTACGGTTTAGCCTTCCCCCTCCTGAATCCTGCATCCGGCTCATGCAAAAGCCCACGAAAACGCCCCGCCGCCTTCCCAACCCCGCACCAACCTTGGTGACCCCGCACCCCCCCAGTGGCTGCGCAAGAAGGGTCTGTCTGGTGCGGACAAGAAGGCGGGTCGCCTCGCAGCTGAGGGCGCCGTAGCCCGGTACATCCACCCCGGCAGCCGTCTGGGTGTGCTGCTGGAGGTGAACTGCGAGACGGACTTTGTGGCGGCGAGTGAGAAGTTCCAGGCGCTGGTGGGCGAGCTGGGCATGATCATTGCTGCCACGGACTGCATCTGCGTCAGCCCGGAGGATGTTCCGCCCGAGGTGCTGGCCAAGGAGCGGGAGGTGGAGATGGGCAAGGACGACCTGGCTAGCAAGCCGGAGGCCATCAGGTGGGGGGCAGGAGGGGAAGGAAAGGAGATGAGAAGTGAAGCAAACTGGGCAGAAAGGGGGGGGCAGCTGCTTTGGGGCTTGGGGGAGACTTGATATGGTCTAGCATGGGCGCGGGGTAGCCTGGTCTGGACCCCCTCCGCTGCCTTTTGCCTCCTCTCACCCTTAAGCTTCCCTGCCCCCAGGGCCAAGATCGTGGAGGGCCGTCTTGAGAAGATCCGCAACCAAATGGCGCTCACCAACCAGATGACGCTGTCCGACCCTAACAAGACGGTGGCGGAGCTGGTCAAGGAAACCATCGCGGCGGTGGGGGAGAACATCAAGGTGCGCGGAGGGGGGTTCCTTACATGCTCGTGCGGGGGCTGCGGGGTGCTCCGCTCCATGTGCCTCGCCAGCACAGGCATGCGGGGAGGCGCAAAGCACTGCCGGCAGTGAACCATGCAGCATGCATGTTATGATGTAGCCGGAACACCCCTGCCCTCTCTCCCCAATCCGCCCCCCGCCCCGCCCCTGCTCAGATCCGCCGCTTCGTCAAGTACCGGCTGGGAGAGGGGCTTGAGAAGAAGTCCACCGACTTCGCCGCGGAGGTGGCGCAGCAGACGCAGGCCAAGGCGGCAGCGCCCGCCACGCCCAAGCAGGAGGAGCCCAAGAAGGAGGAGCCGAAGCAGGAGGAGGCCAAGCCCGCCGTGCAGGTGGGGCGAGTGGTGGGAGCTGCCGTACCCGTATTCGGGTGGGGAGGGGACTCGTGATGCGGCGAGTGAACAGCAGCACGCAAGCAAATTGGACGAGAGTGGCCCGAGAGGTAGCTCTGGCCCTTCAGCTGCATGCATGGGGACATGTGGACTGAGCTCTCCATGCGTGTTCATCTGGACTGAACACAACCCGTTTGTCCAGAACTTTATTAACGGTTTTTACCGAAACCACAACACCCCGCCGCCTCCCACCTTTTCACGTTGCACACCTCCAGGTCTCCGCCGGCGTGGTGAAGCAGCTCCGAGACAAGACGGGTGCGGGTATGATGGACTGCAAGAAGGCGCTGGCGGAGTGCGGAGGGGACATGGACAAGGCCACGGAGTGGCTGCGCATGAAGGGGCTTGCATCGGCGGACAAGAAGGCGGGTCGCCTCGCAGCTGAGGGCGTGGTTGCGTCGTACATCCACCCCGGCAGCCGTCTGGGTGTGCTGCTGGAGGTGAACTGCGAGACGGACTTTGTGGCGGCGAGTGAGAAGTTCAACCAGCTGGTCAGCTTCATTGCGATGGGGATTGTGGCGGGGCAGAACGTGGCGTACGTGGCCGCGGAGGATGTGCCTGCGGAGGTGTTTGAACGGGAGAAGCAGATCGAGATGGCGCGGGAGGACTTGAAGGTGCGCGGCGGGGGGGTGTTCGGGTGGGGGGGTGGAGGGATCGGGGTGGGATGCAGCCGTACTTTCCTGGGCACATGTGTTATTGCACATCTCCCCCCCGGTCACGGTCGGCGTTTCCTTGCGGCTCAGTTTATCTAATTCCCCCTAAACGCTGCCTCTTCAGTTCCCTTATTTTACCCCCCCTAAACGCCACACCCGTCCTGTCACCCTCAGAACAAGCCCGAGGCCATTCGCGCCAAGATCGCGGAGGGCCGCGCCAAGAAGATCGCCCAAGACATGTGCCTGCTGGACCAGCCCTTCCTCACCGACTCATCCAAGACAGTTGCTGACGCCATCCGGGAGGCCATTGCGGCTCTGGGCGAGAAGATCTCGGTGCGCCGCTTCGTCAAGTTCCAGCTAGGAGAGGGGCTGGAGAAGAAGTCGAACGACTTTGCTGCTGAGGTGGCGGCTGCGACCGGCATGAAGTGAGAGGAGAGCGCTGTTGGGGCGCGCAGCCGGCGGTTGGAGAAGGGGAGTGGGTGTTGGAATCTGGGCATGGGAAGAGGGAGCGTGAGATGTGTGAGGCGAGGGTGCGTTGCGTTGGGTTTCGTTAACGGCACCCAAGGAAAGCCTCTTTGCACCCCAAGGATGAGATGGAATCGTCCAGGTTTTGCGGCAGGTTAACAAGCAATAGTTAGCGTAGAGGGTCCGTTTATGTGGCCGCTATATTGGCCGCCTAAACGTGGTCTGGGTCAGGATGTTTCACTTCATCCTGCGCCAGCATCAGCGGCCGAATGTGTTCCGTACAGGGTTTTGCAAGGATGCGGCATGTTTGTGGTGGGCGCTGTGGCGCCCATACGTTTTTGCAAGGGGGAGCACCGCTCCCCAGGACTTTGTTACTTCCTTTTCTTTGCTGCGAGGTCGATGGTGCGATTAGTGGCGATATCGAGAAGTCCGCGGCTTGGGATTGTGGAGTTTGAGAGAGCAGAGAAAATACAAAACTAGTTTTTCAGGCGAGCTGACTGCTTCGTCACCCGGCGTAGGCACCCCGATTTTGATCGCCACAGGGGGCCCTGCCGCCGGGCAGCTGCTGCTCGTGCTGGAAATATGTAACATGCATCGTGCGCCGCCGCCGTCTGCAAGCTTACCGAGGGTTGTTATCGTAAGGTTACGTACGGATATGCTTCTGCTTTCCGAATGTTGTCTGCTCCTGCAGGGGGGGTGCTCGACCCCACTCGGCCAGCTTCCCGTTATGTTGGGGGTGTTCCCGTGCTGTCCGTTGCATACACGGCATTGTCATGCAGTCCCACGTCCCCAAACTTGCTAAACACAGCATACACTTGCGGTTACCGTGCACCAGCTGCGTCCGAACCCAAGCCGTCAGCCATACTCAGATTAGCTCCAACACAATTCCACACAAACGTGCGCCACAGCTGCAGCCCCATTCTCCTCTTCGCCTGCAAGCCGCACGAACACGCATCCTGCCAAGGAAACGCTCCATGAAAAGATGGGAACCAGGTGCCCCGGGAAACAGTGCTGACCTGCTTTATGTCCGGTTTGAGCACAACGCGAAAGAGTCCGCCGAGTGCCAGCCTCTAGGCTTAGGCGGCTGATAGCTCTTTCTGCACATCTTGCCAACAACGCAGGAGCGTCAACGCAGGACCGACGAGAACGGTTAAGGGGTTGGCATAGCAAAGCGCACCACTTCCCAGTTGACGTTCGGCGCCAGGAAGCCTACATGCACAAGAGCGCAGCACGCGCTCTTGGTGATGTACTTCTCATACGTATCCGTTTCCGGGTGCTTCTCGCGGTACCAGACGGCGTAGTCCAGGACCGAGCGCTGGTATTTGCAGCCGATAGTGTCAACGCAGGTGAGGACGTCCTTAACGGCCTGCTCGATCAGGTTGAGCTTCTGCGTCGTGTACATGTTGAAAGATGGCACGCCATCCGGAGCCTCCAGAAAGTTGCCAAATTGGACGGGGTCGCGGGGCGCTGCCTTGAAGAACAGAGTGGCAAATGTGGCAAACCCGCGTGAACTCCACTTCGTGATACAGAATGTATATGGTGATCCATTTACGGTAAAGTCGAACGAGGCAACGTAGGTGTCTTTGATTATGAGCTTGACCTCCACCGGCACCCCTATGATGGTAACGTTGAAAGTTGTTGCGCGCAGAACAGCATCCATTTCGTCTCCTACACGCCCCGTTTGTAGAGTTGACGAACGAAAGTTATTGTAGCCTAAGAAGCCGAAGACGAACGAAAGTTATTGTAGCCTAAACCCTAAAACCCCAAAAAACCAGCCTTTTTGGGTGGCTCTGGTGCCGTGGAGGGCGTACGACGCTCTGGGAATCAGGAACCTCCGCACGGTCTTGCCCGCTTTCTCCAGCTTTTACGGGTTGGTTGCAAGCAGACGGCTGCGGTATGTAGCTATAGAGTGTTGTACGTGACGAACCATGTTGAATCGGGTGTAGTAATTTATAAGTTCCGTTATTACAATATCTACAACGGTGTCTTTAGACACAACCGTATAACGTGCGCCACCGCTGCAGCCACAGCTCAGCGCCTGCTCGACCACTCGCGCCGGTTGTGTTGTTCATGTTTTATGCATTTGCATTCATGTTGTGTCATGCTTGCGTTCGTCCTGTCTCGCATGCCATCCTGCTTTGCCGTACATTTTGCACTTCGATATAGGTTCATTTTGTCTCTAACTCTGTCCCCCTTTTCCTCGCTCTGGTTCATGCTTCTGCGCATGGCATTCCTCGCATTACTTAGGCTGCTGGTCCTGGTGCTGATTACGGCGTCTTTGCTCGCAGGTACGCAATGCGCGTTTGCACGCACGCATGCACAGCATTGTGGAGTCTCGTCTGCGTGACCAGAGCGGGGGCTCCCGGCGTCGAGTTGGTCAGCGGGCTAGGTACTCAGTAGTAATTAGGTTTTTCACGACACCATCAGCATCACCGACATGCGTCGTCAACCCGCCACTCTTCTTACATCCAGCACCAGCTACTTAAGCAGTTACTGAGTTACCTCTGTTTACCTCTGTTTTGCCTGTACTCGCGGTCCACATGCGAACACTATCCCAACTGCTTGCTCTTGTTTCCGCTCAACTACACACAAACGTGCGCCACCCAGAGCTGCAGTCTTGTGGCGCTCCTTCCCAATTCTCACTGCAACCAATTCTGTTGCCCGTGACGCCGCCTCGCGGCAGCGCACAGTCTGAGTCAGGATGCGCATGTACACTCCTCCACACGCACGCACCCTCCATGCATGCACCATCCTGCCCCTCTCATCGCGGAATCCCACCCCTTCATCGCTCCCTGTCAAACTCCTACGCTTGCGCATGCCTGCCTCCCTCCTCCTCCTGCTCCTCCTTTGCTCCTCCTCCTCCCCCTCCTCCGCTGCTGCTGTCACCGCCCAGCTGCGCCCCCAGCCACCGCCAAATCCCTGCCCGCACCCTCCACGGCAGAGGCCACCGGCGGGGAAGCAGCCGCACTGGCAGCCTCATCCACCACCTCCCCAACATCAATGACATCAGAGGCCATGCCACCAACCAGCATCCCCCCATGTGCCGCCTCTCCGGGTGTCCCATTCCCATGTACCGCCCCTGCCGGCGGCGCTGCAGCCGTCACCACCCTCCCCTCATCTACCCCCGCTGCTGCTGCTGCCTCGCTCTCCCCTCTCCCCGCAGCCCCCCGCGCGGCCAGCAGCGGCACCACTGCCGCCGCCAGCAGCTCCCGCTCCGGCGGCTCCATGGCGGGGCAGTAGCGCGATGCTACCTCGGAGAAGGCCTGCGGGGGGGGGGATATAAAGAGGCGGGGGAAGGTGGAGGTAGGGGGACCTAAAGAATATCCAATGTGTGGTGTGATAGTGGAGGTAGAGGGGGTGGGAGTGGTGGAGGAGGGAAGTGAGCAGCTGGAGGAAGGCAGTCAGCCAGTCAGCAAGAACGGGGCGCGGAGGAGGGTCCCAGAAGCCATGGTACACGACAGCGAGAGCAGCTCCGTGCCCCTGCTGCCTCGCCCCTTAGTGAGGCACATGCATGCCTCCTAATCCTCACAGCATCCCGTACGATGCAGCGGCTACCAACCATCCCTTTTCATAGCCCACCAAACTATCTAAGGCCCCGTACGGTATGGCTTCCTTCCTGCCCCCCCCCCTCCCTCCCGCACCCACCCTCAGCCACTCCGGCGGCGGCCTCATCCCCAGGCTGTGCAGCCAGCTGGCAGTGAGCGCCATCTCGCTGGGCGCGTACCGCTCCTCGCGCAGCAGCACCGCGCTGGCAGCCCACCAGGCGGCCAGCCAGGGGGCCCCGGGGCGCGCAGCGGGGCGCGGCAGGCGGGCAGCAGCTGGCCGGGCAGCCGCACCCGCCTCAGCAGCCTCAGCCTCAGCAGTGGTGGCAGCAGCCGCAGCTGCCATGGAGGCGGGAGACAGCAGCTGGGCGCCTGGGTCGCAGGGGTCGGGGGGGCTAGCGGGGCTGCAGGTGGGGGTGGGGGTGGATGAGGAGGCAGCTGGTGTTGCAGGGGTGGCGCGCTGCTGCAGCCGCAGCCGCAGCCGCTGCATGTAGCGTTTGGTGTGGTGCTTCTGCCGGCGGCGGGGACTGCCTGGCTGGCCTGACCGATGAGAGGCTGGGGGGGTCTGCACCTGCTTCTGCTGCACCTGCAGCGGCTCTGAAGGTAGTGCTGTCGCCGCTGCTGCTGCCGGCTCCCCCCCTTTCGGCCCCCCCGCTGCCGCTGCTGCCGCCGCGGGTCGCATGTCTTGCAGCTGCGTGAGGGCGACCAGCAGCACCAGCAGCTGCAGCGGGGAGCAGTCGGGCAGGCGGGGGGCGCTGCGGGCCTCCAGCCGGGCCAGCCAGGTGCGGGGGGGGCGGGCCTGGCGGCGAAGAGGGGGAGAGGGACATGCGGACATTCTTGGGACACTAACCAATGGGGCATTGCTTATTGGAGTGCTAGCTAATGGGTATTAGCTAAGGGGACATGAATGGGTCCGTAGGAAGTTACAGGAAAGGGAGTAAGGGTCTTGCCGTGCGTCGTGGAGGTATCCCGCACCCCGCACCCCCCCCCCCACCACCACCCGCCCCCCTCCCCGCGACCCACTCACCCCCAGCAGCACCAGCGCCGGCAGCAAGCTGCTCCAGTGGCTCACTCCGAATCGCTCCCAGCTGCGGTGGCAGCTCAGCAGCATGCGGGTCAGCCAGGGCTGCGGAGGGGGGCGGGGAGGAAGGGGAGGAGAGGAGGGGAGGAGTGGGCAGGGCAGAGGGGTGAGGCAGGGCAACAAAACGGCTCGAAAGGCCAGGTGGGGAGGTCATTTACGGGTAAGCATTGCATTCTGATGTCATCTACCTCCCGTCCCGGCCCCCCTCCCCCCCCCACTCCTGGCCTCCATCTCCAGGTAAGTTTCCCGTAACGCGTCTCGATAACATGTGTGCTCGTATACCCCATATGCGTGTTGCTTTGCATTCCGTGACCGGCGGCGCGGCGCATGTCTCCCTAGTGTTACCACGCAAGGCGGCTTCTTCCTCAAGTCGTCTTGGTTTACGGTAAGCAACGCTTCGGTAAGTAATTTGAGATGCGTGTCTCTAAAATAGTGTCTCCGAATGCGCTCACTGCATGAGTCGGGATATGGGATTGGGACTCGTTGTTTCACATATTTAATTTCCCCCCCCCTGCTCCCCACCTGAGGCGGCCGCACTCCCAGCGCCTGCAGTGCGGCCATGAGTGTGCTGAGGTGGTGCGGCTCGAAGGCGGGCGAGCAGCTGAGCGAGGCGGCACAGCGGAGGGCCAGAGCCGTCCAGGCCTCGTTGGGGCGCAGACGCAGACTCACCATGGCCTGATGGGAGTGGAGGGGGGGGAGCGGGAGGTGGGGGGGGCAGGAGGGCGGGAGAAAGCGCATCGGGGGCTGCGAAGAAACCCCCCTAGGAGGGCCTAGATGGGGACTGTACAGGGTAGGGGGGTGTGGGGCACCCACAGGGCGTGTTCACCTTCCTGCTGCTTCTGTCACCAGGCTTCCCGCCCCTCTACCCCCTGCCCGGTGAAGCCTCGTCAAGTGGTCATACAGCTCGTACGTTTCCTCTTTTTATCCCCTGGCCCCCCACCCCACCTGCAGCATCGCCACCAGTGCCCGAGGGGACATGCGGTTCTGGGGGGCGGGGAAGACAGGGGGAGCGGGCGGGGGGTGTGGGAGAGGGTGTGGGAGGGGGTGTGGGGCAGGAGCTTAAGGAGGTTACGGTGAGGGTCAGCACTGGGGGGTGTGACGGCGCTGCGGGTGTGAGCGCCTGCGGGGGTCTGAGGGGCCTGGCCCTGGCACCTTCCTCTAACCCGGGCTACGGCCATCGTGATCCAACATCAAGTGGTCCGACACCCCCCTCACCCCGTCCCCCAGCCAGACCTCACAGCCGCTCCAGCCCCTTCCCCGACCTACCCTATTCCTCTCTCCCTACCTGGTTGCTCTCCTCTTTACCCTCCCCTTTCTTATTCCCCCCATCCCCCCTTCCCCTCCTCACCTGCTGCATGAGCACCTGGCTCCTCCAGAACAGCCGCCCCGCCCACCGGCCGTCCGGCCGCACCCCCCACGCCGCCAGCGTGCCAGCCAGGTTGGCCAGATGCAGGTCGGCGCAGCGGTTCTTGAGCGCGGGGCGCGAGGCGGACAGCAGCGCACGCACCCAGGCGCGGGGCGGGTCCAGGGAGAGGCGGCGCAGGGCGGTGATGAGGGAGGCGGCGCAGGAGGTGTCGGAGAGGAGCTGGGGGAGGGGGGGGGGAAGTGGAGAGGAAGAAGGCGGCCTAATGGCGGGCTCCGAGGAACGTTCTGCGGAGTGCCGCGCAGAGTGCCTGGCGCAATCCCCGCCCTCCCCCGCTGCCAAGGGGCTGTCCAGCTGAGGCTCAGGACTGACACGGCACCAGCAGCACCCCGCCCCCGCCCCTTCCCCAGGGGGTGTCTTTCTTTGACCCTCCCCCCCCCTTCCCGCCCCCCGCCCCACCTGCTGCATGTTGCTCTGTGTGGCCCGCAGCACCCGCCGCTGCAGCCGGGGCGAGGGGCGGTACTGCTGCGCGGCCAGACTGCCCAAGACACCCGCCAGCTGCCGGGCCTGGCGAGGTGGGGGGGAGGGCAGGGGAGGGGGAGGGTGCAAGGTGAGGTGCAAGGTGAGGTGGTAAAGAAGAAGACCCAATGAGGTGGAGGGGAGAGGACGAAACTTCCCGGTACGAAGGGGTACTCACACTCGCGCTCATACCAGACCCCTTCTCCCATCCTTTCTGGTCGGCACGCTCACACCCGACAACACGCTAGCACGCTAATGCGCTAGTACGAAGCTACGTCCTACGACCCATAACCCCCCACGTCACATAGTTAGTTAGATTCCTCCTCCATACCCCCTCCCCCAATCTCACTGCATGAGTCGGGATATGGGATTGGGACTCATTGTTTCACTTATATAATGTTTTCCCCCAATCTCCTCCCCTCCCCTTCGACAGTTCCCCCTCCCCTTCCGTTGCTGCAGTTATCTTTATATTTCCCCCTTCGTCAGTTTCCTTTCTACCCCCCCACCCCCCACCTCCCCACCCCACCTCCAGCTCCCCCAGCCGCGGCTCCAGCGCCCCCACGTACTCCCGCATCCACCCCACCCCCGGCTGCAGCGCCAGCCGCGTCAGCCCCTCCAGCAGCTGCGCCAGCTCGGCCCCGCTGAACACCCCGCCAGCTAGCCCCGCCCGGGTCACCTCCAGCACCCGCCCGCTGGCGTCAAGGTCCAGCAGCGCGGGCAGGCGGGAGGCGGTGAGGCGGCCTAGGGCCCACAGGGAGAGGGCCAGCTCGGAGGGCGGCAGGGAGGGCAGGCGGGAGAGGGTGTGGGAGAGCAGCGTGGCGCGGGTGGGGTCGTCCAGGGCAACCTGGGGGAAGGGGGAAAAATTATATAAGTCAAACAATGAGTCCCAATCCCATATCCCGACTCATGCAGTGAGCGCATTCGGAGGCACTAATAACACGGGAGGGGAGGAAGGGGGAAGAAGGTGAGGGGAGGGGAGGCAGGTATCATGCAGTGCGTGCACAACGGTAGCAGTACCCGTCTGGTGTGCAGTAAGCACCTGGCAGCCCTAATCGTACCCCAAACTCCCTGCCGCTTCCTCGTGTTAACCCCACCTGCAGCTCCGCTAGCGCCAGCAGCACTGCGCACAGCTCCCGCGCGCTCATGCGCCGCAGTCCGGGGCGCAGCACGCAGCAGTAGGCGTCAACCCACTCGGGAGGGGGCCTGACGGGGGCGCGGGGGGGGGTGAGGGGGGTGAGGGGGGAACTTGGTTGGCAGGCCGGGGTTTGCAGTGGCGCAGGGGTTCGCAGGGCGGAGGGTTGCTCGTCGTGTACTTGATGCGGTTTCAGTGGGAGGGAGCCGCGCTCAGCCCACAAGCCGGCGTACCTGGCCCCCTGCGCATCCCCCTGTGTCCCTCCCCCTGGCCCCCCTCCTCCTTCCCCTCCCCCCCTCCTCCTCACCTGTACCTCAGCGCCGCCAGTCCCTGCACCATCTTGGCCAGGTGCTGCGGCGCGAAGGAGCTCAGCCGGGGCTTGCTGCACTCAAGCAGGGCCTGGGGGGGGGAGGGTTAAGCGGGAGGGGAGGGGCGGGGCGGGAGGGGGGCAGGCAGGGAGGGGAAAGAAATGAGAAGAATTAGCAACTGGAGTCCCAATCCCATATCCCGACACATGCAGTGAGCACATGCAGTGAGCACATGCAGTGAGCACAGCGGAGGGAGGGGAGCGGACCGGTGCCATGAGGATTGTCGGCTGGTTGGCTCCTCCTGGTCCCAAGTGATGAGTGTCTACCAGGACAAACGTCACACCCACCAGCTGATCACACGCGCACAGGAATCCCACCTCAAAACACCTCAAAACACCCACGCACGCCCACCTGTACTGCATCCTCCTGCACGTCCGTACCGATGGCGCCGTACGCCCACATGGTGAGCGCCAGCTCGCGCGGCCCGAAGCGCCTCAGCTGCGCGCGCACTGCCGCGTAGAATGCGGAGCGCACCTCGGGGGCAGGCGGCAGGGAGAGCAGCGCAGCGGAGCACATCACGTGGGAGAGCTCCTGCGGGGAGGGGGGAAATTAAATAAGTAAAACAACGAGTCCCAAGGGAGGGGGGAGGAAAGGGAGGTTGACAAGGGGAGGGGAGGGGGACAGAGATGGTGAGAGGAAAGGAGGAGGGAGCAGGAATAGGATGGGGACTTGGGGAGGGTTTCTTCTGCCCATGTAAGGCAGGGAGGGGTGGGAACCATGTAAAGGAGCACTATGGAACAACTACCGGTAGCAGGGCTTGGAACCAAACGTTATGCAGTTCCATAAAGTATCCAGCCAGCCATGTGTACAGTACCATGTGGCATCACAGCAGCACCCTAAGTATCCTCCGCAGCCCGCCAGCGGCAGCAGCAGGGTTCCCCACGTCCAACCACCTCCAACCCACCCTCCTCCCCCTTCCCCGCCCCAGCACCCCACCTGCGGCCTGCAGTCGATCAGCTTGAGCGAGGCCGCTTGCAGCAGCTGCTCCGAAACCACCTTGTCCCCGTACCGCAGCACAGCCAGCGCCGACAGCACGTTGGCCAGCTCCACCCCGCTCAGCCCCTCCAGCCGGCTGAACACCTGGGACAGCAGCAGGCGCAGGGTGCGGGAGGCCGCAGGGGGGAGGGGAGGAGCCGCTGGGGGAGGGGGGGAGCCAGGGGCGGGAGCGGCTTCGCCACTGGCGCCGCTGTTGTTGTTGCTGCTGCTGGCATGAACAACGTTGGACCCGGCAGGCGAGGCAGCAGCAGGCGAAGGTGGCGATTGCGAGCCTGAAGGGGCAGGTCTAGCAGCTGCTGGGGACCCGCTGCTGCTGCTGCTGCTGCGCGCGCTGCTCGTACCGCCGGCTGCAGCGGCAACAGCGCTGTTTCCCCGGCCGCCACCAGAACTGTGGCTACTGATGCTGCTGCTGCTCACAACCCGCGACGGCGCCTCCTGCCCCTCCTCCTCCCCTCCAACCCCCGCTCCCCAGCTCCGCGCCCCCGGCAGCAGCGACGCCGCCGCCGCCGCCGCCGCGTCCATGAGCGCCGCCGACTGCGCCTCGTCCAGGGAGTCCACGGGCAGCCCTCCGCCCGCACCCGCACCCGCACCCACAAGCGCCATGAGGTCTCCGGAGCTCTGAGCGGCATCGGAGCCGTACCCACTCAGCACATCGGCTACCCCAGCACCTCCCCGGTCAAAGCCAGGAGCATCAAGGCCGTCGTATCCGCCATTGCCGTTGCTGCCGCCGTCGTTATCGTCATCAAGGATGGAAGACATTTGTAACATGTCGTCGTCATCAAGGATGGAGGACATTTGTAGCAAGTCCTCGCCGCCACCGATGGCTGCGGTCCGTGCTGCCGCCTCTTCCCCTGCTGGGAATGCGGAGTTGGGAGGTGCACCGGCACTCCAACCGTCACCGTTGCCGCCGCTGCTAGCCGGCTGGCTGCCTCCAGTGCCGTTGCTTTGGCTGTGGCTGCTGTGCCTGTCGGCGTCGCTGCCACCCCCTCTGCTGCTTGCAGTGGGCTGCTCGCTGCTGCCACTCGCGGCGGCCCTGCCGCTGCTGCTGGTGGCAGCGGCAGGGCCGGGCTTCTCCTCTGCTGCAGAGCTCCGTTGAAGCGGGGGTGGCTGCTGCTGAGGTTGCTGGCTCGACAGCTCAAGTTGCGACTGCATCTGTCGTGCTCGCTGCTGCTGTTGCAACTGTTGCTGCTGCTGCTGCTCTTGCTGTTGTTGTTGGATGGTGCTGGTGAGGAGGGCGAGGTGCAGCAGCGCTATGCCCAAATGCGGTACGTCCAGGGAGGAGGAGTGCTGCTGCACCACATCGGCCAGCTCCTGGGGCGCGGGGAGGGAGGGGAGGGCAGGGGAGGGGAGGGCATTGAGAGGTACGCGGTTGTGGGGAGGCCACTGATTTTCAGGACAAGCCGGATGTAGAGTTAAAGCTCCACGCTTAAACTGCGCACCACAGGATAATGACACGCTGTCTAAGTCGCTGTCCGCCCCTAAGCCCCCACCGCCTGCCGCCTCACCTGGAGAGTAATGGTTGAGCGAATCAGGCGCGCGAGGACAGGTGCACTCAGACCACGTGGGCGGAGAGCCTCGGAGGTGGGCCGTACAGCCGCGCTTGTGGTTGAAACCGGCCTTACGGGCCCAATAAGCTGCACAGCAGCCTGCGCTGTGACGCTCCGCTGGGGCCGGTGTGTAACGCAAGGAGGGGCTGCGTGGCCACAGGCGGAGCCAACCGCTCCTTGGTTCCCGCAACCCCAGCGTGCAAGCGGGACCGGCACTGGCCCTGCCGACGCGTGGCAAACAGCATCGCTTGCTTGAGCTGTGAGCCCTTGAGTCTGCATGGCGCCAGATTTAGAAAGGGCTTCAGCCATGTGGTGCAAGCACGCCCAATCCGTTTGCAAAGCCGTCGCCTTAAGCGAGCAGAAAACAAAAACAGAAGCTCAAAACTTATATTGTTTTATTATTTTGCTTTACCTTAACAGTGGTAGGCGCCGGCAGCATCCAAGCAAGTCACGCAAGCAAGTGACCGGGTGGGAGATTTTTTGCTGTGCGTTTGTTTGTCAAGAAATATCCATCGTCGTCAAGGACATTGTGCGTGGTGTAAAATGCTCTGTACGCATTGGGGCCTTCGTGAGCTTTAGAAGATCGCAGCGGGAAGCGAACAACCAATAGATGTAAGAACGACGTAATGGCATTGGGTCGCGTCAGCTATATTCCATTCTAGCTGGTGGCGAACAATTGATCTTACTGACAAAATCACTTGCCGTACGAACCAGGTTACAAAGCGACGACTTCCTTGGGGCCCGGGTTGTGCCGGAGATTCTTGTGTTCTTGTGTAAAACATCTGTACTCATTGGGTGTTTATCTGTCGAGAATTGCTTCAGCCAGCATACAACACCCCAACGGGTCGAAAGGGCTGCTACAAGGGTGGCTGCGGCTTTACTTGGACAGCGAACTGACACTCATCGACCGTTAAGGGCACCGTTTGCCCAAACATAGTTACACGGCTTGGTAAGGCGCTAATGCAACCCCAAAGCACGGATGCACAACAAAACGGGTTGCAGTACGACGCAAGCACACGGCCTTGCAGACACCGGACATTAGTGACCTGTGGGCGGCGGGCCTGGGAGCCCAAACCGAACTTCCACACTTCCATACATGCATAACAATGACAAAAGGAAAGAGCATTAAAGCGCAGCGCTAACCCAAGTCCTCCTACACCGGATTACAGTGCAAGTCGTGCAACACGAGGCAGCGGTACAAGGCATGACTCGCCCAGCAGCCCATACACACCCGCGCCCGCCACATGCCCGCACTCACCCGCCCCACCGCTCGTTCACAACACACACAACCACAACCCCATGACACCCCGATACAAACCAGCTGCTGAAGTTCTGAAGAGTGCTGAAGTGCTGAAGAGTGCTGAAGTGCTGAAGAGAACCCAAGACACCCGTAGCAGCAGCAGCAGCAGCAACAGCACCTTCACGCCTTAGCACCGCGGCATGCGACAACCCGCGTCACCCAACTGTCAACTTGCAAGACGCCACCAAAATGGGCAGGCAGTCTGGGGCCCGTGCAACTTTGGCACAGCAGTATCTGACCTTCCTGCTGCGGCAGGGTCAGGAAAGTGCTTCTCAAGTGCTGCAACACTCAATTTTTCTGTACGACCGCGCAGGACCCCTCCCAGTCAGGTAGCTTCCGCTGCCGTGACCGCGGTTGTCCTCGTACGACTCTCCCCCCCTCCAGTAACGACACACGCTCCGTCGGCTCTCATCAGACTTCGCCACACCTAGTCACAGTAATTTTCCATTCCTAGCCGCGCAAGGCTGCAAGCCAGTAGCAGCTGCCACGCTACCCACTAACATGCCAACCGGCCTCTACGGGGATACCGGCGGATGTTGGAAATTCTTCATAGCGATTGACAAAGGCAACATTGCCAAAGTAAGACAGCACACAATCCACAATACCCCCGAAAAAAACGTCAAGTATACGGTAGTGGTGCCGCAGTGAAACCAAAGTTATAAGCTTAACAGGGGCTTCCCCAGTGCGCAATGAGCCATCGCGCGTCAAGCGGCCACCGTCAATGGCCCCCCCGGATACAGCAGTTGCATCCCTCCTGTACGCTGGCCCTCTGCAACCCAAGGTGTGTATTTACGGTAACAAAACCAAAAGTAAACGGGTGTTGCAAACACTATGCAGCCTGTGTCTGCCAGACTTCAATGCTGCAGGTTCCGCGCGGTTTTTGGTTCGCCGACGGTCGCTCCGACGGTCGCTCCGACGGTCGCTCCGACGGTCGCTCCGACGGTCGCTCCAAACGCGGATGCCAGGCCGGCACACAGGGTTTGCCAGTCAGCTAGTCAGCTAGGAAGGAAGATGTGGATTTGAATTGAGACCAAAGCACGCAACACAAGCACAGCATGCTAGGACATGCTAGGTGCTAGGACAACAGAAGACCTGCCCCCAAAACGAAGCATGTAACGTTGATGTACGCGCCCTGCTGCTGCCGTACCTTCTAATTATCCGTACCCTTACTTCTGCCCTTACTTATGCCCCATAATAAAGCCGAAACAGCAGTTAAACACGAGGCAACACCAACTGCAGTACCACGCGAAACAAAACACCAACACACCAGCATGCGAGTGTCCGGACGCATAACAGCATACGACTGCCAAGGATACCCTCGATCCGTAAGCACGTCGGTAGCTTGCTGCCTGCCTGTATGTTTCTCGGCTGGGGCCTTCGAGTAGCTATGAGACTATGACGCCCACCTCAAGGCCCGCAAACCATGTACGGTAGAAGCGTCTCCTACCGAGCAAACATGGTGGTCGTATCCACGACGTACCACCCTCCAATGCAGCCCCCAGCAATCTCCGCCCCAATGCCAGGTACGAGCACAGCGATATCCCGACACCGGGCGGAGCGAGGAGGCACTGCGAGGGCCCCCACTGGGTTCTTCGTTCCGTGGTTGCAAGGCGAGCTGCTTCCACGTGCCCTGCCTGGTTGCGAAGACACAGCGGGGTGCAATGTGACGAGCAGTGTCCCATGCGCTTGAGTACTGCCGATGAGTGCCACCACCTGCATGCGTGGCGCATGCTGCGTGCGCGGCTGCGGACAGACCACCCCCCATGCGGAAAGCCAGCTGATGCGCATCTCGAATGGCCATATGCTGCGCCCCTTGTAAATCACACCATGCAAGCAGGGGCAAGGAATGCAGACCCGTCTCGCGCAGGAGAAACTCCGGCAACAACTATCCACACATCTAAAGTCGCCGCCGCATTTAATGCGCCCCCTATTTTTGCAACGCGTCGCAGCGCGCACGTGAATCTTGACCCCAGGAAAGCCGTTATCACTCCCGCACGGATGCCGCCGAGTCGCTCGGCGCATACAAATACGTGTTCATGTTGCCCTTGCCCTTGACATCGATAGCGCCCCTGCAGCGCCAGACGGCCTGCCGCTCAGCTGGCAGCGCGTGATACGTGGTCTCGGACGCCTGCGAAGAGCAACCAAGGAAACAAACAGAAAGCTCTTTCGAAGAGTTCCATGTGTGTTCAACGCTTGCTGTCGGGAAAGCGCCCCACGTGGTCAACGCACCTCTACGACGGGCGTTCGCATGAAGACAAGGTTGGATCGTGTCAGAGCATTTGCGTCAGGCTGGAATTGCCCCCAGGCTTAGAGGCTCAGCTCTTCAAGACCCCTTCCGTTAGCCATGCCAGAAGCCATGCAGAACCCTGCCCCCTCTATGGTATGGTATGGTCTTTGACCCCCCCCCTCCCCACCTGGATTGTTCCCGGCACACCGGTGCTCTCCATGCGGCTGGCGGTGTTGACGGTGTCGCCTGGCAGGGGGAGGGGAAGCAGCACGGGGAGGATTGGGGTGCGGGAAGAGGAACCACCGCACAAGCACCGTGCTCTTGGGAGCGCATGTGCGGTGAGCTTGCTTGGTACGTAATGCCGACCCGTAGGATGGGCAGCGACGTGAGAGGCAGCATCCGAATGGGAGCTCCCACATGCCATCCGCATGCCGCATGGCCAACAACAACACACAGGTACCGGTACGTGCCAATCGCACCCCACCCCACCCCCGCCCCCAGCACTCACCGAACAGGCAGTACCGCGCCCTCACCGTCCCCACCACCCCGCTCATGACCTTGCCCGTGTGCATGCCCACGCGGATGCGCACGCTGCCGTGGCCCTGCAGCGGAACGGCCACGGTGGCGGCGGCCGCCAACATGCCGCACGCAAAGTCAAACATGTGCGTGGCGTGGTCGGGATCCTCAGCCAGCAGCCCTGTGGCGGCCATGTAGCAGTCTGGGGGGGGGGAGCGGGAAGGGAGGGGAAAAATATATGATAAGTGCAGCAACGCGAGTCCCAATCCCAAATCCCGACTCGTGCAGTGAGGGGGAGAGGGGAATCCCGGGCGTGCTGTCGCCGGAGGACACCAAAGGACACAGGTACGGGTATGCACGCGCCATGTACGAAAGGAGGCTTTGCGCGGAAGCTACACAGCTATTCGCAGCTGTTGCCATGCCACGCCTTGAAGCCGCAAAACGACCGGAACAGAGGATGCATGGAGTCAGTAAAACCCCAAACAGCTATACGTACCAGCACGCTCTGTGGGTACCCACTCCACAGCCCCCTCACCTCCAATCATCAACCCCCCCGGGGCTCACCTCCGATGGTCTCCACCTTGTACACGTTGTGCCGCTCCAGCAGCGCATCGTAGCGGGTGAACAGCTCGTGCAGCATCAACATGACCTGCGGGGGGGGGGTGTCGGGGAGAACCAAACCAAATGATATTGCGGGTGTTTAGGGCAAAGCAACGGACATGTACTACAGGAAACCCCAACACCTTGTCGCGGCCCCGCCTCCCGCCCCCCGCCCCAGCCCCCCGCCCCCCCCCCGCCCCGGCCCCCCCTCCGCCCCCCGTCCCCCGATTGGGACTTTAGTTGTTTGCATTTCTTATATAATTCCCCCCCCCCCGCCCCACCTGCTGCGGCTCCATCGCCTGGCTCATGGGCGTGAACTGCACAATGTCCTGCAACCACCAGCGACCAGCAGCCAGTCAGCACACGGAGCAGCAGTTGTTGCGTCACAAACACACGCAGGCACCACTCGCAGCACCCCTAGCTCACAAACAGCTGCACCGTGTCCCGCACGGGCACAATGCATGGTGGGCATCACACAGGCGAACACACACAGTACGTTCCGACTCGCGGCCCCCCCCCCCCCCCCCCCCCCCCCCCCCTCACCGCGAACAGCACCGTCACGTTGCTGTGCCACTGCTGGTACACCAGCCCCACCGGCGTCTCTAAAGTCATCACAGCCGGCTCGGCGACACCACCCCCCCCACCACCGCCGCCTCCCTCCACCGCGCTGCTGCTCTCTCCCCCTTGCGACGTCCGCGGCACCGCCCCCGCCAACAGCCCACCCGCGGTCACCCGCCGCACGCTCATGGACCGCTTGGGAACGGTGCTGCACGGGGACACCAGTCCTCCCGAGCCAGTCACCCCTGCCACAACGCCTGCGCCGCTACTGACACCAGCTGCCCCTGCCCCGGCCGCACCAACCGACCCGCCGGACCTCATCTGCGGCAAGCTGGCGTCCAGGGAGGCCCTGTGCAAGCTGCTGCTGCTACCCCGCGCCACCTCCCCGCCTCCGCTACCACTAACCCCGCCGCCGCCGCCGCTCATGCCGAAAGCAGATGTTGCGGCTACCGCTGCGGGTTGTTGTTGTTGCTGCTGCTGCTGCTGGGCAAACATGGGCAGCATGAGCGCATCGTCGTTGGACGTCATGAAGCGGCGCTTCAGGGTGAGCGCCACGTGGCTGGGCATCAGGTCTGACAGCAGCTGCTCGTCCGCACGCACGTCCTCTAGCGCGCGCTTCAGGTAGACCATCTAAAGGAGCGGGGGGAGCAGTGGGAACAGGGAGCGGGGGGAGCAGTGGGAACAGGGAGCGGGGGGAGCAGGTTAGCAGGAGAACAAGCGATGAAGGGCAGGAGGGACAGGGTTGCAAGGCGGTGGGGTGGGACGTGTGGAACAAGGGGGAAGGGTGCATGTCGCAGGGGGTGGCTCCGCTAAATGCATGCAAGGCCGCCCACACTGGACTGCTCTCAACGTCTATAGCAACCAGACACACACCCAACCCGTTCCCACTCGCAGCCAGTCCTACTAGCGCTACGACACATGGGCGCCCCACAGCCCCCCCGCCCGCCCCCCCACCTGCCCCAGCTGCGCCGCCAGCTGCTGCACGCAGCCCACGAACACGGAGTCCATCACATCGGGCAGAGGGCTGTGCAGCACCAGTGCGCCCTGCGGCTGCCCGCTGAAGAACAGCGGCACCACGCACACGCTGCGGGCACCCTCCAGGTCGCGGGCGCTGCGCCAGTCGGCGTGCCTGCAAGAGGGACGGGCGGTGGTGTGTTACATGGTCTGATTCATGTTCAAGGCCATGAATACGCATGCAAAGGAATCAAGGGCGATGAGCGGTTGCGTGCGGATGATGAGAAGGAGGCGGTCTCATGGACGGGCATTGCCCCAAGATGTAAACACACACAGGGCCGCCGCGTTCGCCACCACCCCCATCCCTCTGCCGCCCTCACTTGTTCAGCAGCTCCTCGCTGGCCTTGGTGATGTCGTTGTTGAAGAGCGTTGCGCCGCTGTGCAGCGAGTCCAGAATGCTGGGCAGCTGCGGGTGGGGAGGGGTTGCAGGTGGGCACAGGTGGGGAGAGGGCAAGCAGTGAGCCCCTCCCGGTTCCCGCCCGCCGTACACACAGCGCCACAACGAACCACATCTTGTCGTACAAAGCACAACACAAAGCCAGCGGGCCCCTCATGCCATCATGCAGCTGCCGTGTACCCCCAACACTGCGACTCTTGCTGCAGCTCCATTCCCGCACTCCCACCGCCGCCGCTGCTCCACGGCCCCCCTCACCTGCTCCAGAGGCAGCTTGTACGGCGGCATGTCCGAGCCCAGCAGCTGGTCATGCAACACATACACCGTGGCATGCGGGTCGAACCCTGACAGCCCCGCACCCGTGCCCGCGCCCGCAGGCGGGGGTGTCATGCCGGTGACACTGCCGCTGCGGAGGCCGGTGCGGCTGGGTGGCGCGGAGGACTTGGGCGCCAGCGGGGACACCATGCCGTCAAAGGTGGCGGTGCGGGGGGCCACCTGCTCCACCAGCACCAGCAGCGCGGAGCAGCTGTCGAGCGCCTGGGGGGGCCCCGGGGGCGGGGGGGAGGGAGGAAGACAGCATGGGCAGGGGGGTAAGAGCATGATGGAATGGTGTGGGTGCAAGGAGGTGCCGGCGATTGGGGTGAGGAGCGGCGAGGTGGAAGGAGGGAGAGTTAATGAGTGATGCATGGCAGCAGGAAAGGAACGTAGGAACGTAGGATGGAAGGCATGACAGGGATTCCTCGGGAAGCCACACAGCTTCACGGATGAGCGAGTGTGGAGCTGCCCAACTACCGACCGCTGTTGCGGCGGCTGCATGTGGGGTGTGATGGAGAGCGCAGGGCACAACATCTACAGGGTGGCCTGCCCCGCCCTGCTGGCCCCACCTCGCTCATGCACCTATCCACTGTGATGGCGATGCTCTGCCGCGACGCCTCCTGCAGCTGCATGGACGCCACCGCGGCGGCAAAGTCCGACAGGCCGCTCTGGTAGATGCCGACCCGCGGGTCGACACTCACCGTGAAGGCCAGAGCCACCACCTGGAGCCCGGGGGTGAAGAATAAATGAAAAGTGAAGCAATGGAGTCCCAATCCCAAATCCCGACTCATGGAAGGAAATCGGCAGTGACGGCCTGCACCTCCCGACTGCCCTCAGCCGAGGGGGGAACATGTGTGCGTCTTGTGGGGGTGGGGTGGGGGTGGTTTGCTACGCCGCGCTGGAAACAGCACAGCGGTACAGCCGACTAGCAGCACACTCCCTAACTCAAGCCATGGACCCATCCCGCTAACCTAGTCCTGGAGCCACAGCCGCAGCCGGTGGCCAGACCGGGCTTGGGCTGTTCGTACCGGTACCCCTACCTGCTGGCAATACCCCCCCAGCTGGCTACCTGGCTACCCACCTGGCTCACGACGACGCAGGCGAGCGCCATCATGAACAGCGACAGCGCCAGCGCCGTCTGCGGCAGCCCCGACACCCCCTCCGCCGCGCTCAGCCGCTGACCCATGGCCATCACCGCGCCCTCCGCCCACTGCAGCACCTGCGCGTTGGCAGCACAGGGGACACGGCGGAACACAAGGGGGTACATATACCGGTGGGGTGTGTGCGTGCATGCTCAGTTCGCGCAGGGCTTGCTAGTCAGCGACACAACAAGCGCTATGGCGCGCTACATGCTCGCAACGTGAACCGGCAAGCGGCTTGCCTCCCCAGTAGAGGCCGGATCACGTAAAGTCCCCATCCCTTTCCCCTTTCCCCAATCGCTTTCCCCGCGACAACAGCGCCACAGCTCCTGCGCGGCCCGGTCAACCCACCCCGGCCAACCCACCCCGGCCAACCCACCCCGGCCCCGGCCGACCTACCCACATCTCCACCAGCCGGTACGGGTCCGGCTCGTACCCCTCCTGCGCCGGCATCGCCCACCGCAGCACCCGCGTAAGCCCCGTGAACAGCAGCGTCAGCACCAGGAACGCAACCGAGGCGAACAGGTTGCCGTTGGAGGAGAACTCCAGCCAGCGGCACATCAGCGGGTTGGGCTTCACACGCACAACACCACCACCACCGCCACTGCCGCCACCGGCGCCGGCGCCGCCCACCGGCCTGCCGCTGCCGGTTCGTTCCTCCAGGCTCGGCACGCCAAAGTCAGCAGTGCTCAGGCCGCACACCCCGCTACGGAAGCGGTTGCGAGGCAGGACGCCGTCCGCCAGGTCGGCATCATCACTGTCGTACAAGTCAGCAGAATCATCATCGTTGTCGTCGTACAAATCAGCTCCGTCGTCGTCACCATCATCATCATCATCATCTCCATCATCCGAGATGTTTAGTGAGCCTAGCAGCAGTTCGTCGCTGATGCGGGCTTTACGACGCCGCCTGGCGAGTTTCCTCTCTAGCGCGGCGTTGGATGCGGCTGCGTCGAAGGCGCAGTGGGCCGCAGCGTGACGGTGGTGACGGATGGGGGCGGCGGCGACGGCGGCGGCGGCGACGGTGTAGGCGAGGGTGGAGAGGACAAAGTAGGTGGCCAGGGACACGATCTGGGCAGGAGGAGGGGAGGATGCGAGGCGGCAATAACAGGAGGACGGTGGGTGTTAGTGGGTAAAGACTCCCTCGCACCATAACCGTCAGTTGAGAAGCGGCACGACACGGCAGCAAGGGTACGTAAGAACCCTTAAACAGGAGGTCAACAGTCCCTATCGGACATCACACGTCCCTATTGGACGTGGCTGCGCATGTAAGACGATCAGGATTAGCGAATCTGACAAACCGAAACCGGATGATGTGGTCCCGGCACGGCTGAGGGGTGGTGCCGGTAGCGCCCACGCGGCGCTGTGAGGCCGCGGGCCCTCCCGACCCCCACTCACCAGGCGCTGGGGTGCGAGGCGCGAGGGGTCCTTGATGCAGCTCAGGCTGTACACCACGATGATCTGACAGAGGAGGGCGAGGGGGCCGGCATGGGGGATACGGAGGGGGGATACGGGAGGGGCCGAAAAGAGGAAACGGATGAGCTGTATGACGAGGCTTCACGCAGGGGGCGGGCGGGCGAGGTAGGAGTGCCGCAGCGCCCTCATGGAGCCCCGCAGCGATGCGAGACAAAGGCAAGATTGGCCGGCATGTGCGCATATCATGTCAGTGCCGGTAGAGCCGTTGCACACAACGACTACCGGTCCATGATGGATGCATGGCATGAAGGCATCAGCATTGCAACCGTAATACCGTACACAGAGGAGGGCCTTCAATCCCATCGCTATTCCTTGGGATTGCCGTGATCCGTTCGCCTCGCTTGTGCTCGCTTCTTTCAGTTTACCTAATCCCCTACTGTCGTACACCCCCACACCTTGATGGGCATGGAGCGCAGGAAGGAGCTCGCCGACAGGCCAATCAAGCCAAACGCCACCGAGGAGACGATCGCCCGACCCAGCAGGCTGGGAACCTGCACAGGGCGTGCAAAGCCAAGCAGCGCCACCGGGTGAGGTCGAGCAGTCAAGCAAAGCACACAGGAAGAGGTCCCGCCCCCCAACCAACACACAGGGAATTCTTCTTTTCTGCCCCTTTTGCCAATTAGGGACTGCAGCCATGCAGCCCAGCCCTCACTAACTTCGTCGGCAACCACCCTTCCTTCCGGCTTTGTTATCCCTCATCGCGGCCCCTGGCCCACCACGCCCAACCATTTTCACATATTACCCGCGCTCATCAAACCACCCGTCCCCCGCCACACAAACACAATACCCGCCGTACCTCCATGCCGGCTGCTATGTACAGCGTCGACCGCAGCGCATGCAGCACCGTCAGCCGCACCGTCCAAACAGCGGTGCGCACCCGACGCGAAGTGACCCACGGGTCGCGGCGGCGCAACGCGCACAGGTACCACAGCCCCGCCACCAGCGCGACACTGTACAGCAGCGCCGCCGCAATCCAGGTGCGCGTCACGGCGCCGGGGGTGCAGGCGCGCAGCAGGTGCACGACGTCCGAGGCGTGCTGAGCCGAGTAGATGACGGCGAAGACAATGTCGCGCGGCACCGTGTCCTGAGGCGGGTGAGGAAAGAAGATAGAAGGATACTCAATGTGGTAAATGGGAATGGCAATGTCCTGAGGGGGTTGGGGGTTCGGAGTGGCCGAATGGGCCCAGAGGTGTGGGGCAGGTCTGGGATACCGGTATGTAAGGCTGACGCTTGACTCGCGGACTGGTGGTATGGCTGGGGACCATTAGGGAGCACTATCATGGTGATCACATGGTTGGCGGACGGCCTCCCTTGACGTGCAGATGCACCGCGGCGAGCGGCGCAGAGCTATCAGCTGCCTGGCGACGCAGACGCATGATGCCACATGAGGGGAAGACAACAGCGGCCGAGCAGCCCTGGGGTCCCCTTCCCTGCACTCAGGACTGCCGTAACCAGTCGCAAGCATGCGACACGTGCACATGTCCCCCCCACCCCACCCCACACGAGTTCCATCTACCGGTAGAGCACAAACATGACTACCTCCACTCCGCACACTCCGCCCCTCACCTCTCGGGCGCACAATCCCTCCGGCAGCGCCGACGCCAGCCGCCTCCGCCCCCCCTCCCGCGCCGCCGCCCCCCCGCCCGCAGCGGCACCCGGGCTGCACCCGCACCGCGCAGGCGGCGAGTGCGAGTGCGAGTGAGCAGAGCGGCTGCTCGCCCCCAGCTTGCACTCCACCACGGCGGCAGCGGGCTCGCCGACCGGCGCCAGGCTGCCGTGGCTGGAGGTTGAGGTCAGGTGGCGCAGCTGGTTTCCCAGCGCCCGTACTGCACCCGTCGTGGATTTCAGGGGGCCGGAACTGGCGGAGGCTCCAGGGGGTGGTATGTTGGGGGCCGTGAAGGGGGACTGTGGCCCGGAGAGGTACCGCTGGGCCCGGGTGGAGGTGGGGGAGGCGGCCACAGCGGTGAGCAGTGGACTGGGTGAGACCCGCGGGTCGGGAACGTTGACCGCGTGCGGTGCATCGGTGTCGGAAAGGGACTTGGCGACGTCGACTGGCGTGGGTGCTGGGAGGGAGGAGGAGGACGCCGCATCTGGCACCGTAACAGGGGGCGCGGCTGATGTTGATGCTGACGCCGATGCTGCAGCTGGGGGTGTGTCCGGTGTCACATGGCGGGCGAATGGGCTCACTTCCTCGTCGCCGGTGACATAGGACGGCGCGGCTGCTAGCCTCCCGCCGGGCGCTTCTACCGGTACCTCCCGCGCTACCCCTCCCCCTGCCGCCGCACCCGCGTTATCCACAGCAGCAGCAGCAGCCGCATCTGGAACGGCCACTGCGGCGGTAAGGTGCGCTGCAGCAGTAGCACCATCACCACCACTGCCACCTGCGGCCGAGGACAGCCCCAACTCCTTGGGCTGCGACGGCTCCCCTGCATTGCTGGCTGCAGCCAGCTCAGCCCCCTGCGCAAGCGCCTGCTGGAGCCGCTCCGCCTCCGCCGCAGGTGCCTCGGAGAGCTCCACACTCGCATACGGTGTGGGCGACTCCAGCGCCGGAGCACCTCCGCCCTCCTGCACCCCCACATGCGGCCCAGACTGGCTGGCGGACACCTGACGGCGGCCCCTGGCCCCCGCCAGGGGAGGCAGCCCAGCAGGACCCTCTTCCGCTGCGGGGCCTTGTTGCTGCCTGACCAGCGGGAGCTGCGCATCTGACAGCGTGGGATGCAGCGCGGCATGCTGCTGCTGCTGCTGCAGCCGTCGCGCGGCAGCAGTGGCCGCGGCGGCGGCTGCGGCGCCTGCTCCAGCCAGGGTCTCCTCCTCCTCCTCCTCTTCCTCCTGCGGATGAACAGCGCCTCCTCCGCCGCCCGGAAGCGGCAGCAGCTCCTGCTGCTGCACTGCTGCGGGGCTGGAGGACACCCGGCCGCGGCGGGTGGGGACCCGCAGCGCACCCGCGCGGGAGCCGGAGGAGGGGCTGGCGTCGCGCAGTGGGGGGGCGGCAGCCGGGCTGGGCGGCCGGTCGACTGAGGCGGCGGTGGCAAGGTCGGTCAGGAGCGGCAAGGGGCCGTTGAGGGAGAAGCTGCTGCTCAAGGGGGAGGCGCGGGCTTGCAGCCGGGAGGGTGGTTCGGGCGGCTCAGGCAGGGCTGCAGTACGGCTGGGGGACGAAGGTGCGGACGGGCGGCCGGCGGAGTCTGTGGCAGGGAAGCCTACATGGCGTACGGCGGGCTGGAATTGGGCTCGGCGGGGTTGAGGGTGCTGCTCAGGAGGAAGCAGTTGCTGTTGTGGCGTGGTTGAGGCAGGCTGCCCTGCCAGGTCCCTGTCGGGTGCCCCGCCTCCTCCTCCTCCTCCTCCTCCTCCGGACTCCAGGCTGAAGCGCCGGCTGCGGGCGTGGTCCGCGCTGCTGCTGCTGCTCATGCGGCGGCCGGTGCGCTGCTGTTGAGAGGCGGCGGAGGAGGAGATGGGCTGCCGCGAGTAGAGCATGAACTGGTGGTTGACGACGTGCGCCAGGCAGGCGCCGCAGCAGATGACGCAATACAGGGTGATGTCTCGCAGCCTGCATGACCGGGTATGGGGGGAGAGGAGGTCCTGGTTGGTTGGGGATGATGAGGAGGCTGCTGTAACGGATCGGTGAGTAGGGCATAGTTCCATAACAACCTGCGCTTTGCACGGCAGCTTAGAGCCAAGGAGGTGCGTGAGGCAGGAGCCCGCACACCACATCCACGCCAGCGGTAAGGCCGCCTTGAGCACCGGGAGTTGTGGACACTTGGTGGGGGGCATATACCCCATATGCAGTCAGTCACCAGGCGAACACTCCCCATGCCCCAACTCCCTTCTACCGCCTCATCCGCCGCACGCACGCATGCATGCACGCCGTTCCGTCCGCACCTGTCCATCCGGCGGTGCGGGGCGCCCGCGTGCGACCACAGCAGCGACTGCAGCGCCGCCGCCGCCAGCAGCACCAGCTGCTGCGCCACATACCAGCCGAAGCTGTCGTCGTGCACCACGGCGTGCAGGGAGAGGAACAGCACCGACACCGTCATCGCCTCCGGGTCGCCGGCGGCCACCTGCGGGAGGCACAGGAGCGGGGGTTACAGAACAGCGCTCACAGCGCCCCCAGCCCCACATCCGTACTCCGATCCTCCAACCCCCCAGCCCACCCAAAGCACCACCACCCACCCACGGCTCCACATGCGGTGCGATGAGTCCCGCCAGCGTGACCCCCCACACCGCCTTGTTGTAGCGGTCCGCGCTGCGCAGGTACTGCTGCGGCCGCCGCCACAGCAGCACCAGCTGCCCCGCGTTGGCCCCCAGCACCGCCAACACCCCCAGCACCGACACGGCCCGTGACGCCAGCGGCGCCCCCGCTGCCAGGTCCTTCACAACCGCAACCCCGAACATGGCGCCGCACACGCAGGTAACGGCACGTGACAGCGCCACTTTCAGGATGTACGAACGCGTCATCACGTGCAACGTGAACTGGCTGAGGCCGGTTGTGGAGTGCCCTGGGATGGGCGACACCACGCAGCTGGCCAGGGAGGGGGCAGGCGACATGCAGCTGGTGTCCTCAGGCACGCTGGTAACGGCGCTGAAGCGCCGCGCCCGACGACTTCCCAGCAGCGGCAGCGACAGTGACAGAGCGGTGCTGCTGCTACCTGCGGCTGCTACTCCCCGTAAGTAGGTGCTTCCCTCCGGAATCGGCTCTTGCAGGCTGGAGGGGAGGAGGCCCTCTGCGGCCGCCAGCCGGGAGCTGCTGTGCGGCAGGGCTCCGGGGGGGTTGGGAGAGGAGCTGCTGGGTGCCACCAGCGGTGAGGGCGGAAGGAAGGTCTTGCTGCGGGGCGGAAGAGGAAAGGCAGCGGTGCAAAGGCGTGCGTCGGGACGGGGCAAGGGTCTGCGGGAACTGTGCCATACTTGGGAGTTCATGTTATAAGGTTCTGTTACTTCGGTGATACGGCGCTAAGCTGGTGATGCTACTCACGAGAAGACGTTGTAGATGAAGATCAGCGCCAGGCAGAGCCCCAGGAACGACATGCACTGCAGCGCCGCGTTGATGCTATGCGTGTCCCCCGTAGCTGTCACAGCCGCAGTAGCCGCACAGGTGCCCGCCTCATACCGCAACCTGCCTCCCAAGCCGCCCTTCACCAGGGCCGCGGCGGCAGTGCTGGAGGCCGCAGCGCCGGCACTGCCTCCTAGCAGCCCCTCCGAGCCCCACTTGTGCACGTACGGCTGTGCTGCGTGCGCCATCTCATACACCAGCGATACCACACCCAGCTGCACAAGGAACAGGTCCTTGGCGTCTTGCTGCAGGATGAGGAACATGCCGTGCTGGATCAGCTGGACCTGGAAGTGCACCGGCAGCAGGCCGCTGCAGTGGCGCGCAATGGCTGCGAGTGCGAGGGTAAGGGTGAGGGGCAGGTGCAGGGAGGGCGCCGCGCGGAAGTAGCTCTGACCGTCCAGGGCCAGCCACAGCAGGCACAGGCCGTGGGCGAGGACCCTGAGCAGGGAGCCGCTGAAGGCTAGGGTGAAGGCAGCGGAGGTGGCTGCGGAGGCGACCGGGAAGGGGGTGCATGGGTAGGGGGTGGGGGATACGGTAAGGCGGAGGAGTGGTGGGGCCGGCTCGAAGAGGGAATGCAAGGGGGTTTGGGCTTGGGCTATGATATGTTTGTTTGAAATGGTTAAGGTCACGTTGACTGACTGAACAGCGTATGTGACGCTTCAGCATGTGCACCAAATGAGGGCCTGATGAATAACGACAGCCCCTGACGACAGCTGTCCGGCAACTAGCGCATGGACCAAGGTGTGGCCCCACCTGTGGTTGCAGGTGCGTTGCTCAGCAGGAGCCATAGCTGCCGGTACGATACCGTGAGTCCATACAGCCTGGTGGAGGGAAACAGACAGGAGAGGCGCGAGCAGCACACACCAGGTGGAGTTCAGCTGTTTGGTCTCCTGACGCTGCATCTGGGGTGCCAGAGCCCAATCTCGAACGACGGCAGTGCCGTTGGGATTCCACTGTGGCTTCACAGTATTGACGCTCTTAGTGGATAAGGAAACCCCACGCAACCCCCGTGTTCAGCTGCGTTCAGTAAAGCAGATTCCCTTTACCAGCCTTCGCACCTTCCAAGCATGTTTTGGAACAGCCATCTGGTCTGGTCTGATGGAGGCGGAACCTCCTGCGGCAGGCCAGCGTAAGGGGTGTGGCGTGCCCCTTTTAACCCTCGGCTCCCAGCAGCGTGTCCCCCTGCCATGGCACCTGTGCAGGTCGCCTACCAAGCGAGATAATGCACACGACCTACCTGACTGCGTTTTTGTTCCTTTTGGGGGTGAAGCCTTCGCAGTAAAGCCCGTATCCTACAAAAGACCGAACAGCATGCTCAGGCATACGGTACCGGTAATGCAACTCGGTGTTGGCGGCTGATGGCATATACAAAAGGCAGCTTACGGTTCCCATGTGCCAGAAGAGCCTCCCCACAGGCTGCCCAACAGAAGTCCAACGAAGACGGATGGAACGAGTTGCCAGGAGGGCAACGCTATCATCTGTACATGCATCTCTCTCGTTCACATTCTAGACTTTGTGAAACGCGTTTAGCTGTTATTGCTAAAATGAAGTTGTATAGGCAGTCTTCGGTTTTCCAGTTGAACACGGCAACGGACACACTGCTACCATGCGTGGCAGTCCAGCCTTTACTTAATGGAAGCTGTATGTCAGTGTGCTACCACGCCTAGTATTGTCAACAACTTCAGTAAGACAGCGGGAAGGGATAAACTCCAGGATGGGCCGAAATGGCTGGATAATAGGACACCGCCTTAGGTAGATTATCTATCGTTTGAAATTGGAAAAGAAGAATTAGATGTGTAGAGGTAGGAATACTCTCATACTCGCTGTACCATCGGTTGTTACCATGTCAGCCTCCCACGTGTGGAAGTCATGTCAACGACACTTAAGGCCGAAGAATCTAGACGACTGGAATTCATTTTTACGTATATGCCACCTCATCAAACCTGTCAGGATAACTTGTGAACCTAGGTTACAATGCAACTGCTAAGCCTTCTAAGGAGGTGATCCGTCGTAAATTCCAAGGTGTTGCGGTACATGTCCGTTACCTGCCAAGCTTTAGAAGCGCCAAACAACCATCCCCGGCTGCTGCGGATGCATCGAGGTTGGATGTGATGAAAGGCCGAATGTACCGGGTGGTAAGGCACGTTACACGGCACCTCAGCCACTGCATAGCCCAACGCTTACGGTTTTCCATCAGACACAAAGCCAAGGTACCCATTGCATCTCCGTGGTTATCACACCGGCTTTACGGTCTGGTGGCCTTACACCGAACACCCCCGATAATTCTTCTACTAAAAGAGGACACGGTACCATACCTGTAACACGATGCAGCGGTACAAACCTACCAGCAGACGGTGTAACAGCAACAGGAGAAGCGCTTGACGCAAGAGCAAGCAAGTGCCAGTTGTAAGCACGCACCTGCTACGGGCGCACCTAAGGCACATATGATTCGTCATAACCGAACACGATGATGACTACCTACGATGCTAAATTTGTTATACACTATCCCGAACCCTCCACAAGGCAAAAACCGGCACTGCAGCAAGCAAATTCCCAATGCCATTGCGCAGCTTACGTGAAACCCCCTACGTCGCCTTCTTGCCGTCACGCCCGCCTACAGCCCCTCCCGTCTGCTGCTGGTCCGCTCGCAAGTGCTGGAAAGACGCCACCGTCTTCTGAATGGCATCCGCAACCTTCACCTTCGGGACGTAGCCAAAATCACGCCGGGCGCCCTCCATGCTAAAGGTGCGGTTAGTGGTTGCAATCAGGATGCGGTTGACCGTGAAGTCGCTGCGCAGCTCCTTGCCCATCAAGCGGATCAGCGGCAGCACCACGTACTCAAACACCATGGCCAGGAACATGACCAGCGCGAAAGGCAGGTGGATGCGCGGCCGACCGTAGCCCAGGCCTTGGCACATGTCGCCCATCATCTCCCAGAACGGCTTCGGCTCGCCGTTGGTAATAAAGTACGGCTTGCCCGCACACTTGGAGGACGGGCTCAGCGCGTCCGCAGCCAGCAGGTGCGCAGCAGCCACGTTGCCCGCATAGGTAAAATCACATTGGTTGGCGCCCGAGCCCAGCACGTACTTCATCTTGCCGGCCTTGGCGTTACGGGCCAGCGTGGGCACAAACACCGCATCACCCTCGCCAAAGATGCCGCTGGGCCGCAGCGCCACCGTTGACAGCGTGGTTTCAACGCCCGGTCCAGGGCGTGCCAGCTTGCGTCCGTTGTACTCCAGCACAAGCTGCTCGCCAAGGATCTTGGTGCGGGTGTAGTGGTCCATGGGGCGCTTAGCGTACGGAGTCGTCTCATCCACCATGTGCAGTGGCCGCCCGTCAAACACTACCGAGGCCGAGCTAGTGTACACCACCTTTGGCACTCCAGCGGCCACACAGGCGTCGAGCAGATGCCGCGTGCCGTCAACGTTGACACCATTCATCAGCTCGATGTTGAGCGCGTTCTCTCCAGTTGGCGCGGCGGTAGCAATATGGAAAACGACATCTATCCCACGCACTGCTGCAGCGATGTCCTCTGGCTTGCGCAGGTCGCCAACTACGCAAGCGTGCGGCCGCGGCTCCTCCAGTGGCCGCACATCAAAGACCACCACTTCATACCGGCCCGTGTCCAGAAGTTGCCGTACAACGTGGCGTCCCAGGAAACCCGCTCCTCCGGTAACCAGAGCCCTGATCAACGGCTTGCTGCCGTTGCGATCAGCCATTGTGCCGCCCTGCGGTAGCTGCGCCCAAGCTGAGTGCTGCAAGGATGACCGAGGCAGGCAACCGTCGGACCTGGCTGATAGGAAAGTCCACTACCGTAGTTTACTGCTTAGCAGCCTCCTTGGCCTTGCGCGCCTCCTCAATGGCAGCGTCGAGGGCAGCCTCCAGCCGCAACTTAGCGTACTCCGACTGAAGAGAAGGCCTGTGCTCGGTAAGATCTTGTGGCAGGTAAGGGCCCTTCCAGTTCATGCCAGCGTTGGGGTACTGTGGGGGTCATACAAAGGTCATCAGTTAGGCATCAAGATGTAAAGCCTTTATAATAACTTCGCACCGGGCTACTGGATGCAGCCATGACACAGTATGGATGTTTTGCGACGAGAAATTGCATACGTTAACGCGCCAAGCTACCTAGGAAGGACCCCAACTCACCCACTTCTCGAAAGCCTCCCAAAACTCGGGAACACGCGCTAAGGCAAAGCAGCCAATAGGCACGACAATGAAGAGGGCGTAGCGGAGTTTCTGTAGAGGGAGTAGGAAAAAGACTGTCGGCAACGCTGCTACAACAGGGCAGCCAGGAAAGAGTGCGGACACACCTCAAGGGTGCTGCGGACTCTATGGTTATAGCCCACACGCGGTGTCGTCATGCTGCTGAGCTATGCTGAAGAACTAGATGGTCAGGGCCTTACGAGGAAAGGCGCCACAATGGTTTAGTCTTATTTCTGCAGTAAGGAAGGTAGCTAGACCAAAACGACCGCACAGGGAAGCACTTATGTATGAATTTAGAGTAAATTACGCGATCGTACTGACGCTCAGGTGGCCACGGCACGGGGTGGTTTCGGGGAATGGGATGCATTAAACCTAACAAGGAATTTGCGAAGGATGAACTCGGCTAAAAATGTGGTGTATTTGTTATAAGTTCGACCAGCATGATGGCTGGGCATAAGTTGCATTTTCGAAGGAACTTAAGGAACTTTAACAGTTAGTTTGGCATAGTCGCCATTCCGAACGATGGCTTCAGAAGTTGTTGCACTGTGCCAGGCGTTTGAGCAGGAATTCGCTAAAGTCTTGGCAATTCTACCGCCGGTCAGCGCCAGCAAACCTGACGCCCATGACGCGCACCTCAACCATCACCGGCTCAGCCAGCGGATTGCTGAAAGCGTATCGTACTATGCTGGTCGCCTACCAGCATACGCGAGCGTGCCGCGTATCCTTAGCTTCGGCGACAGGCTCTTCCGGCTTGAACAGCACCAGCTCGCACTCCAAGCATGTTACAAACATGTCAGAGGCCTACAGCTGCACACTACTCAGGAAAAGCTTCCGCGTATGGACATCCTGACAAGGCTGTCGAGCCACGTACAGGCATGCTTCGGTTGCGCGGCATGCGAGGCCGCGCTCCTGTTGCTGGCCGACCCTCAGATCAAGCATCCTGACACATTGCAATGGCTCGTGCAGTGCCTCTCACAGCTACGTAACGCCATAGCTCAGGCACTGCCGGACGAGCGGCTGTACTGGCTGGTCGTGAATGGAAGCGTCCATGTGTACAACATCGCCAAACCCATGATCACAGCCGGCTTTGCAGAGCAAGCCCTCCCATCCCTTATCTTCTGCATCAAGGCCATGGAGGGCCACGTGTGCTTCGCAGCCCCCAAGTACCTCCCTTGGCGCACGCAGCTCTACACCTGGGCGGTCTTCGGGCTGGTGGATTGCAGGGCGCCCGACCAGGCTCGCGCGCTGCTGACCGACGGCCTTAAGCGCATAGACCAGCTGGTGGCGCTGCAGAAGCTCGACCCGGTGCCCGCCACTCCGCAGGTGCAGACGGCGCTCAACACCGCGCGCAACACCCTGGTGGGTCTGCAGCTGCGGGTGGAGGCGGCTGCGGGCGCGCCCGTGGCGCCCGTGCTGGCGCAGCTGACTGCCGGGGTGGCGGCCGCGGCGCCGGCGGCACCTGCTGCTGCGCAGCGCACCCTGGTGATGCTGGTGGAGGCGCTGCATGTACCGCACCGCCGGGTGGTGCGCAGCGAGCCGGCGGAGGGGCCGCTGAAGGAGCTCTTCGACGCAGCGTTCACCATGGCGACCCCCCTGGTGGACGGCCTGAAGCAAGCCCTGGAGCAGGCGGCAGCACCTGCCGGGCCCGTGGCAGGGGCTGCGACCAGTGATGGCGCCCCACCGCAGCAGCCGCCAGCAGCCGCAGACGATGCAGCAGTAGCAGCACCCCCTGATCCCGCCGCCTTGGCCGCGGCGGTGTTGGCTGCTCAGGAGCAGCTCTCCTTCGGCGTGCACAAGGGCCTCATGTGCGCCGCCTACAACCTGGAGCAGTGGCCGCAGTTCGACCAGCTCGCCGACCTAGCGGTGGAGCGCACCAAGACGCTGGGCGACGCGGCGCCGGGCGCGGGCGACCTCGACCAGACCGCAGGGCAGCTGGCCACCGCTGCCAGCGTGCTGCTGGCGCTGCGCCGCCTCACCACGCAGCCCGGCGTGGACGCGCTGCGGCAGCTGGCGGCCGCCATCCAGGCGGCGCTCAACCGCGGCACGCCCGTCAACCTGACGCCCGCCAGCGCCGCATCAGCGCTGCTGCCTTCGGCGCGCGGGCCGTCAGGCAGTGGCGCGGCGGGCAGCTCGCAGACTGGCTCCGGCGCCGCTACCTCCGGCAGCTCCAAGCCCGCCGGGCTGCTGCAGCAGTCGCATCTAGCGCCCTGGCAGCAGCTGCGCGACCTGATCGCCGACGCCTCGCTGGCGCTGTACGGCAGCGCGCGGCCGCTGATTGACGGCGTGTTTTGCGCGGATGACAAGGAGGCGGGGACGGTGGCAGAGCTGCTGGCGGCTTGTCATGCGGCTTGGTCTGCGGTGGAGCTTGATGATGGGGAGCTGCGGGTGAGTGTGGCGCTGAAGCTGGCGCTGCTGCTGGAGGAGGGGGAGCAGCTGCTGGCGGCCAAGGAGGTGCTGCTGCAGGTGAGCTGCGGGCAGGAGGGGTGGGGGTTGAGGATTAAACCAAAACAGTTTGGGCAAAGCAATGGGGATAGGAGGTCATGGGGGCAACGGTGGTGGAGGTGGGGTGGGCGGGGCAGTGGTGGTGATAGATGAGGAATGGCGTGTGTGATACACTGGGCGCGGCGGCAGAGGTGGCAGAAACACTTAGGGCGGTGGCGGCTTAGGGCGGTGCTGTCGACAACTGTTCATCAAGCCTGCCGCCTATATCCCCCCTAAACCCCCTCCACCCCCTGCCTCCATCACACACCCCCGCCGCCCCGGGCCCCTCCCCCGCGCCCCCCAGGCCAAGGCCACCGTGCAGCGGGCCCGAGTGGAGCACAGCGCGGCCAACCGGCGCAGCGCCGACGAGCACCTGCGCTGGATCACCGCCTCCCGCAGCCAGCCCAACGACGACACGGCGGCCCTCGTAGCAGGTGAGCGGCGAGCTGCTGGTTTTGCCGGGGGTTAAAGGAGCGGTTGGAAGAGCCCAGCCAGACGTCACCTAGCGCCAGCACCGGCCCGCACTGCGTGTACTCTGCTCCACACCTTTTTCCCACTCCTAAGGGCTAGTCGCCTGTCTAGGTCCCTTCTGCTTTCATCTTTTGGGTGCCCGCTGCTACTGGTGTTCCCCATCCACCCGCGTTCCCCCGTTGTTCCCGATCGCAAGGTATGACTGCCAGCGAGCAGGAGCTGGCGTGTCTGCACGTGGACGTGCTGTCGCTGCTGGCGCGCGTGGAGCTGGCGGTGGGGGTGGCGGAGCAGCAGGGGCGCGCCACGCTGCGGCGCACGCGGGTGCTGGAGGAGCAGGCGCAGCGCACCGCGCAGTCCAGCATCTTTGGCGCGCGGAATGCGGCGGAGGTGGCGAGGGATGAGGCGAGGCTGGCGGCGGCGAGCGCCACGACGCCCAACCCGCAGGTGCGGTGGGGTGATGGTAGCCAGGGGGGGATGGCGGTGGAAACATGCGTTGCCTGTGCTTGCCGGTGACCCCAACCGGTGATCCCATGTATCCTCCACCTCTCCCTCCCCCCAATGACGACGCCTTATCACACTATTGGTTAGTTGTTTCCGCCTTACCCTTCCCCCCGCAGATGAAGGAGCGGGAGCTGCTGCAGGCGTGCGTCAAGAACCCCTACGAGCGCGCGCTGGTGATGATCCAGATGACCGCCTTCCAGGGCAACGACTCGGTGCGCAAGGCGCAGCTGCTGCAGGTAGGGATGCTGTGCAGGCGGACACAAGCTCTAGGAGCCGCTCCGTTCGGACGCATTGCGGTGCTGCGTGGTCCCCTCATCGCTTCCGTCCATCCTCTGTTTTCTTCACTTCAGCGCGGGCGGTGTGACATGTGTTGCAACGTCCCCCAACCCTCCCTCCACCCCTAGGACGCGGGCGACCTGCTCGACAAGGCGCAGGCGGCCGAGGACGGCCTCTTCGTTGCCGCCCAGCCCGACCTCCGCGCCCGCCGCGACGTGCCGCCACAGCCCAAGCTCCTGCAGCGCACCCCCACCTCCGTCACCCTGGTGGCGCACCCCCCCGGACCCGGACTCAAGACCCTGCCCGGCGCGCGCAAGCCGCCCAGCTGCTACGTGGCCTACTGCAAGTCCTTTGGCGCAGGCGTAGGACTGTCCATGAATAAGACTGCCATCGAGTACCCGGGTTCCGGCGTCATGGTGCCCTTGGGGCAGCCCGTGACCATCCAGGGGCTGCGCAGCAATGACACCTACCTCTTCGCGGTTGCGCTGTACGACGACGACGGCAACATCGTGGGAGGCCTGGGCACCAGCACGCCCGAGGTGCTGGTGGCGCTGCCGCTGCCCATCTTCATGTGCTGGACGCACCTGCTGGCGGCAGCCGTGCGCGCGGGCGCATGGGTGGCTGCAAAGCGCGCCGCGGCGGTGCTGCTGCCGCACTTTGTCATCACCACGCCGGACGTGCCGCTGTGGCGCGCGAACCCCATGGACGCGCAGCGCCTGCACCGAGCACATGTGGCGGCAGCCGCGCGGCCGCTGCTGCGCGCGCTGGTGCAGAGCATCTACGTGTACGGCGGTGCTGCGCTGCTGCGAGGCGGCGGCGTGGTGAGCATCAGCAGCACCACCACCGCCACCATCTCCCCCGCGGCGCCCGTGCCGCAGGTGGCGCTGCCCTGCACGCTGCCGCAGCTGCGCGCGCCGTTCCTGGAGGAGCAGGTGGCGCGGCTCAAGGCGGCGCGGCTACTGGTTCTAGGCATGGAGGTATCTGCGCTGCTGCCGGACGAGCCGCTCATGCAGGAGGGCGCGCTGCGGACGTACCAGCTGCTCGCGCCTCTGCTGGCGCTGCGTGCGCCGCGCACACCCATGCTGCATAAGGCCCTAGCCGCCTGCCATGCCGTACTGGCCTCCCTAACCAACCTGGTGCAGGACTCGCTGCACCGGCAGGAGCACCAGCGGTCGCTGGCGGCTCGTGTTGCGGCGGCGGTGACGTACCAGCTGTTGCGGCTGAGCGAAGATGCGGGGGAGGCCGCGGCTTCGGCGCACTTTGGACGGCTGAAGGTGGAACTGCTGCGGGCGTATGACCCACGGTTCACAATCGCCGGCCGGCCGCCGCCGCCGGCTGAGCTACAGGATGAGGCGTCAAGGCTGCATGACGTGGTGATGCAGCATCTGCGGTTGCCAGACTGGGCGCCTGAGCCGATTGTGGAGCGGCAGAAGGATGAGAAGGACTTGCCGGCCAGGGTGCTGCCGTTGCTGGCTACGCCGTCTCCGATGGACGCGTGGGGCGCGGCGCTGGGCTTTGAGACGGCTGTGGAGCACCCAAGGCGTGTTTTGGGTCTGGTTTCCTGTAGAAAGGGACGTACAGGAAATGACGTCCCGTTGGCTCTGAGGCGCCCTGAGAAGCCCTGAACTATGCATGCGGCATGGCAACTTGCAAGTACCCTGTGCAGTCCTGTTGGCATGCCTCATAAGGGGCATGACGCATGGCTGCAGCGTGGGGCTCTCATGTGTTAACACGGCCCTTCACCCCATGTCTGGTTCGCTGCTGCCGCAGGTGGGTGGAGCTGGTGGTGCGCATGCTGGAGGCGGCGGTGCGGAAGGGCAACCTGGGCAACGCGGCACAAGTGGCGGAGCAGCTCATCTGGTGGATCCGCGCACGCACCAAGATACCGCTGCTGAACCCGCCGGAGCCGCCGCCGCCCCCGCCGCCGGGCGCGCCGGTGCCGCCGCCGCCGCCCCCCGGGTCCCCGCCGCCTCCCCCGCCGCCGCCACCTCCCAAGTGGATCCTGGAGGAGGCTGCAGGTGGGCGACCGGGAGGGGGCTTCCGTGCATGCTGGCTGTACGGCACTGGAATCGGACATCTATAGGCATTACCGCACCATGATGAAACGTACATGGTATGGGCTTTTGATGCAGCATGTACAGCACCAGCAGGCATCCATGACTTTTGCACACATCCCCCTGTACCCATTACCATCCATAAAAACACCCTCCCCTCATCCCGGTCCAACCTCCGCTTCCTGCCCACCTGCTGCACAGCGGCGCTGGACCCCGCCAAGGTGGCCTTCGAGCCGCCTCCGCCTCCCCCCACCGAGGGGCTAGCTCCGGAGGACGCCGCCGCGCTGCTGGCCCGCCACGCCGAGGAGGTGCGGCAGGCGGAGGCGCAGCAGCGGCGGCGGCTGGCGGCGGTGCTGTTCCTGCAGAAGCGCCTGCCCAAGCTGCTGGCGCGCAAGCGAGCAGTCGAGAAGATCAGGGCGGACCGCAAGCGGTGAGGCGCGACTGTGCGTTGCTGCATGCTAGGGCCGTGACGTGTGGCTGAGCTGCGTGCGTGTTGCATCTTCGCATGTCGCAAGTTGCGTACTAGAGACACAGAGAAGCACCGTTCATGCCCCCCCCCTGTTAACCCGGCGTTTCCTGCCCCCCTTTGCTTCCCCCCCTCCCCTCAGTTGGGCTCCCTGGCTGTCGCGCCTCAACACCGTGCTGGGCCTGCTCGCTGCCAGTGAGGCACGCAAGTACGTGGCAGCCCTGCCAGCCCGCGCGGCCGCCGCTGCCGCCGCCGCACCCCCTGCACCCGTTCCGGACTCCCGCCCCAACACCTCACCCTCGCCCGCCGCCGCAGCCACCACCGCCGCTGCCTCCCCAACCACAGCTGAAACCGCCACCTTCCGCATTGGCCCTGACGGCGCCGCTGCCGACGGCGACGACGCCAGCTCGCCGCCCCCGCTGCGCCCCCCCGAGGGCATCACGCCGCCGCTGCAGGCCATGATGCACTTTGCGCGCGCCGCACAGCTAGCGGCCCGCGGCGGGGAGTGGCTGGAGGTGGCGAATGCGGCGCGGCATGCGTGGAACCTGGCCCGTGCCGTACTGAGTGCGGATCCGGCGCTGACGGCGCCGCTGGCGCGTGTGGAGTGGGATCGCGGGCTTCTTCCGGAGCCGCCGGTGCCGCCTGAGTCGCTGCTGGTGCCTGCCGTGGCGCCGGTGCCGGAGAAGAAGGGCAAGAAGGACAAGGTGAAGAAGGAGAAGCCGCCGCCGTCACCTGCCCAGAAGGTACGTGCGATGGAAGGCCTGGGTGTGTGGGTGAGGTCAACCCAACTACTCTTGACTTCGTAGGTCCGCATGTCGGTCCCGGTGCCCCACCTCTGTATTTACCATATCGTGTACGCTAGCGTCGGCGGAGATGTCTCATGTTTGGCGTGTTTGGCACTACCCAGCTCAGGCCGCTACAGTTCCAGCCGCATGCCTGACAAGCACGCATGCATGACCACCCGGGTGTCACCGGCACGATGCTGCACTACTCCCCAGTGCCAACCCCCACATCACACCCTTTTCCCTCCGCATCCTTACACCCCCCCCTTTTCTCCTCGTCCTCCTCCTCAGACCACTCGTGGCAAGAAGGGCGTGGTGGTGGAGGAGGCGCCGCCGCCGCCGCCCCGCACCTACCCGCTCCCGGTGGGCTGCCGCCCCAACATGGCCCGCGCGGTTCGCTCCCTGGTGGAGGCGCTGCTGGAGCTGGTGGCGCGGCTGCGGGAGGGGCTGCAGCTGCACACTTGGGTGGCGCCGCTGGAGGCGCGGGAGGGCGCAGAGGGGGGTGGAGGGGGAGGGCGGCGCAGGGGGACGACTGAGGAGGAGCGGCCGGCGACTGCGGCGGTGTCGGAGAGTCAGTTTAGTTACGGGTCGGACCTGCAGGTGCGGTCATGTGGGTGGGGTCAAAGACCATACCAAACCATGGTTTGGGGGGGGGATCTGGGGGGGGCTGGGGGGAGGGGGAAAACGGGCGGAGTGCTGGGGACATGCTAGGCCGGCTAGGAATTCAGTTGGCGACAAAGTCGCAGCTCAGAATCCACGTGTATGCCTATCTGCTTACGCAGGCGGCGGCGGGTGGATTGCCGCCCCCAGGTGCCACTCATGGCCCCTCACCTCACCCCACTCCCCCACCGTCCCGCACCCCCGCCCCCCTGCTGTCCAGGTGGACATCTGGTACAAGGAGGGTCCGCTGGACATGGCCTGGGTGAGCCGCTTCATGGCGGCGGTGGCGGTGGTGCTCAGCCGCGGGGAGCGCTGGCATGCGCTGCTGGAGCTGGGGCGCAGCTGGGCGCGCATGAACGAGGGGGTGTTCAACGAGCGCATCATGCCCTGGCTGCTGCTGGTAGGGGGGGTGTCAAAGACTATACCGAACCATAGGAAAGCACAGGGGAGGGGAGGGAGGCGGGGCACGGCGGGGCGGGGAAGGTCTTGGGTGAAGCGGAAGGAGGGGGGTTGGGGTCTGTAACCGCCTAACCGGTAAGGAGGCTGTGGAGCGTGGGGTGGGGGGTTGTTCGTAGCGTGGCAGGAACTGGGTGGCGGCTACGGCTACGTGCATGGGTGGCGTAATCACGGGTAAGATAGCAAATCCTTCCTGATTAAGTCTCTATGTATCGCTGCCCCGCAGGCCGCTCCCAAGGCTGGTCTGGACCCCGCCCCCTTCCAGCAAGCCATGGACACCCTAATCCGGGACAAGAACCAGGCACTCGACCAGCTGGATAAGGTACGCCCGGCGCATGCAGAAGGGAAGGAGGAAAGCAAAAGTGACTGGGATCTAGAGCGTGTGGCAGGGAAAGGCGCAGGCAAGAGGATCCAGCCTCATTGCCACCAGCTAAAAGCCAGGACCCTAGTCCATGTACTTGAATGTCCGTCCATTCCCCAAACCCCAAGCCACCTCGTTACCCCGACCCCGACCCGACCCTGCCCCAGGTGCGCACGCTGGTTCGCGAGCGGCTGGGCGACACGCCGCTCATGTCTCAGGGCCTGGGCCACAAGGTGCGCAAGAAGAAGCAGCCGCAGCACCACAAGCACCACGGCTCGCAGCAGCAGGGGGCGCTGGTGCAGGCTGGGGCGCCGGGTGCGGGGGGCGCGCACCGCCGCACTGGGGGTGGCAGCCTGAGCGGCGGCGGGCTGAGCTCGGAGAGCGACCGCGCCAGCACCATCAGCGCCGCCTACACCTACAAGACCGCCTCCACCTACAAGACCAAGGCCAGTCAGCCGGACTTCATGCGCATACCCGCAGAGTATGAAAAGGTAGGTGGAGATTCGGGGCGATGTGTGCCGGGGCGTTGTGGGTGCCGGGGCAGTTCCTGCGGCGGGCCGCGTGGGTACGAAACGTGTGCGTTGAAGAGGATACTGAGCTACGGACGGCCGACTCGTGTTATGTCAAGGAGGTTTATGAAACCGCTATTCCCGTACCATACCGGGCTTTCCTCTCTACCGCACCCAACCTACCACACCCCTTCACCCCTACTTACCGGTATTTATTCCTACCCCGCCCGCTGCCCAGGTTATTGAGGTGCTCAAACGGCGCAACGAGAAGAACGCCATGATCCTGGCCATGCACGAGCTGGGCGATGTACACGCGCACTTCGGCAACTGGGGCGGTGCCAGTACCGCTTGGCACGACACGCTGGACACGCTGCTGGGGCCCTACCAGGCGCTCAAGAACTGGCGCGCCAAGCTGACCGGCATGAGCCCCGCAGCCACACTGCAGCTGTACGGCTTGCATGGGCTGTTGCTGGGTGCCGTACTGGCGGGCAAACTGGCGCGCTACACCTACCACGACCACCTGCACCTGCGGCTGGAGTGCTGCCGCCTGGCGGCGAGGCTGGTGTTCTGCGCCTTCTCCGCGCATGTGGGTCACCCGCAGCGGCCGCTGGGCTTTGCGACCTACACGCCGAGGGAGCTCTGGGCGGCGGGGGCCGACCCGTGGGTCGTTTGGAATGACCCGTATCGCTGTCCTGTGGTGGACCTGGCGGGCGCATTGGAGACGGCGATGGGGTGTTTGCTGGACAACGGGCTGGCGCTGGATGCGCTGCCGGTGGTGGCGCTGTGGGAGCATGTGGCGCGGGATGTGATGCGCAGCCTGCACCGCACGGTGCTGTGCAGGTGCGAGGGAGGGGGAGAAGTGGGTGGGCTACTCACTGCGATAGCAAGGTGAATAGCCCTGCTTTAGGGCACGGGTGGAGGGAGTTGCAGCCCACGATGTGTTGGTGCTTTATGGCCTTCAATAGCCTTAATGGCGACAGACGACCTTCCCTATTATATGCTCGCCCTTGCCTTCTCACTCGGCCTGTTCATCAGCTATGCCAATACCCCCACCTTCCTCGGCCCCCCAGGATCATGCGTTGTCGCGCCCTGGTAGCACTCGGGCTGCTGTCGGAGGGCATCTCAGTGGCTGCGGGGCTCATGGGCGCCGCCGACCTGCCCGACCCCACCCTGGACTCCAACTACATCCTCAAGGACGTGGCGGGAGCGGTGGTGCAGGTGCGTCGTGCGCGTGACCGGGACAGGACGTTGGGCCCGACATGCGGGAGAAGCCCTTGCGTGTGCATGGATTTCGTATTCCGAAGAAGCATCCTTTCCAATTGCGTCACAGGCTCTCCTTCGTTCCACGCGTTCCGCACATCTGCCTCTCCCCCCATGTCTCCCTCCAGGTGCCCCCCTCGCCTCCCTTCAACAACGCGCTGCTACCCGGCGACCCCGGCAACAAGGCCGCCCTGCTGCACCTGGCGGACACGCAGCTGCCGCCCGCCGTGGAGCGGCTGTACGGCACCTGGCTGGTGGCGCACCTCACGCTGGTGCGCGCGCAGCTGCTTATGTGCGCGGGCGGGGTGCCCAATCAGTGGCGCACCACGGACTGGCGCACGGGAGAGAAGCTGGAGCCGCCCAAACCGCCGCCGCCGCCGCCAAAGGGTAAGGCTGGGGGTGCAGCGGCGGCGGCGGCGGCAGCAGCAGCCGCTGCCGCGGCGGCGTCCTCGCTGGACGCGGTGGGTCCTGGTCTGCCCGAGGTGGTGGAGCCGGGCATGCTGGAGCGAGCCAACGCGCTGCTGCGGCGGGCGCTGGCAATGGCTCGCGGGGAGGACCAGCCGCTGGCGGATGAGGTCCCCCCACCGGCTCCCTCCGCTGCTAAGGCCGGCGCCAAAACCTCCCCGCGCTCTACCTCCCCCGCCAAGACATCCGCCCGCGCGCGCTCCAAGTCACCCGGAGCTGGAAAGGGCGCGCCCACGCCGCCGCCGCCGGAGGAGCCGGCTCCCAGCGGCCCGCCGCCGCCGGCGCCTGCCACCGCGGGGCAGCGCGCCGAGGTGATGGTGCGCACGCTGCTGCTGCTGTGCGAGCTGGAGCAGCTGCGCTGGCACCCGGGGCGCGGACTGGGCCATGCGCTGGAGGCGGCGCGCTTCCTGGGCAGTGAGGCGGAGCGCATCAACACACCGCAGCAGGGCGATAATGACGAGCTTGAGCGCTACTCGCTGCTGCCCGTGCTGTGGTTCCTGGCGCGTATTGCTGCCGTACGCTGCACGGCGCAGCTGGGCCATGCGGCGCATGTGCATGAGCTGGTAGCGTCTGCGGCGGAGCGGGAGGGGGCGACGGTGCATGAGCAGCTGCACCTAGCCGACATGGCGCATCTTGATGCGTTGGTGCTGGCGCAGGAAGGCCGTACGGCGGAGGCGTTGGCGGCGCTGGCGGCGGTGGCGGCGCGGTACCGTGCGTTGTGCGTGTCGGACGGGCGGCTGGCGGCGGCACTGCTGGACGCGGCTGCGCTGCGGGACCGCATGGGGCTGCGGGCGGATGCGGCGGAGCTGGCGGCGCAGGGGCTGGCGGCGGCGGAGGCGTGGGTGACGGAGCTGGGGCTGGGAGAGGCGCTAGAGGCGGCGGAGCTGACAAACGTGTATGCGAAGGGTACGGCACTGTACGCGCATGCGTTAGGTCTGGCGGCGGTGCATGCGTCGCGGCGGCAGCAGCATGCGGAGGCTGAGCGGCGGGCGCAGCGCGCGTTGTTGCTGCTGCGGCACCACACGCGGGCGCTGCCAGGCCAGCATGCCGCCGCCGCCCTGGCGGTGGGTCGCATGGCGAGGCTGGTGGCGCTGTGCGGCGATGGCCCCAAGTTGTCAGCCGGCCTCCCCGGGTCCCCAACCGGGGCTGGCGGGGGGTCCGTGCCCAACTCGCCAACTACGCGTCCGCTTGCGGGAGCCCTGGCTGTTAGCAGCGGAGGCGGCAGCGGCGGAGGCGGCGTAGCCGCGACCGCCGCCAAGCTCAGCGCTGCCCGTGCGTCCTTATGCGCTGCCATCACCCTCGCTTGCCTTGACGGCGGCCACCTGCGTGGTTTGATGCGGTCGGCGCTGCTGGAGCTGGCGTCCATCTTCATTGCTGGCTTGGATGCTCGCAGCGCCGCCGCCTGTCTGCGTTCCGCACACACCGCCGCCGCCAAGCAGGACCTGGTGCTGCTCTCCAGCCACGCCCTCGCACCCGTCGCGGTGTCACAGCTCCCCGACTGGGCCGTGGCGCACGTCAAGGGGCAGGAGGCGCGGTTCGCACAGTCGGCAGGCCGCAACCCCGAAGCGCCGGTGGCTGAGGCCGATGTGGCGCGCATGGTGGTGTGCCTATTGGCGGGGCTGAAGCGTTCCGTGGAGGCGCTGCCAGTGGGCGGCGGCTTCCGGGCCCGGGCGGAGGCGAAGGTGGCGGCGCTGCATGCCGTGCTGCGCGGCGCCTGCGCCAAGTACGGCATGGACGCGTGCTTTGCGGAGCCGCCGCTGCCTCCGTCGCCGCCGGACGCTGTACCGCCGCCCGCGGAGGGTACGGTGCTGGTGCAGTGGCACTGCCAGGACGGCTGCTGGCAGGAGCCGCGGTCCTGGCGAGCCGATGGTGCGCTGCCGCTATCCGGCACGGAGTCCGGTGCCGCTAGCGGCGTGGCCTCCTCCGCCACGGAGGCCCAGCTGCTAGGGCTGCAACCCGTGGAGAGCTACGCATCCCTGCTGTACGTGGTTGCAGCACCGGCCGCTGCTGGAGGGCCGCAGTGCGGAGAGGTCACGCTGGCGGTGCGCGACGTGCGGGAGCTGCAGCGGCGCGTGAAGCAGCTGCGCAGCCGGCTGGAGCGGCCCAAGGCTGCCACCGACATCCTGGGCTACCCGCTGCCCTCCGCCACGGAGCTGTCGGACCTGCTGCGAGCGGTGGAGCGGCTGCTGAGTGCCGTACCGCGTTCCTCGGAGGACGGCAGCAGCAGCGCGGCGCTGAGTGTGGTGGACAGCGGCTTCGGCAGCAGCGAGGCGGCCATGGTGGTGGGCGACGTGCGGCCGCAGCTGGACGCGCCGTTCCTGTGCAAGCTGGAGGCGCTGCTGAGTCCGGATGGCGGGCTGGATGCGGTGGATGCGACGCTAGGGGCGTGGCTGGTGCAGACGCTGCCTGTGATGATGTAAACCGGTGATGAAGTGGGTTTGGTTGTATAGGAATGGCGATCACGCATAGACATAAATGTACGTGAGGGAGCTGGTGCAGCTCGTGTGCCGTTGGCGGTGGGCGTCTTAGCAGGATGGCTTTTGTGCTGCTATTCGGCTTTAGTGCGTGCATGCATTAGGCAATTGTGGCAATCGATATGATACTGTGGTGCTGTCTAGCCCAGGAGTAGCAGTGTGTCAGTAGTTTCTCCACGTTTGGCTGATAACCCTGCGGGTGAGGGATTAAGGAGCCGTGGCACGTCTGCGCAGTAAAGGGGCTCGGCTGAGCTTAGCGTAGCATGTACGGTTCTAACTTATGCTATCGGATGACATGCCGTAGAAGTAGACGGCAGCTGCCGTACCTTCTAAGCTAAGGTCTGCTCACCCAAACAGACTGCAGCACCTCTCTAGGGAAGAGCCAGCAGCCGACTGTGCGCCGGGAAACTGTTGGATAAGGGAGCATGCTTTGCACGATCCATTACACTATGGACTGTCCGACCTCACAAAGGAGCAGGGCCTCTATCATCCAAGACAATGCTAGTAGCGTGATTGCGCCTTGGTGAAACTGATTGAAAACAAAACAGGCTAAACTGGCCTTGAGACGGGTCAGAGTGGTTACTGTAGTCCCAGCCATCCAAGTATACGGTACGACCGCGCATTGTACTGCGCGCACAGCCACAAGGACGTTAACTTGCCTCTTGTCACATCATCATGTCATGTACAGAGCCAAGGCCACGAAAAGCGTAGCATGTACATTTCAAAGTCCATGTCCAACAATCTAGAAGTCGAATTGGTCGAATCAGTGCATCATACAAGATGGTATCAGCTACATGCGAAAGGTACGGCAAGCGGACGCCGAACCATCTCACGACAATTACTCCTGGCAGCATGCCACTATTCAACGGTCGTAGCTCGGAGAGCGGTCCGGCTTGCGCTCCTCAGGGCTGCGGCTCCGGCTGCGCTCCCGCGGCGGCGGGGACGCCCGGCGCTCAGCACGCGGCGGGCTGCGGCTCGGCGACCGTCCCCCCCGTGGCGGCGAGGCACGGCGGACGGGGCTGCGGCTCGGGGAGCGGCCCACACGAGGCGGCGAGGCGCGGCGCTCATAGCCGCCACCGCCCCGTGGCGGGCTCCGGCTGCGCGACCTGCCACCCCGAGGCGGCGACGGGCGGCGGTCATACCGTGGGGGGCTGCGGCTAGGTGAGCGGCCCCGCCCACCGCGGCCGCCCCGATCGCGTGAGCGCGAGCGAGACCGGTCCCTGTCACGGAAATCGTCTAGGCGGAAGTTGGGATCTTCGTTCTGCACGTACTCCACCGTCAGGGTGCGGCCTTCCATCTGAGCGCCATTGGTGCGCTCTAGCGCCCGAATGGCTGACTCGATGTCAGGGAACTGCACGAATGCGTAGTTCTTCTTGATCTGCACACGAGACAGGCGCCCGTAGCGCGCAAAGTAGCGCTCGATATCGCGCTCCGAGGTCCGGCGGACGTCCTGCGTGAGGAGGTTGTACAGGGACATGAGTAAGGCGGCGGCTTCAAGCTGCTTACTAACCCCGCATAGCGACTAACGGACATGATAGCGGTACATGAGGATCAGTGCACTAAGCGCCGTGCGCTTATGCAGGCAAACGCCCTGCTGTAACAGTCGTCGAGAGCCCGACTTACGAAGTTGACGACGAACAGCGTCTTGGAGGGCCGGGTATCGCGCTTCATGTCCGCTTCCTTGTTCTGCGAGGGGGGCAGCCATAACACAAGTCAACTAACTGTACCAGGGGGGACGCGCGTACCCGAGACTCCGCCGAGGGCCTCTCACCTTTGCCCACTCCACACGCAGGGGCCTGCGCTTGTAGCCATACTCGCTGCGGTCCAACTTCCTGATTGCCTCGTCACCATCCGACTTGCGCCTCATGTAGACAAAGGCGAAACCTGCATCAGCAGTGAGCGTGCCAGGGAGATGCCAACTGTCGGTACAGGACAATGACTCATGAGAGCGTGCAGATTTGTCCAAGCTGACGTCCTCCCGCCTGCTGTAACAACTCCCAAGCTCACAACTTGGTGCCCTTCAAATCCACACAACTAACCAAGCCTACGAACCGATCAAATTGATTGCTCCGCTGAAGCTGCTGGTGTCAAAGCGCACGGTCGTACGACACACCTTTCATCATTCAAAAGGTGTTTGGCATGTTTGTGATTGCAATTGCGGGGCGTGGTGGCAAGCGGCGTGCGGTAGGCCGGCGAGGGTGACAGGTACAGAACCGACGACACATGTGATGCGTTGCCGAGAACGGTTGGTAGTGTGGCGCGATGTTTGGGTTGCCGTCGCCGGGGTTGAGCACGCGTTGCCCAGACCGCCGTGCCAGCCGTTATGTCATAGCTTCGGGCAAGCCCTGGCTGGCATGGAGCCGTCCAGGGCGAGCAGTAGGCGCAGCCACGTTGACGCCGACAACTAAACGATGGCAGGGTGGGTTGGGCACTGGCGATGCCACACTACCTAAGCAAGTTCCGTCAGCCTGCTGCCAGCCTAAAGCCGCAAGATCAACTTTAGAGTCATCTCGTAACCGTTCAGGGCTACCAGAGGAGTGTCTTTGCAGCATGCGGGAGTCCAAGCACAGATCCGAAAAGGGATAGGGAGCCGTCCTCTTCAGGACATTCCATGCTATACTCGCCTGTCTTCATATCTGCAAAGAAGGACAAGAAAGGTCACAATTACGGCTTTAGGGCAACAGCAAGGGAAGTCCAAGCAAACAAGGAGCCCATACTGACCTATCCGTTCCACTCGACCATACTTCTCAAACAGGCGAGCAATGTCTCGTTCCTCGGCCTCATACTGCAAGCAAGGTTTTCAATCATTGTCGTCACTATTAGCAGGACAAAAAGCTCCCCATGCCAAGGACTTGGTCGACAAGTGGCAGCATTAAGGATAAGGAAAGAAGCTTACCTCAAAGTTTCCTGCGAGTTTGAGCGGAACGAAAAGGTGCAGCGTCAGAAGTAAACGACGCCGGGCAGGAATATGCACAGCTTGGATCTAACGCTTGGGGTCTGAGACATAAGTAGCACCTACCACAGAAAACTGGGCGCTCTGGCCGTTCGGAGCCCATTGCTGTTAAGTCTTAACCCCAACAGCGCTTACAGCAGGACCCTATCTAACACAGGCCTGCCAACTGCAATCAGGACGCGAGCAACTCCTGCTGGCGGTTCACAGGTTGCAGACAACTGGAAAAACGTTTGCAAAACAGTACGGTTTGGTTCTGGAGCCTAGGTAAAAATGGGCACAGCTCAGCCATAGGCGTAGTCTCCTGTTTGCCTTTCGCTGTGGGTTGTCGATATCGTTGGGGTCGTATACGTGTTGGTACTTTCGCAGGCGACTGCAGGCACCACAAAAAGCCCTAACTGCCCACGCATCTGACAAATGGTCTCTTACGTCGCTTTCGTGCCAGACGACGTGCTGCTCACTGCCGTCCTTGAACGAGTGGAGTGCCCCAGGTCGCTATGCGCGCTCTCTGGAGCTTCCAGGAGGTTTCGCCAACTCTCGGTGCGTTCCCATGTCCCCACGGACTAACGCCTCCAAGCGCTCTGCTACGCTCCAATGATACGCTGCTGAAGCTCTCATAAGTTTTTAGACAACGAAAACGTATCAGGCCTTTGCTGTGTGCTGACATTTGGGTAGGGGGAGGGCTGGGATATATGCTCGCTTGGATGCCTGTATGTCAGCCTTGTCACGGCCCAAATTTTGTGTGTCACGGCTTCCTTGTTGCACCTCAGCAAATGATTGCTTAAATGCTAACAAAGAACTGTTGTGCGTGTGTGTGCGCACATAGCTGACAACGAACGGCTTCCAGCACCGCAGGGTTGCGAAACCTTGTGGACGACCCTTTGGACCGCCCGATGGGGTGAACCGGTGAACCTTACCCGCCGCGCGGCTACCCTCGCCGGCGGATTTAAGAGGCTGTATGGGAGCAAGGCGACTACCGACAAGACCAGCGTGCCGTGGACCAAGCCGTGCCCCGAGGAGCTGCAAGCAAGCGTGGAGAAGCTCACCAGGCGCATTTGCGGAGACGCACAGCAAGTCAGCGTTGTTTTCCTGGTGGATGGCAGCGGCTCCGTCAATGGCGGTGCGTTCTATGACCCACATTAATTGAACTATGCTACCTTGGTGCTCCGGTCGGTTTCTTTTTGCTTAGAAACCTTTATTGCAGTATGATCTGACTAGAAACCTCTTTTGCAGTAGGGTCTGATGTCTTTCCGGTTGCCAAGTATTAGCTGGGACATGGTGTTGCACATGCAATGTAATTTTGCCGCGTTTCGTTGGTATCTGTAACAAAGCCTTGTGCCTTTTGCTCCCCTATTTCAGATGAGTTTGAGGCCATGCTTGGTTTCATCGTGGACGCCAGCACACAGATCAAGGGCAGCGTAGCCCACGGCCAGGTACAGTGTGCTTGCTGCTCCCTAAAGGCCATCTTCACAGTTATAGTGAGTTAGCTGCATTTATGCGGTATTCTTATTGACAAGCTTGTTATCGCTTGAAATGGATCTCATTATTAATGCGGCTCGTACATTGGTCGCGCCATTGCTTCGAACAGTTGCAACCCCCGTTTCGTAAAATGACCCACTTCCCCCAAAATGACCAGGTTATCATTAATTAGTTTCTACCAAGCTCACCCCACTCCTCCCGTGACGGATAAGATGCCTGCCCACGCCGGACCCCGTCCCCGCTCTCTTTGACGCACTCCTCCGCCTCCTCCTTCCTTCCCTTTGCTCTACTTCTCTCTTAACTTTCCCTCCCCTACCTCCCCTCTCCTCGCTTTCTGCCTGCCTGCCTGCCAGGTGTCGGTGGTCCAGTTCAGCAACGACGTGCGCGTGGAGGCTCCGCTGGCGCCCGTGGACCTGGAGGCGCTGCGCAGGACCACACACGACATGGTGGGGAGGAGGGCGGGCGGAGGGGGCGGGGCGTGTGGGAGGTGAGCGGAATGGAAGGGAACGGGCTGGCCTTTTGCGCTCAGCAGCCTGCAGCAGCACTGTGGGAATGACGTGTGGGTGGGGTGGCAGGCAGCGTGGGAGGCCGGCATGTGCTCATGCGGTCCCTTACCGCTCCTCGCCGACGGAATGGATGGCCGCCCAAGAGCGGTGGGGAACAGTGGCATGTTGGGGAGCTGTTAGGGCTTGTTGCGATGGAGGCCTGCACGCGACGCTGCATACTAGCTGCAAGGGATCCGCTACGCAGCTTGCCGCTACGCTAGTCGCGCCATATCCTCATCGCCCCGCTCCTTCTCTTCCCGCTTTGCTCGCCGACTTTACTTTTCTCCCTCGCTTCTCCCTCGCTGCTAGGGAGGTAGTCCGGGTGTCGCACGGCCGGCTCGACTAACTCGTTCCTCTTCCACAGGTGCTTGTCAACTTCTCAACTAGTTTGCCACTTTGCCACTATCATTCAGCACATTGGGAATTCCTCTTTTCCCCCTCCTCCGCTCCAGTTGCTGCACTTCTAAGTTGTTCCCTCCCCCCCTCCCTGCCTGCCCCCAGGTCCGCATGAACGGCGGCACCAACGTGGCGGCCGCGCTGCAGAAGGCGGGCCAGCTGCTCAAGCGCGACGCGGCGCCCGACGCCATGCGCCACGTGGTGCTGCTCACGGACGGACGGGTGGACTCACACCAGGCGCATGAGGTTGGGGGTGGGGGGGGGGGTGAGAGGGGGGGGGTGTAGTCCACCGCCAGGGTTGTGTATGGGGGGGGCGGGGCAGACCCTACATCCGGGCAGTGGACTTCCATCCCAATGGTTCTGCCACTACCGTTAGACACCAATCCAGTCTCCTTATCCTTTCACCCAACACATGGTCTTCCTCATCCTGCTTTACCCCACATCGGCCTCAACCCCCCACTTCCCCCATGTTTGCACCCCATGGTATAGCCTTGCTTCGTACAGCTCGTCAGTTGCCTCGTCAGTTGCCTCCTTCCTCCCCCCCCCGTCCCCACCTCCCTCACTGCATGAGTCGGGATATGGGATTGGGACTCGTTGCTGCACACATCATTAATCCCCCCACCTCCTCCTCCTCCCCCCCAAGGCCCGGCAGGTAGCCGACCAGCTGGCGGACGAGCAGCGCCACGTGTCGCTGTTCGCGTACGGCGTGGGTCGCGGAGTGGACCGAGCGGAGCTGCTGCACATCATCGGGGGGCCGCCCACCTGCACCTGCATGCGGCCCGCAACCACCACCACCGGAACCACCACCGCCATGAGCGCTACCCCTGCAGGGGCGGCGGCGGAGGGGGAGGAAGAGGAGGAGGAGGTGGTGGAGGGTGGTGGCAGCAGCAGCGGCGGCGGGAAGCGGGGTGCGGGGGACGGACCCATGGGTCTGAGCGCCTGGGGGGAGCCGCCGGAGGACAGGTGGGAGTGAGAGTGGGAGCGGGGTGTGGCTGAGAAGGGGCAAGGGACAGGGCTTGCATGGTCTTGGGTAGGGTTAGGCGGACATGACTAGCCAAGGCGGGTTGGGGCGTGAGCATATTCGGATGCCGGTAGATGTGGGGGCATGGTTATTGGTGGTTACTGGTGGACTGGGATATGCATGTGGATTGGTATATGCATCTGTGCACTGTCTTTGCATAGGGTTTGCATCATGCGGCTTGTATTGCGGCAGCACCTGCTGCGGGGCCCCTGCCTGGCTTTGCCGGCCGCTAGGAGACATGGGCGCGTTGGCATCGACAAGTTCCACAGGATCCACACCCTCCTGCTTCTTCGAATCCGCTTCTCCCTGCCCACCGCCCACCCACCCCAACCTCGCTGCAGGTACCTAGCCCTGTGCGTCCGCGAGGACGGGCCCTGGTAGCGGGCTGGTGGGCCGGCAGGGGGGGCAGGGAAGGCAAGCAGGTTGTGCTGGCTGGGAAAGGCAGGGGGAGGGGTGTGTGGCTGAACATCTTGAACACTCGGGGAGCAAGGAGCGTTTGTCGCGGGATGCGCGCCGCCATCCGTACATGCACACATACAGGCCCCGCCCCAGAGAGAAGGGTGTGGAGACGTGCATGTGTGTAGGGAAGAAGGAGAAGAAGCGCAGGGGTGCAAGATGTACCGGTATTGTGGAGATGGATGCAGGCAAGCAGGCAGGTGGGCTCACGTAGAGGGCTCTGTTGTACACGTATTCCAAATGTATCATTAGCAACCTGTATTCCCCTTTTCCTGCTATGTAGCTGCAAAACATATGTGTTTTTGTGGCGTGCAATATATGGCTATATTGCATGGATGGCATAAGCAGTTTTGTATCAGTCCTTGTTGAGTTGTTGTACATTTTTTGCTTGGGTTGTTGTACCGGTTAGTTTTTCGTTAGCTGCTAGGTTGTTAGGTAGGCGGGTAGGATAGCAGCATGCATTGTAAGCGTCCCGCCGTTTGTATATTTGTGGGGTCCAACCTCCACCAGCAGAAACATAACAGGGTCCTGTGGGGTTGACGGTTTTTCCTGAGTTATCCCGGCTTTCCCTGCCACTAGTGCAACTACGGTACATTGGAGATTCCGTTTTCGTTTTCGTACGGAAGGATTGAGGAGTTGCGTCCTCACTGGGTGGGTTTCTGCCATCTGTTTTGCACACATAGACGGTTAAGCGCCGTAAGAACCCTCCGCGCATGCTGATGTGGTGTGTGCCTAGGCTTTGCAAAGGGGTCCTGTGGAAACTTGTTGTAGTTGGAAGGGGCAACGAGCGCCGACGCTTTGGGTGCAGGTTTACTGGACGCCGCGGGTGCCTGGGGGCGCGGTTGCCGTCATGAGCCGCGTGGCCTCCTGTAGGACAATCAGAAGTGTGTTGCCCGGGAGGAGCTGGGACGTGCTGGGAAGTCGGGTGTTCAGGTGTATGATGAGGTACATGCGGGCCCAGGGGTTGCAGCCAGCTGTCGCAGCAACATGCACGGGGCGTGCGAGGTGCCACAGCGTGGCTGGGACTTGAACTTAGGAGAAGCATGCGCTATGATGATGGGGGCACATGCGCTGTGAGGAATGGTAGGGCTGGGCAGGATGCAGACGGCGTTCATGCTGGCGCTTGCATGCAACACAGAGTGTGTGCTGGGTACGTCGACAGTTTTGTATTGTTTGTTGACTGTTGGGTGCGCCTGGCGAAAGCTAGGAGAGTTAGTTGCTGGACCCGGGTAACGTTGTAATGGTCACGGTGGTGCGCTTGGTGGCAGATGGCGCTGGTGGCAGTTGCACATGGCAGAGCACCACCGCCAAAGTACCCCCCACAGCCGCCATGGCTAGAGCTGATAGGGTGAGGGAGCCGCTCGTCCCTCCGTCCCCAGCAATACGAGGAGGCCGTAAACAGCACGTCCAGCCGCCCAGACGCCGCAGCCCCCGCAAGAACCCTCAGGCTACCGGGACCACACAGGATACAAGTGAAGGCTGACAAAATTGCAGCTACGGCTTTACGCAACATCTTGGCAGCTTTCTTGAAGACGCATGTGCTCAAAGGGCCCATGGGTCGTTTACAGCCGAAGTTGTCGACTGTATGTCTCTAAAGGAAAACTAAGCTACCGCCGCACGCGAACCTACAGCACCGTCATAGCCTGATGTGCGACAAAACCAGCTGACGGCTGGCACCTCGCCCATACAGCATTGCAACACACCTTACTTAACACATCACCTACCCCCCCGGTGCCCCCATTGCTCTTCATGATGCACTTCAGGTGCACCTCGCCATCTGGCAGCCCCCTCTGTCCCCCCGAACCACAGTTGTGCACATGCACGCATGTGCCAAAGCCTAACCCTGAAGCAGCCTCTAAACTCCAAATGTACATATGCCCTGCACCCTCCACGTTTCTCACACCCAATAAGATACCACCACCAGACTCAACATCGTCCGCATCCCTGTACTCTACTTGCTGGCAGCAGCCTCAGCAGGCGCTACAACAGCTGCTGCGGCAGCAGACGCTGGAGCTGCGGCCGCCGCCGCGGGCTGCTCAACTGGTGCCGCCGCTGCCGCTGCTGGCGCCGCCGCCGCCGCCGCAGCCGCAGCCGGCGCCTCCTCCTGCTTGGCTGCCGGCGGGACGCCCTTGATGGCCTTCTGCTCGTACATCTTTAGATGCTGCTCGTACATGATCTGCCGGTGGGTATGACAGGGGGGATTAGGAGAAAGTGAACGAGAAGGGATCGGGGACTGCACGTGCCGCGCGGGTCTAACCCACACCTCCGTGTTAGTCACCCTTTGCCCTTGGGCTCCCCACCATGTGCAGCGTGGGACTATGCCGTTTCCCAAATCAACCCCTCCGGCTTTCTCAACCGCGCAGGGCGTGGCAAGGCGCGGCCCAACAACTTTATCTGGCCCACCCTGTCTCGCTTCTATACTAGGGAGCTAAGTACTGCGCTACAGAGCACCTCCGCTAGGGAGGGCGTGGGGGTGCTGGTCGCTGCAGCACGCCTGCTGCCGGGTACATGAGCCGGCCGGCACAGCAGACGGGATGTCCCGGCTCATGGTACGGGGAACTGTACCGTAGCCCATGCCGACACACAGCCGCCTGCATTCTTACCTTGTGCTGCTCCTCTCTCCGCTTCTCGGGTAGGTAGAAGAAGTAGTACGCCATGCCGCCCGCCACCGCCCATGAAAGGATGTTTTGCCGCCCGCGGACTCCAACAGTTGCATCCAACCAACGCTTAAACGTTTCCGACATTTTAAGTTGCAACAAAGTTTGGGCCTCGAAACGCTCTATGGAGACCGCGAAGAAGTAGTGCCGCTATTGCGACTGATTGATTGAGCGACTCAAAGGAAACGGTCCCAAAACTCGAAAGACGTTATGCGCTCTGCTAATGCCATATAGTATGAACGTGCTGGCAAGTCCACTCCACAAAAACAATTGGTTGGTTCCAATCGGATGGCCGTACTCATCGCCCTTTACAAATGCGTTAAGCCACGCCTCCCCGCGAGGCGCAGCAATTTTTCAGTTAAGCTTGGAACAGAATGCAAGCAACACATTACAAATCGCGGCCTTTCGCCTCTTGTCCGCTCGCACGTCGACGTGCAACACGCCCAGTTCGTGTCTTAGCCCAGTCCACAGAATCCACAGCCGCTCTCTTAAACAGCCATCGTGGATCCTTTGCATCTGATCCCAGCTATACCTTTGCGCCAATAATCAACGGATGCTGGCAGCTGGCTGGAGGACATGGCCGCGAGGTGTTTGATGACATCCAGGTCAGTGCGCTGCTGGCGCGCTCTAGGCAAGCTGCAGAGGGCAAGTTGGCATCATGAATGGGATAGTTGCATGTCAATGTCGTGTAGTTTTATGGGGATTGAAAAGGACAGATAGACAGCACAGCGGTGGCCCAGGCTCAACCCAACCAACGGTCCTGCTGCGGAGCAGAAGACCCACACACACTCAGGGACACAGGGGTAGCTGTCCGAAGGCAGCGCATCCCACAGAACAAGCTGCAGAGCAGAACATGTATCAAATAAGAACTGACAGCCCGTGCTCCCACCATCATGCCATGTGTCCCTCTCATTCGCACCGTCGCACGGCTCCCAGGCTCCATGTCGCCCTGCTATCACCCATCTCTCCCCACTTCCACCCTCCCCTCCCCTTCCTCCCCACCCCAGTCCAAGCTAGCAGCCCACGTGGCGGCCGGCTACACCACCTTCGACACAGCCGACATATACGGACCCTCCGAGGGTGGGTGGGTGCAGGGTTGAAGGGTGGGTGGGTGCAGGGTTGAAGGGTGGGTGGGTGCAGGGGTACAGAGGAAGAGACTAACCCACCGGGCCACCATGACAAGGCTTCACCAGGCGGGGTTGCACCTTGGTTGCCGGGATGTGCCGGGATTCACAAGTGGGGACAAAAGGGGCCAAGTAAGGCAAGCAATCCTGGTCTCTACGCCTGCTAGCTGCTAGACGACCACGACCACCTCCTCTCTCTCACCCTTTCCCACTCCCTCTCACTCCCCCTCCTACCCCCGACCCCACCACCATCCCGCCCCACCCCGCTCCCGGAAATCCTGGGCGCCTTCGCCTCCTCCCACGCTGCCTCCGGCGGCCCCCCGCTGCAGCTGTTCACCAAGTACGTGCCCAACATCTACAACCAGCGCCCCACCCCGGGGGCGGTGCGGGCGGCAGTGGGGAGGTCGCTGCAGCGGCTCAGGGTGGGCGGGCGGGCGGGCAGGGGGAGGGCAGGGGCGGGCAGGAGGGGACAGTGACAGTGGGTGCTAACCGTGTGACAAGGCTCTATGACAGGACGGATGGGTGAGGGCGGGGGCAGGAGAGCTGGTGGGGAGGCGGGCCACGAGGTGGTGGTGGTGGTGGTGGTGGTGGTGGTGGTGGTGGTGCCCCCAGGTGGAGTCGCACTGCTGCACTCCTGCACCGCTATCAAGAGCCCTCCTCCCCCGGTCTCCCCTCTTCCCAGGTGAGCCAGCTGGACCTGGTGCAGCTGCACTGGTGAGGAGGGGGGGGGAATAAAGAAACTGACGAACTGTGTGACAAGGCTTCGCCATGTGAGGGGGGGGGGGGTGAAGTAGAGGGTGCTCCGGTGCTCCTCCTGAGCTCCCCAAACACCCCCCTCCCCCGCCCCACGTACTGGCTTCGCTCATTCGGGCTGGGCGGGTCGGGCTGGCTCACATGTTGCAACCCATGTTGACGCCTTATCCCTCAGTCAGTTGGTTGTTTCCTCTTTATCCCCCCCCCCCCCCCCCCCCCCCCCCCCCCTCCTTTCCCCCCCCCTCCCCCCCTCCCCCCCCCCAGGTGGGACTACTCGCTGCCCGGTCTGGTGGACACCGCCCTGGCGCTGGCCGAGCTGCAGGCGGAGGGGGCGGTGCGGCACCTGGGGGCCACCAACATGGATGTGGCGGCACTGCAGGCGCTGGAGGGGGCGGGGGTGCGGCTGGAGGTGAACCAGGTGAGGTGCGCCGCTCCTGCGCCACAGGGGGCTGGGAAGGAAACCGGGTCTAAGTCCGACCTTCCTATCACCCCACGGCTCTTGCCTTCTGCCCTTCTTCCACACAGACAATAGCTTTGTTAACACACCCATCTGATGTAACACTTAACACCCCTCCCCCCAGGTCCAGTTCTCGCTGCTGGACCGGCGCCCCCTCCACGGTATGCTGCAGTACTGCTCATCCCGCCGCATACGACTGCTCGCGTACGGCAGCTTGGCGGGCGGGCTGCTCACCGACCGCTACTGCGGGGCAGCGGGGACGGCAGCAGCAGCGGGGGGAGGAGGGTTGGGGGGACTGCTGGGAGGCTTGCTGGGCGGCGGCAGGGGCGGTGGCAGGGGCGGGCAGCAGGGGACATACCCCCCGGTGGAGCTCAACACGGCCTCCCTCAAGATGTACTGGTGAGCGGGAGGGGGGGCCAGCAGCAGCGGGGGCAGCTGCCGGGACAGCTCCGTGCTCCGTTTCTTGCACTCTTCGACACCTCCAGGCATCTGAAGTGCTGCTCAACCCCGCCTCGCAGGCCTCGTACCCCCGGTCCGCCCCCATGCACCCCTCTCCCGTCTGCCTTCGCCCCTGTCTCATCTCTCCTCCCTTGCAACCCTCGGCCCCGACCCCACAGGAATGTCGTTCAGCGGTTCGGCGGCCCCGGTCTGTGGGGTGAGCTGCTGCGGGCGCTGAGGCGGGTGGCGGAGGGGCGGGGGGTGAGCGTGGCGGCGGTGGCGCTGGCGTGGGTGCGGCAGCAGGTGGGGGGGCGGGGGGGGGGGGGCGGGGGCTGTGTGTGTGGGGGTTGGGGCAGGTGGGTGCAGCAGCAATAGTACACGTTGGCATGCTGCCAGGTGTTGTTAAGCATAGCGGCAACCCGAGGTGGGGGTGGTGATGGTAATGGTGGTGGGTGTGGGTGTGGGGTGTGCGGCGGGGGAGGGCCTGGAGGGTGCTGTGGTTCCTACTCCCCTTACCTGCCATCCCCACGTCTCACCCCGCCTCACACTTCCCCCCTTCCCTCCTCCCCACCTCCCGCCCCCCTGTCCCCCAGGGCGACGGCTCCACTGTGTATCCCATTGTGGGGCTGCGCGGCACAGCCCACCTGGCGGCCAATGCGGCGGCACTGGAGCTGCGGCTGAGCGAGGGGGAGCTGGGGGAGCTGGAGGAGGTGCTGGGGCGGGCGGCGGGGCCGGAGGGGGACTGCTACTCGTTTGAGAGGGGCGGGTGAGGGGGTTAGGAGGGGGAGAGGGGGTGAGGGGGTTAGGAGGGGGAGAGGGTGGGGTAGGGGGGGGAGAGGGTGGGGTAGGAGCAGGGAGGAAGGTGGCAAGGGGTTCTTGTATACTAGTAAGGCGACGGTGGGAGTGTGTGCAATCGGAAGGTTGTGTGTGCGCGTGGGAAGCTGAGGTGTGTTGAGCTGCGGTGTGGAGTGGGGTGGTAGAAGACGAGGGAGGTGCATGCGGGTGCTTGTAAAGAGAGAGGGTCCCGTGGGAAGAGGGAAGTCAACTGAGTCGCGGTGAAGCACTGGCAGAGTGAGGGGTGTTTGTGCGCCTGCATGGGTGAAGGGAGGTGGTGGCCCAGTGCCGGTAGGAGCAACAACCCGCATGCGCTGTGCGACGCGGGTCAGCCCGGGTAAGCCAGCGAGGCAGGAGGGTAGAGAGGAAACAACAGCGAGGCGGGAGGGTAAGAGAGGGAGAGAGAGCATTTGGTTCTTGATAGCGTCAGGAAGAGAGGCACGACGAGAGTGCAGGAGGGTCCATTTTGCTGGTTTCATTGCTGTTAACCGCTCAACCCATCCTGGGGTTCCCCGAATGCCATGGATGGGCGCGGAGAGCAGGTGTGAGGGACGTGATGCGGGACGTTGAGATGCGAGTGCAGACGGAGCTGCAGGTGGAAAGGGGGCAGCGTTTTGGGTATGTGCGAGTGCGTGACATATGACTGCAAGTAGCTGTATTGCTGTGTTTTGAGGGAGGCAATGCCGTACAAGCACGCAGTGCCTCAGGCACCGGCATACTATAGCATAATGAGCAACACACAGTTGCCGCGTTGTTGCCAATGAATATCTAAGAAAGCGTCTCAACCGCGATCTGCTTTTGTGCGACTTCACGTGGCTTGGTGCTATGCTGTTTCGACAGGTCAACGCCAAAGGTTCAGTCATTGCGCGATCTAATAAACTGACATTTTTCGGCAACCAGCGCCGGTAGGCTCTGCTGGAGACGGCTTGAGCGGGCTTTACCGGTTTCGTCGTCGACGCATCACCCTACGCCCGCAGTGCTCTTCATACTTCCGCAGCGACCGGACATCAAGCACACCCACCAGCGATGCCACTCCACAAGATTGAAGACCCGGAGGCCGCCGATAAAACTCGGCGGGAAGCATGTCCTCACATCTCGTTATTACCTGTGCGGCATACGAAGACAATTCACTTCATAAGACATGGTCAAGGATTCCATAATGTGGCAGGTATGCGAATCACGTTATGAATGCCGTTCGACGTATTACCTTCCGTCGCAATGCCGACTCCTACTTATCCGGGTTATGCTGCAGGCCATATCAACCACGACAATTACAAGTTGTGGGACTACGTAGATGCGCACTTGACGGAATTGGGCTGGCGCCAGGCGGAAGCCTTGGGTAGGTTTAATGGGCTGTGGAGTGTCCTTGCGATGTCCTGACTGTTTTGCCCAAGGTGAGGTAAGCGCAGGCAGACGGTTCACAAAGGAGGAATCGACATCACTTCGCCCGTTGCCGACATTTCACCCACTCAGCTCCTTCATCCCTTCAACCGCCCTCCCCTCACACGTTTCCTCATTACCCCTCACACGTCCCGTCTCCTCCTCCCCATTTCCGCCCTGCTCCCATCACACCCTTCCCGGCGATCACATCCCTCCCTCCCCTTCACCTTCCTACCTCCCTCCTTCATTGGGTATTCCTCCTGTCCCTCCCTCCCTCCCTCCCTCCCTCTCCCCCCCTCCCCCAGGCCGCCACATCCGCTCCTCCCGCGTGCCGGTAGAGCTGGTGGTGGTGGCGCCGCTGCAGCGGGCGCTCGAGACCGCCGTGGGCGCATTCGGGAACCACGGGCAGCAGGGGGAAGGGCAGCAGCAGGGGCAGCAGGGGGAAGGGGAGCAACAGGGGCAGCCTCACCAGCAGCAGGCTCAGGGGGCGGACGGCCCAGTTGACGGAGGCCGCGACGGAGGGGCCCCTGCAGCAGGTGCAGGTGCTGTTGCCAGCTCGGGGCCGCTGTTGATGGCTGCCCAGAGCGGGGAGGCGGGCCGGCGGGTGGCGCGGGAGGCGGTGGGGGCGAGCGGCTGCCCGCCCTTCCTGGCGCATGAGCTGTGCAGGGTGGGTGGGGGGCGGTGGTGAGGTGGTGCAGGGTGGGGGCGGTGGCAGCGCCTGGGCTTGTGTTGAAGGCTTGAAGAGGGGTGGCAGGAGGGAACGGGCGAGAAGGGACTCAAGGGGCGGTGCGAGTCTGATGGCCATGTCCCATGACGAGGGACCGGGGCGCCCCCCTGCCGCGTGCGCTCCCCCCTGCTGATGGAGCCGGGGGAGCGCACCTGGGGGCGGGGGCCGCTGGACTTTGTCGGCGGGCGGTGTCCTGATGTTACTCTCCTCGCATGGGAAACCACGTCTTTACTGTCCCATGACCCATGGGTCACCTCACACCTTGGCGTGACCTACAGTGCCTCCCACGTGCCTGCAGCCGTCCCCAGCTCCGCCACTAGGATGCTCCCAGGGTCTATCTGCTGCTGGGGCCTGTCCCTCCCTCAATTGTCCTTGCAGGCGTTGCAGCCCTCGAGCCCAGCCCTCCTCCGAACTCGTGTGTTCCCATCTCAACCTCTCTCCCATCCGCCCATACCGGTAGTCGTTGCGTTCACTCCCCCCTTCCATTCCCATGCTCTCCCCCCCCTGACCCTTCAGGAGCAGCTGGGAGTGCACCCGTGTGACCGGCGCAGTGCCGTGTCGGAGTACCGCAGCAGGTGGGCGGCAGGGGGGGCTAGGCGTAGGGGGGGGGCGGCAGGGGGGGCGGGGGAAGAAGAAAGTGCCATGCTTTAGCACGGAAGGGAAAGAAGGAGGAGGAGGCAATCCTGATTCCGATACTGCCAACCCCCACATGCAAGTCTCTCGTACCCTTGTACCCTCGCCTTACAGCCCGTTGCGACTGATCCGCTATACCGGCGTGTTTTCCCCACCCCTTCCCTCCTCAGGTTCCCGGCTGTCGACTTCTCTCTCATTCAGCCCGAGGAGGACGTGTTGTGGCACCCGGAGCGGCGCGAGGGGCGGGAGGAGCTGCGCCGCCGCGGCCTGGCCTTCCTCTCCTGGCTGGCCTCCCGACCTGAACGCAACATCGCGGTGGTGACCCACTCCTCCTTCCTGTTCTTCACCATGTCTTGTTTTGGACACGGCTCCTGGGTGGCCCCCAGCGTCATGGGGGAAATGCACCGGTGGTACGACAACTGTGAGATGCGGAGTGTGGTGCTATGTGATGAGGGAGGGGGAGGTGAGGGGGGAGAGAGGAGGGAGGGGGACCCCTGGCACTTTGCGGGCGGGGTGCATGCAGGGGAGGAGGTGGTGGGGAAGCAGTGACCCATGGGTCGTGCTGGTGGCTCTAGAGAGAGGTGTTTGTAGGAGGTGTGGTGTAGAGTGATAATTGGCAGGTTGTTGGGCGTTTAGAGCGTGAGTGCGAGGGGCCGTGTGGAAATGCGCTCTTGGAATGCGCTGTGGAAAGGCGGGAATGAAGGGTACACGGGCGAGCGATGGCACAGGAGGGTGCGAGAGAAGAGCAATCGAGCGCTGCTAAAGGCTTTTGCCGTGGGGCGAAATCGAAATGCAGTAAACAGTGCCATGGACTTAACAAGGAAATTCTGAGATTGCCACATCTTATAACTGGATTCCATATTCAGCGGCCGAGGGATTTTCTTGTTGGTAACGTCTGGCCGCATCGGCCAGCAAGGTTGGAAGGCCGTGTTGGCAAAAAGTGTCAGATCTTATCAGCAGAGGGAATTCGAACAGTATCCAACAGCAACAACACCGCTGTCATCCACAAACTTATCCCGCAGTCTCCTTTACGCTCGCTATCCAACAAGTCGACAACCCTAGGCACTTCTCAAGGACCCCAAGCCCGACAAGATGTCTACGAAGCAACCCAGCAAGTCAGCAACCAAACGACCTGCGAACGATAACGAAACTACCTCGTCGCCCCGCGCAAAGCGCGCAGCGAAACGCGCCGAAACGGCGTCGCAGCCCGTCAGCGCTCCCGTTGCTACTGTAGAAGGTTTCGCTTCCCAGCAAAGCGAATTCAGCTTCAACTTCACCTCTTCTACCCACATGGGCGGCAAGGGCTCCTTCCAGGGCTGCTGCAAGCGTTTCAAGGTTGCCGACCGACTCTTCCTGTCGATCCACACGACCGGCCGCTCCCACCACGGCACCCTCACCATCTCGTTCACCACCAAGCCACCGAAGGGCAAAAACGTCAAGAAGGGTGATGAGCCCAACACCGGCGCGCTCTGCACCTACGGCCAATGGCGCAAGTCCTGGGGCACAGACGTCACCGTCCCCACCCCCATTTCCTGCACCGGCGACGGAAGCACAAAGGTGCTCCCCGACTGCGGCCTGCTGCTCAGCCTGCGCACCTACGGGCGGGAGCACTGTGCCAGCGTGATCGTGTCGGATGAGCCCTGCTCGCAGCGCCCCTGCGTGCAGTGCGGGACGATCAACCTGACGCAGCCCGCGGCCCCCCTGGACGGCCTCGCTGCACCCGCCACTCCCGCCCAGCTCCCCCTGACGTACGCCACCACCACCGCCCTGCCGGCCCCATCAACCCCACCCCCCGTCACGCAACCCCAGCAGCCCCAGCCCCCGCAGCACCTCATCATCACCTCCAGCACCACGCTGGGCTTCCGCGGCTTCCGGCACGACGGCAGTGACCACGAGGGCGGTCGGCAGGCCTGCTGCATGCAGCTGCAACTGGCGGAGCACCTGTTCGTGTGCCTGGACACGCACGGCCGCAGCCACACGGGCGCCCTTACCGTGCGCTTCGACAGGCCGCCCACCGGCCCTTCCTCCTCATCTGCTGCTGCTGCTGGCGCCAGCGCTGGCGCCAGCGCCGGCGGCAGTGGCGGCGGCGGTGCCTCTCGGCGCTGCAGCTACGCGGACTGGCTGGCCGCCTGGGGCGCCAACGTGAGCGTCACTCAGCCGGTTCAGGTGCCCGGCAACACGGGGGCGGTGCAGGTGGCGGACTGCGGGCTGACGGTGGAGCTGGTGAGCCAGGGGCGCAGCCACAGCGCGGCCGCCTGGGTGCGCTCGACGCCCTCGCCGCTGTCCGAGCGCTGCAGCGCGGGCTGCGGCAGGTACCGAGTGGTGGCGGCGGCGGAGGCGGACGGCGGCAGGGGCTGAGGAGGAGGGGGAGGAGGGGAGGGAGGCGGAGGTGGAGGAGAAGGGAGGGCAACGGCGGCAGCTGCCGCATGCAAGGAGGAGCAGCGGCGGCAGTGGATTCTTGTGCAGGGGGCGGCGGTTGGTGGTTGGCGGCCGGGAGGAGTATCGTACTGGCAGCACAAACACAGTCGTACACGTGAGAGAGGAGGAGGCCATGACCTGGTGTGGTACCATGTAGGCCGGGATGTCTGATGCACAGCCCTGATGGCCCTGATGGGGGCCTCTGGCGTCGCAAATTGGGACTTGATGGCTGCACAACTGCCTGAACGTTGATCGTTGTTACGTTGTCGTTGGAAGTTGGCAATTTGCACTGCAAACCGCAAACCGTTTCTGTGTCCAGAGTGCCCGGTCCAGATCGGCAGGTTCGCCTGAATGGTTGGGACCAGCACAGCTCTGCGGGCTGTGCGAGGCAGGGTTTGGAGGAGGTTATGCAGCAATACGGTGGCGGATGAGGGCGGGTGAGGGCGCGAGGCTGCTGCTGTGCGTTGGCTCATAGCCCTGGGTAGAGAGGGTTACGGGGTGGGTTTGCGAGTAAGGGCCTCATGTGCGGAGTGATAGGTACCGGAGCATGAATATAAGGGTCAATTAAGGGCTTGCTTGTATACAACGGACGTGAGTTGCTTGCCCGGACAGGACACGGTGAGGACAGGAACATGGTATCAGGGTTGCTGGGGTAGACAGCAGGATCACGGCTTGCATAGTGGCTTGCGTACAGAAGGCCGCAAATGGCCCGCACACTGAGCTCTGAGTGTTGTTCGGGTACTGCCGGCGGTGAGCAGGGAGGTGCTGACACAGTTGGTTGTGGTTGCTGTTACGGTGTTGCTGTCCCCAGTGTACAGCATGCGGGCATGCAGTGGGGTTGATGGACGCTAGTTTGCAGGAACAAGTAGTGCTCTGCTGTCAGCTGCGGGAAGTCAACACCCATTGCCTTTGTTGCCGTACATAGGACACTGTTGTCATTGTTGTCGTTGTAAGGCAAGCAAGGGAGGGGTGTGTTTTGGTTGTCACCTTTGGGCGCTTATGCTCACTGCTGCTCGGGCAGCTTTGGGAACAAGTCGTGGAAGGGGGCGGCTCAGTGGTGGATAATCCCCAGCACACCATGCGGGTGAAAACTACCTTGAGGAATGGAACCAAAGCTGCGTTGAGGTCATCGCCATCACTGCAGCAGCACGGCACATTCCTCAAGCTAGTTCTCACCCGCATGGTGTGCTGGGGATTACCCACCACTGAGCTGCCCCCTTCCACGACTTGTTCCCAAAGCTGCCCGAGCGGCAGTGAGCATAAGCGCCCAAAGTTGCATTGGCTGCTAGCACAAGTGCTGGCTTGCAGGAAGGCGAGTGCACACAGGATGCGCTCTCCGGATCAAGACCGCAGCAGCAGCTTGCCCACTCGCACACGCAGCTCCACTGGCGCCTTGGTGATATATCACAGCACCAAAGTGTGGAGCCTTAACCGCCGCAGCAGACCCTACTCGAGAACAACTAAACCCATCCAGTGCAGGGTCCGCGACACCACAACCATCACTGACATCGCAGCCCCAGCGCACCTGATGCCGTGGCTGCAGCCGCACAGCATTTCCCCACCATCTGCCCCACCACCACCCACCACCCCACCACCACCCCCCGGCGGCTGCATGCATGCATCATCCCCCACACGCGCCCTACGCACCTGCATGGACACCCACCCCCACACGCGCCCACAGCCCCCCGCCCTGTGCCTCTGGAGGACCCTTCCATACATACCGGCGTATTCCAATCCCACCTTGCCAGTCGGGTCACTCTGTCCTCAAAACCGCCTTCCCTAGGGGAGCTCCAAGGGGGCTGGATAATGTTCGTGTTCGCCCATCGCAAGTGGTTCGCTCGTCACTCTCAGCTCACACACCTAAACACCTTTAATTAATGCAATGAAATGTGACGCCATGTGCCGTCATTCGCAGTTGAGCACCATGGCACCTGCAATGATGCCCACCGTACAGCCATCCCTGCTACTGCTGCCGGGGCTACTGGTAGCTGACCCCGCGGGCCGCCTGGATGAATGCGGAGACCTTGGCAGGGTCCTTTTTGAGGCCTGAGGAGGGGGGAGTGTGGGGAAGGAAGGAGGTCAAGTGTCAGAGGGTAAGGCCGCTGGGCAGCTGGGGCGTGTAGGGTGCAACGGGAGTGATCACACTCTTACATACCATAATACACCTTCCCAGACATGGTGGTGCCCCTTGTCGTTCCCCACCTCCCTGCTTCCCTCCTCCCCCTCCCCTCAGGCCATGGGAATGAGACACTTCTGCTTCACGTCTCCTTCTTTCCCATCCGGGTACCCACCATCCGGTCCGCACACCCCGCTCGACACGTCCACCCCGGCGGGTCGCGCCAGCTGCGCCGCCTCCGCCACATTGCCTGGCTGCAGGCCCCCCGCCAACAGCCAGCCGCGGACCGCCTCGCCAGCCGGCACCGTCAGCCGCCGCCAGTCCAGAGCCTGACCCGACCCGCCCTGCGGTCCGCCGGCAGCAGCAGCAGCAGCAACCGTGAGGACAGCAAGGGGGTAACCCTGCAGCAAACACTCCATGCGCCCCACCAGCGGCTTGCTCTACGGCTTGCTAACAGCCGGTACCCTGCCTGCTGTTGCAGCTCCCGGATTTTCACTCTAACATGTGGCTCATGTCTTGTTCACTTTGTAAACCCCCCACGCATTTAAGACCCGACTGTTACCCCTCCTGCTTCTCTCCCCTCCCGCCCCACCTGCACTCCATCCAGCAGCAGCCAGTCCGGCCGCCTGCCGCCCGCCCTGCCCAGCCCCTCCAGCAGCTGGCTGGGCGGGGGGGTGCGCGGGGTGCCGTCCGGGGCGCATTGCAGCACGTACACCACCTCCAGGGAGGGGTCCAGGTCGGGCAGCGCGGACCTGGGGGGAGAGGGGGGGCGAGGCGGTGAAGGCGGCGTGAAAGGTAATTGGAAAGTTAAGCAACGGAGTCCCAAGGGAGGTGGACAAGGGAGAAAGGAAGGAGGGCAGGGAGGAGTGGGGAAGGAGCAGCTCCAGTCTTGCCGCCCCAGCACACCCCTACCGCTACTCATGCAAGCTGCACAGTATAATCCGCCCTTGTCGTAGCCGGCCCTACCCCATGTGCACGCCCAGCCAAGCCCGCGGCGAACCACCCAGCCCTCAGCCCCCCCCACCCCTCAGCCCCCCCCACCCCTCAGGCCCCCCCCACCTGGCTCCATCCCCGTGCAGCTGCGCTACCGTGATATGCGCCTCCCTACACCTGCAGGGAGGGAAGGACAGTATACGGCGGGCGGGGACCGCGGAGGCGGGGTAATTAAGGAACACGGGATGGTTCCGGTGTGTTAAGAAAACTGGCCGCGAGTAGGAACGTACTGGGATGTCGAAAGATGAAGTCCCCACAGAACCGCCGCAGGAGCCGAGGAATATGGTAGCGTATGTACATATATAAGTCCAGTACTGGTGCTGAGAGTAAGTAGGACGTAGGAAGCACTCTCGTAAAACGACCGGACCTAAGGCCCGGTGCGTGTGTGTGTCAGCGCAGGCGGCCGGGGTGCCGGCACCACCTCCGGGGAGCCTGCCGCTGATGTGGGATGCAAGCAGCACCCATCCAGCCCCCCGCACAGCCAGACGTCAGGGCGGTCAGGCTGTGACCACGGCTCCTCACCCAGCCAGCCACCTCCCATTCGCGCTCAGTTCCTGCAACCTCCATACCCCACCCGGGGCGCCCCACCCACCCCGCCCCTCTCCCAGCCCCTCTCCCAGCCCCTCACCCCGCTCATCACCCCGTTCATCAACCCGCCCCTCATTACACCCCGCCTCTCACCCACCTGGCTGAGATGGTGGCCGCGTCCTCGTCCACGAACACACCCACCGCCCGCGCCCCCGCCGCCCGGGCCGCCGCGGCAATGCTGCGGGCGGTTTCGGCGCTGACTGCGCGCTTGGCCTTGGGCCACATGATCATACCTGGGTTGGGCGGCCGGGAAGCAGAGGAGGGGAGCACACATGCCTGAGAAGTGAGAACCAGGACCAGGCAGCCTGATCCTTTCGGCTGCTGTAAGTAGTGTTTAAGGGGCTTGCCGTCTGTGTTGCATGGCTGAAAGCTCACCTAGGAGATCGGCTCCTAGGCTGGCTGCATGCTGGGCGTCCTCGGGATTTGTGATGCCGCAGATCTGGCGTTCTTGCAGTGTGGGGCGGGATGGGTGCGGTGTTAGGGGTGGGGGGTTAGAAAGTGACATGCGGTGCTGCAGTGCTAATGTACGTATTCTGCATGTGCGGGTTCGTTGCTCCCTACCTTCACCATAGGTCCCTTGCGCAGCGGTTGCGCTTCTGCCATTGATGCACGTAAACTGGAAGGGCGAAACACAAAGAGGTATTCTTCTCTGTAGAAGCTGCTGTAACATTAGGCGTAGTCACTCAAGCTAACCTTATACAAGCTCGCCGCCGCATACGTGTGGGAGCGACGCATGCATTCCTGCACAGCCGATGTTGGTGGTTCGTCAAAGCCATGCCTACGGAGCTATGCTTAAAATATCTATCGAGAATTTTGTCTAGTGAGAACGATTGCAAGTGGAACCCTTTTCAAATTGCTCGTCCTATCTCGTTTCGGAGCTTCTGATTCGGGTGTTCGCAATCAACTTCGTTATCTCACAGAAATCTCTCAGCGTAGGTTAGCTTCTTGTTATCGACTGTCATCTAGGTGCGAGATCCCAAGAGATTGTCTAGTACACCTGTGGAATTGGTCTGCCGATACCGGGCGCATTTGGGCAGGCGCACCAACACGATAACGTTTCCGAGCCTGGAAAAGCCATAAAGATGACGGTTCTAGGCCATAGACAATGTTTTCTCCCGGTGCAGCAATCTCGGCGGAGGCTCCAGCCACTTGCAGCCCAGAGGGTCCGCAGTAAACGGCAAATTGCTGTCTCGCGGACCCTTATTGCTAAGAAAGGACATGAGTCTCAAGTAGCAAGTCTTGCTGGTGAAATCTTAAAATGGACAGAGCAAGAGAGCCAGGTCTCCGGGAAGGGAATTCTCGCATTCGACTGCGTTCGAGACGGGTGGGAGGCGAACACCTTCCACTTTTGGTGGGTTCAGCCTTAAACACTATGTTGGGGAGCGTTTGGGGCCAGTTTCGGCAGTAAACAGTGAGTTACATATGTTGCTTTCGATTTGCATGCAGGGAACGATATGAGGACACCACCGCATTCGGCACGCACAGCACAGCACCTCGCATGATGGAAATGATGAAAAAGGTAAACTAGCCAAGTATTATGAACCCAGATCTTGCTTAACAAGGAAGACATGGGATGGATTGTGAGGTTCTACGGTTTGGGGGTTACCCGAACGTGCACTGTATTTCAAACCCACGCCTCTTTTCCCTCGTTGCAAACGCCATTAAGTCCCCGATCTTTACTCATCCACTTGTAGTTGGAGCCGCACCTAGAGAGCCCGATTGGTGTGGCGCTCTACTCCTACGAGAATGGCCGCCTGGGGCCCGTGTCGATGCAAGCCGGTGGGTGCTCCGAAGCCACCCAACTCAAGGCTCGTGTTAGGTTTCGGTTTCGTTCAGTTTAGGTTAAGACTTCGGTAACCAAGTATGGTCAGGCGTCCAAGCGCACTCATGGCAACATCGGAATGCGGCCCCAGCACCCCTGCCAGCACCCCACCCCACCCAGCTAGCCATGAATGCCTTAGCCGGTGCCAAACGGCATGCACTCGACGAGCGAGGCCAATCATGTGGACTACCTGTAAGTGCTGCTTCTGTCATCGTGACCCCCTGGGCCCCACTGCATGGGATGTGCTCCACAGGCCCCAAGGGCGAGGGCGGGCTGGACGACGCCACGGGCGCCAGTGGAGCCGCCGGCGGTGCGTCGTACAAGCAGACCTCCAGAGCCTTCGACCTCAGTGAGTGCAGCACCCACGTGTTGGGACGTGTTGAGAGAGCGGCAGCAGGCCTGCAGACAGCCAGGGCTGCCAACGCATATATAGATATCCCCTCTCTATTTGTTAGCTCGTTTCCGGCCCCGCTTGATCCCGAATGGCAGCAGTCGCCGGATTGCCTGCCCCCGCTCACTACATGATTCGGGATTGGGACTCCGTTGCTGCATTTATCTATGTTTTTGCCCCCGCACACAGGTCGTGCTGCACCACCTGCTGCACAGCCGCCCGTCAGAACCCCTGACCAGCTGTGTGAACCCCGCCTAACCTTACCCCACCCGCCACGGCTCCTTCCCAGGTTTTCCTACATCCTCCTACCGCTTCGCATCACAACCCAAACGCGCCTTCACCCCAAACTTCCTCCTTTTTCCCCTAACCTCGCCCCCCCCTTCGCGTTTCCTTACTTCTCCCCTCGCAGCCAAGGTGGACGAGCACGAGGAGGCGCAGCGCGAGCGGCAGCTGCTGTCCTCCATGAGTGTGGACGGCGGCAGTGGGCCAGATGGGGCGCAGCAGCAGGAGGCGGACGGCGAGGGGGCGGGCGTGCCGGCCTTCGCACGCGGGCTGCTGTCGCTGGCGGCCGCGTTCAAGGAGAAGGTCATGGCGCCCGTGTGCCGGCTGCTGAAGCACAAGCACTGAGGGGGATGGGAGGGCGGCATAAAGTGGCATGCACTGCAAGAGAGACACACGGGGGTGTGCATGGGGGCCTGGGGGTTGGGGTGGTTCGTGGTGTTGGGAGGCAGGCAGTCAGGCAGGCAAACAGGCAGACGTGGAATGCAATCATGCGGGGAGAGGGCTGCGCTGTGTGGTGGGGTACTGACGTGCTGCCGTGTTCGCCTGGTCAACGCACTGAGCCTTGTCCGAAGTTGACCACAATCATCATAGGTTATTAACAAACGTCAGACTTGAACACTAACTGGTAAGGATAATCCGTATCAAAGTGGGAGCCGTCTGTCTGAACGGGAAGCATGTTCTTGCCACGGCCCGTCATTCGGTTAGCCAGGACTGCTGGGCACATTCAGGGGTCGACAATGCTCCAGTCATGTGCATCGTGTGCAGGTTCCAAAAGTTTAATTAGCAAGGATTGGCCCTGTTAGGGCCCCCACCATGTAGCATCGTCTCAAAGCTGGCTTAGGTGCTTAGGTCCGGACTTCTCAGCTTAGGTCCGGACTTTGACAATGCAATCTATTGGTACTACTACTTCCTTACAAACCTCGTCAACAAATATACGGCCAATCACAGCTGCATACCCTCCAGCTAGGGAGCTCACCGCCCGTCACTCGGACCCGCGCTGGCCCGCACACCCACCCCCACCGTCACCACGGCAGGCCTCAGCCCCCGCACGGCTCCCACCGGCACGCAAACAATACATACCATGCGGCAGCCGCAGCCACAGGCCCTATCCGACACACGAAAACCTTCCCAAACACGAAAACCTTCCCAAAGTCCAATTCACAAAATCTGCCACGCCCAACCTCGCAGCGCCCCAAGGCGGCTGCACGCCTTTCCAAAACAGGTACCGCTGCTGTTGCTGCTGTGGCCGCAGATATAAGCTGCATTTCGGTTCTCCATTCCTACCCACCCCGCTGGAAAGAACCCCCTCCATCATGATGGCCCCTCCCGGGGTCTAAGCATCCCTGCTCCCCTGCACCGCCCAGCTGCCACTCCAACCCAGCATGGCAGCCATAGATGGGTGTCTGTGTTCTCATTCGTTCGTTTTGCTCGCGAGGAAGGGGAAGAGAGAGCGGGTGGGAGACCCACGCCTTCCCTCCATCACAGAACAAGTACCAGCCGCGCCGCTAGCCTCAGCGGCGGCGGCGGACCTCCTCCCGTCCCACCACAAGCCCGCTGCACCGTCCCTCTGTCCTAGCCCGCTGCACCCCGCTCTGCCTGCCCCTTACGCCGCTGTGTTGAGCAGCGAGGAGGGCATGTAGCTGCCGCTCTGCAGCTGCTTCCGCCGCCGCGTCTCCACCATTGCCACAGCCACATCCATGATGCCTGCAGGTAGGGGGGGTGCAGGTAGGGGGGGTGCAGGTAGGGGGGGAGGACAAGCGGGACTCAGCGGGGTTGCGCGGCGTGCAGGCGGGCGGTGCAGGCTGGGAACTGCTGGGGAGTGGTTTGGCTAGAGGGGCCGCGTCACGAGTGAGCAACTTCTCTGTCGCCTTCCGTCCGCGCTCCCCCCAAGCAAGGCACCCCTCTTGCGGGCCACCACAGCAACGAGCTGTCCCTTCTCCCACTGCCGTTCACAGCTCTCCCCCTCCACAGCCCCCTCTCCCCCCTCCGCCCCCTCACCCGAGCGCCCCAGCCCCGGCGGCTGCACGGGCCGGTTGAGCCACTCCGCGCCCTCCGCCATCAGCTTCTCCCACCGCTCGTCCGCGTCCGCCTGCTGCTCGATGTAGCGCGCCTCCGCCTCGCTGAAGGCCCAGGCGCCGGTCTTGGTAGTGGTGCCGGCAGCCTGGGAGGCAGGGGACAGGGAGGGTGGGCAGGGTGGGCAGGGGGGTGGGGCACAGGGTGGGCAGGGGGGGCAGGGGGGGCAGGAGGGCAGAAGCGGGGCGTGGGTGGGCAGCAGGGTAGGGGGTGCGGTCAAGGAGGATGGCCACACACCCCCACCCAGGCAGCACTCGAGTAGTGGCCGCAGTCGACTGCCGCACCTAGGAAGCAGCGCCCCGGGGGGGTCACCCTGTTGCCGCATGTGGTGCGGGCGACACACATGTGGCCGCATGTGGTGAGCCACGGGTGCAACCCCGCCTCTTGAACGGAGCCGACTGCTGCGCTCCTGTCCCCTGACCCTCCACCTCACCCTCCACCCCCCCTCTCAAGCTCACCGCTTGCCGCTCCGCCAGCCCGGTGCGCCAGTCGCCTCCCTTGACCACGAACTCCTGGAACTGACCCAGCTTGCGGAACTTGGCGTAGCGGTCCAGCTTGATCTCCTCCTCGGTCATGACGGCGTACCTGGGGGAGGGGGTGGAGGAGAGGGGGAAAGCGAACAAGAAGGGAGAGGGAGTCAAAAAGATGTCAGGGGCATAGCGTAACTGCACAGGACACATGTGGGGTGATGCGAGCAGCATCGCGCCCCCCCTCCTCACCCCCCTCCTCACCCCCCTCCTCACCCCCCTCCTCACCCCCCTCCTCACCCCCCTCCTCACCCCCCTCCTCACCCCCCTCCTCACCCCCCTCCTCACCCCCCTCCTCACCCCCCTCCTCACCCCCCTCCTCACCCCCCTCCTCACCCCCCTCCTCACCCCCCTCCTCACCCCCCTCCTCCCGTGAACCATTACCACACACACAGAGGAGTTCCAGCCTATCTACCTACCTACTCTCCTCGATATTGTCAGCTATTACATACATATCAACTTACTACTACGGGCCTTCGTTCCGGTCGTTTTACGAGAGTGCTTCTTACGTCCTACTTACTCTCAGCACCAGTACTGGACTTATATATGTACATACGCTACCATATTCCTCGGCTCCTGCGGCGGTTCTGTGGGGACTTCATCTTCCGACATCCCAGTACGTTCCTACTCGCGGCCAGTTTTCTTAACACAGAGCCACATCCATCCCACCCACACATCCTTCGCCCCTCCCCTCCTTCTCCACTCCTCCCAGCTCCTGCCCGCCACCCCCCACCCCAATACATCTCGTCAATCCCTTCCTCCTCTTTCCCCCCTCTCCCCCCCACTCACTCCGCATACGTCTCCATGATGGCCTCCTTGACCATGGGGAAGGCGCTCAGCGGGTCCGCGTGCGCCCCGCCCAGCGGCTCCGGGATGATGTGGTCCATCACCTCGAACTTCACCAGCTCGGGGGCCGTGATGCGGAGGGCCTCAGTGGCCTGGGCGGGGAGGGGTATGCCGGAACCACAGGTTAGGGAGAAGCAATGGGGATGGAGGAAAGCAGCTTGTCGCGAAACAAAAAAGGGTAGCCTGGGCCCTGGGGGAGGTGCGAAAAATGAAGTGGGTAGAAAAGCACAGCCCCAAACGGGTGGGTGGGGGCCGGGCGATGCTGTTCCGCCACGACGGGTGGCAGGGCGCACACCACCGCATGGAGGCGGTGTTAACGGCAGGTGGCGTGGATGCTGCCACCAGTGCGTCCACCCCACGTCCCCCTCCTCCCCATCCCGGTTGGAGCCCCCTGGCCCCTCCAGCAGAACCCCACCGGGGCCACCAGCGCCTGACCGCGGGAAGCCGGGGCTGTGCCGGCGCTGAGCTGCACCTACACCCCTGAGCTGACCCCGGGTTGCCGGCAACCTGCTGTTTCAGCGGCTGGTGCCAGGGCTCACGGCCGCCCCTCCGTCCAGGCACGTGCTTATAGCCCGGCCTGCGGTCCCCAACACAACCGGCGACGACGGAGGGGCGCAATGCGTGCTCCCCTCTCCGCGCTTCCCCTCACCAAAGGGCAGTGCCGTGGGAGTTGCGTGCAGGCGGGCTGCGGGGGCACTTTGCCGCGTTCCGCTGTTCTCGCGCATTGCGCCCGTCCGTTGTTGCGATGCACGTGCACATGTGTGAGGTGAGCTGATGACAGCCCGTTCTCGTGTGGCCACGCCATCGGGCCTTCCTCCCATGCGCGCAGGGCCCTCCTGCTGGTACTGCTATATGAGCATGCCTGACCCTGGGCTCCTACCCCCCTACTCCCAACCCTGCGGTTCTCTGCTCCCCCTCCCTCCCTCCCTCCCCATCCCGCCCCCCGCCCCGCCCACCTCTCCCGCTGCCGCCCTGCTCTTCCACAGAATGGCCGCGCACGCCTCCGGACTGGCCACGTAGTAGACCGAGTTCTCCATGATCAGGTTGCGGTTGGCGCACCCGATGGCCAGCGCGCCGCCCGAGCCGCCCTCGCCAATCACCACCGAGATGATGGGCACACGGAGCCCGAACATCTCACGCAGGTTGACCGCAATGGCCTCACCCTGGGGGGAGCAGGAGCGGGGGAGGGGAAGAGAGGAGGGGGGAGATGAGTGATCGGGTACGGGGTGACGGGGTGGTGATGTGCTGGCGCTGAATGGCAGGGCCCCGCAGCCAGGTGGTAGTGACGCGGTAGTGACGGAGGTGCATATAAGCGACATTCAGTCGCGGATTCAGATTGATAACTCAAGGCGGAGGCCTCGGCAAGCCCGCACCACCCAACGAATCGTTTCCTGCCCTCCCCCCCTCGCGGGCACCGCCCCCCCTCCCCTTATTTTACCCCCACGCCGCACCTGTCCCAGCTCCTCCGCCGTCTTGCCCGCGTAGGCCCCCGGGGTGTCCACGAAGGTGATGATGGGCAGCCCGAACTTGTCCGCGTGGCGCATGAAGCGCAGCGCCTTGCGGTAGCCGTTGGGCTGCGGCATGCCGAAGTTGCGGCGGATGTTCTCCTGCAGGGCGGGGAGGAGGGGCGGGGAGGGAAGGTGGGGATACATCTACCGCATCAGGCTGGATAGTTGGGTTGGCGTATGTTAGCGTAGCGTTGGGTGGGAAGGGGAGGAGGAGGAGGGTTGTGTGTGTGTGTGTGTGTGGGGGGGGGTGAAGTGTGAGGTGAGGTGATGGGATGGGACTGGGTGTAACGCCTACAGGAGTCGTACGGCACCCCACTCTCGCGTTAAGGTTTCGTTCGGAGCCGACGGATGCGCACGGGCATACCTTCGTGTTGCGACCCTTCTGGTGTCCAATCATCATGAAGGGAGTGCCGTTAATGCTGCCGATACCGCACACGATGGCCGGGTCATCGAGGCCCGCGCGGTCGCCGTGTAGCTCCACAAACTTATCGGTAATGTTCAGAATAATATCCAAGCAGGTTGGCCGGTTGGGATGACGAGCAACTTGCAGGCGCTGAACTGGCGTCAGGCGGCTGTAAGTCTCTTTCCGCAGCTACATAAGCAAGGAAACAAACGATCTCAGACGTTGACGATATAGTAGTTGCGGTATGTAATGTTGTGTTCGCACCTGGCGTGCGCGGGTCTCCAGCTCAGCAATAGAGGCGGTGACATCAACGCCATTCTCCTCAGCGACTTTACGAACCTGCGAGGCGCACATTGCACCCACTTATACGGATAAGCCTGTGTGCTTTTATCAAGCATTGCCTGCAACGCCTGGCCTTCGCACCTCCTTGATGCGCTTATCCAGCTCAAGCAAGGGCTTCTCAAACTCCAGCACAGCCGTGTTCTGTGACTTGTCCTTGACAGGACCGAAGCGAGAAAGAATAGTGCCAAGCCACTCGCGGCCACCCTCTGCGCCCCTCTCCTTCGGAGTGTCAGGAGGGAGCCTCGGCGCAGCTTGCATATGCGTTATGGGCCGGACGGAAACATGCCGGCGCGGCGCAACCCGTGCAGCCCCAGCCTCTCCCAGAAGCTGCTTGCTCTTCAGCACCTGCATCCTGTCGGAGCTGTGCTGCCGATGCTCAGCAAGATTACTACAACTCTATGACCCAAGCAAGGTGTAGGTATCCTATGGGATTACACAGAGGCTAGTAGCATCCCAGAGGTCAGGGACACACCTTTGCAAGCACTACAGCGCTAGTGCATTTACCATGCCTAGATCCAGTTGCCCGATACGACAAGCCCCATAAACACCGTCAATCCGCTCAATTCCGCATACCACTTTTAATATAACGCATGTCGCATAAAAACACAGCTGACTGCTGCGTCACACCGCATTAAATGGCTCAAACGCATGTAGCGCTTGCAGGCTGCCGACATGCCATACACGACGTAACGCCTTCATTCATTTAATCATCCTGAAAGCTGTAATACGCCGTGCACAAAACTTAGAATCCTCACAATTCTTCAACATGAATACAATACGCTGCCACCAAAACTTCTTTTCCCAAACAGCCATCACGCCCCACGCCTACTCTTCAGCCAGTCCTGGATTTTGCGCTTGAGTTCCTCGTTAGGCCGCAGCGCCTCCCTCGTGAGCGGCGTCCGCGAGAAGGGGTCCGTCTGGCTGTTCAGGAAGTGCCGCTCGATGGTGGCGCGGTCCACAGTGACCTGCTCGGTTACGATGGCACGCAGGGGGACGCATGGGGAAGGAACGACTCGCATGAAGAGGTCAGGACTTCATACAATACCCAAAGCAGTCATCACTCCGACACAAGAACCGGGCCCCTTTCCTTCAAGGCGCCTCGTCAACCCTTCCCCACACGCACAATCACGCACGCCAGCCTAGCAGCATACGTGCCACCCCCCCCCCCCCATGACCCAAGTTGCAACCCCTGGTGATAGGGAAGCTTCGTCATGCGGCTTGTCATTTCGTTCCTCACTGCATAAGTCGGGAGATGGGGTTGGGACTCCACTGCCACACTGCACAAGTCATCCCCCCCCGCCCCACCTGCGAGTCGGGCAGTACCACGGGGTCGGTCATGAGGGCGGAGGTGATGGGGTCCAGCAGCTCCTCGGGGACGTCCTCGCACCCTGCGGCGGAGCCGCCGACACCGCCACCACCAGCACCAGCTGCGCCGCCCTCCGCGGCTCCTCCGCCTGCAGCACCGCCACCCCCGCCGGATGCTGCTGTTTGCTGCCGCCGCACTGCGGCAGCAGCCGCCAGCAGCTCCGAGAAATCCCGTACACCTGCGCAGCGGGGGAGAAGAAGGATACCCAATGTGTTGAATGCGAATGGCAAAGCAATGGGGGGGTCAAAGACCATACCATACCACAGGAAACCACAGGTTAGGGCAAAGCAATGGGGATAGGAGGCGGCAGGGTGCCACAATACAGAGTGTTGGCTGGGGCGGGGAGCAGCGAGTGACAATGCGGCGTTGGGTACCGTGTTCAGGCAACCTGGGATGTCCCAACAGACAGCTTCGGGTACACCGGAACGTGGCGGATGGAACCTGGGTGGCCCACAATCAACATCAACCGCCCCCGTCTCCGCTTCCGCCTCCGCCGGCTATACACCGCCACGTTCCCACCCCGTCACCATTACCTTCAGCACACCCCCTTCCCCACTCCCCGAAACCTCTCACCCCCCCCCCCCCCGACTCAGTTTACCGGTATCTTATCCCCCCGCCCCGCACCTGCTTCCAGCGCCCCCAGCTCCGCCCCCTGCAGCGCCCCCCGCCAGTCCAGGCCCCGCAGGTAGGCCATCTGCTTCTCCGTGTGCGCGTCCCAGTGCCGCAACAGTGCACCCAGCAGCACCTGGCGGCCCGGGGGGGAGGGGGACTCCTGGCCACCCTCCCCGCTCTCCTGTTGCTGCTGCTGCTGCCCCATCAGGCCTCCTCCTCCTCCCGCTGTTGTTGTTGTTGTCGTTGTTGTCGACGCTGCTGCTGCTCCGCTGTCCGCCGCTCGCCACAGCCCCAGCAGCGCCCCCACCACGGGTGCCAGCACATGCGCCCGGTGCACCTTGTCGGCCAGCAGACTGCGCTCGATGCGAACCGTGCTGCTCATGGGGCCGGCCGGGGGAGCGGGGGGCCGAGCAGGGGGGGCAGGGGGCCCCGCTGCGGCAGGGTGCGGGGGTTCAGCGGCGGGAGGTGCGGGGGGCGGCGGCGGTGCAGCTGCGGTGGGGGCAGCAGCGGCAGCGGCAGGTGTTGTTCCGTCTTGCAGCGGCGGTGTGAGGAGCTGGGTGAGGCGGCGGGCGTCGCTGCCCTCCGTGAAGTGCGAGAGGACGAAGGACACCACCTCCAGCAGCCTGGGGGAGGTGGGAGGTGGGAGGGGGGAGGGGAGGAGGGGTTGGGAGGAGGGGAGCGGATGCGGAGAGGGGTCCATGAGCTTGTTAACGGATAAGCTGAGCGAGAGCTGGTGAGGCAGGGGATGGTTCCGGCATGGCTGGCGGCTGTAGGTCCGCTCCGCCTGCCGTACATGGCCGTGTCAGCGTCTCGCATATGCCACATGTCGCCTCCCCCCTCTGCCCCGCCCTCCTTCCAGTTGCTCCACTTTTCGTAAAAGAAATCCTTCCCCCTCCGCAGCAAGCCCACCTGTTGAGGTTGAGTGCTGCCTGCGGCGAGTCGGGCTGCAGGAAGGCCGCCGGCACCCGCCCCGCCACCGCCTCCAGCAGCCGCAGCAGCCCCGCGCCCAGCTCGAACATGAGGGCGGCCTTGCGGTACTGCTGCTGCTGCTCCGACAGCGGGCGACGGGAGCGCGGGTCGGACAGGTCGGAGACTGGGGGGATGGGGGGGGAGGGGGAGGGGACTGGGTGTGGATGGATGGCAGAGGGCAGGAGGGAGGGCAGGAGAGAGGACATGCAGCAGGCTTGGGGTCTTGAGGTTCCGCTGTGTGCCGCAGCTGACGTGGAACCGCACCTCAGCCCAAGCAATCCCACCCCCCAGGACCCCCACCCCACCCCAGCCCCCCCGCCGCTCACCCGTGGCTGCGAACTCGCTGTTCGCCCAGTTGGCCATGTTAAAGAGGCGGTGCAGGAAGGGCGGCAGCGCGGCACCCCCGGGCCGCAGGACCTCAGCTAGCAGCCCCCGGAACAGCGCACTGCCGCCGCCACCTCCTCCTCCTCCGCCGCCGCCGCCGCCACCTCCTCCCTGCCGCCCCGCCGCGGCTGCTCCCTCCACCCCCACCTCCTCCCCAAACCCCTGCCCCCGCACCAGCCGCAGCAGCACCTGCGCCACCGGGTTCCACAGTCGGCTGTCGAACGCCGCCACCGCCGCCCCCACCAGCCGCTCCCTCGCCACCTCGCTCCCCTCGAACTCCGCCAGCATGGCCCCCGCCGGCTGCATGTCCAGCAGCGCCACCAGCGACCCCACCACCGCCTCCTTCGCGTCAGGCGTGCAGATGCGCGGCTCATGCAACAGCACCACCAGCAGGGAGATCAGCGCGTCGAGCGACCCGTGGGTCCGCAGCGCCGCCACACTGGGCGCCTGCGCCGCCGGCGGCAGTGCCGTACCGCAGACGGCTTCCGCGGCGTGTCGTACGGAGGAGATGGTGTCGGTGACGCAGTCCAGGTAGCATGCGGGGACGTAGGAGAGGAGGGGTCCGGGCAGTGCGGCTGCTGCTAGGAGCATGCGGGCGATCCATGCGGCTAGGAACAGGCTGGCCTCCTGCTTCCAGCCGCTGAAGAAGACGGTCTTGAGCAGGCAGCCGAAGCGGATGTTGGCCGCCACCTCCTGGCGGAAGAAGTCCCGAGCCTCCGCCAGGTAGGCCGCGTAGGAGGCGGAGGCGGAGGAGCTGCTGAGGCCCGCACCTCCCGCTGCCCCCTGTTGTTGTTGTTGTTGTTGTTGCTGCTGCTGCTGCTGTTCCTCCGTGTTCCTGCGCAGGTGGCGCTCCACCTCCTCCAGCCCCGCCAGACTGGCTGCCAGGGAGCTGCTCAGGGTGTGGGTCTGTGTGCGCCCGGGGGGGGACAGGGGGCAGGAGAGGAGGAGGGTGGGTGGCTGGTGCCTTGGTCGACCACCATTCATCACACCACTGCTGCATGCCCCGACCAGGTGGCTGCATCAGAGCAAGCACCACCATGCGACCCTCAGCCACCCTGCCCCTCCCTCCCCCCATGGCCCTTCTCATTGCCTGTCCTCCCCTCGCAGCCCGCCCACCCACCCATACGTCCCGCCCATACTTCCCCCCCTCCTCCTTGGACGCACCCCGTTCCCCCCCCCCCACCCCCATGGGGTGCAGCCTACATGTCACACAGCTCCTCGGTTCCCATCTCCCCCCCCCACCCACCCACCAGCACTGGGTGCACCCCCCCCCCCCCAACCCCCGCCCACCCACCCACCAGCTTGACGCTGCTGCCCACCCTGACCGCGTACAGCAGCATCGCCGCATCCAGCAGCTCACCCGCCAGCGCCGGCCGCCCAGCCACACGGGACAACACCCACTCGTCAGCGGCGCAGGGGGGGGCAGCAACCAGCCCTCCTGCCGCTGCTGCTGCAGCTGCTGCACCACCCGCAGGCAAGGATGAGGGTGAGGCGGCGGCAGCGGCCCTGCCAGCCTCCTGCTGCTGCTGCGGCGGCGGCTGCGGCTGCTGCCCCATGTCTCCCTGCTGCTGCTGCTGCAGGGCCGGCTGCGGTGTCAGGGCCGGCTGCCCCAGCTGCAGCGGCTGCAGCTCCTCGGGTGCGGTGACGGGCGCCTCGCGGGTGAGATGCGTCACGATACCACCCAGCCGCACCAGCCCGTTGACCGGCTCCAGGTCGGCCTTCAGGGCGGTCTGGGGGGGAGGAGCGGAGGAGCGGAGGAGCGGGGCCGAGGAAGCGAGTTGAGTGAGACACAAGGCAGAGGGGGAAGAGCTAGGCAAGGTGACAGAACCGGCGGCGGAAGAGGAGGGAAGGGCGGAGCGGTTGGGAGGACACGCAACCCCACGGCCCCGGCCCCTAACCGCAACCCCACTGCCATCTCGGCCGGACCACCGGAAGCATAGGAACCAACGCTCCCGTCGTTGCCCCCCTCGCCGTGCCCCCCTCGCCGCCCCCCCCCCTGCACCACCTTCACGAACAGCGCCCCCGCTGGGAAGGCGGTGGTGGCGGGCAGCACCACCCGCAGCATGCGCAGCAGCACCAGGTAGGCGCTGATGAGCACCGTGGAGTCTGGGGGGGGGAGGGGTGGGAGGAGGAGGCGAAGGGGGGAAAGAGCAGGGGCAGGCAGGGTTGAACGGTAGCTGATGAACGGGAGGAGGGTCGCTAGGGGCCAGTGAGCCGCTCTCCATGCTCTCACCCGCAGGACAAGCCCCAAGCACACATGCATGCAGGGCTCAGTGCAGGCAAGCACGCGGCACGCACGCCAACGGCCCGCCACCGCTGAACAACCAAACACCCTCACCCTTTCCTTCACAGCCCCCCCCAGACTAATAAAAGCAGGGCAGGGTGGGTTGGCTACCATGTTTGCACCCCATGGTGAGCTTTCTCACAAATCTCACCATGGGCCCAGATGTGCCTCGTCAGCTTCCTTTTTTCCCCTGCCCCCCCGCCCTCCCTCACCCGACAGTCCCGGTGGCGGCACGTCCCTTGTGGCCCCCCGGTTCTTGAGCACCAGGAAGCGCAGGAAGCCCACCAGCGCATCGTCCCGTGGGTCGCCCGACGCCCCCGCACTGCCCAGCAGGCAGCTCAGCAGCGTGTACTGCAGCTCCTCTACCTGGGGTTGGGGGGGCGGGGGGGGGGGGGGGTAGGTAAACTGAGCCGCGGGAAAACACGGGGGGGTGTTTGAGGCGGCGAGGGGGTATCACCGGTGTGGGGGCGGTGACGGCGTGACGACCGAGCAACCAAGCATGCAATGACCTTGTGTGACCAGCTTGGATGAAGGCGGCAGCAGCAACCAGCATAGCATGTTGCGTTCCCGGCCATCCCTCTCCCCCTCATCCCAGCTCCAACCTCCTCCCCTGCACCCGCGCCCGCACCCCCCTCCTGCACCACCCACCCACCCGAGCAGTCAGTTTCCTTATCTTTACCCACCCCCCACCCCACCCCCCTCACCCACCCACCCTACACCCCTCCTACACCCCTCACCCACCCGGGCCATTGCGGTGCTCAGCGCCTGCAGCGCCCCCCGCATGCGCTCCCGCTCGCCCCCCTCCTCCGCACACCCGCGCCACCACACCACCGGCAGCAGCGCCCTCAGGTCCTCCGGCGCCGGCCCCTTGCGCGTCAGCAGCCCCTCCAACGTATCCCACATGTTGGGGTGCCGCAGCCACACGGCGCGCAACGCGGGGCGGGCCGCAATGGCCGCTGCCAGGGCTAGGTAGGGGCAGGAGGAGGAGTGCGGGAGCAGGGCGGGCTGCAGCGGCGCGGAGACACAGCGCCGCGCCAGGGCCTCCATGAGGCAGTTGACGACAGCGGAGAGCAGCTCGGGCTCCAGGCAGAGCTCTAGGAGCTGTAGCATGCCGGAGAGGGGCTGCTGCTGTGGGTGCTGCTGTGGGGACATGCAGGGTGATCCTGAGGGCGGTGCTGCGGCTGCTTGAGCGGGTGCTGCAGCTGCTGAGGAGGAGGAGGTGGAGGCGGCGGCGCTGCCCTCTCCGCCCCCACTGCCGCCATTCGCCAGCCCCAGCAGTCGCGGCAGCAGCACCCCGCTGATGACGTACGGCTCCAGCAGCAGCGGCGCCAGCTGCTCGGCCGCCACACTGCCCAGCAGCAGCCAGGAGTCGGGGGACAGGCGGAAGGAGGGGGCGGGGCGGTCGCCCGCACCTGCTGCCAGCTGCTGCGGCGCCCCTTGGATCTGCTGCTGCTGACCTGGGGGGTAGCCTCCGGATGCTGCTGCTGCTGCTGTTGCTGCTGCTGCTGTGTTACCGCTACCCTGATCTGGGTAACCTCCGGTGCTGCTGCCACCGGTGCTGCTACCCCCGCCGTCCCGACCCACATCGCCCCGGGGTCGTACGTCCGTCACCAGCCGCTCCATGCAGCCCAGCAGGTGCCCCGCAGCCGCCAGCTGGCCGGCGGGGGGCGGCGCCTGCAGCGGCTGGAAGCCGGGTGCGGGGTACTGCAGCGGAGCGGCGCCGAAGTTGAGTTCGCAGCGCTCCGCGTAGGAGAGGCTGGCTGCGGGGAAGTAGGCGAGGTGGGGCTGCAGGGTGCGGATGGAGGTGAAGGCAACACCCAGGCTGCGGCCGTTGCGGTAGAAGGAGGCCTCGCCGCGGTCTAGGTCGAGACAGCAGCCGATGACGTCACCGGCGGCCCAGGCCTGAGGAGGGGAGGAAGGAGGAGGTGGAGATGGGGGGAGCGGTGTGATGGAGGTGTACAGGAAGCACGGGAAGCACCGGAGAGAGAATGGTGTTGGGCAAGGGAGGGATTAGTGGGTGGATGGAATCTGCATGGTCAACAACTGCCAACCCACCTCGCCGTATTGGGTGCACTTGACGTGCCACTTCTTGACGCGCTTTCCGTCGTAGGCGTAGGAATCAGGAGCATCTCCGACTCCCTGTAAGGCGTTTATGCACGTAAGCTTGGGCACTTGACCGCAACACCACAAACGCCATGGCCATGCCCGTTAAAGGTACTAACCTCCTCTGAAGTGAACGGGCATTGAAGAGTCGCCCAACCAATCTGCATGATGCCCGACGAGCAGATGGTTGCTTCGTACTGCCACTTGCCCTTGAAGACACACGCATTGGCCCGGCATGAGGAGAAATTTGCGGTTGATGTTAGGGTACCGCTGGCGCTGGTTTCAAGCCGGCCTGATACGCAGTCGACACCAACTACGCTGGGACCTAAACGTCCAGGCCTGGTATCTCGCGCACTGCTGCCGTGTCCTTCGCGCTCATACTGTTGGGTACGCTGAGCGACAAGATCACTCAGACGAGTGTACATGTCATCGCCATTAAGTAGCTCATCTTTAATGTCAAAAACATGCACTGCAGCCGCGACCTCATCGTCCTCAATTGCAGCCTCAGCCAGCTTGGGTCCGCTGCTGCCGTCCGAAAGAAGCAATGCAAGGCCGCTTGGTGAATACTGGCCAGATCCATCCTCCTTTTCCTTCACACCCATCGTGGCGGCTTTGCGCCCCGAGGGTAATGCGTCCTAGCCGTTAAAAGCCCTCTCCGGTGTAGCTTTCCTGCTAAATCTCCTACTTGGCTGTAATTACTGTAATAGGATTGGCACCACGAGAAAAATGTTGGAACCAACTGTATTAGGGAAGGCGAAAGGTCGTCCAACTTCCGGACAGAAGCCTCATCGCCGTCCTGTAAGCGGCCACGTCATCGCTGTGAATGCAAGTCTGCGATCGACGGCCTTTTCAGGACATGTTACACCAAATCCAGGAACTCCAGGATGTCGTAAGACTACCATTGTGTGTTGGTGAACATGTAATGGTGCGTGCATTAGGGTAATATTCGGGACAGTCTGGGATAGTCCGCAAATGGCCAAGGCCCACAGTTGCCATGCTCACTGGCTGCAGGCCGCAATGCGGCTCCTGATGCTGCGGTGGTCGCCACCAGGGTCCTCACCACCGGGTCATTACCACGGGCCTCCTAGCAGAGACAAGACCAACCACTAACTGCCAGCCAAACCGCCTGCACATAAAACCAACCTTCAACCCGCGTGTATGGCAGCCGGCAGCAAGGGAGACGGATATCCGTTGCATACTAAACGTCATGGACCTCATGGTGCATGGCGCAAGAGAATCGGACGTGCTCCCCCGTGTTGATGGGGAGGGGGGGAAGGGGGGAAAGCAAAGAGGAAGGAAGTGCAGCAATGGTGCTTGGCCCCAGCCAGACCTGATAGCCACAAGTTGGAGCGAGGGTAGCGCAAGCCAGCGCAGATCGGCTTGGCCTCACATGCTTCTTTGCTGCAGTCCCCTAAAACGTGGGCTGTTGTGTGACCCGTGGGTCGTCCAAACACAATGTCTCTCCTGCGGTATTGCATGTAAAGGGGAATGAAGCCCCTTTAAAGCTATCATTGACACTGGAGACATGTAGGGCAGAGGGTAGTATCTCGTATGGAACACCCTGATGGATGAATGAACAGCTGCTGTGTGCCGCGGGCCGCATACCAGTGATTGCATCGGGTCCTGTTGGGCGTGCGTCGCTAGGAAAATGAGCATTTTCCCAGCGAGCAGATCAGAATTCCTGACAGGATACGAAGTTGAAAGATAGGAGCTGCAATGAGCCAATCAAACGAATGGACAAGTCAGGGCGTGTTCGATTGGACGGCTGCTGCTGCTGCAACGATACCACCACAATCGCGCAACCATCAACCCACCAGCGTGGATCGGGTCCGCACAGCACGAAACCGCCTCGCATGCAGCGCACGCAGGGCAGCATCGCAGCAGCCAAGGGGCAGCAGGTGCTGCTATGAGCCCAGCCACAAGGGCCCCCGGCTATAGGGGAAACGCTGGGAAACACGGTGCTAGTCCAGTTCCATAACATGTTTGCCCTCTGTGCAGCGACACGATACCGGTGAAGCAGAGCTCAGCACTGCCAGCACCTTCAGCAACCGCCAGGTCCTCAGCAACCGCCCGGCTGGCATGTGCCCAACGAACACCGCTCTACTAGCATTGTTCCGCGCGTCCCCAGCGCGCCTGGCTGCATGCCGCTGTTCACCCCACCTCACGCAGCTGTGACCAGCGCATCCCCCCTCTCGCGCGCAACCACCAACATTGCGCTCCTGTACGCAGATCAGGGGCCTGGCACTGTGCAAGCGCGCGGCCTCACTGCACCGCATGACCCGCCCAGCCCTACACAGGGCTCCTTCTTATACCGCCCCTTCGCATGCGCTCCCAGTTCGCTGGAAACCTGACCTCTTTAACCGGTGACATCACCCATCTAGCCCGGCCCCCTTCCAGCCTGCATGCCCCCTACCAGCGCCTGCCCGCCTCCCTCCCTAGTCCTGCACGCCCCCCTCCTCCTCCAGCTTCCGCCGCTCCTCCTCGCGCATCATCTCCAGAATGGCCCGCTGCGTGCGCCGCTCCAGCTTGTCGAGCTTGGGCTGCACGTCGCGCTTGAGGTCCCAGTTGGCCTTCTTGGGCGCGATGTTGACCAGCAGCTCCTGGGGGGGTGAGGGGGCGGGGGAGGGGTGCATGGGGCGGGAGTGAGGGGGGGGGGGTGAAGCTCCGCCAGAAAGGGAAGCGCCACTAAGCCACTAGGAAGCCACTATGCGCCCGGTGAGGGCGGCTGGCGGTTGAGGGAGCTACAGGGTCGCTGCGCACACCGACATGCTGGGGCGCCTAGCTTCACTCTTGTCACCAGGCTCACCCCCCCCAAAGCCTGCCCCGCAGCGGCCCCCGGGGCAGGAGCCGGCCCGAGGGGGGGTAGGGTTGAGGGGTTGGCAGCGGGCAAGGAAGGAACCCCTTCCCGTCCATCTGGTCGGCATCACCAACATCCCGCAGACAGGCGGCAGGCTAGCGGCCAGCTGTGTGCCCCCATCAGGGGCCAGGAGGACACAGACAACGCGGCTAGGTGGTGACCGCTGACATGGACAGCTGCCATTACAGCCGCAACCTCCCCCACCCGCACCTCCGCCGGTAACCCACCTCTTGGGGCAGCTCCTCGGGTTTGGTTTCCACAACGGGCTCCTGAAACTTAGGGGGCTGCGCTGCTGCTACCCGCTCGTGGTCTATCCGCTTCGTGTCCTGGACTGCGTAATTGCGGAACTTGAGCACCGGCTTCTCCGGCTCTGCGTCGGCAGCTGGGGCCGCCGCGGCGGCATCGCCTTGGTCGCCGTCCGTGGCTTGCGCCGCTGCGCGTAGGGCTTTCAGCCGCTCACGCCGGGCAAGCGCATCTTCCATCGCCGCTTCCCGCTGCCGAGCTGCCTAAAGGTAACTGCCCTAGTTTATATCAAGCAATTGCAATTTCGCTAAATGACTGTTGCTGTGTAACTTATTCCTGAGTTGCTTTGAAAGCTGGAGTCGACCGTTGCCCGCCAAGCCCAGGTTAGTGCAACGATAACTATTATTAATACAGATATTGACGATGTACTCTGACAGGTAAAACAGTTGTATAAGGCTTTTACCCCAAGTGTTTGGCGTCTATCAGAGCGAAAATCGCCTAGATCATGCTATTACGTGAAACAATACCTATTTTGCACAATGCTGTAGATGCGTTGGGTTCCTGGGCAGTGATGCCACTGACACGCTATTGTACGGCCATCCAGAAGCAAACGTGTCCCTTCGGCCCCATCATGCCAAAGGAAGCTGATCAACCGCAGCAGTGTTAACCTAGGACACACATAAGCCCCGTGTATTGTCAGAAAGTCAGTGGCTCATAGGAATCTGGCGTAGTGAGGCAAACACAGCCCGAACTGTCTCCACGGGTTAGACGTAATCGGCGAGCCAGTCGCTTCCCTGAAGCGCACCACACTTTTTCTGCTTACATCACACTAGTCATCACCTACTTCAGGCGGCGGCCCTCCGCGCAAGAACGCGCCCGCGTTAGCGAACATCAGCACAGTCATCCTCCACGACGCGGCGACGTCCACCTGGCGTCGCCCCACCCTTAATCTCACACCTCGCAACTAGTGATGTTAGCGCGACCCATCTTAGCGGCGTCGCTGCTAGCGCTGCTGCTGCTCCCGCAGCATGCGCTGGCAGCCCGAGGAGGAGGTCGCGACTTTTACAAAATCCTGGGAGTCGATCGGGGCGCGGATGAGGCGACTATTAAGAAAGCCTATCGCAAGCAGGCTCTGAAGTGGCATCCGGACCGCAACCCAGACAACAAGGAGAACGCGGAGGAGCGTTTTAGGGACGTTGCGGCCGCTTACGAGGCGTTGTCGGACCCGGAAAAGCGGCGAATGTACGATCAGGTGCGTGCTAGGATGGAAGAAAGGGCAGTTCTGGGGCCAGAGTGTGGGATTGGGAAAGTGAGGGTCGTCCAAGATTGGAGGGAAGCGGAAGCGACGCGGCTTGCGGGGTGTTGCGGGGTCAAGGGGCGGGACAGGCTGAGAGGGACACGCGTCGGTTGTTTTTGAAGGTAGCGCAGAGGGAAGCCCTGGGACGTGTGTAGGTAAACGAGGTGGCCATGGGGCCTGTGGCTGTGATTGGCCGTTCCCTCCTGAATGCCTTACCTCGACCCTCCTTTTGACTAGCGCTCACCAACACGGCGCGCCCGCTGTATCTCACGCCGCTCCCCCTCTCCCGTCGAACCCTTCCTACACACGCACTCATCATGCCTCCCCTCTTCCCCTTCCCTACAAACCCTCCCTGTCATCCGACCTCATCCGACCTCCTCCCGCGTCCCCTCAGTTCGGCGAGGAGGGGCTCAAGGGAGGCGGCGGCCCGGGAGGTCCAGGTGGACCCGGCGGCCCCGGCGGCTTCCACTCGCATTTCGGGGTGCGTGGCGGGGACGGAGATGTTTAGGAAACCGCCTGTTGTCCTCTCCGTCGTCCTCTTTGCGTCGTACAACACTCCCAGCTGCCGTACGAGCTGCCGTACCGCATCCCGCACCCTGTCTGCATGTAGTAGTAGCCTTGGCTGCGACTGGGGTGTGACTCGCTGCCGCCTGCGCGGGGTGTGCGTGGGGTGTGTTTCGCAGCATATCCCCCCCCCTGGGACCTCCTAACACTAGCTGTGCACGAACCAAATGAGTCTGTCGCATGGGCCCGTGTCACCGCCCTCCGACCTTTCAACGCCCATCCTTGCTCCGCAGGGAGGTGATCCGTTCGAGACGTTCAACATCTTCTTTGGAAGTGGCGGCATGGGAGGTGGGGGCATGGGAGGTGGCCGGCAGCGTGCCTACCAGTTCAACATGGGGAGCGGAAGCGGCGGCGGCGGCTTCGGGGGTGGCTTTGGCGGCATGGGTGGTGGCTTCGGCGGTATGGGTGGTGGAGGCATGGGCGGTGGAGGCGGTATGGGCGGTGGTGGCGGCGGTGGCAGCCTGTACGTCGACGACCCGCACGTGCAGCAGCTGAGCGGCGACAACTTCCCCTCCGGCGACAACTGGGTGTGGGTGGTGGAGTTCTACACGCCCTGGTGCGCTGTGGGGGGGGGGAGCGTGGGGGGTTCGGGGCTCGGGGCGGAACGGGAATGGGACGGCGGGGGGGTAGCGTTCCGGCCCCGGGGTTCCCGATGTGGGAGTTGCCGGGTGAAGTAACGGTAGTCGCGCCCTCTCGACACCAGCTCGCCTCCTTTTCACCCAACCCTACCCCACTCCTGCTTCACTACCTCCTTCCCTCTTGCCCGCCAACAGGTGCGGCCACTGCAAGCAGCTGGCCCCAAAGTTCTCCGCCGCCGCCGCCTCCCTCAAGGGCGTCGTCAAGGTGGGCGCAGTGAACTGCGACACACACGGCGAGCTGTGCACCGCGCACGGCGTCAGGAGCTACCCGGCCATCAAGGCCTTCGTCCCCGGCTCCCCGCCGCGCGACTACAAGGGCGAGCGAGCCGCCAAGGCCCTCACAGACTGGGCGCTTGGGCTGCTGCCGGGTCGCGTGACGCAACTCACCAGCGCGCAAGCACTACAGGACTTCCTGGGGCTGTGCGGTGGCGGTTCCGGAGCGGCGGCGGGGGGTAAAGGTAAGGGGGGGAAGGCAGGCGGCGCGGGTAAGGATCGAGCCGCCTGGGCGCTGTGTGTGGTGCTGGTGTCGGCGAAGAGTGAGACGCCGGCGCTGTACCGCGCGCTGGCTGGGGTGTACGGCGGGAAGATTGCGTTTGGGGAGCTGCGGGTTGGGGCTGTGGCGGGCAAGAGCGTGCCGGCGGGTATTGCGGCGGTAGCGAAGCAGCTGGGACTGGATGTGGAGGCGTTGCAGGCGGGCGGCGGCAGCGGTAGCAGCAGCGGTAGCAGCGGTAAGCAGCAGCAGCAGCCGCTGCCGCTGGTGCTGACGGTGTGCAACGGCGACGCAGCGCTGGTGGAGCGGTACGGCGGCCAGGTGAAGTCGGAGCAGCTGACGCGGCACCTGGAGGGCTACGCGGGGGGCAAGAAGTGCGGCAAGATGGTGCGGCTGGAGGCGGGGACGGATCTGGGGCGGTTCAGCACGGGCCAGCTGAAGGAGCTGGTGCGGGACAGGGGGCTGGAGTGCAAGGGGTGCATGGAGCGGGGGGATTACGAGCAACGGTTGAGGGGGTTTATTGAATCCGGGGTGTAGATTGGTGGTCGTTGAGTTGTAGAAATAAGCAGACGAATTGAACAGCAGATGCAGTTGAGTTGGGAGGCAGTGGACGCGCGGGCCCTGTATTCATCATGACAACATTGATAACGCATAGTGTATGGTCGTGGTTAATGGGATAAACACATCCTTGAGGGGTCCAGCTACCGGTATGTGGGCGGGGGCCTAAACATGTGTGCGGACGGGGCAGAGCTTAGGCAAAGGTGTGCAACGGTGTTGAGGTGGCAGAAAGATACGGGGGAACACGTTATTAGCACAGCACGAGCCTTTAGGCGCCTGGCAATGGCAATATCGAATCCGACACCAACGTTGCGGTATGGAATGTCAGTCCTCCGATACAGGCACCCCTCATACGCATGACTGCGAAAACAATGCAAGCCTCTTAATTCGATACGAGCCGCTCGTGTTCCCAGTCACGCAGTATACACAACAGAAGGGGCTCAGATGACAGCCAGCCCCCGTACGCCCTACGTGTACGGCATGCGCGCACGGCGTTACCTCGCTGCATTGGTACCTCCATGTAGGCCCGGGTTGCGGGCAGCCGCATGCCAGGAAGGCGTTCTAAATAATCCAACATACTGTGCTCATCCGGAACCATATCCAGGACATTGTGTTCAAATGGAGCCGGGACATGCGGTCCCAAAACATGCTTGCCATGCATGGCCCTATGTGCGCCCGGTAACAACACCACCCTGCTGTGCTGCCTCGCTCGCTAGCATGCGCGCTAGCTACCACACGACACCAAAAACATGCATGGCCGCCTGGGGTCTGGCCAGGCTACGAAACCAACGCTGCAGTGCCCTCCGAAACTCCACACAACGGGTGGACGACACCGCCAATCCTCGTGCGGATGGGCAGCAGCAGTGACGGCGGTATCGACGGGTGCAAACCGCGTTCTCAGCCGGCTTGCATTCCCCATTGCTGCGGCGTCCCCCCACCCACGGCTCTCTGACCCGCCATCCAGCAGCAGCTTTCTAGTCCGCCCTAGGCTCTTCTTACAGCGCCCGGCCTTCTCCCATCTCGTCCCCCTCTCTGCACCCGCAGCGCGCCATTTCTCACAGCTCCCACCGCTGCTGTCTCGGCTGCTGACAAGGCGACACAACACACGCCTCCAACCGCCGCACCTCACTCCTGCAGCTGGGCGGACCGGTTGAGCATCTCCTGCCCCGCGGCCCGCATGGCCTCCTCCGAGCTGGCCCCCCAGCACACCGCCAGCACCTGTGGGCAGTAGAGGGTACGACAAAGGTGACGCCACTTCGCCACATCGCAGCATCACCGCTGCACACTGCACATGCACGATGCGACGCACATGCCCCCGCTCCTCTGCTGCTGCAACCCAAACCCAGCACCCAAGCCCTCCACCCCCACACCCCTCGACTCACCTCGCTGTCTCTATACACGGACGCCTGCCAGCAGCTACCGCCCACCGCCCCCGCCCCTGCAACGGCGCCGCAGCGGCCCAGGCAGTCTGCACCCAAGGCCGCCGCCGCCTCCGCGGCCCACTCGTCCAGACGCACCGCCATGCGAAGCCCCGCCAGCCGCCACTGCCGACTCAGCGGTGCAGCGGCGCCAGCAGCAGCAGGCTGGGGTGCCGAGGAGGGTGGCTGAGCGGAGGATGAAGACAGAGGGCGGCGCAGCTGTTGCTGCTGTTGTTGCTGCGCGTGCCCTCGTTGCTGCTGTCCTTGTTGCTGCTGCCGCTGTCGTTTTTGCTGTTGGGGTTGGAATTGCCGTTGCTGCTGCTGTTGCTGCTGAAAGTGCTGTTGCTGCTGTTGCTGCTGATTGTGCTGTTGTTGCTGTTGCATTTGCGGCTGTAATCCTTGTCGCTGCGGCTGTTGTTGCTGCTGAGAGTTCTGCTGCTGCTGCTGACCGTGATCTTGCTGTTGCAACTGCGGCTGTAATTCTTGTCGCTGTTGCTGCTGTGCCCCCGGTTGTGCTGCCGCGCTGCTGGGCGAGGGAGCACAAGCGGCCCTCACGGGCACCGGACGGAGGTGCGCGGGCAGCGACTGAACCCGCTGTCTGCACGCCACTGCCGCACTTGATGCCGCACTCGCCTGCTGCCGAGCAACACTGCTGCTGCTCCCGCCGCCGCCAACGCCACCGCCACAGCCACTGCCGGAGCTGCCGCAGCTGAGCTGCACCCGCGCATCCGCAAGTGCCACAGCCGCCACCGGTTGCGTCCCGGAGTGGTAGCTACTGGGCGGGTCGGGGTGCACCGGCACCCCGGACTGGGGCCCCGCATGCTGCTGCTGCTGCTGCGGAACTGACGAGTGCTGCTCACTCGCCGACCCTGGGCCCGAACCACCGCGCAGTACTCCGGGCGGATGCGGTGCATGCGGTGCCAGGCCGCTGCTGCCTCCACCCCCACCCCCACCCCGGCCTCCATGCAACCCCGGATAGGGCCGCTGACCCCAGCCCTCGCCTCCGGCCCCCCGCCCCCGCCCGCCATGCAGCCCCCTCAAGGGCGCAGCGGACTCCTGCCGGTATGCCTCCGCCGGCCTCAGCACCACCTCGCCCCCCTCGTCGTGCGACACCTCCACCAAATCCTCCATCACCCCGCGCAACAGATCCGCCACGCACTCGAAACCAAAGCTCGCCGCTAGCTCCTCATTCAGCTCGATGCGCGCCGTTTCCCGCAGCTGCGCCACCGCCGACCCCAGTGGCAGCGGCCGCGCCTGCGGGTCCACCAGCTGCCGCTTCAGCACCATGCGGAAGAACTGCCGTACGGGAGCCAGCAGCTCACGTGGCGGCGGCTTGTGTACGACACCCACGCCCATGCCTGCTGCAGTACCCGTGGTCGTCGTCATCGTCGGCGCCGCGAATGGTGGTGGCCCTCCGGGCCCTCGGAACCCATGCCTAGCGCCCTGGGGTGGTCCTCCAGCCCCGCCGGCAAGCCACTCCTCCGCTGACACCACCTCCGGACCCAGCGGCCGCTTGCGTCCCCGAGCCCCACCGTCCGCCGCCTCCCCCCATGCCGCCCCCGCCTCCTCCGCCCTCCTCCGCACCACCTCCTCCAGCGGCTGCAGCTCCCGCAGCAACTCCTGCATGACTGCTGCCCGGCAGCGACCCCACCCCGGCAGCGGCGCCAGCACCACCTCGCCAACCCGCCCGTCACGCCGCTGCCGCAACCCCCGCGACAACATATCGGCGCACAGGGCCTCGTACATGGCGGCGGGGCTGCCATACTCCATCCTGGAGAGGGATGGGTGGAGAGGTGGTTTGAGGTGGTTGGGATGGTTTGGTGAGGTGGTTGGAATGAGGGGGAACCGGGGAGCGTGGGGTTGGGATGCAGAGTAGGGGTATACAGTGTGTGCGCTGAGGTGCATACATGCTTCCCACCGTCATAAGCCATACCTACTTGTCAGGTCAGCCATACTCCCATGCACCCTTAACGCATCCCAAACCCTGCTGGCATGATGGCGGCTTTCTTGATAAGCCCTCCCTTGATAACCTCTCTCTCGGTATGCCCTCTCTCAGTAAGCCCTCTCTCGAAAACCCCTCTCCCTCATTAACCCCTCTCTCGATAACTCCTCCCAGCTGGCAAAGGCCCCCATGCCCACCTCACCTTCCGGGCGCATAAGGCGGGAAACGCGCAGCAAACATCTCATCCACCTGCGTCACCGTCCTCGCTACACTCAGCAACTGAGCCCTGACCTGCTGCTGCTGATGATTCTGCTGCGCCTGCCCTGCCGTACCTCCCTCCTGCTGACTCAGCTTGTCGTACTCATCCCAGGCCTGCGACATGGCCAGCGCCACCACCGCCCGCACCCGCAGCACCTTGTGCGTCGGGTCCAAGCAGCGCCCCGGGTGCAGGCAGGCGGACAGCATGGCGGCCGCGGTGACGGGTGAGGAAGTGTCAGGCTGGGGCGGTGCAGCTGCGGCGGCGGGGGCGGCGGCGGTGTCATTAGCCTTAGGCAGCTCCTGCAATGGCAGGGGCTGTGGTAGGGGCTGCGCTTGTAGCTGCTCCAGGAGTTGCTGCAGCTGCTGCGGGTCGGGCAGCGCTGCTGGGGCGGTAGCGGTAGTGGAGGCGGGTGCAGCGGACGTAGCTTGCGGCTGGGAGGTACATGCGGGTGCAGCGGCGGCGGTGGCAGTGGGTGCGGGGTGGGCCCATGCAGGCTGACTGGAGGGTGCAGGGTCCATCTGGGTGAAGACCCAGGAGGGGGGAGGCTGCGGAGGGGGTGGCTGCTGGGGCGCCGCTTGCTGCTTCTGTGAATGCGGTTTGTAAGGTGGCTGCGGCTGCTGCTGCATGGGCGGTTGCGGCTGCTGCTGCATGTAGGGCGGATGCGACTGCTGCTGCATGGGTGGCTGCGCCATGGGCTCCGGATACGTTGGCGCTTGTGCGAGTGGCTGCAGCGGTAGCGCGAGGGGCTGTGGCTGCAGGTATGGCGCGGCCGCCTGTTGCACGTGTGATTCGGGCGGCTGCTGGGGCGGTGGCTGGGCGTAGGCCAGGGAGGAGGACGGCTGATGGGGCGGTGGCTGGGCGTAGGCCAGGGAGGAGGGCGGCTGCTGGGGCGGTGGCTGGGCGTAGGCCAGGGAGGAGGGCGGCTGATGGGGCTGCGGCTGGTAGGGATGCGATGTTGTGAAAGAGGAGTGCGGTTGGTATTGCTGCTGCGGCGGCGGTTGGCATTGCTGCTGCGGCGGCGGTTGGTATTGCTGCTGCTGCGGCGGTTGGCATTGCTGCTGCGGCGGCGGTTGGCATTGCTGCTGCGGCGGCGGTTGGTATTGCTGCGGCGGCGGCGGTTGGTATTGCTGCTGCGGCGGCGGTTGGCATTGCTGCTGCGGCGGTTGGTATTGCTGCTGCTGCGGCGGTTGGCATTGCTGCTGCGGCGGCGGTTGGTATTGCTGCTGCGGCGGCGGTTGGCATTGCTGCTGCTGCGGCGGTTGGCATTGCTGCTGCTGCGGCGATTGGTATTGGTGCTGCTGCGCGGGATACTGCGGTGCAGCGAAGTATTGGTGCTGCTGCGGTGGCGGGTGCGGCGGCGGGTAGAGGTGCTGCGGCTCAGGCTGTGGCGGCTGGGGATGCGGCGGGGGCGGGTGGTAGGTGGGCGGCTGCGGCAGGGGCGGCGGTTGGAAGGGCGGTTGACCCGGTTGCGAGGCAGGTGGTCGCCGCCAGGGCGGAAGTGGGTCGCCGCCTGGTTGGGGCGCAGCGGCCTCAGCAGCCCCTTGAATGCTACAGGGAGCCCAGGAAGGAGCCGGTGGGGTGGCTTCTGGTAGCGGTGGTGCAGCGGGTGCAGCGGCGGTATCCGCAGGCGGGTGGGCAGCCCCGGCAGCCTCAGGGGGTAGCAGCGGGCGAGGAGGAGGAGGTGCGGACCAATGCGAGGGCGGTGCGTGCGCTTGCGGCTCCATGTGGGTCGGTGGGTCACAGTGGGGGGGAGCAGCAGCAGGAGGGGCTCCCCAGGGAGCTGCCGGCTGCTGCTGCTGAGGCGGTGGAGGCTGCTGCTGAGGCGGATGCGTCGGATGGGTTGGGGGAGGCGGATGGGAATCCGGCTGAGGCATGGTCTCTGGGTGGGGGTCGGAGTTGGGGAGCAGTGAGTAGCCGTTTGTACTGGGTGGGCAGGCTGGTGGCTGGGGGGCAGCCGGGGGCTGGCAGCTGGCAGGTTCGGGCTGCGGTGGGGGCGGGGGCGGGGGTTGCGGTTGCTTGGGGTGTAGTTGGGCGTTGGAGTGCGCGTCCGAAACGTCGTGGGAGGAGCTTCGCTGGGGCTGGCTTTTGGGGAGCGGCCGTAGGTGCGCGGGCAGGCTGTTTGAGCTACCCCTGCCTAAGCCTCCGCGTTGGAATCGCTCAAACAAAGCCCTTGCGGCTGGGTCGGTCAAAAGTGTGCGGCGTCCGCTTAGTACAGTTCCACTTGTAGAATTGCTGGTGGTGCATCCACTGCCTCCGGACACCTGAGCGCCGGCAACGGGGCCTCGACAAGATTGTGATTGGGGCACATCTGACGGCATCCCTGGCTGGCTTGTCTCCCGCATTCTTGCGCGTGCGTAGGAGGAAAGCCGGTCCAAGGTGCTCTGTCGACTATGTGTTGCGACAAAGGTAAAGATGCCCAGTTCCGGATTGTTGCCCAGTTAGGACGCCGCAGTATGCGCGAGTGCTGACGCAGAAGCTTCTGCGGGTGCCGCGTATACACCGCCAAGCGCTTTAGGGCTGAGCATGGGCGGGGCAGCAAAGACCTACGGCTACGTGCATCTTGCCTAGTTTAAGACTGCTTATTCAAAAGGATAATGAGCCCCATAAGGGTTACCATCTTTGGGCCAGTAAGGGCGAAGCGCGTCTACCCACCATCTATATGCAAAAAAGGCGCAAGCTGCTATGAACGAAGCGACGTTCTGCTTATGCAAGCCTATTTAACTGTTTTCAGTAGGCGGCAGAAAATTTGCACGGATGCTGCGCAAGGGGTGCACGCTCCGCACGCCAGCACGGCATTGTGGTGCGCCGTTGGTACTGCTTGCTTTCAGCGACAATCTCCCTCCCTGCAAGTCAGAGCTAAAGATACACATTCTTTGTGACTGATTTCACTTCCTTAGGCCTAGCCAGACGGCATAGGGTCAGGACGATATTGCAGCAAAGGATCAAAGTTTGCAGTAAATGAAAAGCTAACAACAGCAACCTTCGCTACCATGGATGCCTTGCTGGCTGTGGCTGTGGAGGAGGTCGGCTTGGAGGGACGCGAAGGTGCGAGCCTAGTGCAAAGTTGCATAGACGTTTGACAGGCTCTTTGTCACCTGTTTGCATTTGAAGTAAAGCAAAACGTGTTCTGTTACGCCATCAAACAAAGCGTGAGCTCGGCCTAGCGAAGAAGAGCTGTCAATCCATGTGGCCCGCCTCCTTTCCCCGCCACAGGCTGCACGGTGGAGGCGTTATGGAGCCTGCTTAGCAGCCGTCTGCCCGTGGGCCCCATCACCTGCCTGCCGCCACAGCTGCTAGATGCTCTGTGGGCCCTCCTGCTGCAGCGGACAGAGGACGTGCAGCTCCTGCTGCCGCCGCTTGCCGGCCAGTAAGTGCCTCCTGCAGCCTGGTTTAGCTTCCGCACTAGGGGATGGGGCTTCAGCGCTAGAAAGCGGGTTCCGGGTTACGACTCGGAACTCCTGGAAGTCCTCCAGGAAAAGCCCCAACACCCGGCCTTCATGTTCCGCCCTGCACTCCCTCGTGTCCCCCTCCCACCCAGGGCTGAGGCTGAAGATGAGGGACCCCCCGCGGGGGAAGCCGCCCGCAAAGCGAAGGGCTCCCGCGGTAAGCGGTCCGCGGACTCGGACCCGCTGCAGCGGTGGACCAAGGTGGGTGGGTTGGCGGGTGGGTGTTGGGAGGTGTGGCTGCAACACTTCGCCTTCGGGCGGGGTGGGAAGGGAGTATGAAAGAGACGTCAGATAGGGCGAGTGCGGGGATAGCGGGAATCTCGGTGAGGTTTCGATGACGGCGGCCACAGCAGCTCACGACTACGCATGCGCTCCAGGAAAGGGCTTGTAAGCGGTGCGGGTGCTGGCGGCAGCACGCAGCTGGACGTATGCCCTGCTGCATCCTGGGGCGGGTGCTGATGTCATGGCTACCTGCTGCGTGCTACCTATTTCCCACATGTTCCCACACGGCTTCCCTGACTGCAGTTGAGCAGCGGTGACCCGCGGGTCAAGGACCGGGCAGCGGCAACCGCTGCCGGGGTTCGGCTGGTGGTGAGTGGCTGTGGGGTGGTGTATGGGCGTGCCGGGGGCCAGGGGGCAGGCGCTCAAAGTGGTTATTGAAGCACTGTTGGCGACACGAGTAAAGCCGGAGAGGGCACTCAGTGAAGGCGGGTTTCAATCCTTCCCCGCCGACCACACCTCCCCCTCTCCTCCCCTTTCCCTCTCCCTCTCCGTCCGCAGGCCTCCGAGGCGGTGCGCATGTCGGTGCTGGGGGTGTACGAGATCCAGGACTCGCGCTTCCCGCTGAGCGAGGTGCAGCTGGCGGCGCTGGCGGCGGTGGGGCGCGCGCGCTGGCGGGGCACCATCAACGCCGACCTGGCCAACCGGCTGGGCATCGCGTACCGCAACTTCTACTACATTGTCAAGGTGGGGGGGCGGGAGGGGAGGGATGAGGGATGAGGGGGGATAAGGTGGGGGCGCGTCGCCGTTGCAGTGCATCTGAGCCCCTTGGGGATCCATGCTGAGCACCCCCTCATCGTGCAGCCTCAATCCACGCCGCCTATCCCAACATGCGCTCCCGTTACCTCCTCTCCCTCACCCCCTCGCCCTCCGCCCCCCCTCCCCCCCTAATAGAACCTGGAGACCCGCAAGCTGGTGGTGAAGAACCCGGTGGTGTTCGCGCCGCCCGGCGCCACCGTCACCGTCTCCTCCGTGCTGCACCTGCCGCGCTTCCAGCCCGCGGTGAAGCTGGGGCCGGGGCAGATGTTCAAGGTGGGGGGGGGGGGCTGAGAGGGGGAAGGGATGTTTGGAAGGAAGGGAACGCCGCCGCACGGGCACACAGCCCCATGTGTACGCCTGGAGCCTTGGCCCATGCTTCTTGCACCCGCAATTCGTAGCGGCTCCGAGGTTCCCACCAGGCACCTCCCAGGCGCAACACTGCCCCCTCCCCCCTCTCTTTGTCGTCTGGTTTGCGTCCTCATTCAACGGGATTGGAGATTCGACTTTTCCCCCCTCTTCTTCCCCCTCCCCCCTCCACTCCCACCCCCCCCCTCCCAGACTGTTGACGCCGTCCGCGGCATGGAGGTTGCCACCTACGTGCTGCAGGACGACAACCTGCACATGCGCCTGGTGTGCTCCACCATCGCGGAGACGCCCGAGCGGCTGGTGGTGGAGAGCGACCTGAAGCTGGTGTGCGGCTTCAGGGCGGCGCGGGGACACCGGCTGTGGAGGAGGCTCAGGGTGAGGCGGGGGATGGGCGGAGAGGGGGCTGGGCTGGTCCTGGGGGGACTGAGATCTTCCGGGAAAAGGAGGGAAGGAAAGAACTGTGGCACGGCGGAGGAGAGTGGACTGTATCCCGTTCGCTCACCCTCTTTCTGGTTACCCAGATCCCTCGTCTCCCCCCCCCTGCAGCGCAAGCTGGAGGACCAGGGCTACCTGTCGTTCGAGACGTGCCGCGTGCGCGACCGCCTGGTGCCCTGCGTGCGGCTGCTCAAGGACTGGAGACCGCCCGCGGCGGCGGAGGGGGAGGACGCGGAGGGGCCGCCGCCGGGGGAAGGTGGGGCTTTAGGACCCGTGAGGGGGGGGTCAAAGACAACACCGAACAATAGAAAGCCCCAGGTTGGGGCAAGACAATGGGGGTAGGAGCGGCAGGGTGCCACAAATCAAGTGTTGGTTAGCTTTGGGCTTAGGGGAAGCAACACGAGTATAGTCTGTATAGACTGCCAGGAGGACTAGGGCTGTAGGGGACTTGGTGGGTTCAAGGTGGCGGCGAAAAGGGCAGCGGCATATGCCACATGGCCACCTCCTCTTTCCTCACCCATCCCCATCGATGGGTCAGTGTTTCCGCGGCTCAGTTTATCTAATCCCCATCGCTCACACCTGGGCACACCTGCAGAGGCGGAAGACGGCGGAGAGGCGGACGCCGAGGAGGCTGCTGGCGGTGCCGGTGCGGGCGGTGCTGCAGGCGGTGCTGCTGCTGGCGGCGGCGGTCCTGCACGCCCCTGCATCCACGTTGCGGAGGCCTCCCTGGAGCGGCAGCTGCTGGAGGGCATCATCAGCGCCGGGCCGGACGGGGTGCTCAACCACGAGCTGTTCGCACGGTTGGGGGTCAGCTCCAAGGTGTACGGCGGAAAGTGAGTTTGCAGGGAGGGGGGGGAGGGAGGGGGGGAGGGAGGGAGGGAGGGTTGTTGCTGCGGGACACACGGGGGCGGTGGTGTCATGTACTCATGTTACAGCTGTGCCGCCTGTGCGCAGGGTGCATGGCTTTTCCCCTTACGTAGTCGGCCAGCCAGCTTCTCACTCCCTCCTCGCCCCTTCCCCTCGCACCCCTTGCATTTCCCCTCTGCACTCCCTCCTCCCCCCCCCCCGTAGGCTGGTGGAGGTGCTGAAGCGGCACAACATCCAGGTCACGGTGGTCAACCGCGGCCGCACCGTGCTCAACCGCCTGGTGGCGCCGCCCGAGCTGCTTGCGGCGGCGGGGCGCAACACGGCGGCTCTGGCGACCAATGCGGTGGAGGCACTGGCCGCGGCCACGGACACCCAGCAGCAGCAGCAGCTGCTGCCGGCGGGGGCGGCACAGCAGCAGCAGCAGACGCCGCTGTTGGCGCTGCCGCCGCCGACGGAGGCGAAGGAGGAGGCGGAGCCGGCTGCGCCTGTGGGTGCGGCTGCTGCTCCGGCATTACTGAAGCCAGCTGCCCGGAGGAAGTCCGCTGCCAAGTCCACTGCCAAGTCCACTGCCAAATCCTCTTCCAAAGCAGCCAAGGCGGCAGCGGCGGCGGCCGTGACGTCACCGGCTGAGCTGTCGCCGGCGGGTCGGCCGCGTCGTTCCGCTGCCGTCAAGGCGGCTGCGAACAACGCCCGGGCGTTGAAGGAGCTCGGAGAGGGCGGGGGTGGCGGAGGAGGAGGAGGCAGCGACGGTGATGAGGACTTCACGGTGGAGGACGTGGCGGCAGAGGAGGCACGTGCGGCGGCGGAGGAGACGGAGGAGGAGGAGGAGTCGGGCGGCGGCAACGCCAGTGAGGAGGACGAGGATGGCAGTATTGGCGTGGCTATTGACGATGAGGACGAGGAAGAGGAGGAGGAGGTGGTGGAGCAGAGTCGCGGGGCAGCAGCGGGCGGCAGGCGGCGCCGCAGCAGTGCTGCTGGTCCTGGTGCTGCGGCGGCGGGCGGCTCCATGGGGGGAGGTGGCCGGGGTGGGGCCAGCCCGGCGGGCAGGGGCCGCGGCAGGAGGGGCAGCAGCAGCCGGCCCGGCAAGCGCCCTCGACTGGAGGAGGAGGCGGCGCAGAAGGAGGAGGAGGAGGGGCAGCAGGCGGTGGGGGTGGTGGCCGCTGGAGCTGTGATGGTGGCTGCTGCGCCGGCGGCAGTGGGAGGTGCGCAGGCGGCTTCGGAAGGAGTTGCTGCTGCTGCCGTCGGGACGGGAGCGGGGGCGGCAGGTGCTGGCGGAAGCGGGGCCGCGGAGGCGGGTGCCATTGTTGCCGTACCAGCTGCTGCTGCTGCGGCTGGTGGAGCTGCCGCCGCAGGGGCGGGGGGCAGCAAGGAGCGGAAGCCGCACTGGACCAAAGTCATTGTGAGTTGGGGGGTGGAGAAACGGAATATGCACTGGTGCCCAGGGGTGGGTGGGAACGAGGAGCTCACCTAGCTGTATCCAATCTCACCTCACCTCACCCCAACCATCTCCCTCCCCTCCCCCCCTGTCTCCCCTCAGACGCTCAAGACGGAGGACCGGCTGCGGCTGCTTGTGGAGCACCTGAACACGCACCGCTTCATATCGCGGGTGCAGGTGCGCCGGCTGGTGATGGAGTGGGAGAGCGCGGTGAGCGGCAAGCCCGTTCCCAACAGCGCCGCGGGGCCCGACATCAAGACCATCCGCCGCCTGATGGACCGGCTGGCGGAGGCGGGCAAGGCCAAGATCATCCGGGTTGACACCTCGGGATTCCTGGGCGACAACAGACCGGTGAGGGCGGGATCTTGTGAACTGAGCCGCGGAACCACTGAACCTGACCGTAGTACACCGGAGGGAGGGACAGGGGCAGCGGGAGTGAGGGGGGCGGGTGGGTGTACATGTTTGTCTCGGTGGTGGTGTCCCACCTGAGCGTTGGGGGGGAAGACGTGCCGTGCTTGGGAGGGCCTAGGGTAGGGCAGGAAGACACTGCAGGAAGCACCCTGCCGCCCCTCATCCTCATCCCCTGCTTCCCAGCCCTTTTTATCCTCCCTATCCCTCGCTCTCCCTCCTCTCCCGCACCCCGCCCCCTCCCCCGCCCCTGGGCAGGTTGACGTGCTGCTGCGCCCCGACCTGGAGCCCACCCCCGAGCTGCTGGAGGAGATGCGGCGGCAGATGGCGGACTTCGAGCGGCGGCTGCGGTCGGAGTGCTGCCGGCGGGCGCTGGCAGCCAGGAGGGTGGCGGGGCAGGAGCAGCAGCAGCGCGTCGGGGACCTCATGCCGGGGGGAGGGGCAGCGGGAGGGGGAGGAGGGGCGGGGGTGCAGGAGCAGGTGGAGCAGCATGCAGGGGCGTACGGGGCGTATGGAGGCGGCGGGGAGGGAAGTGTGGAGGAGGCTGCCGAGGGGCTGATGAGGTGGGTGGGGGTGGGCCGGGGGGGTGGGGAGAAGCTGGATATGTGGAGCGCAGGGGGGAGATTCACCAGCAACAGGTGCCTGCTGCCCTCACTGTGATTTCCGACCGCCATGCAGAAGCAGCGATCATGCTTACCCTTTCACTTCTCACCCCCCCTTCCCCTCACCCCGCACTTCCCGCCACCCCCAGAGCCGCCGGTCTGCAGCCACCAGGGCCCCCTGAGCCAGCGCGCCCGCCTCGAGCACCCGCCCCCACCACCACTCCCACTCTTACCGCCGCCCCCACCACTACACAACGCCTACCTGGCGTGCTCCCAGCCCACCCCGCCCGCCTCCTCCTCATGCAGTCCGCAGCCGCTGCAGGCGGCCATGGCAGCCCTGCAGGCGGCCATGGTGGCTCCCCCAGTCCGCTGCTGCGGCTGGGTCGCGGCGCCAGTTTGTTCCGCGCGGAGGCCAACGAGGCGGGTGTGCGCAGCGTGGAGAACGGACTCATCCCCGCCAAGATGGTGCGCGTGCGGCTGCTGCACTACCTCATCGCGAAGCTAGTGGGTGAGTGGCGGGGGAGCGGGGTCAAAGACCATGCCGAACCAGGGGGAGCGGGGGGGGGAACTGTGCAGGCCAGTTGCATAGGGCGGTTTATACCGGCCGAGCTGATACATCATCATCCCTACCCCATGCTCTTCCCATCCCCCACCGCGCCTCGCCCGCCTCTCCACAGGTCTGGGCGGCTTCGACCCCGACCCGCTGTCCTCCGTGGACCCCGACCCCGCCTCCCTGCCGCACATGCCGCTGGCGCTGGGCGAGGAGCTGCTCAGCCTGGCGTCCGCGGCGGAGCGCTCGCGCATGGCCTTTGCGTTCGGAGCCATGAAGGGGGGAGCGGGGGGAGGAGCGCAGGGGCAGCAGCCGGGGCAGGGGCAGGGGCAGGGACAAGGACAAGGGGGGCAGGGGACGCAGCCTGGGGGCACAGGGGAGGCGGGAGGAGGTGGAGGAGGAGGTGCGGGGGGTGAAGAGGCGCCCCGCCACCTGAGTGTGCGGCGGCTGTGGAGCATCATGCCGCTGAGTGTGGCGCTGCAGGTGGGGGGGGAGGGGGAGAGGAGGAGCGGGGCGGTGTGGGGGGAGAGGAAAGGATAGGGAGGAGAGAGGGAAGGAGGGCAGCCGTAGCTCCACTCTACTCCGCAGCTCGTTCCTGCTGAACCCCTCGGGCCACTTCCCCCTTCTGCTTCTCAACCCGTGCCACCCAGTCTCTAAACCCCTCCTCCTCCCTCCTCTTTTCCACCGCTCTCCGCCCCCTACCCCCCAGGTCCTGGGCAGCACCTCCCGGCGCCCGCCCGAGGAGCTGGCCCGGCTGTGCGAGTCGGGGGCCACCCTGGGCTCACTCACAGCGGAGCAGGTGGGGACGGTGGGGGGGGAGGGGTGTGTGGAGGGAGAGGTGTGTGGAGAGGGAGAGGGGAAGGTGCACTGTCACTGGCTGTTGCATGGAGTACTCTGAGGCTCCCCGTGGGTCGTGTACCTACACACGACGTAAGAATCCGAGATGCCCGTACCGGCATCTTGGCTTGAGGGCGCAACTCGGTTACCGTCTGCCCGGTTCTGCCCCACATGTGCCGGCGCCCCCCCCCCCCCCACCTGCCCCCCCCCTCCCCCCCTCCCTGCCCCCAGGCCCGCGACATCATGGACGGCACTTCGGTGCACCGCCTGGAGTACCTCATCAGCATACTGCGCAGGCTGCGGCTGCTGGAGTGGGCGGTGGTGGACCCGCCAGCAGCACCCGGGCAGCAGCCAGCAGCAGGCAGACTGCACTCCGCACGCAGGCCGGGGCCGGGGGCGGGCATACGGGCGCGGGACGGGCAGGGGGTGCTGCTGCGGGTGCATGCGCGGGGCTTCCTGGAGGTGCCGCCGGGCAAGAGCGCGGCGGGCGCTGCTACTGCTACTGCTGCGGGTGCTGGTGCTGCTGCTGCTGCAGCGCCAGCGGGTGGCGCACAGGATGGGCCTGGAGGAGCCGCAGCCCCAGCGGCAGCAGCAGCAGCAACGACCCCAGGCGCCAGCGCAGGCGAGGCGGGTGCGTCCGGCTCCGCCGCAGCGGTGCTGCTGCCCGCTGCGCCCTCGGGCTTCGGCGGCGCCGCGGGTCTGGGCGGCGCCGGCGGGGGCGGCAGCGGTCGCTTCCTGTGTGTGGACCTGCGGGGCAGTGCGGGGCTGGACGAGTACTGGCGGCGCTTCCAGGAGCTGTTCCGGCTGGAGGGGCCGGGCGGGGCGGCGGCGGGGGCGGAGGTGGCCAGGCTGAAGCGCTGCTTCCCGGCGACAAGTGGGTCTTTGGGGGGGGAGGGGAAGAGGGAGGATGGGGGAGGAGGAAGGGGGGGGGAGGATGTAGGTAGGGAGGAGTTAAGTGCAAGGAGGGAGTGGTTATGGAGGGGGAAGGTGCGCGTTGCATAACTGTGTACTGCGCCGTACCGATGACCTCCCTGCCACAGCCTGGCGCCCTGTGTGCTTGACACCATTGATCCCTTGCCCCTCCCCCCTCCCCCCCTCCCAGCTGTCCCCGAGATGCTGAGTCGCAACAGCTGGCAGGGCGGGCGGCTGATGACGGCGGTGCAGTGGCTGCGGCTGCAGGCGGGGCTGGACCAGATTGACCTGGCGGACGGGGCGCAGGTGGGGTGGGGCAGCGAGTAGGGCTGGGCTAGCAGAGGAACCGGGGAGGGGAGCGGAGCGGGGCGAGGGGTTGGGGTCCGTGCACATTCGTGGTTTCCTATGGTCTGGTCTATTTTGACCGCCCCCTTGACCCGTTACCCCCTCCCCCCTCGCGCCTCCCGGCCCGCAGATCAGCGACCTGGCCACCCGCCTGGGTCTGGAGCTGCCGGTGGTGGCGCGCATCGTGTCGGACCGCCGCCGCCGCATGAGCCGCGTGGTGGACCGGGACGGGGAGGGGGCGGCGGCGGGGGAGGCGGGGGAGGGCGGAGAGGGAGGCGAGGGAGCGGGCGGTGGCGAGGGCGGGCCGCTGCGGCTGCCGCGGCTGTGTCTGGGGGTGCATGGCATCACGCTGCAGGGGCAGGCGGGGCGCGGGGCGGGCGGGCCGGAGGAGATGCTGCCGGCGGGAGACAGGTGAGGACTGAGAGGGCTGTGTAGGGAGGGAACTGGCTGTCACTACCCATCACCACAAACCCCCCTCCCATTCCCAATTTGTCCTCGTCCCACCCTCCTCCTCTCTCTCCTTCATCTTCCCTCTCCTCCTCCCACCCCGCTCCTCCCCTCCTCTCCTCTCCTCCCCTGCTGCAGGCGGCGCCTCATGAAGACGCGCACCACCAGTCGCCGCTGGAGCCCCGCCACACGGGAGCGCCTCGCAGCGGAGCGGGCGGCGGAGGCGGAGGCCAAGGCGGCGCGCAAGGCGGCCCGGGCGGCCAAGCGGGCGGAGAAGGAGGCGGCCAAGGCGCAGCGCAGGGCGGCCAAGGCGGCGGGGACGTACGTGCGGCGGAGGCGGAAGCGCGCGGAGATTGCAGCTGCACGGGCGGCGGAGGCAGAGGCGCGGGCAGCGGAGGAGGCAGCGGAACAAGCGGAGCGGGAGGAGGGGGAGGGAGAGCCGGAGCGGAAGAAGAGGAGGAGGGAGGAGGGCGGGGAGGTGCGGCGACGACGGCGGCAGGTGGGCGGTGGGGGTTGGGGTTCGGGGGTGGTTATGTGGAATTGGGCATGCCGCATGGGCATGGGAAGGGGGTGTGGAAGGGGCCTGCTGTTTACTCCACGTTTCTCCGCTTTCTTAACGCCTGCCTCCGCTGTGGCCATCATCCCCACCTTCGCAGTCTCAACGGGCGCATGCAGCCGCCGCAGCTGCCGCCGCCCAAGCAACCGCCGGCAGCCCCTCCTCCCCCAGCGCCCGGCAGCAGCAGCTCCTCCTCAAGCCCTTCTCACCGCGCAGCAGTGCCGGCGGCAGCGAGGCTGCAGCTGCCCGCGGCACGCCCGACCAACCGCCGCCTAGCGCCGACAGCGGCGGCGACAGCGGCGATGAGGAGGAGGAACACGTCGATGGCGAGGAAGGCGCCGAGGGTGGTGCCGAGGGCCGTCTGGCGACGTCAGGGGGGCAGCACGTGCGCATGCCGCACATGGCCGCTCCCACCCGCATGACTCGGGTGCTGTGGACCGCCTCCGAGGACCGTGCCGTACTCACGCAGTACATCAAGCTGGCGGCGGAGGCGGGACCGCATGTACGACTGGCGTGGAAGACGCGCGCCTCCGTCCTGCCGTACTCTGTTGTGGTTTGCTCGCGGCATGTACGCTACCTCAAACGGCACTACCCGAGCTACACGGGCAGGTTGGACGAGCTGCTGAAGCGCGCGTACGAGAAGAAGGTTGCGATTGGGCAGCTGCGGGAGCGCGGGAATGTTCGGGCGGCGGCGTATCAGGACAGGCTGCGGCGCCGACGTCTGGGGCTAGCGGAGGATGTGGTGGCGGAGGGAGATGGAGAGCAGGAGGGGGGTGAGGGTCGTAGGCCGCGGCGGGATGCGTTGGATATCACCCGGGAAATCGTGATGACCGAAGCTGCGGCTGCGGCGGCAGCTGCGGTGGCGGCCCGTGGAACAGTCGAGGAGGCGTTGCCAGCGATAAGTGGCGGCAACGCCGCCGCCACCACCGCCGTGGCGATCTCAGACGAAACAGCTGCCACCACCACCACCGACACGGTGACACCCGACGGCAGCCCAGCGGCTACCAACGCCACTCAGGCCCCTGCTGCTGACACCACCACCACCGCCACCGACACCGTCGCCGCAGCCACCGAAGAGGAAGAGGCTGTTGCCGTACCGCGACCTCCCGCGGAGGAGGCCGTCCCCGAGGAGGAAGCATCCGCAGCAGCAACCCCGGCGGCGGCGGCGGTGGCCTTCGTAGAGGACCCGGCGGAGGCGGCGGAGCAGCAGCGGTTAGCGGCAGAGGACGAGGCGACGGTTGCGGCATGGGAGGCCGAGCGACAGGCTCTCATCAACGAGGCCAATGCGCTGATTGAGGACTTTGTACTGGTCATCCCCCGTCGCGCCTCCCAGCTGCTGCGAGACCAGCTGCAGCAGCAGGGCGGGCTGGAGCTGGGGGAGCGACTGGCGCCGGGGGCCAGTGAGGCGGCGGCGCGACGGCGCGCGGCGGCAGCAGCAGCCGCGCGACGAAGCCTGGGCGGCGTGTTGCAAGCATCAGGGACAGGGGCTGTTGACGCGGCGGGCGGCAGTGACGCGGTGCGCAGCCTGGGCCGCAGTGCTACCGGTGGGGGCGGCGGGGGCTTCGCCGCCGCCGCCGCCTCCCTGGTTGCGGCCGCTCGGTCCGCCCAGGCCGCTCCGCCGCTGCCGCGTCCCTCGGTGCCCGTGACCGCCGCCATGTGCATGCTGGTGTCGCTGCTGTACCAGCTGCGGGCGGCGGGGGGCGTGCAGGGCGCCATGTCGGAGGTGGTGGTGGAGGCGCTGGGGGAGTTTGGCCGGCGCTTCTCGGCGGAGGTCAAGGCGGCGGCGCTCAAGCAGCTGCAGCTGCGCGGCTGGATGGCTCCGGCGGGGCCGCGCCGGCAGCTGGACCTGGCGCCCTCCTTCCTGTCCCGCCTGCATGGCACGGAGCTGCCGCCGGGGCTGCTGGCAAGGTGCGGTACGGCAGCGACGAGGCTGGACGCGCTGTTGGGGAAGGCGGCGCGGGCCGCCGCCGCCGCCGCCAGGCGGCAGCGACGTGAGCAGCGGCAGCTGGTGCAAGGTAGCGACGTCAGCGATGATGAGGAGGAGATGGGGGAGGCGGAGGCGGGGGCTGAGGATGGCAATGCCGCAGCAGGTGCTGCAGCTGCGGCAGGCAGTGGCGGGGCGGCCGGGTCCGCGCCCACAACCGCGCCGAATGCGTCCTCCGCATCAGCAGCTGCGGCTGCTGCCTCCGTCGCGCCCTTTGCGACTGCGGACCCCGAGGGTGCTGGCGCCCAGGCCGTGTCCCGCACATGCAGTGTGGACCCTTCGGGCCGGTGTGCGGTGCTGGTGGACCCCGCCGGGGTGCTGCCCAGCGAGCTGGTGGCGGTGCTGCTGGCGCGGCAGGCGCGGGGGCGGCTGGCGCTGCTGCCGGGCGGTGTGGACATGCAGCCCGAGTGGGCGGGGCAGGCAGCCACGGCGGGCTTGTTGATCACCTCGGTTCAGCTGGTGATTGAGCCGGTGGGCGAGGGGGAAGGGGAGGGTGAGGGGGGGAGCGCTGAGGAGTCGGGGGCGGGGGGCTTCCAGCGGGGGGTGCCGCCGCCGGCGGCTGGCAGGGTGCTGGCGCCGGAGGAGGTGCTGGTGCTGAGGGGAGCCGGCGGGGGCGTGGGCGGCGGTGAAGCGAGCAGCGGGGGTACAGCAGCGGCGAAGGCTAGGGCGACAGCGGGGGATGAGGTCCCCACCGGGGGTGTCGTTGTATCCGGTGCTGCTGCTGCTGGTGGTGGCATGACGGCGACCGCGGCGACCGCAACCGAGGAGCCGGCAGGCTGGGAGGGCTGGGAAGGCCAGATCCTGCGGCATGCCGACGACGCCAGCCCGCCCAAGTTTGCGCCGTCAAGGGTCGCAACTGACCCACAGGTCAGGGCGGCGGCGACGGCAGCCTGCAAGGCCCATTTGGCCTCATCACAGGCTCTGGCCCCTGCTGCTGCTGCTGATGATGATGATGCTGACATGGATGCTGCCGCTGCGGGAGCTCAAGCAGCCTTCGCACCTCAGGGGGTGCTGCAGGAGGTGGCGGATGCGGTCATAGCACTGCTGCGGGCCGCAGGGGAGGAGGGCTTGACGCTGCAGCAGCTAGTGTCACGTCTGCAGCAGGCGGCGGGGGCGGCAGGCGACGTCCAGGGTGTCCAAGCCTCCAGTGCAGTGCCGGCCGGAGCGGTGTCAGCAGCATCCCAGGCTGAGGCTGCTGCCGTTCCAACAGCGACAGCGGCGGCGGCAACTGCTTCAGGGGCTGCTGCTGGCATGCAGGACGCAGCGCAGCAGCCCCAGCAGCAGCAGCAGTCTTCCTCAGGGCAGGGAGTTCCGTCGCTGTCCCGCATGCCGTCCAGTCAGCAGCTAACTACCGTACTGCGGGCGCTGCTGCTGTACGGCCTTGTACGGCAGGTGGGCGGCTGGGATGCCGTACACTTGATTGCCTCTGAGCTCTCCCAAGAGGCCGTCATCGTCCCGACACCACCAACCACCGGGGGCCCTGACGGCACCGGCCCCAACACGGAGCCCGATGCCGCCACCACCACCGCCTCCACCGCCGCTGCTATGGATACCGACGACAGCAACCCCGCCACCGCCACCGCCGCACCCTCCGCTTCCGCACCCCCACCACCCCCCCTTGAGCAGGAGCAGGAGCGCCCCATCCGGCCCTGGCTCGACCACCGCGGCCAGCCCAACCCGCAGCTCTGGTGCGCGCTGGTGCAGCGGCTGCTGGGGCTGGTGCTGCGGCACCCGGGGGCGCCAGAGGGGCTGCTGGTGGCGTCGCTGGAGGAGGTGCTGCCGCCGCTGGTAGCGCGGGAGGCGCTGAGGCACCTGGCGGCGCAGGGGCAGCTGGAGGTGAGAACGAGTGCGGTGCAGAGGCGGAGGCAGGGACGCAGGCCGGCGTTGCTTGGAGGCGGTGGAGGAGGAGGGGGAGCGGGAGGAGGGGGAGAGGAGGGGGGTGTGGTGCTGCACTACTTTCCCGTGTTGGAGCTGTGCGGCGGGGGTGATGTGTTGACAGTGCCGCCGCCGTCCTGAGGGGCGATGGACTTGTTGAGGTGGGAGTCTTGAGGAAGGTCGCGGGAGGTGAGAGGGCGGATGTGGAGCGGGGGCATGTCGAGGTCTGTTGGTAACGGAATAGAACCGGGAGACTTGGGAGTGCTTTAAGGAAGGATTGTTGTTAATCCTTTAATCCTTTAGTACGGCTAGCAGAAGGTGTGGTTGCAGAAGGGCTGCCACTAGCATTACATTAGTTGTGGGTGTAACCCTGGGCTGCGTAATGTTGCTGTACATAGTTGCTCTTTTGCAGATTGATACCCGATTGAGCCCGCAACTCCGTGGTCTCCACTTTTATGATTTGAATGGGGCGTTACTGATGCAAGCTGTTGCTATTTCACTCTTGCTGCGGCCCCTTCATTATGTACTGAAACTTATATAGAAAGGTGTGTGGGGTGGGGCACTTATTACTCCTGTAGAGCCCCGCTGGGCCCCCGGGGCTGCGGCGAGCTTGGATGCGCACCTCCCCTCTCTAGGTGGCTTGTTTGTAGGGTTAAGGGTTTACTCTGTAAGGATGCGGGGGACGATCGACCAAAGTTACCGTATGACGTGCGCGTGGCGCGGGGAACAGCGCATGGTTGCACCCGGTGTTGCGCGGCCGGCAGCGGCGCCCTGTGATCAGCCTCTTGGTGGTCCGCCGGGCGCCGCACACCACCCTCGGGCCTCCCTACAATCCAGCCCTTGGTCCGCCCTCAGCTATGCATGTAGCCCCGCGCCCCCTCCAAGCCACCGCCACCGCCACCTCCCCTTTCTGCCACCAACATCCCCCCGAGACCTCTCCTAGCCACCCCGACCCGCACACACTCCTCCAGCTGCACCCCCACTGCTGCTGCACCCCCACTGCTGCCGCCGCTGCTGCTGCTGCCCGTAGCGGCTGGGGGCTAAGATGGCTGGAGCAGCATGCTGGTACTGGGGCGGGTCCGTGTGGTGCTCCAAGCGGTCGCGAGTCGCCGTGTCTGCGTTATTATGACAGCAGTGCCGCCGCTACCGGTGCATGCCGGGTCCGGCGCAGCGCATGGGCTTGTTTTGAGTCCCTCACGACATCACCGCGGCATGGTGCCTATTTAGCGGCCACCATCTGTGCCGCGTGATGAGAGAGAGGGGGGTGGAAGATGGGAGCTCGGTCATTGAGGGGAGGCAAGCGGGGCAGCCGGGCTGTGAGTTGTGGCGGCTGCCGCTGCTGCTGCTGGTGCTGCTCGGTGCTCTGGTAGGGGGCGGCCGCTAGAGCGGGGGGTGCGGCACATCGCTCCGGCGCCACAGCAGCAGCAGGATGGGCGCCGAGGGGCGGTTGAGCAGCCGCGTCTCGGAGGCGACCCTGCATTGCACGGCGGAACGGGAAGGGGTGGGGCCGGGGGGCGGAAGGGATCCTTACAGCTGAGGCTATGCAGGCAGGGGAGCAGGTCGGCACAAGCAGCACCGTAACTGCATGCGTCAGCGCAGCAACACGACCCATGCGACTGGAAGACGGAGTTCACAACAACGGTGGCCGCAGCATGCCCCGATGCGCAGTGCTTGCTGCTGCAGATTTCGCAGCACCGAGCGGCATGCGAGCGCCTCCTTTCACACCGCCACGTAGCTGAGCTCAACAAGCCGTGGAAAGCCCGCCTCACCAACATCCACCCCAGCCTCTCACCACCTGCCCCCACTCCATTCCACACCCCCTCCGCCCCCCCCCTCCTCCACGCCACCCCCCCCCCTCACCACTGCGCCGGGCTGAGGCCCCCCAGCAGCTCCCGCACCGCCTCGTACTCCCCCTGCCCCCCCGGGTGCCCCACGTAGGCCAGCACGCTCACCACGCCGCCCGGCTGCAGGAGCTGCGAGAGGGGGGGAGGGGAAGAAGGAGAGGATGGTGGATTGGGGGGCGGCAGGGGCTTTGGGCTGCACAAGGAGGGAACGGTAGAACACCGGGAAGCTGCTGCTAGACCTCTTGGGCTCTGTCTCGAACCACACTGCCACCCACCACCACCGATCAGCCACCATGCCAGCGCTCGGCATACATCTCAGGTAGCCGACCCCGTTCGTCCCGCATTACCTCACGACCACCCAAGCCCCTCCCCTCCCCCACGCACCTGCAGCGCCCCCCTGATTGCCGCGGTGGTGGTGTCCCCCCGCGTCACCCGCCCCTTGTCCGCACTGCCCGGTAGGTAGCCCAGGTTGAACGTAACCACACGCACGGAGGCGGGACCAGGACCGCATGCGCCTGGCTGACCCGCCCCCGCTGCTGCTGCTCCCGCTGCTGCGGCCTCCGCTGTCACTGTCGCTGCCTCCCCGTCCGCTGCCGCCACCCCCTCTGCCCCCCGCTGCTGCATCAGCTCCGAGTGGCAGCCCAGTCGCAGCGTCACGCAGCGCTCCACCTGCTGGGTCCCCAGGTGGGACAGCAGCCGCTGGCGGGTGGAGGAAATGGCGGCCTCCTGGGGGAAGGAGGGGGTGTGGGGTGAACACACGGGGAGGGGGGAAGGAGGGGAGGGGACGAGAAGATGAAGCAGGCGGAGCGAGGGGGCATACACTGCAGAGCAATGTGGGGCCTTATGATTGGGTACTGCTGAGCCGAAAGCCGCAGAACAAGGCACTCCGGTAGCAGCAGCAGCGGGCGAGGGCCGCTCTCACGCACCCACCTGAATGTCGTAGCCGTACACGTGACCCGTGGGTCCGACCGCCTGCGCCAGGAAGAGGGTATCGTGGCCGTTGCCGCAGGTGGCGTCTACGGCGATGTCGCCGGGGCGCAGGACCTGGACGGGGGGGAGAAAGGAAGGGAGGGAGGGGGAGGAAGAGGTGGTTGAAGCGGCCAGACACGTATAGTCTTCCTTTCAGCTTTCATGCACGCCCGTTCGCAAGCAGCCGCCTGCCCCCCCACCTGGGCCCACACAGCCTGGGCGGCGGTGGTCAGCCGCGCTCCCGTGCGCAGCAGCTCCTCCAGACTGGGAACCTGGGGCGCTGCGAGGCTGCTGGCTTCGGAGGGCGCATCTATTCTGGTTGCGAGCGAGAGATAGGGCCCGAAAGGTACTCTATGTTGGCGCTGTTGGGTTCTTAGACGTCTAAGGATAGGAGAGCTCAATCGGGGGACGGACACTTTTAATGCGTCATTGGGCATGTATAGGTTTCGAGCGCCCACCAATGCTCGCTGGCCAAGAACTGATGAGGCCATGTTCACGACGGAATTGCACTTGGGATTGCAGTAATGGGTTATCGAGCTCCTTACTCGCTGGGCTGTACGGAGGGTCTGCGGGTGTGATGCTCAAGATGGAAGAAAGAGTTCGTCTGTCTATCTCTTCTTGGACATAAGCCTATACGGATTATAAGCAATTTTATTAGCTAAAACCCTTTGATCAGCCATCTGTTTACAACTGCCGGTTGCACTTGGTCGCCGTGTTGTCTAGTTGGGTTTCCAGTTTGTTTGGCATTGAGGCACTCGTACCTATATATATAACGAGCAAGGGGCTCTAACCTTGTTGCAGCCTGTTACCAGCACCGAACAGACGCGAAGTTTTCTATCGGATAAAAGCTGCAACCATATGTCCATGAACATGCCATTATAGCTAACCGATTCGACGCGGGATAGCAGCTCGATTCCGCGTCGTCGGGCAGTTGCAAGCCATGGCGCGCACAGCTGATTTCCCAGAGTTCGGGATTGCCGAGCTCTATGCTGCGACAGGTGGCTTTCACAAGTTGTGCCTCATTGGTGAAGGAGGTGAGCACCGTGGATTTGGTCGCCGTATAGGCTGCCTCAGGGGTTTTGGTTCCGGTATGGTCCTCGCTCACTTCTGCGAGCCCAAGCTCGGGAGTGCTGACATCGCTTTGAAACGGCTATCTTTCCATTCCTTCCAATCGGCCATCTCCTCCGTCCCTATAGGCGGCCAGCATGGGCACGGCGCCCACCCACACAGCAGTACAGCCTTGCTCACCGCCTGCCCCCCTTTCCCCTACCTCCTGCCCCCCCTGCCTGCTCCCCCGCACCCACCCCAGGGTTCGGCAAGGTGTACCGCGCCATGATCAACTACACCCCGGTAGCCATCAAGGTACCGCAGATCCGTATGTGGGGAGGGTGAAGGGGGAACGAAGGAAGGGGGGTGAATGTGGGGGGTGATGTCCATGTTGGGCACGATTCAAGGCAGGGGCGGCATGCGAAAGCAGGGAAGGGCTGCAGGGGGTCGGGAACGGCGAACAGTTCGGGAGCACTGATGAGCGGCATGCATTGCCCGTCTGGAGAACTGGTGTGGAGAACTCGGCTGTTGCTGTCGCGGAGGAGGCTCGACCGGCTCCTCTCAGTCCGCCTGCAGTCCTGAGGAACTAGCCGCGCCAGCCCCCCCCCACCCGCGCATGGAGCGGCCCCGTCCGCCCCCTTCCTGCTGCGCACACGCTCCCGTCCACTCTGCATGCCCTCGGTGACAGGCTAGCAACCTCTGCCTACCGCCCCCAACCTTGCCCCGTCCCTTCCGGCTCCCCCCCTCCCTCCTCCCTCCTCTGGTTGGGACTCCAGTTGTTTCCCTTTTCAATTATTGCTTCCCTCCCCTCCCACCCAGGTTCTGGACCGTCACGGCCTGCAGGGCATGGCGGAGTTCCTGAACGAGGTGGCGCTGTCGCGCAGCATCCAGCACCCGCACGTGGTGAGGCTGCTGGGCTGCACGGGAGGCGGGGCGGCGGCGGCGGCGGCGGCGCAGGACAAGCAGCAGCAGCAGCCGGGGGGAGGAGGGGGAGCAGGCGGTGGGGCGGCAGCAGGCGGGGGCAGCGGCAGTGGGGCGGGTGGTGGCGGCGGTACGCAGTGTTTGGTGTACGAGCTGCTCACTAACGGCAACCTGGAGGACAGGCTGAGGAGGGTGAGGGGGGACATGCGCATGTAAAGGGAGGGTGGGGGGCCCCATGCATGGAGGGACAGGGAGCGCATGGGCGTCCGGAGAGGAGGGGGGTGTAAGGGTGTAGGATAGCTGGGGTGTGCGCAGTGGATTGGCGGAGGATGTAGGGAGCATGGGAGGAGGGGAAGACGAGGCCGGGTAACTACAGTATACCGCTCGGCTTAGGCAGCGTGGCGCCCCCTTCCCCACTCCCTCCCTCCCTCCTCCCACCCCTCCGTCCCCACTAACTATCACACCACACATTGGAATTTCTTCTCCCCCGCCTGCCAGGCCGGCTCTTGCCCCCCGCTGCTGTGGCCCTACCGCGTGCGTGTGGGCGCCCAGATGGCGGACGCGCTGGGCTACCTGCACGGGCTCGGCATCATCCACCGCGACATCAAGCCCGCCAACATGTTCCTGGACGCCAACATGGACGCCAAGCTGGGGGACATCGGGCTGGCCTCGCTGGACGGCTGGAGGGCGGGTGAGGGGGGGAGGGTATGGCCGCGCTGGCGCCATACCCTGAGTGAGGAGGGTGTGTGCTGTGTGCTGCCCTGCCCCGCCCCTCCAGCGCCCAGTGCGGAATATCCACCTCCCTCTGCCCCCCTACCCCCGCCCCCTCCCCCCCGCCCCCAAGGCGCCAGTCGCGCCTCCGACGCCAACGCGGTGGGCACGTGGGCCTACCTGGCGCCCGAGTACAAGACGGAGGGGCGCTCCAGCCCCGCCACGGACGCCTGGGCGCTGGGGCTGTGTCTGCTGCAGCTGGTGGTGAACCGCGAGCCGCGCGACATCATCCGGGGGGTGCAGCAGGCGCTGGAGGCCAGCGAGCTGCAGCAGGTGGGGCGGGCGGGCGGGGGTAAAAAAGAAATTCCGATGTGTGGGTGCTGTAGGGTGGGGCGGGATTTAGGGGAGTGAGAAGGAGGAGGAGTGAGGAGGTAAGGAGAGAGAGGGATACCGGTACATGAGGGACAGAGGGAGGAAAAGGGGCGATAACGTAATTTGCAAAGGAGAACAGGATGGTGTTGCGATCATAGTGAGGTGTGACGCCTTATTGAAGCGGGAAGAGGTTGGGCGGGAACGAAGTGTTTTGTGGTTTGCGCCTACATGCCATGTACACATGCCCTGATGGGTGCGCTTCACTGCTTGTTGGCTGCTGTGTGTGCATACATTCCTACCTCCCTTGCCCCTCCCTCGAATCCTGCTTTTCTTCGCTTGCATGGCTCTGCAGGTGGTGGACCCATCTGCGGGTGCCTGGGACCTGAAAATCGCGGAGCGCATGCTGAAGTTGGGACTCTGGTGCTGCATGCATGACCCGCGACAACGGCCACCGGTGTCTGTGGTTCATATGGAGCTTAGTCGGCTGGTCCTGCTGCTTCAGCAGCAGGGCTTGCTCGAACCAACTGTAGTCTAGCATGCAGAGTTGTGCGAGCGGCCTGCTATGTTTCTTACATTTTCAATTGTTTCTTTGTACTTTGTCTTATACCGGATTGTTGAGCTCTAGGAGCAGCTTATTAGAAGGGCCTGCTATGGCACTCAAGGATGGCAATATGGAAAAAGCATTGCCGGCATAATGCACAGCTAGCATCGTTTATTTATTTTTAGTCCGGGTTCGTGTAGAGAATGGTGCACACTGTGTTGCATCTGCGCGTAAGAAGTTGCGCACCTGGAGCATGCTTGCAAAGACAACGGCACATCACTACAGCGTCTTCCTGTGGTGACAGGCTTATTCTATACGCTTTAAGCTTATTTACTAGTTGCTTGTGAATTTCCATAGATGTTCTGCAACACTTGATAGGTCCACGGGCCCGCTAGCTGAAAGTCCCTCGGGTCCCTCGGACAAGAGAAGCTATTTTGCAGGCTCGTTAGGTGTCGCCATATTCACAACTATACAAGAAGCCGAGGGCCCTTGGGGCCAGCACCTCCTGGGGCCTGGGCGGCGTAGCTTTCGACCTTCTGCTCAGGGGACCTGGGCCTTCCCCCTGCGCGTTCCGAGACAGCCAAGGAACCCGCTAAGTTACTGATAACTGTGTCTAGCTATCGATGGACATCTTACTATCTGCTGTGGAGGTTGTCCGCCGGGATCCTGAGGACCTTGAGGGATGCGAGACGCTCATTGTTGCGAACTACCAGCGCAACAACTGGCTTAAAGTGGGCGCAGCGTTGCTAGTCATACATGATACAGCTCTTTTCAAGAAGTCGGGCGCGGACTCCTTCTCCAACTACATCTCCACCAAAGCGGACTTTGGCTTTGGGCCGCGCCAGGCGCTGCGGCTCCTGGCCGCAACCAAGCTCGCCAAAATCTTTCCTCCGACAATTGCACTTCCTACGAGTGAAAGACAGGCAGGTTAAAGCTGCTGTTTGTCAGGGTGCCTGGGTGGGGGCTGGCCCATGGGCGCGTCCAGCTTCGTATGCGGGTACACCGTCGATGCTGCGCCTTTCGGCATAACAACATGAAGAGGAGCCCACCTAGGTTTATCTAGGTTCTAAGTTAGTCATCCTGCGTGTGAACGGTCCTTGTGTAACCACATTTACATCTGCAAAACTAGCCATAGGACCACCTCTGTCGTTTTCATCATGTCGTAGCTCTTGACTTCTCCACCAGTGGAAGGTAGTTTCGGCGCAACCTTGCCCTGGCACTTTGGTTGGGCAGGGTTCCCCGCACTCCCACCACAGCTTCTCCCATTCCATCCTCACGGCCCCTTTCCTCCCCCCCCATCCACACTTTGGAATTTCTTTTTTCCCCCCCCATCCTCATAATTTCCTATCCCACTAACCCATCAACCACCTCACCTCCTCTACCTCCTCACTTCACCCCAACCCCTCCCAACCCCAACCTCCAACCCTTCCTCACCCTACCCCACCCCATCCCATCTTGATGCCTTGTCACACGCTCAGCTAGTTCTTTCCTCTTTACCACCCCATCCCCACCTCCCTCCCGCCCTCCCGCAGGTCCGCGCGCTGGTGGGTCTGGAGCCGCGCAAGGCCATCAAGACCTGGGTGAAGGCCAACCTGATCAGCCAGGAGACCGGCGTGCCGCTGACGCACCGGCTGGTGGAGTCGGTGCTGTCCAAGGACCTGCCCGCCTCCTACCGCGCCGCCTGCTCCGACTGGCGCGACTATGTGCACCCGCAGTCCGAGTACTACCGCAGCCCGCACCACCTGGTGGCGGCCACCAAGCGGCTGTTCGGGGGGGACATCGACCTGGACCCATGCAGCGATGAACTGGCGCAGGTGGGAGGGAGGGTGGAGCAAGGAGACGAGGGAGGCGGGGAGAGGGCGCAGGAGGGAGGGAGGAGAGGAGGGGAAGGGGGCTCACCGAGGAGCAAGAGGAGGAGGAGGTTGGAGGGTATGGAAGTTCGTCAGAGCAGGCCGCAGTTGCACCAAGCCAGGGCCCCGATGCAGGGTAGGGTTGTAGATGGGTGATGAGCACGCAGCACGGGGGCTTCGCCCCTCACCTGCCTGCCTGCCCCCCCCCACCGCCGTCACACCTAAACACCACCACCTCCTCCCGCTCCTCCCGCTCCTGCCCCCAGGTTGGCGTGGAGGCGGCTCGCTTCTACACCGCGGAGGACGACGGGCTGCAGCCGGGCAACCCCTGGGCGGGCCGCGTGTACGTGTTCCCGCCCGTGGGCATGCACGGCAACAACATGCTGCAGGTGCGGGGCGGGGGGGGGGGCTGTAGGGGCTGTGTGGGTACGGCAGGCTAGGTACCGCCCTCCTCCCGTGCTGTGTGCCCAGCGGGCTGCTTGGGCCCTGGCGTAGGTGCTCCTGGCATGTGGCATGCCCGTCTACCCAACATCGCCATGTCTTGCTGCCTCTTGCAGCACCAGCCCCCCCTCCATCCCGCTGCCCCATGCACCCTCCCCCCCCCCCTCCGCCCGCCTGCAGGGTCTCTTCCTGGACCGCGCCATCAACGAGTTCAAGGCGGGTCGCGTCACGGAGGTGGTGCTGCTGCTCAAGGTGGCCATCGGACACAAGTGGTTCGCCAAGGTGTTCGAGTACCCGCACTGCTTCCTGGCGGACAAGCCGCTCAAGCAGCAGCAGCCGCCGCCCCCGGGCTGGGGCGTGCCGGAGCCGGACTCCTCCGCGGCCGCCCTCATGGCGGCCACCACCGCGCTGCTGACGGCGGAGCCGGCTGGCAGTGGCGGCGAGGAGGGTGGGGGTGTGCGGGAAACGCGGTCCACCCGAGGCCGGCGGAAGAGCAGCGTGGATGAGGACGAGGATGAGGAGGATGGAGGAGGGGGAGGAGGAGGAAGGGGTGGGGGCCGGGGCGGCCCGGCGAGTAGTCGGAAACGTGAGGCGGCGGCCCCGCCGGCGGAGGCGCCACGGACGTCGCGGCCGCGGCGGTCCAAGGCGGCTGCGGCGGTGGCTGCAGCAGCGGCTGCTGCTGCTGCTGCAGAGGATGAGGAGGCGGATCTGGAGCTGATGCAGGCCACCCCCCCGCCGCCGCGGTCGGCACCTGCTACCCGGGCACGGCGGCAAACGGCTGCAGAACGCAAGGCAGCGGCTGCGGCAGCCGCGGCGGCGGAGGCGCAGGCAGCGGCTCAGCACCAGGCGGTGCAGGAGCAGCTCGAGCAGCAGCACCAGCTCCTGGCGCAGCAGCAGGCGGCGGCTGCCGCTGTGGCGGCTGCGGGCGGGGACCCCATGGCTGCAGCGGCCTTGGGCCTGGGCGGCATGCCGCAGCTCAACGGCGACCCGCAGCTGCTGGGCCTGATGGGGCAGCCCCTGGACCCGGCGGCAGCTGCGCAGATGGCGGCAGCGGGCTACACGGCGCAGCAGCAGCAGCAGATGGCTCAGCTGTTTGGCGGCCAGCCGGGCTCCGACCCCTCGCTGATGGGCCTAGGGCTGCCCATGCAGGTGGACATGCAGGGCATGGGGCACCACCCCATGGGCATGGGGCTGGGGCCGCTGGGGCTGCAGCCCGAGCAGCAGCAGCTGGCCCTGGTGCCGGGCGGGCTGCCCATGCCCCTGCATGCGGTGACGCCGCACATGGGCCTCATGCCGGCTGACGCCAGCATGACGGAGGCGATGGCGGCGGCGGGGATGGCACCGGGCATGGGTCTTATGATGCAGGGCATGCCGGGCATGGGCATGGGCCAGATGGATCCGCAGCAGCTGGGCTTCCCGCCACCGCAGCAGCAGCAGCTGGGCATGCTGGGGCCCGGCATGGACCTGTCGCAGCAGCAGCAGCAGCAGCAGGGGTCGGGATTCCTGCTGGGTCCTGAGCTGCAGGGGCACCCGCATGCGGTGATGCAGCTGGGTCCCGGGGGCCTGATGGAGCAGCCGGGCATGGCAGGGGGCGGGCTGGGCGCTCCGCAGCAGGCAGGCATGATGGGCATGGAGGTGGGGCTGGTGGATGGGACTGCGGTCCTGGGCCCGCCGTCCTCTGCGGCAATGGCTGCCCAGCAGCCCGGACACGTGCTCCCAGCTGCTGCTGGTGTGGATGGCTGCGGTGCGGATGCGGCGGGCGTCCCGCTTGTAACGGCAACCGCGTTGATTGTGCCGCCGGACATGCAGCAACAAGAAGGGCAGCAGCTGCAGGCTGCAGCGGAGGAAGCTATGGACGTCTTTGCGGACGAGGTACCGGGTGAGGTTGAAGCTGCAGCAGCGGCGGCAGCGGCCACGGAGGACGCTGAGAAGCCCTCCATAGCGCTGTTAACCAATGGCGACGCAGGCGCTGCAGTCGTACCCGCCCCGGCTGCAGGTGCTTCAGCTGTTGCCGCTGCGGCTGCGGGTCCTGTGTTGAAGTCCGAGCCCGAGGACCCGCAGGCCGCCGTTGGAGCGGATGACCCGGGGCTGCAGCGGCCGCCCGCGCAGGCCGCCGAAGCGCCCGGGCCAGCAGAGCCTGCTGCGGCGGGGGCTGATGCGGCCCCTCAAGCGGATACAGCAGCGGCAGCAGAAGCCTCCCCGGAGGAAGCCGCAGCGGCTGCGGCAGCGGCGGCCCTCACATTGGGTGGTGCCTGCGGCGCCTATGGCGCTTTCGGGTCCTTGGAAGATGCTGCTGCTGCTCTTGCGGGTGCGGGTGCGGCGGGTGCATCTGGGTCGCAGGCGGCGGCTGCTGGCGGCGGCGGCGCCGCGGGGCCCGACAGCGGCAGCGGCAGCAGCCCCGCTCGCGAGGCGGGCGAGGTGTTCAACCCTCGGGGCACTGTGGTTGTGTACATCGGCAAGAACACGCGGCAGTTCTGCCAGATATTCGGGGAGTTGGGGCACATACCCGGGTACAACGCCTGGTCGCGATGAGAGGGGGGGCGGGAGGGAAGTGTAGCATCTTGTGATCTACCGGTGTCCCGGCTTCCGGCGGCAGGTTTGGCAGTTAGCTCGCTTTGTTTAAACAGATTCCCCTGGGCAATATATAAGGGGCATGGCTCTTATGGGGCAGGGGACGTGTGGCTGCGATGCCGTGCGTGATGAGTTCTGGTTCTGGGTTCACGCTGGGGATGAGGTCAGCCGGCGGGCTTGGGGGGTGGGGTGGGGCCGGGAACGGAACGGAACGGAATGTACAAGATTGACAAGTGAATAGTGATGCGTCAAGCAGGTTTGAGTTGGGAAGGCCTCGAGAGGTGTGTTATTCAGGGCGCTGGCGGGGGCGGGCTACGGGGGGGGCTACGATTGCTGGTAATGCTGCGTGACGCGTGATCCGTAACTGTTTGGTAGCTTATTTGCACATATGGCGCATGCATGCTAGGATTGCAGACGGCTACACGCACTGACGCCGTCCGTGCGATTTTTCTCGGCCTTGTAGATGAAATCCGTTAGGACACTGCGGAAAACGGTGCTTGCTTGCGAGCAAGCACGGCGCCCTTGCTTTAGCTGTAGTTCTTAGAGTTTATGCAGGTCAGTCAACTTTCGTTCCTGTGTTTCGCGTCCTGGTGGTAGCATTCGTGTAGCGTTCATGAGCACGTGACGTGCGGTATTAGGAGCTGCCGTTGCTGCCAGGCTCCGTGACCACTGGGGACTAGGTGTGGTTAGCTCAATAGGCATCGGTTATGTGGAGTCTGGACTTGTTCAGACGGCAATTTGACTGTGGTAAGCCAGACTGTGGAGCTCGTGAAGCAGCTGCGGCTTTTTGCAGGTAGCGCCGGGGTGGCTTTCGTGCTACCTCATGAATCCAGTGGCGCCTCCACGTGCTTGTATGTAGGGTGCATTCTTGGGCTTGCGCTTTGTTCGTGCCTTAAAAAGCGCTGCATACACCGTGTACTCGTACTGTAGTAGGTTTGCCCTGACAGCTCCGCTTTGGGGTAAAATTCCTTGCAACACGGCTTGCCCACTTTGTAACGATTATAGTCTTCCGCTGTTCGATTGTATGGGTAGAACAAGCATCATGAGGGAGATAGGAGGATTTGTGCTGCCGCAACACCCAATGCAATGCATTTCATTGAAAGGAGCATTGCGCAAGTACGACCACCAACAGTATAGCTGGTCATGAGCTCTGATCACTGGTTGCGTCACATGCGTTGAGGTGATGAGGAGGGCAGCATTTGTCAGCTAGCTGGCCAAGTGCCTATTTGCACACTAACTCTCCAAGTTGTCTACGGTCAATCTATCAAAGAATTATGCTTACTTGCTTAGTCTTGCTTCAAATGACATGCGTACGCATCGTCAAAGGCTTTTCGGGTACGGCAGGTTGACTGTTTATGACGCACGCAATGCGGCGAATGGAACGTGTGGTATATAGAACGCTACCTGTTTGCGAGTATTTAGAGCGGGGCTTCCTTGCTATCTAAACGCTTGTTTTACGAACAGGGCGTCCGCTAGTCCACCGAGCTAGGTTCCACAAACAGGTTAAGCGTCCTGCAATACCGTGACCCCAACTTTCGTGCTCAGACAACAAACAGGCGACCATAGATTTCCTACTTTTAAAGCAAGGTCGGAGCTGCGGTCAGGAAGTTCGGCAGCCCTAGAATCCGGAAGAATGCAGCGTAACGCAGTTAACGCGCAAGCCACCGGCCGCAACAAGCCTAGCCTAACCCTTATTCCCAAGCAACGCAACGTCCCTTATCGCCCACTCCTCCCGGCCAAGCCTCGCCATGGCGAGCCTCTTCGCGCCAGCGACAACAATGATGCCCCAACCAAGCCAGGACGCTCTAGCCTCAAGACACAGTTACTTCGTGGCCCTCTTCCACCCGACCTCTTCCACGCCCATCCCAAGATCCGGCAGCTGCAGCACATCCTCCGTGGCAAGCATGCCCAACTTCGCGGATTGGAGGGTCCGCTGGGCACCGTCGTGGTTCCCGCCTATATCTGGGGCGCTGTGTCCACCCTGCTAGGTAAGCACCCACTGCGACCCCAACTCCCAACTCAGAAAAACACCAATCCGTCGACCTCGCCAACGCACCATGCCGGCCTCTCACCCCATCCCCTTCTCCACCCACCCTCCTCCTCCCTCCCTCCCACAGGCCTCCACTCCGCGCTGCCTGCCCTCACCGGCGCCGCCATGGGCGGCCTCTTCGCGCTGCTGCACCGCTTCTGCGACCGCCACATGTGGGCCGCCCCGCCCGCGCCGCTCACGGTGGTGGTCACGGGCGGCTCGCGGGGGCTGGGCAAGGCGCTGGCTCGGGAGTTCCTGGCGGGTGGGGACCGGGTGCTGCTCACCAGCAGGGGGGCGGCGGCGGTGGAGGCGGCGGTGGCGGAGCTGAGGGAGGAGGTGGAGGCGGCGGGGGGGCCGGCGGCGCAGGTGGGGGAGGGAGGGGGTGAGGGCGGACGTACCGGTATGGTAGGCGGTCTGCTTTTATGCAGTAAACGGTGGAGAGGGTTTCCCTGACGCATCTTTAGGGTTACGGCTGCTGCGCTGCTCCCCCCCTTTTGCGAGTAGCTCCTCATACAAACACGTATCCTTTCCTTCCCTCTCTGACTCACCTCTCCGCCTCCGCCTCCTCTGCCGCCTTCGCCGCCAGGTGGTGGGTGTGGCTGCCGACGTGAGCGACCCGGCGGGTCTGGCGGCGGTGGAGGCGGCGGCGGTGGAGGCGTTCGGCACCGTGGACGCCTGGGTCAACAATGCAGGCGAGCGGGGCTAGGGGGCCGGGGGGAATCTTGGGGATTGGAGCCTGGTTGGAGGGGCAGGCCTTGCATGCGGGCGTGTTGCATGGACTCCTGATACCTCGCTCCCGCCTTCACCCCCGCTTCGCGTCTCCTCCCGCTCCCCCTCCCCCCCCAGGCTACTCGGGTTCCTTTCAGGGCATGTTGGAGCAGCAGGAAGAGCAGATTGAGCAGGTGGGGAGTGGAGGAGGGCTGGGAGGGAGGTGTGCAGGCTCGTGGGACCAGGAGGGGCGTGTTGGTGTGTGGGAGGGAAGGGTGGGCAAACGACCGGAAGCATAGGGCGACAAATGGAGCTAAGCAGGAACACACGTGTCGGTACCCTGTCCAGGCCGCTGTGAGTTGTCCCACCACCGGCCAAGCAAGGGCATGTGCTCCAGTATGTCGCCCAGTGTGCTCACTCCCCTCCAGCAGCCAGTCCATGCAACCTTGCCGCTACCGATACCGCCTCTCATACCTCCCTCTCTCCTGGACTTTCTTTTTTTCCCCCTCCCCCCTCGCCCCCCAGGTTGTCCGCACCAACCTGCTGGGCACGCTGCTGGGCACGCGGCAGGCGGTGCGCCTCTTCCGCCGCCAGCCGGGAGGGGGGCACGTGTTCAACATGGACGGGGCGGGCGCGGACGGACTGCCCACACCCAACTACGCGGTGAGGGGGGGGGGTAAAAATGTGGAAACTGGCGGGGGGGGACATGGTTGTGGGACATGGGAGGGTGCAGACTGCAGAGAGCGAGCGGGGGAGGGATACAGAGATGAAGAAGGAAGGAGGTGGCGAGGTTATGTGTGGTTATGTGGTGTTATATCGGGGGGCGTAGGAACAGCAGGTGCAGGAAGGGCCAGGATGTAAGTACCCCGTGCTTCCGCACATCTCCTCACCTTTGCCCTCTCCCACCTCTTCGCCCCCCCTCCCCCCCGCCCCCTAGGCCTACGGCGCCACCAAGGCGGGTATCGCGCAGCTGACTCGCAGCCTGCAGCGCGAGCTGTCCGGCACCCGCGTGCGGCTGCACATGCTGTCCCCCGGCATGATCCTCACCGACCTGCTGCTGGAGGGAGCAACAACGGCTAACAAGCAGGTGGGGGCTGGGGGGGCGAAATAAAGGGTTGCTTCTTTGGCGGAGAAGAGCCTTCTGGGGTGTTCTGCGGCGGCGGGGGTACCAGTACTGGCTTCCGAGCACCCCGCAGTGCACTGAACACCACCACCCTCCTTTCCTCCTCCTTTCCTCCTCCTCCCCTCCCTGGTTGCTCCAGTTCCTCCGCTTGCCTCATTGTTTCTTTCTTTTTTCCTCCCTCCCCCCCAACCCCCCCACCCCAGGCCTTCAACATCCTCTGCGAGCACCCCGAGACAGTCGCCGCCTTCCTCGTCCCCCGCATCCGTGCCGCAGTGGCACGCGACGCCGCCGGCACCTACACCCGCTTCCTCACCCCCGCCTCCGCGTTGTTCCGCCTGGCCACCGCTCCCGCCCGACTGGGCCGCTTCTTCGACGGCTCCGGCCAGCCCGTGTATCTGCCGGAGCGGGAGCGGCTGCTGGGGCGTCATGCCAAGGTGACGGCTCGGCAGCAGGCGAACGCGAGGTGGCAGGGCGGGGGGCTGGCGATGGCGTACAATGTGAGTGTGCTGGTGGGGGTGCTGGTGATGCTGGCGGAGGCGCCGGGGCTGAAGGGGTGAGGGGAGCGGGGGGGTGGGGGGTGGTTGTGGGGAGGTGAGGGGGTGGAGAAGGGGGAGGAGAGCTTAGGGTAAGATATATGGCTGTTGTTGCGAGAGCTGGCGGAGGTTTAAAAAGGAAAAGGAGCGCGCTTTGCATCCATCCGTGCAGCCACCCAAGCAGCATCTACATGGCACTGCACTTCACCTCGCTTCAGCACATGCAGATGTTGTACTTCCTGGAACTCGCGAAGGGGTGTTGGTGTGACCCCCGGCCCTCGCCAAGGCATCACAGACACGGTGGAACTGAGCCTCCTAGCGTCCCTCTCTGAGGCTGTGTTGTCGTTGTTGCCAAGAGCGGGTCGAGGGGATGTGCATGCCACAATGATGCATGTGGAAAGTATTCACGGGGCTCTGCTGTTGGTGCGGTCCCTCGTCGTAACCATATTGACGCAATTCGTAGCACTATTTCGCCTGCCGGCAGAGCTGCTTTTATTCGCTGCGCCCTGCTGTCGTGCTTGTCCGGGCTCTTCCTCTTGGCCCGTTATCTTGTATTTGCGTATCTGGCTGACGTGGAGGGGATTGCTCGGCGGGCACAGGGTGTATCGGCCTGCGCTGAGCTGGCATGTGCTTGCGCGGGTGCATGTGGTGCACATGTGGCGGGCGGGGCAGGGTCGCGGTGCCTTTTTCAGGGTCGGTCGAAGAAGATTACAATCGTATGTTGCGGGTATCGTTATGTGTGGGGAACTATCTGAGTGTACATACCATAACATCGGAGATATTACTGCTGCAAGTCGGAAGCACACCCCTCACAGCGCATTGCTGATTGGGTTGATGGTCGGTCGCTTCAGCTGATGAGATGAAGATGACCATGAAGCTTGACGTGTGGCCTGCAACTGCTGTACTTGAACCCTTTGATGACTTGTGGTAGAAAAGTTGTGTAAAATGAGCTTTGGAGGGAAGGTGAAGAATGCGGGAAAAGCCGTCCACATTTGGCTAGCAAGGCGGGCGAGTCGTATCGTTGGTTGTTAATGTACAACGTTGGCACTGCGGCCCCGTTCGTACGTCGTTGTTGGTAACTTGTCATGTTGCTGTTTTGGGTGTACGATTACAAGAGAACATTTGGGTGCACATGCTTTGCATGTTGCATGGAATTGGAACAAAGTGTGGAATTGGTGTTGTCTAGTGGGCCCCGGATTTGTAATGCAGGCTGCCAAGGTAGTCTCGCACCTGGAGGGATGGGTAGGGACGGGTCAATTTTGTATATCACTAACTGGGTTTTAATTACTGATGCTCGAGGCAGTTTGATATACTTTGCAAAGGTTTGGTTGGACATTTGGAAAAGATCGTACATTGTGTACAGGTCATAGCATGTTACAGGTGAACTTGTTCAGTGCGATAGACCGGGGTGCCCTAGGCGGGTAAGGGAGTAGTCATGAAATGAGATGGGAGACGGGTAACCCCTGGTACGGGAATGTAAGGAAGGTGACAATAATATTTGTTACACATCTATAACCTGTCTTCGCCTCATCGCCACCATCTGCTACCCAACCCAACTGTTTAACTAACCAGAGTTAACCCCTACGCTGCCGCCTCATTTCATCGCTCCCACAAGGCTCCCACAAGAAAACATCTCTTGCGGGTTACACGTGTGTTGTACCTACATGCATCCTACGCCCCCACCTGGCACCGCACCGCCCCTCTCAACACAACTCCTCTGCACACTTCTGCAAACACAGTGCGTTCCGGCTCGCGGCCAGTTGTCTAAACACACACTTTTGCAGTGCCACCACAACACGCACTCTGGGACCTGCACACTGCTCAAAATGGCCCCAACCCGAAAACACACACGTATCACCCCCACACCAACAGATGTCATATCTGCTCTTACAACCTGTTCCTCTCTCCCAGCCTACCCTCATCTCCTCACCTCACCAATGCCACTTACGCAGCTGCCGAACACGCTTTCAGAAGACACAGAAGGGGTTTGAGGAGCATCCCTTTACTTGCTCCTGCGACCCAGCCAAACAGCATTGTAAACGACGCCCACAACTCCTCCCTCCCAACGCCGTACATGTTCGTACCGTTGTAAGTCGTAATGCTGCCTGTCCGTACTGTTCCCCCCCCCCATATATCGCCTTGGTATGGCCAGCACGCAGCATGCCCGCACCCCCCTTCCGGGAAGTACGGTGTCCATGTTACGCCAACCGCATTACACCACATTACATGTATTCACTACACACCTCCTCTCACGCTCCGACACTGCACCCACAGACCCAGCGCCGACCCTTCACTTCCACACCGTTCAGCCTCACACTACCGAACCCCCCCCCAAAACCGCCACTCCACTGCTCCCTTGCATTTCCCCCCATGGCCGCGTGTCATCTCCAGAATGGGTAACGCGCTGGCAACACCGCTCAGGCTCGCGCCCCCGCCTTCTCCCTCGCCGCCGCCCCCGCCTCCTTGTCTTGCCCCTTGTCCCCACCGGCGGCCCCCTCCGCCCCCTCCTGCACCGGCACCAGCCGCTGCGGTTGGAACATGTACACGTTGTAGATCACATTCCTGTGGGGGACGGGAGGGGAGGGAGGGGGTGAGAGATTCAATCGAGGGGTTCAAGTGTACACGGAACGGGGTTGTTGAGCGCGCAGGTGGCAGCCGTGGAGGGACCCCCCCTCGTACGATGGCATCTCCCCCGCCCCCGAACCCTAAACCCACCTCACCCGCAACCCCCACCCCCACCCCCCACCTGCGTATCTGCGCCGTCATGTCCACGAACAGGTTGAACCCCTCCAGCTTGAACTCCGTGAGCGGGTCCTTGCTGGCGTACCCCCGCAGCCCCACCGCCTGCTGCAGGAACTTGATGGCCTGCAGGTGCTCCTTCCACAGCGCATCAGTCTGGCTCAGCAGGAAGAACCTGTTTGGGGGGGAGGGCGGGAGGAGGATGAGGGGGCCAGGGAGGGGTAAAGAGTACGCAACTAACTGACCGTGAGGGAGGGAGGGTAGGTGGTGAAGGCGGCGCGCCCTTCTTGGGGCCCTAAACGGTAACCAGTAGCGCCCTCCCCAGAGGTCCCGCTTCCAGTCCCCACTTGTGCACCTTGCCCCGCCTCCCTTCCCCCTCCCCCTCCCTCTCCCCCCCCCACCTCTGCACCTCCGCCATCAGCCCCGGCTGCGCCGCCTCCACCGCCGCCACCTTGCTCTCGTACGCCTGAGTGCACAGGGTGTGCAGGTGCGTCCGCAGACCCTCGAAGCCGCCGGAGGAGGCGACGGAGGCTAGCTGGGAGCCGGTGAGACCCTGAAAGGGGGGGAGGTAGGGGGGGGAGGTTAGGGGAGGGGTGAGGGGAGGGAGTAGACGGGCAGGCGGGTGGGCAGAGCTAAGCCAAGGGGGAAGTATGACAAGGAAAACACACACTTAGTAGCAGCGTCAATACACAGCACGCAGCCGCGTAACCCCGCCGGTGCAGTCTCTTCCCCTCCCCCCCCCCCGCCGGGGGCCGGGTTCAATTAGCAACCCATGGAGAAGCCTCGTCGCGCAGCTCATCAGTTTTCCTTATTCCTACTCCCGCCCCCCACCTCCAGCAGGTAGCAGTACTGGCACATCTTGGCTGCCAGCGCGTCCAGCTTCCACTCGGACGGGTCGGAGGACTTGTCGATGTTGGCCTGGGGGCGGCGGGGGGGCAAGAGGAAACCACTAACGAACCGTGTGATAAGGCGTCATCTGTGTTTGTAGCATGTGAGAGGGAGGGCTCAGGGGGTTAGCAGTACCGTACTGCATCAGCGACAGCAGCATCAGCTACCCCTCCACCTCCACCTCCCCCTCCACCTCACCCCCCAGTGTAGCCGTGCTTCACTTCTCATGCAACCCCCGTCAGTGTCCTCTCCCCTGCCGCCCCTCCCTCCCCCACCTCCAGAATGTCGTCCGCCGTCTTCTCCGCGTACTCCCGCATGAGGGGCGCCAGGTCGGCCGCCAGCAGCGCCCGCCGCCGCTCTCCGTAGATCTTGTCGCGCTGCGTGTTGACCACCTGGTCGTAGTCAAACAGGTTCCTGGGGGGGGTTTGTGAAGGGGGGGAGGGGGGACATGGGTTGCCGGCATGTTACCCTGGGCCCTCCCACTCTCCCACAATACCCGTCGCTCGGGTATTGTGGGAGAGTGGGAGGGCCCAGGGGCTACAGTGTGTAGATATGAGGTGGGGTAGGGTCTTTCCTGCTGGTAGCGTTCTCGCTCCCTCCCTCCCCCCAGGCATCCCTTCCTAAGAGCCCTCCATTCTTTAAAGCACCGCGCCCCCCATACACCCCCCCCCTCCCTTCCCCCTCACTTGCGGATGTCGAAGAAGTACGCCTCCACGCGCTTCTGAGCGGTGTCCAGCGCGTCACTCAGCATCTTGCTCTCCATCGGCAGGTCCTCTACCTGGGGGGGGGGGAGGTGGGGAAGGGGCGCGGCAGAAGAAGCAGAGGAAGGATAACGAGAGGAAAGAGGAGGAGAGGAGAGCCGCACCACGTTACTCAGTGTACAGCTCTTATCCGCTCCTGCTCCTGCTCCTCCTGCTCAGATTGCGGCTCTGTATCCAGCGATCAGCGACCCACTCATGCAGCCCCCCCTTCCCCCCACACAATGGGTATTCTCCTCCCCCCCCTGCACCTGGAACGCCACCATGAGCCCCTTGATGCGGTCCCCTCCGAACACGCGGAACAGCGGGTCCTCCAGCGACAGGAAGAAGCGAGTGGAGCCGGGGTCACCTTGCCGGCCGGACCTGCATGGGGGGGGGCAGTAAGGGGTTACGGGAGGGAGCACGGCAAAGGGGGAAGCGGGGTAAGAGCACTGCAAATTGGTTCCAAGACGGCGCCTACGGTAGCAGTACGTGGTGCTTTCATCATGACAGTCAGCGACAGCGACAGCGACGACAGTCCTGCCACCACTCTCCCCCTCCCGCCCTCCCGCCTTCCCCGCCCAACCCCGCCCTCCCCATCCCGCCCGCCTCCCGCCCCTCCCCCTCCCTCCCCCCCTTGGGATTCTCCTCTCCCCTCCCTCCCCCCACCTTCCCCTCAGCTGGTTGTCGATGCGGCGGCTCTCGTGCCGCTCCGTGCCCACCACATGCAACCCGCCCAGCGCCACCACCGCCGCCTTCTCAACCTCCGTCACGGCCTTGTACTCGGATAGCATGGACTGAGGTCGGGGGGAGGGGCGGGTGGGGCGGCGGGAAGGAGACCCCAAGTATTGGGGCGGGGTGAGGGGGTGAGGGGAGGAGTGCAGGAGGGGGGTAAGGGGGAGGGAAAAGGGAAAGGAGGGCGGGGGACGAGGTGAGGGGGGGGCTCACGGACAGGGTCAAACGCCCCCCCCCGCACATGCACACCCTCCGCAACCGCTTGGCCCGAACATGCAATACCATTTGGTTCGGCTTCTCTCATACACCCCCCCTCCCTCCTCCCTCCCCCCTCACTCCATTGCTTCACTTTTCTTTTATCCCCCCCACCTGGAACGCCTGCCGCAGCTGCAGCAGCTGCGGGTCCGCCGTAAACCCCTTCTCGCAGGCCACACTCAGCCGCTCCTCCGCCTCCAGCTCCGTCAGCTGCCGTACGCCCCACGCCGCCACACAGGCGGCCACCGCGGCGGTGGCCTGCTGCTGGGTGGCTGGGGTGAGGGCGCAGGGGAAGAGGGAGGGGTTGGCGGACCAGGAGCGGACCTGGGGGGGGAGGAGGGGGAAAGGCGGGAGGGGGGGATTAAATTAAAAAGGCAGCAACTGGAGTCCTGGGGGAGGGATGAAATTGACTGTGAGGGGAGGAGGAGCCGATTGTTAATGTCATAAACGTGACCCAGGAAGACGGAAGCTGATGGCGTCCAACGGAAGATGTCTAGGCCATGGAAGAGTAAATGAGCCCCTCCCATCCCCACCCCATCTTTTCCCTCTCTTCTCCCTCTCCCCCTCCCCCTCCCCCCACCTTGGGTTTCCCGTCCTTGCCCACCCTGAAGGGGTTGTTGGCGTCCTCCACGATACTCACCACCTGGGGGGGGGAGGCGGGGAGGGACAGGGGGGGGGATGAGGGAGGAGCCCGGAAGGAAGGGACTTAAATGGAGGGCGGAAGGCTTGGAACTCCCCGCCCCTTCCCCCCCCGCCCCCACCTCCGGCATCAGCATCTCCCTCAGCTTCAGCCGCGCCATGAAGTCCGGGTTCCCCCCCAGCAGGATGTCCGTGCCCCGCCCCGCCATGTTGGTGGAGATGGTGACGGCCCCGCGCCGCCCCGACTGGGCCACAATCTCACTCTCGCGCTCCACGTTCTCCGGCTTGGCGTTCAGAACCTGGGGGGGGGGAGGCGGGGAAAGTGGGAGGAAAGGGGTGGGAGGAAGGGGCGGGGAGGGGGTGGGGTGACAACCCTCGGTGACCACAACCGTACCATTGCCAGGCACCCATGATTCAACCCATGGTAGGGCCCACATGTCACATGGTGGGTCAGTTCTTCCTCAATCAACTATCAACCAACGCATGGCTCTCCTTCTATCCCCCCGCCCCTCCCCCCAAAGCCTTGTCATACAGCTCGTTAGTTCCCTCGTCAGTTTCTCCTTATTTTTGCCCCCCACCTGGTGCGGAATGCCCTCCTGCCTCAGCAGCTCGCTCAGCAGCTCGCTCTTCTCCACACTGGTGGTGCCCACCAGCACGGGACGACCCGACTTGTGCATGCGACGGATCTCAGTCACCACCGCCTTCCACTTGTACTGCTCCAGCCTGGGGGGGGAGGGAGGGGGAGGTGGGGTTTGTGACTGAGCCGCGATGCAACACCGAACCTATACGAGACCAGAAGATGAAGAAGGGGAGGGTGGGGAGGGTGGGGGTTGTAGGGGTAAGGAGGGGTGAGCGGCGACTAGGGCCGGGGCAGGAGCAGCAGCAGCAGCCGCCCACACGGCCCCCCCCGCAACCCCCATGCAGGCAGGCAGGCAGGCAGTGGTACGGCACCAGGCGCCGCAGCGGGAGCGGCGTCACCAAGCAACAAACGCGGCTCCCCTGCCCCCCCCACCTTCCTATGGTTCGGTATGGTCTTTGAAACCCCCCCACCTCCCTCCCTTCCCCTCCCCCACCACAGTTTGTCAGTTACCCCCTTGTTACCCACCTGAACACCACATCCGGATTGTCCTGCCGCTGGATGGTCCTGTTGGTTGGCACCACCGCCACCGGCAGCTTGTAGATGGAGTCGAACTCGCTCACCTCCGTGGCGGCGGTGCCGGTCATACCTGGGGGCGGCAGGAGGGGGGCGGAGAGGGGGGGAGGGGAGGTGAGAAGGTGGCGATGGGCTAGGGAAACCGGGGGCCGTGAATGTTGGAGACGTAGGTAGTCAAGGTTCCCTCCCCCTTCCCTCCCAATGCGCTCACTGCATGAGTCGGGATTTGGGATTGGAACTCCGTTGCTGCACTTTTCTTTCGCCCCCCATCCCTCCCTCCCCTCCTACCCGCCAGCTTTGGGAAGCCCCTGAAGAAGGCCTGGTACGACACACTGGCCAGCGTCACGTTCTCGTTCTGCACCGGCAGCCCCTCCTTGGCCTCCACCGCCTGGTGCAGCCCGTCCGCCCAGCGCCGCCCCGGCATGGTGCGACCCGTGAACTCGTCCACGATGACCACCTCGCTACCGCCCTGCACGATGTAGTGCACGTTGCGAACCTGCAGCTCCTTGGCCTGAGGGGGGGGGGTGAGAGGGGAGGAAGGGGGTGATGTGTATGGGGAGGTTAGAGCAATAAATGCCTCCCGAGAAAAGCCGAGGGCAGGTATTTTAGCATGGTGTCATCCTTTTACTCACCACCAGCCGTACAGTGCCCTCCTCGTGTCAGTAATCTCGAGGAGTAGCACCGGGCACCCACACCCCCGCAGCACCCCAACATGTGCCTCCCTCCCTCCCCCCCGGGCTGCCAGCTACCCCCCCTGCACCCCCGCCCCCCCCGCTGCACTACCGCTACCTTGAGTGCGTTGATGATGTAGGAAGCCCACTGCGTGCGCGGGTCGTACAGGTCGCTGACCTGATGTGGGGGGTGAGGGGGGGTGAGCGGGGGTGAGGGGGGTGAGGGGGGGAGCATGCATGTGAGGCGGTGATGTGATGCGCTGTTGGGGCCCCCTCGGGGCTGTCACAGCTACCGGTACCATGCAAATGGAGTGGACAGGGAGAGAGCGCGCTGGACAGGGAAGGCAAGGGGAAGGGCTGCATGTGCTGGATGGCGGGGGCGTGCGCTCCTTTCACGTGGGCCCAACATGGACTCGACCGCTGGGTAGGGGCTGAGCTAACCCTCACTGCTCTACGTGCACCCCCCCGCCGCCTGCTATCCCCACTGCCTTGCTCTGACTTGCGGTTTCAGTCGGAACGGTTCGGTTCCTCAACCCCCTTCCCCCCACCCCCCGCCCCCCCGCACCTGCAGCACCTCCTCCACCGCCTCGTACCCGTCCTCCGTGAGCAGCACCGCCTTCTGCTTCTCATCCACCGTGTAGTGCAGCTCGCGAGACAGCGCGTCAGCGATCTTGGCAGCCTGCATGGAGAGGGGGGAGGGGGGAGGGGGGGGGGTCAGAGACAGACCAAAACCCGACACACACCGCCCCTCAGCGCCCTCTCTCCTTCCCCACTCCCTCTCCCCTGCCTGCCTCCCCCCTGTGCGGATACCGGTATGCTATCCACCCCCCCCCACCCCCACCCTCCGCACCCCCCCCCTTCTTTTACGTTTTCCTATACTACCCTACTTGTCACCAAGGCCCCTTCGCATTCCTCACACCATCCCACACCCACACACACTTTGCCACCGTCCCTTTATTTTTTCGCGTCCTTATTTACCTACTTTCCATCACTACTTATGTTGCCTTTCCCTCTCGCACGTATGGCGCGCTTGTGGCGGCTTCCGTGGCGGCTTCTGCTGCGCTGGGCTTCCTCCTTATAGGTAAGCCCCCCTTTTGTTTCTTTTTCTTGCCTAGTCTTTTGTTTTACAGCTGATCCCCGTTTTCTCCGGCCCTGCCTCCTTGTCACGCCGAGCACATGTGGGGCCTTGGTGACCAACATTTGACAGCAATACCAGCCATAACCAGCAATAGACAACTCCAACAGCCAGTTTTTTTCTTCGGCCCGCTCGCTGGAGTGTCAACTTTTCATCCGCAACGCGGACCCGGTATCGGTAGGGAAAGCTAACCAACCCATTGTCTTGTGGCACCCTGCCAACTCCTACCCCCATTGTTTTGCCCTAACTTGTGGTCTCCTATGGTTTGGTATGGTCTTTGACCCCCCTCCACCCCCGGCCCCACCTTGTAGTACTTGTTGGAGGGTTTGTCCGACATGCCGGAGATGATGAGCGGCGTGCGCGCCTCGTCGATCAGGATGGAGTCCACCTCGTCGATGACGCAATAGTGGAAGGGGGTGTCGGCGCGGAGCACCAGCTCGGAGGCGGACTGGGGGGGAGGAGGGGAGGGAAGGGGGAGGGGAGGGGGAGAGGGGGGAGGGGTACTGAGGGGTGGGATGCCAGGCAAGTGCCGTGTATGGATTGCACATCCATATGCGCGTGCATCGCTTATGGACCTTGTCGCGCTCCCTTCTTCCCCGATCCCACCAAACCCCCATTTCCAAATAGGAGCGGGCGTGAAGTCCCTTGTCGGCTCCGCCCTACCTCCTCCCCCTCCCCTCACCGCTCCCCCCACCGCTCCCCCCACCGCTCCCCTCCCCCTACCCAGCCTAATGCGGATTCTGTTTCCAAATTATCCCCTTCCCCTCCTCATCACCCCCCTCCCCCTCCTCCCTATCCCCCTCCCCCCCCCTCCTCCCCCCCTCGCCCCCCACCGTGGCCAGGTTGTCCCTCAGGTAGTCGAACCCCAGCTCGCTGTTGGTCACGTACGTCACGTCGCAGCCGTACGCCGCCCGCCGCTCCTCGGGCTTGAGGTCCGCCTGGATGAGGCCCACGGAGAGGCCCAGGAAGCGGTGCACCTGCCCCACCCACTCGCTGTCGCGGCGGGCCAGGTAGTCGTTCACCGTCACCACGTGCACACCCCTTGGGGGGGAGGGGGGGAGGGGGTGGGGGGGTGGAAAGAGGTGGGAGGGGTGTGATAAAGAAGGAGGATCATGGAGGCGGCAGGTGGGCAGGGGGCAACACTGCCAAGCGGCTGTAGCGCCGGACACTGCCCTCCTTCCCATGCAACTCCATGTCATGACTCAGCTGGACTGCCCCTCCCTGCCCCTCCCCCTCCCTCCCCCCCCCCCCCTTACCTCCCCGGCAGCGCGTTGAGGTACGCGGGCAGCACCGCCACCAGCGTCTTGCCCTCCCCGGTGCGCATCTCCGCGATGTGCCCCTCGTGCAGGATCATGCCGCCCATCAGCTGCACGTCGAAGGGGCGCAGACCCAGCACGCGGCGACTGCCCTCGCGGACCACCTGGGGGGGGGAGGGGAGGGAGGAGGGAGGAGGGCAGGAGGTAAAAGATAAGTGCAGCAACGGAGCAGGAGGGGTAAGAGACAGGAGCAGGAGGGGAGTGGGGGTGAGTGAGAAGTGACGCACAGTCCCGAGTCCTGACTCAAGCAGTGAGCTCGATCTGGGGCGGGGTCCGGCGATGCTCGCATACCAGTCCATGCTTTTACCGGGGGTTGCAGTCGCGCAAAGGTGCGGGTAGGGTGCACCACACCTCCGGTCCCCCACCCCCACCCGGCGCCTGCACCCCGCACCCCCCCCCCGCCAGCAGTACCGCCCAGCCCCCTCCGCCCCCTTCGCCCTGTACCCAAGTTGCACAGGCAGTGCACCGCACCCCGCCCTTGACGTCACACCCCGCCCTTGACGTCACACCCCGCCCTTGACGTCACACCCCGCCCTTGACGTCACACCCCGCCCTTGACGTCACACCCCGCCCTTGACGCCGCACCCCGCCCTTGACGCCGCACCCCGCCCTTGACGTCACACCCCGCCCTTGACGTCACACCCCGCCCTTGACGTCACACCCCGCCCTTGACGTCACACCCCGCCCTTGACGCCGCACCCCGCCCTTGACGTCACACCCCGCCCTTGACGTCACACCCCGCCCTTGACGTCACACCCCGCCCTTGACGTCACACCCCGCCCTTGACGTCACACCCCGCCCTTGACGTCACACCCCGCCCTTGACGTCACACCCCGCCCTTGACGTCACACCCCGCCCTTGACGCCGCACCCCGCCCTTGACGTCACACCCCGCCCTTGACGTCACACCCCGCCCTTGACGTCACACCCCGCCCTTGACGCCGCACCCCGCCCTTGACGTCACACCCCGCCCTTGACGTCACACCCCGCCCTTGACGTCACACCCCGCCCTTGACGTCACACCCCGCCCTTGACGTCACACCCCGCCCTTGACGCCGCACCCCGCCCTTGACGTCACACCCCGCCCTTGACGTCACACCCCGCCCTTGACGTCACACCCCGCCCTTGACGTCACACCCCGCCCTTGACGTCACACCCCGCCCTTGACGCCGCACCCCGCCCTTGACGTCACACCCCGCCCTTGACGTCACACCCCGCCCTTGACGTCGCACCCCGCGGCCCCGTGAGCGCCCCTGCGCCCCCGTCCCAGAGCCCGGGAGCTCCACCCGGGGCCAAGGGGAGGTGGTGGTGGTGGGGTTCAGGTTTCGAAACTTCGCTACCAATGCTCGCGTAGGGCTGTATGTCCAGACGTGGGGTTGAGGAGGAGGTTCACCTCCCACATGGGGCGGACGGCATTGGCTGCTTCCCTCCCTGCACCCTCGCCGCCCTGACACAGCCCCCCGGCCCCCGTTCTTCCGCCCCCGCTGCCTCCGCTCCCCTCCGCCCTGCACCCCTCCTATGCGGTACACCCGCCTCCTCCACACCCCGCCTGGCTGGCTGGCTCCCCAATCCCACCCGCCCGGTGCGCAACGAGCACCACCATCGTGGCGGGCGTACTGCTGACACCAGGCTGCCACGAGGACGGTGTCCACCCCCCAGGCTGCCAGGCTGCCAACCCACCCACGCTGCGCACCCCCACCGCACTCCACAACTGCCACACCACACCACACCAGCGCACCTTCCCCTCCAAGCCAGCTCAACACCCAACACCGTCACCCCCTAGCGGCACCGCCACTCCCCCCGCAAACGTCCTGACTTGGTGGCCGGGATATACCCCTGCTGCTTCCACACATCCCGCGACCCCCCGCGTGTGTAGGGGCAGCAAGGGATGTTGCGGACGGGGCCGCTGCTAAGCGGCGCCATGCGTGTAGCCGAGCGCATGTGGCAGCGGTAGGGGCGCCCAGGCACCTTGGGTGGCCCCTCGGAGGCCCCGTCCTTGTAAGGAAAGCCGCGTTGCGACAGACCCCACAGCAGCCATGGCCATGGCAGCCCCCACCCCGCCCTAAGGCGCTGGCATGTGTTGCAAACTTACCGCAAAGGCTTCAGGTAGGATGCTCTCCAGGCTTTCGCCTTTGCGAACGCGCTCCTTGAACTCCGAGGTTTTAGCCCGAAGCTGGTCATCCGACAATGCCTGCATTGCTGGCTCCATGGCGTTAATCTGGTCGACGCGCGCCTGATACTTTCTGCGAGTAGCCTCTGCGGGGTCGCTTTTGAAGATGTTGCCGAAGAAGGCCTGGACGTGAACCGCGCTGCGTGCCGACCGACGCGGTAGCAAGCTAGGGGCATTGCGCTGCAACCCAAGCCGTCCTCTGACGCCATCCGTTACTGAGGACGTAACAACTGGCAAGCTACCATTGCGGGGAGAAAACGCCGCGAACGGTGTTACACGTCGCCTGCTGGCTGGACGTCCCAGCGCCACACGACCGCCACACCCCGAAATTTGCATATTTACTAAGACGCCAGGATACAGAAACGTCAGGTGAAATCCTATTAGTTCCTAGGCTACGGCAAAGGCCTTACTTTTTGGCAAACAGCAGAGCGTTGCCACAAGTTTGCAATTATGGTTAATGTCAGTGATTCACTAACCCAGGTAGGGATTTCTTCCTGTTATGATTGGAAACCTATGAACATGAAGGCCCGTCGTGTCTCTTCCTGGAAGATCATGACTTGTACGGCGATGCGCCTTTGCTTCCTTGCACTTGCCTGTTTCCAGCACTGCTTCCCAAGTACTATATGACATAGGTATTGATGGTATTCATGCTTCCTCCCTTACTGGTGTCTAGAAGTAGGATTTGACAGCCTTGTATTGAAACAATGTCATTATCCTTTAGTAAACATGTAACACACATGGCAAATATATGTTACCTTAACTGGGCATAATCCTTTTCTCTGCCATACACACAACCAGTGAGACCGTGTTGGGAACTTCGAGCTTCGGAAAAGAATACAAGCTTTCCACTCGTTTTGTACCTTCTATAGACATCACGAACGTCACGACTAAGCACAGTGCTGGTATATCTGTGGAGTTCCGATATAACGTTCTGGCTTGCTGCATTCGTTTCACATTCTGCTGGACCTACCTAAGGGCGTAAACTACAGGAATACTGCTAGACGGTCATAGGTGGAGCCAAACCCACCAGGGTTCGGTTCGAACTTCTGGGCAGCTTGCCGAAAGTGCGTAATCTATCTGCATCACGGTGCACTACCCTGTACACCAGCAAAACGGCGGCTGGCTGGACTATAAGGCGACAGGTTTACCTTCAGGTTAATGGCAGCAGAAGGGCTCCATGTTGGGTCGTTTCCGGAGCCGCATGGCGACGCGGGCGGCAGTCAAGTGGTACCCTTGCCAGATATCCGGGACAAACACAATAGCAGCAGCGGCAGTGGCAGTGGTAAACTGCCCTACATACCAGAAAGGTACGTCGCTCTTTACTTGTGGCTCTCGCGGCTAACTTTCGAAGTACACATGCCGGTCCAATGCATCCATCGCCACATTGCAAGGCTCATGCTAGGCGGGATGTAAACGCGCACGACGTAGCACAACCCTTCTCTCACCCCCGCTGACGCTGATTGCTGTACCGGGTGACCGGGACCCTGCTGTACCCACTCCACCCAACCCTGCCGACGCTTACCTAGCCGCGCTAGCGCGTTCCTCCCGTCCCCGTCCCCACACCCTCCTTCCGAACCCAACCCCGACCCCCCAGGCGCAGCGGCCAGGGCGATCTGGCCCCGGATGACGCCGCCACCGCCACCGCCGGCGCCGGCGCCCCCACCGCCCAAAGCAGCAGCCACAGCACCACCCTAACCTTCGACTCAGGCCCAGCCTCCGTAGCCGCCTCCTCCGCCACCGCCCCGGACGCCCGCCTGGGCCGCCCCGGCAGCCTCACAGCCACCGCGGGCCCAGGCATGATGGCGGGCAGCCAGCTGAGCAGCCACCACCATGCGCACCACGGCCCCGGCGGAGCAGGCGCCTCGCCCCTGGGGCGCATGCCGCAGGGCCGCCGGCACGAGCAGGGGCCGGGGCCGCAGCGAGGCGGCGGCGGTGGTGGCAGTAATGGCAGTAATGCCGTGACGGGAGCTGCAGCAGGAGGGGTGGGGGTTGCAGCAGGGCCCGGTGTGGGGGCGCTGGGTGCGGGGAATGGGCTGCGGGGTGTTGCGGCCGCGCGGCGGGTGCCGCTGCCGGGACTGGCAGTGGGGCCGTCGGGTGCTGGGGGTGCAGCAGCTGGGGGGGCGATTGGTGCAGCTGGGGCGGGAGGAGCAGCAGCTGGGGTTGCTGGTGGAGGAGGAGGTGCGGGAGGCGCGGGCGGCTCCGGAGCTGCTGCTGCTACTGCTGCTGCCGGGGTGTCGAGGAGCAGGTCGCCCGGGGGCACGGAGGCGCAGATAGGTGGGTGGAGGGAGGGAGAGGGAGAGGAAGAGGGAGGAGCTGCTGGCCGGGGTTGTTGCCGGCGGCGACAGCTGCTTAGCAGTTGCGGACGGGTTCGGAGCGCGGGGCTGGTGGCTGGCCCGGTCCTCGCCATGCATCTTTCTGCCAACCACTGGCATACCTCAAGCTAACAACGCCAGCCCGCACCTGTACCCCCCTTCCTGGCCCTCCCTCTGCTCCTGACCCCGCCACCCATCCCCCAACTGCCCCCTCCGCCCCCCCAACCCCAGGCTCCGGCCCTCGCCGTCCTCCCAACGGCGCCCTCTCCTCCCCCTCCGCCGCCCTCCCGCCCGCCCTCCCCAACCCCGGCATCAGCCTGTCCGTGCCCGGCTGCATGCCCGCACTGCTGCCCGCCGCACAGCCCCCCCACCACGGCCCCATGATGCTCTCCCCCGGCGCCGGCGGCGGCAGCGGCCCTCCCTTGGCCGCCGAGATGTCCCCCCACCTCCGCACCATGGGAGGCGGCCCGGGCGGGGGGCCAGCAGCAGCAGCAGCAGGGGGTGCAGGTGCCGGTGCGGGTGCGGGTGTGGTGCTGCTGGGCGTGGGCGGGCCGGTGCGCCCCGTGTTGGGCAAGTACACGTGGGAGCCGGAGTACCAGCGGGCGCTGCTGGATGCGGCGCTGAGGCTGCCACCGGAGGCGGGTAGGAGCGGGAGGGGAGCAGGGGGAGAGGGAGGGGAGAGGCGGGAAGGATGCAGGGGTGCTGCTCCCATGTCCCGTGCATGCACCGTGCGATGCAGTGGCCGTTAGGATTCCGTAAAATTGTTGCTTTAACCCAGTTTAACCCCGGAAAGTCCACAACCGACATCCCTCTTCCTCCCTCCCTCCTCCCAGTCCCCGCCGGCTTCATGGCCACCCTATCCAGCACGCTGCCCCCGCCCGCCGAGGCGCCCCCCCTGGAGCCCGACCCCGCGGCGCTCAAGTGGTTCAAGGCCACCTACCCGGAGGCCATATCCACCAGCCGCAGGGACGCCATGGCGGTCAGGTAGGGCAGGGTAGGGCAAGGTAGGGCAGGGTACCGGTAGGGCAGGGACAATCGACATCGCGAGAGCCGTTGTCGTTACCGGCCCCTGCTTGGAGCGCCTCTTACTTGATACCCTCCCTCACATACAGCTACTCCAGCCGTACTCTGTCTTCCGCACCCCTCCCCTTTTGCGGCACCTTTGCTCCCTTCCCTGCTCCTCGCCCATCCCGCCTCCTCCGCCTCCTTCCTCCCAGGCTCTGGCTGGACGAGCAGTTCCACTCGCTGCGGCGCCACGTGATGGCCGCCCGGCCGCACTCGGCACCGGACGGCGGCGCAGGAGCAGCACCAGCAGGGGCAGGGACAGCAGCAGCATCAGGGGCAGCAGGCGGGGCGGCCCCGCAGCGCGGAGGAGGCAATGCCGCCGCTGCTGCCGCCTCACCGCCCCTCAAGCACCACTCGGCGCCCATCGCGCCCACCACCACCACCGTCACGGCAACCACCACCTCGGTGACCTCGGGGGCGGCAGCGGGTGCTGCTGCTGCAGCTGGTGGTGGCCGTGCGGGTGCCTCTCCGGAGCGGTCAGCCCGCGGAGGCGTCCCGCAGTCCGGCGGGGCAGCAGCAGCAGGGGCGGGGGCAGGAGCAGGGGCAGCATCCTCCCCCACCACAGCAGCAGCCGCTGCAGCTGCTGCCACCACCTCGAGCCCCCACAACAACAACACCAGCAGCAGCACCGCCCCCCAACCCCAGCCGCAGCCCTCGCACCTGCATGTGCTGTCCCCCCAGGGCGCGGGGCCCGGCGGGGGCGGCTGCTCCTCCCCTACTGCCGGTACTGCTGCTGTTGCCGCCGGGGGTGCTTCAGCGGTGCTGGTGGGCCCCCCCAGCTTCTCGGGTCCCGACTCGCTGCTGCTGCTTCGCGACCCCGAGGGCTACCTGGACGGCGCGGTGCTGCGGCACCAGGAGACGCTGCTCAGCCGCTGCATGGAGGAGGTGGCGGGGCAGGTGGGGGCGGGGGAGGGGTGCAGCGGACGGGAAGGGGACCTCGACTGAGCCGCGGTGCAACACTGAGGGGAGGGGAGGGGGGGAAAGGGGCAGTGGGCGTACGGATCATGGGGGACTTGGGGGCGGGGGGTGACTGGGGTCCCTGGGGAAGGGGAGATGAGGGACGGGGCAAAGGGGGGTGGGCCGTGGCCAGTTACCCGCACCGCAGCATCTTCCAACTCCTCGTCTGCCTCTCCCCCCCTGCCCCCTGCCCCCTGCCCCCTGCCTCATACCTCCAGGTTGCTACGCTGTGTGTTGAGCGCGGCCACATCCTGGCACTGCTGTGGCAGGCGCTGCGACACCTGCTCTACACGCTGCTCACCGACCGCGACGCGGCGCGCAACACCGCCCTAGCGGCCCGGCGGGCTGCTGCGGCGGCTGCGGCTGAGAAGGCGGATGCGCTGTCCCGCGCTGAGGGGGAGAAGGCGGAGATGGTGCACATGAACGACCTGGTGAACCGGCGGCTGCTGGCGGCCAAGATGGAGGCGGAGCACGTGAGGGCGCGGCATGCGGATGTGAGCGGGGGCGGGGTGTCTGTGGGGGGGGAGAGGGGGGAGGGCGGGGGGGAAGAGGAGGAGAGGGAGAGGGGTATGGAAGGGGTGCGAGTGCCACCTGGTCGCAATGGGAGGGTGCTGCTCATCCCCTTTGGCCTCCTTCCCCCGCCTTCCATCCACCCATGCAAACCCCCCACCCCCCTCCTCTCCCCCCATCCTTCCCCGTCCCCTCCCCTCCCCCTGCCGCCCAGGTTGAGGCGGAGCTGGCTCGGCTGCGGGCGGTGCACCCGGATGAGCTGCGCAGGGAGCTGGATGCGCTGAGGGTGCAGGTGGGCGGGGAGGTGGGGGGAGAGAAGGAGAGAGGGAGTGAAGGAGGGAGGGAGTGAAGGAGGGAGGGAGCTGGAGGTAGGAGGTGGGCTAAGGTTTAGGGGCCAGAATCTGCGGAGAGAGAGTTGCCGCAGCGGTAGCAAGGACGTACCGGCAGGTTGGGTGCCCACTTAACTGCGGCTATCCTATTCCCCGGCTACTCCCCGGCCTCCCCCGCCCTCTCCCCCCCAGATGAGCACCCTGGAGCGGCAGCTGGCCGCCAACCAGATGCGGCTGGAGCGCTGCCAGCTGGACCTGGCGGAGCGGGACAAGGAGCTGGCGGCGGCGTTGGCGAGGTGGGGGGGGGCGATGGGGGGATAAGGGTGGGGGGGGGGAGAAGTGAGAAGTGAAGCACGGTCCCATACCCCGAGTGAGGGGGGCGGGACGGGGTGTTCATTGAGGAGCGCGCATGGCTGGGCAGGGACGCTCGATTGTCGGGACGCCCGATCACACGGCTCGTTTCTCCCTCCTCCCTCCTCCCTCCTCTATACCCTACCTCCCTACCCCAACCCCCCAACCCCTCCTCCCTGCAGGGTCCAGGCCAGTGCGGACGAGCTGGGCAGCATGCGGGAGGAGTTCGGCGCGCGCAGCCCCCGCCCCGCCCAGCCGCGCACCCCGCCCTGGGAGCTCATGCAGCCGGACGAGGCGGCGCTCACCCTAGCAGGGCTGCGCGCGGGGGTGCCGGCGCAGGACATGCACCGACTGCTGCTGGGGGTGTCGGCCACAGGGGGCAACGTGCTGCCCTGGTGCCACCTGCTGGGCACTTGCAGGCACATAGACCCCAGCGGGCCGCCGCCTAATGCGGGAGTGGGATCGGAGGGGAGCCAGCTGAACCTGGGAGGGGGTGGAGGAGCCAGCACCGGCGGTACGACGGGTGCGGAGGGCGGCGAGGGAAGCAGCGAGTCGCCCTCGCCGCAGCGCGCGCGGCTCAAATCCGGCCGACCCACCATTGCGGAGGCAGTGGCGCCCGACTCCGGGTCTCCCTCCACTCCCGCCTCCCGCGCCACCACAGCTGTAGGCCAACGCCGCTTCAATCGCGCCATGTCGCACAAGCGCCACGACGGCGGGGAGCTGGGAGGCCCCATGGCCGCCGGCACCATGGCAGGTCCGGCGGCGGTGGCAGTCGCCGCACCCCCTCTGCGCGCCTTCACCGCCACCGGCGGCGCCTCCAGACGTAGCGGCGTGTTGTCGCTTCTCACCACGCCCGGCCTGCCAGACATCCGCGAGCAGCACAACTGGCTGTACGGCCTGCTCTCCCGCCCCGACGCCGCCACCGCGCTGTCCCGCTGGCTGAGCGAGGAAGCCGTGGAGGCGGTGGGGCAGATGGCCAACCACTCCATCGACGCGCACTCCATTGCATGTCTGCTGCTGGGCACGTTTAGCATCGCGGGGGCGGATGTGGTGCCGTACAAGAGCCTGGCGGGGGTGCTGGCGACTCGGTACCGGCACACGGCTGCGGACATCGGGGGTAGCATCACGGAGGCGCTGGAGCTGGCGGCCATGAGCACGCGCGACCGGGTGGAGCGGCTGCAGGAGATCAACAAGGACCTGCGGAAGCAGGTGGGCAGGGGAGGGGGAGGGGGATTAGGTAAACTGAGCCGCGGGAATACTGACCCTGACCATAGTTTACCGTAGGAAGGGGGAGGTGGTTGGAAGGGGGAGTGATATAGGTATGGGGGGGGTAGGGTACTAGACATAGTCTACCTTACTCACGCTCTGGCACCTTTCCAGCCGCCTGCCCCGCACCTCTCCTTCTCTTCCTCCTTAACCCCACTAAACCCTGTGCGGAGTACCCACAACCCCTCTATTCCCCACCCCCCACCCCCACTCCTCCAACCCACCCCTCCAACCCACCCCCCCAAACCCCAACCCCCAGGTCAACAAGCTGAAGCGCAACCTGTCCGACATGCGCAAGGTCGAGCGTGACGGCCGCATGAAGGACCTGCGCAATGTGGCGCGCAAGGTGCAGGGCTGCCCGCCCTCCCCGCTGCACGGCCTGGTGCTGCAGAAGCGCTGCGAGTACTTCATGGGGCTGGGTAGCGGGGAGGACGTGCCGGCGGTGCTGCATGCGGAGGGGAAGGTGGGGGGAGGAGGACGGGTGGGGAAGGTGCGTGGTGGGGGGGGAGGGGTGAGGAGGGAAGGGCGGGCGGGAAGGGGGAAGGGGAGGGTGTGCTCGTAATGAGCGGCACTCCCTTGCAGGCGGGCGGGTGCCTGAGGTGCAGGGGGCCCTCGTAAGCTGAAGGATGCTGGTGCTGGTGGGGGGAGGGGGGTGAGCACAGGGAACATGAAGGAAGCGTGGGAATGCGCTGGGAGCACGGAGAGAGGGCCGCGTGGAACCTCTGTAGAGAGGGAGGCAGTGCCCAGCCTGCTGCCAACAGGTGATGCAACCCCGGCACTTCCCGCAGTATCCAACTCCTCCTCTCCTTCCTCAACCCATCCTCTAGCCTAAACCCTAAATCCACACCCGCCCCTTTTCCCATCCCTTGCCGCAACCCCCCTCTGTCACCCCCTTATCGCCACCTCCCGTCCACAACCCCCTCCCTCCCTCTCTTTCCCCCTACCTACTTTGCTTCTTCACCCCCGCCCCCTCTTCCTCTCCTCCTCCTCCTCCTCCCCTCCCACCCGGATTGGGACTCCGTTGCTTCACTCTTCACTTATCCTCTCCCCCCTCCCGCAGCTCTACAACCGCCAGATGGAGAAGGCGGAGGCGGAACGCATCGTCAACGCCGTCTGGCAGTCCAAGCGCGAGTTCGAGGCCGGCTACGGTGTGCGCATCTCGCTGCCCGACTACCTCTCCGTGTTCCTGCAGCGCAAGCACGGAGCGGCGCGGCCCGCCACCGAGGCGGCCTACAACCTGGTGTACACGCTGGGGCAGCACCAGTACGACCCGGACTGCTACCTGTTCTTCAAGGTGGGGGGGGGGACAAATAAGGAGGGGGGAGGGGGTGGGGGTGAGGAGGGGAGGAAGAAGGACTCCATGCGCATAGGGGGGTGGCGTATAGGGAGGGAGGGGGAAGGGATAGAAAAGGGAGGGGTGAGGAAAGGAGGAGGAGGAGGAGCAGCAGCACCATGGCGAGGAACCCACCCACCCACCCACACACCCACCCACCGAGGACCCCCTCCTCCCCTCCGTGCGCACAGGTGCTAGCAGGGGAGCTGGACGACAGTGCACGGGAGGGGCAGGAGCGCCTGCGGGCAGCAGTGCTGGACGCCCTCCTGGCCGCGGACGCAGCCGCCAACTCAAACCGCGTCACCGGCTGGCTGCGCAAGTCCGACATCCGGGACACGCTCACCCGCCTGCTTGGCGTGGAGGGGAGCAAGCGGGAGGCGGCGGCGGCGGCGGCAGCAGCAGCAGCGGCCGCAGCGGCAGCGGCGCCAGACAGCAGCGGCGGCACTGCCGGCGGAGCCGGCAGCGCCGGCGGCAATGCCGCCGCCGGCGGCTCCGCCGCTGCCACCGGCGGCAATGCCGCCGCTAGCGGCGCCAGCGGCGCCGGTGCTGCCGGTGGCAGCGGTGCCACCGGTGCTGCTGCTGCCGGTGCTGGTGGTGGCGGGGGTGGTGGGGGTGGTGGGGGTGGTGATGCGGCTGCTCCTGCGGGGGTGACCCCGGGTGCCATGGATGTGGGCCCCCGGGGCGCGGGTCTGCTGACGGCACTGACCCCCGCGCAGCTGAACGACCTGTTTGACGCGCTGGACGACGAGGCGGCGCATGAGATGGTGCAGTACGCGCGGCTGTTCGAGGACGACACAGGTGGGGGGAAAGATGGGGCCCGTGGGGGAGAGGGCAGGGAGGGGCAGGGCGCAGGGGAGGGAGGGGGCAGGGGAGGGAGGGGAGGCGAGAGAGGAATAACTAGTCGGCCTGGTGAAAGGTCGACAGGAAGTGTGGAGTGGCTGGGTAGGGCTGGGGTAGTGCCCTTTCCTTTCCTAGTTTGGTTGAAACTCATTCTATGCACATGCGTTTTGTGAGTACGATGACGACCGGCACAACCCTCAGTGCGTGATCCAACTCCGCCAACCTGCTTCTCCTCCCCCCCCCCTCCCCGCCGACGGTCACGGTCCGTAGTTTCATGCGGCTCAGTTCACCTAATCCCCGCCTCCCCCCGCCCTCCCCCCCCCTGCCCAGATCTGAGCCAGGGTGTGTTCGTTGAGACGTTGCGGCAGCAGCACCTGCACAACCGCCTGGACTGGTTCCAGGTGGGGCCGGGAAGAGGAGACTGACTGACGGGCAGTATGTGGGGAGGGGCTTTGGAGGGGCACAGACAGCGATTGTGGATGCGAGATGGCATCCCAAGGGGGTGGTTTGTGACACGCATGGCTACCTCCGAACCCAGGGAGCATCTCTCGTGTACCCACAAACGCGCACCCCAGAGGCCCCTCCCTGCCCTCTATCCCTCCCTTACTAGAAATGTCCCTTTCACCTCGATGCTCATCTCCCCTCCCACTCCCCTGGACGCCATCATCAACGGCTCTTCCTATGGCCACGGTCAGTGTTTCCTCGCGGCTCGGTTTTCCTAATCCCGCTCCCCTCCCTCTCCCCTCCCCCGCCCCCCCCAAAAACAGTCCATCGAGGACGCTGTGTTGGACTGGGCGGAGGCGGGCGGCCACACCTCCCTCGGCCCCACCTCGCTGCGCAACGCCATGATGCGCGCACACCCCGACACCGACACCAAGACGCAGCGAGAAATGCTGACACGCGTGTTTGGGGCGGTGGGGGGAGCGGTGGTGCTGCCGCCAGGTGGGGGAGCGCGTGGAGGGGTTGGGAGGGGGGAAGGGGCGACGAGGATGAGGCATACCCGGCGTGGGGGGGGGAGTAGGGTTGGAGAGCGAGGAAACGAGGAGGCTGGGGAAGGGGCTTCGTGGGGTGGTTAAGGCCACAGGGTTTCCTTCTGATGCATGTAGCACCGCCGCCGCCCTGTCCCTACCCCACTGGCACTCCCTGCTCCCCAACCCCGTCTTCTCCCCGCCCACCGGCTCCCAACCCCCCAACCCCTCCCATCCCCCCCCCCACCTCACCCCCCCCAGGCGAGAAGCCCACTCGCGGCAGTCGCGCGGCCCGACTAGGCAAGGACGAGTCGGCGGTGGCGGTGCCTCTGGAGGTGGCACTTCGTAAGCTGCGGCAGGAGCGGTCGGAGGGCATGGTGGGGGCGGCGGCGGCGTTAGAGATGATCGCATCCGGCCGGGTGACCAAGTCCGCCGCGGGACGGGGCGGCTCGCCGAGGCGGGGGGGACGCGCAGCGAACCAGGAAGGGGGCAGCGGGGGAGGGGCAGCGGGAGGGGGCGGCGGGGCGGGCAGCGGGTTGCTGGGGGGAGCGAGTGGAGACGGGCGGAGAGAGGGGGCGGGCGGAGTGATGTGGGCAGATGCGGAGGAGGGGGTGGCGGGGCTGGGTGAGTCGTCGTCACGAGTGGCGTTTGCGGGGGGAAGTGAGGGGGAGGGTGGTGCGGCGGCGGCAGCGGGGGGAGAGGGGGAGGGGGTGGTTGAGCCCGTGGCACCGAGCGGCGGTGTATGAGGGGTGACATATCGGCTAGGCCGATATGTCTCGCCAGTATAGCGATCTGGTGTGGGAGGCCTGTGGGACGCCGTCCCCGAGACCTCCTGCTTCAAAACACAATACGCGCGCTTAGAGAGGCCGCCTCCCTCTGCGGTACCGGTATGTGCTCGGTGCGCCCCCCCCTCGCTCCTCCGCATGTGTGCCGGAGTGGCGAGAGGCGGCGCATTCCGTAGTGCTCGACAGCCCGGTGAGAGAGAGGAGGAGCTTTACGTGGACTAGCGCGCATGTTAGCCGGGTCCTGGCGGGTCCTGATTGCCCCTGCCCCGCGATCTTGGAGTTGCGACTAGTGGTGGGTTGCAGTAGGGGCTTCACGAGTGGAGCGGTGCTCCTTCTTAGCGCTTCATACAGCCGATTACGGTACTCCGTGGGCGGTACTTACTGACTCCGTGGGCCATGTGTTGGCCCATGCGGTTCGGGTTTGCAACAGCCATGCATGTTCGAGAATGCATGCTGACGTGTCGAGCATGCTGACGTGGCTCGCAATGAGGGAGGTGGTGGTGGTGATATGTGACGTTACACGCCTGCACTGTGTTAACGGTACATTGCTTGACAGGAGTTGCAGGGGGCAGGGGGGGTTGCTGGACATACTCGCATTGACCGATGGTGAGGCTACCGGTAGTAGAGGAGGAAAGGACTGGTACGGATAATTCTTCAAGATTGTTTGTCGTAGCCGACAGCGTTTGTCTAGGAAAGCAGTACAGCCTGGGCGTTGACCTTGTATGCAGCACGCTGATAGTTGTACGGTGATGGCCCGAGAGCTTTTGGACTGAGATATGACGTGAGCTGTGTAGCGGTGACAGACTCTCCTGCTGTGAGCGCCCCCCAACCCACCAACCACAGTGCATGTGTGCATGTGGCGTGGTGGTGTCTGGGCGCGTTGGGGCCGGGCGAAGCCTGCACCTCTGCTGCCTGGCCCATTAGTTTTGTGCACCATGAGTATACGCACCTATCTATGTTGACTCGGGGGGTGGTACGAGAGGTGTTTGCGCAGGCGTGGGACGTGACACCGCACGAGGGTGTGACCCTCTCGCCGGACTTCTTGCAGGACTGGCCGCTGTCGCAGCTGGGACCAGGAAGCGAATAACAATGCTAGTAACAGGCACCCGTGGCAGTAGTGCCAACCTAACTAAATGAAGCCTACAGACCCTGTAAGAGCAAAGCATACACTCAGGCACTGTGCCATTTGCCTGCAGCTACACAAACAGTTATTCCACTCGTGGTCTTCGTGTCCGAAGCCCTGACGGCACCTCACGCCCAACTATTACCACCACAGCTACGTCGCCGGCACTTACTTGCGTGAGGTATTCGGCCCGGAGCCAGCCAGTCTGTTGTCGACCTCCGGTTTCACAGCTCCCCATCTGCTGCTAAACACCTACATGTCCTCCACACCACCTGCCACCCGCCCATGCTTGCTCGCCCGCCCGCCCACCCTCACTTCTCCTCAGATACTGTATAGCCGCAGCCTGCCATTCCACCATAGCCTGAACCATCACTGAACACATGATATGCACTAGAACACATACCGTACTCTACTCACATACCACCATCTACCACCATCTACCATGCCTCTCCACCTAAACCTTCCTCAGCCCACACCACCACCCTCCCCACAGCCCCCCTAGCCCCCTCCCTCCAACCCCTCCCTCCCTCCCTCCCTCCCTCCCTCCCTCCCTCCCTCCCTCCCTCAGTCAGTGTCTCTTTATTCTTTTATCCCATCCTTCCCTACGCAGCACCCCCCGGCGCCGTCACCACCGCCGCCTCGTAGTGCGTGGCCAGCCGCTGCATGCGCGCAATGAGCAGGTACACGTACAGGTGGATGAGCACCACGTAGCCAAACACCACCAGCCGCGCCAGCGGGTACTGCCTCAGCACGAAGGCGGTGGTGGAGGCGGTGCCGTCCAGGAAGTTGGCGGCCGCCTTGACCGCCTTGCCCACCCGGGTGTGGCGAGCCAGGCGCTGGTAGGGCTCGCCCAGGGCGTCCATGGGGATGACGTCATGCGGCGCGGAGGAGGAGGAGGAGGAGTGAGGGCCGCCCCCCAGGCCCCGGAGGCCGCTGCCGATGGCGCCCTGTTGCGCCAGCTGGCGGGTGAGCTTGGCGAGCTCCTGGGGGGAGGGGAGGGGAAGCGGGTCGAGAGGAGATGAGTTATTACGCAGGGGCGGGAAGAGGAGCAGCCATGCGGGGGAAAAAGAAATTCCAAAATGTGCGGGGGATGGGAAGCGCGGGTCTGAGGCACAGCTGAGCGGGCCAAGGGGTTGCGGATTGGGGGGGAGTAAGGATGTACCATGAGCGCACAGGGTGTCACACCCCACCCCGCCACCCCCCCGCCCCACCTGCCGCGTGCTGTCCAGCTCCCGCTCCGTCTTGAGCTGCTGCGCCGCCTTCTCCGCCGCCAGCCTCTCCAGCTGCGTCTGCTTGAGGTAGAGCATGTCCGACACCTCCGCCAGCTGGGACTCCAACTGGGCGGTGTCCTGGAGGGGAGGTGGGGGGGAAGAAGAAGACCCAATGTGTTGAATGAAAGGGAGGGAGGGGAGGGAGGATGAAAGCGAGGGAGGGGCATGTGGGGCATGCAGGGTGGGGTGGTGACACACCCACAACACCGGTGGGCATTGCACCAGGAGCATGGGGGCCCACTACCCTCGTACCGAGCCGCGCTTCAGCCAAAAGCAACGTGCGCGTCCTGGTACAAAGCGCGATCAGAACTCGCCTCTCCAAGCCTCCAGGACAGCCCCCTTCCCTCCTCTCAGCCCCTCTTCCCCTCCTCCTCCCCTGCTCCCACCCACCCACCCGCCCACTATCCCCATTGCTTTGCGCCAACCTGTGCTTTCCATTGGTCTGGTATGAGGTCTTTCACCCCTCCCTCCTCACCCGCCCCGTCCCTGCCGTACCTTCCTCTGCTCCAGGCTCTGCCGAAGCCCCTCCAGCTCCGCCGCCATCGCCGCCACCTGCGCCTCACTCGCCTCCGCCGCCTGCCGCGCCGCCGCCGCCGCCCGCCGGTGCTGCAACACCTCCCCGCGCAACACGTCCAGCTCAGCCGCCGCCGCAGCAGCTGCCGCAGCCGCCGCAGAGCCCCTGACGGGGCCGCCGCCTCCGCCGCCGGGGGAGGCAGCAGCGGCGTCCCCCTCCGCCAGCCCCTCCATCTCAATCCCCGCCTCCGCCAGCTGCCGCTGCAGCGCCGCCACCCGCGCCGCCAGCTCGTTTCGGCCCCGAGTGGCCGCCACCACCTCCTCCTCCAGCGCTGAGGAGGTGGGTGGCGGGGTTATTAGATGAACTAGCCCGCGGAAACACTGACCCGGACCGTGGCGGGGTTGGGAGTGGGGGCCAAGGAAGCTGTGCATGCGACGACGCGGATGGTTGTAAAGCGAGTCCAAATGGAGCAGAGGCGCGGAGCAGCAACCCGAACACACACCCCTCCCTCCGCTCCTCCTCCCCCTCGCCCTGCCTCTCACCCCTGCTCTTCCGGTTTGCCTCCTCCAGCCCCCGCGTCAGCTCCCCCAGCGCCGCGGTGCTGCCCGCCACCTGCTGCTCCAGGTCCTGCTCGCGCGAGGCGGCGGCGGCGCGACTAGCCTGGTGGGCCCGCCGCTCGGCAGCCAGGCGGGACTCCGCGGCGGCCAGCTCGGAGCGCAGGGCTGCGGGGGAGAGGTGAGGGGTTTGAGAGGAGGTGAGGTGAGATGAGGGGGGCAGAGAGGCAAGGAGTGAGGGTGGGGTACCCTGAAGGCGGCGTGGCAAGGCGGGATCCACTATTGAGTGTCAAATGCGTTGCACGGGATCCATGCAGCGGCTTTTCGACCCCCGACCCACATTTCCCCGACATCCTCCCGCTTCCCCCTATCCCCACCACCCTCCTCCTCCCTACCCACCCTCCACCATGTCCCCCTCCCGGTCGCTGTGCTGCTCCAGCAGCCGCCGGCTGCTCTCCTCCAGCGCCGCCAGCTGCCCCTCCAGCACCAGCACCGCCCGCTGGCTCGCCTCGTACTTGCCGCTCACCTCCGCCAGGCCCGCGCGAGCAACGGCCAGCTGCGCCGCCAGACTGCTCTCAGCTGCCGCCCGCCCCTGCTGCGACGCCGCCAGCTCCTCCCGCAGCGCCGAAACCAGGGCGGCCTCTTGCTGGGCTCGCACCTCGGCGCGAGCTAGCATGTCTTCCAGCTGCTCGTTTTCGACGCGGGAGGCTTCGAGGCGTTTTCGGAGCTGCTCGCAGGTGCGTGTGAGGGACTGGATTTGCTGCTGGTGGAGGGCTGAAGAGGTGGTGGGTTGCGGAGGGGCGTCGGCGGCGGCAGCAGCGTCCGAGTCGTCGAGGACTAGGTTGAGGAAGGAGAGGGAGTGCGCTACGGCCGAGGTGGTGGCGGAGGCGAGGGAGGCAGCGGCGGCGGAGGCCGCTGCTGCTGCTGCAGGCGTGCTGCCGCCTGCGGCTGCTGCCGGGGCGGCAGGTGGTGCGGGAGCAGGTGCTGTTGGTGCGGGTGCCGCCGCAGCGGTGGGTAGCTGCGTTGCGGCCCCCGGTAAGGTCCCTGTGGTGTTGCCAGCGGCAGGAGGAGGAGGGGCGGCAGGAGCTGCTCCCGAGGCGGCGCTAGTGCTGCTGCTGCTGCCGGCTGAGGTCGCCGAGCCGCCTGAGCCCTGTTGCTGGCCCCCTGGCTCGCCCGCAGTCAGGCTGGAAGGCAGCGGCCCCGCCCCCTCCGCCCCACTGGGTGCCGCCTCCGGGCCGGGTGCGCTGAAGCTCGCCTCCTGGGCTAGCCCCTCGCCCGCGGCCCCTGGTGGCAGTGTGGAGGCGGTGGAGGGCGGAGACGGCAGCACGGACGGGGGGTCCACCGCAGGTTGGCTACCGCCGCTGCTGCTGCTCGCCGTACCTAAAGCGGAGCTGGAGGCAGCAGCAGGCGCGGAGGTAGAGGAGCCGCCCCCACTCCTCTGACCCGCCGCCAGGGCCTTGGGCGGCGGCGTTGAGCTGCCGTTGCTGCTCACTCCGGCACCCTCCGCTCCGCTGGTGCTAGCAGCAGCAGCGGGGGCAGCAGCAGCGGCTGGGAAGGAAGCAGCAAGGGGGGAGCTAATCGACGCGGCACCAGCGTCTAGGGCGGCGGTGTGCTTGCGTGGGGCTGCGGTGGAGGTGCCAGTCGGGCTAGCCAAGGTCGGGGGCACTGCAACAGCAGCTGCTGGAGGAATACCGGAGGGAGCAGCGAGGCCGGTCTGGGGGTCGCTGCTGCTGCTGCTGCTGCGGAGGCTGCCGCCCGCCGAGTAGGGCGGAGCCGCGGGTGCAACTCCGGTCGCCGCCGGAGCCGTGAGCGGAGCCCTGCTGCCGAAGGGAATGGGGGCGTCTGACTTGACCGTGAAGCCGCCGCCCGCCGGTCCGGATGGGGTGCTGCTGCTGCCGGCGCTGGCTCCGCCGGGTGTGCGACCAGAAGCTTCACTGCGGGCCTCCCAGCCCGGAGCGGACGCAGTGCTGGCGTAGTAGCTGGCGGGGTTCTCCAGCCCGCCTGCGGTGGTGCCGTTCCTGGCATTGTATGAGGTTGGGACTGCAAGCGAGTACCCTTGCGGAGCGGCCGAGGTTGGGATGTAGGGCTGGCTGTATAAAGTATGTGGCGAGTCCTGCAGAGGATATATAGGGGAGCAGAGGGAGCATGGGGGTTGGCCGGAAGGGCCATGTCAAGGAGCGGGTTTGCGCGCTATGCGTCATCGGTGCACACCATAGGTAGGATTGAACATTTTTAGCATGAGGCAGATAACAGTGATAACCGAAGCATGGCACCCCGTTACCTGCTGCAGACCGCTTGCAGGGTTGGGTCCTCCAGCTGAGCTCTCGGGTTCGCCTGGGACCAAAAATGCATTGGTGCATCAGTTTTGGGAGCTTGTTGGACGCCCGGAACCGAAACACCCTTCCAAAGGTTTGGTCGAATGTTGGGACAGTACTGATCTCTAGCAGACGTTTATACCTTCTGCAAGTCCCAACGTTCCCACAGTCCGCGACACGGTCTTATCTACAGCCTCAAGCAAACCCTCTGCAACCTTCAGTTGGGCAGTAAGCCAAGAGGCCATTTTGAAGATCAATTCAAGCTAAGAGGTTCTACATCAATATCAGGTAAACAAGAGGCTTGCCGATCTGGTTAAACTGCCTTCAACTGACGGCGGACGAGTTTTGACTCTTCCCTCGTACTGAGGGTACGGAGGGAAGTTAAGGAAGCTGACCGTCGTGACCGAGTAAGCCCAGTTGGTTTTCGTCTTCAATAACCTTAACACCCTTTAGTAACTTTGTGTGACAGGCACTGCAAGATACGTACTTGACCTAAACGCCGTTAATTATCGAATCGATACTTTCGAGGCTCCCTCGTCTAGGCGCTTAGCGTCGCTTGCTATTCCTACGTCTAGCCGCCATGTACAACTACGGATATGGTGCACCACCGCCTTATGGCGCTCCCCCAGCCTACGGAGCCGCGCCCACTCCCTACGGAGCAGCTCCTCCTCCAGCCTACGGAGCCCCAGCGGCACCCTACGGAGCTCCTCCAGCACCCTACGGAGCCCCACCTGCGCCATATGGCGCCCCGCCGCCGGCATACGGTGCTCCACCATCCAGCTACGGCGCCCCAGCCCCAGCACCCACTGCCTACGGTGCCCAGCCGCCCCCCTACGGTGCCCAGCCGCCCTCCCAGCCGCCCTCCTACGGTGCCCAGCCGCCCCCCTATGGTGCCCAGCCGCCCTCCCAGCCACCCTCCTACGGTGCCCAGCCGCCCTCCTATAGTGCCCAGCCGCCCTCCTCTGGCGCCCAGCCGCCCTCCTACGGTGCCCAGCCGCCCTCCTATAGTGCCCAGCCGCCCTCCTCTGGCGCCCAGCCGCCCTCCTACGGTGCCCAGCCGCCTCCCTCTGGCAGTGCGCCTCCTGCCGGCTCCGGGCCCGCGCCTGCTGCCCCCGCACCCTCCTCCCAGCAGCAACAGCCCCAGGCGCCTGGCGGGCCGCCCCCCGCCCCGGCCTCAAGCAGCCCCAGCTACCCAGCCCTCACAGCTCCTCCCCCGCCTCAGACCGTACCCCCAGCAACCGCACCGCCTGTCACCACCTCCAGCACCGCGCAACCTGCGCAGCCCGGCAGCACCAGCGCCTACCCCGCCCTGGGCCTCTTCCCAAGCAACTCCTTCAACGCACCGCCCCCCGCTCCCTCCTCCCGCCCCACCTCCGCAGCCCCCTCTGCCCCCCCTTACGCCGCCCCTTACGGTGCCCCTGCGGGCCCCTCTGCCCCCGCACCAGCTCCCCAACAGCCCGTCGCCCCCTTCACATACGGCCAGGCGCCTGCGCAGCCGCCTCCGCCTGCTGCTCAGCCGCCTCCGCAGGCCGCAGCAGTGCCGGCCTACATGCCGCCCACCACCTACGCACCCGCTCCGGGTCACGGCGGGCGGCGGCGGCGCGCGCTGCTGGTGGGGTGCGCCTACCCGGGCAGCAGCGCGGCGCTGAACGGCTGCCTCAACGACGTAGACTGCATCAAGGTGTGTTAACGGTGCGGAGGGCACCAAGGTGGGACGGGCGGTGGGACCGGGTAGTGGGGCAGGTGGGGGCTAGGGCAGACGCGCCACCCGTCGGGACCCGGTGGGACCAGGTGGTGCCAGGAGGTTGGAGTGAAAGCTGGGATGCGCTTTTTGGTCAGGTGGTTTGCGCTGTTGGTTGGCTGGCGATGAAAGCGCCGAGCCGGGTGGGCCGCGGTGACAATCGCGAGATGCACGGCAACCGAATGCGCACAAGCCCGCGCCCCAGTCTCCCCCCAGCAGCGCGTGAGGACAATCCCACAGCGGAGCTCCAACGCTTTCGCAGTGGCGCATACCGTCCTGCCTTGCCCGCTCAGGTTCCCATTCCGCCCCCCGCCTCCTTCCTCCCCTCCTGCCTCCCCGCCGCGCAGTTCTGCCTGGAGAAGCGGTTCGGCTTCACGCCGCAGGAGGTCGTGGTGCTGCGCGACGACAGCCGGCACCCGGACTTCACGTCCACCAAGGCAAACATATACCGGGTGAGGATGGCTGGAGGATGTGGGCAACGGCATGCGTTACGTTGCGTACTGCTCACCCCCTCCCTCTCTCATGATTAGAGCCCCGAGCCCGCTCTCTTCCTCCTCCCCTCTCTTCCCGTTAGCGTCCTCTCCCCTCCTCTCTTCCTCCTCACCGCCTCCCCAACCCGCCCCGTGATTTCCTATGGTGTTTGACGTACGGCATTGCTGACCCCTCCCCCGCCCCCCCAGGGCATCCAGTGGCTGATGTCCGACCAGCGGTCGGGCGACTCGCTGTTCTTCCACTTCAGCGGCCACGGCAGTCAGCAGTACGACCGCAACGGGGACGAGGAGGACGGATACGACGAAACCATCTGCCCCACGGGTGCGGCGGTACGGCTAGCTGGGGAGGGTCCTGCTTCCTCAAGCCTTTCAGCCCGATTGCTGCTGCTGTTGTGACTACGGTACACACGGCGGTGCTGGATAAAGCATCCGCGTCTTGCACCAGCCAGCATCCACACCACCACTGCCCGAACTTACATCTTCACGTCCTCCTCACTCCGCCCCCCACTCCGGCCCCCCGCAGACTTCCGCTCCGCGGGTCAGATCGTGGACGACGAGCTGAACCGGCTGCTGGTGCGGCCGCTGCTGCCGGGCGTGACGCTGCACGCGGTGGTGGACGCCTGCCACAGCGGCACCGCGCTGGACCTGCCGTTCAGGGCGGGGGTGGACGGCGCGGGAAGGTGGTACTGGAAGGGGCGCGCGCGGTACGACAAGATGACCATGGGAGGTGAGGGGCTGGGGAGGGGGAAGGAGTGAGCGAGTGAGGCACAGGGGGGGGGCAAGGAGACGAGGGGATTGGGATGGGAACATGGGATGACGGATGAGGGGAGGGCTGCGATGGGTGCTGGAGGTGTATGCGCCTGTGTTGGAATTGGGGAACAAAGCTGGGTTGGTGGGTTTGCGGGGCTATTCTGTGGCTGCGGTTGTGTGGTTAACCGGAAGGGGTGGGTGATACGCACGTGTCAGAAAGCCGCATGAGAACCAGGCATCAGGGGAGGCCAATGCGTGTGTTCCTGTGGCCCCCCGCTTGTCCCGGCAGGCACCGTTTTCCAGTTCGGCGCGTGTAAGGACTCTCAAACGGCGCAGGTGGGTGGTGGCGTGGGTAGGCACGGCTGTTTCCCATGCAGGTTTCCACGCTCTTGCTTGCACACTTCTCTCGGCGCCCGGCTAGCGTGACTCCTAGCACAACTGGCGTGTCTCTTACCCTCATCCGCTTCATCTTCTTGGTTAGCCTGTCCGAACGCTGCACCACTGCCGTATCTCTGGCTGAGGAACCCCCTCCCTGCCGCGCCCTCCACCCCACCCCCTGCCCCAGGACACCAACCGGCTCAGCGGCAAGGCCTACACGGGTAAGCGACCCGAGGTATCCCTGGTGCCGTCGCCTGAAGCGTGTGGTCGCCAGCACAACGAGTGCCTCTGCCTCACGCCGGTTGTGCTCGAGGCTTCTGGATGCCACGGTATCCGCCCTACTTGCGGCTCCTGTCACCGCCGAACTGCCTCACCCCCTGTCGCGCAACCCAACACCGCAGGTGCTGCCACCTTTTGCTTCATCGAGGCCATTGAGAAGTACGGCACCCAGCAGACGTACGGCCAGATCCTGAGCCACATGATGTCCGCCCTGCGCGCCGCCACGGGCGGCCCGGGCCTCAATCTGGGCACCACCGGCTCGCTGATAGCGGGGCTGCTGCTGGGGTCGGGCGCGTCCGTGCTGCTGTCGGGCGGCCAGACGCCGGTGCTCAGCTGCGACAAGCAGGTCGACCTGTACTCGACACGCATCTCGCTGTGAGGGGGAAATGGCGGTGAACTAGGTAGGGAGGAGGCTGGAGGAGGAGTAAATAGTACCAAACCCGGTAGGGGGTGGGTAGAGGTGGGTTTGCAGCGGATATGTGGTTGTCAATTGGAGGCGGAACGCCGACTAAACATGTTTGGCAAGGGGAAGGGGTTACGTATGTTGGATATGCCATATTGTTTGTCTCAGATGGCGTACATAGCGTATAGCGTACCGTATGTACATATGTTTTGTGGGTTTCTGCGTACAGTACTGAATCGTTGGCATGCGTCGGTGGTCGTTTATGTGTAAGATTTACATACCGGTATGCGGTAGCTTAAGAATGGCACTGTTGAGCTGTAGCTACAGAAGGTTCGGGCCAGACAAGCACCAGGTTTTTCCAGTCCTGGTGGGACAGCGTTATGACCCCGCCCTTCCTTGGGCAAGCTTGCCGCAGTTTGGCACCCTTTTGCACCTTCGCGGTGGAAGTTTGGCACCCTTTTGCACCTTCGCGGTGGAAGAAATGTGTAATGTCGGAATTTTGGATGGCTTGTAACTTAAAAACTTCATGGGTGTCACGACTGTTATGAATAATGCATCAGACCAGCAATGAGAGTGCCTTTAACCCGAGGGCACTTGACGACTAGTGGACACGACCGGTTTTACCGTCCTCGCCACGCGAATGCTTACACTTTGACTTCTACGTTTTGTAAGAAACGCTTGCAGTTAAAGCGCTTGCACTATACGCAGTTTGTTTGTTGCAGAGGGATTAGTGACATACGGCATAATGCGCCCGTACTTATGTCAATCGTCAGGCCTCGTCAGGACCCTAATGTGGTCTATCTGATTCAAGAGCATTCCCCAGCGCCATTAGACCCACACAACTTCAAGGAATTCTTTTTGACGACCTCCAACCAAAGCACTGAGACTAGTCCAAGGATTTCCTGTTTGCCAAGAAAGTCTCTATACCGTCGCCTTGTTAGTAACTTTTAGGTGGCGGCAACAATGGCTGTACCGGAGCTGACGCAGCAGCAAACGGCGAAGCTAGTTCTGCTAGGAGAGATGGGCAGTGGAAAGTCGTCCTTGGTTCTCAGATACGTCAAGGGGCAGTTCTTTGATTACCAAGTAGGTTGGAACTGGGTGTTATATGACGGTTTGGCTTGGCGTTTCCGATCTTGAAGACATCGCCTGTCAACGTCTCCAGGCTTCTACGGTGGGAGCTGCTTTCCTGACAAAAACGTTGCCCGAGCTAAACGTGAAGTTTGAAATATGGTAGGACTTTTGTTATTCACCCTCCTGGCGTAGCTTCCACCAGGGTTTGGGCTGGTGGTTCTTAAGTTCGGGTGCTTCTTTCATTGCAGGGACACGGCCGGTCAGGAGAGGTATCACAGCCTAGCTCCTATGTACTACCGGTAAGTTGCGTTTGCCTTTTGTGGCCTCTCCTTCGCGCTTGCATGTATTTAGTCTACCGGCCTTGCAAATTGTAGGGGAGCTGCAGGAGCTATCATTGTCTTTGATATCACCAGCCCAGACTCGTTTGTCCGGGCGAAGTCTTGGGTGCGCGAGCTGCAGCGCCAGGGCAACCCCGCCATGATTATGGCACTTGCAGGTAAGCTGCATTTCTTTGGCAACTCAATAACCAGGGTTGGGCCGTTGGGGGAGGTGATTGGCTTGGTAATGGTTTGGGTAAGCCCCCCCCCGGCGTGGGGGCATGCTGACAGTGTTTGGGTGCCCCTCAGCAGCTACCGTGCGCTCCCTTCCCTGTTCCAAAACCTACGTAGGGAACAAGGCTGACCTGGAAATGCAGCGCGCTGTGAGCACGGAGGAGGCGCAGGCGTATGCAGCGGAGAATGGGTTGTACTACCTGGAGACGTCAGCAAAGACAGCCGCGAACGTCAACCAGCTCTTCGAGGAGATTGCACGAAAGCTGCCGAAGCCGGAGACAGCTCCGCGGCCACCGCAAGGCGGCATTGTGCTTTCGGAGAACCTGCGACTGGAGAACCAGGGGGCCAAGAAGAGCACGTGCTGCTAAAGGCAGTGGGGTTTACGGAGGAGTCAGGAGGGGTGACGTATGCAGGAGCGTTTGGCATGGTTTCCGTCATTGCACGCATGCTTCTGGCACCGACTCTTTGCATTTTTGTGACTGTGGAGGGGAAAGGGATTCTTACCATGTATTTGAAGGGCTGTTGCAAGCGGTATTATGCTTGCAGTGGCTGGTCTCTTGGCAACCCGGCAGGTATGAAGAGTGGGTGTGTTACGCTGTAGGTTTCCCGTAGGGTCGCATTCGTTAGGGGTCATAGGCGGGATGGGAAAGCGTAGGGCCAGGACAGCTGGAGGTTACTCCACGCTGCTGTACAGTAACAATAACTGCTTGCGTAGAGCCACACGCTTTGCGGCAGTTGTTTAGACATAGTGAAGAGAGCGCTGTGAGAGCGATTAGCTGCCTTGGTGTGGCTCAATAGTACTTCGTTGCTGACGGTTGGTCGTCAATGCACGCGTGTAAGGCTGTGGCGTTGGTAGCGATGGGGCGCTACGCTCCCTTCACCGCGGCTTGCAACGAGATCTGTTCTTGGTTCGTATGGGTTTCACGCACCGGAGGAAGTATTACAATCGTTGGAAGCTTTCACGGTCTACGGGTTCTATAAGGTGTCGCAATAAACTGAGAAGGGTTGTGGCGCCACCTGAGGAGGCTGTGCCGCATGGCCAACCATGGCTTAACCGGCGGGGGAACAGCGCCTGTACGCTTACAATGTGTCCCTCAAGAGCACAGCAATGTACGCCCAGCATTTTGGGGGGTCAAGGAACGGTTTTAAGGCTCGGGTACAATGGCAACTGTATTTCACGTTACCAACCAAACGCATCACGCCTGCGGTCAGTTAATGCTGTCACTAGCATAATTTATGCTGAAGCCCTACATGACCTAACAATAATCAAGCGTTGTTTATAGTCCAGCGCATACGTGCGCATCCAAGTACAATCGAACCCAACAGTGAACCGCTCAAAACCGTGCAAGCTATTGCACATCCATGTTGCCCCAACCAGAAAAGGTCTAATACCGCCCATGCATGTCGAGCTACCCACCTCTCAACGAATCCCGAAATCCCCTAATCCCCCTACAACGAAAGGTCCTCAGCCGAGCCCCTGTGTCGCCACCATTATGCGATGGCGGATCCCGCAGTCCACTCATTACTCCTGCGCTACCACCTCCTAATCTACCCACAAAACGCTCATCCTGTGTTAGCATACGTCTGCCAAGCCACAGTCGCCGCTCATGAGTCCGCCTTAACCCCGACCGCAATGTTGGCAACCTGCAAAACATGGGCAACGGCAAGTCACTCATACAATACGTTTCCTTGCCCTTCCCCCGTCAGCTTCCCCTAGCCCCACGACGCAGGACAGCAACTAGGGCTATGGCACGGTGCTGCTCCCAAACCACCCACCTCGTTCCCTTTGTCATCCACGGATGGCGGGTTTTCCACCACCACGGTCTGCACTGGCTTGGGCCGCGATGCCTGCTGCGGTTGCTGCTGCTGCTGTTGCGGTTGGGCGGGATTGGAGCCTGCCGGGGCGCTGGCGGTCACGGGAGTGACGCAGTGGCACACGGAGCACTTGACGCTCTGCGCGCCCGTAGGGTACATGAGCATGATGCTGCAGCCGTTGCACACCAGGTGGCCGTAGACTGGCACCTGCGGGAGTGCGTACGACAGCGGTGGCGCGGACGTCGGGGTGGTGACGGGAGTGCGAAGTAAAGGCGATGAGGGCAGATGGCAGAAAGGCAGGTTGAAACCGTCAAGGTTCCCTTGCGCAGCAGGCCTGCTATAACCTTCACCATCTTGAGAAGTACGGAGGTTCTACTATGTCGTATCTAGGATCAACCTCAGTGCAGCCCCTACAGACATGTGCATGGGCATCGCAACGCCCTCGAGCGCAGGTGTGCAGGTGTCAACCATCCCACTGTCTTATCGATCCCCGGCTGTCCTGGTACCTGGGTCACAGCGTGACACATTGCGCACTGGACGCTTTGCGCGCCACGAGGATAGGATAGGAGTACCCGGCACCCGTTGCAAACTATTTGTGCACTGTCTGCCCCCGCCGATGTGGGAGCTTGTGTAATATGGCCACATCTTGAGCAGCGAACGTTGGAAGCTCCCTGCAGTTGGCACAGTTAGCAACGTTTACAACTCTCACGCCGAGAGAGTTTTCAAAAAATACATTCTACTTACCGGAGGATACATTAAAAGGACCTGGCATCCTCCGCAAACAAGGTGACCTTGGTTCGAGCCCACACCACCTGCATGAAGTAGCTTCGCGTTTCAACGCACCAAGGATGAAAGCCGTAGCTTACAAACCTATTATCATACGTACCAGTGGTGGAATATGAGTACATAGACATCGTGCTTGACATTGCCTTCTATTCGGGTAAGAGGTCAGATATTAAGTCTGGTGGTTGCTGCCTAGCGGCTCTGAGCGCCAGCATCAAATTAAGTCAAAAGCATTCACCAATTGGGAGCAGGACCAGCAAAATACATACTTGGGTAGGGCATGACCCGAGCGACTGAAGTACGGTACAGCCCAAATCTTTAAGTTTCCTTGTTCTCGACAACGGATCAAGTAGGGGTTTATTGAAGTGAAGTTTTCCTTTTACCAAGCTCTATTGCTGATTTGTCGCCCTTGAACTTCCCGCTCCTTGGACGCCAACAGCTTGGCCCACCGTATGCAAGCCCACACCTCGGGACTGGCTTTTGTGCTTACGTTGGCCTTACTGGTTGCTGCTACGTTAGTAGGTAAATACGTGCTAAGGTGCTGCGCAGTTGCGTCCTCATCCTAGAAGCCGTCCACTGTTTCCCTTGCAGGCGGCAGCCTTGAAGCCAGCAACGCTGGATCGGCGACTGCTTTTACAGAGGAAGTAAGCTAAGGGGTGAAATACCCAACGGGCCGTAAACCGCATTAACGTATACCATAGGCCCTGAACCTCCAGAGCTTCCTTACTCCTTATGCGGAGTGGTTGCTTTCAGCCATAGAGGAATGCACAACGAACGCAGCGTTTTTTACGTTTCCGGTCGTAAGCGGTGTTGGCCTTGCCTTCCTAGGCATGTGTCCCTTTGCATCGTTGACCGCCACCTTTCTACGCATACTGTGGGACAGGGGCGCAGTTAGTCTTTCCGGTAGTAATTGCCTTCTTCTTTTGCCAATTCTTTCCTGTAGACGCCTGAAAGGAGCCTTGGCAGCAGCAGTCATGATAGAGCTGCTGCACTGCCTGCGTTGGATGCGCAGCGGCTAAGCACCGCAGACGCAGACAATACATCCGCTCCTTCCACAGCAGGGGGGCACAGCGCGGCGGCCGGGGAGGCGACCAGCACTACCGGCGTGGGCAGCATAGGCAACAGCAGCACAGGTGGCAGCAACAGCAGTGATGGAAACTTCAGCAGTAGCAGCGCCGGCAGCAGCACCGGGCCTGGACTTCCCAATGTGACGTCCCAAAGCACAAGTTGCACCGGCAGTTTGGATGCTCCATCTGCGTCAGCAAACACAGATGTGCGGCAAACCGCATCCCATGGCGCTTCTACGGCAGCATCCGCGGGTACGGAGGGTGCTGTCGGCTCCGTGGACACCAGCCCCAAAGCGGACAATGTGCCTCCGCCGCCGCCGCAGCAGCCTGAACAAGCAGCCCCGCAGCCAGCGCATTCGCAGACAAACTCCGAGGAGGATGCCAAGCCCAGCGCGCCGCCGCAAACTGATGCCGTAGTTGTTAGCACGCCTAGCCGCCGCAGCGGGCACAAGCTGATCCCCAAGCCCGACGAATTCGTCTTGTCCATGCCAGCTGCAGAACCATCCGTTAGCGCGTTTCTGGGGGAAACGGCTGCTGCTGCAGCGGCGGCTGTGGGGCAGGCCACGTCTCAGCTGGAGGAGCTTTTCGCAGACCACTACGCCAGCGGGTCGGGAGTGCCACTTAGCTTTCTCCCCGATCCAAGCGATGCCAGCTTTGCCGGGACGGACGGTGGCGCCGGCAGCGGCGCAGCCGCCGCCAGCGGCAGCAGTGCCACAGCTGCTTCCGCCGCCGGCAGCAGTCCCACTGCCGCTGATGACGATGACGAGGAGGGCCGCAAGATCAACCTGGCGGCTTCGTCCGACGGGGCCAGCATCGTCGCCGCCAACAAGGAGGCCAAGCGGCCGGACCGCCTCATCGACGGCGACGACGACTCCTACATGAAGAACACCTGCTCGGCCTCCAAGTGGGTCATCGTGGAGCTCTCGCAGATGGGTCGCGTGGACGAGGTGGAGCTGACCATGAAGGAGATGTACAGCTCGCGGGTGAAGGAGTTCCTGGTCAAGGGGCGCCAGTCGCACCCCAAGAAGGACGGCCTGGCGGACTACTCCCGCGGGCTGGACTTGGACAGCTGGCAGCTGCTGGGCGGCTTCACCGCGGAGAACCGCAAGGGCAGGCAGCGCTTCCGCCTGCCGCACAAGGCGCGGGTGCGCTACCTGCTGCTGCAGGTGTTGTCGCACTACGGTTCGGAGGAAATATGTGCGCTTAATAGCCTGGAGGTGCGCGGTGTCACGGCGGCACAGGAACTGGAGGCGGCGCTGGCTCGGCCGCTCAGCACGCATGCGCCGCCAGCGGTGCCGGCAGCGGCCGCGACGAGTGCGGCGGCAGCTGCAGCCGCAGCGGCAGCGGCGGCTCGTGTTGCTCCCCAGCGGGCCGGGGCGGGTGCTGCAGCAGCAGGACAGTCTGTTCAGGAGGCGAGTGCGATGGCACCACCGCAGCAGCCGAACGTGGCCCATGCTCCTCAACAGGCAGGCCCCGTGACCCCCGGGGCAGCGGCGGCGGCTCGGGATGGAGGTCAGACGCCGCCACCCGCGCAGCAACAGCTGCAGCAACAGCCTCAGCAGCAGCCACAACAACAACAGCCACAGCAGCAGCAAGGGACAGCAAGCACCGCAGGGCAGGAAGCCGTGCAGGGCAATGCATCAGACATCACTGCAAACGCATCTCCACAAGCAGGAGGACATCCAACTGAGCTTGCATCAGGATCTAAGGGCAATGCATCTGTAGGGGATTCAACTGCTGCGACGGGACCAGGGACGGGCGGTGGGGTTGCCGGAGGCGTGCCGCCACCTGAGGGCTCCCTCAACGGGAGCTCCGCAGAGGGCGGCTGCGCTTGGGTTCAGGCGCCAACCGCTGCTGCTGTGCAGGCGGGGACCCAGCCTGTGCCTAGCAGCCCCTCGGCACGCGTCCCTGAAAGTGATTCCGCTCCCCAGCAGCCAACGGTGGAACCCGTCAGTGGAGGCAGCGGAGATGCCGCTGGCAGCGTCTCGCAGGGCCGCCCTGCTGAGGCGTCCGGGGAGGATGCGGGTTGCACTAATCGTACTCCTCCGGAAACAGGGAGCGCCGCAGCGCCATCGCCACTTGACGCTCCGCACGTAGTGGACAGCACTGCAGTGCCTGGCGTCTCGGCATTTCCTGAGGCGGCTGTTGCAGCTCCGCCAGACGTGGTGGGGAACTGCACTGAGCCCCCGGGCGTACGTGGGGGTGGGCCGCAGGCCGAACCCACTGAGGCAACGACGGTGAACAGTTCCTGTGCTGCGGCGTCCCCTCCCCTGGTGGCCCATGAGGCTCCGGTGGCGCCTGCCGCGGCCATGGCAGCCGGTGCTCAATCGGCAGTATCTGGCCAGGCTTTGGACCCAGCAGTGGCACCTCAGGATGACGCAGCGGCTGCCCAGCCCGCGCCTACGCAGGTGACAAGCAGCGCACCAGTTGCCGCGGGTCCTGGCTCGAGTGTGGGTACGGCACCCCAGGCGGATGGCTGTGCGCCGCCCACGGAAGGCACCGGGCAGGGAACCGGTGCAACTGCTGTTGTGCAAGGTGCGGCCAGCGTGCCAGCAGCAGCCGGTGCTTCGGGCTCCTTGCCCAGCCCTGCCACTCCTGCTGCGGAGCAGGCGCCGGCTGCTGCTGCGGCTGCGGCGGCTAACCCTGAGGCAGCGGTGCAGCCGCCGGCATCCCAAGGTACCGTGCCCGTGACGGATGCGCGAGGGCAGTCTGCGGGATCACAGCACTCCGCGAGCACGCCCGCCGCTGAAAAGCAAGCGATTCCGCTGCCCGGGAAGGTGGTCGGAGGCGGGGTGGAGCAGCAGCTTCCGCCCACACCCGTGCAGCCTGCAACTCCAACAGTAACCGCCTCTCCCAGCCCAGCAGGGACCCTGGACGCCCCCACCACTCCCGCAGCAGCAGCAACTCCTCCTCCTTCTCCTGCTGCTACTGCGACGCCGTCGCCTGCACCCACAGCAGCTGCACCGGCTGCTTCTCCTACTACAACCACAAGCACACCTCCCTCGCCACCACCGCAACAACCCAAACCAGCCGCACCTGCAACGGAGGCCCCTCCTTCAGGCGCCCCTCAGCAGCCCACACCCGCATCCACGCCCTCGCCCGCACCCGCGGCTTCATCAGGCGCTGTCGCCCCTTCGGCTGCGGCAGCTCCTGTCGCGGCTGCGCTGCCGGTCCCGATTGCCACCCCTTCTCTTGAGAGTGTGCTTTCCATGCTGGAAGGAGGGGCGGCCAGCAAGCCGCGGCCTGCGGGCAACCTGTTTGACGTGATCAAGCAGGAGATGATGATGCTGAAGCTCAACCAAACGCGACTGTGGGCGTACATCCACGCACTGGTGGATGCACTGAATGCGCGACATGCGGAGCTGGAGGAAGACGCACAGGCCACTGAGCAGAGGGTGAGGAGGAAACATGCGGGCAGGAGCGGTTGGGTGGATGGGGGTGGTGGTAGGATCTTGTGTGGTCCTGTGTTGTGATGTCGGCTTTCGAACTATTTTCTTGATCGTGTGGCTCAGATTTGTGTTAGCTGCACTGCCTTGCTTGGACCGGCTTATCCAGTGTTTTTCCTGTTTTATGCATGTTCCTAACGCTACCCCCCTGTCCCTTGCCTTGCCCATCCTCCAGCTTGCCATGCTGGACGCATCCGTGGCGTCTGTCTCCATTCAAGCTGTAGCGCGAGCCAACGAGATCACACGGGGCCCCCTGGCGGCCTTGGAAGCGCGGCTAGCCGAGCTGGAGGCGCGAGCGGGGCAGACCGAGGTCCTCAGCACCGCCGTACTGTTGTACAGCAGCATTGTACTGGGGGCCGCTGCCGTTGCGGGCCTGTCTGGGACTCGCTGGCGGGTACTTTGGTGGCTGCTGGCGTTCCTTGGCGTGGCTAATGGCTTGGTGGGGCTGGCGCTTAGGAACAGTGTGCTAAGGAGCATGTTGGCTGGGTATAGTCAGTGGGCTGCGGAGCATGCAGTCCAGCTGTTGGCGCAGGCGGCGAGTAGGATGCTTAAGTGGAAGACATGATAGGTCGAGATAGGCAGGGCATGCATGAAGGGTAGGGATGCTAGGGCAGGTTTGATCATGCAACTGGTCGTGCAAAGAGCAGGTCTTGCAAAGAGAGAAATTTCATGACGCTTGAGGAGTCTTGTTGAGGCTTGGTTGGTCTCACGTGCCCAGGCATGTAGGGTCGTCCTTAATGGTGAAGCACAATGACTTGGCACCCCAAGGGGTTTGCCGCATATCACTGGTGCACATAGAGCGCTAATGACTTCAAGCGTGTGGTGACCTGATCTTGGCGTGCGGTGTTTCTCGCTAAGAAGGCATGTACGGAACCGGGGGTTTCTGACACATACTTGCTACATATGGTGTGCAGATCATGTGATTAGCTTATTTGCGGCAGGTTTGCGTCCCGGGCTTAGAAACATTAGCTAAGCCCGGCCGGCTTAGGGTTTGTTGTACGGTGTGTGTTTGCCATGTACGGGCAGCTGCTTAGTCCAAGCATCGTTTTCTGTGACAGGTCATTTGCACGAGAGCTTCTCGAAGATCGTTAGGGCAGGAATAGGCTTTCTTGTGCCCTCCGGTGTGGTTCTTGCTTGTCATCGTTACTCGCTATCGTTTGAGTTCACTTAAAGAATGGAGATTGAGAACAAACTTTTTACGCTTTAAAGCTCAAAATCAATGTAATTGTTATGTTCAGAGCTTCAGACCCCACTTCGGGCGCCTGCTTTGTCAGTTAGTGAGCCATACGATCCATAACTGTGGATCACGCCAGATCTGAATGGACTTCAGTGAAAAGTCATATGCAAGGCAAAAGTTTCGCAGCAGTCGTGGAAGGGGCCGGGGTCGCGGCGGAGCATCGCGCGGTGGACATTATAGCGCCCCAGCGAGACAAGCACCGCCCGCTGGCGACCTCCGTAGCAACGCCTTCCGGTGAATTGCTGATCAGACCTTCGCTCTAACGCTTGCAATTGGAACCCGTCACGCACGTGCCCATGCCATGTAGGTACGAGGATGACGCTGAGCAGGATGAGGAGGGTGTCGTTGTTCCCAAGTCCCAAGGGGCTGACCTGGAGGAGTTGCTGGAGGACGCGGACGTTCAATTCAACCAGGCATTCTACCGCTTTAGAGCGCAGCTGCAGGACATTGCTCAAGAAGCGCCACCCCTGTGTGACACCAGCCCGCAACAGGTGGGTAACGCGCGTGCACCAAGCGTGCACGGGCTCAAAAGCCCCCATTGCAAGAAGGACGCTCCAACAGGTTATTGCCTAGGTTAACCGGCCTCCCCATTTTGGACCGCTTTTCGTGACAAGTCTTAGGGCCGGCGGGTTTGCTGCAACACAACCGTGCAACCCCTCGCACACCACGCCAGACCGGTACCTCCCTTTCCCTGCCTCGCCCCCCTACCACCACCGCCCCGCTCCACAGCTGCTGGCCATTGATCTGCAGCAGCTGGGCGCCAGCCTGGCCGCCCTGCCGCTGCACCAGCTGCTGGGCCTGGAGCCCGAGTACCTGGAGGGCGTGCAGCTGGCGGAAACAGCGGGGCAGCAAAAGCAGGGACAGGGACAGGGCAGGGGGCAGCCGGTCGGGAGGCCACAATCAGCAGCTCTGGGGACAACCGCTGGAACGAACCTTGCGGTCAGCAACCCTTCGCAGGGCGTAACCGCCAGCGCCTCCGGACCTCCCCTTGCGGCAGGAAGGCCCGCGGCAGGGCGCGCAGTCGTCCCACCCGCGGCCTCGGCGCCGGCAGCTGCCGTGCAGCCTCCGCAACAGCAGCCGCCCACACAACCATTGCACCCGCAGCAGCCAGCCGTGCCGCCTGCCGCTACGGCTCCCCTATCCCCGGCCGCCCCTAGCGCAGCGCAGGAGGGCGAGGACGATGATGATGACCTGGAGGCGCTGCTGCTGGGCCGCGCTCCTGCCACGAAACCCGCCGTACAGCCGCCCGGGGGGCAACAGCAGCAGCAGCAGTTGCATGGAGGCGTGGCGGCCGCATCAGCAACAGCAGCCCCGGGTGCTCTTACGGTGCCGCCTGCGCTTGCTGTGAGCCTGGCAGCGGTGAACCAGCAACAAGTCAGGTCAGACGCAGCCACCATGCACACGTCAGCAGGGCTAGCCCCCGCCACGGCAGGCGGCACCAGCACCAGCACCAACAACCCTAACGGCATTTCAGTTGTTCGGCTACCAGCGGCATCTCCCTCTCCGTCGGCCATGTCCCTGCCCGCAGCAGCCACAGCCGTCGGCCCAATGCGCCCCAGTGCGCCCGTGCAGTCTGCCGCGACCTCATCCCCCGCGCCAGCTCCCCGGTTGGCGACGGGGCCCCCAGCTCGCACTGTCGTACAGCCATCCGCCGGCCTGCCCGGCCGCGCCAGCAGCGGCGCCGCCGTCGTGGGGGCTGCCGTACTGCCGGCGGTGGGGTCCGCAGGGGCGGCGGCGGCGGCCCGGGCTACCCAGGCGGGAGGCGGGGGTTTAGGACCTCCGTCGCTGCTCGCTGCCTCGGCTCGCACCGGCGGCGTGGCTGGGGCTGGGGCGGGCGGCAGTGGGCTGGCTGCCGGCGGGCGGGCTGGCGGGGAGGTGGTGGATGAGGAACTGCGGCTGCTGCTGGGGCTGGGGCCGGCGACGGGGGGGCAGGGGGCGGCGGCAGTGGGCCCGGTCGCTGGCAGCCGGCCGGGGCCAGTGGGGACCAGCGCTGCGGGGCCCAAGCAGGTGGGGTTGAGGGCAGGGAAGGGAAGGGAAGGCCATGTGGGCGTTACGGTTGTCACTGGTGTAGGAAGGGTGTGCTAGGCCTGTATGATTGCCTCCTAGGGGTAACCGGTTCAGTAGTCAAGGGACTGAGTTGCGCTAGGTGCCGCGGTGTGCCGGTAAGGAGATGGTCCAGCGGGGGAAACACTGGGTCGTGGCAGCTGGCAGGTGTGCGAGCGGGGTCTCACGAGCCCCCGTTACCCCGCATCTCCACATCCGCTGGCTGCGCACAGTCTCGAAGCCGCCTTACTCCCTCACCACTCCTTCGCAATCCTTGCCCCGACCACGCGTCTCAGGTACTCCCAACACCGGCTGGCAAGCCAACGGTGACGCTCCCCGCTGCCGTACACCTACCTGCTCGTCCAGGTCAGCAGCCGCAACCGCCGCAGCAACCGCCGCAGGCTGCAGCTAAGAGCTTGGACGACTGGCTGAACAGCCTGTAGGGTTTTCCGTGTGGCAGTGGCCTTGAGCAGCAGGCGGTTGCAGCGGTGTGTGCACTGCCACGCGGGTGCCGTACGTCTTGGGGGATGGCGTTGCGGCGCTGGGGTAGGTAAACTACCGGTAGTGAATCCCGCTAAAATTGGTTTCTCGGCTGAGCGGGCTGACTGGTGGTTGGCCGTGAGGTGCGCTGGAAGGGTCTTACGGCACCCGCTGCTAAGCGTTGGCCGCTGTCGTGAATTGCGTTGCATTGCAGGGCGGTATTCAGCCATGGCGTGCACCCATGTAACGTTGGGAGGGTCCATGTGCATAGAAGAAGAAGGGGCGCATCAGCAGTAGCGGACTAGCGGTAGCAGGAGCAGCAGTGCATTGTTCCTGTCAGGTCGCCCGTTTGAAAACCGCTGCTGTGTGTGTGCTGGGGGGGTGGGGGTGGGAGGGCACCCTTGCGGAGGCATGGGCCTGCAGGTGCTGAAGCAAAGCAGTGGATACATAACGCTGTTCAAAGTAGAAGCATCAGACCAAAGTACGTTAACAGTTACAGCCTTAACAGAGCCTATAAATAAAAAATAATAACACCTTCCCACATTTAATAAACAAGAACTGAGCTGGGAATTGGGTAGAGAGGAGGACAGACTAGCTGACCGTGTGACTGACGGCACGCACAACGCGATAGAAAAACCGGTAGCGGTAAGCACGCGAATACTGCATGCTTCAAGCGAGCGCCCGGAGGCAGATACCTGACCTGGGCGGGCTGTTTGCCACCGGAACACCCACGACGCCTCCATGGTCTCCCTCTTCAACCATTCTTCGCTTTGGCTGCCAAAGGCAAAAGGAGTGAACCAATGAACTCCATACGCTCCGAGGTCCTTGAGCATCGTCGCCGAAATGTGTTGTCCTGTGCCGCCTGGGCGGCTGACAAGGGCAGTAGCTACCCGTACAGGCTGAGTACCGGTATGCGAAATACCTTTTTTCACTAGTCAGGAGCACAAATTACAAAACTGTATATTCTGCATCCAAGGCGAAAGAATCTAGAATGTAGTAAATGGTTTGCGCGTTTAGCTCCTAGGCTTTGCAGATGACACGCAGTCTGAAGGCAACGCCCTTGACCGCCCTCTGGATAAGCCAACTAGCTTTTCACATAAGCCTTCCATGTTATTGGAGCACTCTTCGACTCCTACTTATTCTGTATCTATGCAAGTTGCAGCCACGGAATGCATACGTGATTCGCCAAGTGCGGACTGGCGCCGAACTTGTAAACGCGTGGGAGGACAACATCGTTACGCATATTGATGTGTTAGAAGACATCGCAGTCTCCGAAGCGGACTTTAACACCAGCTCCCCAGTACTGCTCAACAGGAGTGTAACAGTGGAAAGCGATGTCGCCTCCGCTGGGACGTTTGGCTATATTTTAAACTTTAACTTTTTGCAGCGAAAGGTGCGCAGCCTGCCTCTGTTATCTATTGCGCGTTTTGCTTTAGTCATGCTATGCCGAACAAGCGCCAAATCGGTCCATAGTGGCCTGCAATGTTCCTTGTAGTTGCCATGCATAACCCGCTTCGGAGGAGGGGTCTGGAGTAGGGAAAGGCGACTTGCAACATTCTCACTCTTTACATGTTATCTCGTAAGCGACCCGGCATGGCTCCTTATTTAACAGAGTAAGCCTAAGCCGGCATGTACTGTGTGCACCTTTCCTCGTGTCGCTTTGGTTTACGGCCCGGTCCTCTAGGTAACCCTGGGCCCTGGCACCACGCTTACATTGCGGAACGTCATCATCATGAACTTCCGCGCCGGGACGCTCTCAGCCAGCCCAGGTGAGCCTCGGAGAGCACGTGGGGGTGCTACCAATGTGCAGTTGGTCTGGGGTCTGGGGTATGGTGCTTGGGCTCGTATCCCCCGGGGAAGCCTTACACGCGCGCATGGTAGAGCCTTTTGCAGGCAGGCTCTCTAACAGCTCCCTTCACCACCCCTGCACGGCACCAGGTCTGGACATCCTCACGCCCACGCAGCACGTGCCCGACGCGCCTCCCTCCATGGTCATCATCCAGGACGCCATGGTCCTGCTGCGCTGGTGCTACCCGGCGAGCACACAGGTACGGGTACGCTGCTGCGCATGCGCCCTGCACACCCCGTCTCCCCTGTCACATACACACACACACAACCCCGTGCTGTGTACCTGTGTTGCTACCGACCCGATTGCTCCTTGCCGGACGTCCTGGTTGCCGCAGGACGAAAACATCCGGGCCTTCACTCGGCCTGCCGGCGTGCCGGGCAGCCAGCTCGTGAGGCCGCGGGTCAACCAGACCGGCTGCGTGAACGGCACCTCCGCGCCGCTGCCGCACCGCTGCTGGCCCTCGCTCACCCTCTTCCTGGACTTTGCGCTCTCGGGCGCCGACATGGACGCGAGCGAGAAGGCCACTCCCACCAACTACGTGGTGCACCTGGTGAGGGGGAAGGGGACGACGGAGGTATAGCTGGGTGTATGTAGAGGAAGACACCGCAAGAAGGAGGTGTACAGGGGGTGTATAGGGAGGAAGCTGGCCGTTGCGACCAGAAGGGAGGCAGGAGAGGAGAGGAAAAGTGCTGCCTAACGCGCCCATTTGCCCCGCTCCACCCGTGCCATCGCTCCTACCCTTGCCACCTCACAGCTCAACGTCACAGGCGCCTGTACGGGTATCCTGTCAGAGGCGTGTGTGCGGCTGTACGGACCGGTGGGCTGCTTCTTCATGACCAACTCGCGATCCGGGGGCTCACCGCCTGACGCCTCCTCCTCATCCTCCTCCGCCTCATCATCATCATCGGCCTCCTCCTCATCAACCTCGCCGCCGCCGCCGGTGGCCCCGGCGGCGCCGCAAGAGTTGCTAGCGTCCCAGCTGAACCCAGGGTCGGAAGGCGGAGAGGGACAAGTGGGGCCGGACGGTGGCGCAGTAGCAGTGACCCATGGGTCGCGGCGTCATCTGCTGCTGCCGCTGCTGGTGGGCATTCTGGGCGGTGAGTGCCTCGGAGGCGCGGCAGGAGGGCAGCGGGCAGCTGCAGGGACGATGCCTGGGAAGCGTGCAATGCCGCGACATCTGCGTTAGTACCCTGGCAGGTCGGCAGGATAACCCCCCCTCCCGCCCTGCACTGTAAACCACATGGATCCCACACCTGCTCTCCAAGCGCCCCGGGGACACTTGCTGCTGCCTTACTTCATGCACCTGTGTTGCGGCTGTCAGGTACTGCGGCGTTGGCTCTCGCTATCGCTGGTGCCGTGGCGCTGCGGCTGCGGCAACGGCGGCTGTCCCATGGGTCGTGCGCGACGGAGCCGAGCCAAGCGGAGGCACCCGGCAGGTAAGAAGGAAAAAAAGGGACACGAAGCGGGGGCGTGTAGAAGTGTCTCACCTAGGGCTTGACACCATGTCCCCCCACGCACTTTCCGCACGCGAGACACCCCATGCGCTTGATTACCGATAGCACGGTAGCCAGCCTCTCCCATGGCATTTTCCGTCCCAAACCTTCCAACATCGCCCTGATGATGCGGCTGCAGCGGCGGCGCCAGCTCACCTCCCGTACCGCATGCGGTCGGACAGCGCGGGCCGCCTCCGGACGGGGCTGCGGCAGGCGCAGCAGGCGAGGGCGGCTCGCTGCGTGGGCTTGAGGTGGCTGCAGAGGAGGAGCGGCCGCGGGAGGAGGCGGAGGAGGAGGAGGCGCGGGTGGAGGGCAGCGGCGCTGGCGGCACGGTGTACAAAACGGTTCTGGAGCAGCTGACGGCAGGTATGGGCTCTGGTAGGGGTCCGGTACGGCGGTGCCGGTAGCCACCGGTGGCTAGGTAGTTGCGTTTGCGGTGTTTACAAAGCAGCCGTGCAGGCAGCTGTGCAGGCGGCCTTTTTTGTTGTGGTATGGTCATTGCAGTCATACATTTACGTCGCTTGCGTTGCGTGCATGGCATGGCGGCAAGCAAGGGTGCCGGAGGACTATAACCGCTGCATGCTATCAGGCCTATCACAATATATGACATGATTTGAAGTGCAAGTCAACTCCCGCCAGCCATGTTGCCTGCAAGGAGGCCCAGACCGTGACCCCTCCCTTCCCCTGACTGCAGGCTCCACCTCACCCATCACCTCCCGGCTGCTGCAGCTATCTGCGGACGCCGCCACCCTCCGCTGCGACCCCCTCCACCCCCACCCGCACCCCTACCCGCACTCCAACCCCGACCTGCCCGCGCCCGTGGTAGTCAGCCCCCTCTCGCCTCCCCGCCCCGACCTCGCCCTGGGGGTGCAGTGCGGCGACCAGGTGACGCTGCTGCCGGTGCTGCGAGGCAGGGGCTCCTTCGGCCGCGTGCAGGAGGGGCTGTACGGCGGGCGGCGAGTGGCCGTGAAGCTGCTGCCGCGGGACATGTTGGGGCGGGGGGTGGGGGTGGGGGTAGGGGTGGGGGTGGGGGTAGGGGTAGGCCCAGGCGATGGGGTGCTGTCCCCGGCGGGGGGTGGAGCAGTAGCAGCAGCGCCGGGAGTAGCGCCTCCAGCGGTACTGGCAGCACCTCTGGCAGCAGGAGCAGCAGCGGTGGCGGGTGCTGCGGGTGCTGCTCCCCCCGTGGGTGCTGCGCCGGGCGGCGGGGAGGCTGGCGGAGGGCTGGGAGGTGCCAGGCCTGTGATGACAGCAGCAGCAGCATGCGGCACGCCTGCTCATGCAGACGGGCGAAGGCAGCAGCCGCAGCAGCAGGGGGAGGGCGGGGTGGCCGCTGCCATGGCCCCCGTCGATGGCGGCGGAGGCAGAGGCGGCAGGTGTGCTGGCGGGTGCGGTGGTGGTGGTGTTGGGTTCGGTGGTGTGGGCTCTCGCGAGCTGGCCATGTTGTCCCAGGAGGTGGAGGTGCTGGGCCGCTGCTGCCACCCCAATGTGGTGCGGCTGCTGGCCGCCTGCCTGAGCCCGCCGCAGCCGTGCCTGGTGATGGAGCTCATGGAGAGCAGCCTGGACCGCCTGCTGCATGCGCGACCCGCGGGTCTGTTGCCGCTCAACAGGGTGAGCAGGAGAAGGGGGCGGGAGGAGGGAGGAGGGTGCTGACGGAGGGGAGCAAAGTGGGAGGGGGAGGTGATGGAGAGGTGGTGCGGTGGTACGATGGGGAAGCTGCGTGGAAACGGCATATGCTTGGTTACCGGTATCCGTTGCGTGGATGGAAAGGTGGTGTTGCAGGCTGTGTAAGGGGCCCTTCTCCCTGCTACAATACAGCCCCCTGTCTGGCCTCCATGCCTAAGCACCCAGAGCGACTGTTGCCAGCTTGCCGTGGCGTTGTGGGATCCTCTACCACCCCACAGGTGCTGCAGATTGCCATCGACATTGCTCGGGGCCTGGAGTACCTGCACCCCACCATCGTGCACCGAGGTAAAGCGCCGGGGAGAGGCTGGTGGGCGGGTGGGCAGCTGCCACTCAGGATGCGGAGAAGTAGCGCTGGCACACACAGCTGTGCTCCTCGCCTTGTCTGGCACTGCGCGTCACGAGAAACTCCCAAGCGTTACACATCTCGCGCCTGCGACCTAGCACCTGTGCCTCTTTCTGCTTCCAGCAACCCCCCTGCCCTCCGGGACACGGCCTCCCGGCGCCTCCCGCGCCCCGGCCCACAGATCTCAAGCCGGCCAACGTGCTAGTCGACATGTCCGGACCGGCACCCGTGGCGAAGCTCTCGGTGGGTGACGTCCCGGCGCCGGAGGCGGGCGCGGTGATGCTCCTGGGCTAGCCCCTCCTTGCGTGTACGGCCTCCGTAAATGTTGTTGCATGCTATTTGATGCACGGACGCTGCAAGGTTGACAGTTATGCGACACCTCGGTGCTGTGGGGTTGGGTCGCAGGATTTCGGGTTATCGCGGTTGCGCCACACCGTGCTGGCTACCAGACATCCCGAGGCTGGGACGGTGAGGGCGCAAAGGAGGGTGTTGCGCACAAGGAGCGCTTGCATGTACGGCCCCCATGTGACGCGGATAGCTGCACTAACAGCGCCCTGGTAGCGCATTGCCGCTATCCTCCGGTTGGGGGGTGTCCTGCTCTCATCTGTACCGGCGCTTGCTTCCCCGACTCGCTGGCAACTGACTCCTCGCGCTGCATGCCGCTGCCCGCATGTGCCCGCATGGCGGCTGCTGCTGCTCACGTGGGGTCGCTGCTGCTGCTGCAGCCTGCTTACATGGCGCCAGGTGGGTGGTGGGTGGGTGCTTGTTGAGGTGATGACGTTCGATTGCCTGCTACGCCAGCATCCAAGCAGCCCACGGGTAATCAGGACTATTACAGCGGTGTCCTGACCTCCGAATGCGGAGGGGTTGTGTACATGTGCCGTACGTAGGCTAACAACCTCGCATGTCAGCTGCCCCCCCCTACATTGCATGATTGCATCCTAACCTCCTGCGCTCCCCCCCCGCCGCAGAGTGCTTTGATACCGACAACCTGGAAATATCCCACCAAGCGGTAAGCGGGGCGAGGAGGGTAAATGGGGCTAGGAGGTTGCACACGGACCTCTTACGGTACCTTAAGCCCCCCCTCGTTTCCATCCCTAAGAAGCCCACCAACGCCCATCCCTGCCAGTTGCGTGCCCCCGGTGGCCTTGCAAACGCCACCGCACCACCCACCGCCCCTTACCCACCCATCCCGACCATCAATACCGCTAACTCCCTCTTCCACCGCCTTTTCCCTCCTCATCTCTCCCACCACCCCACCCCATCTCCTCCTCCATCCTTCAGGACATCTACTCCTTCGCGGTGATCATGTGGGAGATGCTGACTGGCCTGGTGCCCTGGTGGGGCTGCGCGCCCCTCACCGTCGCCTACACCGTCACGCTGCTGGGGGAGCGGCTGCCGCTGGCCGCCATCCCGCCGCAGCGCTGCCCGCCCAAGCTGGCGCGCCTGCTCACGCAGTGCTTCGAGGGGGAGCCCAGGCGGCGGCCGGCGGCGGCGGAGCTGGTGAAGGAGCTGCAGATGCTGCTGCAGGTGGGGTGCGGAGGGGCTGGGTGGGATGGGAACATGGGATGAGTTCATGGGTGTACCGATGGTGGCGGGTGGATGCATGGGAGGGGCGAATAGCTAGGGCAGCAACCTTCATCTTCCTGACAGTTAGGGCCTGGTAGGTTCTCCTCTCCTGCACGCAACCAACGGTGCTGTGTAGCCGCCAAGTGCGGCGGTGCGGCGCACCCTCGGATCACCCGTGGACCCCCCTGGCACCGGCCACAGGCGCTCGAGAGCGAGATGTCGAGGAGTCCCCCGCCCCCGGTGGCGCCCGCCGTGCTGCCTCAGGGGCTGCTGCTGCTGCGGGGGGCCACGGGAGCGGCGGCGCGGCGGCAGCAGCAGCAGCAGCAGCAGCAGCGGGAGCCGCGGCCTCAGCGTGTGCTGCTGCAGCTTGCCGCTGCGCATGAGGCCGCTGTGGAGCCGGTTGAGAAGTGCTAATGTACGGGAGGCGGTCGGGTTGCCGTATTAGGATTGCAGCGTGGTGGTGGTTGCAGTGTGCTTCGTCATTTTACTCATGTCGTGGATGGGTTTTCCTATGTTTGTTCGGGCTTCCGGTAAGGCTGCGGACGGCTTGCATGCGTTTACTATGGGCATGGTTTGTGGTTTTCTTATGTCTTCCTTTCCTATGTTGATGCGTTTCAAGGTGTACTGCTCACCGCACATGGCTTACTGTGAGGGTTTGCACTACGAGGGGCAAGGCCGTGCTGTGGCTGCATGTGCTAGGAGAGCTTATGACTTGGTGTCTGTGATTGGTAAGAATGGATGGCTGGTACGAGGTATTGCGAAACTGATGTGTTTGAGATAGGGCAGCGGGTCTACCTGGTTGCCTTCGTGTGAACAGCGTACACTGGATTCATCGGGCGTTGCGTGGGGTGTCCGGGTGCTCAGAGCGTGCCTTTATACCTTTACGTACTTATGCGCAAATGGTTGGCCTGAAAACGGAAAGCAGACTGCTCTTGTGCTGAACAACAGTGAGCGCGCGCGCCGTCGGCGCCGGCGGGACCCATGGGTCAGAGCAGGCCGGCGGCTGGTATCATAAGCGTCAAGCTGTGCTGATGCACTGAAATTCATAGACATTTGTTTTGGGGTTGTCAATTTGCATAAGTATCTTTACAATCCACTGACAAATTATGTCAGTTGGTCTGTTCAGTCCGCGTCATGAGGTCACCGGGACTGGAGCCTTCCGTATAAATGTTCGCATCCCCCAGTTGTCAATCGAATCCGTCTTCTCCTTCCTGGCCTTTCATTCCGCAATACAAGTAACAAAGTTATCTTACTCACGTGAGCGAAGGGCGCAACCATGCTGCTGCACGCTGCTCGCCGCTTTGCCGCCCTTCCGGCGGGCTGCTCCAACCTCAAGGGCTCCTCGGTCGCTAGCCGGCTGCTGCTGGCTGGCCGCGGTGTGTCTACGGGATCCTGCTCCGCTGTGGGATCCAACATGCATGACAATGACCCGCAGGCGCTGGCACACCACAAGGAAAAGGTGCGCGGCTGCCAGGGCGGGACTAGAGCTTTTGTCCGCCACGAAGGGGATAGCAAATGCACATTTTTGAAAGCGTCAAGAGCGTTTTGTGTGTGTTGTTCGTTAGCGGCATAGCGCTTTCTAGCTACTACGCGAGAGGCCCGGCACTTCGCACGCAGTCGCGCGCAAAGTCGTTTAGGCTTTCGACAACTCAATCAATGTCTTCCTCCGTTCAAGCTTCTAAGCATTTGTCCATCAGCAACTTGGGCCCGCAGTCTTTTTACTTGCGGGCCACGATACACGGTACCAGATTGCATTTTAGCAAATGGGAGCTCCTCCAACTGCTGACACGCTCACGTGTGCTTCATCCTCTCTCTTGCTCCTCCACAGGCCCTGAAGGGCGAGTCGCCCTCATTCGTGCCCAATACGGAGGGCTGGACCGAGACGCTGGCGTCCTTGTCCGAGGCGGTGGTCAAGGCGGAGCTCAACGTGGACGCGGACTCCACCTCCGTGCCGGAGAAGCTGGAGGAGCTGCAGCGACACACCATCCACGTGAGCATGGGGGGTGGATGAATGATGGAGGGAGCCCTGCTGGCTGTGATTGGTCTGGGAAGGGATGTGGCAGTCGTTTGTCCATGTCGGGGAGGTGATGGGAGGATTGGGTAGCCGGGTCCACCAGCATCCTACCAGGTAATACTCTCAGGCTGCCTGCGCTTCCCTCGCGTTCTGCCCCTTCCACCTCCCCTCCGCTCGCTTCCTGCTTCCCTCCGCCCCCCGTCAGGTGGTCCAGCAGCTGCACCACGAGGGCGAGGAGGGCATGCCCGAGACGCCCAAGCGCACCCAGCACGACGTCTCCGGCTCGCCCGCGCACTCCGCCAACATTGAGCACATGCGCAATGCACCAGGCATGGACCCGCGCTGAGGGGGTAAAAAGGAGGAAAACGCGCTGAGGGGGGGTGAGGGGGGGGGAGCAGCGCGGAAGGGGGCTGCCCTGTAGCAGGCGTGGGTTGGGCGTGTTTGCGATGGCTGGGTTGTATTGGACGGTGAGGATGTGGGATCGCATGCAGAGGTTGGTTGCCTGCTTTTGGTGCATTAAGGGTGGAATAGGCTGCGTGAATGGATGGATGGATGTTGTAGCTGGCCTGCGGAAGGCCATAGCTAGGGTTTTGGTAGGTGCATGGACTGCTTGATTTCTACTACCAGGATTCCGGACTGTCGGCCTTCGGATCAGAGCACCTGTTGAATTGCGGTTATTGGGACACTTCCAGCTACAATTGGTTTTGTCGTTTAAACGGTATAATGTTCGCACGTGCATTACGTGAACATAACACATGGCACTGTAAGAAGTGGCGCTATCATAGTACGACACGGAAACGTGGAAGGATGCTTTAAAACTTAGGCAGCTGTGCTTGTGCAAGTCCGTATGACAAGATAGTCCCTCATACATTATGTTTTACAACGTTACAAATGCGCTTGTGCATATGCACGTCTTCAGCGCATAAACCGCAAAACGAGGCAGACGACGAGGTCACCAGCTTCCGAGAGAATTTCAGGATAAAACATCACAAAATCGTTGCAGTTGTCCTGTCGCATAAACCAACACCGCCCTTAAGGTAAAGCCACCGCTACCGCGGTGCGACTCCACAACCGTCCAGTACGGAGAGTGGCAGAGCAACCCCCCAAAACGCAAGGCTACCTTCTCCAGCCGGGCAGCCTCAACCCCCTCTTCCTGCATCCATTGCCAGGGAGCATCACGAGTACTGCCTTCACACAGCCCCCCTGCACTACATATACTCATATTCACATGCGCTAGGCAAGAGTCCTGCAAGCGCGTCCGGTGTCCCGAATACGGCAGTCTGGAGTACAACCCACACCACTGCTTAGCTGTAGTAATACAGACAGGGCTTCGTTGTCGCAGCCATAAGCTGCGGATATTTATTGCATGCCCTGTGCGTGTCCTCCCATGTCACCAAGTGCGTCAGCCCTTACAGGCCGGCCACCGTCTTGACCCACATGGCCAGCGTGTCCACGTCGCGCCGCTCGCTGGGGTACTTGATGACCTGCGACACGGCACAGGGAGAGGCCCGGTTAGGAAGGCACCACGTTGCATCTTGCAGTCGCCGTGCAGCCCGGCAGGACGTCTTGTCGCAGGTGTGTCAGGCACACCCGCATACGGCACACCGCGGATGCACTAGCATCCACCCACTCGCTCCTGCCTAACCCCACCAAGAGACCATTCCCCTGCGACCGGTACCCCAGCCAGCCCCCACCCACCTGCGTGCTGTTGGGCGGCAGGTACACAATGGTGGGGAAGGTCTTGAGCTGCAGCTTCTCGTTGCAGAACTCGCGGTCGATGTCCGCCTGGTACTTGGCCACGCGCACGTTGCCGCCCGCCAGCTGGGCCGCCAGCTCCTCGTAGGCCGCCTCCATGCGCTGGCAGAAGGGGCACCAGGGCGCGTACAGCACCGCCAGAGTGCCCTTCGCACCGCGGGCGCCGTCCGCCAGGGCGCGCACCTCCTCCTTGCTCAGAGTGGCCACAGCGCTACCTGGAAGGCCAGGGACGTGACGGGAGGAGCAGTTGAGTGATCGGTAGTGTAGACCGGAGCGACAACGGAGAGCAACAACAGAAGTACACAGCACACACAAACCCTTTTTACACAGCCTGGACCAATCCGAAGCTTTTATTCGTACGCTATGAAAGGCCGCCAGTGCAGCTCACCCTCCGCGGGCCACAGGTCGCGCTCCGCCTTGCGCTCCTCCGTGGTGCCGTCCGCCTTCTTGATGTTGCCGCTGTGCAGGCCGCACTCCTTGGCGGCGGCGTCCTCCCACCACCAGCGGCCCTCGCGCTCCGCCTGGTTGGGCAGGACTGGCCGCGTGCAGGGCTCGCAGCCGATGGAGATGTAGCCGCAGTTGTGCAATGAGTTGACAGGTACGTTCTGCGAGGGACAAAATAAGCAGGCCGCATGGCGTTAAGACAAGGCGGGCGCTGTCAATGCATTGCCTAGGCAAATGAGGTTGCAGCAGCACACACTGCGGGTGCAATGGTAAGCGTAGTAATGAGTTGCGGTGTTGGGCTCCTTGAACTGCGTTACTGCCAGAATGGCTGCACGCATGCCTTATGAGGAGCCCGGTGCTTTCAGCTGTTGAAAGGCCGCAGTATGGCACGGGTTCGCCTATACCATGGTGAGTGGCAGCTGTCGCCAGTGCAGGCTGCAAGATTAGTAATTCCTGAAGAGAGGAGTGTATGTGGTGCTCTATGAACGGCGTTACTGCCACAGAGGCTGCACGCCTGCCTTAGACAGGGCACACTGCTTTCAGCTGTTGAAAGGCCGCAGTATGGCACGGGTTTGCCTATACCATGGTGAGTGGCAGCTGTCGCCAGTGCAGGCTGCAAGATTAGTAATTCCTGAAGAGAGGAGTGTATGTGGTGCTCTATGAACGGCGTTACTGCCACAGAGGCTGCACGCCTGCCTTAGACAGGGCACACTGCTTTCAGCTGTTGAAAGGCCGCAGTATGGCACGGGTTTGCCTATACCATGGTGAGTGGCAGCTGTCGCCAGTGCAGGCTGCAAGATTAGTAATTCCTGAAGAGAGGAGTGTATGTGGTGCTCTATGAACGGCGTTACTGCCACAGAGGCTGCACGCCTGCCTTAGACAGGGCACACTGCTTTCAGCTGTTGAAAGGCCGCAGTATGGCACGGATTTGCCTATACCATGGTGAGTGGCAGCTGTCGCCAGTGCCGGCCAGGAAAAATACTACCTTCTAAAGAGGGAGTGTATGTGGTGCTCTATGAACGGCGTTACTGCCACAAAGGCTGCACGCCTGCCTTAGACAGGGCACACTGCTTTCAGCTGTTGAAAGGCCGCAGTATGGCACGGATTTGCCTCTACCATGGTGAGTGGCAGCTGTCGCCAGTGCCGGCCAGGAAGAATACTACTTTCTAAAGAGGGAGTTTATGTGGTGCTCTATGAACGGCGTTACTGCCACAGAGGCTGCACGCCTGCCTTAGACAGGGCACACTGCTTTCAGCTGTTGAAAGGCCGCAGTATGGCACGGGTTTGCCTATACCATGGTGAGTGGCAGCTATTCACAGGGGATGCTTGCAGACATACAGCAAGAGGCAATTGCGTGTTCCGATTGTTGCGCTTCAGGAACGGCGTTACGACCACAGGGGCTGCACGCCTGCCTTAGGTGAAGCACACGGTGCTTTCAGCTGTTGAAAGGCCGCAGCATAGCACTGGTTAGCTACACCATGGTGAGTGGCAGCTGGGCAACAGTGCAACACCTCGTGTGCGCTCTCACCCGCACCCCTGCACCCACACCCTACCCGCACCCCTGCGCTAACCAGCCCCGCCGTAACCCCACCCACCATGACGCGCAGGAAGTTCCAGACCTCCGCCGAGGTCATGTTGGAGAGCGGGTTGTACTTAATGAGCGAGCCCGCGCCGCCGTCCACCCCCTCGAACACGGGGTCCACCTGCACCACCGGCACCTCCGTGCGGGTGCCCGGCGACTGGTCCTTGCGCTGGCCGGTGATCCAGCTGCGCAGGGTCTTCAGCTGCTTGCGCAGGGGCTTGACCTGTGGGGGAGGTAGGGGAAATGGAGGATGGTGCAACACTTGGTTTTCATAGCACCTGGATAACCATCCAGGTAACCTCAACACGGAGTTGGAAGACAGGAAGACGCGACGGGCTAGGAGGGCAAGCGGCCAGGGTTGGAGGCCTCCGGCACCGTACCTTGCGGATGCGGCAGCACTCGCCGTGGCCGTCCTCGTAGAAGGAGAACAGGCCCTTGTTGCGCACAAGGTCCATCACCTCCTGGGCCTCCGGGAAGGTGTACTCGATGCGAATCTTGTAGTGCTTCTCCACCTGGTCGAACAGGCGGTACGTCTCGGGGTTCAGGCGACCGGTGTCCAGGCTGTGGGGTGGGGAGTATTTGCGGTACAAAAGGCTTATAGATTGCGTTTTCGGGTGGCGAGGTGGCGCGCTTGTGGACAGCAAGGCGCCCAGGAGTAATAAGCCATAATTAGTCCTTGTTGCTTCCAACCAAGGGGTTATTGGACCATGTCAGATTCCAACTAAGGGGTTATTGGACCATGCCATACTTGCTGATTGACTGCGCCTAACAGCACACCTGAAGACACGGTAGGGGCGTCCCGTCAGGTGGGCGTACTCGATAAGGGCCACGTCCTCAGCACCGCTGAAAGCGATGGCAACGTCCGAGCCAAACGTCTTCAGGGCCTGCAGGTCATCCCCGAATAGCAAACCCGGCGTTTCATACGAAAAAAGACAGAGGGTCAGAATTAAGGCAATGGGACTATGGGGTTACCTGCAGCCATAGATTGCGTAGTACAAGCTATTCTTCAAACAGAATCTAAGACAATAATAACGGGGTAAGAACGCCAAACACCAGCCATAACGTCGAACCTACATGGTCCATAATTTCCAGAGGCGACTTCAGCTCCATATCCTTCGCCAACGCCTCCCAATCCGGAGTAGTTGCCACGGCAGCTGCATTGACCTATATCCGCAGGGAAACCGTCAGAAGTCAGGCCAGTAGGCCAGCCTAAGCTCATGACGTTGCCATGCGCACCCGAGGAATGTGGGCGCCGCTTGCACGGACCACCACGCTACGAGCTGCAGGCCGTGCTGCCGACCGCGGAGCGGTGAAAGCGCGTCCCTGAAGAGCGCAGAGAGGAAGAAATCTAGCTAAGAGCGCCGACACCATATTTTTACGTAAAAGCGTTTGGTTCGCACCTGGGTCAGCTGCATGGTCGCTGCCTTGCAAAACAACTAAGTTAGTACCTGTAAAAATTGGAAAGGAGGGTGCAAAGTTGCATTAGCATGGATTAAGCGAATGCAATCGGGGCCTCCCATAATCCGTACACCTGCAGAAAAATCCATACCTTCTATCATACATTTCTTTGCAGTGCTCTAATAAAGCGTTACTCGCAGAGCTTCTCCAGTATTAAAACTAACGCCAGCGGCAACCAACTTCATCGAGCAACAGTGCAACAATGCTACTGCAACAGCAGTAAGTGCTTGCAGGGGACGTTTGTAGGACTCACGTGTACCACTAGCTAGGCCCGGAATGGCCGGAGAATCACTCGCATTTGGAAACGGCTCTATGTGAAGCAGCAGCGTTATTTACGTATTATTGCGAACGCAGGCGACTTGGTGCTCTGCACCCCTCCAGGCGTGCGTTTGGCTGCCCAATTGGGCAGGTAGGCCGGCACGACGGCAGTCGTCGTAACGCTTGCGGACGCATCCCTGCTTTGTACGCAACGAATGCTCAGTCGTAGCCTTCCAGCACCTCCTACTTCATAGTAAAACTGGTTCCTCCTGCTGATTTTCTGCGGACAGGCGATGCGCCGCGCGGGGCCCACGGGTCGTGTCAGCCGGCTGCCCGTGTGTGCGTCTCTGACCGTCAAGGACTCCCAATCGGGTGTAGAATATCTCCTCGCGCAAAAGTTCTGGTGAGGAGTCCCGCAGGCAGGCACTAGCTGGGGCCTGCCTCTCTGCCATGGTTGCACCACTAGGGGATGGAGCTTTAAGAGCGTGGAAAAGGTTTCACAACCCACACTGCGCTGGCCGTGTAAACATCCCTTTGCGTGGCACGATGCAATCTCAGCACCGCGTCCTGACAAATGCCGGCTGAGTCGTCGGAGCTCCCACTGATGCTGCTCTGTTCCTGCCGCCTGTAGGCAGGGTGATGCGTATCGCTGCCTGGGTGCGGCTACTCGCTCAAAGCAAATCGTGTTTGTTAATGTGAAGGTGAGGTGCGATGAAGTCCGGTGCGGCGACGGTGGTGGGTGCTGCTGCCCGGCTTTCTGCTTTAGTTGACTTCCCTCTCCTACCTCCACCTACATCGTCAGCCAACAGCACCAACAGCTGCCACCCTCCGCGGCCCAGTTGAACCTCAACAGGAGGTCATCGCACACCTAGCTTCTTCCCCTCTACACCCCTCCCGCCTGTGCTGCTACTCCAGGTGTACTCGGTGGCAGCCTACGTGGAGGCGGACCGAGCCGCCCACGAGCTGGGCGTGCGCTACCGGGGCGGCTTCTTCGAAAGGGACGACGACTACTGCTCCGCAATCCTGGACGGCGCCTTCAACAAGGCCATCACGGTGAGAGCACGTAGCCAGCATTGGAGGCTTTCTTTCTCCTGAGGGTGCTCCTGTGTGTTGGGAACTGTTGACATCTGTGCCGATCTGTGCCTAGCGCCAGTCCCTGCAGCTGCCTGTCAGTGTTTCAGCAGCTCAGTTTATCTAATTCCCCACTTCCCCCCATTCCTGCTCCTGCTGCTCTGCCGCACCCGGCCCCCTCCGTGTCACACGGCTACCGCAGCTCTCCCTCCCTCCCTAACGCCCGGTCCCCGCCCGCGGCCCCCGCAGGTGCACCTGGTGCGGGACGTGACGGGCGAGCAGTTCACGGAGGCCATCAACAAGAGCCTGGCGCCGCGCATGCAGCTGGCAGGTGGGGTAAAAAGGAAATTCCAAAGTGTGGTGTGATAATGATACAAGTTGCTGACAATCCCTGGTGGAATCAACCGTGAGTCGAGCCGGAATGGTGGTTAAAGCAAAGCGAGCTAAACTTAGGGGGGGTCGGGGGAGGGGTTATCGTAGGAGGCAGGGGCGCCACGAGATGCGTGTAGGTGGCAAGGCCATGGCGTCCTTACTTGATGCTGATGTCCCCTTGTCCCCTGGTTGGCCCCCTCCCGTGCCGAAGGCGACACCGCCTCGCTGGACGAGTTCAACGCCTACTTCAAGAGCAAAAACCTGGTCAACAGGTGTGGCCGTGTGTGCAGGGTGTCCCGGGTGTGCAATCGTGCGGCTTGTCGTCCAGCGGGGCGATAAACCCATCCCGGGACGCACGCCGCCCAGCCCCAATGTTCTCGCTGCTCTCACTGTATGATAGTACCAGGGCTCAACAGGCTGCTCGTCCGTGTCATGTCCTGGTGCATGTTGCTGCCGCAGGACGGAGGTGGTGCTGCTGTGGAGCCTGGCGGGCGACCTGGAGGTGCTCGTCACGCCGCCACTCACCGCACCCCAGGAGTACGCGCAGGTGGGGCAGCGCACCTCGACAAACCTGGCATGCACAGTAGACACGCATGAAAAGTCTAGACAGCATCCTACCGTGTCGTCAGGCCTTGTGCTTGGAATTATCCGTCGTGCGTACGGTAACCCTGGGTCATTGCTTTTCCGGTGCTGTTCCCTCCCTTCCAGGCCAAGCCCGAGCTGCGTATCCGGAGTCCCTCGCTGTGCCGCGGCCTGTTTGAGATCTTTTTGGGCGGCAGACCAGTGGTTCCGGAGGCGCGGGCGGAGTGGGCCAAGGGCGCAAAGACGCTGCTGGAGAGCGAAAATGTCAAGCGTGCAACTCGGAAGAACTAGCCGGATGGGGCATTAGCAAGGACCATTATGGTGAACGACATGTGTACAAGCAGGTTGGCCAGTGCTTCCCTAGCGTCCTCCCTTAATAGGTTTTGTATTTTCCTGAACCGGGCAATTTTGACACCAATTGTGTTGTCGCATTCCATAGCAGCTTGAGGGGTTGGAGGTTGTGTGGGTTTATATGGCTGGGCTGGCAGCCTGCCACTGAAGATTACAGGAGCTGAAGGTGACGCCATGCGCAACAATGGAGTGCGATAACTTCAAGCGGTGCGTGTGTATGCACAGGAAATGTATAGGGGAGAAGCACGGGGTATGAATAACATGCGGCCAAAGCACCTGTGATTGACCCCCCCCTGGTTCTAAGCTGCCGGGCATGTACGGCACAACAGTACGCTGTTTGGCAGGAGGAGAAACACGCAGCGCGACTTGGTCCGTATGGCCTCAGCTTCCCTAGGTGAATACCTTCCACGTAAGCAGCTAACACAGGTGACTCGCTTCTATAACACGTAGTATAAGGATGTGCCGTTGTGTTGCTCTGCATGTCATATGTGTATGATGGGCCAACACAGCAACAGCCTTGCATTACCGATGGCATCGGCCACGGCAAGGAGGGCGGTCGTGAATAGCGACAAAAAACGTGCGAAGAATAATGCCGAAAGACTCACGGCCTTGCCCGGGGCTTAATCAAGCTGTAGGCCCCTTACTTTGCGTAGACCACCAATAACGCACTTGAGTGAGCCCCGAGGCCATGGAAAGGCTCCAGCTAACAAGCGGTGACTTAGTTGACGACCGTCGGATTATCGTCATTTCAGCAGCCATGGATAGTCAGTTGCACTTGAGTCGATGGAAAGCCACAGCAAACCGTACGGCAAATGTACGGTTTATGCTCACCTCCTTCTAAGTTGTCTCTTGTGCAGCCGTGTTTCTGTACCTGCTTCCACGCTGTATGGTCTTGCTCCAGAGCTTAGCGCCTTTAACAAAGACGTCACCGCCCTAAGCCTAGGAGCTTATGATTTTGTTAACCTTTGTAGCGCATAGCGCCTAGCTATGCATTCTTAGGTAGCCCTGCAGCTGTTGCTACCTTCAAGTGCGAAGCTTAAATACCTGGTGGCCAGCATTTATCGTGAAGATGCCTGTCGAAGTCGCTGGCACAATCAGCACCTTCGGGCATCAGGCAAGTTATGAAACCCTGAAGACATATAGGCTTTTTGCTGACGCGATAGTTTGAAGGAGCCTTTAAGGATGCTTACCTGGGGTTGGGCAAGGCCTCTGGCGTTTGTGGGCCTAGTTGTCACTACCTACTTGTTTCTTTTGTATGTATTTTTAGCTAAACGTTTCTACCTGTAACTTGTTCTTGGCCTGTTGCGGCTGGCACATGCCCATTCACGGATGGTTTACCTGGCTTCTTGCAACCTACGCAGCCTTTGTCTACCAAACCTACCGAGCCACGTACTAGGATTGGTACATCATCTCGGACGGACAAGCTGACTGGTGGACAGTTCGTGTTGAAACTCCTTGGCGGCACATCGAAAGGGGTAACAACTGAGGTTTCGAGCGGGTTCGGACTACAACCAAGCTCTCGAGCACAGTCAGCGCCATCGTACCGAGTAAGTGTCCTTTCCAAGGTTCCTCTTTGCGGAAGTACCGTCCATGCGATAATTATGTAGCTCGGCCCTATTCTCCAGCCGGGTTGTTCCCGTAAACGCGTGCGCACAACACTTAAGGGGCGGGTATCCCGTAAGGTTACATCTTGCGCCGCTGCTGCGACCCATCTTTCCTCGCCGTACTGCCCCCTCCAACACCGCAGTTTGGCAGCCGCTTTAAGCTTGACCATGAAGCTGGCGAGTCAAAGCAAGGGCTTGGGGAACACACACGCGCTGTACCACGCTACGGCAACCCTGGGCCGGGCGCCTACGCCGCACCACGGCTAGCGGCGGACTCTGTGGGGAAGCAAACTTTGTCCATCAACCCAACGGCGCCTTACACGCGGGTGGGGACGGAGATTAGGTTTGGGCAATTCAAGGACAACTTCGCAACTCCGTCGCCCGGCGCATGGAGGTAAGGATTGCAGCAATGCGGATGCCGCTTTGCTGCAGCTGCTATCCTAGTGCGATTGCTTCTTAAGGTCGAACCCTCCGTATCCAGCTCAGCCGAGCCTGGGTAGTGTGGCGCCATTGCCGGGGCCGCCTTAGCTTTACTAAAAGACCCCATCTTCACATGCGCATCTATCACTTCGGCTTTGCTCTCTGTTGGTAGCCACAGGGCGGCGATACTCTCCAGCAACCTTCATCCTTGCGCATGCCAATCCATGCACGCCGTGCCTGCGCAGGCCCACATCCGGCTGGCTTGGCGACGCCCCCACGTACTCCTTCCACGGCCTGGGCCGCCGCGCAGACGTCGCGAAGGGCCTGCCGGGCAACCACTCGACAGCGCTCGAGGACCCGGGCCCAGGGACGTACGAGGCGCCATCATCGCTGTTTGCGCAAGCCTCCTCCCTGAAGCCCACGGCTGCACGCGCACGCGTGGGCACAGCCGACCGCGAGCACCAGCGTCGCGTGTTTGTGTCCAAGGGGCACGAGCGGGAGTCCATCGGCGCGCACTCTCCCAGCCCTGCGGTTTACAGCCCTAACCAACTCGCCAGCTCGAAAGTGCGGGGCACGAGCAGCTGGAAGTTTGGCAGCGGTGACCGCTTCTCTGAGATCAGGTCGTCTAACGGCAAGAACCTGAAGATTCTGACGCCGGGCCCCGGCTCATACGTGGTGTGAGCAGTCTAGGTGTGCTGCTGCAGGAGCAGGACAACACGCCCCGGAGGCCGGGTTGCTAGCGGCGGCAAGCTTCTGCTGACTGCTGATTCGAATTGCTATGCCAGCTGGCCGGATGTAAGTGTGTGTCTCATACGCAGGGGGAGCACTCTTTGCAGGTTTGCACAGGGCTTTTGAGTGAGTCCGAAATGTGTGAACCTAATATTGGGTTGTCTTTGCGGTAATTTTTTTACCGCTGGCGTTCCTGCAACCGTGTCATGTTAGTGTTGTTGAGCGCATTCCAATAAAGCCGGGTTTGTGACGCCGTCTGCGGGTTTGCGCTAAAGCCTAGTACATGCAGTGGTTTACTGTGGTAGAGCCCAGACTCTGGATAGCGCATGGAGGGGCCTTGCAGGGCCAGTGCTATCGGCTGGAATCGTGGCATGGATGGTTTTGGATTGGTATGTGCCATGATGCCCCTTGATAGCTTGTGAGACGAAAAATGACGAAGACAGCTTTCATGTGTGACGACGTGACAAATGGTTCCTTTCTTACTAATTGACGCTGAGTTGACGGAACGTGCCTTGGGTAAAGGGCACATGTGTCGCTTGTAATGAGGGGAGGCATCGTAGGCTGCGCAAATAGAGGAAACCCTCGTGTTTGTTGTTGCGGCCCTGACTACTGACTCCCAAAAAGCTTGGGGTTAAAGGCCAACAACGTTAGTGCCATCCTAACTGGAAACAACCAGGATCAGGTGCTTTCAGTACTGGAACCTATGCACAACCTCAGCAAGAAAGCACGTTTTGGGTATGGAATCCCGTTGTCGTGTTCCTGAATGTGCCTGACATCAAGTGCTTGTGTGGAGGATGGTTGCGGTATTAAAGTCGTTTGTGTAGTGATACAATGATTCCATTGGCAGGTGTGTGGTATTGCATCTGTGTAGGGCATGTTGATTGTGTTAAAGGCCTTCCCGTGTGCCCTACCCAGGGGGCCTGGCATCGCGCACGACGCATGTACAACAGACGCTGATAGGGCTCATGTCGCCACTGATACTCAGCCACCATATGTTCAATACCGCCGCAGCCCGACTTTGACGTGTGATGTGGCTTCCCTTTTTTGGTTTGTACACCCTATGACCATGACTGTAGGGGCACAGTGTACTGTAAACTGTTTTTGACAACTTCGGCGCCTTCCATGTTCCCATCCACGCGCGATTAGTATGCCAAGCACTACATCCGTTCCTGGGGCGGAAGCAACGCACAGACTCAAGGATGTCAAGACGGCTGACACTACACCGACAACTGAACACCATTAACGTCAGCACGTGGATGTGCAATTGAGGTTGGGACGGCACGGGACAAGTAACATTTTGCTATCCGTAAGATACACCAACCGTGCGACTCTGAAAGGCATCTTGTCGTACAAATCGTACGTCTGCCAATGTTAGCACTTAACATATTCCCTCTCACCAGCACCAGGAATAGAAGAATGAAAGGAAAAACATTGCTCGAAATTGTCTAGCCGCATACCCGCTCATTAAAGTGAGGCAAAAAATTGTTAGTTACGCATGCAACACCCAACGCTGGAAGGGGAGCATCACGCATCACGGCCTGCTGTGCTAGGCCTATTCGTATATACCGCGTCCACCACCGACACCCCACTCAGCTATCCTGCTACATAACCTACTCCGAACCCGAGTGCCGGGCCGTCTCTCATGTACTTGAGTGTCTAAGAAGCAGGTAACCACTAAAAGCAGCAAACACTAGTACAATACAACCGACAAACGAGGAAGTCTGCAGACACCGCGGCAGTGATGTCACACACAAGTTCGACCCAAATGGTGAAAGTGACACTCGTTATATGCCATCAAACCAGCTGACAGACACTAGTCAAGCAGCCGCCAAAATAGGCAGCCGTACACAGATTACATGGGCGCGCTCGTTTACTATCGTCGTTCAGCACCGTCATCGTATAGCATCCCTTGTTACGACATAGCGTCTAGGTCCGCCTTTATTACAACCAGCGTCTGGACGACCCTCGCGATATCCGGTCGCGCATCCTTGGACGCATGGAAGCACTCGCGCGTCAGGCGCACGTACCGCGGCGGGGTTTCGGAGCCGAACTCGAGCTCTCCGGTGTTGAGCGAGGGGAAGGTGCGCAGCCGCACGCCCCTGCGCCAGGGCGGCCGGGAGCCGTTCTGAAGCTCCCACAACACGATGCCCAGAGAGTAGATGCTGCGAGAGGGAGGCGGGCAACGAGGAACGGCGACCTGTTACTATAATGGGGTCTTTCAAGTGCCATGAAAGCGCAATACCGGTATAGCACGAAAGCATAGGAAAGACAGGTAGGCAGGCAGATATCAGTATGTGATGGACTTACTCGGAACTCTTGCCAATCTTGCCAGAAAGGACCACCTCCTGAACGGGGTGCACATGCACAGGGGACGTTTAGCGAGTTAAGAAAAGGATATCAACGTATTTACAGGTTGAGGACAGCGGACACGCACACTGTGTCACTATTGTGGTATCAATCGAGGTATCAAGGTCGTTGGTTTAAGAGGAGTCCGTCAGGGCATCTTGGTCGTAAACACGCTAGCCCTCCATGAGCCACCATGATGATGCCAGCTTGCTGCTACCGAACCTCCCCGCTTCTGCGCTCACCGGCGCGCAGTAGTAGGGCGACCCCTGGAAGAGGTTCGAGAGGTGCGACTCGCCCTCCGACATGCGCAGCGACAGCCCGAAGTCCGACACCTTGAGGCAGAAGCCCAGCGGCGAGGCGGGCGCGCGCACCAGCAGCACGTTGTTGGGGTTCAGGTCGCCTGCGTGGGACAAGAAGAAGAGTTAGCTGCTTCCCCCTGCGAGCACATGTCACAGGACCCCGCCCCGCATGACCCCCCCACCCCACCATGCACAATGTTCTTGTCGTGCACGTGCTGCAGCCCGCGAGCTACCATGAGCGCCGCCTCCACGTAGCGCTGAGCCGCCTGCAGGCTGCTGCCGGGCCGCGGAGGAACGTCGGCAGGCACGTCGTCAACCACCTGACGTGCAGGCTGAACGGCGGGTGCGGACGGTGCCCCTGCGCCAACATCGCCACTAGCCTGCAAGACGCTTTGCGCAACGACATGCGATGCTGAGCTGCCCTGCTGCCCCTTGCCAGCAACACTGCTGGCGCTGCCGCTGCTGCTGCCCCGATTAACGGGCATCGGTACTGCTCCACTGGATGCGCTGGCGGTCCCCACACTGCTTTCGTTGGCTGCAGGCGAGTCCTTTCGCAGCAGCGACTTGCTAGGCCGCTTGGATTTGGCGCGTGCAGGTGGGGCCTTCGGTGGCGCCAAGAAGAACCCGCAGTCCACTATTCGCCGCAGAGGCCTGCATGACACATGAGAATGGCATAGCGTGTTTCATGGCAAGCTTCGCGCATTCGTATCCAACAATGATATGGCGGCGTTTCGCCAATACTGCCTCTGGCGCGACGGTGGACCTTAAGCAACAGCGTAAACGAACGGACGCCAGGTCAGCACCCAATTGCGGCCGCGGAATTGGGAGCAGACACTCCTAATGCCCAAGGTCCACTCAGCTACGGGGCACTGCACGGTGTTGTCCCCAATGCAACAGATATCAAGTACGAACGGGCTGTCGCCCGCTTCCGGCTCCCTCACCCCGCGTCGCAGTACTCCTGGATGATGAGCAGCCGCCAGCCGCCCCCCTGCCGGGCCAGCTCCGGAGACAGGCTGGCCAGCTCGTGCTCCACCTCCCGCAGCTCGTACGAGTAGGTGGTGCTGCGGGAGGGAGGGGAGGGGGGTTAGGGGGGAGCGGAAGGGGAGGAAGCAGGTACCACCTTCAACCCTACTCCCCGCGCCACTCACACAATGTTAGGGTGCGCCAGGTTAGAGCTGATGGCCGCCTCCATGAGCGGCCGCTGCTGCTGCCGCGCATTGCTGTCGGAGCAGAAGATCATGGACTTGACGGCAACCTGGGGGCAGGCACGGGGGTACGAACTTACGTAACAAGGTTGTGGCAGGGCTCTACACTGCTGGACAAGCGGATGCGCAAGAGCCCGGATGGGTCCCCTCCACCGCCACTGTTGCATCGTACAAACAACCGAGCCCACAAAGCCCTACCAGCGCCATCTACCACATCCCAACCATGCGCTCCAGCCCCTTGCCTCACCGGCAAGCCGCGCCAGATGCCCTTGTAGACCGTTCCATGCGCGCCCTTGCCCAGCAAGCCATGCACCTCTAGCTGCCGGTCGTTGAATTCCCGACCCAGCACCTGGATCATCGCATGCATCTGCTCCAGAGCCCCGCCGCCGCCGGTGCTTAGGTTGCTCTGGCACTGGCTGGCAGCGGTGGGCGTTACCCCTAGACCGGAAGCCTGCCCACTAGACCGTGGCCCCACAACGGTAGCCTGACTGAGCATCTGTACAGCCCTGATGGCGGGGATGGGGGCGGCGCCGTGCTGGCCGAGGAAGGTTGTGGTGGGCGGGCGCTCAAAGGAGTCAGTCATCTGGCTCCTACCCACATCCATGCCGGAATCATGCGCCGAGGCGCCCCCTGTCACGGACGTTGCCCCCGCTTGCGACGGAAACAAGCCGATAGCGATGCTGCCACTGGTCGCGCCGGCACTGGCGCTGTTGCGGCACGTTGCTATCGTGGTTGGCGTCCGCGTGCCCGTGTTGCCACAGTCTCCGGACGCAGAGGTTGGATCCAACCCGCCCCCCTTGAGCCTTCGTAACACCGCGTCTGCCGCCTCCACATCGCTGTTGCGCGCCCCCGGCCGCAGCACCTGGCTGCTGTTGGTGAGCTCCGTGCTCGGGGGCATCAGGTCCAGTCCGCCGCCGCCCGCATGCGGCCCCGCCCCGGGGTCCGCACTGGCGCGGAGATACTTGTCGTACGCGCCCTGCCCGCCGCCGCTGCCCTGCCGCCGGCGCCGCCGCATGACCAGCAGCGCCGCCGCCAGGGCCAGCAGCAGCACGCCACCCACCAGGCACCCCACCAGGACCCCCACTGCCCAGCCTGCCAGCTTGCCTCTACCCCCCGTGTCGTACGGCACACCCAGCAGCGTGAAGTTGCTGGAGGCGAGCTCGCCATCCGCTGCCACGGGGGTCCGGAACGTAACGCCCGTCATGTTGTACCGCTGCGTCGCACCCGACTCCACATAAATGTACAACGCTCCATATGACCCCACATTCGGTGTTTCTTTGAACGAGTTCGAGAAGAACTCCCGCACCGCATCCAGAACTGCGCTGCTGTACGGCTGCCCCTGCGTCTCGTTGGCCGGCAGCAGCGCCTGCTGCAGCAGCCTCAGCTCGTCCGCGCTGACCAGCACCGTGCAGCCCTCCAGGCCGACACTGCTGCCATTCGCCAGCGACAGGCCCCACAGCGGGCTCACCAGCACACCCAGCGGGTCCGCAGCGCTGTACGACGAGCGACGAGCCGCCAGCCCGCTCAACACCAGCTGACGCAGCAGCAGCTTCTTACCAGCGGGAATGCCGATCGAGTTCGCCTGAGCGCCAAGGCCAAGACGCGCGACTTGCAACCTGGGATGCGCCTTTATGACGGTGCTCCCAGGAAGCACCACAGCGCCCCCGTCGGTACCGTTAGCGCTGCTGCTGCTGTTGCCGCTCTCCGACGTTGGCCACGCCTTGCCATCCGTGGTTGAGAAGTTTGCAACTATAATTACCCAACGCCGACCTTGGTCATCCGGTACGCTATTGCTGGAATTGAGAGACAGCTGCGAATAAGGCACAGGGTGGCGGACATGATGAGCGTTAGTTTCACACGTGGACCAACCAGTGCTAACTCGGTACCTATTGTGTAAGTGCTCCCGTCAAGGCACAACGCGCTTCTCTCCCTCCTACAGCCGTGCCAGACCCTGCAAACCAGCTCCCATCCCGCCTTCCCGACATGCAGCCCGGCACAATGCGTCCCAAGCCACAACAGCGCACCAGGAAGTCTGCTGCGTTGCCAACCGCGTTCACAGCGGACAGCGGCACGCTATCCGCCTCGAACTGCATCAGCCCCGTGACCTGGGGCAGCAGCGGGTAGCTGCCGTTCAGGTCGTCAGTCAGGCGCACACCCGTGTAGGTGACGGTGAAGGCCCTTACAGTGCTGTAGTATATGCCAGTGTCGTTGACGGCAGACACCTAGCAATGGCGGGTGGTCTCATGTTAGTAAGAGCTGCGTGTCAAATATTGGGGGTACGTGCTGACCTTCCTTGAGGACATGGAAGCTACCAACATCGGTGCTGATAAGGGGCAACGGGTTGCTTGCTTCCATGGGCAGTATAAGGCGCATCTGGCGATACACACCGGCGCACCCCTTATTACAAACCATGACACCTCACCTTGATGTCGATGACCCGATACCACGACGCCTTTGCCTGCAGACATGGAACAGAGACAGCACTTCGCCAGCAAACCAGTAACGCCTAGGCGCAAGGCGCGGCAACAACCTGGACTTTATGCTAGGCGAGGCAAAGCAAGTTATTCCCTTACCTGTGCCTCCGGAACGGGCGATACGAGGAACGTTACCCAGTACCTGTGAACGCAGGAGCACACTACGAGCGTCAGCAACCGGCTTGCCACGGCTCGTGTCATGCCGATTTGGCTGCACGACAACCGACTACAACGCTCTAGACCTGGACAGCCCGTCTCCATGATCGTACCCGCAGTTCACAAGCCACGAGCCCAGGTTTTGTGGCAACAGCAATAACACAAGCGACACCTTGCTCAGCCCAGGACCTACTTGGTGTATGCTAGCTCCTCAGGCGGCACCACCAAGGTTGTGTTGACAATGTGCAGTAACTGACCATACCTGCAATTCAGCAGGCAGCAAGTGCTCAATGTCACATTCCACGCGGAAAAGAAGCGTTAGACTACTGGACACGGCTTTCTGCCATGTAGCTGGGGCTGCAGCACTAAAAGCGAAGATATTCCGCCTGCAGGATTACTGAATTTCCCGTGTATGCCGTGTGACATGCCCCCGGCGCCCATACCTGCGGAATGCCCAGACTCGCTCCGAAAGCATTCCAAATTGTGAGAAGTTGTAGGTGGGGCTAAAATACGCCGGCGCCAAGTTGGCGCACGTGAGGTTGACAAGGGTCACCGTGTAAGGCGGCACCACCTCCCACATGCTGACCATGAGGTTGAAGTCCAGAACTGGGCGGAACAGGCGCGCCGAACCCGCCACTATCATGTTGGTTGTGACTCGCACCGGCGAGTCGGGCCAAGAGCTGCAGGAGGGTGCGACAGAAGCAGGATGTTAAGGGGTGCACGCGCGCATGTATTTTGGAAGGCAAACCGGCCATGCACCGACAGTCTACCTTTTAGGCACAGAGATGTTGGCAGCAATTAGCACTGTGACGTTCGCAGCAGCGACTGCGGTTGCGTACACCAGGAACGCGTCCAGCAGCTGCTGCGCCGTCTGCACTGCCGCCAGCCGGCAGGGGGGCTGTGGGGCCGTCTGGTTGGGCGCGCTGCACGTGAGGGTCACATTGCGCAGCGAGGTGAAGCCGTCCTGCCACTGGCTGAAGTAGACTGCTCCCGGCTCAAGCTGCGGGTGGACAGGTCGTGGCAGTTAGAAACAGTGAGGGACATGTGCATCCAAGCGCCAGTCCCAAGCAAGACATCTTGGACTCTCCCTGGCACATCGGCGACATGCGCACCCACCGTCAGGCTGCCCGCGACGCTGTGGGAGGAGCAGAAGAACTGCTGGTACTCCAGTACCGTGTCGCAGTCGGTGCTCAGGGACACGTGGTCCATGTCAAGGCCTGTTGCGGCAGAAAGGTCGATTGCCGCTGGCTGCAAGAAGCCCCGAGACCCGGTGGGTCCGGGCAGCGTCACGTTCACCGCCGCCAAGCAAGACATGTTGACACGGGCGCCTGCGTCCGTTTACTCAATTAGAATGTTTTGCCATAATTGAACATTAGGCGACCCTGCGGTGATTGCTAAGGCTGGTTACGTCCCATACCTGCCACAGCCGCCAGGGCGCGCTGCTGACTACCAAAATCCCAATTGAGAATAGGAGGTGACGCAAGGGCGCCATCTGCCAGCTGCTGTGGGCTTAGCATGGAAAGCAGCTGCGTGGTGCCATACGTTCCTGTGCAGCCATCCAACGCATCTTTTTGCTGCTGAGGACATGCTGCGCCAGTCAGTAGAATGAATATCAAGAGGACCTCTTGCAAATAGCAAGGCTGCCAGAACCTCCAGAAAACGTTGATGCGATGGCTGTCGGAATTGGGAACCATAACCATTTTGTGGGTGCCCACACCTATTATGTCACATGCCCCTAGCAATGAACTAGGTAGCGGCTTTTCAGCCCATAGTAGCACTTAACTGTCGCCAGTCAGACGTTGAAAAACTGGACTATATTTTGTCCGCCTTGTTCTTCAGTGGCTACCTAAAGCAGAAGCAAAAGGACATACTAGTCCTTTTGAAAGTCATTTTTGCTGTATCCTGTACGGTTAGCGTCATCGCTGTAACTTTCCCTCTTGCATCTACTCCTGGCTAGTGGCTTCTGTAAAAGTAGCGTCTAGCACGTTTGCAGTAATGCGGGATAACGTGATGCGACGCAATGCTGAGAAAGTCGTTTCCTTTGCAAGGTTCTTTATGGAGGCGACATGCATTCCATGGCAAAGCTAGGTATTAGCTGACGAGTACATGTTATGGATCGGTATCAAAGGCCTCTTCAACCCACAGTGACTTCGCTTGTCTGGCAAAAGAAGCATTTTAGCTTCCACAGCTGGGATATCCATGACGTCAGTATTGAAAGACAGAGTTTGGGTTGCTTGGTGGTCCTACAGCCCTTCGCTCGCCAAAACGTCGCGAGCGTGCTTGCGATACACCACTAGCATGCCTGTCGCCCTCGTCCTGCAAGCCCTGTTGTTTCTCCTCGACCAAAGCGTGGTGCTGGCAGCCCAGCCTATTACTTCCGGGTGCTTCGCTTCTTCAAGCTCGGTGAGGTTGCTCTCCTCGCTGAGCGCACAGCAGGTAGCGGACGGGGCTTTAATCTCCCCCGTGGAGGCCACCTGGGACTTTGAGCGCAAGAATGGGACGCTGGCGGCCGCAGCAGGTACGGCATGACATCAGGGTACGCTGCCTATGAAGTCGTACTCAGCGCTGGCCCTGGGCAGTGTCACTGTCGGTGCTGGATACGGAACCTGAACCCGGAACCTGGAATCTGAACCACCTCTGCGGACGCAGGCGCCCGTGTCAACATGTCTTGCTTGGCGGCGGTGAACGTGACGCTGCCCGGACCCACCGGGTCGCGGGGCTTCTTGCAGCCAGCGGCAATCGACCTTTCAGCCGCGACAGGCCTTGACATGGACCACGTGTCCCTGAGCACCGACTGCGACACGGTACTGGAGTACCAGCAGTTCTTCTGCTCCTCCCACAGCGTCGCGGGCAGCCTGACGGTGGGTGCGCATGTCGCCGATGTGCCAGGGGAGTCCATAGTGCAGATTGGTGCCTTGCTCAAGGCTGGTGCTTGGATGCACATGTCCCTCACTGTTTCTAACTGCCACGACCTGTCCACCCGCAGCTTGAGCCGGGAGCAGTCTACTTCAGCCAGTGGCAGGACGGCTTCACCTCGCTGCGGAATGTGACCCTCACGTGCAGCGCGCCCAACCAGACGGCCCCGCAGCCCCCCTGCCGGCTGGCGGCAGTGCAGACGGCGCAGCAGCTGCTGGACGCGTTCCTGGTGTACGCAACCGCAGTCGCTGCGAACGTCACAGTAGTGGTTGCGGATAACATTACCCTAGCAAACAGGTATACGCATACCTTCCCTTGGTTTAGGCCCATCAACTTGGGCACGTACCTGCGGAATTTACACTCACTGGAAGCCCTACGTGTGCACATGCGACGCACGATGCGTATCTTACCTTTGCATGGCAGATGCATGAGCGTGGGCTGTCTATCTTTAACCTTATCGGCACGCTTCCTTACTGCAAATACGGTATATCGCCGCCTCCTCACATCCTGCTCCTGCCGTACCTTGCCACCTCCCCACCCACCTACCTCCTCCGGCAGCTCCTGGCCCAACTGGCCGGTGCCCGTCGTCACCAACGTGACAATGGTGGGCTCGGCGCGCCTGTACCGGCCCGTGTTGGACTTCAACCTCATGACCAGCATGTGGCGGCTGATACCGCCGTACCACGTGTTCATGGTCAACCTGACGTGCATCAACCTGGCCCCAGCGTACTACAGCCCGGGTATCATCTTCTCCCAGTTCGGCATGCTGTCGGAGCGCATGTGGGCGTTTCGCAGGTGAGCAAGCCAATCCATCCCAGGCTTGGGAAACCAGGGTGGTGTGCTGACTCGCGAGTATTGTCATTAACGATTAACCCATGCAATTATGGCAACCTCAGCCATGTTGTTTGACAAATGCGCAGCTAAGGTAGTGGCTTAGGACAGAGGTCCTGGCAGGGGCGTTTGATGACAGTTGCAAGTAGCAACCGCCATGCAACCGCCGTGCAGGTACGACCGTCTGCTTCACCTGGCGTACTGCACGCTGGTGGTCCCCAAGGAGCAGCTGGCGTACACCAGGTACGACATTGGAAGGATCCGCCTGTCTATCCTGGAAGGATGCTCCTTGAGAGATGAGTACGACCGGTAGCCTACCGGTAGCAAGCCTGCCTTGTCACAGTTTGTTTGTGGATGCTTTCATGTGTGAAACGTTGCTTCGCACAGGTACTGGATCACGTTCCTCGTATCGCCTGTACCTGAGGCACAGGTAGGACGCGGTCCTGTATGAAGCGCCACTTACCGAAAGTTGCGGGCCGCATGGCAGCCTGACCACATAGTAACGTTACGTGTCGTACATAACGTGCAGGACAAGGCTGCATGGATCCGGATCAACGGGATGAAGGTGCGTCCACATACCGGTCAATAAATTGCTGCCTGGACATCGTCTCAACATACCGATACACCTGCACCCTCTGCAAACTCACCTTGTGTGGCTTCCGAGCTGCCCAGTGCACGGCGTGGGGTGTGTATCACCGGCATAAGGCATCGATAAGCACAAGCTTCCGGCTCCCGCCCCCTACATTCCGTGCAGGTCTCCGCCGTGAACGCCACCGGGGTGTACTACGACTATGCGGAGGCCTACACCGTCTACTACGACCACGTGCTGGTCACCGACCACCTGAACAGCAGCCGCTTCCCGCTGCTGCCCCAGAACACGGGGCTGGCGCAGCTGCAGGCCGACAACGTGCCCCTGACCGCCGTCAACCCGGCCATCAATGCGTCGGACATGATGGTATGTAGCCGCATGCAATGCCCCTTACTTCCCGGGTTGGGTGTGGTTTCTGATGCGTGTTCATAGGGGTTCAGTGGGGCTTAAGGTTAATCCAAGCAGCTCTGTAATCCGAGCCCTGTGGGTTGGATCTCGTTACTCTGTCTAGGTGTCCGTGCAGGCAGCGGTGCTAAGCGGCACCAAGGCAAACGGCTCCCAAGCCCGGTCCCCATGCAAACCACATACCGTACGGGCTCTTAAGATATAGCCCATGTTCCACAACGGCCGCACAACTGACATGCCTCTTACCACCATGCCTCCAATGTCTCCTGCTCGCAGCTGGCACTCAATCCAAACTTCAGCAGCCCCGACGACAAGGGCAGGCGATGGGTGCTACTCGTTGCCAACATCACCCTTCCGCGCGGTGCCAACGGGTCCGCAGCGGCTGCGAACGCCAGCTTCAACAGGACAGCCGTGACGATCCCGGGCGACACAGTTGTTAGCCAGGGTCCTGGGCTGAACACAGTCCGGCTTGACGTTGGTGGCGGGATGGACCGGCTCATCATTCCCGCTGGTAAGAAGCTGCTGCTGCGTCAGCTGGTGTTGAGCGGGCTGGCGGCTCGTCGCTCGTCGTACAGCGCTGCGGACCCGCTGGGTGTGCTGGTGAGCCCGCTGTGGGGCCTGTCGCTGGCGAATGGCAGCAGTGTCGGCCTGGAGGGCTGCACGGTGCTGGTCAGCGCGGACGAGCTGAGGCTGCTGCAGCAGGCGCTGCTGCCGGCCAACGAGACGCAGGGGCAGCCGTACAGCAGCGCAGTCGTGGATGCGGTGCGGGAGTTCTTCTCGAACTCGTTCAAAGAAACACCGAATGTGGGGTCATATGGAGCGTTGTACATTTATGTGGAGTCGGGTGCGACGCAGCGGTACAGCATGACGGGCGTTACGTTCCGGACCCCCGTGGCAGCGGATGGCGAGCTCGCCTCCAGCAACTTCACGGTGCTGGGTGTGCCGTACGACACGGGGGGTAGAGGCAAGCTGGCAGGCTGGGCAGTGGGGGTCCTGGTGGGGTGCCTGGTGGGTGGCGTGCTGCTGCTGGCCCTGGCGGCGGCGCTGCTGGTCATGCGGCGGCGCCGGCGGCAGGGCAGCGGCGGCGGGCAGGGCGCGTACGACAAGTACCTCCGCGCCAGTGCGGACCCCGGGGCGGGGCCGCATGCGGGCGGCGGCGGACTGGACTTGATGCCCCCGAGCACGGAGCTCACCAACAGCAGCCAGGTGCTGCGGCCGGGGGCGCGCAACAGCGATGTGGAGGCGGCAGACGCGGTGTTACGAAGGCTCAAGGGGGGCGGGTTGGATCCAACCTCTGCGTCCGGAGACGTGTTGCTCACGGGTTCAGGCGGCCAGGGCAGGATTGGCTGTGTCGCTGTTCCCTTTGGCGTTCCCACGATGGCATCCGGCCAGATGAGTGGCAGCAGCGGCAATGGGCTAAGTACCCCATACATGACGGCAGCAGCAGTTGCCGCCGCGGCTGCAACCGGCGTGTCTCCCGAAGTGGATTCCTTTGACCGGCCGCCCAGCACCTCCATGTTGGGTCATCACGGCCCAGTAGCAGTGGGGGCCTCGGGAGCGAGGGCCAGTCGCCAGGCCCGTGGCTCGCACAGCCAGGCGTCTTCGGCTTCGGTCTCCGGGCGCAACGCCTCCTCTATGCCTTCTGGCATTAGCCGTGGCGGGGCAAGCAGTGTCAGCAACCGCGGCCGGGAAGGCGCCCCGGAGTTGGAAAACATGCACCGGACGATCCAGGAGCTGGGGCAGGATTTCATGGATCGGCATCTGGAGATTGTGGGCGAGATTGGGAGAGGCGCGCATGGAACCGTGTACAAGGGCACGTGGCGCGGCCTGCTGGTGAGCGAGGTACCGGGATAGCCGCACTGCATGCATCGTACAAACACGGAAACGTGTGCTGTGGCAACGATTTCCTTGCGCCATGACATGGAGCTGTGGACAGGCGTGTCAGCATTGCTGGTCAACAAGGACAGATACAACCGAGGTTCTCATTTTTGGGGACTCCCTTGACCAATTGACCATAGGACGCAACTCACCTCGCCACGGCATGCTGCGTCCTGACTTAGCCACGGAAAGGTTTCTGGCTTTTGAACGCCTCAACACTCCCCCTTGCCCCCAGGTTGCCGTCAAGTCCATGATCTTCTGCTCCGACAGCAATGCGCGGCAGCAGCAGCGGCCGCTCATGGAGGCGGCCATCAGCTCTAACCTGGCGCACCCTAACATTGTGTGAGTGGCGGAGGGAGTAGGGTTGAAGGTGGTACCTGCTTCCTCCCCTTCCGCTCCCCCCTAACCCCCCTCCCCTCCCTCCCGCAGCACCACCTACTCGTACGAGCTGCGGGAGGTGGAGCACGAGCTGGCCAGCCTGTCTCCGGAGCTGGCCCGGCAGGGGGGCGGCTGGCGGCTGCTCATCATCCAGGAGTACTGCGACGCGGGGTGAGGGAGCCGGAAGCGGGCGACAGCCCGTTCGTACTTGATAGCTGTTGCATCGGGGACAACACCGTGCAGTGCCCCGTAGCTGAGTGGACCTTGGGCATTAGGAGTGTCTGCTCTTTCCTGCATTCCTGTCGATGCATCGTATCTCCCTTACTACCTACCTTCTGCGACCGTTTCTTCCGCAGTCCGTTGCGGAGAATCGTGGATTGCGGCTTCTTCTTGACACCTGCAAGGCCCAGGTCCCCAGCCGGGCCCTCCCAAGGGGCTGCAGGCGGCCAAGCCTCCAGCAGTGGCGAGGACATGAACGCCTTGCAGCAGCCCCCCGACAGCGGCACCAGCAACGGCAACAAGGCCAGTGACAAGGGCCCACCGGAGAGCGGGGCTGGCGAGGTTGTTCCCCGCAGCAACGGTGACGTCAGAATCCAAGTCCCAGGGGTCCAGACGCTTTCCGCCGGTCAGCCTGCTCGTCAGTTGGTGGTTGACGACGTGCCCGCCGACGTTCCTCCGCGGCCCGGCAGCAGCCTGCAGGCGGCTCAGCGCTACGTGGAGGCGGCGCTCATGGTAGCTCGCGGGCTGCAGCACGTGCACGACAAGAACATTGTGCATGGTGGGGTGGGGGGGTCATGCGGGGCGGGGTCCTGTGATTTGTGCTCGCAGGGGGAAGCAGCTAACTCTTCTTCTTGTCCCACGCAGGCGACCTGAACCCCAACAACGTGCTGCTGGTGCGCGCGCCCGCCTCGCCGCTGGGCTTCTGCCTCAAGGTGTCGGACTTCGGGCTGTCGCTGCGCATGTCGGAGGGCGAGTCGCACCTCTCGAACCTCTTCCAGGGGTCGCCCTACTACTGCGCGCCGGTGAGCGCAGGGGCGGGGCGGTTTGACAGCAGCAAGCTGGCATCATCGTGGTGGCTCATGGAGGACTAGTCATTAGCTGACTGGTCGTCTAGATGCGGTACCTATTGTTTCGTATCCATGCCCCCGGGGGAAGCCCATTTTTTTATCTGGTTACTAACGCACGTGCCTGCCTATCCTACCCCCTGGACAGGAGGTTCTGCTTTCTGGCAAGCTCAGCAAGAGCGCCGAGTAAGTTCTCGCCGTGTTGCAGCAGTGAAACGCGTTGCTGCATGCCAACTCGCCCTATGCTACACGTGCCAGCATCCGTACGCGCAAACGTTAACGCGTTTGTAAAATTCCCTCTCGCAGCATCTACTCTCTGGGCATCATGTTGTGGGAGCTTCAGAACGGCTCCCGGCCGCCCTGGCGCAGGGGCGTGCGGCTGCGCACCTTCCCCTCGCTCAACACCGGAGAGCTCGAGTTCGGCTCCGAAACCCCGCCGCGGTACGTGCGCCTGACGCGCGAGTGCTTCCATGCGTCCAAGGATGCGCGACCCGGCATTGCAACTGTCGTACAAACGTTGGCTGCGTTAAAGGCGGACCTAGACGCTACGTGAGGCAACGAACGACTGTACGACTGACAGGCCACAGTTGGACGGCATTGCTCGGGTTTATAACCTGCAGCCGATCATGGCCCTGCAGCTAGTAGGAGTGGCGTTTGCAGCCTTGTCGTTAGTTGTAACCGACGGTTGGTTAACTTGACTGTGGGCTCTGCGGTGAAAGACCGCCGCAGGTGCCCACTGTTGGCGACCAGTTTTAAACCCAATCCAATTGAACATTGTGAAGATGAAGGAGCTTTTGCCCATTGTTGTAGAGATTGGGTATATTTGATGTTGAATTATCAAGACTCTCACGTGCAATGGACCCTTTCCCAAAATGATGTATCTGATGCGCGTGACGTGCACTGCTATTGTGTGTGTGTTACGTGTGCCGAATGATGGTGCAGCATGCACAACCCGTGTGTGTGCCCTGCATTCAATCTGCCGATGCATGCATTGCAGCTTGGGAAGCTGCCAAGCCGGATAAAGACACTTGCCGGTTACCTTTTCTCTCGAAGGGCTTGTGTGGCATGCACACATAGGTCCTTAGGGCGCTCGAGCCGCTTTGCTGCATGTCCGCGGATGCTTTATGCCATATGTGTTGTTGGTGTTACTGAGTTGCCCATTCTGGCAATGCTTGTCTCGCGCGTTTCGCTTCAGGGTCATGTTTGGCTCTGAAACCTTTCCGTTCATAACGTGCATGAAGAAAAGACGGGCAGTTAGCAACGCTTGGTGAAGTAAGTAATCATGGTGGAATGCATCTTGACGAGTAGTTGTGAGGCACCGCCGGCACCTTTGATTGTTTTCTCCGGTTCGTGCTGGTTCAACACTTGTGCTTAGGGACAAGTTGACGTTTGCATTGGTGATCTGGTGGCAGGTATGTTGCAGGCTTGCAGTTCTGCAACCCATATCAGTCTTATCAGATGATGCACTAGGCTGCATGTTGAGGTACCGGTAGGTGTGGGGCGCTCATTCTCACGTGCTGTGCACCTGCAGTTGTGGCCGTCTTGGCCAACTTTGACCCGATCGGCATGAGCCTGAAGGCCTGCCTACCTGGACAACAGCTATGCAGGGCTGGCAAGCCCAGGGCGAGCTGTGCGCTGCGGTGGACGTGCAGTGGTTTTGCTTGCTATGTGATTTAGTTGACTTGCGCTTTGTGGCGCATACACAGCGCTGTATGGGTCATCACTACTTGTTCACCTTTGCGAAGGTGTCGGGCCATGAAACAATGAAATACGACGGTGGCGCACTTTGCGGACCATGTATCCGCACTGCGTGCACCAGTATGCTGTCACAGCCATGTGCGGATGCGTAGGGGGGAGAAACCGTTGGAGGGTGGAACACCCGAAGTCAGGAAACACCCATCCGCATCCTCGCCTTCTTGTCTTGCCCTAGTGTGCGGGTCCCTCCTGCGGCTTGGCTTCTTCCTAACCCCCAAGTCAGGGTAGCACCGCAGAACGTGTCGCTATGGGCTGCTCACGTTGCTAAAATCCCACCGTACCCTCAGTTGTTCCTCGAATAATCCACGCGCCCTACAGGAGGCCCGCTCTGTAGGCAAAACGCATAACCAGGATGCCTGTATGCGGCGTTCCTCTCATACTACTTCAATACCAGCGCAGCAGAAGCCCAGCCTCTGCACGGCTGCCTTGACAAATTCTCCCTGCCTGGATGTACGACAGCCGCTGCGAACCATTCAAGAACATGCCCGCGCCGTCACGAGGGGCGCCAGTTCCTTTGGGACGTGCATGGGGTTAGGAAGAGAGGAAGGCCTTGAGGTAGAACGTGTCACGTTGTCATCCACCTCGGGGAGCTTTCGTCACAGTAGACATATCTTCTTATGCTCTTTGTAGGCTTGGGCCTACCATAAACATAACAACAGTTCATGTACAATTTTCACGCAAATAACGGTGCTATAAGCAGTAAAAAATAGGCCGAAGCTGTCAAGACTCTTAGTTCGAATGCAACCCCCGTTTCATCATTCATTTCAGCTTCATGACAACGCCGGTTACCATGGATGAACAGTTACAACAGCAGCAACCGGTGCTGCCCTCTGCGGCAACCGAGAGCAATTCCCATGTCTGGATCCCAGAAGTAGTCGAACGCGTAGCCAACTTCTTGCCGCGGAACGATGTCGCTAGCACGTTGCGTCTAGTAAGCAAAAGCTGGGCCGCACCACTAAGCGGCCCAGAGTATACAGTCGTGCACCTATCTCAGCAAGCACAACCCCACGCGTTCAAGGAGCGTTGGGGCGCCCCAGGCGCCATGCGGAACCTAACCTTCGCACAGCGGCTGCAGCTGCTGTGCCTCGTTGCGCGCACCGGCAGCATTTCCAACTTACAGGTGGCGGTGGAGGCTGCTGGAATTGCGCTGCCCACACCCGAATGCAAGGTGGTAACAAAAGCCGCTGCTCTCGCTGGACAGAGAAATACGTGCAACTGGCTTCTGCAACACGGCTGCCCCATGCGCAACGACACCATGGAAGCAGTCGCTCGAGCGGGGCAGCGTGAGTCCTGTGAATGGCTGCGGCGAACAGGCCTTGCGTTCGGCCTGGGCACGGTGCTCGCAGCGGCACGCGGCGGCCACTTGGACCTGATGGAGTGGCTGCTGCAGCAGCAACCGCCCTTGCACGGCACCGGCGCCACCGAGCTGCTGGCGGCGCAGGCGGAGGGCTGCGAGCTAGAGCCGCTGCAGCAATTCTACCAGGAGGATATCGTGGAAGAGGGCGTGTGGCTGGACGACATGAACAAGGAGCGTGTGCTGTCGGCCGCCGCCAAGAGCCCTACATCCGACTGGCAGGCCAAGGTTGAATGGCTGGAGGAGTTGGGCTTTCCGAAGCACCCCTCCGCCTGCGTGGCTGCTGCCACCTGCCCGGATGCGCTGACCCGCCTGGTTTGGCTGCATGGGCGGGGCTACCGGGCATGTAAGGCGTCGGTCAGCGCAGCGGTGCGTGCGGGCAACACGGCGGCTGTGGAGTACCTGCTAGCCGAGGTGCACGTGCAGCTGGAGAGCCCCATCTACGAGGCTACCGGTCAGCTGCAGATGCTGCAGCTGCTGCAGGTGCACGGCTGCCCCCTGGACGAAAGCCTGGTAGTGGAAGCCGCGTTGCAAGGGCACCTGCCCGCGCTAGCCTGGCTGGTGGACACGATGGGGCTGAAGGGGCAGTCGATGCTCAGTGCCGCGGCATCATCAGGGAGGGTGGAGGTGCTGTCGTGGCTGTACGAGCGTGGCTACCGTTGGGACGAGGAAACCATGCGCCAGGCTGCCGATGCGGGCTGCGAGGAGGTGCTGGAATGGCTCGTGGAGAAGGGCTGCCCCTGGGGGGTGGGTGTGGGACCATCATTATGGGCTGAAGCTTGCGGTGTTGCCACGACTCTGTTGGGTCTACTATCGAAGCGCTGGCCAGACAGTGAGCTTTCGCCTGAGATTGGACAGGCTTGCATTACAGCTGACAGAAACGAGATGCACGAGATTATATAGTGCTCCCTCAGCCTTATCTGCATTGCCTTCTTGCTGACATGGCCTTGGCTTTTGGTTTTCCCGTTACTCCATGCTCATGCTTTCCGTGCTGTCTCCCGCAGCTTGACCCTTACACGGCGGCTGCTGACCACGGGGACATGGCAACACTGCGCTGGCTGCGGCGGCGGGGCTGCCCTTGGAAGTACTCGAGTAGTGGCGGCACCTTCGTGTCTTGCATGAAGATGTCTTGCTGCAAGCCCGTGCTGCGCTGGATGCGGGAGGAGGGCTGCCCTGTGAACTGGGTCAGGGCATTCTCTTTGGCCCGTCGCGTGCAACCGCAGCTGCTGCTCTGGCTACGGCAGCAGCGTCAAGCGGAGGAGCGGCGGCAGCAGGAGGGTCAGCAGTGATAGGGACTTGCGGGAGGCAACACAGTTTGTTGATGGCGCATATGCAGTCCACTTGCCAATAGTGGCGAGCTTAGACTGGGGTAGGAGGTTGTGCCCGAATGTTAGCTCCCTGGCGTCGGTGCACGGTAGTGGGGATGGTAGTTGCAGTCCATGCATGTGTAGGGCAGGAGTTGCGGCAGGTGTTTGGCTAGTCGGGCTTACCATCATCATGGTTGTGAAGATGTGCACGCATTACGGTTGGGACTTGATATGGGCGATGGGGTAGTGCCTTCGGCGTTGCCATTGAGACAGCTTGGCCTTAGCGTCTGTCCTGGTCTGGTTAGGCCTGGTTGTACTGATGCTGGTTGGGTGCTGGTTGCACAATCACAGGCGGCCGACAACTGGGTTGGGCTGTGTGTACCAGATGATTGACAGTAATGGGATACCTCGTAGAGTGTCAAAGGGCGAGGCGTGTAGTAAGCTAGATGGCCGTGAGGGGGGCTGAAGGCATACGTATTTCGCAGGAGTTACGATGCGGATGCATAGCGTTTGCAAGGCGCCGTGGCCCCTTCCAGGGTAGTGTCAACAACTGGCAGCCACCTGTAAACCTGTATCCATTTTAAGCGTTGCATAGATACTGCATAGAACTTGGCTCTGCTGTCTGAACAAGACGGCTGGTGAGGTATCTCACAGAGTATCATGAGGCCAGGCGTGAAGTGCAGGGTAAAGTAGTCCAGCTCGGTTGGTCGTATGGAGGGCTGATCGGCTGAACGATAGTGCCGCAGTGGTGCCGGAATTAGCAGGCACCCCGATAGCGTGTGCATGGCGCCGTGGCACCTTCTTAGGGACAAGCAGCCAGGTGTAAAGTACGATTGTACGTATTGCCAGGCGTATTGCATTAACACTGGGCTTGGCATTCTGAAAGTCCCCATCTATTCCACATGTCCAGCAACCTTGTACCTCAACTTTACAGAAGACGGGAACGACCCACGGTTCAGCATGTACCCTCACACGATCGCATGATTAATACGGTAACACAACCGTATCCCTACTCACGTGATGCTGCGCAGTCCAACGGTTCAACAGTTTCAGCCCTCCCTAGCAGCGTCCATTCTTTCAGCCCGCGAAGGGGCGATCAAAAGAGCACATCCTGCATTTGAGTAGAAGCCCTTCTGCATCTTCGACGGGGTGCTTCTTGATTGTTACGCCCTTCGAGTACTCCTATATTCGCATGTTCATGCCGATATAACCTATACGTGATGCCGCTTTTACATGCCCCATGCGTATGCAAAGTACCAAAGATGAGCAAACGGCGTGTCATTGCCACCACTAGCTTCATAAGGATGCTTTGCCCTGCAATCCCGGGTAACGTGGCTTCAACGCGGCACAGCCCACAGTCGGAGCCGTGAGGCTCCGACTGTCACAGCCTCATCGTCGCTGCTGCTGTCGTCGTAGCTGCTGCTACCGCTACTGCTCGAACGGGCAAGCGGTTCGTGGCAAGCCCAGCGCACCACCTGCGCAGCAACCAGCGGATGCACGACAGGAAGAGCTGTTTGCAAGGGGCAGCGCCTGCACGCACCAAGCAGACACCGTACGCAGCAACCAATGGAGTTGCGCACGGCCACCCCGCCGCCCTCCTCACCTGGTCTTCCCGCGGAAACCTCAGCCCGGCTAGCGCAGCGGGTGCCATCCGCCGCAATGCATCGGACGACAGCCAGGCGGGCCCCCCGGCTGCCAGCACGCGGCCCGACCAGCGCAGCAGGGCGCGTGGCCGCCCTGCAGCACAGGGGCAGGGGCGGGAGGTGAGCGAGGCCCAGCTCTGTTACGTTGGTAGGTAAGCGGCAGGAAAGGGCATGGTTTCTTGATAGCGGGAAGTCCCAGCACAATCGCAAGCATTGTAATCAACGGTTGGTTCAGATGCTAATGCTGCCACTGAAGGAGATCGCACGACTGGGGTAGGAAGGCAAACGCCAGGAAGGGTAGGCATCTCGCCATCAGGCCGACGTCACTGCCTGTACTGCTCACCTGCTGCTGGCAAACGGAACTGGCGGTACGCCCGCCCTGCGGGCCCTGCGGGCTGCGACGCCGCTTGATGTGGCCGTCCCGGGAAGGTGAGGTCGAGCAGTGCGCACCACGCTCCATCAGCGCCCCGGGACAAGTCGCGCCAGCACCTGTGCGCCATCACAACCACGCGACTGACTTTGAGCTGTGCTCACGGTCGGCTTGGCAACACCATGATGCAGGCCTCGTGCTACCTCTGGTAACCTAGTGCAGTTACGGTGCTAGTCGCGGTTCGTGATCTTGCGTTGGAGCTGGTACACTGTCAACTTGTACGTCACCAGTGCTCGGAGCATCTTGGCACGAGTACCCCGCTCCCACCACCCACCTGCTGACGCAGGCGCAGCGCGCCAGCTCCACTGGGCCCAGATGCTCGAAGATGGACTCCACGACCTCCGTTGGCAGGTCATGCAGCGACGGCAGGGGGCCTACCGCGGCCTCGCCGTCCTCCTCTTCAGAGCCGCTGACCTCGCCCCCTGTGTCGCCACCAGATGCCGAAATGAGTACAAATGGTTGGCGATACGGCAATCTAAGCTACATGGGACTACGAGGCGCAAAATCCCAAAGGCATTGGTTGCCGTCTTCGCCTTCTGAGTCCTGACAGCCCTCTCCACCCAGCCGCTACGTACCTCTCCGTATGGACCGCCGCAGCTGCACCTGCGCGCGCTTCTGGGCAGTCGCCACCAGGGTCCTGTATGTGGTGTCAAGCAGCTGAAGTAAGGTGGACGATGAGCCAGGTTGCGACCTGCAGGCCCTCAGTGCATGATTACCTACCGTTTCTGCTTCGGGAGGACGCGGAGGGCCGCTGCAACCAGCTGGTCCAGTGTGCGGCCCAGCCGACCCATCCTGCGTGTGTGCCGCCCTTATGAGAATGACCTAGCCGTACGGCATAGGCACCGTACAATGAAGCCATACAGCTGATCCGCAACTATGTGGGTATCAACTCTCATACCTCTCGGCTTGCGTCATGGCGGTCTGCAGGTCCTCAAACATGGCGGCTTGGACTGCCTGGTCGCAACAATACCCAATTGTCCGTCAATTGCATTCAGGACGCATACGCAGCGACATCTGTGATGGCTGAGAGCACCTTGACCGCTTTCCGCGCGTAGGCCTGCTCGAAGAGTGCCTGCAGCTCCCGCATTGCACGCGCATTGTGCTCCCTGCGCATGGACATAACACGCTGGATGTTTGAGCTTGATGTTCTTCAATTACTCATTTGGGTTTGCTTAGACGACGTATAACGCTAGGCTGTGTCGGATATTTGCACTTGCCGAGCCAGTTGTGTGGGGTTCGGGATGCAACCAGGATACGGGCACGTTGTCCAAGGTAGATAACCATGCAGTTCTGCACATAATCCTCACCAAGTATGTAACGCCGAGCCAATTTGTAACCGATGATATCGCTGAGGGCTTAATTTGCCGTGATCGTCGCTGTCGCTTCCACTGTCGCTTTCTGTGGGATGTTTGCGCGATATCGGCATGTATCTATATACAGTTTTGTGCCTTTAGCGTATTACAGAAACCTGAGGCCACAGATCGAGCTCAGGAAGCGAAGTTACAACGAAAGGCCGTACAACACAAATGCATCAGTCGGTGACAGCCCTGCCGTGCTAGCTGCTCTGTAGGCAGGAAGAATTATTATTATCACATTGCCCATGAGTCATAACATTTATTGATATCCTGACGCCTTTGAAGATGCCGCTAATAATTGACGATGACCCCAGAGCGCCTATCGGCTTTGACCTGTCAACTGCTTCCACTTTATTTTGGAGGCCTGTACCAGTTCATATAAAACAGATTGAGCGTGAAGACCAGCAGGAGGAGCTGACCGTGCGCATTTTGACCGGCTTCGCCCGTCAGAACCACAACCTACGGGTGAGCTTGACGTTTACTGAGATCTCTTTGTACTCACATAAATACTGCCTTTGCTAAGCACGGAATTCATTGTCGCACAGATACTGCGCATACACATCTCCAGCGACACCGACCTGAACTTCTTGCATACCCTTGAAGTTAGCGAGGAGGACTTCCAAAGCTTGAAGAATGACCAGGGGATTCTCGTCGACTTCGCCAGCTTCCCCGGCAAAATCATTAGCCTGCTGGAGAAGTGCATCACGGCACTGCCGGGCGACTCCCCAAGGTGCTTTGCGGGTGCAGAGAGCAGACGCTTTGCAGCTGAGCCCCGATATACCTGAACGTGCCTAGCGTCCCTACTTCAGCGTGGTTTGCTGGCTCTGACCATGTGCTTGTACCTCTGGGTCTTCGTACACCCGTAGTCAGCCCTCCCCTCCCTCCGGTTGTCCCCTTGCCAGGTTTCAGGCGGTTATGACAATTCGCGGCATGGAGTCAGTGTTTAAGATTGTTGAGATCAACGACTTCAAGCAGCTGCCGCACATCACGCTGGCGTTCAGGCCCGGGAATGACTCGGTGGTCAAGCAGGTGCGGAGGTCCCTAGTGTCTGGGCTTCAGTGCTTGTTGCAGACATGCACCAGCTTGTTTAAACAGTTCTCAAAGCGCCTCTACGACTTGCATACAGTGCAGCGGCATGTGTGTGTGGCGTGTGGGAGGAGGCAAGCCCTCCCGTTGGGAAGTGTAGGGTCGTGCCATGCATGCATAAAAGGAATCTTGCAGCCCTGACGCCACGTTGGATTCTTTGCCGGATACGCAGTTCCTGGCGTTCCGGCTCACGGAGGTCAAGGGAAACTGCCAAGAGCTATCCGACGCGCTTAACAAGACTAAGGTATGCGAGCTTATCCAATCGCCATTGCGCAAAGATGCGGTATCTGCGTGATTGAGCTAGTCTTGGGTGCCTTCCTACGCCTCAGCACGTACCTGGCCCATGGTGTTAAGCAACCCTCTGCTACGATCCTCACAAACCACTGCCACCCATGCCTAACACCCGCCAGGACGAGCGCGACGGCGTGTCCTCCCAACTGTCGGAGTGTCGGCAGCAGCTGGCGGAGCTGCGGGAGCGGTACGACAAGCACCTGCTGGAGGTGCAGGCGGAGGCCAAAACACAGCAGGCGGCAGCACATGAGGAGCGACTCCGTGAGAAGGCCCAACTGAAGGATCAGCACGAAAAGTGGGTCCTTCGGTCCCCAGCTGCTCGGCGTATTTCGACCCCTTTCCATGCGTGGGATATCCGAGGGGTGGTTGGATTGACGGGCTCTAGCCCAAGACTGCATGGCATTGGAGCTTCCCTGGGAGCTTGGATATGGCAATCTTACGGTCAGCTTCCTCCATCCACCCATGCCGATTTGCAACGCGATGTGCGCAGGGAACGCTGCGAGCTTGAGAAGCGCTTCCGGGACCAGATAGCTGGGCTCAACACGCGGTTGGGGGAGCTGGACGCGGAAAACAGGAAGCTGCGGGAGATCAAATACGAACTGGATACGAAGGTGTGCTGGGATTGTTTGACGGGGGAAGCATGTGCTTGGGGTCGTACATGCGAGCCATCAGTCAGATGTCTCCGCGGGCAGGTAACCATTAGGCCGTGCTAAGGGTGCATGTATATGGGAAGTGTGGAAAAGGCGCATAACTGGTTTGCCACTCTTGTTGTCCACACACTCCTGACACGGCTACACTGTTGTTAAGGTGCTGCACAGCGCAACGTTCCCGTAATAACGGTAAGCCGCCATATCTCGTCGTGTCGTGTAGGTTTCGGAGCTCAGTCACAAGCTTGGGAGCGCGGAGGGCAGCAACAGGTCCCTGGACGACGAGAGCGGCCGGCTGCGGTCGCTCAACCAGCAGCTGTCGCTGGCCAAGCACGAGCTGGAGATCCAACTCAACGAGGCACGGGCCAAGCTGCTGGCGCTGGAGGAGAAGGTGGGGCACTGCTCGGGGATGGTAATGCAGCGTGCTCGATGTGGGGTGTGTCATCGGATAGAGTGAAGACACCTCAGGATTCGTGTTACCAGAGGAATGCCTGATAGCTTGATAGCCACTCCGGTCCTACCCGGACCCTTAACGGGGATCTTGTCTTGTCCCTATTACTCGCATGCAGGCTCAGTCTCAGGCGGATGTCGTGGAGCAGCAGCGAGGGCGCTTGAAGGACATGGAGGGGGCCATGCGGCAAGCGGAGCAGCGTTGCGGGGACCTGCGGGACGCCTTGGCTGCAGCTGAGGCTCGCGCAAAGGAGGCGCAGGCGGAAGTGCTCAAGGGCAACCAGATCATTGAAAAGCTGACGGTGAGGGGTGGCTCTGTTACGGTTCATCTGGCTCAGGGGGTGTAGCTCTTCTGGACCCATTCTTGTTTGCCATCCTGACCTTGTTGCCGGATCCATGCAGACTGACTTGCGCCTGGCCAAGGAGAAGACCAAGCGCAAAGCTGCCATCGTCGTACGGCAAGAAGAAGAGCTGCAGGAGCGCGAGCAGTCCCTAGCCGCCGCCATGCGCGACTTGTCCTCAATGAGGCAGCAGGTGGAGGCGCTGCGGTCGGAGCTGGGCGGCATGCAGGGCGAGAACGAGGTGTTGCGCGGCAAGCTTGAGGACAGCAAGCAGCAGCTGGAGAGCAACCAGCAACTGATCCGTTGGCTCAACCAGCAGGTACGGCCGCTGGTGTGGTGTAGGGCGGCCTCATGGAGATGCTGGCATAGGCGGCGGGAGTTTTGTAGTATAGGAGAGTGCTGTGCGGGATTGCGACATGAGGCGTAAGATGTCTGCGGTATTTACTCGTTCCACAACTCCTCTGCCTTGTCGTGCAGGCGAACGAAGCAAACCTGAATGCCTCTGGCGCCGTGGTGCCCGGGTCGCGCTACACCTTCCGCCCCACGTCTACACTGGCGGCCGCGCCCTCCGTCGCCGCCACACCCGCGGTGGGCCTCCTCGCCGGCCCTGGGCACTCGTCGACCTACAAACCGGGCGCAAGCGCTAGCAGCAGATACCTCGGGGCACTGGGCGGCGGGGCCGGGGGTGCAGGTGCAGGACCCGTTGCAGGTGCCGCCGGGGCGGGCTCCTACCCGCAGCCGCTTGCCAACGGGGCCGGCCAGGCTGGCGGCGCCGGCAGCGGAGCGTTCGGCGCTGGCAGTGGCTACGGAACAAGCGGGAGTAACGGGCCAACAGCCAGCGCTGCGGCCCCCAACGTTTCCTTCAGAAGCAACTACGGATCCGGCCCGCAAGCCACTCCAGGACCTGGGCTGGCCTCAGCCATGGCAACACCGGCCCTGCACCGTGCTGGGGGCGCCTCGTACGGCACGTCGTACGGGACGGGGCTTGGGGCTTCTAGAGGGCTAGCAGATGCCACCCCCGCTCCTAGCAAGTACGGGTTAATGGGCAGGGCTGGGTATGGTGGGCAGCCCGGCGCAGGGGGCGTTGCGGTCGGGAACGACGGGGCGGATGGGTCCCGCTGATCAGCGCTGGGAGGCTTTGCATACCGGTACTTGTGACTTCCTGACTTGCAGGGTGCTACTGACACTAATGACTTTGACGTGCGTCGCGGGGCATATGGGTGCATTGACCATCCTGACATGGATTTGTACCAAGAATAGTTGGCGAGCACTATTCTGGTGGTTTGTGCTGCGCCTTGGGAAAAGGGAGGCTATGGGTGAAGATGTACGTGTGTGAGCTGTTACAAACGCTGTGTTGACAAGCGAGTCGTAAACCAATGTATGCATACATGCGTTGATACGTGTCTAATCACAGCGCAATACTGGCGCGAGTACATCATTTTAGGCCCAATGGCCATGTACGGTGCTTGATAAGTTCCCATGTAACTATCTCACATCTGTCCTTCCCCTACTCCTATGCCGCTCCCAAAGCTGCTATTACCCACACAACGGTTACTCAGTACCCAAACACCGGCCCAGCCACTTGCTGCCAGTTTTTCTCCCATCGCAGCCCCTGCTCTCGAGCCGCAACGTTCCGCTGCAGCCTCGACAGCTGCGAGCTGGGTGCCGTCGGGAAGCCAGTCAGCAGCTCCGCCAGCTGCGCCGCCAGCTCCTCCCCGCTGCTGAAAAGCAGGCCCGTCTCCCCGGGCGACACCAGCTCCGTGATGCAGCTGTACGACAGGGCGCAGACGGGCAATCCGCTGCCGTACATGTCGACCACCTTCATGGGCAGGTCCAGCCCCGAGGACGAGGCATGCAGCGACACGCCAATGTCCGCGGCGCCCAGCAGCGTGGGGTAGTCGGCTGCCTCCAGCCAAAGCGCCCGAATGGCCACCTTCTTAAAGGACATGGCTGCGATGCGCGACAGGTACATCTCTTTCTGCGGCCCTTTGCCCGTAATCAGCAGCAGCAAGTCCGGCAGCGTCCCTGCCATTCCTTCCCCGTCCCCTGCGATGCTGCTGCTCGCGAGCTCGTCGTACCTCACGGCCGCATCCAACAGTATGGAGAAGTCCTCGTCCGGAGTCCAGCTGGTGCTGCTGACGACGATTGCGGGGCGGTCTGGCCGCAAGCACACCGCCTGCCCCGGCCGCTTTGTGGTCACCACCGTAACCTCCGTGGACTCCTGCGTGCGGCTGGCGGCGGCGCTGCTGCTCCTGTGCGTCAGGAAGTCATCCATGGCCGGCTGATCCAGCGCTGTGCCCAGCTTGCGGAACAGCGTGTGCTGGGCAGCAGGCGGGGTGCGGCCGAAGAAGGCAGGGGGCCGGTCGTACAGGACCGTTGCACTGACACCCCAAGAGTTCTGCAAGTCTTCCTGCATCGCCTTTGTAACGCAGAAGTGGCTGCTGCCACGCCGGCCCCAGAAGCGCTCATAGATTCGTGCTAGGCGCACTAACGGGTGCCGCATGCCCAGGCTCAACGCAAGTATAGTGTAGCCATAATTGTGCCAGTCTATGACGAGCTCTGCGCGATGTCTTTGAGCAGCCAGCCAGCAGACCGCCATCGTCGGAATCGCTGGCGGGTTCTGCAGGAGAATGCGGTCCGGCGATGGCAACCTCGCCAGCATCATCCATAGCAGCCACCACAGCTGGTGTAAAACCTTTAACACAAGAAACAGCAAACGAGGCAAACGCCGTAGAAGCGCTGGGGGCTCAGGGACGTTGTGGATGTGGACGTTGCGCGCAGACCCCAACTCCGGCAAAGGGGTTGATCCGCCATATGCAATCACGTGGACATCCGTGGAAGGTTGTTTAGACAACGACAGTGTATGGTACTGCATGCGTGGGCTCCTGCCGAAGTCCCCGAGGACAACGACCCAGCTAACATGTTCTGCCCGGCTCGTTGTCGATGTCTCGCCTGCCATGGCTATGTGAGCAACAAAGACACGTATTGCTGCTGATCGAGTGTTAAAGCTTCATTTCATGATGTTGCAAGTTTAGTCCAAACTACCGCAGGCTGGCTGCTTTGCGATGTACTACGCCTATTGCAGCATCGCTGTCTACCTACCACACATAGTATGCTTGTACTAACACACAAGGTACCCTTCTCACCTCCCCTGCAAGCTGCAACGACAGTTCGTACTGCAGTACGTCTACGGCAACATCAACTACAAACTGTCCTCAACGCTGACCAGTACCGGAATTACCTAATAACCATAGTACATGGCACTAGAAGCACCGTAGGACTCCGTGCGCAGCATGCCACAGCTGCTACAGCTGAGAATGCACTCTCTACCCTAGTTCGCCTTTCTCAATCTTCGCGCGTGGGACACCGGCCCCCTAACCCTCTTCAGCCTTCACACCTGCATGGCACTAGCCCTCCTTCAAAACGCTGCCAACCTCAAAAGATATACCACCCTGCACTTGCCGCTGCCACGAGTACAAGAACGAACGGGCTTGGAACGCCAACCTATATTTACAGCCGATGTAATGAGCTGACCCGCTGGCCTCTTCCTGACCTTGGGACCTCCCAAGCTACCGCTAACTAGTCGCGCCTCTCTTGCACCGCAACCGCCGGCGCTCACGCCAAGTAGTTGTACACCTGTCAGCAGCGGTAGGATAGCGAAAGCAAGTCATTGCAGGTCCTGGTAAAGTGGTAAACCTGGCAAAGGGATGGGTAGGGGGTCTGGCGGCGGCCACACGTGCATGTGAATACCAGTACCTCACTCGCTCCCTCAGGGGTAAACCGCAACTCCCGTCGACCCCACGGCAACCCAGCAGCTCTCCCCATCCTCCTTAGCCCTCCTCCCCACCCTCGAACCCCATCCTAGCATGGTGTGGTTTATCTCTGACCCCCCCTCGCTGACCCCCCGTACCCACATTCGCATCGCTGGGGTCTCTCGCCAAGTACTCCCGGTCTATGAGCGACTCGATGCGCTTCTTGAGGTCCGCCGCCTTGAGCGGGAACTTGAGCTGCAGCAGCGCCTCCGCCACCAGCAGCTTGTGGCTCAGCGTCTTGCGGGTCTTCATGATGCGAACCAGCGCAGCGTCGATCTGGTACTGACGGTCTTGGAGCACCTGGGGGTGTGGCGGGGGAAAAGTTAAATGAGGCGTGCAGAGAAGTGAAGCACAAATGCGTGTTTCATAAAGCTGTGTTGTCAATGATGCCCGTGTGCGGGGGGGGGAGGTGCCGTACAGGGGGCGCGTAAGAGAATGGGCCCATGTGCCAAGGATGGTGAAGGTGGCGGGTTACCGTACAAGGGGCGTGGCCGGGTGCAACGGCAATGGGATAGATACAAGTGGGGCGGAATGGATGAACCGAGGAGAGGTATCTTCCAACACGGCCACCCTTCCCCCAGAGCAAGCTTCCATGCGCGTCGAGCCCCCCACGCCCACGCAGCGGCACACCCGCACCTGCTCGTTTGTCTTCTTGTTCTCCTCCTCCGTCTCCTTCATCTGAATGGAGTTGATCTTGATGCGGAAGAGCTTCTCCGTGAAGGCGGCGTTGAAGGAGAAGGAGTCGGTGTTGGACACGTCGCGCCCCTTGGGCTCCTTGGTCAGCACCCGCACCTGCGGCCGGCAGCGGCAGGCAGGCGGCGGGACAGAGATATAACAAAAACCACAGGTTAGGGCAAATGAGGCGGCGGGAAGGGCAAAGGAGGAGGAGGGTAAAACGCTGCTGCGCGGTGCGGACAGATGCACCAGTTACAAGCCAAAATGGCACCTTTGTCAGGCTTGCAAGCCAGCAGCAGCCCATGCTAAAAATCCGCCCCGTGCTGCCCCCGCTGCACGATGCCGCCCCCCGCACCCCGGGAAGCGGCCCGCACCTTGCCGCACGCGAGGCTCTGCAGCGTGCGTTTGAGCTCCTTCTCCTCTAGGCCGCACGCCGAGGCAATGTCGGCGTACGACAGCGTGTCCGAGTCGTTGAACAGCATCAGCACCGCGGCCTGGCAGCAGGAGCGGAGGGGAAGGGGGAAGGGAAGTGCGGCAGGCTTGTGAAGGAGAGGGAGCAGAAAAAGAGAGGAGAGTGGCGACAGCAGCGGGCCACACAGCATGACTGCAAGTCGCTCGCCCCTCCTCAGCCCTGCCCAAACCTCCCTAAGACCCCAGCCCTCCTCACCCTATGGTCACGGTCAGTGGTTCCTCGCGGCTCAGTTTATCTAATCCCCAGCCCTGCTCCCCACCTGGAAGGTGCTGACCGACAGCTCCTTCAGGCCCCGCGGGAAGGCGGCTCGCAGCACGCAGGAGCCCAGGCTGTGCTGGAACACCAGCCGCCGACCCGAGTACTTGGAGTGGTAGAAGTCGCGGAACACGGCGGAGGCGCGGTCCAGCGCCTGCAGGAGGAGTGGTGGGAGGCGGGTTGAAGAAGGAAGAGTGAGGAACGGCGGGGTGTGGAGGGGAGGCAGCGGTCGAGTTACACCCTCACACCTGCCAGTAGTCAAGGTATGCGGCCACCGGTAGGGGTGGCCTTACCAGGTCAGGTCCCAGAGCCCCATAAGGCCCCCCTTCCCCCATGCACCCCACGCCGGCACCCGCTCCCCCACCTCCGGCAGCTTGACCTCCACGGCGGGGTAGGTGGGCCAGTAGCCCGAGGTGAGCACCGACACCGTCACGTCCACCCCCGCCGGCAGCCCCGCAGCGGCGGGCGAGGCGCGGAAGGCCGCCATGACGTCGTCGCTCAGCTCGCAGTCCTTGAACATGCCCTCCAGCTTGGCCGTGAACTGGCTGCCGCACTCCACCTGGGGGAGGACAGGGGGAAAAAAGAAATGCCACAAGTGTGGTGTGATAATGATACAAGTTGCTGACAATCCCTGGTGGAATCAACCGAGTCGAGCCGAAATGGTGGTAGGGGGTAGGGGGAAGGGGGAAGCTGAATACCCAGTGTGATGATTGTTGTGTGACGGGAGCTGGGGAGGCTGGGGAGGCGAGTGACCGGAAAACGGATGACAGCCAAGTAAGGAAATGGCGCAGATTGCGCTGTCAGGGGCCAGCCAGGGGATGTCAATGCCAACAGGCAAGGAGAAGCGGCTCCCGACGTCCCGAGCAAAGGCGGGGGGATGCAGAGCAGGGCGCCAGCAAGCGCGACACGCCGGCACCGGGGTTGGGTTGCCTGCTCACCTTGAGCTTGGAGATCATGGCCTTCTCCGCGTCCACGCTCGCGCTGCGCCCCAGCAGCAGCCGCTTGGCCAGGTCCTTTTTGTAGAAGGCCTCGAACACGTCCTTGCCCTGGATGAAGCTGCGGGGGCGGGGGCGGGGCAGGAGGGGCAGAGGAGGAGGGGTCAGCCGCACCGGCCTGGAGCTAGTTGACACATGCGTGGAGGGTTGCTAAGACCCGGTGGGGGACGGGTGCTGTGTACATGGCAAGGACCCGACAGGAAGCCTACCTTGCGCGCGTTAAAAAGAGCACGTCAACGCGCTCGCGGAGCCACGACTCCCATCCTCATTCTTCCTCTCCTCACCTCCACCGCTTCATTCCTCCTGGGCCCTCCCTCCTTCCGCTCCCCACGGCACCCCACCCCACCACACCACACCACACCACACCACGCACCGGAACAGCATGATAGCTCGGTCCAGCGCCGCCTCCAGCTCCTCCTCACTGCCGCCGCCCCCGCCGCCACCACCCAGCCCCACACCCCCGCCACCCGCACTCGTCGCCCCTGCCACCGCCGCCGCTCCCCTCCCGCCCGCCCGCAAGCGCGCATCGATGAACTTTGCGATCAGCTCCGCGGGCTTGTTGGCGCGCTGGTTGATGAAGTACTCGAAGGCGTCCTTCAGGGTGGCCGCGAACGCCTCGGAGCGCCCGAACGCCTCCGCCACCACCTGGTCCAACCGCGCCTTCAGCTCCAGCAGCCGCTCCACCATCTCCTTGTCCTGGGAGGGGGGGTGAGGGAAAAAAGAAAATCCAAAGTGGGAGGGGTGAGGGAGGGAGGGAGGGAGAAGTAAAAGAATCCCAAGGTGTTGAATGAGGATAGCAAACAAGCCGACGAGCTCGAGGGAGGGGGTTGCGCAGTGAGGAGAGCGGGAGGGGAAGGGAAACCGGAGGCAGGGCTGCAGCACGTTGGGGAAGGGGCTACGAAGGGGCTATGATGCAATGGATACGGCCTGCTGCTCTGCTTATGCGCCACCTTTCTCCCCCGCCTCCCCTACCTTCTCCTCGTCCTTCACCAGCGCCAGCCCGGCGGCCCTCACGTGCTCCCTGAACGCCGCCCGCAGCGCCTCTCCCGCCCCCACCCGCCCCAGCAGCGCGTGCAGCCGCCCCAGCTCCGCCACGCGGTGCCCCTCCAGCAGCGGCCCCAGCCCGCGCTCCAGCAGCGGCCCGGTGTGGCGGCCCAGCAGCTCGCCCTCCACCGCGGAGATGAGCGGGCGGCGGGAGGAGGCGTCCAGGTACTCGGAGCAGCGCTCGTACTCCTCGGATAGCCGGGTCTGTGAAGGGGGGCGGGGAGAGCGGGGGGCAGGGTGGTGGTGGTGTGGGGGTGAGAGTGGAGTGCGGGTGGTGATGGTGTAGAGCCGGGGTGCTTTGCCCAACCTGCAGTGCTCCAACGCGGCGATTGGGCGACATGCATTGCGTGCATAAGCAGACCCTTGAAGCCGGCTCCTCCATTCTTCCCTCCCTCCTCTCCTCCCCTCCCTCTTCTCCTCCCCTCCCCCACCTCGCAGTGCTTCAGGTAGGCGGGCACGTCCAGCTCCGTCATCAGCCGCTCGCCCTCCGACCGGTAGAACTGGGTGCTGGCCTGGGGGTAGGAGGCCGGGGTGGGAGGTTGGAAGGCTAGGGAGGGTGTTTGGAGTGGGAGTGACAGCGGACCGCCGCCAGCACACGTATGCAGGCAGGGATAGCGCCCCCTTTGCGGCCCTCTTCCCCTTCCAAGGACCACCCCCCGAGTATCCTCTCCTCGCCCCACCCGAGCCCACCTTCATGAAGGGTTCGTGGAAGGCCTCCGCGTATATCCCCAGCGCGCTCATCATGCGCAGCAGCCCCTTGAGCAGCGCCCGGTTGACCGCCTCGCCGCCCCGCTCCCGGGCCACCAGCTCCAGCAGGCCCTCCACGGTGCGCTGCTTGATCTGGGAGGGCAGGCGGGGAGGCAGGAAGGAGGAGGGAGGGGAGGGGGCAGCAGAGACGGGTGCGTAGAGGCCAGGGGCGAGTAAGGGCAGGAGAGGTGCGTGCAGGGCTGTCGGGTTACGCATGCTTCAGCATTCGCTTCCGCGCTCCCAACCACTCTCTTCCCCATGCGCTACACTTGCCACTCCCCTCACCAGCCCACCGCTCCTCTCCCCCAATGGCTTTGCCCTAATTGCCGCAACGTTGGAACCGGGTCGGGTAGCGGCACCATCCTTCTCCCACTCCCCTTCCCATCTCTACCTGCACCTCAGTCTCCCTCCCTATCCCCTCCCCCCACCTCGGGCCGCGTGGCCAGGTGCCCCCTGAACAGCGCCAGCCCCATGTCGAAGATGCTCTTGACGGGCGCCGCGCCGCCCGCCAGCTGCAGCACGTAGGTGCGGTCCAGGTAGAGGAAGATCTGGCGTGTCAGCAGCATGCAGCTGCAGTGGTCGCCCCACACCGCGGACACGCGGTCCAGGAAGGGCAGCGAGTCCAGGGAGAGGCAGTCCGACAGGGAGCCCACGTGCGCGCGGATGTGGGTGTCGCACTCCTGGAGGGGAGGGGGGAGTGAAGGGGTGTTGTTCGCGGGGTGGGGTAGGGTGGGTCGCGGCGGACTGGGATTCCGTGAGGTGTGGTGAAGCCCGGGGAGTGAGTGGGTTCGGAGAGGAGTGGGGAATTCGGCACAGGGGGACTTGGCAAGGGTCCAAAGCACAGTGAGGGGGTCGCATGGCTGATGGGTGCGCAGGGCGGGCGTGGGTGCACCCGGGGCCCGGGGTGCGACGAGGGTGTTGTGTGCAGGAGAGGTGTGGGGAGGCACCCCTGTGAAGGCGGGTGCTGGGAGGGTAGTACGATACCACCTCTGAGGAAGCTGCCGGGGGTGACGTACAGAGGCGCTTGCTGCCGTAAGCGCAGGTAGGAAAAAAAGAAATTCCAAAGTGGTGTAGGCCGGGAGTGTGTGCGCATCAGTGTACGACTTCCCACAGCCTACCTGCTGCAACCGGTTGTACAGCTTGTCCGCCATTTTGTGCATGCACATGTCCTGCACCGCCTGTGAAACCGGGGGAAAGGGGTCCGTTTCGACGACGAACCAGGGCTAGGCTGGCCTTCGCGGGAAACCCGAAGCTTAGTAACCAAGCTTAGTAACGGGGCATGACTCACGGTGTACAGCTCCTCCAAGCTACATGCCACGGGGCGCTTGCAATGCACCGCATCTATGCAATCCCTTAGTTTGCTCCACGTCGCTTCTTCGAAGTTCGCTGGTAGCTCGGGCTTAACTGCAACATGCACCACAACCGTTAAAGGTGCGCTGCTCGCCTAATGAGCGCTGTGTGCTACGCATACCCTTCAGTGGCTTGATCACAAGTTTTTTCGTTTGCTGGGAGCCTCCATTGACGGGAAGCAACCCGCCAGTCGGGGCTTTACCCTTGCCTCCTCCTAGCACAGCCGACATCCCCGTCTCCTTTTGCTGTAAGCAGATCTAATCTTTCATTGCCGTAGTTCCATTTTAGGCTGCTGGGGTTGTATTTGTCGGTGCGCAAGAGTAGTGAGAATGGAAAATGGGTTATGGCAGAACGAGCTGCTTCCAGCTACATACAATTGTGCAGAAAGATTGCTCAGGCGGCACTCCGGTGGAGAAAGGAGCTGTGAGGGGCGTTGACAATGATCAGGAGGGCCCGATATGCGTCCCATGCCATGGGCTAGAATGAGTGGAACTCCACACCTGCTCCCGTAGGCCTATACCGCAAGTTAACTTTTAAGTTTAGGAGATACGGGGGTGTGTAACTGGGGAGTACGCTTTAGAAGGGCTGCCCCGTCCCCGGCTCCGGTTCCTTGCCTTTCCTTACTTCCTCACCCTAGAGGCCGTAGGAGAGCTTGCAAAAATGAACCCCGTTAACGGTGTTAAGGCGCTGTTTCACCGCTTGGGCTTCGCGATGAGGGAGAGCGGACAAGCGCTGGAGCGCGTGGGCTGCCGTCTGCAGGGCATCTACTCCTTCGAGGAGAAACGTGGGTGGTGAACAAAGAGTTATGCATTCTTGGACAGGATTTTATCCTGAGAGTGAAGGTCCCTTTCTGCAGTGAGCCGGCACACCCCTGTCCTGCCGATGCGCTATAACATTCCGTCGGTCCCGGAGTCTGCTTGGGTTGCTCCTTCGGGCATGGTGTCGGGCAACGTAACGCTGGGCGAGAACAGCTCGGTCTGGTATGGGGCCATTGTACGCGGTAAGCTGCTCATACTTCGGCTCAGCTTTTAATCAGCGTTTAACTATAGCACTACACTCGTTTACATAGGTGACTTCCAGCCGGTCACTGTTGGCGCAAACAGCAACATTCAGGATGCGGCGTACGTGGGCGCGACCAGCGAGTTCAGCCCGCCCGTGGTGATTGGGGATAACGTTTCTATTGGCCACGGCGCGGTGCTGAAGGGCTGCACCCTGGGGGACAATGTCCTGGTGGGAATCAACGCGGTCATCTCGGAGAACGTCGAGGTATGCTTGCATATTGCTTGCCCATTGTGTGTGCCTCCTTTGCCAACCGCTTGCCGGTTTGCCCTTTTGGTACATTGGCGCAGGTTCAGGCCGGCGCTGTTATTGCTGCCGGTGCATACGTCGAGGAGGGCACCGTCGTGCCCTCTGGGGAGGTGTGGGCTGGAAACCCCGCGCAGAAGCTGCGCGACGTCAAGCCCGGGGAGGTGGAGTACCTGAAGTCGCTGCCGGGGCGTTACACTGAGCTGTCGGGCGAGCACAAGAATATCATGGAGGTGCTCACGATTAAGCAGAAGGAGTACTACGCTTAAGGGGTTTTGGACGGCATATTCATAGGTAGCGTGTCCGTTGGAGGCCTGGTGGTATGAGGTTTGCAAGAGAGAAGGATGCCTGGGGTATGGTGGGCTGCGTGCGTTCTGGCCTGCTGCATGTAACCGCATGGTGGCTGCTTAGTTGTGTTTTGGAGACGACAAATATCATTGCCAACCGTGGCGGATTGGGATAGGGTACCGAACTTTGTTACATGGCATCCAGAGGCGTGCGAACCCACAGACGATGCCTTATCACCGCTGCTGTTGCAGCTGTGACAGCATCTGACGATAATGTTGCCGGATGTAGCTTTCAGACGGGGGCGCCTGTCCACGCGAGGCATACCACATCTGCGTGACCCGGATGTACCTGTGTTTGGGCACGACGCATGTAAGGGAATGTTTTAGGAAACACGTCCATAAGCACGACCCTCTACACCGCAATCAAGCGGCCACATACCATGCATGAGACTTACCATCCAAACTAACCACCCCTAGCCATATAGCACTAATAGTAGCAGTAGATCGTGTAGCACTGTGACGAACAAGTAAAAGAATAGCTAAAAGCGTATCCGAGAAAGAAGAAAGAGGGTAGCATCAGGGTGCGTGCATCCTGGTATTGTTAGCGTCAGCAGCATTCCGTCCGCCGTACCGACCATGAAACATAGAACTATTAGTACCAATGGTTCCAACGCCTTGCATGCCCAGGGTTCTTACGGTGCAAACAACCCCATCGACAGCAACTATCACAGAAGAGGCGCCATCATACGACAATAACATGCAGGGAATCCGTACCACGTGCAATGCGGCTAGGCAGGCAGTCCAACGAGAAATGCAGTCCCCATCCGAGCAACATATGCAAGTTCCGGGCCAAGTTTGCAACATACAATCATTTCGTCCCGTGCAGTACCCCTTAAAAGTTCAGCGTTCATGCATGTAATATTCATGATACCATTGTCTTAGGATGAATAGTGTTTGAAGCACAAAAAGAATAATGCACTGGAAATGCACAAACATTTGTGCAGCCGACCCCACGCTATAGACACCGACTCCAGCGGTCTGCAATGCATGCCCCACGTCTTTTCTACCACTCGTATGCCGACAGCCCACTACTCTTGCAAACTCCTGCTGCAACAGATAACAAAAGACTTACTCTTCCTCCGTGTACGGCTGGCCGCCCGGTTTCGCGCCCATACCCGTACCAGCGCTCGCACCGCTGGCCACGGCCATGCCGCCACCGCCTTCCATGCGGCCCTGGCCTACAGCGACCTGCGACGCTGGTGACGTTTCCCGCGGATATCGAGGCGACAGCTCTGGCGACCTGCTCCGCTGCCGTCCGTTGCTGCCGCCCACTCGTCTCCGTACCTCCTGCTGCACCCGCCCGTACTGTTGGAGGTACTGCTCGTACGTCATGTTGCTGAAGTCCACCACCCCGCCGCCCCCACCCCGCCGGCCATGAACTGGACTGCGGCTTCGGCTCCGTGACCGCGAGCGTGCGCTGCGCAGCCGGCCGTCACTGCCCTCAAGCACGACGTCGTCGCGGTTGAAGTCTAACATCTGCTGCTGGGCCTGCTGTTGCTGCAGCAACTGCTGATTTGCGTGCAACATCCTAGCGCCGCCCATCTCCCCCATGTTTCCGTTACGGCCCATGGCTCCCGCCTGGCGGTGGGCGTGACCGAGGCCGCTTGAGCCGTTCATGGCCCCCGCCGGGCCAACCCCGCCCAATTGCCCGCCCATGGATGCCATCGCACCGCCCGCCCCCATTCCAGAGACACCTGGCTGCATGCCCGCAGGGCCACCGGCACCGGGTCCACCACCGCTGACCACGGCAGCCATCGCCTCAGCGAGCAGAGGGTTGCTGGCCGTAATCGCGCTCATCGCCAGCGCCTGCTGCTCGGGAGGTAACGTGGCCATTGTGGCCACCATGGCAGACGCGATGGCTTGCAAGCTTGGCTGTTGCTGCTGCATGCCACCCACGCCCGGCTGCATGCCCAGGCCAGCGTGCTGCAGCATGGCGCTCACCGCTGCTGGGTTGACGTTGTTCATAGCCACCATGGCCGCCACCTGCTCCATGTTGACGTTGGCGCCCATGCCCAGGGAACCCATTGGGCCCAACAGGCCCGGCGCCACACCACCCAGGCCCAACATGGCAGAGTCCATGCCGGGACCGGGTAGCGGCGGCCGCATGCCCGGACCCATGCCTGCGCCGCGGGGGCCGGGGCCCAGCCTGCCGCCGGGTGCAGCCAGCATGCCGCCCCCACGCCCCATCATGCCTGGTGCAGGCCCACCCCTGGCTCCTGGGTCCATTAGCGCAAGCTGCTGCCGCGGCGGCTTGGCACCAGCGGCTGCTGCGCGCTCCTGCATTAAGCGCACCAGGAGGTCCCCCTGCTCTTGCGGTATCTCCGTCCCATCACGTGCTATGAACACCGGCCTGTTCTCGTTGTAAGGGTTGCGGATTTGTTCGCACTCGCTGTGCGGTAGGTCGAACAGGACACGCCACTCCACAGCGAACGGGTTGCCGAACTGCTTCCCGTTCTCCCAGATGACAGGCCGGCCAAACCTCCCGATGGGCGAACGCATGACTGCGTATCCCTGAAACGCGTTGCTGCCTGTGACGGAGTACAATAGGCGAACTTCCCTGCTCTTGCGGAAAGCGTCATCAAGCTTGTCGTCATTCTGGCGAGTTGTCGCCCACGCCCCGACGCGGACAGAGATGAAGATGTTTTGCAGCGTACTGGAACGGATAATGAAGTACCGCACACCTTGACTTGAGCTCTGACCCTACATTGCGCACGTGTTAAAACAAGATGTTATAGTGGCGGGTCAAAACTCGACCGGCGCATTGCCGGCCATGCGTACTGTACGTTTCCTAGCTAACTACGATGACCTCACCCGCTTTATCTTGTTAGGTACACCTCCACCGAGGCCTCCGCGCCCAGATGGCCCAGCCGCTTCCTCCCCTCGGGGCGGTGCATCTTGCACCTCCTCCTTGCTGCTGGCAACAGGTTCCGGTGTCTGTTGGTCTACTTGCTCTGGTTCTGCAAGCGAAAACAGCAGCATATAGGTTGACGACAATCTACAATCAGCCCAACCGACCCCTTAAAAGCTGCTTCATAGCATTTGACTAGCACCCAGCAAGTGACGCCGTGAAACTCACCAGCAATTGCTGGCACAGCCTCTGGTGGTTCAAGATCTGCCTCTTGCTCCAGGTCTGGCTCATAATCATCATATAGGAGTGCCTCTTCCTCGTCCATTGGGTGGCTGCCGAGGCAGCAGGGAAGCCCAACAAGTCTCTAAGCCTATTGCGAGTACTAATACAATAGGTGCGATTAATTACTGGAATTTCCCTGTGCAGCCACCCTGCGGAGTGCTACTTGGCCCACCGGTGTGAGTGAAAATGTAGTTCAATAACCAATCTTACAACAGTCCCACCCTCTGAACTCTAGTCGAGATATGTATCTGGTATTATTTTTGTGCTCCGAGTCCTCTGCAGTTTCGAGCTGTCAACTTCCACTCTGGTACGGCAAATGTTCCCCCTATGGCATACACCACCCCCGTAACCCCCTAGTAAAGTTTACCGGGGTAGTTAAGTTACTGCCTCAGTTTGGTTACCGGCCAATAACCTAGTAATTGTACTAGGGCCAGTAACTGGGCCAGTAATGACGGACAGTTACCAGGACAGTGAACAGGCCGGTAATGGGTCAGTAATGGGCCAGACCTTACAATGGTTATTAGGCAGGCACTGTGGCCTAAATGAACGTCTGTATTGCAATGGTTTTTCCGTTCAGTGGCCAGACATAACGTCCGGGTCCTAATCCAGCCCCTACTCATCCAGACATGCCACCAAAGATTTGCACACGAAGCATGCCTCAGGATCCGTCCTGTAAGGAGGGAACATGTAATACCCCAATTAACACACCAAGTTCGCGCACACACGCCACCTTTCATACCACACACGCATAAAACTACTAGGAAAGCAACACGCTACAGAGTTGTGTCCCGAATATTAAGGCGAGTGCCGAAACCGGTGCCGCCCGCCCGCCCCCTTGCCCCTGCCCTTCACGCTCGCCTTGGCTTCTTCTGTCCCTGCTTGCCGGCCACCTTTCCCTCCTTGCCCATGTTGCCGGTCGCTTCCGGCACATAACCATGCGCGCCCATGTCCTTTGGCAGCGGCAACTCTCGTGCCTTGGTGCGGCGCATGTCCTTCACGGCTGTTGCCGCCTTCTTGCGCTTTTCTGCCTCGATCTTCTCCGCAAGGTTTTCCTTGGCCTTCTCAGTCAGCTTGGGCTGCCGGCGTGAGCGGCCACCGTCCTGCACCGCCGGCACAGGCGGCTGTACGGCACCTACAAGGATAGCCCAGAACACAGACTCAATACAGCTTCAACAACTACATGCGCTCTAATAATCAATAACAGAAACGCTAATGGTGTTGTTAAAAGCCTTACTCCCACCAACACAGATAGCACTTACTCTTCTGCTTCCGGTGCTGCTTGCCACCTCCATCCTCTTCGTCCTCGCTGCTGGAGTAAACCGCTTGCGCCCCACGACCCTGCTTGTAGTTCGTTTGGGCCTTGCGTGAGGATGGGGCAGTGCCTGTAGGTTGAACCGTGCGTGTCCGCAAGTCAGCTTCGTACAGGTAGGAGCATATAATATCACCTGGATAGTACATCCACGGTTCGGAAATGATGCTAACCCACCCCACCTGGATAGTCAACCCACGGTTAGGAAATGATCCCTGCGCTCTACGTAGACATGAAGCCCCTACGAATGCTTTAGGGCGGGTATCTAGTATGTTCCTACTTGTTCCCACGCGCTGCTCAACATCTGACAGCGTAGAAATGCACAGTTCCACACCTTGTTGCACCCGCTACGGAGAGATAGTCGAACCCAACGTAGCCCTTCCTGTACTACGCATCTAATGGGGACTTTACTTCTTAATGTGACAACCACATCCCAGATGACTGCAAGTTGCTGTAATGCTAAGGAATTCCCAGGTAGGGTAATTGGCCGCTTCGGACCCACCCACCAACTACCCCCAAGTGTGTAAGTTCGACACAAGGCTCACCCCACACCTACAATCCAAACGTCTGCTTACCCTGCTGATGTCTTGAATGTATTATCCCTGATGCTAGAGTTTGCATTCGCTACAGAATTCTCGTGCACTTAGGACAGTGGATAGTGTCTTACAAAATGCAACATCCACGCAGATCCACGACCACAAAAGGGTCAGCTGCCGCAGGATTGAATAGGCAAAAATGAAGTAACAATACAAACTGCTGGCCAGCCGACGCATCATGACGCCTTGCATGTGCCCAGGCTATTAGCGAGCAAAACTGGCACTTAGCACGCCTACTCCTGGCGACGAGTCCCTCAAAAGCTAACTGGGTATCCACACTGGGTATCCAAACGAAAGCGTCAAACCCAGAACTGCCATTGGGATGCCCACCAGAATCACCTACCGAAACAACAAGCATCTAACCTATGCACTACATTAGCAGATACATTTACAACTGCCGAGCAGGGAAATCCCATGGGAAACCCCAGCCACCACCAAAACCCAGCACACCCCCCCAACTTCGCTGAAGACCTAGCCTAAGACGCCACCCGTCGCACGCACGGGACTGACCGGGTACAGCCCATCACTTCTATGGGCCCCCCAAACAGAAAAAAGACTTAGTCTGCTCGACGTCGCGACAGACAGTGACAAATTTGCAAAGGCTAGATAAGCTACACCAGTCAGTTTGAGAATAAGCTCGCCGCACGGCTCCCACTCCGTACGCACACGCAGTGGGCCACACCGGTTAGAAACAGTCAACACCAGGACCCGCCGCCATCTGGGTCGTGAGCACTGCCATAGCTATGGGCCGTGCAAACTCCGCAACCCCTGAGCAGCAGCTACGTGGGACACTGCCTTATGCGCAAGCGCGGAGCACAACACGCTAAACAGGGCTCAAGGGGCAGCGCACAACCTACCGGTAGGCCCGCCAGCACGAGTGGTCACGCAAGCCAACCAAACTGCACATCAACAGGCCCCCCAAGCTACACCCCTTACGGCACCACAGCTCCATGCCAGCGCCTCTGCGCTATGTGTTGTAAGGCGGACCAGCACACCGCAACACACCCACTGCACTGCTGGTGTCGTGCGGGCTGTGTGACCCCTCTACCACACGCACCGGACCATCTTTCCCGCCTAATCCTGCTTCTGCTGCTGCTCCTGCTCATCGCCTTCTTGCTGCTCCCCCTCCCCCTCCTGCCGCTGCTCCTGCAGCTCCTCCCCAGAGTCTCCGTACGCCTTGGAGGGGCAGGTGATGCGGTTCGCCACCAGCGTGCCGCTCAGCTGCGCCGCCGCGTCCTCCACCACGCCGCACGCGCGACCCAGCTCCGTCCGCAGCGCCACAGGCAGGCAGTCCAGAACGCGCGAGCTCAGCGTGTTCCAGTCCACGGCGTGGTTGTTAGGCACGCGGTGCGCCCCCAGCGCCGCCAGCAGCACCGGCAGGTACAGCAGGCTGGACTTGAAGAGCTTGCGAGCAGAGGCCTGCGACGGCTGCCGTGCAAACTGTGCGGAGCCGTACATCAGGTAGGCCGCCAGCGCCGCAGCCTCCCAGGCAAAGGGCTCCGTCGCAAAGCCGGACAGCACGGCCAGCAGACCGATGGGTGCGATGTAGATGCTGTGGCGCAGGGCTGCCAGCGCCGTCCGCCGGCCGGTGGCGTCTACCATGGACAGCATGCGGAAGCCGCCGGCTGTGTAGTCCGCCTTGCACATCCAGGCGAGCGCCAGGAAGTGCGGCATCTGCCAGAAGAACAGCGCGGCTGCCAGCACAATGGCGCCCGCGTCCAGCTCGCCCGCAGCGCTCGCCCAGCCCATGAGCGGCGGGATAGCGCCCACCACCGCGCCCACCCAGGTGTTGGCAATGGTGATCTGCTTCAGGGGCGTGTAGACCGCGGCGTAGAGCAGAATGTTCGCCGCGCCTAGAGCAGCTGTGAGGTCGTTGGTCTGCGGGGGTGCGGGAAGGTGAAAGGGAAAGGAGGGGTTGGCGAAGGGGAAGGGTGAGTGATTGGGTGGCGCCCCTAGGGCCAGCCGAGATCGCCACCCAAATTGCGGGCAGTCGCCTCGCTGCAGGCTGTTGACCTGCCCTAGCTCGCCCCCGCACCTTGTCATGTAAGACCCAGATCCCCGCCGCTCCGCACACCGCTGCAAACGCCACCGCATGCAGCCGGCCCATCCGCCCCGCGGGCAGGGGCCGGTTGCGTGTCCGTGACATCAGCCGGTCGTTTGCCACCTCGTAAACCTAGGGGAATATCAAGGGAGTGGAAGCGGAAGGAGAAGGGTGAAAGGGAACGGTAAAGGAACGCATACGCGGGTACGTAGGGTTCACAAACCTATTACGAAGACATCACGGACATAGTGAAGCTGCCTTGGACAGAGCGACCTAGCAAAGCCCCAATTAACCCCTTCTTAACCTCACCTGGTTCAAGGTGTTGGCCGCTGCTGCGGCCCCAAGCGTACCCAAGCATGTCCAGGCCATTTTGGCATAGTCAATATCCTCGCCACTTGCGGCAACGAATCCTGCGCTTGCTGTAAGGACGACCAACGAACTCAACTTGAACTTGCTGAGCTGCTTGTAGTCATGAATCAGACGGCGCAAACCAGACCCAGCTTTTGCGCCCTCAGAGCCCGCACGGGATGCTGCAGATGCACAAGAAGCTGCTCCTGTTGACAATACGCGGCGCCCTAAAAGGCCGCATGGTCGCATGCCAGACAGTGTCCCTGGTACTGCCATTCCGCCTTCAACGCCGCCCCGTGCCAGCTGCCATCCCAGTTGCGTGACAAGACGCTTCAAATGGTTCTGACTACCGGAAGCCATCTTCCAAAAGTCGCTTGAGGGGCGTGCCCCCAAGCCGTGTCCCGGTGTTAGATGCTCACGTTTCGACACGTCTTCAAGGGACCTAACGCGACGGGGAGACAGCTGGCATACAAAGGCACATGGCCAGTACTCACTACCTGTAGGCTTGTGGACAACCTTGCCCGCTGAGGAATCCCCAAAAGGTGCCGTACGGTACAGACCAACAAATCATGTGGCACTCAATTTCTTGATCTGTTTCATTCATCCATTAAATACCATGTAACTAAGCGTTAGTAGGCAATGGCGCTTCTTGCTACTGGCTTGCCTAGGTTTGTCGTCAGAGCACCACGCGTTCGCTCTGTTTCATGTCAATTATGGCGTGCTATGCCAAATCGTTTGGTAGGGAACCGATTCGCCAGCCATGCGGCAACACCCGATTCCTCGCCTGCCGAGGGGGCCGCCGAGCCATCGTCGCCTGCCCCCCAGAGCAGCAGCGATGATGCAAAGGAGATTGACGAGAAGGAACGCCAACGCCGAGCGAGGATTAGCGCTGCAAACACGGGGAGGGTGCCCTGGAACGCCGGTCGTAAGCATTCGCCCGGTGAGTCGCCATGGCGGACGGGACGGCCATAGTGCATTACGTTAAGGGTGTAGTGGAAGTTCTTGATTTGCGATCACTAGCGCGCCAAAGGGGCTGCAGAACGAGGTGGGTCGGACCGAAGCGACGCGACCGCTCGCTTTGGACTACCTTCCTTCCAGGCCAAAATGCACCCCTTTCCAAACACAGCCGTACAAGCCACGTAGTCCCTCCGCTCCTCCCAATGCCCGCACGCTCCCTCACAGCACAAAGCAGCTGCCAACCGCCCAGTCCCATCGCACCTGCTGCTGACCTCGCGCCTGCCCGCCTGCCCGCGCAGAGACCATTGCCAAGATCCGCGAGCGCACCAAGCTGGCCATGCAGCGCAAGGAGGTGGCGGAGAAGGTGCAGGAGGGCCGTGACAAGGCGGCCAACGCGAGCGCCAGACCGGATGTGCGGGTGAGCACAGCAGCGAGGGATCGGTGTAGGAGGGGGGGTGGGGTCGGGTGTGTGGCCAGGGTGGCTGCTACCGGCTCTTCATTTTGCGATACCGTACACTGCACTGCTGGCTGTCTAGAGCTCTTGAACACGCGCTGATTCTTGGCCGAACACACGCGCGTGCGGCGTCCCTGGGGCGTCACCCTCCTCCCTCTCGCACCACCTGGGCGTCTGTGCTGCCTGTCCGCCTTCCTCCCTTTCCACGCTCATGCTCTTTCCCCTTTCCCCTCCCGCTCTCCCTCCCCACACTTCCAGGAGCGCATCAGCCAGACGCTCCGCAAGCACCACGCAGCCAAGCGGCAAGAGAAGGAAGCGGTGCGTTGCGCGGCCAGCCGGGGAGGCAAGGGGAGCCTGCAGGAACTGACCGTGGCAGCCCACCCCTTGCAAGCCCACCACCGCACTACACCTGCCAACCTCCTGCACCCCTGACCTGAAAGTGCCTGTCCAAGCGCTCCCCGTGTGAACTGAACCCAGTCCCACTCGGATCGTCCTCACACCGAGCAGTCTGTGTAACCGGTGACCCCCATCCCACCCCGCCCCGCCCCGCCCCGCCCCACTCCTGTCCTGCAGGCGCTAGCGGCCGCCAACCCGGAGGGAGCACCCGCGCCGGCCCCCGCCAAGCGCCGGCGCAGCCCCCGCGCAGCCCACAAGCCGCAGGACGCCGCCGCCACCACCGGCTCCACCGGCTCCACCGCTCCAGCAGCAGACCCGGACACCGGGTCCGCTGCACCAGACGCCCTACCTGACATACTGCCCAGGCCCAGACGCAGGGCCGCAGCGAGCAGCACCACCTCCTCTTCCTCACCCGACGCTGCGGCCCCTGCCGGCCCCAAGCCTCCCCCCCGCCGCCCCGCCTACCGCTCCCCGGAGCACCGCGCTGCCATCTCGGAGGCCATCCGGCGCAAGTGGCAGGACCCGGAGTACCGCGCCCTCGCCGTGCAGGGTATCAAGCGGTCCAAGGGCAGCGCGGAGGAGGGGGAGGGCGAGGATCGCCCCCGCCGCCGGCCCGCCTCCAGCCGGGCGAGCAGCGGCCGACCCAGTAGTAGCGGTGGGGGTGGTGGTGGTGGGGGTGGTGGTGGCAGCAGCAGCAGCAGTCGGAGGACGAGCCTGGAGGGAGGGGTTTCGGAGCCGGTACGGAGTACACGTGTAGGGCGCGGCATGGCTAAGCTGGTGACGGTGGCGGCGCCGCAGCAGCAGTGGGAGAGTACGGCAGCGGGCAGCGGGAGCCGCAGCAGCGGGGGCAGCAGCAGCAGCACCAGTGGGGGCAGCGGTGCCGGGGCTAGTGCTAGCACTCGGATACGCGGTGTGAAGGTGAAGGACCGCGCGCGGCTGCGAGGAGCGGACGAGGAGGCGAGCAGCAGCGAGGTAAGGCGGGAGGACTCCGGGGGAAGCGGAGGGAGGGAAGGTGGAGAGAGGACGCAAGCCTGTTGCGGTACGAGGAGGACATGTACGGCAGGCGTTGTGGGGCAGGGAGCGGAGGTTCGCCAGGAGAGGGGGGAGGAGGCAAGGGCTGCGGGCTGCCGGATGCAGGACCAGGGGTGGCTGAGACTGGTGAGGGTTGGGTTCGGAGTCCGGCGGAAAAAGCGCCGCCTGGTACTCATCTGCGGTGCGCCTGCGGGCCGGCTTGGGGCTGCTTTCCTGGGTTCCTGCTGCGCCCCATGTTGCTGGCTGACGTGCCTCCCTCACCTCCCCCTCCTCCCGGTCCCCTCCTCGCATCCCTCACCTCACCTACCCTCCCCCCCAGGCCTCCGACGCTGCCCGCCTGGCTGCCGTACAGCGGCTGGTGGGGCAGGTGCTGCAGGCGGAGCGGCTGGTGGCCAACACGGAGCTGCTGGTACGGCAGATCACCATGAAGGTGAGGTGGAGGGGTTGGGGTTGGGAGCGGGGGTGCTTGCTCGGTTGGTGACTTCTATGGACAGCAGCCCCTGCCCGTCTCTCCCCGTCCTCCTTAACCCCCCGCCCCCCGGCCTCCTCCTCCCCGTCTTCTCCCGCCTCCCACCCCCCCAGCTCCACGCGCTGCGCAACGACGCGGTGGTTCGCTCCCAGGCGGAGGGCCAGCTGGCGTCCGTCAGCGCCGCGATGGCCGCCGCCAAGACCAAGCTGGAGCGACTGCGCAGCCACGTGCCGCCGGACGCACGGTACGACTCGGCGGGGGAGGTGTGGTTCGTCAAGTCAGGGCCAGGAGCAGGAGCAGGAGCAGGGGCTGGGGCTGGGGTGAGGAGAGCGCAGAGGCCGGATCCCGGGGCTGGGGGTGCTGCGGATGCGAGCATGCGGAGGAGCTCCGAAGCGGCGGCGGGGCCAGGCAGCAGCAGTCACAGTAGCAACGGTAGCGGTAGCAGCAGCGGTGCGGATGGGGGCTTGGTGCTCAGCAGTAGAACCAGGAGAGGTGCGCAGGATGGTGACATGGGCGGGGCTGGCAGCAGCAGCGGTGGCAGCAGCAGCGGTGGCAGCAGCAGTGGGTCGGAGGTGGTGGATGTGGATGCGGTGGTGCTGCATGTCCGCCCGGGGGGTGGGGCTGGGGCTGGGGGGAGCGGTGGGCGGAGCCTGGTCGCAGCGGGCCGTAATAGCGCGCCTGCATCGGGCGGTCACAGCGGCACCAGTAGCAGTAGCAGCGGCAGCAGTGGAGGCGGCAGTGGAGGCGGCAGTGGGGGCGGCAGTGCTTCCTTGAATGGCAGTGCGGGTGCCTCCCACGGCACGGTTCTGCCCCATCAACTCAACGGGGCCGGCGGGGGGCAGCGGAGCAGCCTCAATGGCGCCCACACCAGTAGCAGCAGCAGTAGCAGTAGCGGCAACAAACACCTCAGCCATGTCAACGGTAGACCCCTGTCGTACCCTGTTTCAAACTACGACAGCAGCAGTGAGTACGACAGCGAGCAGGAGGTGAACGGCTACAGCCCCCTCCCTGGGGCGGCTGAGGGCGGGCTGCAGCAGCAGCAGCAGGCGGCGGGCGGCCACGGGGAATGGGATGTGGACTGGGAGGGCGAGGCGGAGGAGGAGGAGGAGGAAGATGAGGACGGGGGGCGCCGCGGGGGATCCGGCGGGCAGCCCTCCGGGAGCGGCGGTCCCAGCGGCGGTGGCGGCGGCGGTGGGGGGCTTAACGGGCTGGCTCCCCATGCGGCCCACCGGGCCTCCCCGCCCGCACCGCTCCCACTGGGGGACACCATCCGCGTGGACCTGTCGCACCTGGACCCGCTGGACGCCTTGGGGCTGGGGCTGGGGCGCGTGAACGGACATGACGTGCGGGGCGGGCAGCCGGACGTGCGGGGCGGCGCCGCGGGGCTGGGGCCAGGCAGCCGCGAGCAGGACCTGGATGGCGGTGCGGAGGGGGACGCCAGCAGTAGTGCCGGGGGGGCGTGGAGCGGCAGCAGGAGTGGCAGCAGGAGCGGCAGCGACCCCGGGTCGCATGTTTGGACGGCTGGCGGCACCGGCCCCCTCGCAGCTGATGGGGTTGACCGAGACAGAAGCAGCAGTAGCAGTAGCAGCAGCAGTAGCCTGTCTGTGTGGCTGGCGGGGATCGACCCGCGGGACATCGCGCAGCTGCGGGCGCTGCTGCCGCCCTCGCACGCCTGGCTGGCACAGCTGCTGGACCAGCGGGCACTGGCGGCGGCGGGGCCGGACGCGGCGCGGAAGACCCTGGCGGAGGCGGCGAGTGTGGCGGAGCAGCAGCAGCAGCAGCGGCGGCGGCGGCAGGGGGCGAAGGGGGAAGCGGCAGGCGGGGAATTTGACTGGTTGCGGATGTTGCGGGAGCGTGTGGCAGGCGGCGTGGATCTGGCGAGAGCGGCGCAGGCGGCCGCGGCGACGGCAACAGCAGTGGCACCGGCGCCCGCGGGTGCCGTTTCGCGTGGGTTGGGAGGGTTACGGGGGAGGAAAGGACAAGGAGCAGGTGTGGGAGCGGGGGTGAGTGGGGAGGCTGCTACGGACGCTGCAAAAGCAAGTCCGGACGTGCAGGATGGGGGAGTGGGGATGCATAGAGAGAGGCAGGGGGAGGAAGCGGGCGGGTCGGATGCGGCAGCGGGGCGGTTGGAGGCGGACATGCAGCCGCGGCAGCGGCGGCAGCGGGCCGTAGGAAGTGGTGGGGACGAGGGAATTGCGGTTCGAGAGAGCATGCCGGACAGCAGTGTTGAGGGGAGCGAGAAGGGACGCCGTGGCCGGAGAAGCATCCGCGGGCGTCAGGGCGGCAGTTCTTAGATAGAGATAAGAGAGGGTTAACTGCGTGGGATGGCCTTGGCGCTTTGCATATAGCGGCGGATCAGCTGCGCTTGCTGCGGACAAACGGCTGTTGCATACGCGTTGTTCGCGTCTTCGAGGGCCGGGCGTTGAAACCCGTCAGTTTTCATGAGAGGCTGGGAAGTACCATTAAGAAAGAGGATCTTACATGGGCGCCGCGTAGCCGCGGGTTGTGTCATGGCCAACGGCCTAGCCTAGACTACTCCTGGGCGTAGGAAAGAAGTAGTCTATACCACGACCTGCTCACAGCAGTTCGGTACATACTGGAAAATGGGTCAAGTGTAATAGATTACAGGACATACCACGACCATATCACATACGTCATACCCCATGCACTCAGCACTATAGGCATAGGTCCCAGGGTCGGGTCAGGAGAATAGCATGTACGACATGCGTGTAAAAACCAAAACATAAGTAAATCACTAACCAGCATCTTCTATATTGCTCACCATGCGCACGTCGAGTCACCAGCAGCCATACTTGCAGTGGCCCAACCGTTGTATGTAGATTATTCTGTAAGTTACTCAAAAAGAATCCCACAGGCACGGCATGTACACATGCATGAATCCGACTCCAGCTTGGGGCTCAACGCCTACAAAACTGCCCTATCTGCCGAACTCCGCAAGTAAGAACAGCTAGCACGGCAAGAGTCAAAAGCCACAGGACCAGATGGCCGTACGGCAACACCGCATTGCCTAACCCAGCACCGCACCCGCATCCGTCCAGTTGCCAACGGGCGCTCGAGCCCTGCCATAGTAGTCCTCCGCCGCAGCAGCCAGCCGCGGCACTGACTTCCTCGCCGGGCTGCCTGCTAGCGGCTGATAGCTGCTGCCGTTCAGCGCCGGGGCGGCTTCCAAGCTGCCCGCCTCACCCCTAGTGTGGGTCTTCCAGCCAGCCAGGACGCCGTCGTAGCCCGGTCCCAGCGGCGGCACGCGGCGGTCCACGTAACGGCCAGCAGCAGCAGCAGCGGGGGGTGAAGAGGTGGTGGAGTAGATGTTGTTGGCGAATGAGAGGCTGGAAAGGTTGGCGACGGCGGGGTAGACCGGCAGTGCGTTCGGGTCCACGTTGGGGATGCCTGTGTACGTACGGCGGTACGGCGCGGTGCGTGTGGGTGTGACGAGACAGGGGGGAGACACTTGGGGGCACCATGATGGCTGGACAGTAATGGAAACGAATGGATATCCTTTGCATCTTGTAGGCAAGCCACCCCTCGCACTGCAGCCATGCAGCCAACGCAACCCCGTGCACGACTTCTAAGATGCTCCAAACACGCGGCAGCAGTATAGCACTAGCAGTACGGCGGCACCACTACCAGCTGCAGCTGTGGCTCACCGTCGCACTCCGCCAGCGAGCAGTCCGCGGTGACGCAGAGGCAGCCGGTGTCCAGCACCTCCAGTGCGGAGGAGGGGATCCGGGAGATGTCGGACAGCTGTGGCAGTACGACGTCCCACTTGGCTGTGGCTTCACCTGGGTGGGGGGAAAAATTATATAAGAAATGCAAACAACTAAGTCCCAATCCCATATCCCGACTTGGGAGGGTGGGGGGAGGTGTGGGTGGGTGGCAGCATGTGAGCGGGCAAAGGATGAGCAGGATGAGGAGTGTGTGGGTTTCTAAGACACCCTTCCATTAACTGCTGACTTTGAGCGACCCATGGGTCACAATCGAAGCAGCAGGCAGTAGAAATCAATTCCTTTCCATGTTGGCGGGCATTGCGTGACCCCCGACCGCGATAGCCACACAGCAGTGCACGCAACAGTTCGCACCTGTGAAATACCAGGGGCTGCCATTATCCGCAAATATCCCGCCGTACTTCTTCAGTGCCGTACAAAACACCCGCGCCGCCGGTGCCAGCTGGCTACAGTCGTACTCCTCCTTGAGCCGCACGCGCAGCCCCATGGGGGGTGCATCCGGGCCCTGGTAGCCAGCGGGCGCAAAGTGCGTGGCGGGGGGCACGTAGGCCTTGCGGGAGTTGGGTCCGGTGAAGCGAATGGCATGGTCGATGACGCCCCTGCCGACCACCTCCTCCCACCTGACCAGGCCGGGCAGGATGGCTAGGCCGGCAGCGTCAGCAGAGGTCCAGCCCAGCGGCCGACCCGGCGCGTTGCGGGAGAGGTTGAAGCGCGCGAGGATGTCGGCTCGCCACCTGCCGGTGCTGCTGAGAGCGGGGGGGAAGCTGCGGAGGAGCGCGGGAGGGAAACGGAGCGGCTCAGTGCAGACCCGGCGGTAGGCGATAGAGGAAAGTGTCAATACCGGCATCAGACATGCCTGCCAGCCCTACCAAGAAGCACACAGCTCTGCCCCTGCCCTCACCCCACACCCTCGCGCCTCCCTCAACTCCCACCTCCTCCACATCTCGTACAGCAGGCATGTGGCGTTGTCCAGCACGAGCACGTGGCGGTCTCCCCCGCAGGGCGGCTCGGGGCAGTTGGGGTAGGCGCCCTCCACCGGGGCGTCAGGAGGGATGGGGAAGCCGGCGGGGGAGGTGTCGGACTCGGAAGGGTAGCCCGAGGGAGATATGTCGACCTGCGGGGCGGCGGGGTGGGGCATGGGGAGGGTGCGGAGGGAGGGGTGCAAGGCAGAAGGGTGTAGGTTGGAAGCCTACGGTATGGGGGCAGGAGGCGGATTGGGTCCAGGTGACGAGCCTCAAATGTCAGAGAGCTGGGCGCTCAAAATGTGTGAGCGTGGCGTAGCATTCAGCTCCCCTAACCGGTAGTCAAGGGCTAGCCCCTGGATAGGAGACCTAACGTGAGACCATTTCCTTTAAAACGGGCGACCCTACTGCACTCACCGGCACAAGGGGTGTGCCCCGCTTGCTGTCCACTGTGATGAAAGGAATGCCTGCAGCGGGAGAGAACCAATTCGCGATTGACACATGAGTGCAACCCAATGAAAACACGACACAGACCCGAGACCTGCATGAGCCTCCCTCCCATGTGCCGCAGGCAACGCGAGAACGCAGCCGGACACGCACGCTCACTTGCATTGCACGACAATACCTTGGTTTCAAGTATGCTTGCTTTACCTGCTCTACAGATCCCACGCCCCACATTCGACACCCACCGTACAGCACACGCTGGCCATTAACAGTGGTGCCCCCGCCAAAGTCCGGGTGCAGGTTCCCCGAGCCGATGTTCTTCTTGATGGCCTCGCTGTTCGGGTGCACCGGCAGCGAGCTCACGTCCTGGTGCCAGGCGTTGTCCGCCGGGAGCAGCGGGCAGGAGCCGTCCGCGCTGCGGCCCTGCTCGCCGGGCGCATTCACGTAAGCCCGCGCAAACGTCTGTCCCGCCAACTGCCGCCTCGGAGCTGCTGCGCCGTCATGCAACCCCACCTCCTCCTCCTCCTCCACTTCCTCTTCCTCCTCGTCATGGCTACCAACTACTACCTCGTCTACCTCTCCTGCCGCAGCCGCCTCCCCGGCCTCTGTCGCATCCAGCAGCCGCTCCCGCAGCACTCGGCGGGGGTGGTGGTGGCCCTGGCAGGGTTGGTGCTCGGCCAGCGCCCGCCGCCCCGTAGCAGCAGCAGCAGCAGGGCAGGTGCTGTTAGGCAGCTGTACGACAAGCTGTTTGTTGACCGTACCGCCCTGTACGACACGCGCCTCAATCATGAGGTTGTTAGAGCCGCCTAGCGTCAGGATGTTGTTGCGGAAGGTGATGTTGGCGTTGGGCGCGGCCGTCTCGCTGGTGGGTCCGAGCTGCTTGGGACTGACGCTGAGCAGCACCCCAGCCTGCATGCGGGCAGCCACCCCTAGCAGGGTGTTGTGGACGACCACGGCGTCAAGAGCAGAGTAGAAGGCGATGCCTGCTCCGCTGCCGCCGTCCAGGATGTTGCTGTTACGTGAGACAGGGCAGAACGGCCTTGTTATTTGACAGTTGGTACCGGTATCTGACAGTTCGGTAGGCAGCAGGTTTGGCATGTACATCATGAACAGCGGTAACCGGAGGGGTAAATCACATGCGGTGACACAAGGGCATTCGTGCAGGTGATGCTCCGTGGTTAGGAAGCACGGCATGCAGCCAGGTAACGTGATGTGTCGCGCAGCGGCGCTGCTCACTTCCGCACAGTGGTGTTGATGCTGTCATGCCAGTCGGGCTGCGGCGACTGCGACAGCGCCCAGTCCACATCCATGTAGGCCACCTCCGTCACGTCGCTGCCCAGCAGGATGCCGCGGTCGCCGTAGCTCCTGCAAGGCGGGGAAGGGGAAGGAGCGCAAGGAGGGAAGAGGGAGGGAGTCAGCATGTGTGGAGGCCACCTCGACAAAGATGCAAGGCAGAGGAACAGGCAAGCCGCCGCGCTCAGGAAAACCTGCTGCATCCCTCCTCCCCCCGCCCTACCTGCTGCATCCCTCCTGCCCCCGCCCTACCTGCTGCATCCCTCCTGCCCCCGCCCTACCTGCTGCATCCCTCCTGCCCCCGCCCTACCTGCTGCATCCCTCCTGCCCCCGCCCTACCTGCTGCATCCCTCCTCCCCCCGCCCTACCTGATGAGGTTCCTCTCCACTAGCACATTGCGCGCCCCGCCGCCCAGTCGTATGCCGGTGCCCCCGGGGCTGAGGATGCTGCTGCAAGAGACGACCAGGTCGCCGCCTCCCCGCACCTCCACTCCCGTGTCCCGAGGGGCCCGGATGGTGAGGCCCTGCAGGGTGACGCCGCGCACAAAGGTGCTCAGCTTGACGCCGTGCAGGCCACAGCTGCTGAGGGTCATGTTCTGCGGGTTGACCGGCAGCAGGGGGGACGAGGTGGTTAGGAGCTCAGGATAGAAGACAGAGGTGTTGGACGACACCTGTTGTAGGTGTTTCATTACCTTGATGTACGACACCTTGGGAGCAGTTGCCGCCCTGCCGCTAGCCGCCAGGTAGTACGACCAGTAGGCGGTGCTGCCGCCGCCGGACCCCTCGTTCAGCTGGATGCAGCTGCCGGCTGCCGTACCCGCCATGATGACGTCAAACTCAAACAGATTCAGCGCCGCAGCACCTCCATAGAAACCATCACCCGTCCTGACGCACGGCGTGACTCCAGTGTTGTTACAGACGAGTGTAGCGCGACCCTTGGTGGCCAGGTCTGCTGGGTTGGTGGTGATGGTGACATTGGGACGGTAGATCCCAACAGGCCCGGGGTGGCTCTGGCCGCCCCGCAGCAGAACGCGATCGCACTGGTTGATGTTCTCGAGGGCCTTTTGGAGCGTCTTGAAGGGGGAGGTGTAGTTGGAGTCGTAGTTGAAGGCCTGGTTGTCATTGCCGTACAGCGCGTCCACGTACAAGTCCTTACATGTACGACTCAACCAGAACTGGTACGGCCATGATTTGTCGTACACAGGACCTATCGTACCAATACCTTTGAACGCCGAAATGTTGGCAAAGACAGCTGGCACAGGCGGCAGCGTCTTGGTGGCTCCAACCGCGTCAGACTGCACCGCGCCGGCATCGAAACGACCCGTGGGTCGCACCCGACCGTGGAAGTCGTCCGCCACCAGGGCCAATCCGGAGGGCAGCGTGGTGTTGGCTCGCAGTCGCGCGGGGCTGCAGGTGCGGGGCCCGAAGGAGGGGTTGAGCAGCGGGTCGGCTTCCACGCTGTTAACGTCGCAGTAGGGCTGCTTGAGGGTGGTGCTGCAGTGGCGGGCCCAGCCGGTGGCGTTTCCCACGAAGGTGCTGTTGGCGCGCTCGTCCTCCAGCATGGCGCCCTTGCCCCACTGGAAGGCGGCGGGACCCGGACCTAGCAGGAGGATAGGCAGGAGGACAGGCGGGGGAGGGGGGATAAACAAATGGCGGGGACTAACGGAGGGGTAAGGTGGGGTGCGGATGCCGGCAGGTTAGTAATTCCTATTCGAGAGTAACCCAAAGCCACCCCCAATCCTATCGCCCGCAGAGGTATGGTGTATGTGGCCGTGAACAACAGGACAAGCCCTTCCAAACCGTCTGAACCCTCACAGCCAGTGCTGCCCCCTTGCCTCACCCACTTCACCCACCGTTCTGGTCGTAGTACACATTGTGGCCAAACACCAGCGGGCTGCCCGGGTCCAGTCCCGCCTCCCGGATCTGAACCACGGGTCCGGGCCGGGCAGTCGCCGAGCGCACCACCACATTCGCCCACACCGTCAGCCCCCAGCAGCGGGTCTGCAGCGGCCCCGAGGGCGTGTAGTCATGGCTGTAGGCCGCCACCAGGATGCAGCTCTGCGCGCTCTCCTGCGCCTGCCAGATCGTGTTGTGCGCGATGACGGCGCCCTTGCTCGCCCACACGTTGATCCCCGCCTGGCCCAGGGCAGTGAGGATGTTGTTGCGAGCCGTGGCGTTGATGGATTCGTACAGAGCGGGGTTGTTGATAGAATCCATGTACTCGAATTCCGTGGCGAATCCAAGATTGAATCCAAAGTTGGTGCGGGCCACGTAATTGCGTTCCAGGAGGGCTCGAGCGGTGCCGCCGGCGAGGTGCACGGCGGCCCCCGGGATGTCGTGGAAGTAGCAGTCCCGTACGGTTAGGTCGTACGATTGTACGGCTTCCACGCCGTGGCCTCCCAGCCGCAGCCGGGCGCCAGTGTTGTATATCTCGCAGTTCGCCAGGGTGTTCCTTGCGGCCTTCATGACTAGCTTGACGCCGCTGCTGCCCGTGTCGTGGATGCTGGATGGGCGGGAGGCGGGGGGAAAAGAGGGAGGTGAGGTGGACAGTGGTGGGAAGGGTCATGGACAACAAGAGGAGTAAGCGAACAGGAGTATGAACGCGTCGCGGCGTCCGTCCTCAACGCTACCACACAAGCACGTCATGTGCTCTCCATACTACCCCTATCCCAGGTCCCAGCCCGTTCGCCCTTCCCTCTCCTTCCCTCTCCTCCTCCTCCTTCCCTCTCCTCCTCCTCCTTCCTCCTCCTCCCCCTCCTCCTCACCGCAGGTTCTCCAGCAGCCACCCGCTCGGCGCCGCGCCCCTGGCCACCCTCTCCGCCTGGGAGCCGTAGTTCTCCCAGCTGCTGAAGAACATCACACCGTAGTAGAAGCCGCCGCAGAGCTCTAGGTCGCGCAGCACGCCGCCGTCAGAACCCGGGCGCAGCGTGATCACGTTGGCGGCGGCCCGTGGGTCGGTCCGCGGCAGCGAGATGACGGCCCAGTGGCCCGGGGCGCTCTGCAGGGTGATGTTGGGGCGCTCGATGCTGAAACCGCCTGGCGGGGGAAGGAGGAGGGAGGGGGGAGGGTTAACTTGGAAACAGAATCCGCATTACGCTGGATAGTATAGAGGGGGGAGGGAGGGAGGAGGGAAGGGGGAGCGTGGTGTGGGGTGTAGGGGAGGGGCATGGAGAATTTACGGTTGTTGGCCCGGTTAGGAAGAGGCGGCACTACGCCTACGGCCCCTGCAACTCCCTTCTCCCAACTCAGGGCGCTTGCTCCCACCCCTCTTTCCTCTCCCCTCCCCTCCCCCACCCACCCACCCGGCTCAATGTGGTTACCCCTGTACACTCCCCTCCCCCCCCCACCCCCCCACCCACCCCCCCACCCACCCGGGTACACCCCGCTGGTGAGGTACACCTTGTCCCCCGGCTGGGCCTGGCTGAGAGCCCGCGCAGGGCTGCGGAAGGGCAGCTCGAGGTGCCCGCTGCCCGCCTCGTCGTCCCCCCCGGGCGCCACCCACCAGACCCGCGGGACCGCACCCAGGGTGCGAGGGTAGGCGGCGGGCGGCGGCGTGGCGCCAGCGGTGGAGGTGGAGGTGGTGATGGAGAGCGCGGGGCGGCGCAGCAGCGGGGCGTCCTTGCTCCACTGGCTGCCAGCCAGGCCGATGGTGCCGTTCAGGGACCTGCGGCGGCAGGGGGAAGGGGAGGTGGAGGTGGAGGGAAGGGTGAAATGAGGCAGTGGAGGCGACGGAGGAAGAGGTACGCGGTATGGTTGTTGGTACGAGTAAGCTTTTATGGTGAGCGTAAGGAGGAGGGTAGTTGCCTTACACACTTATATGTTCTAGGCCCTACCCTTTCTCCACGCCTTTTCACCTTAACTCCTCCTCCTCCTCTGCCACGACTCCCGCCGCCCCCGCGCGCCCCACCTGATCAGCAGGCCGTAATTCGCGCTGCCGTTGTTGGCCAGCCACGCCGCCACCCGGCCCGGGTCCAGCTGCAGGGTGCGCTGCACGCTGCCGTACACCCCGTCCGGCGGCACCAGCAGCTGCAGCAGCACGTCCGAGGAGCAGTCCGCCCAGCCGCCCGCCTGGCGCCACGAGGAGGGGGCGGAGCCGTTCCAACCCGAGTAGCGCCAACCCGTGGATTGGAACCTGAGGGGAGGGGGAGGAGGGAGAGGGCGGAGGGGCAGCAGGGAGAGGGGGTGAGGGGGAACACATGGCGTTAAGTGGAATGATTGTGGGGAAGGGCTGGAAAGCGCTGAAGGGCGGGCGGGTAGGGTTGGCGGCGATTTTCCAAAGTTGGAGCTGCATGCTTGGTGTTGCGCTGGGCGCCCCTGGGGGACTAACGTGCAGGCGTATCTTGACGTAAAGCTCCACTCGGAAAGGAGAGCGGAGTACGACACTCGCGCATACAAACATGCACTTGAACTCTCTCCGATGTCTGTGCCAAAACCCAGTTCAGATCGAGTGAAACCAAGTCGCACGTCCCCTTCCCTCTTTTGCCGATGTGCATCGCGTACCTGGGGGCAGACCCCTGCGTGTGGTTCCAGGGCTTGGTGAGGAAGCAGGCCTGGACCTGTGGGGTGGGCGCGGCGTCGGGCTGGTTAGAGACATGCTAGGAAGGAGAAGCGGGAAGGAAGGGGTATACTGGGTAGCAGAGGTATAGTCTGGATCAAAGGCCTCGGACGCTACCATGACGGACGTCAGGGGCTTGGATGAGCTAATGAGGGCTCAAGTACAGGATTTAAACTGGTAAAGTACGGGATTGTCGCTCACCATTACGGGATTGTTCCAGTTGATGAAGGTCAACGTCAGTTCCGCAGATTGCACCACAGTGTTTGCGGGGATATACCTGGGAGGACAGGGGTTGCAGGATGGCCGGGCTCGGCAAACGGCAGGACATGTTCGCGCTACAAAACACGTTCACATCCCTGAGACAACAGCTCCGTAGGCCTTCCTAAGCGACGCAACCGATATTAAGCTGCGTTGCTGCTGATTTGTAACAAACTTTTATTAGGCCATTAGATGCCACGTGTGCTGCCACGCACTTGTGGGCGTCTTGGAAGCGTATGAGCACGCGGTAACTGACTGCGCCATCCCCAAGCGTGTAGTCGGTGCTGCCCCAGAACCAAGTATTGCCATTCATATAGTTCCAGGTGTCCAGATATAAGCTCGATATGCCGACATCCAGGGTGCCGTTGTAGACCCCTATACTTCCATCCGCCTTCACCGTGCTCCTACCCGTAACCAGTAATGCCGTCTGGGCCGCCGCGGCGCCAATGAATGGCGCCCAAGTAAAGGAAAGGAAACAAAATACAAGCCGTGTGTCAATTTTTCGTGTGCCCATTTCGGGTAAAGCCTTGCCAACGGTCGTCCCGTCGGCACGAGCCGCGTTGGCAAGGTGCAGTTCGTCAAACAAAGGGGTGATATGTAGGACTATCGGATAATCCCGCTATGACGGAGCCGTGAAGGATAAGTAGAGCGGGACAGTGAGGTGTAATGCTGTACTCGTCGAGGATATGGATTGGCAAAGGTAGCTATATTGCTAGTGAACTGACTCCTTAGAGTAGTGTTTTACATTTAATGTTCAATGCAGTTCCGTTCAAATGGGCTGGCCTGCAACAGGCTACTTCGCCGTAACCTGCCGTAGCTATGTACAGCACAAGAAGATAACGGAGCTCATTCGGCCATAGTATGTAAGAGTAACAAAACCGTCCCGTACTATGAACTCTTCTATCGCTTCTATCCTCCTGACGCAACGACTTAAGTTTGTGGCATGGTCGATAAGGCCCATAGGGTAGTGCGTCGCACTTGAGTCGTTCGGACTCCCCCTGTAAAAAATGCATTCTGACGCAAGCAGTGGATGCTTCTCCGGCCACGGCGTCCCTTCTCGCTCCTCACCTCACTACTGCTGCTTTCTATGCTCCCTAGCACCGCAATCCCCTCAGTCCCGCCACTCCTTACGGCCTGCTGCCGCCGCTGCATGTCCGCCTCCAACCGCCCCGCTGCCGCATCCGACCCGCCCACTATGCCGCGTCCGCACCTTCCTCCCCACTCATTCCCGCTAGCACCCTTGCTCCACCTCCTCCAACGCCCAGCCCTAAGCCGCAAACATGCGTGCATACAGCCGCTTGTCCGCCGCCTTGTCACGCTGCCGCAGCGTCCGCAGCTCCTCCCGCAGCGCCCGCACCTCCCCGCCCCGCCCCCAGCTGCCGTCCGACACCCGCTCCGCAGCATCCAGGTCCGCCGCCGCAGCCTGCAGCACCCACAGCCAGGCCAGCAGGGGGGCAGGAGCTGGGGGGTGAGCGCCCGTGTGCAGTGCCCCCGCATACACGCGGAGCAGCGATAAGCGGGACCTACCGGTAGATTCCTGCACACCAGTGAATGCGAACCCTGTGGCCCCCCTGCCTCCCCTGCCGCCGCCATCGTCGCCGCCGCCGCCGCTGCCTCACCTGATACTCCCGCCGCATCATGCGCGCCTTGGCTCGCCGCACCAGCGCAGTGGGGTTCTCCGGCTGCAGCGCCAGTACGGCACCGCACGCCTCCACACAAGCGCCGTACGCCCCTGCCGCCAGGTGGGCTGCGGCGGAGTTGAGCAGCAGCGCCACCTGGGGGTGCGGAGGGGCGGAGGGGTGTGGGGGCAGAGCGGTGGGGGCATTGCAGCACACTGTCAGGGTCAGGCCAGCAACGTGCCGATACCGGTAGCTGCCACATGCGTACACCATGCATGGCTCCTCTACCGTGCCCGTCTCCCTCACCCACCCGCGCATCCTGCACCATCTGCTTGTCTGCGGAGTTGTCCGGCTGCAGCAGCCCCAGCACCGCCAAGCCGCGGCTGTAGTGGTGCAGCGCGGTGTGCGGGTCGCCGGCGCTGTAGGCGAGGTTGCCGTGCTGCCGCTCCTCGAGCTGCCGTTTGAAGGCGCATTCGTGCGGTGGGAGGCGGCGGAGCTCAGCGCCTCAGGGCCAAGGACGCAAGGATACCAGGATGATGACACAGCGGGCATGCGCACGCATGGGCAAGTGGCCACATCTGCTACGCTGAACCAGCCATTTCCCTGAGCCAATGCCATCAGGTGCTACCCGGCGTGTGGCTCAGCAGCAACCCTTGCGCCCTCACCTGCTCGTTCATTGCCGCGGACAGCTGCTCTGGAGTCGTTGCTGTGACGCTGAGTTTGCTGCGCCGCTCAAACTCCTCCTTGTCGGGGTTGTTAGGACGCTGCGGTGGTTTGAGGGCTATACATCAGAGCCTCGTACGTTACCAGATCTAGCGGTACCCCAAGCGGCGACTCAGAATAAGCGTTCACCGTAGCCAGCCCACTTCCCCAAAGCTCCATGCGCCGCCCACTTTCCTTACCATGGCCTGCCACATCACGCATTGGACCAAACCAAAAGAGGCCAGGACCTGCGGAGGCGTGACAAGCCAGCTGGCCTCACCACCCACCAAGGCCCGCCAGTCCCCACCTTGATGTACGACAGGAGGGCCTCCTCGAGCTCCTTCTCCGCCACCTCCCCGCGCTGCAGCATCCGCCGAGCTCGCCGCAGCATGGCCAGAACCGTGGGGTTCCCTGCCCATGAGCTTACATCCTGCTTAGACCGAGCAGGGACATGCAGGGTACGGAGCCATAGGGGGCCTGATGGATGCAACTAGCAGGGGCGTCATCCAAGGTAGTAATAAGAACCGTCTGCAGGATGCTTCCGATGCCCAGTGCTCTTTCGTGCTACCGTTACAGACAAAAGCAGTACAGGCAGCCAGGAGTCTGCGTGTACGGCAAGCACAGATGGTATCCACAGCAAGTGCAGCCTTCATTAGGCAGATCATGCCCTTGATGACATCCTGAAAGCTCAGGGCACATTGGTGTACTTGCATACACCAGGTGGCGGATACATGGGACAGATACCGGACACCCCTACGGCATGGGCACCCGTCTGCCGTTCACCTGGGTTGGGTCGTTGAAGAGGCTGCCCACCAGGCGCGCCAAGACAGGCACCTCCAGGAAGGGCGCTAGTGCGTTACGCGTGGTCTCATCAGTGCGTTCCAACTATGCGAACATAGCCGTGAGAAGGGGAGACCCGTGTCAGTTATTCCGGCCCGCAGCATCGTCCGTAGCGGTCTTGTCGCAGCGCCGGCACAGCGACTGCCTACCTTACACCTAATTTCATGCAGCTGCGCGGCGTCCTGCGCATCTAGGGACGCCTGCAACTCCTCCCGTTGCGCTGCTTCGACGAGGTCTGCGTTATCGGGCTGCTTCAAAAACTCAGCGAAGCTCTGACGGAGCGCTTCTGCATTAGCAAAGTTTAGCATGGTGCCTCTCCATCCTTAGGCTAGTGCGGTTAAGGACGGCCAGCCATGAATATGTGTGTTTGCTCTGTTCATTGGACGGATACATCGGCTGCTGCTTTGCTTGCCTAGGGACGTCCCATTCCCGCGATAGTTTAGGCGCGTTGTTGGAGCTAACGAAATGATGTATTTTTACGTTTTTACATTTCCTGCGCTCCAACGATGAGGTAACACCATACGATACGTCGTCGGCGAATTTCCCTCAAATGCAAGCCAACGGTGTTACCTGAAAGTCAAGTTGCTTTGTCATCAACAGTCAAAAGTCATGTAAGCGTGGACGTGAAGCGATTGCCCCATAGCCAAGTGCGGTCACCCTAGTTACCCACTGACCAAACGGTTTCCTACAGTTGCCGTACATGGGAACCGGGCGGAAGCGCAGACAGCAAAGCAAACACCCTGCGTTACAGCCAACGTTGTGACAGAAGGCTTAGTCCGCGCTGCCTCACCATCCATGCAGCAAGTGCACAGCATCACGCCGCAACCTGTAGTACAATCCAACATCCCTCTGCTCGAGATAGCTACTCAGCCTTACTCCTGCGCCATGGGCAGCTTCGCGCTTCCGCGCACGCCCCCAGCTTCGGTCCCCGGCTCGCGCTACGCTCAGGATAGCACCACTGCCCCGCCAATCCTCTTTGTCCTGATCCTACCGAGGCACTGCATCGCAACGGCCGCCCGCACAACGCATTTCGACGCCGTGCTAAGCCGCCGGTGCTCCCACATGCGCTAACAGCTGCTGCAGGCACACAGATGAAGCCGATGCCGCTGCTGCTGCTCTACAACGCGTGCGTGTACAGCGCTGCTGCTTTACAGCTTGTCCTCGTACTCGGACAGCGGCGAGGGCTCGGGCTTGAGACCCTTGCGCGTGCGGATGTTGGTGACGAGGGTGTTGGCCTGGTTGCCCTTCTCCAGGGGGTTCATGGGCATCACATCCCAGTGGTCGAACACGCACTGCGGGAAGGCCTGGCCGGCGGTGTTGGCGCGCAGCACCGAGGTGAAGCCGAAGGACTCCACGACGGGCAGGTAGGCCTTGATGTTGTACATGGGGGTGCCGGGGCGCTGCATCTCCTCGAACACCATGCCGCGCTTGGTGTTGAGTGTGGAGTAGATGCCTCCCAGCGCGTTCTCGGGCGCCTGGATCTCCACCAGGTACACGGGCTCGCACAGGCGGGGCTGGGCAGTCAGCTCGGCGGCGTAGATGACACTGCGGGGGGGGACAGGCGAGCGAGGGGGAGGGAGCGCAGATTAGGAATCAGACAAGCGTTGCTACCATACGCCGATTACAGCGGAGGGACACATGCTGCTGTGTAGTTGCTGCTGTGTATCAAGTGACTGTAACAGAAGGCAATATAAGAACGCCAACGTCCCTGGTAGCGTTAAAAGTTAACGAACTCACCGGCGGGCCGTGGGGATAATCTGGCCACCACCGCGGTGGATGGCATCCGTGTGCAGCACCACATCGTGGAACTCGAACACGACACCGCGCATGTTCTCCTCCGCCATGACACCCTCCTTGCAGGCCCACTGCATGGCGGCCACGCAAGAGTCCTTGATCTCGTTCAGGTACTGCACACCCTTGGTGACGTCGATCATGACGTTGGCGCCGTTGGTGTCGGGGGCGAAGCACCAGATCTTCTTGGCAATTTCCTTGTCCCAGCCGAACTCCTCCGACAGGATCTTGGAGCGGACCTTGGGGTCGTCGCGGGGGCCGACCTGCATGGAGGAGGGAGGGGGAGACAGGGGGTATGTTAGAAGACGCGCACTTCAGCAGACGTCCGAAACATCCTACAGGTCTCGAGCCAACCTTAAGCTTCAGGGGTCAACACTACAAACCCATGCCCTAAGCAACCCTACCCTACCCAGCCTGATCCCCCCCGCTCCCCACGCACCCGGCCGGCCTCGATGGCCTCAGCCAGGCCATCCTCCATGGGGCGCGCCTGGATGTACAGGCGGTTGTGCTTGTTGGGCGACTTGGACATGACGGTGTGGTCCGACTGGGCGGTCACGGTCTCGCGGAAGGCCACCACGGGCTCCGACACCTGCGCGGTGGAGGAAGGGGCGGTGCCAGATCAGGTCCGAACCTGGAAAAACAGCACATTTGTGGACGGACACAATGATCAAGCCCCTCCGACAAACCCCCGGCCCCAGTGTAACCCCTAACCCAACAATCCCAAGGCCCCAAAACCATCAGCCCCCACTCACCTTGATCTCAGCGCCACCCATGAAGTCGTCCTGCAGATCCTTCAGGCAAATCTCCAGATGCAGCTCACCCGCACCGGCGATAATGTGCTCACCCGTCTCCTCAGTGATGCACTGCACCATGGGGTCGGAGCGGGCCAGGCGCTTCAGGCCCTCCACCAGCTTGGGCAGGTCAGAGGCGTTCTTGGGCTCCACGGCCACACGCACGACGGGCGACACGCTGAACTTCATGGCCTTCATGGGGAAGGCGTCCTCGCAGCCCTCGCGGGTGATGGTGGCGGTCTTGGTGATGTACTGGTCCAGGCCCACCAGAGCCACGGTGTTGCCGCAGGGCACGTCCTCCACGGCCTCCTGCTTGCGGCCCATGCACAGCACGGTGCGCTGCACGGACTTGTTGTACAGGTCCTTCTTCTCGCCTGGTGGGGAGGAGTGGAGAGGGGCGGTAAGCAGGAAAGCGGGGTGGGCGGAGGTGCATGTATATGCCTTCTCATGATTGCGTGAAAGCAGCTGCAGTACTCTTTTTGAGCAGCTCACTTACATATAGGTTGGGAAGTCTACCGGGCCAGTCGCTCCCAATTCATTGATTCCCCATTGGAAAAGCACGGGGCAGCGTAAGCCCAACTCACCCCCACACCAATCCGGTGGACATCCGTCAAAATTTTCCTTCCTTAGCCCAGCCCCGCAACACCCCTCCCTCTCCCCCAGCCGCTGCTCACCGGGCACGAAGTTGGCGCCCATGATGCGGACCTTGGCGCCCGTGGACACCTTGCCGGCGAACACACGGCCGAAGGCGAAGAAGCGGCCCTTGTCGTTGGTGGGAATCATCTTGCTCACGTAGCACATCAGCGGGCCGTTGGGGTCGCAGTTGCGGATGGCGGTGGCGTACACATCGTCCAGCGGGCCCTCGTACAGCACATCCACGCGGTACTTCTGGGCCTTGGCGGGCGAGGGCAGGTGGTACACAATCATCTCCAGCAGCGCCTCGTTGGCGGGCAGCCACGACTGCATGATGCGCTTCATCAGCGGCTTGCCGGACAGCTCCTTGTCCTCCGACTTGAGGCGGCCGATGACTGGGGTAAGAGGGGAGGCGGGGAGGTCACGTGAGTAAACTATCCCGTTGGGCCCTGGTAGAAAGCACCACTATGCCAGTGCTGTGTAGTCATTGCCAGTGCTATGTGCATAACCCCCCATGTCGTGCTAGTCCAAAAAGGAAAACATGGTTGCCATGCAATTCTTAGTCCCAATTATAATGTCCAACTTATTGTCCCCCTATGTTTTCTTCGACTTTACACTATCCACTATGCGCTAACCAATAGCTTTATACCCGTGCTACCCGGGTATCCCCCTTTTCATCAGCCCACAGCCCCTCTTCTTAGCTAGCCCCTTGCTGTCCATGAGTGTCACCGTGGTGAGAATTGCGGTTCTAACCCATCCCCCCTTCAAGGACGCGGTAACTAACCTCACCAGCAACCCCCCCCCCGCCCATCAACCACCCTGCCCTGCCCTCACCGTTCAGCTTCTCCAGCATGGGCCACAGCTTGTCCTTGGCGTCCTTCATGGCCAGGTCGATGATGGTCTTAATGGGCTCGTAGATGAACTGCACGAAGCCACGCTTGCAGCTGGGCGAGTCGGTCTGCTTGGTGGTCCACTTCTTGGTGGCGGGGTCGAAGAAGTTGTCACCCCACAGCTTGGTGATCATGCGCGCCTCGTCGGTGCCGAACTTGGAGGCGTACATGCGGGCGAAGGTGGTGAGGGTGAACGCCCAGCCGTGCAGACCAGCCGAGAAGGACACGGTGGATTTGTCGGGGTAGACCTGGATGTCGCCCATGGCCTCATCCTGGTAGGTGGCCAGAATGACGTTGGCGTTCTCAATCACGCGCAGGTAGGTGGTGTAGGCCTCCTCACCCTCCAGCATCAGCTCCAGGAAGCAGCGATCCATCTTGTTCACGGTCAGAACAGGGCGGATACGCTCAGCAAGGGCCTGGCGAAGCACAGTCTCCGTCTGCACGCAGACGCCCTCCACGCAGTCCACCACCACCAGCGCGCCATCGGTAATGCGCAGAGCGGCAGTCACCTCCGACGAGAAATCGACGTGCCCGGGCGAGTCGATGAGGTTCACCAGGTAATCGTTGCCATCACGCTCGCCGGTGAAGTTCTTCAGGTCCTCATCGGTCATCTGGTAGTAGAGCGAAATACCGGTGGACTTAATGGTAATACCACGCTCCTGCTCGTCGGCGCGAGTGTCCGTAAGGCGGGCGTCGCCGGCCTGTATTAAAAAGGGATGGGTTAATTTATATATAGAAGAGGGCGAGGCGGGTCCGAGGGCGGCGCACCTGCTCGACAGCCATGATACCGGCGGCAGCCACCAGCGAGTCGGTCAGGGTCGACTTGCCTGCAGAACCCAAGATTCCCAGTTAACCCCATCCATAAGTCATTGCCAAGGTGCGCAACATACCGTGATCGACGTGGGCAATCACGGACATATTGCGGATGTTGTGCTTCTTGTCCATGAGCGCGCGGATCTCCTCGATAGTGAACTTCACCTACAGCCATTTGGGCAGGCGGACCAAGTTGTCAGTATGTAATGTCAAAAGAGTAGCTGCACCTAAAAGTCAAGCTAGTTGTGAGGCCGCCACAGTCGGCTGAGCTCACCATTTTTCACGCCTTGCTGAGACAAAGGCCCAACTAGGGGAAAAGAAGGCGGCTGCTGCAGCCGCTGTCAAGTAGGACCTTGCTAAAACGCAAGTAAGGGAAAGGAAAGATGCTTGGTGCGCGATGCCCAATGTCGGGGAGGCAATGACGGCTTCCCTGGAGCGATATTGTCGTTCATCTACTTTGCTTCATCCAAGCACATCCTGTCTGTAGGTTTGTACTTTGGGACCTACATGCATCAACAAGTGTTTTGCCTGTTATCCAGGTGCACCTTGAGCAGGACAACATCTTGTACCGCGTATTCGCGTTTCTCCTCTGGCTGCCTATTAGTTGTTCGCTCACTTTATTGGCGGAATATCTTTTGGTCATCAAGGGGCAGGTTAGGAGCCATCTACTGGAGGATTCATCAGCCGTCGTTTACATGCTTCTCGGTTTCTTCCTCGTTGGCTTGACGCAAAAGCCTTGGGAGTTCCGGGGCGCAGCATCCACGATGGTTTTCCTTTGTATTATGGGAGCTCAGAAGTAAAGGCTTATCCTGCGTAATAACTTCTTGGACTGTTTTGGGGGCTTCCCTTCTGCTGTCTCTGTGTGGATCGCCCTTTGTAGACATAATTTAGCGCTAGCAAGTTTCTGGGGCCAAGGTCCAAGCAGTGGGTGATGGCGGGGGTGTATTGCACAAGAGTACTCGGACGAACAGGTGTGTATACCGGCACAACTGGAGTGTGGCTGCAAGTTGGTACAAGTGGCTGCAAAGTTGGCAGCCCACACTTGGGTATTCGGCCACAGCACATAGTCACAAGAGGCTGGGGTCCCCATATAGCACATGTATGGCAGTCGCAAGGCAGAGGTGAAGGGAACAACGACGTAGGACAGTCTAGGAAACCTGCTGGCATTACATGCATGCGTTAAGGCTTCCATCGCTGGCCCTCTCGTTTGTAGGGGGAACTCGCGGGCTGCGACAAATGCCTCGTTTAGCGCTCCTTAAGGCAAAGGCTGCGGGCGAACCAGTTGTTGGCGGTTACGTGTGCGTGGCCCTCCATCTCTATGCCCCCCCATCATGTGGCCCTGAACCCATGTACCGGTATTTCGTGACCAAATAGACACGTTCGATGCTCGTTGTATGCATCCCCAAAGTTGGCCGGAGAACGTCCTTAACATGCGTGGCATAAGACATGCGAGTACAATGTTACATGCTACAAACATGCCAAACACCAAACGTACGTTGAAGGCAATCGTGCGGAATGTACGCGCGCACGGTAGGCATGGACGATGCATAGCTACCTCTACAGTTAGTGCTGCAACCGAAGTTGTTGTTATTAATTCCCATGCCACCTTATGAATGAAACAACGTAGCGTTTAAACTATACACATAGCACGCTACCCGCGACGCTCAACGCATTTGTACTGTGATCGCCACCCCTGCGCTAGCTACTCAGCAGGACCTCCTATCTTGGCAATCGTCACCTGCAACTAACATGTTGGGTAAAGGATACCTGTCTTGGCCTGGAAAAAAGGCAACAGCGCCTTGGCCGATACCCACCAAACCGGTAAACAAAAAGTCAAATACGACGCATCTAGCACGGTCGTCCTTAGCCAGGCCTATACACATCACCATCGAGCAAGGACGCGTAATCTGCACTCCTTAACACCACTACGAGTGGATATACCATCTACAACTGAGTATCCGACAGTCCTTAGATGCACTACACCAAGACCACATTCTACGCAAACCTCCCTACCCGGCGCCCTCAGGAGGCAACCCCGATACCCCAGACGCCAGTGAGTGGGACGGCAGTAAGCCCGCGACGGCTCCCTGCTGAGACTCAAGCGACAGCTGCGGCACCAGCTGCACGCCCGGGAGCCCCGGAAGCGTAACCCCTGGCTCCAGCCCCGCCCCCAACAGCCCCTCTGGGGCCAACCCGGCCTGCATGCCGGGCTGCAGCAGGGAAGACTGTGCTCCCATGTGCCCCACCTGCATGCCCTCTGGCAGCAGCCCAGGACCCTGCTGGAGGGCCAGCTGCTCGAGAGGGGCTCCCTGAGGGTGCGTGTGCAGCCAGGGAAACAACACGCCGTCCACTCCTTGCGACGGCCCATCAATCGACACGCTGGCTGCTGCCACTAACCCCCGTGCCACCAGGCTAACGTCAGCAGCGCCCCAAGCCATCCGCGGCGGAGCCTCCCCGGCCAACTGCCGCTCTAGGTCAGCCTGCGTTGGCCCCTGGCCTTGCCCATCCGCCGAGACGCTGCCTGGCTGCGCCAGATCTGTCTGCGAGGCGCTCGGAGCGTCAATAGTCGCATTCGCTTGCAGCGGCCTCAGAGGGCCGCCGTCTGCGGGCTGCGGTGTGGGCGGCCCGCCGCCGGGTGTAGTCTCGTCGGCCGCTGCGTCCGCGACCAGCCGATCACCGTGCAGGTTCCCTTCTGCATGCTGCGCCGCTGCTAGGGCTCCAGCGAAGGGCGTTGGCGTTGTCCCGTGTACACTGCCAACAGTGGGTGAGGATTGCAAGTGCAGCGATCGTGCAATACCACTGTAAGCGCCCCCACCGCTGACCGCTGCAGCACCCCCAACGCTAATCGCCCCCCCGCCGCTCAGCGCTACACCAGCAGCCTCCTCCCGAGCAGCCATAGATAGCGACTCGTCCCTGCTCGTGCTTTCGCTGCGCCGGCTTTCACTGCGTCGGCTCTCGCTACGCCGGCTTTCGCTGCGCCTGAGCCGCTGCCTCGACGCCGGGTGTGCACCGGGCAGGCCTCCAAAAGGCCGCTGCGGTCGCTTTTGGCCCACAAACGCGTAAGAGCGCTGCTTAAACTCCTCGTGCTTTATCACAACGGGCTTAAAGCGGCGGGGCGGCGGCACATCCTTATGCATTTGGGTTGTGTTCTGAAGGTAGACTAGGTCCGTGTGCAGGATATCCCAGTCCTCCATCTGCGCGTCGGACGCATACTCAAAGCCCAGGTGCTGCCAGGTGCTCTGGACGGATGCGTCGTTGGTGCTGCACAGCATGAGCTTCTTAAGGCCGAGGAAGCGTGCGACCTCCTCAATGGCCTCCACTAGGCACCTACATCCAGCGACACGAGTCATGGCGGTAAGGGACATTGTTGGATTAATGATGGGATTATGTGAGCATGCTCCAGGAAACCCAGGAAACGCACTGAGTAAAGGGCCTAGGTTGTCTACCTGCAGTACCCCCGTCCACGCTTGTTTTCGTGGGTAGCTACGAAGGGGATTTCAAGGTAGCCTGGACCAGATCGGATTGTCGCGGCCGTGACCGGCCTCCCATGCGTCTGCAGTGCGGGCATTGGGGCCTTAGGTGGCCCAATGCCGGGGCGTTTGGTCGGCTCGTCCACAGCAGTAACGTCTCCATCCGGTGGCGGCCATCCGCTTCGGTAACGCGGAAGGATTACCAGCACCCGAAAACCGCCAAAGTCCTGAAAGAGACGTTCAAGGGAAAAGGTAAGTGTCTTGGGTACGGTGACACACCAGGTACGCATCCCATGACGTGCGCATGCCCACCAGCTCATCATCTCCCTCGGCAGCTTGCGCGGTAACCGTCCAGTCCAGGTACTCGTGGATAGTAGCTACGCGCGGCTTGTCGCCGTGCATGCGCGCAAGGCGCTTGGGTCCAATTTGCCCCGTCTCAAACGCTTTAAAGAGGAAAGGTGAGTCGTCGCGGGCTTGCTGCGCCGCCTCCTCCGCGTTACCGGTGTTTGAATACGTGCGCAGCTGGTACACGACATGCGGGCGTCCAGGCAGCTCGAACAGCTCGTTCGCCGGCAGCGAATACAGCAGAGACCGAGTGGCCGCTAAGCGCAGCCTGCGCTCTCCTTGCGCTGTGGACATGCAGAGGTATTATTGCTATTCATGTGGAGAAACTTGTGTTGCTATCAATTACGGGATGCCGGCTCATACGCGAGCTCCTCGCAGTTGTTTGGGATTGTTCTTCGAGGCACTATGTTAAACCGAATGTGTAGACACAAAGGTCCGCAAATGGGACCCACAAACTTCCGTAAGTTACGGCTGAAGTATCATGCCTGCCCGCCAGTGCTTTAGGATGCACGGCAATTGCCGCGTGTTACTTGATCAGAAGCACCATATATGCACTTCAAAGTGTATTGCATACAGTGCCAATAATTGCTCCTGGGCAACTTCTGTACAGTTCCCTAGTTTACAACACCCATAAAGCCGATTTCCTACACGAAAACGCTTTTGCTAAGAACTGTTAGCACTGTATCTGTTTTTTTATATCTAGCACTTATACTTGATCAAATACTGTCGGCGTTTGTGGGTTCCTTCAGCTCCCACGCCTAGAGTGTAGGACCCATGCCTGTTAAAAGGACAGTCTCAGAGGTGGACGTGAACAAGAACACAAACTGGCTTAACTACCCAAGCGTCTGGACGTGGTATCTGGCGCTCATCGTGCTAGGCTGGTTGGGGCTTTCCGCGCTGATAGACGACGCTGGCTTGGCGTGGACGTATGTTCACCTCGTACATGGCGTGGCAACGTATTACCTCCTACACTGGATAAAGGGTTCTCCAAACCCAGAGGACCAGGGGAAGTACGAGGCGCTGACCTTCTGGGAGCAGGTGGACAACGGAGCCTATGGGACACGCAACCGCAAAATCTTCACTGTGGTCCCGCTCGCACTATTCGTCCTGGCAACGCACGGAACGGACTTCCGGAAGCAGCCACTGGGTCTCAACCTCGCAGTGGTTGTGGTGCTCCTTATTGCTAAGCTGCCAGCACTACACAAGGTTCGCTTCTTTGGCATCAACAAGTACTAATAACTCCGGGATGGCCGTTGGGATGCTGAGGGGTGAAGGATAACAAGTAGCTTTGGCACGTTGGCCTTAGGTGGTGGCGAAGTCACAAGGGTTGCAGATAGCCTGGTGAGACGGGTGTGTCATGGCGGGTTTTACATAAATTGTTGGTCGTCTTCCATTATGAGGATCTATACGTCGCACACGGTGTGACGGACAGGCTTTTTACATGCCGCACGCCGGCTGGTTTTGGCCCAGTGCAGCATGTTGGGCGTGGGCATTTGGCAAAGGGCCTTGCTCAGGGGACTAGTCGGGAGAGCCTGTGCACTCTAACCTGGTATTTCAAACACGTCACATCACGCACGTCATCAAGTGAGCAAATGTAATATTGTCAGGGTGCTACAGTATGTACGATAATTAAATGTGTCAAGAATGCTTCTTCATACCTCCTGCATTGTCATTTACACCTATACGCCAGCCGACGCAAAAAGCTGACAATGTCGATGCAAGTTATAAGCAGCCATGGCTAGCGCAGACTACAAGCTTCACACACCCATCATTCAATCCGTACGTTGCTAGAAGCATGATCACCGCCCTTGCCGGTTCACGGGCGCGCCACCCTGGTTTGCTCGCCGAGTGTTTAGCCCCAGTCCGCCGTGCTCGCTTGCTCGGAATTGTTGGACGGCTCCTGGCGCATGGACCACTGGGTTCGGAGCTGCTTGCGCTACTGGCTGGCCCGTCAGGTTTGACAGGTGCTGGGCCGCCGTGTTGACAGCCTGCATGCAGCGGAAGAGAGGATGAGATTCAGCGGGGCCAGCTTGCATCCAGAGGCAAGTAGCATGACACGCCTATCCGCATCGCAACTGTGGTCGCCTGGTAAGAGCCTTAACGCTAGCCACAACCAACCTGCTGCCGCCGTTGCTGCAATGCTGTCGCCCAGCTCTCGAGCACGCTTTCTCCAACCTCCTCCCATGCTAGCTGCTTCCTGCGGCGCTCCCGCTTTGAGTTGGGCGACACCAGGTTGTGGCTGAGGATATCTGATATTGAGTTGTCGACGTTGCGGCACCGGACAGGGATGCCTAGGCAAGCAGGATGGGGGCACCAAAAATTCTTAGTGGATCCCTTAGTGACCTCGCCATGGCGGGGGCGCACAGCACCCGCACCGTAAGGAGAAACATGCGCGCCTACGTCTTCCCACCTGCGCTCGGCTTGCGGCACTCCGGGCAGGATTGTTTCTGCGTTAGCCAGCTTGCGAGGCAAATCCCGCAGAACATGTGGCCACAGGTAAGCGCATGAGCCCCAGCCAGCCAGTCGTGGCAGATGGAGCACGTGAGGTGGTTGGAGAGCAGCACGGCGACGTCCTTGGCGCTGATCGTCGTCTTTGGCTTCTTGCTCTCCTTTTCCGGCGAGCTGGTCGAAGCCTCCTCGCAGTCCATGTCCTCCTGCTGGCCCCGCTCGTCTATTTCGCTGAACTTCCGGGACCGTGCCTGCAACCATGTCAGGCGTCGTTACCAAAGTTGTGATTGGCTAGGATACCCAAAGCTGTCAATCCCGAAGGCCTTTGTGGGCTGCAGGTATGGCTTTGTTCGGAAGTTCTGAACGTATATGTTTGCAGCACGGCATGCAAGCAAGAAAAGCCCGCGCATCCGGCTCACCTGGGCACCAAGGGTCACCAACGCATGCGGTTCAGAAGAGTTGTTGGCGCTATCCGAGTCATCATCCAGGGGAGTGTAGCGGAACAGGAATGGGTTGGCGACTGTAATGTCTGGGGTCTCGCTCCGCGCTACGATGGTCTCGGGACCACCGAAGCCAATCTATTGGACCATGGGATGAGGATGGGGACGGGAGGGGCAAGAAGTGAGGCCCGTACTATCTCTGGAAAACAGTAGTGAGCAGGGTACTGCTGGGACATCAAGCTGTAAGGATTATGGCTTTGATGGCATGCTCAGATAACCTACAAGGATGATCGTACTGTGCAGCGTCCCCGAACGACCCTAACCGCCCTGGGCACATACCAGGTCGCCACGCCGCAGCTCCCACGTCTCATCTGGCCGTAGACGCCTCAAGAATTCCCCTTCACGCGCGATGTATGTGCCGTTTGTGGAGTTCAAGTCGCGCAATACCAACCCGCCGTCTGGCTGAACTACAATCTTAGCATGCTTGCGTGACAACAGGAAGGGCACTTCCGGACAGTCAAGACGAATGGTAGAGTCGCTCTCACGCCCAACGTTGACGACGCCAGAATGTGCCAGGCCTACTAGGTCGTAGAAAATGGAAGGTCGATTCACTCCTTTTATCATTTGCGCAAACCGTTGCCTGGTCTCTTTGGCTTGGGGTGGATAAATATGACGAAGTGTCACTATTAGAGTGCTCCTGTGTAAAGATGTTCAGCGTGGTGGTGGGCAAAGTTATAGGCACTCGTCGAACCTTTTACAGCTATCTGCTATAAGGTCATTTCAACAGTGTGCGTATAGAGCAGGCTCTAAGCTGATTGGAGAAAAAAGGCGATGACCAGCGCTGAGTACCATATTCAAATCGTACGGGTCCTGTTGGATTCCGTCAGAGGACTTATGTTCAACCTTTGCATATCCCCCCTCTGTAGGCCGGCGATGTAAACCTATGGGCTTCCGTATATCTTGCACTAGCACTACGCGGGTGGCGCCATAGGGCACTCTGCCTTACATTCGTCCATGAATGTCAACTGCTCACTGCAAGACCCGGACGGCTGCATCCGGTGCTCCTTGTTCAAGGTTAGCCCTTAAATGCTAGCTTCATTCACAACAAGCCTCCATCGAGTTAGCGTCCACACGTGCCATGGTCTGTCCGAGTCGGTGCGCTTGCACTTTAACGGCATGTACTTATGGGACATGCTTTCGGGACGCACAGCGGTGCCATACAACTGGCTGGTTGTAATTGTAATTACTATTCGGTCGAGTCTGTTCCTTTACAACAGTGTGAAGGGAGTTAGCCCCTCCTTGTCTGAGCGACGCCACCGAAGCTTGCGGTGTTAGCCAATGCCTCATGGCTGAGCGAGTGTCGTAACGCAGACGACACGGGGTGGTATTGTATGAGGCACCCAGCATCTTTGCGCAGTGAAAGCCACTGCTACCAAGTGTAGCATTCGACGTATCTGCTGACAGAGAGCAGTGCCCCTAGGCCCGAGCCGTAGTTTGCACGTACCGGCATCCTTGCGCAAGCATTCATTCAGCCCAACAACACCCTGTTGCCCACGCCTCTGCCGTGCAACAATTTTCAATGCCGCATCCCATACAACGCCATAACTCCGTTAGGATGGAACCTCCACGCCTGCTCCGAGACCCGTGTTTGCATCTGGTCGCTTCGCCTGCTCCGCCCGAAAACGATCCAGTCGTCCCATGTGGAAGAGTAGCCGCAGCTGTGCCGTGGTTAATGTGTAGTTGCTCGCGTCGTCGCCCTGCTCCTTCGCCCAAACCTTTTCCTGTAGTGGCGGGCCAGCCCATATGCCGCAGGTTACATCACGCAGACATACCACGAGAGCACATGCGGCGGGTCAAGCGCATATGCCAGCACTGCACCCTTTGGGGTGCACATTCCAAAGGGTGCAGTGCTGGCATATGCGCATCCAGGGCGAGTGACAACGAATACGAATTGCAGATGAATTGGGTCGTACATTGCTGAAAACGTGCCGCTTAGTTCCTGTCATGGCACGGTTTGTGGCAAGGTGCACTGGCCGCACTGCACATCAGTTACGCAATTTGCGGTCCCACGCTGGCAGATACGGCCTTTGTATCGCAGGTCGAACCCAACAAACCTGTACGGGAATGGCCTCTGAGAAGGGCTTGGCGACGCGAATTTTGTCCACGATACTGCTGTAGAACATGGAGCTCCCCGGCTCAGAGGCGCGCGCCTCCTCCCGGGCCAAGGTGGCCTGCAGCTGCGGGACCAGCCCGTGCATGGGCGCACCTGCGGTGAGCACCGCAACAGGGGAGCAAATGGAGCCACTGAGCAACCAACGGCGTTAAAGGGGGCTAGGGAAACGGGGAGAAGCGGTTTTTTCAGCTCCACCACTAAACTAAACGCGCTAAGCAGCTATCATCAGTCTGTACCAAGACAGCCGCTGTCCTTGCACTCAGGATTCCATGCGCTTTTTGCGCTGGTTAGCCACACGCCTTCCCGCATAAAAAATCTTTTACCTTGCTTTTCCACAGCACTCAGCACATACCGGCAACATATCTCCGTTTCCTTACCACCTGAGACATACTGGTATGCTCGCGCCCCATCGTCCCTTCGTATTCCCCAATCCACAACCCCCTTCCCCGCTAGCCACACCTGGCCCCAGCCTGAAGTCCTGCAGCAGCCTCTCCCGGTCCAGGCGCACGCCCGCCTTGAGCCCCTCCACCAGCGCCTCCATGGGCTGCGTCAGCTTCACCACCCGGCTACTGCCCCGCCCCGTGCTGGCCGCTAGTTCCTGCAGGCTGGCGCCGCGCAGGAAGCGGTGCAGCCGCTCCACCACCACCGGGCGGGTCAGCTGCAGCGCGGCGCAGCGGCGGGCCAGGTACTGGATGCCTGCGCGGGGGAGGGCGAGACGTGTGTTGGCACCCTGTGGTAATAGCACTGGCCAAGCTACGAGGCGTAAGCATGGATGTTACAAGCTACGACAGCGGCACCGAACTGCTTGCTCGACACATCTACCGGCGGCCTTTCTAGTCGTCAGCAACCCCCTCAGGGCACGCCCACCTTGGCTATCCTCGCCAGGCTGCAGCCCCGCCAGCTTGGCCGAGGCCCAGTCCAGCAGGAACAGCTCCACCTGCGCCGCCGTGAGGCCCAGCTTCGCCTTCTCCTGCGCCTGCAGCGCGCCGCTGCCCGCCAGCTGCTCCAGCTTCTCCAACGCGGCCTTCAGCAGCGCCTCGGGCGGAGTGCCCTTGGCGGACACCTCATGCCCCTTCTTGGCGGCGCGCGTGGCGGCCAGCACCGCGGAGCGCACCACGTCGCTGCTCAGGAAGGGCTCGCCTGCAGGGGGCGGCAGGGGGCGGGGACACCAAGGGCAAGTTCGGAGCAGGGTACATCCCTGGTCCTGAGCGAAAGAGCCACCAGAGCATCCAACCATGAATGGCATTAAGATACTGCTCCAATACAACATCTTCATAACCCTAATGTACCAGCAGTATCGGACGAGTTCAGTTTTGCCTTTCTGCGCCCGTCACCCCTGTCCTGCTCTGCAGGCTTCCTCCCTAACTCCCACCCCGCCCGCCCGCACCGAAGTCTAGGCACAGCAGGTCGTACAGGTAGTCGGGCGAGTCCCCCAGGTAGCGCTGGTACTGCGCCACCAGCAGCTGCGGCACCACCGCCCGCACATCGCGCCAGCCCAGGTACTGAGCCAGCTCGTGCACGTTGCGAAGCGGGGTGCCTGCGTCGGCGGGCTTCGGAGGGCTGCTACTGCTGCTGCTGCCACTGCTGCTGCTGCTGGGGCCTGCGTTGCCAGCGGCGGGAGTGACCAGCGGGCTGCGTACTCCGAGCGCGATCAGGACCTGCTCAGCCTTGCGCGGCAGGACCAGGCAATCCTCGTAAGGCAGGCCTGCATCAGCGAGCGTACAAGCAGGGGTGTCGACTGCGGGTGTAGACCGCGCCATGCCTGTAGCGCTGCAGGTCTTTGGACTATTATGACGGTGTACCGCTTTGCTCGCATGGAACCAGTACCCGTAACGCCACTGACTTGCAGTTGGTGCCACGGTGAGTACATTGGTTGCTACATCGTGTCAATTTACGTATGCCAAGCTCTATGCAACAACCGTCATGTGCCAACAAAATCCGGCAATCATTACGTTTGTCGGCAAAGCCCATGTCTAAATTCTTTTTGCACACCACCAACCTCGGATGTCGTACGACTCCACCTCTTGCTCTCCTTCGGAGCTAGCCTCTTCCGTCTTCTTAGCGGCGGCCTTGCTGCTGCGCTTCTTAGGGGCCGCGGCTACGGTGGCGCTGCTGCCCGCGGACCCCTCCTCTGTGACGTCCGCGTCCGCAGGCGGCGCGTCCGCCTTCTTCCGCCTGCTTCGTTTAGCCGGCGCGGCGGGCTGCACAAGATCCTGCTGCTGCTCATCTGCTTCAGTGGTAGCCTTACGGCTACGGCGTTTGGACGTACTGCTCTGTGCTGACCTGGTTGCGTCAGCCGCGTCGCCCGCTTCGCCATAAGCATCTGCCTCCGCAAGTCCACCTGCTGCCGGCTTTTCAACTTCCGTCGCCTTAGGAAGCGACGATCCTCCCCGTTTCTTGGGTGCCTCTGGCTGAGATCCCGAAGCTAGTTGGTCTGCTTTGTCGTGACTGCCATCGGAATCCCCACTTGCGGCTGTTGAAGCGTGGCTAGCTTGCAACACCACAGCGCGGCGGAGGACTGGAGGGACGGGTGTTTTTGCGGCCCATCCACTAAGTGTTTGAAGCAGTGGAACTGCACTTCTTAACCGCAATATCATGGTCGCCCTGCCAGCCAAGGGCGCGGTGCAGGCCTTGCGGCCAAGCGGACGCCCCTGTAGACAACGGTCGAGGCAAGAGCTTACTGATCGGTGAGCCAGAGTAATTGCCTATAGTGCTCTAGTGGTAGCTATAGAAGGCGTGAGCCGATCGTGGCGAGGAGAACCGGGTCCAAAGGGAATGTAAATTTCCTGACAAGGTAGCGAACACCCAAGGTTCTAAAGTAGCACAGCTCATTAGAGTTGGTCCAGGGTTCTGCTAAAGATCTAGCGCGTGCAGTAGTCCATTTGATGTGCAATGTGTAAGGCGAGGCGCCGTACGCCCCTCGACATACCCTCTTCAGGAAGACACAATCATAACTGAGAATCCTTGCTACTATACACATTACAGCATCAGAAATGTCGGCAACTCTTACCATCACCGGTGCAGACAGGTCAGGGAGCTCTTCCGTTTTACTCTTCGTAGAGTTACTCGAACAATTTGATCATTCGTTATACTGAAACGACATGTCTAGGGATGGAAGCTCATGCTGTTTGGCGGCGTTTGCAGGTACTCACCGGAGAAGCTGCCGCTTCTGGAGCAGCATGTGGATGAGCAGGTAGTGTACAGTTTTAGGATTTGCATTTTCATGCCATCTGAGAAGGTCTTTTGCCAACCACCGTCGGCGGCGCACGATTCCCTTCATTCGAGCTTACAGGTTGCCAACCGCACGTGGAACCTGGATGCCAATGTGGCGCTGCTGCGCTTCTATCAATTCAGCCCAGCCAGCGTTAAGTCCCAGATCATTGCAAAGATCCTAATAAAGGCGATCATGCAAGCGCCACAACAGGACTATAAGTCGCTTATCACGTTGCTGCCGGAACGTCTACAACAGGTAGGAGCAGCAAACAATGTTACAGAGGAGGGTGGCGTTTCCTTGCCGGCAAGCTGGGGAAAAGGCGGGCCTGTGGGTTTTGTTGGCAGTCCAAGTTGTGCTGCCCATGAAGAGGCGGAACCTATAGTCCCTGTCCACGTCCAGTTACTCAGCAATCAGTGCTGTACCACTTGATGCTGCGGCTCAAGCCATAATAGGGGACAGATGACACGGCGGGTATTATGCAGGGTGCTGCGGCAGTTATCCCCTTCCGGCGCTACCCCCTTCATCTTACCCCTCAGGCGGACGAGTCCATTTATAAGGTTGTGCAGCTGGCCAATGCGCTGGAGACCAGCCGCTTTGCGGACTTTTGGAACGCCGCCAACACGTGCCGGGATATGCTGGCCACGAGTGAGTCACCCAGTGAGGGTTTGGGAGGGCGAAGCAGGCGACGGGATATCGAGCAGGCGACGGCTAGCTGTGGATTGGCAGCTAGGGGCCGCCTATCTGCAACTGGACTGCGTTCATGAAACCGTCAGCTGGCCCTTTGCTTTCAGATTATAGGAAGGGTTACCAGTGGCGTAGCCCTCTTCCACGCTCACGCATACTGAATGCACATTCCCTCCTGACCGGGTCGCCGTCCTGCGTCTGTCGCCCCTGCCGCCAGTCCCCGGCTTCTACGAGTCCGTGCGCGGCTTCATCGCGCACACGCTGGTGCACACGTACGGGCGGGTCACCAAGCGCACGCTGGCGGACTGCCTCAAGCTGGAGGGGGCCACGCTGGAGCAGTATGTGAGTACCGGCAGCAGCCTGGCGGCGGACAGGGGGGTCGATCTGGGTCAACGGTCACAGCCGGCGGTAGTAGTGAGCGGCCGCAGCAGCGCTGCTATTGGATGGGTGGAGTATGGTTAGCGTCTGCTGACTAAACGTACCCCGGCCTACTTTTGCTTTCCCCGCTGCGCAGCTGACGGAGAAGTGCCGCTCGGCTGGGTGGAGCATCGTCAGCACGCCAGCGGGCGATGTTGTGGCGCTTCCCAAGAAGTAAGTGGGTCGGTGGTGCCAGGGAGGCTGTCGCCTTAAGGGAGTTTGGGGTCGCCTAGGAATTGCAGTGGGGACCGTGAGTTGGATTGTTACAAGGCGGTCGTTGTGGCACCTGCATCCTGCTCGGCACGACTTATTCTGCTGTCCAACCGTTGCACATGAGGTGTGCCAACCCAACGTGCCTCAACTCCAATAGCCACACGAACGACCCGTATTCTCGGCACTGTCAGCCGAGTGTATTGCAACATTTTGTGACCAGAGTCTGGCATGCTTGCGACCAGCAAGGTTTGAGCACATGCATAGGAAACAGCAACTGTACAACCTAGCCATCAGCAGACTGGTATACCTATACCGCTGCCACAAAAGCATGTATGCCCCCACATACAGCAACTAGCACGCCTGGGTGCTACGTTACGCCAGGTAGTAACCTAAACAACAGAACACCGCAACATCTGTATTAACCTAACCAGCAATCGCCTACTACTCCTGCACTATTAGCATGCTGTTCCGCCCCTCACATCACATCGCCTTTACCGCAAGTCCGACCCGCCTGGTCCCTCCTCTGCCTCCCTCCGCCTGTCGCAGCGACTACAACCAGTCGGTGGTGAAGCGCACCCAGGAGCTCATCCGCTTCGAGCAGGTGGCGCCCATGCTCAAGGTCGTCACCGTGGGCTTCTAGGCAGCCACAGCCGGCTAGAAGGGTGCAGGTGGACCGGTGGCGGGGGCGGTGGTGTTACATGTTCCCCCGCACATCTACGACAGGAATGTAGATTGGCAGGATGCGCAAGATGTTGCTAGTGGCGCCCCAGAGTCGCCAAGTAATGCTCCCTCTTAACATTGTCTAGGAGTGGATTTCGTGACTGGCCAACCCACGCCTGAGTGGAGAACGATGAAGACGTAGGAGCAATGTTGATACAATTTACAACGGCCTAGCCGCTAGCGGGTTCCGTCTCCTTGTCCCAGCCAAGATAGGAAGCCCTTGACGGTGCTGCCAATGCTGCCCGCTGCGGCAGCTCTGCCGCTGCTTGCGCCTGCTCCGCCGCCGGCCCGCCCTCTGGCCTCTTCAGCGTGGTCGTCGGCCTCGCTGGTCCCCGCGTAGCCCGCCGCATCGCCGGGGCCCGCCGTGCGCTGGGTGTCGTCCCTGGAGTCGTTGTGGGCTTGCGTGAAGGCGGAGCTGGCGCTGCGCCAGAGCTGCTGTAGCTGGCTGAGGGGTCCGGGCGGGGCGGGCTTGGCCACTGTCGAGGCGCGCTCGGCGATATCGGCCTGTGGGGGCAAGCAAGGCGGGGGAGTGTTTTGTGGCTTGTGGGGTTGCTGTGTGGGACACGCGAACAGGCCTTTCCTCAAGGGTCGGTGAAAGCCGGCCACCTTGTAACGTACTGGCTTGTAAAAGTACCGCATGCGAACAACCTTATGCCGCCGCTCAAACCTAAACCCAGTCGTTTCCTAAGCGTGCCACGTTGGTAAGCACCTGAAGCTGCGACATGTCCTGGTAGGCCGTCGCATGCGCCGCGGCACTGGCAGCACGCCACTCCGCCTCCTTCGCCGCCTCTTGCGCCTGTGCCACGCGCGCCTCTGCTGCCACAATCGCACTCTCAGTCGCGTTTTCAAGCCCAGCCTGCATGAGACGGCATACAAGCTTCGCTCAGATAAACAACCATTCCACGCAGCGTCCGCCACCGTCCGCGTACCGGCAACCATGACAACAGTTTTACTTCCACTTACTTCAAGTCCCAGCTAAGTAAACCCAACGTTACATGCCAGCAGAGTCCAATGCTCAATCACTGGCACACCAAGCAAGGACGGCCGCGTACCCCCACTCGCCCACCTGCGCCACCGCAGCAGCGGTTGCCGCCCGCTCCGCCGCCTCTGCCGCCCGGGATGCCGCGCTGCTGGCCGCAGCCGCGTACGCCGCTGCCCGCTGCGACGCCTCGCTCGCTGAGGCCGCCGCGCGCAGTGCCAGCTGGGAGCGCTCGCGCAGGCTGCCCAGCGAGGAGTCCGTGGGCAGGTGCGCCAGGGCGGAGCTGTCCGGAGCCCGGCTCAGCGGCTCGGGACGCACGGAGGGCAGCGATACCTGAGACGGCGCCGCGGGTGCGAGCGCGGGTGCTGCTACCGGTGCTGCAGCTGGAGTAGCGCTGCCGACGCCGAAGAAGCTGGCTCCGCTGAAGGGGCTGGGCATGCGGGGCATCGTGAAGCCAGCAGCAGCAGCAGCCGCACTGGACCCCGGCCCAGGGCCCGGTTGGGCGGCTTGCCGGGCCGCCTCCGCAGATGAGCTGCTTCTGCGTCCGACCGCTTCTGGCGGGGCGGGGAGCGGCAGCAACTGCGGCATGGGAGCCGCAGGGACAACGGCTCCCATGCCGGTAGGAGGCTCCGCAGCATCCGAAGCAGCTGTAGAAACCGAGCTTTCACCGCCCCTCTCGCCCGGCTCCCTCCCCGCCATGTCGCGGTCTGCGGCAGCACCCAGGGCTCCTGCCCGAGCACTGCTGGGCGTTGTTCCCAGTGGCGCCTGCTCTGAACCCGCAGCGATGCCGGCACTAGCCGCCGACTGATACGGCTGCTGCTGCGCGGAAACGCTTGGGGCATCCTGCTCCTGCTGCGGCTGCTCCTGCGGGCGCGACCCAGCGGCCTCTGATACCTCCTCGGACGCCTCCTCGGAGCCCGACACCTCGGGCTGCGCGGCCCCGCCCTCCTCTGACCTGCGGGCCGCAACAGCGCCGCTGGCAGCCTCAGACCCCGGGTCCTCTCGCTGGACGGACTCCGCAGCAGCTGCGGCATCCCCAGCTGCTCCCGAGCTGCTGGCGTCTTCGCGGGATGGCTGTGCAGGGACGGTGCCCACCGCTGAGGGCGCCTCCGCCGCCGCATTTGGTGTAACCTCTGGGCTATTATTCTGCTGGAGCTCCTTCCCCTCCTCCGCGGCGGCGGCGGCGGTTGCCTCCGGTGTGCTGGCCGGCAGGGAGGGCCGCAGCGCACCGCGGGTGCGGGGAGTGGACGCCACCGCCACCACCACCTGCGGCAGCCGCATCAACGGCCGCTCGGGCCGCCGTGGCTCTGCAGGGAGTGCAGATCAGGCGGGACATGAGAGGAGCAGGGGCTTTCGCGGGCACTACACGGGCAGGGTGCAGCCCGGTGGCTGCACATGATGCGACTGCGGTCCTGCCCCGTGCCCGTACAGTGAACGGTATTGCGTGTCAGATCCTGTAAATTGGGCCCAGGTGACATCAGTGCTTCACCCCTCACCTGCAAGTTTGATCAGTTGGTGCACACCGACGCTGAGGCCGGCGATGATGATAAAGGAGAACAGCGCGCCTGGGTAGGGGCCGTTAGGAGTAGCAGGAGTGAGTTCGAGAGCAGGTGGAGTAACGGCCTTGACCACTGCTGCTGTGCTCACCATACACGTCGGGTTCCTTGATTCCGTGCGGGTCTACTGTGCCCCCCCAATCCCCAGGAAGAGGTGGCAGCCAGTCGCGATACGTGATGCTCGGTGTTGCAGCTGTCGGTTCCGAGTCACCAGTTGCTACGTCTATGGTGGTGGGCTCCGCCGCTGGCGAATCAGGCGTTGATACTTGATTGGATTGGCCTTGGTGTTCAATAGTGTTGCTGGCTAGAAGGGCGGTGGAAAGCGATGGTGCGTCTTCGTCTGACGAGGACAGTGCCCTGCGGCCTAAGTTGCTTTCCCTTCCACGGCCACGACCGCCCAAAGCGCCAGATATATGAACTATTCCTGCTGGAGCTATACGCGTTCTGCCGCATGGCTGCGGGAGTCTCAGCGCAGAAGCCAACTGCATCCTTGTGGTGACAACGTCAGCTGGCAATGTTCCACGACATGTGTAATGGATAGTGTTTTATGCGCAATATTACTATTATCATGTGAGGCAAGATTTCGCTCTTGCCGCGTTTGTCAGTACGCTACCCGTATGTCAGGACGGTATGTGACCCGATCACCTTTCGCACATACCGCTCGGCGCTCGCGGCTCAAGACCCAAATATTATTGCTTAGTAAATTACTGCTGATATCACAGTTTGCATCAATCACCGCAAACCAACGAACACACACGATGTCGTCGAGCGCCAGACCTATTGGAGAAATGATCAGCTGCGCTGTTAGCTAACGTAAAAGGTAACGGCTTTCAGGCTTTGATCTTACACAATGGCACGAATAAAGCCTGGTAAACCGCAGCTGCCTTCGTTGGACACTGGGCCAGTCCCTCTGGTTTCCATCCGGTAAGCTACTCCTGCACCTTACGGATGTCGGAGGCGCTAGCTTTCACCCCTTCTGAGGCGCTGAAGGGGTGTGCAATCCTGTCGATGCGGCCGGCGACGAGTGTGTCTGCACTTGGGGTCTGCAGGGAGCAAGCTCGCAAGCAGTTGCTGGAGGTTGTCGACTCGGTAGGTGGTTAAGTACTTCCGGGAGACCAACCTTGGCAGGTTTGGGAACCCTTCTCCGCTGGGGAACTGGTAAACATGTAGCCAAACTAGCCATACGCTCTTCCAACCCGTCTTTGCTTCTACCCTAGATATCATCTGCCCCTAACCCCTTCGCCCTCCTGTCGCTCCCCGCCCCCTCGCCCTCCCCCCCTGCTGCCCCTCTCTCCCTCCCGCAGCGTCGCGGCAAGAAGGCGCTGGTGCTTGACCCCGCCGTGAGCGGCCCGCTGGGGCTGCTGGACACCTCGCTCACCGACCTGCTCACGGAGCATGGAGTGGTCAAGTGAGGGTGCAAGGGGGAGGCGGAGGGGTCATGCAAGAAGCCCATGCCAGGGGGTGCTGCGGTGGCAGGGTCCGCGCCCGTGTGCTGCCCCGCGGGGAAGGCAGGAGAAACGCAGGGGAAGGGCCCCGGCAGCGGCATTCCTCTCTCTTATGCCACCCTACCACACCGCCTGCCTGCTGGTTCACTCGCCCCCTGCTGCTCGGCCCCTGCATGCGCCCCCACTCCCTGTCCTCTCCCTAGGCTGCTCTACCTGGAGCCCGGCAGGCGGCTGGACGACCCCGCCTACAGCGCCGCAGAGCCGCGGCTGGCGGACGTGCGCAACGTGATGTACCTGGTGCGGCCTAGCGTGGCCAACGCGCAGGCGGTGGCGGCGCAGGTCAAGAGCAGGGCCAGGTGGGGTGGATGGGGGGGAGTGGATGCGGGGAAGGGGCAGGGCTAGGGAGTTGGAAGGGAGTTTAGGGCGCCTTTGGGCTTTTGGGCATGTGTGGAGAGGAAGGGCAGCTGCTTTTAGTCTGGTCAGGCAAGTCAACGCAGCCCGGCTCGCTTCTTCGCTGGGTTCGCGTTATATGGGTGTTGACGTGGTGGCACATGCGGTGTTGTGGGGCTGGCGCGCACCGCGCTGCTGGCCGCCCGCTCCCGCAGGCCCGAGCAGCACGACTTCTCCGTGTTCTTCGTGCCGCGGCGCACCCTGGCATGCGAGCGGGTGCTGGAGGAGGAGGGCATCCTGGGGGACGTGGCCCTAGGTGCGGCAAGGGGTGGGGGCTAGGAGTGGAGGAGGGTGGGGCAGGGGCTGGCGTGCTGACAGGCCGGGGCTGTAGGTGTGTGGGGAGCGGAGGAGAGGCCTCTGGTGGCTGCTTTGCTCGACGCTGGCACAGCACCGCTGCGACCACCCGCATGCTGCCCCTGGTGCGGTCGTGGGGCGGCTCACTCGCCCAGCCCCTCGGAACGCCCCAGAGCTCCTTGGTTCTTGTTGCAAGCAAGACCTTGCTTGCGCCATTTCCACAAACAGCACCTCCGCGCCTGTTCCCGCCCAATCCTTGTATGTTCCCGCTCCGTTGCAATCCCCACTCCCTCTAACACAACCACCGCCTCCCCGCCCAGGCGAGTACTGCCTTGACATGGTGCCGTACGACGATGACGTCATCAGTCTGGAGCTGGACACCGCCTTCTACGACTGCGTGTGCGACGGCGACTCCACGCCGCTCTACTACACCGCGGCCGCCATCACGCGGCTGCAGGCGCTGTTCGGGGTCATACCGCGGGTGCAGGTGCGTGCTGCTTGCCCACGTCTTTGGGTTGAAGGGAGGTGAGGAGGTTCTTTGAAATCGAAAGGAGGTCTTATGCAGCAAGCCAAGGCGCGGCAATCGGAGCAGGCGTGCTCCCGGGCTGCCGCCTGCTATCAGATTGGGAGATCCGGTCTGACAGCTGTGGCTGAAGGGCTGTAGGGGCTCCACCACTCGCTCAAGCAGCCTACTATTGCAAGCACGCGGTTTGCGATCTGCTATTACCGTAGCCACATACCGCATCCTGCGCACCCCTCCTCCCTCAGGGTAAGGGCCCCGCCGCCAGCGCGGTACGCGACATGTGCTTCCGCATGCGGCGGGAGAGCCCTGGGCTGCTGGCCGCGGCGCCCCTGGGCGGTGGGGCTGCTGCTGCTGCTGCTGGGGGCGGGGTTGCGGGCGGCGGGCGCATCGAGCGCATGGTCCTGTTGGACCGAGAGGCCGACCTGGTGACCCCCATGATGACCCAGATCACCTTCGAGGGGCTCATTGACGAGGTGACGGGCATTCGGCACGGCTCGGTGCCCTGGCAGGCAAAGGGTGCGGCAGCGGGTGGGGGGAGGGAGCGCGGGAGAGCGGGTTTGCGAGGCGTGCGGTGGGGTGGGGTGGGTGCGGCAGCGGGTTTACCAGGCTGAGCAGGGTGCATGTTAGGGTGCTCATGCCGTGCGGCCTGGATGGTATCCGAGGTGTTTGGGTGAGTCAGCGCGGGGTGGTGTGACCGGCGTGCAGGGGAGCCGGGTGTGCTGTGGACTTGTTGCCGCTAGCACCGCCGTCCTGCCAGGATACCGTTGTCCAAAAGCACTGCGCTATACGGAGCTTCATCAATGCCTACCCCGCCCTGGGTCATGGGCACATCGTGCATGTAAGCCTGCGTTTTCGGGGCAGCTGCCTTCGGATTCCAACATGCACCATCCCCCCCTGGCTGTACACAAGCATCTTCTACCCCCCCCCCCCGTCCTGTGCGGCCCTCACACAGACAAGCGCGGCGGCGGCGGCGAGGGCAGCAGCGGGCCCCCGGGTCGCACGCTGCTCAACAGCACCGACCCCTTCTACCGCGAGTTCCGCGACCTGCCCTTCCACATCGCCATCATGAGGTGAGCAGCAGGCGACGGAGAGGGCAGGCAATGGGGGGAGCATTTTGATATCCCTGCCACTCATTCTGTTCTACCACCTGCGCTCCGGAGGTCCTTATGTTCGGCTCCTCGGCCTTCTCCTTCCCACCCCCACCCACTTCCGCCATCCCAACTAAGCACTCACCGACTTACTTGCAGTATGCCACTTGCCACGTTACCGGAACAGCCCAGTACAAGTATCCCTCCCCACGCGCCACCATGTTTGCACCCCATGGTGAAGCCTCGTTAGTTGCCTCGTCAGCCTCCTTATTTCCCCCCCCTGCGCGCCGGCGCCCCCCTCCTCCTCCCCCCCAGGCTGCAGCAGTACGTGCTGGAGGCGCGGCGCGAGTACGCCGAGCTGGGCAGCAAGGACCTCAGCGAGCTCAAGAGCTTCGTGAAGGGGCTGCCCAAGCTCAACATGCTGGACCGGCTGTCGGACGTGGCAACACCGCCCGCGGAGAGGGTGAGGGGCGGCGGGGGGGAGCGGAGGGCAGTGGGTGGGGTGGTGCTGTGGGCTGGGGGAGTGGGCTGTAGTGGGAGGGAGGCTGTAGGCATGCATGCATGCAAGAGAGCAAGGTGGCGACTATAAGCACAACGTTCCTCAATGCCCCCCCTCCCCGTTGGCGTCTCAGCTCTTGTCCCTCCGCTTGCCTGCTGCCACCCGGTGTCCCCAGGCCAAGGAGCAGCTGTTCCACGACCGGCTCAACCAGGAGCAGTTCATCGTGGAGGGGTACGAGCCGGACGCGAGTGTGGCGTTCATAGAGGTGGGGCAGGGGGGGGCCTTAAGGAGAACCGTGTGTAGCGCGGGAAGGGGGCAGCAGAGGCTGGGCGAGTGCAGGGGGGGGGCTCTGGGAGATACGGCCACCCACCTGTCCTGTCCGCCTGTACCGTAAGCGAGGGGGTTACCCTGCATCTCACGCTCCACCGCCACCGCCCCTTCCACCACCCCTTTCCCTTGCCCCTTCATTGCGGCTCAGATGGATTACCCTTCACCCTACAGCGCCTCGCTTTTCCCTCCTCCCCCCTTTCCCCCTTTCCCCCCTCCCCCTCCCAGGAGCTGATGTACCGCGGTGCTGAGCTGGTTGAGGTGCTGCGGCTGCTGGTGCTGCTGAGCTGCGTGGGGGGCGGGCTGCCGCGGCGGCAGCTAGACTCACTGCGGCAGGAGCTGCTGCACACCTACGGACACCAGCACCTGCTCACACTCAACGCGTTGGAGAAGTCAGGTGGGAAGGAGGGTGGAGGGGTGCGGGAGGAGGTGGTGCATGGCGGGCAGCGGAGGGGGCAAGTGTCGAAGGGCTTTCCGGTACAAAGCGCTCGGACGAGCTCCCGGTCAGGCTAGGAGGGCTGATGTCGACGCCCACCCCCGGGTACTGCTCTCCCTCCGCAGGCCTGCTGAGGGCCTCCTCGGGCGCCCGCAGCCAGTTCGGGCTGCTGCGCAAGGCTCTGCAGCTCATCGTGCCGGAGCAGGAGGGCGCGGGCGGCGCAGGCGCGGCAGCAGCAGCAGCCGCCCCCGGTGCTGCTGCCGACTCTGCCGGCGACGTGTCGTACCTGTATAAGGGCTACGCGCCGCTGAGCATTCGCCTGGTAGAGGCGGCGCTGAGGTGGGGAGGGGGCGAGAGCAGGTCGGCAGGGTGGGCCGGCAGGCGGGACCTACTATGGTTACTAACCGTGGGATTGGTTGAAGAGTTGTCCGAAAACGAGTCTGCATCAGCTTGGGTTGGAAGCTGGCCTGTTACCTTAGGGATATCCGGCTCTGCTCGATTCGTCTTGGGGTTCGTCCGCAAGCACCTGGGTGACCATAATGCTGCTTCACGCCACGTTTGCGGGTTCTGGACCTGCAACCACGACCCGCCCTCTCCTCGCCGCTGCTCCTATCCCCATTCCCTTGCCCTATCCTGCATTTCCCTTGCCCTATCATGTGGTTCCATCTGGTTTGGTTCACCCTGCCCCCCTCAGGACCGGCTGGGGCCCCATCTCCGAGGCGCTGCTGCAGCTGCCCGGCAACCACTTCGACATGGTGCAGGCGCTCGACAACAACGGCATGCCCATCGAGCGGCAGTACAAGGCGGGGGCGGCAGCGGGCGCCCCCGGCAGCACGGCGCCTGCAGGTGCGGGCGGCGGCGGTGCTGGCCAGGCTGCGGCCTCGGCGTCTCTTGGCTCCGGCTCGGCGACACCCATCAGCACGGCGGGCGGACCTGCGGGCCGGCAGGTCGAGACTGTGTTGGTGGTGTTCATCGGCGGTGTGACGTTTGCAGAGATCTCGGCGCTGCGCTTCTTGAGCTCGCGGCCCGAGTGGCCCTACCGCTTCCTAGTGCTCACCACCAAGATAGTCAACGGGCGCACGCTGCTGCAGTCCTTCATGGACCCCCTCGCAGCGGAGTTCGGGGCGGGCAGTGCGCCCTGAGGCGACAGCAGCTGCGGTTGCGGGGGCTGCGTGGTGGGATTGTTGGTGTAAGGGTCGCAGCGCATTGCGTGTTGCAGGTGCTGCTGCTGGTTGGAGGTTGCTTGGGGTTGGTGTTGGTAATGTGTTTGTTGCGTGTGGAGTGTCGTGCTGTCGTCGCATGTGGGAGACACGGTTGAGGCCGTGCGGAGCATTGGATTACAGAGGTGGTTCCGGGTGTGGAAGGCGTTGGGTTTGCTAACCGCTAGATGGGCAGCAAGGCATGGTGCAAGCAGGAGGGTAATCTCATAGAACCGTAGTTATATGACCGTAACAGTGTATGCAACAGCAGGAGGAGTGTGGGGCTCGCAAGGGTGTACGGAATGTAGGGTTCCGTGCCTTACACCTGTACTGATTAGTACTGTGGGGAGAAAGTGTCTTGCACCCGGATAAACAGCGATCCGACTGGGCTTGAGGCTTGTCCAAGCGGGGTGATAACTGTTAGGTGTGTGCCTTCAGGCAAGGGAGCTCCCAGGTGGCCTCTGCACCATTACGGCATAAGCTTGTATCGAAGATCGTACAGCAGTTATATGTTTTCTTGTTGCAATATAGGAGCCTTACATATACCGGTATGGGTTGCTTATGGAACAGGGGTGGCAGCCGGAGGTATCATGCCAGCTCCAGAACATAGTACGGCAAGTGCCACCGATGATTAACCTGCGTTTGCAGCATGTTCATAGTAACTGATGAAGTATCCCCAAGCTACATGATTTAGGCTTAAGACACCATACATAGGGTTGCTTTCTAGGGGCGGTACATTACAGCGCAGAATACCATGGCATTGTGCTCTGTTCAATAAGTCATATTGTGCACTTGCGGTGACGCAGTAGCAGGATGTCCTCTGGCCAGGGCCTTGACCAATCCTTTTTCCGCATCGCCACGGAGTGCGCCGGCGTTCTGAAAGACTTTTGCCGTGGCCAGCGGTAAGTTTCGTTTTTAGACATGGAGCTATGGAAGATTTCAGGCTCCCGAATCTGTGCGATACTTCCGCACTGCGTTCCGCAGGGCAAAAGCGAAAAAGGCGCTTCAGCGTCTAGCACAGGAACACCCAAACAGCTTTTTGCCACACAGATATCTGGTGCGTGAAGGGTATGATTCCTGCTTGTGTGGCGGCCTCACCTCATGCGTGTGTGTTGGGGCATTTTAGGCGCTGCACCCCAATTTGCAGTGCCGTTGCCCACATAGCATGCTTATATTGGAGAATGGGTTCTGTTGGTTATATAGCGCGCTTCCCTGGGTGGCCCACGCCGTCCTGAGTCCAGCCCTCCCTTGTTTGTTGTACTGAACTAGGCTCGCCTGCTCTATCACGAAAGTGCTCGAGTGGAAGCTGATCAACAGGGGTCGTCGGGGACACTCCCATCGCACAGGCGGCTCTCATTGCTGCACTCAGCTTTGCTGGAAGCGAAACAGGTAACAGTGCGCGCCCAAACGAACTTTCCAAGCGGGTGATTTTGTGGTTAAATATATTCGCTGTGTGAATTGCGTGTTTCGTGCACTTTGGAAAGGCTTCCAACGTAGAACTATGCGATTCCTACTCCTTCTGGTCAGGCGTCGGAGCTTGCGCCTGGATCGCTCAGCAGTGCGGCGCTACGTGCAACACTTCTTGTTAATTTGCTAGTAGAGGAGTCTGCGCTGCAGGGTGGCTTGGCTATTTCACAGGAACAGCCGCCGCAGCCGCCCGAACAGTCGCAAGAGGGCGGAAGCAGCGATAATTCTGGCTCAGCTGCTGGCTTTGGATCTGATGACGTAGCCTGGTACCAGCTGCAGCCAGAGGCTCGTTGCGAAGCGATAAAGCGGGAGTTCCGCGAGGCGATTGCGCATTGCGTGAGGACGCTTGAGTGCAGCACTCCCCTGCTGGTGGAACCTGTCATCACGATCTCGGATGCTCATGCACGGACGTGTGATCCCTGCTGCTTGGTGAGTGCTCCATGTCTTGGGGCCAGGTGGCTACCTAGGGTGTTGGCGTTATGCACAACACAGCTGTCAGCACCCTTGGCAAGTCCCCTTCGAACACGCATGCGCTTTTCGCAGCTCACCGACATGTTCCACCACCTGATCTCGACCTGCTAGCATGAGACACACGAACTGAGGCTACCTGTACCTGCAATGCAGAGGGTCCAGGACAACATAGTGGAGTGGGTGAAGCAGGACAACTGGCAGCGCATTGTGGCAGAGAAGCGCAGCGTGCTCGCGTGCATGCACCAGGTGCTGGAGAGCTGCCACACTCTGCTGGACAGTACCCACATCCCCGTAGACGGCATTGTGCGACTCTTGCAGCACATCCTTAGGTACGGTGGTCTCTCGCACATGCTCTGGGACATCCGGTGCTCGGGACGTCAGCAGCTGCTGCTGCTGCTGTCCCAACCCGGGCTTTCGGACCCTTGTCATTAGTGTGCACGTGTGCAGTGACTCACTCTTGGGCGCTTGTTGTGCACCTTGCGTTACTTACCGTCCGTGCATTATGTCATTTGCGTGCGTTCTCGTGGTGTTGCAGGCCACACCAGCAGGACCTCCAGCTTTGGGCCAGTCAGCTGCTTTTGAGCAAGGGCAGTGCAGACGATTTCCAGCAAAAGTTCGAGACACAGGCGGCCGTCACAGAGCTGCTGCGCATGCTCCGACCGGGCAGGCCGGGCGACGAGCTGCACGCTAACGGCAGCGCCCCCCAGGCACCCGTCCAGCAGGGCAAAGCGCAGTCCGCTCCCGCTGGAGGGAACATGCAGGCTTCCCCGAACGCTGCAGCGGTGCAGCAGCCACAGCCGGCGCAGCAGCAACAGCAGCCTCGCGCGGCGGGTATGATGCCGCAGGCTGGCATGGCGCAAGTTGAAGGCTCCGTGCAGAGCAGGGTCGCCGCTGGGCCCCTCGTCCAGTCAGCAGTCCCGCCGCCCCCGCAGCAGGAAGTTGCGCCATGTCTGTCGGCGGAGCAGGAGTGGGACGAGGTGCGCGAGGGCGTCAGCGCAGCCTCCTCTGGCGCTGGGGCCTCCAATGGGGGCGGAGCGGGTCCACGACGCACCGGCGCCAAGGCGAAGAACAAGGCGAAGGCCAGCGACCCCTCTCGCGGTCCCCGGAAGGAGCGCAGCCGCTACGAGCGCTACATGGATGTCGAGACGTTTTGGCGCACCACCTCACCAGAGCAACGGCATGCCCTGCTGAAGGTGCCCATGGCGGCGCTGCTGAAAGGTGGGAATCGCAGTTTGGGGTTTGCTGTGAGCTGCACTAGGTCGTCAAGGACCGTTGGGTCACGGGCTCAAACCCACAGCTGCATTGGGGAGCGGGCTGGCCCATGGGATACCTGCTTCCTGGCTTGTGCCTGTATTTGCGTCCGCGCGCGACTGGAAACCCTATGCCATGCACAGGTGTGCGGCGCGAGCAAGGAAACGACGCTGTGGATGAGCTGATCGAGGGGCTGGTGCTGCTGCGGGAGCAGGGCAACCGTGCGGCATGCTACTGGCTGTGTCCCGTGTGCGAGCAGAAGTTCCACAGCAGTCGGGACTTCCTGGGGCATGTGGAGCTGGTGCACGAGGGGCTAGCAGTGCAGGTGCGGGGCTGGGATGGGGGAGGGGCAACGCTTACAAGCCCTCGACTTGTGGGGGTTAAGAATTGGCACATGGAGCATGAATACCTTCGTTTTTACAAGGCGTGTGCTTGTTGCGTCCGCTTGGTGTTGCAGGACAACAAGTACGTGTGCTGCTACAAGTGCCAGCAGGACGTGGTGGGCATGTACTACACCAGCACGCGCACAGCAGGGTACAACCTGTGCTTCCGGTGCTACGCCGCCGACGCGGCGAGCAAGTAAGAAGCGGTGCCGCGTCACTATTGCTTATAGTGCGTTTCAGCGATTGCCAGCATGTTGAATGTTACATGAAAATGCGATTCGTAAGCGACTGCTTTTATGCCTTGGCTAAGCAACCTTTTGCAATGCGTCCCTGTGTCTGGCTGCAGCTCTCCGGAGGCGTTTGAGAAGGTCTTCATGCGGCCCTCCGCTGGCGGCCGCACCTGGTCCCACAGCGACTTCATGAGCACACGCGACTCGTTCAGCTCTCTGAGCGAGCGCTCGCACCGCCACCACCACTACCAACACGCAGCAGGGACGCAGAAGGCGCACCAAGCAGGCGGCGCCGCAGCAGGCGCCGGCTCGGTTGCCCATGTGCACACCGCGGGGTGCCGGCACCACCCGAACTGCCCGCATCACAGCCATGCGCATGGGCACGGACAAGCGCAGTACGGGTGGGTACGGGGCCATAGTGAAGGCCTGGAGGGAACTGAGTGGTAGATTAGGGGCATAGCCATGCCCAGGATTCCGTAGTTGATTTTTGTCGTCCTTCATACTTCGTGTCTTACAAAGCATGCCTTGAGGTGTGCACGATTACCACTTGTCTGTAGGCTCGAAGCCTCTGCGGGGCAACCAGTGATGGGCGAGGCTTCGGACGAGTGGCTTGCTCCGCTGCCCACTGGGTCGCTGTCTGCGCCTGTCGCCATGCCAGACCCTCGGCAACCGGCGGCATCAGGACCTTCCCCATTGCCACTTCACGCCACCGGGGTGCGGCCCCGCGGGAAGTGCAGCAGCGGGGACAGTTGCAGTAGTTCAGACAGCCTCGTGGGGCAAGCCTTGCACAGCCGCAGCCTTAGTGAACCGCCAAACCACGGGCGGGTAGCAGGCTCGCAGGCGGGGGGCACTGGCGGGGCAAGTGCGTCGGCAGACGATGCAGCAGAAGGTGCCGGCAGCAGCTCCGCGACGTGGCGGTCCTGGTGGGCTACTCGGCTCATGCAGGGCTGGTCTGGGAAGGGCCAGCCGCGGCAATCACAACAGCAGGGTCGGGGGGAGCTTGCGGGCCACGAGGGGGAAGGCAGTGGTCGAGGAGGGTCTGAGTCCAGCCAGGGGACCAACGCGCTGTCAGCTTTAGGCGCTGGAATGCATCCTCCTTCGGATGCGGCGGAAGACAGCGTTTTGGGTTCCGAGGAGGACGACGAGGAGGTGGAGCTGCCACCTCCCCCTCACGCCTCGGGCGGAAGCCCCACTCGCGGAGGTGCAGCTTCGGACGCTTCTGGGGCCGACTACTTTGCCGGCGGCATGAACGGCATGGTCGCTGAGCTCATGACACGGCTGCGAGAGATCTACCTCACGGACCGCGACCTGGGCGACATGAGCCTCGGCTCCATCACGCAGTTTGTATTCAGCACGCTCCGTGCGGGCGCCGCAGCCGATGATCTGCACCTCTCCTCATGCCCGCCCGGGCCACGCGCCGTGCTGCTGGAATTCCTGGCGCAGCCATCCATCGTTTTCCAGCGACCGCAGGCTCTAGCTGTCGTGCTGGGGCTTCTGCCGCTGGAGGACCTTCAGAAGGTGGCCTTGTACGCCATGGGGCAGCACGAAGAGGCCGTCAGCGGCGCGGAGGCGGCAGCGCGCGACATTGCTGCCGGCAGCGAAGAGGACGGTGACGTCGGTGGTGATGAGGAGGATGACCTCGATGTCGCTGGCGGCTGCGGGTTGGGATGCGAGCATGACTACCAGCTTGATCGCATGGCGCAGCGCGATGCGATGGGCATGGATGTAGGGGAGGCAGCGATGCATGCGCAGGCGCCGGTACCACGGGCACGGCGGCGGCTTCGTTACACGAGCCGCCGAGCGCCAGCTGGCTCGCCGCATGCCCAGCCACAGGGTAGCGGTGCCTCTGCATCCTCGCAGTACGCCGCAGTAGCTGCCCACCACTACCATCAGCAGGGGTCAGGACAGGGTGCGGCGCTGCTGCTCCCGCACGGGTGTGTCGGCGAGCATGGTCTTGCCGGAATCCACCTGCGCCGCATCGACGACGAAGCCAGTGCCGAGGAGGTCTCGGAGGAAGAGATGGAGTCGGCAGGCGATGGCCTGGAATATGCCCTCGGGCCCGACGGCGAGCCCGTTTCCCTTCGAGCACTGCCACCGCACTTCGCAGCAGCAGTACCTCGCTCACAACAGCAGCAACTGCAGCAGCTTCGACATGCCGGCGGCGCAGGAATGCATGTCGTCGCGCATGCGGGTGTTGCCATGGGCGACGGAGTCGGCGCCATTATCTGTGACGGTGAGCGCAGCGTGGGAGCCTCCCTCGACGATGAGGGCGATGAGGACGTCTCCGAGGACGTGGAGGGAGAGGCGGATGAGGAGGACGTGTCCGACGAGGAAGACGGTGTCAGCCTGGGGCCCGAGGAGGATGAGGAGGAGGAAGACGGGCCGTGCGTCTCCCTCTTCGTCGTATCAGGGGATGTGGAGCTGGGCTTTGACCGCCTCATTACGCAAATGTGGGGCGGCGGTGCGGACAGCGATGACCCAGGAGCGGCTCAGCTCGAGCAGCAGCAGCAGGCAGGCGCTGGCCAGCAAGTTGCAACTGCCGGAGCTGCAAACAACCGCAGCCGTAGCCAGCAGCAAGGCATCAGAGGCGGCAACCAGGGCAGCGGTGGACGGAACCATGCGCAGCAGGGTCGCCAGCAATCGCCAACATCGCGTGGTGGCGCCAACGCGCCTGGCACGTCAGCAGCAGGTGGAGGTGCTGCGGGCGGCAACGGCGTGAGCGGCTGCGCCGCAGACGACTCACCCCTTGCAGAGGAGCTGGTGGGACCGAGCGACCATGAGCCCTACCTGCAGGTAGCGGACTGGTGGCTGCACCACCTGCGCGACGACGGCAGTGGCTGCATGACGCCAGATGAACTGCGTGTGCTACGCTGGGTGTACGGCAACATCATCAATGTGCAGGCGGAGGAGTTCTGCGCGCGGCAGCGGGAGCTGCGGGGCGGCCGGGAGCGCGACGTGGCCATCCTGGAGCTGTACGACGAGGTGGCTGCCGTGTGGCGCAGCCTGCAGGCCGTGACCGACAAGCGCAGCCGGCTGGAGGCGCTGCGGCGGGCCGCACGCGGGCACTTTGCCGTCGTCAAGCGGCTGGAGGAGGCGGGCGGCCATGCCACTCTGGAGCAGGCCACGGAGTTTCTGGATGCCGTGCTGTCGGGTTACTGCCAAGGGCAGCAGGGTGGGCTGGTTGCTTCCACGTCGGCGCCTGCTGCGGGCGCCGGTGCTACCCCTGGCGGCGGCAGCGATGCCGCCGCAGCGGCCTCAGGGCCGCCAGAGCAGCCAGGCACGCCGACTACGTCCGAGTCTACCGCAGCCCAGAGCGACGCCTTGCCGACCGCGACCCCAGCAATCACCGGCGGCAGTGAAGCGACGGCCATGGTAGCGGCAGGCGGTGCTGCTGCCGGCTCGTCGGGCCCGCTGCTGTACCTGTGCGAGCGCGCTGTGGAGGTGGTTCGGCGGCACCCCGCGCTGGCGCAGGAGCCCAGCCAGCGGTACGCCGCGGCGCTGCTGGAGCGGGAGCTGTCGGTGCTGGCACTGGTGGAGGTGATGGTGGCGGCGGAGGCGGAGGAGGCGGCGAGGGAGCGCGGCGTGGCGGAGGAGTCGCTGAAGCGGCATCGCGCGGAGCACCGGGAGGCGGAGGCGGAGTACCAGCGTGTGCAGGTGCGGACTGGGACATGAGACACAGAGAGGCTGCCCTGGATGGCTTACACCACGCAGCTATGCGTGCGCTATTGGCTTTTGTTTAGGGAATCCTACATGCCTGGTGTTGCTTTTTCCTTGACGTGCTTGTGGGCGCCTTGGTGATGTCTGCGCCCCAGGCCGAGGGCCCCGCCAGCCACCGCAAGAAGGACCTGCTGGACAAGGCCACCAAGGAGGCGGAGCACCGGGAGCAGCTGCGGGAGCTGGCAGCCCGCCTGGCGTCGCTGTCGGACAGCATCGCTGCGGACGAGGCCAGCAAGGTCAAGTGGGCAGACAAGTAAGCAGCTTGACAAATTGGATATCAATGGTCCCTGTTTATGTGGTCTGTCGTTTTGTACGGCTTCGCTTCGCTTGTTTCACTTGCCTCAAGTAGTCGTTTACGAAATTTTCCTACTGTTAACACTTTGCAGGCAGGACGAGGCTGAGAGGGAGCTGGCGTACGTGCGCGACGCCATCCGCCAAACCAGCGCCCGCCGAGCTTCTCTCCTTGACGTGTGCGCCACCCTGGACGTGCCGTACTCCGTGCCACCGCAACAGCAGCAGCAGCAACAACGGCAGCAGCTGCAGCTGCAGCAACAGCGTCTGAACCGCAGCGGTGCCAGCGGAACTACCGCTGACCCGGCAATGGCAGAGGGCGTGAGCTTCCCGGCCGACGCGGAGGACTGCACCGCGGCGCTGGCGCTGGGGCCATCTTCCGCCGCAGCCGCTGACATGGAGTGGCGCGCCACGCGGCTGGAGTGCCTCATGTACCGCGTTCTGTGGGTTTCGGAGGCCGTCAAGATGTTCCAGATGCAGTACAGTCCCCGCCAGTCCACTCACCACTACGACCTGTTCATCCGCGCCACGCACTGGGCCAAGCAGCTAAGCGAGGAGTACGAGGACAACATCCGCTCCTACTGCTGCGAGCTGGAGCGACTGCGTGCACGCCTGCGCGACGTGGCTGCAGTGGACCTGGGCTACGAGATCGGCGCGGCGGCCCTGGAAGTCGTCCGCAGGTGGGACGAGGAAGACGGTTAGGAAGCGCAGCAGAACAATTAGCGACGTGCATGTTGGAGTGTCTGCCAGCTTGTGTGAACGGAGCTTGCCCGTAGTGTAGGATAGCGCTTACGACAGCTAAATCTGTACCCTACTTCTTACCGCAGGCGCGTCGAGGCTGCTGCACGGGCCGCGCGTGAGGCCGCTAGCCTGACCCTGCTGAAGGAGCTTGAGGAGGAGGAGGAGCGGCGCAAGGCGGCACAGGCCGCGGCCAAGGATGCCAAGGAGGGGGCTGGAGGTGGTGGCGCAGGAGGCAAGAAGGCTGGGGCCAACAAGAAAGCTGCCAAGGCGTCGCAGGACAGCCGGAGCCGGGCACAGAAGGAGAAGGAGCGCGAAATGGTAAGTGCTTGCAAGACAGCGCAAATGCTACCCAATATGGCACGTAAACGCGGCAAATATGTAGGTCGTGAGTCAGCGATACGTTTTGTTAGTCGTGCTATCGATAGCCATAAACTGGTTTGCGGAGCCGGAATTGCCTGACATTGAGCATGTGTCATCTGTGTAGGCCAAGCAAGCCGAGGAGGAGGCCCGGCGCCGCGCTGAAGAGGAGGACAAGGAGCGTGTTGCGGCAGCGCGGCGAGCGCGTGAGGCAGCTCTGGAGGCCGAGCTGGAGCGGCGGCGGCGCGAGCTGGAGGAGCTGGAGGCGCAGCGGGAGGCAGAGGCCATCCGGGCCGCCCAGGAGGCGAGCCTGCGGGAGCAGCAGCTGCGGGAACAGCGCGAGAAGGAGCAGCGTGAGAAGGCGGCGGCAGCCGCTTTGGCTGCTGCGCAGGCTCAGGCGCAGGCGCAACACCAGCAGCAATTGCAGCAACAACTGCAGCAACAGCTCCAGCAACAGCAGCAAGCGCAGCAACAGCAACTGCAGCAGCAGGCACCTGCCGCCGCAGGGTCAGGTCGCGGTACTCATACCGCTGCTGGGCACTCGGCAGGAGGTGGTCGCAAGCAGGAGCCTGCTACCCAGCAACAGGTGCGGCGGCAAGCTGCGGCATCGGCTGACGCCTCCCCGGACAAGCTGCAGCAGAAGCGCAACGCGGCTCCCGGCACACGTGCTCGTGCCGCTCACTCGCTTCCGGACAGGAGCCCCAACAGCCCAGATCCCGCCATGGCAGCGCCACCGTTGGCCAACGGATACCCCTCGGGCAATGCGGGGCGCGGAGGCACGCCGTCTAAGCACGCTGGTCAACCTGTCGTTAATGCTGGGGGAGCCGGAGTACCGCAGAGTGCACCTCAGGCCGCAAACAACGCTGTGGCGCCTTCTGGGAAGGGGAAGCAAGGTCCAAATGTCGCCCCACCTCCCAGCCTCAATGCTGCAAACCCGGCAGCCGTTCCAGACGCCGCCGCTGCAGCAGCTGTGGCGGCGGCTACAGCTGGCATCGTCAAGTCGACTCATGCCGCTCCCGGCGCCCGGGGAAGCCCGGCGAAGCAGGGGCCGCAGGGCCAGGGCCCAGCCGGTAACAGCGCAGCGCGTCGACAGCACCATCAGCAGCAGCAACAGCCTTCTGGCAGCTTCACCGGTGTACCACCGCATGGAGGGATGCCCAACGGCCCGCAGGCCGGTGCGGGCATGGCCATGCCCAACGTAGCTCCGGCCTGGATGTCCACACAGCCACCTGCTCCGAACGCGGCGATGCCCCCGATGTCGCTTCCGCAGCAGCAACCGGTACCACAGCTGCCTGTCATGCCAATTGATGCAACGCATGGAGGGCAAAACATGGGCATGGGCATACCCACTGGGCCGCTCAGCCCCGGCTCGGAGTTCCCGCCTTTACCTATCCCTCATGCTGCGACAGGCCCGCAGCAGCACCAAAGGCCCCCTCCGCATACCGCGGTACCGCATGCAATGTCGCCCATGCAGTCGCATCAGCAGCAGCAGGCTGCGCTCAACTTCCAGCTGTCACAACAGGCGCAAGCTCATGCTTACGCCGAGGCCCAGGCGCGGCTTTTGGCGCTGGCTCAAATGCCGGCTGCCACTGCGGCGGCGGTCGCAGCTGCTGCAGCTGCTGCGCAGCAACAACAATCGGCTCTGTCGCCCCGCGCAGAGGTGCCGGTGCTCCCTTCTGAGCACCTGCACGCGCAGCTTCGCCAGCAGCAGCTACAGCATCAACAGTTGCAGCAGAGCGTGCAGCAGCACTACAGGCAGCAGCTACAGCAGCAGCAACTACAGCAGCAGCAGTTGCAGCAGCAGCAGCTACGGCTGGAGCAGCAACAGCAGCAGCTCTTCCAGGCGTCTCCCAGGCAGCATCCTTCCGGTCCGGGCGTTTCCGCCTTCGATCCCTTTGCCGAGAACCCGCTCCTGAAGGCCCTATCCGCCATGGAGGCCAAGACGCCGCAGCCTACCTCGCCTAATGGCGCGACAGGGGCTGCTGTGCCCTTGGCTGCTGCGTCTACAATCACAGCAAGCCGCGCCTCTAGTGTCATGGCCCCGGCGCAGCAGGAGGGGCAAGGGCAGCCCGATCCACTGCTAGCCGCCATGCAGGGCGCCCATGGCGGGGCGGCGGCGGCTGCCAACCCGGAGGCCGACACGCACATCATGTCCATCATGTCGATCCTGGACCAGGACAGTCAGAGCCCTGCAACAGGATCGGCTCCCAGCGGCGGTGCGGCGCAGCAGACGGGCGCGGGCGCTGGGGCGAGGTCATCTCCCACTGCTGCAAGCGGCTCCGCGGGCCCAGCCTCGCAGGCGACCACTGCTAACAGCAGTCCGCAGCGCGCTCTGCTGCCGCCCGGTCCCCCGGCTGGGCCGCCGGGATCCATGTACGGCAATCCTTTCAGCATGGCTGGCTCTGCCGGGACGCCGCTGATCCCCAGCGGAGTGGATAGTTCTCCCAGTGCCGCTGGAGCTCAGGGTGGGCATGCCAACACGATGGGGTCCCCTGGTGTTGCCCGGTCTCCGCATACGCAGCCGGGTGCGCTGCCGAAAGGCGGTCTGGGGCTGCAGCAGGCGGGCTTGGGCATGCAGGGGCACCTGCAGGGAGATGCGCTGTCGGGGGTCACGTCTGGGGTTGCGCAGGCGGGCTTGTCCGGGCTGGCTGCGAGTGCCGCCTTTGGCAGCGGCATTTGGCGCCAGGGGAGTGAACAGTTAGGCAACGGCACGCAGCTGCCAATGGGTATGCTGGGTTTGGGCCTTGGTCTCAGCGGCATCGGTACGGGTCCCAACACCTGGGGTAGCGTTGGCCTGCCACAGCCGGGCTCCGCGGGCGGCTCGGCGGCTGGCGGCCTGCGCAGCAGCACCACTGCGGCGGCGTCTCCGAGGCAGGGCAGTGGCGGGGGTGGTAGTGAGTGGGCGGCGGCGTCAGGCGGTACTGCCGCCGCCAGCAGCGCTATGGCCAGTGCTGGTCGGCGCGACAGCGGTGTGACGCTGCCCGAGTCGGTGGACTCGCTGGTGGCGGCGCTGCCCACCACACTGCTGCCCAGCAGCCTGGATGCGGAGCCCTCGTCGCCCAGCCCGCCAGCGGCGGTCGGGGGCACAGCGGCATCGTCGTCGGGCCTGGCGCCGACAGCGGCGCCCTTCTACCCGGCTAGCCTGCGTGGCAAAGTTGCATCCGCCGCCGGGGCTGGTGGTGGTGGCATGGGTCAGCAGCAGCACATGGGGTCGACGGGCATCTCGGGCATGGGTATGGGTCCCATGGGAATGGGCGCCGTGTTCAGCGATGGTGCGACTGCATGGATTGGTGGGCTGGTGCCTGGCAAGCAGGGCCCCACGGCGGGTGGGATGGCTGGCGCGGCTGCAACTGCCGCAGCTGCCATGGCAGCAGCAGCGGCCAATGGCCTGGTCGGGCCAGGGCCGCACATGGCGCAGCAGCAGCTAAGCGGGCCCGGCGGAATGTCCAATGCAATGGGCCCGGGTGCTATGCGCTATGGTGTAGGTCTGTACAGTGGTGATGGGGTGAATTGGTCACACAGTGGCCTGGTACAGGGTCCTGGGGGTGTAGTGGGCACTCCGGGCGTGCCGGTGCGCTCGACAAGCAGCACTTGGGCGCCGTTTGTGCCGCCAGGGGTGGGTCATACGGGTATGGGGGCTAGTCAGCAACAGCTTGTTCAGCAGGCGGCGCAGCAGCAAGCAGCACAACAGCCACAGCAGATGGCAGGATGGCCGCGTGGACAACGCTGGCGCAATTAGGGGGACCGCGTGGACAACGCGGGCTTTATGTAGTTAACTGTCACGGTACTTTCTTAAGGAGTTATAAGGACAGTTTTTCATAGGAAGGCACTCAGTGGAGTAGCTGTATAGGGCAGGTTTTGCGGGCGTGAATGGCATCGGTCCTGCAACCGTGTTGGGTTCCGGCAAGGGTTGCATTTTTGGGTAGACCATGATCAAACACACGTCGTACTTGCACGACATCTGGAACGTGCAGGCCATGGGGCAGGAGGCCTGCAAGGATGCTTACACTAAAGCACTTGGTTATGCATTGCTCTGATTATCTGTAACCGTATTGTTGCGGACCCTTCACGCTAGTCTCCTTCGATCCGAGGCAGCTGCAAAGTAACTGCGAAAGATTACCATATAGCATAGTGATTTGGCATCATTTACTTTTAGATTGAAACGCCAAACTCGCTAAGAGCTAGGAACGCGACCACGGAGCAGGCCTGCGGAGGATGGCCACGTCACCTGCAATGCTGCGTCTCATGACGGATCTTAAAGCCATTAAATTGGAACCCCCTGAGGCGAGTTTGCTTGAGGCATGTCAAAATAATACCGGTATAACGTTGTCGGGCACGATGAGGCCAGGGCAAATGCTCAGTTCTCAGCGCGCTTTACGCTAAGAGGTTTGCTTTATTGAAGAATACTGGTTGTATGACTGGATGGTGTTCTCCAGTTGAGCTTTTTCCTGGGCGCATTGTGGCTTAGTAGGGGTGGACGCCTCGCTTGTTGCTCGTTGGCTTGTTGCTCGTTGGCGTCCGAAACTGCCGGTTGGCTAGGAAAGAAGCACTGCAGAAAGATACGATGAAGCGAGGATCACGCTCGCCAGGTGCCATCTGGGGTTTTTACCGGATGGGCTTGCCCCAAAAAGTGCTCGGTTTTGTAGGTTTTGATTGGTGCCCTTCAGCTCCTCCTCGTCCCTTCACAGCACCAAGTCCCACACCCATCGGGCCCTGCATCACGTGCCCCTCCCCTGCACCTGCTTCCTGACGGCATGCAGGGTTGCAGCGCTAGCCCGGTGGACGAGTCCAACCTGCTTGTGTGGCAGGCGGTGGTGATGGGCCCTAATGACACGGAGTGGGAGGTGCGAGGCATACGGCATGGTTAGCTTCATGGGTCTGCTGCTTTTCTCTTGGGATACATTCTCGTGTTTGCGTGTGTGTATCCCCCGCAGGGCGGCATCTTCAGCCTACGGTTTACATTTACTGGTGAGTCCTGGTGGTGTCGCTGTTGCTCTGCTGCGGCTGTCGCTGTGGATCTGCTTCGCCCTGCCACGCTCCTCTGGGTGCAACAGCAAGACGGCCCTCACATCTGATAGATCCGGCAGTCGACGGCACATGCGTGACGCTCGGCCTCCGTTTGGGCCTCCCGAGTGACGGTGCGCTCCTGCCTACCGGGTTGTCCGCTTCACGTTGCCCGCAGAGAGCTACCCGGAGAAGCCGCCTCGCGTGCGCTTCTGCTCTGAGATGTTTCATCCGGTGTGTGGAGGGGGGCGCAGCTAGGGGAGGTTTGGGACCTGGGTGTGTACGGATGTTTGGCCGTCTCATTCGAGCGTCTCGTTCGAGCTGGCAGTGGTATACGGAGCTGACCAGGATTGCAGGAGGTTTTCCCCGTGTTCGTTACAGCTGAGTAGCGTGAACGCAACCTGGCGGCGCCCTTTCCTGACGCGCTTCCCCCTCCCGCCTCCTTCAGAACGTCTACACGGATGGCTCCCTCTGCTTGGACGTGCTCCAGGTGGGTTGTCGTGGTGGCTTGCGCGGCGACGCGGTGCAGGTTGCCGTGAGGGGGCTGAAGCTTGCGGCAGCTGGCCTGGGCTTTACAATGTGGGCTGCAGTATTGCTCCGTAGGCTGTTAGGGGCCAACATCTGCTGCGTCGTCATTCCCTCAAACCGCATGGCTACCCCGCCCCCCGCCTGTGCTCCCCCAGGACCAGTGGTCTCCCTGCCACAACGTGGGCTCGCTGCTCACCTCCATCCAGTCGCTGCTAACCGACCCCAACTGCTCCAGCCCAGCGAACCCCGAGGCAGCCCGACTCTACCTACACGACCGCGCGGCGTACAAGAGGTGAGGGCCAGAGAGAAACCAATCCCAGTGTGACCGCAAGTGAAGGCAAAGCAATGGGGACGGGTGAAAGGGGGGAAGCCAGCAGCCAGCCACGTCCGGCCCTGTTGAGCAAAGTATACACCGCCCTGCTTGCGAGGGCAGCCTCCTTGAGGCCATCCAGGACAGTGCGAAGGGGAAGCAGTTGCGTATGGTGGAGACGTTTGGTTAACCAGCCTCGTACCGCCTGCTGGCCCTGTCCCTACCTCGATCAGGCGTGTGCGCAACATCTCCCAGAAGAGCCTGGAGAACAGCTGACGACACGGCAAGCTGCACTTGCTGCTCATGCGGCTGCCTGCCGGAGCGCTGGGAACGTCTCGCAAAGCCGGGGTTGCGTTGCGTGAAGCCTCAAGCGCGCCTTTGGATCTCCTCTGTATCAACACTCAACATACCCCGCCGGCGTGCTTCAGCGTTGCGGTGTTTCCTAGCGACATTGGTAATGTAGTACTGCAAATACGAAATGCACGTGGCCGGTACGGCTTGTAAGTTGCTGTGGCTAAGCCCACATTGTATCACTGTGGTGTAGTTGGCGTTGGACCTAAACGTATATATGTTGATAAGGGCGGCGGCTCTTTTTGTCTGAAGATTCCGCAGGTTTTGACGCAAGGCAAGTGGGTGTTGTGTTGCTAGGCGGTGCCTAGGGCTGGCAATTTAAGTTGTACAATGTTAGAATCTGTCCACACCAACTAAGCATTTGAGTTTCGTGTCAGTTGGTTGGTAGCATTTGAGTTTCGTGTCAGTTGGTTGGTATGCCGGGGTTGCCGGAATCCCATAAAGGCGGGGCACCTTTCCCTTTGCTGTGCGTTAGGTCCCTGACGGGACGGACGTGCATGTGCCCCGCTCCATTGTGCCGCTATGCACAACGCATTGCAACGTGTTAAGAAGAGACAAATGGCTGTGTTATGTGTACGAGTGCATGGCTGGTTGGTTTGCAACCACCTCTTCTGTAACGAAGGCAGCGCATGACCGCATGCATGTCCGAACGTCGGTCCTCTCATTGAGTGCAACGTATAAGCTCACCCGGCCCTGTACTTCAGCATGCGCGTCCCCCTCACCATCCTACATACCGTTCAGTGTGGCCACGCCTTATGAACATATAATACCGGTAAACCAGTAGTCGAGCCTGCACTACAGCTCGCTTGCTCGCGGATCGCACGCCTCTATCGCGCCACGCTTCCTGCACCACTCTCTCCCTTCTTCCCGACCCCCGCAACAGTATGAGTCTAGCCGCGCGCACGCCCCGCTTCCACCCGTCAAGTCTCGCCAACACTCCCCGTAAACCCTGGTCAACTAAGTTAACGTCCTGTGCGTTTAAACGCTCGCCCTTTATCTCCTCCACCAAGTGTACCAATAGCCTGTTTCCCTAATACCCCTAGTCGGTCTTCTTCTCCTAGTCGAACTGCGGCTCCGAGGTCCCCACTGCGGTGAACAGCGCCGCCGAGCCCAGGCAGCAGCCCGCGATCAGCTGGAACACCAGCGCCCAGGAGTGCGTGCGGTCCAGGATGACCCCCACCGCGTACACGAACACGCTGCCCGCCAGGCTGGCGGCCGCGTTGGTGGTGCCGAACAACACACTGGGCGGTTACGCAGTGAGCGCACGCAGAAGGTGGGAGGTGGGAGGTTCGTCATGGCACTCGACAAAGGGTGTAGTCCGTACAACACGCCGTTGCGACGGTTTCAGCAGCTTGCGGACAACCGAGCACTCGGGCACCTCCCTCCCAGCACAGCGAGGGCTGCCCCTTACCCCCTCCCCCTACCTGGCCAGCCGGGTGGCTATGTCCTGGTGGGTGGACGCGAAGCCGCCCGCCTGCAGCCCCAGCAGCGCCATCGTCATCACCAGCAGCGACACCGCGGAACCCAGCTGCTGCTGCTGCTGCTGGGACGGGTGGGAGGGCGGCAGCTGCTGCAGGGACCTCGGCTGCTGCTCAGCCTCGGCCCCCTCCGCCCCCGGCACCTGCAGCAGCCCCGTCCTGCTGGCAGCACCCCCGCCACTCCCGCCCGCAGCGCCCCATGACAGGTACAGCAGGCAGACCGCTGGCCCCACACTGCCCGCCATCTGCAGCAGCTTGCGTGTGGCGGTGGTTGTGAGCAGCTTGCGGTTGATGAGGTGGTCCGCCAGCCAGCCGGACAGGTTGGTGCCGGCGGCCATGGCCACCCAGGGCAGCACGGACAGGAAGGAGGAGGCGCGCAGGTCCAGTCCGAACTCGCTGTTGTAGTAGCGGGGCAGCCAGGAGATGGCGGTGTTGTAGATGATGCCTGAGGGGGTGGGCGGCCAGGAAAGCGGGGTTAGGGGAGGTGGGTGAGGGCAGATGGCAGGGTTATAGGGGGCTGGAGGACAGCGAGGTGCGGACTGCATCAATCCGCGCCCAACTCAAAACCCGGATGTAGCTCTTACCGAACGTGGAGTGGCAGACCAGAAGGGCCCAAAACACCCGGTTGGTTAGGATCTGCGGGGGCGGGGGTATCGGGCTGTGTTGCTAGACGGTACCGGGTAGTAATGCAACAAAATAAGTGGACGCAACCGTAACCCGCATCAAGGCGACCCGGCCTTAAGGTAAAATGCAACGCCGGTGCCGTATCCTGCCCCCCTTCCACGCCTGGAGCTGCTTCCCCCATCCGCACCGTCCTCCACGGCAGTGCGCTCAGCCGCTCCGGAGCCGCCGCCAGCGGGCGGTCGTGCAGCAGCGGCGCCTCCGCCGGCACCAGCGGCTGCCAGGCGGCCAGCCACAGGAAGCCCGTCAGGCCGTACAACACGAACATGACGTCCACACCTGAGGGGAGGTGCAGCGCGGAGGTGGCGGGGCAGCAGCGGGAGCAGAGTGGCAGCAGGGGGTGCTTGGGTGAGCGGCGGGCAGCATGATGCGGGCATACAGGGGGCGGCTGGAGCGGAGGTCGTCATGTCGGAAGCATGCGGCTGCGGCTGTGCTGGGTGAGCAGCTGCTCACCTGATGCTGCGATGATGAGCGGCGACAGCAGGAGGGAGAGGATGCTACCGATCTGGTGCCCTGCACGCGGGGAGGAGGGAGAGGGGCGGATACGGGAGCTTGTTGCGGTGATGGGCAGCTGCAGCTCAATGGTGGCTGGGACCCATGCCGCTGCCCTCGCCCTGCTGTTCGCATGAGGCGTTGCAATGGTGCACCGAGGCGCGGCAAGCCTGTTACCTGTAACCTGAGATTGCCTCTATCACGCCACCACCCTCTGGCTGCAGTCTAGTGCCGCCCTCCCGCCAGCCACGCTCCCCTCTCTCCCCCCTCTCCCCGGCCCCACCGCTGTACATGAGGCTCAGCGACCGCGAGCGCCGTTCCAGGGGCACCCAGCCCTTGATGATGGCCTGCGGGGCAGGGGGGCAGGGGGAAGGAAGGGGAAGGGGAGCGTGTGAAGGCACGGCATGAGCTGAGCAGCTGCGTCGGCTGCATAGTTCGCAGGCTTCCCCGAGGGGCCCGGCAGTTCAGCTGTGGCCCAGCATCCCCGCAGCGGCGCTCCCTGACCTGCATGGTGGGGTAGGCCACTCCCTCGCCCAGCCCCATGCACGCGCGCGTGACGAGGAGCGGCATCAGACCCGCCGCGGCCGCCAGCGGAGTGAGCAGCGTGAACGCGCTCCACACCACTACCCCCAGGCCCAGCACCAGCTTGGGAGAGTGCGCAGCAGCCAGGTAGCCGCCGTAGAAGTTGGTGAGCGTGTGGCCCAGGTTGAAGGCGCTGTTGGATTCGGTGGGAAGGGGTGGCAGGTGAGAGGAGTGGGTGCGGCTAGCAGATGCGTAGGTGGGTGGGAAGGGAGGTGAGGTTTGCTGGTGCGTACGCAACGGATTTCGGTACCCCAGCGGCTGCGAACACCACCTGCCATCAACAAGGAGTTCGACAGGAAAGGGCCGTGTACGGCATATGTCCACGAAAAAGCATACCTCACCTGCTTACGGCTCCTTTGATAGTGTCGCTCCAGCCATACTTGACGCCCATTGGAAGTACCGCCACTGGGGAACGGGTCGGTTCAAGGCCAAGTTGCAAGCAGACGTACGGGAAGGGGAAATAGTCGTAGATACCGTGTATATATGCTCCCGTAGAGCGACAAGGCCACAGTAAGACGGCATACGCGGTCTCACAAACCCGAATTAAGTGCAGCCCACCTATAGCTGCAGCGATGTCAATGGCAAAGGTTCACCCTGTCACCCACCACTCATCGCGGTCCGATCAATGGAACAGATGACAGCAACTAATCCACATAGAGCTACTACAGCGAGCCAATTTGTTTGCCAGCTGGCTGGCGGTGCGTCTAGTAACCCCCTGCTGGCTCCAGATGGCCGAGTCTCCAGCTTGGCCGCTTGCGCTTGGCGTTTGCTCCCGACGCTCATTCTTCTTATAGCTAAGTGCATAACAAGCAAGCTGGTAAGCAAGTCCCGGGCGAAGTTTGAATTGATACGGTCAGCGAAGTGGAATCAATTACATAGCGGATTACTTATAAGTAATCCGGTGAAGAAAGAAGAACGAGCAATAAACTTACGTGCGCGTGAAAACAGTGTCAGGTTCAATATAGTAAGTCGAAGGTTGAAAGAGCAACAGCACATGATCGTCAACAGTTGTACATGCGATGGTCTGTGTCCAAACGTTGAGTAACGACAGAAACATGCTTCTGTCGCTGCGAAAAGACGGGGTCGAAAACACCACACTTGCGCCACCTGCGTAGCCATCTATCAGCAGCCTAACCTGAAAACCACATTTGGACATCTACCTAAACCCAGCTCATGACGGGTTGCTGCGAATGCGCGACAACCACGACAGCCTGCAACTTCGGCACTGCGACTCTACGACTGCGCCTCGTCCTCGCCCATGTTCTCGTCGTCAATCTTGGGTGCAAGGTAGAAGCGCACGTTCCCGAGATCGCCCACTTGGTACTCGACGACGATGGGCAGGTCCTTGGTGAGGCTCAACTTGACCTGGGACGCCAGGGGCGTGGCCTTGCTGAAGTTGTTCAGGTACCGCAGCGCAAACGTGAGGGCCACCGGCTCCTTCAGGTCAATGATGGTTTGGTCCTCGGGTTTCTCCGGCGTGGTATTGTGCCTGAGGGAGACATGGGCAGCAAGGGGTTCCGCAGCGCTCGTCAACTTCGACAGTGGGGTGACTATGAAGTATTCAGCGAGGTACTTGCGTGGATTTCTTCGCCACTACACACGGCATACCCGCAACCCCTGGCCATGTGTGCACTTACCGGAGCGTGATGTTGGCCGTCCCCACATCCCCGGAGGTCGAAAACTTGATGCCCTCCTTGGTTGCCGAGATGAGAACCGTGTCACCAATGCTGGTTAGGTCACGTACGATGCGCTGGTACTCGGAAGAGGGCATCTTGATTTCCGCCGAGTAGTCCTGGTCGGGGATACCCAGGTGTTCCGACTCAATAGACATCAGCTTGAGGTCGAAGTCCGAGATGCGGTCCTGGTTAGAAGACTCAAACATAAGCGTAAGTTGGTCGGCATTGTCCTCCGCCTTAAGCGTGATAGTGTCCTCGTTGCCTACAGCAGCCGATACAACCGGTTAGATTATTATTGGCAAATTGGTAATTTAGCAAGGGTCTTACCAGCGCACTTCAGGATCTTGGACAGGTTCTGAAAGTGAATGCCCATTGACATATTCCGGTCGCAGCGGAAGTGGTCGAAGCCATCCTCGCGCAACGTTAGGGAAACAAGGCAGACATGCGACGAATCCATCGCCTGCAGCTGCAGGCCAGTGGAGCTGACATCAAAGTTGCCCTCCGTTACTAGCTCCTTCAGCGCCTCCACCAGCTTCTTCAGGACGCTGCCCTGGGTAATCCTGGCCTCAAACATGGTTGCTGCGAAAATGGACAATAAGCAACAGTAGTCAGTTGTCCAGGCGACGGAGTGTCCTAAGTCACGCGCAATGTGTGGTAGAAGGATTGCGAGATCATATGTACAATTGCCTTGCTAGTTAAGGAGCAAATTTGGATTGGTACTAAAGGAGTAATGCTCACCAGGCCGGCCACAGAAGTTGCGCGGGAAGAGGCTGAAGGAAGAGGCAAGCTATTGAAATTAGCTTGTCGCTGTGTTTGCGGGCTTCTGCTGCGTAATTACATCAGGGGCTACCTCTGTACTATTTAAGCGCTACTCGCGCCCTTTTTCCGTTGTCCGGAAGGTTTCGGTGCCAGCCAATTCGAACTGCGCGTGGCGCGAACTTCAAGCGGTTTGCAAATGCAGCCATACTGTTTTCAGTTACAGGTTACGCCATAGGTCGTGACACAGAATCTGCCAGGCCAACGCGCACCCATATGAAATGTGTAAGCAGACTGCAGATGCTCAAGGCATCAGGTTACTATGAGCCTGAATGCCATAAGCCGAGGCTGTTCATGCTGGGCGGCCACCTAGCAAAATTAAGGGCCACACAAGCCTGAAAGTTCATAGACCTTTCGAGACGAGTCGGCTGCAATGTCACGGGGACGACGCCCACCCGGATGTCTCCATAAAACATTGAGCGACACCTTCTACGCTATGCTCAGAAACATATACAGACTAATTGTGCTGGACCTTTCTTGTGATTAACTACATGTGCGGTGAATTGGGATGTCCTGATGGCTTTGGACGATTTGACCGGAAAACCACTCCTATCCTTACTACTTTGCAGCCGAGTGGGTCCGAAAAATACGCAGTACAGGGTACAGGACAGTCTTTCCTACGCGACCATGTGCCTTGCGACCCATGGGGCTCCGTGGTGTGCACAGATTGTCGAGTGGTTACTCCCATTCTTTCGTGGACGTGCATAAAGTGCAAACCTGGGTTGGTCACAGTGACCTTGGCATAGATCCCCATACACCATGAGCCTGCTCTAGCAATTGGAATGCGAAAGCCGTCGAGCTACGTTAGCTTTGATGGATGGATGGATGCACACACACTGCTCCATGCTTCGACAATGTCAGGCCTGGCATGCCGTAAATTGGAGTCGGACTGCCCAGCCGTTCTTCACTTCAGGTACCGCATGCGGACTGAACACATGTGTAAAACCTTTGCCCTTATCCCTCCCCGAGAGCTACAGGGAGTTGCATGGCAGACTACCTTGGCAGCGACTCCACTCCGGAACGGTCTTTGCAATGTGTCAGACTACTTACCAATGCCCTAGCCCTTTCGGGAGCCAGCTACTTACCTATGCCCTAGCCCTTTTCGCAGCCGGGCGCTACCTTGTCCTAGCAGCCATGCGGAATGGGTTTTGCCCTTGCCAGGCGTCCACAAGCAGTGCCACAGTTCGCACGCGCAGGAGGTTCCTAAGTATCCATTCATTAATGCAACTGGCATGCAGAACATCTCCATGTGTGCCGCAGAGCACCTCCGAGTGTAATTAACCCTGCTGCCTAGGGCTCGGGAATTAGCCACCTGCCGTTGGACGTGCCAGATGGTAATAACGGTATCTGGTCCAACGTTACAGTAGGCCCGCACGTGTTACGGTACTCAGTCTCGTTGTGCTCCATCCAACAGCGCGTTGCACCCCTTTTGAATGCATCCATGCAGCCGTACAAAGGAAGCCAGCTTTGACACCTATAGCACATAACCTGCCTGCGGCGGCTCACATGGCACATGCAGCCAAGTTGTTGGTTACACTCTTGGTCCGTACGGTCTACAGCCCACTCGACAGTACGGGAGCGCGGATAGAGCAATGCATGGTTACAGCTGCGGCCGCCTTGTTCCCTGAAACGCTTATTCATTATAATATTTTACAACTTTCCGCGTTCACGATACATAACAAACCGCAGATCCGGCAGCAGACGCGACCACCGCCATTCCCCAACACTACAGCTATCCATCCGGCAGCGCATACGAAGCATAATGCCAAGCAGCATGGCAGCATGACTGCGCTGAAAGATCAGCGCCATGCCCATAGCAATCACCATCCCACATTTAAATACCCTAGCGATTTGAGCTGTGAAGCACTCTAGGAAACTCTCCGCCCAGATGTCACTGCGGCACGCTGCCGGCACGCATTCGTGGCACAAGGCTTCGGCGCCAGTAGCTGCCATGCACGGTTGTAAGCGGGCGTTGCCTGGTACACCGAACCGCTCCGTCTGCTCAGCAACGGTCACCGAACGTAGGCTTGCCTTCGAACACACATAGGATGCCTAAACAAAGCCCTTTCCGCCGTACACCCGCCCCTCCACGCATCACCGCCTGGCCCGCGAGGAGCTGCGCGTGGTGCGGGGCGGCGGGGCGGCCGCTACTGCCTCGTAGCCCACCTGCAGGAGGTGGGGGGGAACACATGCGGGGCAGCATGAGCATGAGCTAGTAGCCCGGGATGTCCGCTGCTCCAGTCACGATACAAGGCAACGTTGAGCAGTGCTGCTACAGCGGTGTCCAGCGCAGTGTTGTTGCTCGCTCAGCAACACGCCTTACACACAGTGGCATGAGGATGCACCCATGAGACACCGCACGCACCCCGTACCTGCTGCGACATGGCCACACCAAAGCCGTCTTCCTCGTCCACACTCCGACCACGGCGTCCCGGCAGACTGGTCATCTTGCCGCTCACAGCACCCACGGACTCGCCCACCGAGGCAGCTGCATTGCGCTTGCGGGAGCGCCTGCCCGCACCCGCACCGCCCGCCACATCGCCCTCCTGCGACATGGGGGCAGCAACAAGCAATGATTTCTCGGTCGCAGCTTATAGGCCAGCACAGTAGTTCCAACGCGCCGCATGGAATGCCGAAACCGATGTACATCTATCAACTACCGTGCCAACCCGACGCTTTCCCGCCCCGCCTACCGGGGGTTTCATGGACAGCGAAGAGGCCGGCAGCTGCCTGGATGCCTCTGACAGCGTGGGGCCGCCCGCATGCGCGCCCTCGCCCCCCAGCGGCCCCGACATGAGCAGCGGGAAGGGCATGTCCAGCTGCGACGCGACCATGTCCGGCACCAGCTGGTGGTTATCCAGGAATTGCATCAGCAGCGCAGTGGCGCCCGCGTGCTCGGGAGCCGCAGCCGGGGCGCCGGCGGCCCCAGCAGCCCCAGCACCGGCCATGGGAGCAGCCCACCCTGGGCCGTCGGGTGCAGCCGGACCGGCACGTGGCCCATCCGCTTCCTCCTCTTCCTCGCAGGCTCCGGCGACAGACGCAAATGTGCCCGCGGAGTCGTGCGGTCCCGCGGTGCCCGGGCCCATGGCTGCCGGGTCGGCTGCGGAGCACCCCGGCTGTGGCACCTGCACGCTGGCAGTGCTGTACGGCGGGTTGTACGACGCCTGCGCACCCGCAGCCGCGCTCATCTGACCCTCGTGCCGGTCGGCAGCGGCTGCCGGCGGGGCTCCGGGCTGGTCGGCGTCCGCGGGGTCGTCTTGCAGGATGGCGTTGAGGAGGGGCTTCAGCAGGGAGGGAGGCCTGGCGGCCCCGGCGGGAGCTGGCGCCACTGGGACCTCCCTGACCCGTGGGGCTGCCATGTCCGCAGGCTGTGCGTGCTGCGGCTGCCGTGCCGGTGGGGGTTGAGGCTGCGTGGGACCCCTGGGTGGCAGTGTGGAGGCTGCTAGCGGCAGGGGTGCAGGGGCTGCTGCCTGCGTGGGAGCTGCCCGCCGATCCGGCGCCTGCGTGGGTCGCGGCGGCAGGCCGGGTGCTGCCGCCGCCGCACCACGGGAGGACTCCATGTCGTATTGGCTGCTGCTCCCGGGGAGCCCCCTCCCGGGTATCTGCGAGGTTGCAAGGGGTGCAGGGTGGGTGCTGCGGCTTAAGCGTTACTTGCGGCTGGGGAAACCACGAGTCACAAGGTACGAGAACCCGAGTCCAGAGCATATATCACAGCTACTGCCAGCACAGCCGGTACAGGGTGGTGCCGTAGGTTTTCCCCTCTTCCTACTGACCCCGGTAACCCCTCTTGACATGCCACATACCGGTATTCATTCACTCCACACCTTTCCGCCAACCATATCACCCACCCTCGCTGACCGAGATCCCCTCCCCACCACCGCCCCGCCTTACCTGCGACGCCCCAGGCCGCTGCGTTGGCCCCAGCCCCATACACATCTGGCTGGACTCCCCGCCCGGCCCCCGGCTGGCCGCCGCCGCGCGCATGTCCTCCATCTCCGCGGGCGTGATGCCGGCGGGCAGGAAGGCCGGCAGCTGGTCCCGCAGGGGGCGGCCCGCGTGCGCGCTCTCCAGCACCCAGTCCGCGCGCACGCAGGGGATGCCCCACTTGACTGCGTATGCGAACTTGTCCCCGCGCGCCTCCTGCACCACCAGATAGCTGCACCGCTTGTTGAGCTTCTCGGTGTAGGTGCCGCCTGGGGCAGGTGGGAAAGAGGAGCGGGTGGGGTCGGGCGGATATGACGGTGCTCATTTCCGCGCCCCACTAACATAGCCTCACCCCGGCGCCCGCCCGTTTGCCTCATTCCCACCCCCTTTATCAATCAGTTACTTATCCTTTCCGTCCCCCTCCTCCCCTCTCACCCAGCTTCCGGATGAGCTCCTCCAGCACCTCCCGCTGCTCCACGTGGTACTGGCTTACCGCCACCAGCTGCCCCTGGAAGCCCGGCAGCGGCAGCGCGTGCGGCAGCGGCCGGAACAGCGGCGTCTCGCGCTTCACCGGCAGCAGCTCGCCGCGGGCCACACAGGCGCGCAACCAGGCCAGGGTAATGCGCTGCTCCGCGGGGACACGTCTGGGAGTGGAAAGGAGGTGAGGGGGTGAGGGGAGAGGGAAAGGGGGTGGATGGTTAAGCGACATTGTCCCTGGCAGCCAGGGCCGCCCCCGCAGCCCGCCCGCCCGCACTCACTCGAACTCGCTGAGCCCGCGGTCCCGGCCCCTCGCGGCAGACAAGCGGTCCACCGCGGCTTGCGGCATGCTGAAGGGGCAGACTGCGAAGCGGCGCTGCGGGTCGCGCACGCTGCGTTCCGTGGAGGCAGACATAATCATGCCGCCACCCTGCCTGTGAAGGGGGGAGAAGGGGGGAATGTGGGGATCGCAACGGGGCGGTGATGGTGGTGAGGGGGACTCCAAACAGCCTGGCAACGCGCGAGAGCCAGACAGGTACCCGTGCTCACACCCGCGTTTCCCCGCCTTGGATGTTCGCCGTCTGCTATAAACGCAGCACATACAGCCTCGCCTTCTCGAACGCCACGCGCCCCAACGCCTTCCTCCCACCCTCCTCCCAGCCCCCCCACCTGACCAGCCGTGTTGCCGCCGCCTCCTCCTCCGTGCCCGCCACCGCCACCAGCGTGAACCACAGCCCGCTGAACACCCCCGGCTCGCCCGCCCCCCGCACCGACACGCTGTCCAGGGTGCGGCTGCCGCCATCAGGCTCCAGGGGCACGTAGTCGTCAAGCGGGGCTACCATCCGCCCGCCGCCGCAGCTGGGGGCGGCAGCGGGGCCCGCGGCGGCGGTAGCAACAGCAGCGGCGGATGCAAAGGGAGCTGGGGAGCTCTCGCGGCCGCGGTAGGCCCCGCCGCGAGCAGCCTGCGTGGGGGTGGCGGGAGGGAAGTAAGGTGGAGGTTATAGCCTTCGACCTAAACCCCTCGTTGCACTTCGCGGCAGGGAGGGTACTGGAGTAGGCATGCGTCACGAGCCGCACTTGGATCCCTTTCTTGTCGCGTCGTCAGCACCACCACAGCAACTGTGAAGGCAACGGACACCTGCAACCACTGCTCAGGGTGCTCACTCCCACACGGCCTAGCCATCCCTAGGCCTGAGTGCCTTTCCCAACCACTGCCTCCCTCCAACAGCACCAGCACCACCCCTCCCAACCCCACCGCCACCCCCACCTGCCCCGGCAGCAGCGCCCCCGTGCCCGCGCCCCCCTGCGCCAGCAGCAGCGCAGCCACCGTCATGGCATAGGGCCCCTCCGGCTCCAGGTACGCCCGCCGGTTGACACACTCGTACAGCCAGCCCAGCCGCGCCAGCTTCACCTGCTCGCGGTGCTCCGCCAGGTGCTGCCGTACCTCCGCCAGATCTGCCGTACTCAGCACCGACCCAAACACGATGTGGGTCACCGCGGCAGTCAGCGTCGGCTCGCGTGTGGCGCCGCTCTCCCTCACCGCCGCCAGCACGTGCGACTGCTCGGCAGCGGTGCAGCCCACCACCCACATGCGCACCCAGTGCAGGAAATAGCAGTCGTCGGAGGGAACCGCGGGGACGCGAAAGTACTGCTCCGAGTGGTGCAGGGCGGAGTAGGCGCCGGCGGTGGGGCCGGCAGCAGCAACAGGGGCGGGGGTGATGTGGGTTGTGGCGGGCTTGGGATCAAAGGTGGCGGGGGGTAGCGGGGCCTCCGGACCAGCACCGGCACCAGCACCGGTACTAACTAGGGGCGCCGCGCCGTTGGCAGGCTGCAGGGCGGTGGCGCGGCTGGGGTGGGGCGGGAGTGCGTGGCCGGGGCCCGGGAGACCGCTGCTGGGCGCAACGATCCTGCATCGCAAGGGGCGTGGATGGGTGAGCCAGGGTGTCAGGAGTGAGTGGCAGTCTCGGAATAACCAGCTTTGGGGATTTCTCTTGCACAGCAAAATACCTATTTTCGTGCCGTTCATAGAAGGGTCTTTTCATGTCCACGCGAGCAGTTGCAAAGCCGTGCGGACCCTCGCGCCGATCCGAATGGTCGTTTCACTGTGCACGTGTGCAGCGCTCGAGTACAGTAAGTATATAAGCGTATGCGTTAAGTATTACGTGTTTGTTTGTCGTCGGCCTTCATGAGTTGCTATAGTACTTATGGAAATTAGTACGGTGTTTCACGGCTTCCCAGCGACATACCCCCTGATGCTCGCGGCTCCCTGCCTGGCAGTGACCGCTGCCGCTCCCGCGTCGGAGGCCGCCCCGCAGCGCCCCGATGAGAGCGTCCTGCAGGTCACACAGCAAAACCCAGATCAGAAACACAGTAACAACTACCCAGCCCCTAAGCAGAAGGTAGCTTGAATACATACAGGAGCCGCGACGATGTCTATCCCACCTTGGCACAGAGCAGCCGCAGCGATCTCTACCCCCCCATGTCTAGCGGGTGGTAATGGCAGAAGCAACCCTCCGCAGCCCTGCGCACGCCCCTCCCACCACCCGCTGCGCCCCACCTGGATGACTGGCGCGCGGGGTCCCCGTACACGGACACGGTGGCGCCCCCCGCCGGCTCCCGGGGCACGTAGGTGTCCAGGTTGTACGGCCGCTCGTCCAGCCGGTGCCCCGCCTTCAGGCAGTCCAACACCCAGTCGTAGTGCACCACGAACAAACCCCACTCGCGGGCGTGGCTGCGGCACAGGGAGGGCAGGCAGGACGGAGCGTGGGAGTTGAGGAGTAGTGGACATGCTGTTGTGTGTGAACGACAGCCTGCGGTTAGGTGGCCCATGGCCCGATGGCATACCAGGAAATTAGGTTCGGTTGGGAATGCCTCCTCGGTCGATGCATGTGGGTGTAAATCAGTGAGGCAGCCTGGAGGGTCTCGCAGGTCCCCCGGAACCCTGAACCCGCAGCCGCATACCCTCTCTCACGTGTGCTTATTGCCGCCCGCTTTGGAGCCAACCAGGTGGGTGGAGGTGCGGTACAGCTCGGGCGACGGGGTCGCGCAGCCCTGCTTCAGCTGCGACACCACACCGTCGCGCTCCTTGGCGCCGAAGTTGGTGATGCTGACCCGGATGCCGCTGAAGGGTCCCAGCAGGTAGGGGCTGGCTTCAACCTGTTGAGGAGGGGTGGGGGAAGGAATGAGAAAGGGCAGAGGGTTTGGGCTGTGTGTTTCTTTGCTTCTTCTCATCATAGAAGAGTAACACAAGCAGATATTACATGTGGGAATCAGCCTGTGAGCGCCAGTCTGCGCACAGACCAGGTGAGCCCACCTGACGCTGCTCCGCTTGGCATGTCGAGAGCCAGTCCGGTGACACGGCCACCAACCCCGGATTAAGCTGAAAGGCGACCTGTTACGGAAGGTAACAGATAGAGTTTCAAATTTGGCTTAATAGGGCAAGGAACGCGCTTCCGTGCTTCGCTTTGAGCGCTCACAAGGTATGGGTCGCTTCCATCCGGCAGCCGGAGAACATTGCTTGCTACAAGGTAGCTCGCTCTTGGCGCGTCCGATGGGCGTAAAATAGTCGCACCCAGGGAAGTTGCCAAGTCTGAAAGCTCAACATGGTTCCTGTGTGTAAGATTGCCAAAAACTAATCCCACCCCACTTAAGCACCCCATTTCCGTGTAGCTTTAATACATAAAATAATACACGTGAAGCAGATCGCAATGTAAAAAGGAGGCTTGGTACGCCCGGTCCTTGCTGTGGTCCTTGCGGGTTCGGGGATGTACCCGCCCAAATCGTACAAGTGTCGTGCTGCTCCAATCTTTGGGGCATTTCGTCCTACCGAAAGCCAGTGTAGCCTATTGACATATGAACTTTAAACTAGGCAGCTTTTAGGGCCCATGCGGCAGTCTTGGTCGTTGCGTGCAGCTCCTTACGAAGGTTAAGCGACCCAGCTATCGTATCTGGGCACCTTTTCATTGCAACATACTGCATTACATTTTGTTAAAGGGATGAAATAGCTTAGGGGAATAGGGCAAAATGAAGTCTAGCGGACTTTAGGCTGCTGCACACCGCATTTTGGCCCAGTTGAAAGCAAGGTAGTAGGTTATGGAAGTGTCAACCATATGGACTGAGCCTTCCGTAGATAGCTCCCCAGGCGACTCATTGCACCCTTCGCTGACCTCGCAATCACGTCTGACCAGAATTGGGCTAAGGAGCAGTTCTGCTGGCACTGCAACGATATCACAACAATTAGCTAAAGTCTTGGCACAACAGCTGTTGCTGCCATCAACGCCGGCCTGTCAACAATTGCTGGTGAGCGCCTCACACGTGTCGGGTGCCGCCAACGAGGCAGAATTGATTCCCAGCTTTCAAAGCAATGGCGTTCATACGCCCTCCGGCGCGGGTGGTGCACTTCCGTCGTCCCGACAGTGTACAGCGCAACCTGGCTCCTGCACTGCTTTGCCTATCGGAGGCTCCACTCGCCCGATTGCTGTGACTGCAACGCCTGCCGGTGATTCTCGGAGTCCCGCGGGACACCAGTCAGCGGGTGGGATGCAGCCCGCGTCCGCTGGCCAGAGGGACCTGTGCTCGACACTGGAGGCGGAGCTCGTGGAAATCGAACGCAGGTGTGTTGAGTCGCGTGGATATTGCGTAGCCCCTGCACATGGGCCGTTGGCCATGCCGTAACATGGGCGAGCGTCGTCGAGGGGGATGGTGCGCAATATAACTCCGCATGCCGCCACATGCCTTCTGCTGCGCGCCCGCAGGTACATTAGCACCAGAGGCGGTGAGGATAGCACGGGAGGCAGCCGCTGCTTGGCTCCCGCATCTACACCGGTAACCGGCAGCTCCGGCGGCGGCGGCACCAGCGGCCCAACCGCACTCCCATCTGGGTTGCCCGCAACCTTCACGCCGCCAGCAGCAGCAACAGTGCCCGGTCAGTCATCCCAACCCGGGACCCCGCGCCACCAGCCTCCTGCAGGCAGGCCGCAGCCGCCCCTAGCACACCTCCCAGAGGACAGCCCATGGGCCCAGACGTCCCCAGCACTGGAGCCGCCGCACCAGTCAACTAGCGAGGCAGTGCCGCCTGTCCGCAGCAGCAGCCAGGGCAGTGCAGCCGGTGTCGAGGGGGGAGCGCGGATGTCGACCAGCCAGGGCTCTGGCGGACGCTGCAGGTCGCCTGTCGGGTTGGCGGTGCCGGTGGCCGGCATCTCCCTGCCAGCAGCTCTAGGACCGCTGCCACCGCTGGTGGCTTCCCCAGACTCGGCCATGTGCTGTGAGGGGAGCACGTCAGTGCTCAACTCGGGCGCCGTGTGCGCCTCTGCGGGTGCTGCTGCTACTGGGCGGGCAGCTGCACCAGCCATGGCCGCATGGTCAGTGCTCCCACTGCCAAGCAACCCTGCCAAGGAGGCGCCTGGGCCCGTGTGCGGAGCGGGCGGCGGTAGCCCCGGCAGCGGCCTGCAGCAGTGCGAAGCAGCGTCGTTGCTGGATCCCACCTGTGGCCCCTGCGACGCGGGTGCTAGTCCGGGAGGGCTGCCTACCGGTATGTTTGGGAATGGCGTGGTTCAGGACTGGGCGGCACCGATAGGCGGCACAACCGCAGCGGCCATGCAGTCGGCATGTTGGCGCGCGGCCCTGCTGGCACTGCGTTCTCCGCCGTCAGCCCGCTCTCCGGCGTCTGCGGAGCAAAGCAGCCCAGGGGCGCGGGGAACGGGTGCCCAGGGGTCCCCATTGCAGCGTGCGGATAACCCCGAAGCCGCACTTTCTGCGCCTGCTAGGACACCGCTGGAGCAGCTAGGAGCCGCCGTCGCGCTCGTCAGCAGTGCGTTGGCTACGAAGTCGGCCAGTCCGGTGCGGCGGTTGGCGTCCGCTAGGTCACTGTTGCCGGCTTTCGCACTGCAGGCTGTGGATGCCTCCATGCACACCCCATCCTCCTCCTCACCACCACCACCACAGCAAGAGCCGCAGCATCCAGGGCCGCAACAGCTGCTGCGCGGAGCTTCATGCAGCATGCAGGAGGCAGTGGCGCAGGTCCTGGCGAGCCCTGGGGTTTCGCAGGGCGGCGCACCGCCACCGCCTCTCCACGAGCCATCCAGCATCAAGTTATCGCCCTCACCCAGCATGCTGGCAGCCGAGATGACAACCTCGGAGCTGACAGTCTCCGACTCGCTCTCGCAGTTCGCTTCCTCGGGTGGGGCTGCTGAAGCCAGCTCGCTGCCTCCTCCCCCTGCCCCATACCCACCTCCGCCTGCATGTTACCCACGCGGCCAGGGCCTCGGTATCAGCGCAGGCGGCAGCACCAGCAGCGGCGGTGGGGCTGCCGGCGCCCTGGCCCCCGGCCGGCGCGGCGCCGGCTCTGCGGGCGGCCTCAGCAGCGCCAGCAGCGGCTGGCCCGGCTGGGGCTCCTCCGCGGGCGGCTGCACCGCCAGTAGCAGCGACAGCTCCGCCGACTGCACCGAGTGGAGCAGCGCCAGCGCCAGCCGCTCCACCACCACCGTGCTCGCGCCCGCCTCGGTCTCCGCCTCCAGTGGTACCTTGTGCGCCGCCTGCTGGCCCACCGCCGCCACGGGTGTTGGAATGTCTGCTAGCCTCGGCGCGGGAGCCGTGGCCAGTGGCTTGCCGGAGCTGCCGCAACAGCTGCAGCCGCTGGGTGGCAGTGCCCGGCTCGGTGGGCCGGTGCCGCGTCCGGAGTGCGGGGTGGCGCCACCGGCTCCGCACGCCGCCGCCTCCCTTCCGCCCGAGGTGGCTGTGCAGCGGCTACTGGAGGCGGAGCAGGAGGAGGAGCGGGGGCAGGGCAGGGAGAGGCAAGGGCAGCAGCAGCAACCTCAGCGGGGTCCTGACCTTCCTTGGAGGAGCCACTTTGTTGCTGTGCGACCTCGCGAGGCTGCACCGCGGCCGCCTCGCTCTCCTCGCCATGAAGTCCTCCTTCGGCCCTGCCCGGTCGGCGAGCCCCGCCTGCCTCCGAGGTGGGAGGAGAGGGAGGCCTCAGGCGGACCGACTGCGGCCGCCTCCGCTGCCAGCCGCGCGGAGGTTGCTGCGCTGGCCTTCCTGGCGGCGGTGGAGCGGCAGGTGGAGATTGATGGCGGGGGCGGGGGGGTGCCCCCAGCCACCCATGCGGAGCTGGGGGCCTCGGAGGCGGCGGCGGCGGGGGACCGGCTGAGGCAGCTGGAGCTGGGGCTTGAGCCGCTGGGGGCGGGGGCCAGCTGGTCGGGCTGGGAGCCGGCGGGGGCGGGGTTAGCAGGGCCGCAGTTGGGTTGCGAGGAGGTGGGTAGGAGCACTCGGCATGAGGCTATGCGGGCGCTGCAGGAGCGGCTGACGGAGGTGCAGGTGGGTGGGAGTGTGTGTGCTGGGGGCGGGGGAGGGGGGCGGGGTGCTGCTGGTGAGCGACTGGGCCCGCGAGGAGTCCTGAAGGAGTGGAGGGCGGCCTGTAGGCAGTTGGGACCGCGTCTGGGGTTGCAAACAAGCCTATCATTCATGTAATTGCACTACTCCTGTTAATGTTGACCTTGTAGCCGCCTTCACATGCGGATTCATAGGGCAGCTGCAAGCGAGTGGTTCTCCCGTTCCCAAGCCGCGACAGAAAGCCTAATCTTGCCAGGAGCAGCTGCTTCTCGCATTCCTACTGACACCCCGCCCTGGCCCTACCGCCCCTCCAGGCGCAGTACGAGGCCCGGCGGCGCCAGCGACGTGCCACCCCCCGTGCCACCGGCTCCCCGGAGGCAGCTCAGGCGGCTGGCAGCTGCGGCCCCCACCCCCCCGCGCCCCCTAGCTGCATGGCCGGCGGCTGTTCGGCCCCCAGCACCTCCCTGCGCCTCATCCTGTCGCAGATGGCCACCCCCGCGCATGCCGCCACACCGCCACCCACCAGCCGGAGGAGCACCGGAACCGGCGGTCCTGGTGTTGCCGGGCTGTTGGAGGGGTCGGAGCTGCTGCAGGGGGAGGATGAGTGGGCAGGGGCGGCGGAGCAGGGCACTGCGGCGGCGCTGACGTCCCGAGCCTCCGAGCTGTCCCTGCGCCCCACCACCCCCGTGCACCACGCGCCATCAACGGATGGCGACGCGGCTCCCTCAGCTGCACAGCCCGCCGGTAGCAGCAGCTGCGAGCCGGGGGCAATGAGACCTCCCGGCCGACTGGCCTCCTCCAAAACCGGGCAGGCAGGCGCTGCAGGGATGACAGGAGCACCTGCGGTTGCGACAGGAAGGGCGGAACCATGCAGCCAAGCGGACATGTGCCGGGAGCTTCCCCTTTGCACTGCTCAAGCGGTGCCTGCTGACCAGGCGGTGAACACTTCTTGTGCCATGCTGATCAATCAGGGACCTTCACTCCGCCTGATGAGGAGCTCGCTTGCAGCCCCGAGCGCCAGCAGCGGACCGCCCGCACCGCTGGCCTCCGTACAGCCACGCCCCCAAGTTGAGCCTCTCCCCCCAGCGGCCGACCTGGTGCCGCCGCAGCACCCTGACAGCCCCATTCGCCACCAGACCTACACCGTATCCCCCAATTCCAAGCAGCAGCGCGAGCGCCTGTCCACCCCTCTCCTGCTTCCATACACCAACCCGATGGCCTCCCCTTCCACCTCTTGCTCCTCCTCCCTCGTCCTTGCGCCCTCCTGTTCCACCGCCCTAATGCGCCTGCATGCAGCTGCGCCGGTTGCGGCCAGCAGCTGCGGTGCTGCAGGCGGCGGCATCGCCAGCAACACCACCACCACCTCCAGTGGGCTGCTGCTGCCGGGCGTCCTGGCACTGCCCGGCGCCAGCTGCCCAGCGGAGGCCGATGAGAAGCTGCGGGCGCTGTGCGAGGCGGCCCGGGCGCTGCCGCAGCTGGATGCCATGCAGCGGCTGCAGCTGTGGGCGCGACTGGAGCAGCTGATGGCGGCGCAGGCGGCCGGGGTGAACGCGGGGGGGCTGGTGGGGGCAGGGGCGGGGATAGGGGCAGGGCAGCGCTGCAGGAGCGCTGGCAGGGAGCGGCCAGGCCGCTACGACAGTGGCGGTGCGGCTGACAACCTCGGCGGCGTGACGGAGCAGCAGCTGCTGCTGGAGGCCCAGGAGGAGCAGCGGCAGCAGGGCCGCCGGGCGATGACGAGTCGCGGGCCGTACCACCGGTCGTACTCGGCGGTGCGGGGCTATGCGGCCATCTGGGAGACCAAGCAGCGCTGGGGCGGCAGCAGTGCCAGCAGCGTCGTCAGCAGCCGCAGCGGCAGCACGGGGCGGGGCGCCCGGCAGAGGGCTGGCCAAGCTGCCGAGCTGGCCAGTGCACGTCGTGCGGCTAGCAGCGGCCGTTGGGCGGGTGGGGCGGGCAGTGTGGATGGAAGCGCGAGTGCACGTGTGGGGCGTGCGTCGGATGATGGGACGGCTGCTGCTGCTGCGGGGCGGGTGGAGCGGCAGCCCCCGTGCACCACCCGCTCCAGGCCGGTGGTGGGTGGTGGTGGCGGTGGTGGTGGCGGTGGTGGTGGCGGTGGTGGTGGCGGAGTGGGCGGCAGCAGTGCGCTGCTTGAGTCGACCCTGGCGGCGGTGCGGCGGGCCGTGACGCCCAACGCCACCCTCGCTCACGCCATGTCGCTCAACTGGCAGGCGCTCACGGCGCAGCAGCAGCAGGCGCCGGAGCAGCGGCGAGGAGGAGGAGGGTGAACAGCTTCAGCCCGACGGGCGGGGGTATGGGAGCAGTAGTACGCGGTATTGGCGAGGGGCAGGGGAGGACAGGGCCCTTGGGTCTTTGACCATCGTTGGCGGAAGTGGTGGACGGGGGCGTATCAAGGAGTGAATCAGGTTTTCCGTCGACATGGGCTCCGCGAACAGTAACGTGATTTTGTACAAGTATTTTTTCATCGGTCTGTACGATGCCATAGCACGCTACAGTGATCACTAGCATGTTGCACCCGACGCATTCGTTGGTGCATAGGACGGGTAATTGCGTGTTGTGATGGTGACCATTGTAAACTACCGGTATAGATGAAAACACGACCGACAGGAAGGTTCGAGTTGCAGTCATTGATGTAGCTTGACAACCACGATACCACGTGGAACTGACGCATTGCGTTGCATGCGTGTAATTCTGGCGGTTGTAAGACCGCCTGCTGTCCGCATGGGGCCATGCAAATGTACGGCACGAGGTTTTGTGACCCCCTAACTCGTGCTCGCCGAGGTGGTGTGCCGAGGACTACTCTGTTAGCTGGCAGCGCCTGCGAAGGTGCCGGACTAGACATGGGATGAGCGTTATCTCATCTCACGTCTTTCGTGTTGTCTTGTCATGGTGTGGAGGGGGCATGCTGGGTGCGTGGAGAACTGGGTTGCCGCATGAGATAAGAGTACCGTAATAATCAGTGGAAGAGGACACGGTAATAAGCCCAAACATACGCTCTGCAGTGTAAAATGAGGCAGATTTGTTAAGCCAGGAGCATGGGCGGAACCGTTGCGCCCATTTTCAGCGTAATCACCATTGCGCGCAATGCGCCCAAGTTCGTGGCGGATGCCTTACTGGATTACCACCCGCACTCGGATGTAGTGTGGGTTGGCCCCAGGCGGCCCAGGACTGTAGGGGCTCTTCCGCAGTACGTGCACGGTTCTTAGGTGCCGGGTATCCGGAGACAATCCCACGAGCCCCCAACGCTAACGGTGTCAGGCCCAACTGCCGTCATGAATCTAACAGGTTTTGGTACTTTAGACAAGAGGGGTGGGTGATGGCAGAAGGCAGGCGGGCGCTAACGCAACGGCTGACGACTGGACCAGGCGAGATGATAAAAATGGATGTAGGACTTGTTACAATCAGATTAAAGACATGGCGGCACAAGGCAGGCTTAAAGCACCGGCGTACAAGCCGAGCTATGAGCCCACATGCGCAGCATCCATAGCCTTCAAACCAAGCAACGACAGGCAACACAGAAAAGCTTTAGCCCTACTAGGCTGCGACGATAGACGTGCCCATTACGCCGATCAGTCACAGGGAAACAGCTAGCGGCTGCGCCGACGGCCCCTCTGCATCCACTGCCGCCTTGGCGGGTATTGAATGGGAAGGGTTGGGTGGAGCAGGGGCCGGGTAAGCACTCGCAGCAATGGTGGGAGCACGACTATTCCGACATTGGAGACAGAGTGCCGAACCAAACTAACAACACATACAATTCAGAGCAGCAGATGGCCTATTAGATGTATGTAAATCACTCCTACAATCGCTTCTTCGTGTTAAGGCAGACGACTCAAAGTGGAACACTCGCACGTGAACTCCTGGAACTAACGGCGCTTCACCAGGCAACCCTCAGCTTTCCAATAAGCCTTGTTTAGGGGACCCGGACGCGCGGCCCACAGCACCACACGGTGGCACAGCCACTGTTTCCATAGCGCAACACATAGCGCATCTGGCAAACCCACCGCTGAACAGAACCCCAGTGCGGGTCGCTACCACGCTCGCATGTACGGCACATCTGCATGCGCGCATCTACTGCATACGGACACTCAAGAATTCTGCCTCTGGCAGGCTACCCTCCCAACCTCTATTTACGTATCCCTTGGCCTCCGCTCACCAAAAGCCCCTGAAAAGCCGTCAACGAGCTAGGCACTGCACATCGAATAAACTAGCTAGTCGTTCTTGACCTAGATCAGCCATGAATGTACTAATATCCAGCAAACAATTGCAAGCGTAAACAGCTTGGGTGTCACTATACTGGACGGCAATGACCCATGGGTCACGAACGAATAACATTGCAACTTCCCAACTCCTCCCGATACGCATGCAAAATGTACATTCTTCTGGATAAAGCGCCCCTATAATTCCTCGTTTTCGCCAATACGCCACTACCCACTCCTACCGCCGCCAGTCCCTGATACAGGCCCAGCGGGCGACTGCGACCCGCCGGCCCGCACTCTCCTCGCGTCCAGCACCCGCCTCAGCACCCGCTCCATCAACGCCTCCATATCCACCGCATGCGCAGCACCGCTAGCTGCACCACTACCGCCGTCGCCGCCGCCACTGCTGCTGGTGTTCTCACCAGCACCCCCTGCAGCGCCCGCAGCAGCACCTGCAGTGGCACCCCCTGCAGCGCCCCCTGCAGCATCCGCGCCGCTCTGCTTCCCGTGCTGCTGCTTGTCATTCCGGATGACGCGCATGCTTTCCTTGATTTTCTGCAGGTCCGCGGCCGCCTTGAGCTTCTGCATACGCTTGTCCTGGATCAGGGTGGTTCGAACGGGCACTGAGCCGTACACAGCCACCAGGGCACGTACGAACTGTGCCGTGCATGTCGTGCATTGGGGAATGGGCGGGGACGGGAGGGGCGCACATGAGGATGGGTTTAGAGAGATAGGTTTGGCATGAATGTCAGAGGACGCAGGAGAAAGACGAGGTGCCCTAAGCAATGAGCAAAATCTTACATGCCAACTGAAAAACACATTTTTCATCCAACTGCCGGTGCTGCCGTGCCTACCTTCTTGAGGTCCTCGTCCTCAAGTCCGCCGCAGTCCAGGAAGGGGCGGAAGGGGTTGGGCCGGCCCTGCAGCCACACCGCCCAGCAGAACCTGCGCACCAGCTCCGTAGCCCAACGACCCCACGAGCCTCCCTCGCCCCCGCTGCCGCCTCCACCATAACAGCCGTTGCCACCACCGATGCAGCAGCCGGCCTCCATATCTGCGCTACCGCAGCTGCCCGCGCGGCAGCCGCCCGCACGGAGGAAGGCCATGCATGGCGGCCTGTTCTCGGGCCGCCAGTGGCTCCATAGGGCCTCCCAGGCGCGGCGCTGCTGCCCCCGCAGCGCCTCCGCCACCGCGCAGGGCCCCTCCACCAGCAGCTGCATCAACTGCATCTCGTCCGCCTGTCCGGGAGGGAAAAGGGAAAGGGTAAAGGGGAATGCGTCATGCAGATCTGCCCGTTCTTTCCGCCTTCTGAATCAGTCGTACAAACTGGGCAACCACCAAGCCAAGCACTCTCACCCTCTTACCTGCACTCACCATAGAATCAATATATCCATTGCCTCAGGCACACCCACCCACCTCCATGTAAAACCGCAGCTCAAATATGCCCAGCACCTCGCCATCTCCACCCTCCTGCGGCTTCCGCTGCTGTTGCTGACCCGGGTGATCATGTGGCTTCCCGCCTTCTCCTCCACCTGCGGAATCCCCGCTGGGCAGCTCGTTTTCGCCCTGCCGCGGGCACTCCGGGCAAATCTGCCGTATCGGGCCCCACTGCTGCCGCGGCCGCCGCTCCCGGGCCTCCAGCGGTGGGGCGCTGCCGGGCTCAGGCCGGACGCGCCACATGCTGTATGCCGCCCGGGCCTCAAGCAAGCGACCCGACGCAGTCTCCTCGGCCTCCTCCTTTTCGGGCTGCTGCTGCTGCTGCTGCTGTGAATCGGGGAAGCGACGCTGCTGCTGCAGCTGGGGTTGGGGGAGGACGTTGGAGGAAGGGAGGCAGTCGGTGGGGTTGGGGTGGACGCAGCTGTGAGGGGTGCTTGTGTGGGGCACGCACATCGTTGGATGCAGCGCACACACAACCGTACAGCCTAGCTGTCCTCCACACGCCACCTGGTCCCTAGGATCCCGCTTGCTTGTGCGACGAGGAAGACGGCGCAGTTAAGCAACACCCCCTTTGTACACAATTCGCACACCACCGCACCTGCAGGACGTTGAGTCGGCCCAGGTTGTAGTCCACGAAGAAGTGCACCAGCGCCTTCATCTGCGGACTGGACACCACCCGCCAGCGGTCCATGGTGCAGCGGAGTGTGAGGGAGGGATCTGTGCGTGCCGGGGAGGGGACACAGGGGCCATGGAGGCGGAGGCAGGGGCAGCAGCAGGCCTTAAAAACACTGGTGTTGGTTAACAATGGATTCGTGTGGTGGAAGGCAGGGAAAGCGTTGCCGGCTAAGAGAAAAGTCAGGCACTTCGAAGCAGAAAGGGCCGTGCCCAGCCTATTCTCGCGGTGGGTGAGCAGACAAGGGTCGGCATGCTAGCTGCTGCAGTACAGGCCCCCGCACAAACCCACTTCTGCTCAGGGTCTTGCGGTATCCGTCCGTCTTGCCCGCCTCCATCGATGCCACCTCCTTCTTATCGTACGCACGAATCAACAGCTCGAAATCCCGGTTGTAAGCCTCCACGCTGTATATTCGGATTCGCCGCAAGAACAAGTACAAGAAGAAACACGACCGCCCCAGCCAGCCCCGCGGCCCTTTCATGTTGTCCTCCTGCGACCAGCAACCGTCTACAGGCACAACACTTTGCGTGCGCAGAAAATCGTTCAAGCGCTGCATGAGCGGCTTGCGAGGGTTTCCTGCTCCTCGACTTCCTGAAGTATCGGTTTCTCCGTCCTGGCCACCGGCACCAGTCGTGCCACCACCGTTCTTGCTAGTACGATGCTTGCACCCTGCAACATACTCGTTATGGTAGGCCTCAGTCCATGCCACAGGAAGGTGGCTGCTGATGTCCTTTGTTTGGCCACCACCGCTGTCGCCAGAAGCATCCTCAGCGGATCCTTGCCGTCGCTGGTCTGGCTGCTGTCGCTGTTGCCGCAGCCGCTGTATCCGTGCTTGCCATACCTCGGTCTTGCGTTCGTTGACTCGCAGGGGGTCGGTGAAGACCCACAGGCAGGTCAGCAGCGTGTTGCGCAGGCGGAAGAACAGGAAGACGCAGTCGTAGAAGGCGTAGAGCAGGAAGGTGGAGTCCTTGTTCGCGTTGTTCTTCTTGGCCTCTTCGTATGCCCGTGAGAAGATCTGGGGAAATGTAGAGGGTCAGATATGGACCGTCACAATCTGCTTTGGGACAGGTGACGGTCAGTCAAGGGGCTATGGTAACAGGGGCTGCAGTACTGAGTTAAGGGAGTATGTGCGCTCAACAGTAGCAATGGGAGGCTTAAACGCTTAACCCTAGTGCGCGACAAGACAGCTGCAACGTTACAAGCAAGCAGGCAAACTTACAGCCAGCAGGGTGTTCTGCACGACCAGCACCAGCAGCACCACCGCCAGCCAGAAGAACAGCACCACGGCAACATGGTAGTCGCCCAGACCGTTACCCTCCTGCGTGGGGGAGCGACCCGCGGGTCACAGGTTTTTGAAGTTAGGAAAGACTTCCGGCCAGGTCCGAAAGGAGCATGAGAGCACACCTCCAGGCCCCGCGGAGGGATGCCACGACACCACAAACATACTAGCACGAAAAACTAGTCACAGCCTGGCAGAAGGGACTAGGTCACGGGGACCCACATCTTCAGTCATATCTGCCCTCAACCGCCGCCTCCGCTTCTTACGTTTGTGAACGCTTGGTACTCAAAGAAGCCGAACGACAGCCGCGCCATGGATGACAGCCCGCGGCTAAAAACCGAGAAACGGCTGTTTCCTCCGCTGATCATGAAGATGCTGAACAGCGCAGCGCACAACACCACCACGACGGAGATGACGAAGGTAAGGAACTCCAGAATATCGCGGTATGCCAGCCTGAACAGTGGGGCAGGGAAACAGGGGCATGGGCAGGTAAGAGGAAAGGAGCGATACATGCTGTTAAAGGGTAACGGCAGGATGGCATGGTGGGCCAGCCGGCATGGGTTGGATGGCAGGGCCCCTGGGGTGAAGGGAAAGGCGGGGAAGGCCTGTAATGTAGAGTGCATGGTGTTAGTGAAACGTAGCAGGCCCGACACCCAACTCAATTGGTAGGGTCGACACCACCATCAACCACACAAGCGGCTCACACGAGCACCCCGCCACTTGCTTAGCACCGACCGTGTAGCTCCCGCCAGCCACCCAAACCAACCCTGCGCTCCCTGCCACTCCGGCACCCGGCCCCACCTGAAGAGCGTGTGGAAGACTCGCAGGCCCGAGTGGTACTTCATTTGCTGGTAGCTGCGCAGCCCCACCAGCAGGAAAATGGCCATGCTGAAGTACATCCAGCCGGTGTACAGCCTTGCCTCCGATTCCACTGCAGCCAGTTGCTGCGGGGAGGTGGGCGGGGGAAGGCAGAGGGCCGGAGGAAGACCGTCGTGGTAAGGATTTGGTGGAGGCAGCAGGCAGGACACGCAGAGCAGGGGGCAAGTATGGCAACGGGTAAAAGAAGCTGTTGTTTCTGTACTGGAAACGAAGCTCGCATGCTAACCAGCCGAGTGCGGCGGGTTGGACCTATAGCAGTTGGCGTGTTAAGGGGTAATCCACCCAGGAGCCTACATTGCAGCCTTCAATATGCGTGCAGCACACTGTGCTGAATAGACAGCACGCGTTCCGGTGGCCCCGGCGAGGGGCCTATCCTACCGAGGGGCTCTGCGGGTAGGGCTCTTCCTTGCTGTATTCACACAGCCACAGCAAGTAGAACCACATGAAGATCCACGCCAGCGAGGCCAGGTGGGTGAACACATCGAGGGCGTGCCAGGTGATGATGTTCCTGGTAATGGAAAGGGAAGAGGGGTTTAGGTCGGTTACGGTGGTGATATGCTGATATCAGGGAAAGTACCTGTAGTCTCCTTAGCGGGTAGGAGCGAGACAGTGATGGTGGGGTAAGGTATTATTGTGCCATGATGACGGAGGGCAGGGTACGGCACGACAACCCAGCCTGGTCGTGTGGAGGACCCGACACCAGCCGTTTACAAACCCAACTTTCCCTCGCCATCACTGCTGCAACCACAGCCCGGCACAATGCTTTGGCCTTCCGCATACTACGTGAAAACGCCTCCCGGCAGCCCTCTGCCCTACATGTCTTGTCCCCGGCAGTCACTCCTCCATATCTACCATCCCCTCCACGACCATATCTCCTTCCGTTACTCAATCCAGCACACCTGGATGACTTGCCGCCCAGGTAGGACCACACGTTGCCCCCTTGCTGGTACGACAGCTGCATGGCGTGGACGGTGGAGGTGATGTCGTACACGACGGCCAGGATGGACAGCGCCATGAGGATCTTGCCTGCGGAGGGGATGAGCAGTGGCGGGCATGGGACGCGGGCAGAGGCAGAGGTGTATGGCAATGAAAAGGAAATTGAGAAGTGCGCAAGAGCGGTTACCCCAGCGATAGGTAGGGCTGCGTTTTGGCTCGGAGCCGCAGCAGCATGCAACACGCAGGTGGCATGTGTGCAGTGCCTTTGCACAAGCAGCCGGCTTACGCCAACACCGTTCCCTTGTCACATGCAGCCCTTGGGCCCCTACCCACTCGCGACCGCCCCCCTTGACCCTCCCTACTCCTCATCCTGGCCTTTATAGGCTTACACCATACTCACCACCAGCAGTCCATCCCGCCAGCACCGTCAGCGTCAGGGTGCTGGTGCTGAGCTCACCCTGCTTAGCATCCCGCTCGGCCTGAGGCAAAAGGAAGGAGCATTGAACACGACCGGTCTAATTGCCGGCCTTTTTCCCCACGGTGCATAGGAAAGTATCTGGGCCCCGCAAGGACGTTTCTCCACCTCATTCAGCCTCATTGCACATTCAACACAATCCAAATGCCCACTTCACCAAGAAGCATGCGAACTGCTCTTCATGCAACCTGTTCTCATACCACCTCACCTTCAGGTAGAACAGGACGCTGCTGCGCGGGTTGCGGCGGTCGTATGCATGGATGGTCAAAATCAGCTGCTTGGCAAACTTGCCCACCATTCCCCTGCCAGCTGTGAGCAGGTAGTCTAGCCCGCCCTGTGGTGGTGGGTTGTGATGGGGCATTGTGTACGGGGTTATTCGGAACGGGCCAGTTTGGTAAGAACACGGTATTCTGCGTCGTGCTGCCAACCTGCATCTCATCCAGGGTCACTTTCTGGATGTAGTCGGGCCACAGGCGGATGAGCTCCATGACGGCGGTGCTGTTCAGGGGGTCATGCGGGTCCATGTAGGCACGCAGCGTGCGCGGCAGACCCGTTGTCTTCACCGCACAGAAGCAGGCCTGCGGGTTGTCCTCGTCGTCGGTGGGAGTGCAGATGCTGTGGGCGCGTAGGAATGGAAGAGAGGGGGGGGGTAGCAGCAGATCGTGTAATGATATAAGCCCGCACCGTGGCCAGGCTGAAAGCGAATAAATCACGACATGTTTGTGCATGGGCTTGTCTTGTCGGGCCCTACATTGCATCATCGCTGATGCAACACCCCTGCATGAGGCTGCTCACTGCAAGCGAGCGGCCAGGCCACTTTCAGCTTGCTTTCCGGGCTCAGATGTCGGAAAGCAGCTGTGCACATACCTCACGGCGGTGACCGTTGAACATGTGAGATTTTTCGCTATTCTGGAGGAGTCTGCGCGCGAGCGTGTTGAACGATGGGAGGAGGTGGGTATGCATCACCGCACTTGGAGCGAGAGAGACGTCGAGGGGCTAAGTGGCGAGAAAAGCGGCCCGGAAAGGGCCGTGCAAAGCGGGCATACATATAACTGTTACGGTGATGTATTGTGAAGGTCACTCATTGGTATACATGTTACGGTGGCATACTCGACATGGCGCCTACTCACCATTATAGTCATTATAATAGTAATCGTAGTAGTCGAATATGTAGGGTTGGTAGTTGTCCGGGGAGAAGTTGGTTTCGACATGTTGAACCCTGCCCACCAGGTCGAGGAAGAGGTAGCTGTCAAACTGCGTTCAAGGGAGGCCAGGCGGAGGCAGGCATGGGCATGGCGTGGTTAGGCACGGCATTGCTTGCTAACTTGGTTGGGCTTGGTGAGTTGCAAGTTGGAAGGTGAGCAAGTTCAGAATCCCCAAAGGCATAGTTGCATGGTTTTGACGGGCATCCTTGTGACACGTTTGCGTCCAAGGCATCTGCTTGCCTACATAGCTAGACAGCCAGGAGAACCATCATGAACTACGCGTCGCAGATCACCTCAACCGCTCCGTACCTCAAAGTTCGAAAGCCTCTTTAGGTAGTACTCGTTTGACAGAATGTTGCGCGCGTTGAGGGTCTTGTCCTGCCCCGATCTTTCCTGCCACTCCAAGCTGAAGTTCAAAGTCTTCGGAGTAAAATCGGGGCAGGTATCTGGCAGCTTCAGTACCTCTTCCGATAGCTTAGTGCTTGTGCTGTTGTACCACGTTGCATTTATTTCTGTGCCATTCTTGCGCGGAACCTCGTCTGGAAGGTCCCTGACAGTCTCCGCGAAGCCTCCCAGGAGGTATTGCCACCAAGTAGCGGAGGTTTCCACGAACTCGGACGTCTCATCTCGAACTTTCTTGGCGACATCACGTGCGGAGGGTGGTGGGGAAAAATAGCTGGTGCTGTCGGGCGGTGCCATTGCTGCAGGGCTATTGCCCGTTGCTGTAATGTCATTGCCCGCAAGGTCAGAGCATGACTCTGGGAATTTCACCTGCGTGGAGGGTGGGCCAGCCGAAGTCGGCACTGGTGAAGAGGGTGTAACCCGGAAGCGACACAGCCTGGTAGGGCGGCAGCTATTATAGAAAGAAACATGTATCAGATGCATGGTCAGCAGCAGGGCTTGCTCCCTGAACATTACGACCATTACATTGGTCTCCCTAAACGAGATCACGTACAGGTAATGACGACCCACCCCCCTCATGTCACTTGCGGCCAAGCGCAGCGGCCCTCATTACCTACCTGGAGTTGGGCGTACGTGATGTGCGCAAAGTCTCCCAGGTAGACGAAGCTGCCGGCCTCGGGGGATACCTCCGAGCTGCGTCGGACCACACTCTTCACGTAGCTGCACGCAGGTGTTAGTGATGAAGGTTGCAGGAAAAGCGGTTACATGGCAGGGTTTTCCAGCTAGGGCAGCAGTATGCCGAGGAAGGGAAAGCTCATTGAGGAGTACTAAATGACGGGCAAGCAGTACACAGACGGGGCGGGCACGTGTGTATTCCAGCCGCTGGTTGAGCTAAGCTTGCATGTCCAGGTGCGTAGGCGAATGGCGTGGGGCTGCGAGATGTGCAGATGACCCATGGGTCACCCTACGGACACGGGACTAGACTTGTGACCTCCCGCTAGCGGCAGCATTGGGTTAGGTCTTAGGCAAGCTCGTATACTCTGCTTGAATTTTTCCGGTGAGCATCGGGAAGGTTTCTTGAACAGATGCGCAGTTTCCTTTCAAGGGACCCGGCCTATTGTGTGCATGTATGCGTGGCCAGGTGTGAAGCGGCCTGTTGGTAGCACCATCAGAGGCGCAAGCAGCTGGAGCCACTCATTTTGGGCTAAAGGAGCATATGGCCAGGTGCTCACCTCACGAAGTAATCAAAGGCGTCGACCATGTCGCTTGCGCCTGCAAGCGTTGTCTCCTCCCAGGATTTGCCCGTGTCGTATGCCTGTACACACAACAGGGAAAATTTCGAGCGTGTTTTTCGAGCGTGATTTTCGAGCAAACAGTAAGTCAGTATCACATTTCTTTCACAGGGGAGGGCCGTCCGAAAGCGTACTACCAAGTCTGCATGGTTAGGCGGCCAAACCCACAGCAGGATTCTTAATCCTTTGCTACCCATCATCCACCATAACTTTTGCCAACAGTCTTAAACCACACGCCATTCAGCTTGCGGCCTGTGTTATGCTCAATCGTTGGCAGTCAGTCCCGCGTACCGTATTGATATGTAACCATCAGGCCTTCCCCACCCACCTCGAAAGATCCAACCACACTGCTCTTGAAGGCCGCCGCGCCATTTTCCGTCTGCCACCACAGCGCCATGAAAACCAGGAGGAAGAAGATGCCAAAGCGGTACAGCCGCTTGATGCCGTGCCAGGAGTAGCTGTCGATCAGCGCGTTCTCAAGGTACAGAGACCGACCAGGAGGCCCCTGCTGGCCGTTGTGGTCTCGGGGGTCGTTGCCGCCGCTGTCGCTGTCAGCTCCTCCGTTGCCTTCTGCCCTGCTGGAGCGGCCACGTAGCTGCTTGGGGTTGTAGCGAGGCTGTTCCTGCTTCCCTCCCTGCTCTTGCTTCTTCTGTCCTCCCACTTCCCCCTGCTCCTGCTCCTGCATCTCCCCACGCTGCGTATCCTGCTGCTTGTTGCTCCGCCGCCCAGCCGCCGTCAACCTGACGGACACGTGCGATTGTGGCGTAGCGCCCCCACCCGGGCTAGCGTCCCCGGTATCCGCCCCAGCAACAGCGCCTGAGGAGGCTCCAGCGGAGGAGCCCGGGGTACCTGGAGTGCCGGGGGAGTCATCAGTGTTCCGCGGGGGCGGTGAGGTAGACTGAGACGGTGGCGGAGGGGAGGAGGAGGGGAGGGTGCTGGAGGCTGTGGGGGAGCCGCCTGTCGAGGGTGAGGTAGGCTGGGTCGTGGACGTTTGTGTGGTGGTGAAGACTTGGAAGGTTGGGTTGCTAATGTTCGTATGCTTGGTAGTCTGTTGGCTACACGCGTTGGCGTTGCCAGTTTTGCTGCTATCGCCACTAGGACAGCCGGCACTGGCATCAGCAGCACCCTCGTGGGCGCTGCGAGAGGGCTTTGCGCCTGCCGGGAAGGTGTAGAAAATAGTCAAGAAGCAACAAGAAGATGCGGTTGTTAAGGGTTTACTTATGTCTAGGTACATAGGACTGGTAGCGCTCAGGAAAGCGCGAGCGGGACGCTTGTCGTTGGCATCGTACCAACATAGCCAAACGTGGCGTGTTGCCGTTAATTGGTTAGATTAATGTTGTCAGACAACGACATGTGCTTGCGGATTTGCTTACCTTGCATGGATTCCAAAATGCTGAGCTTCGCCTTCTCACCGCCGCTGCCCAGGTCCAGCAAGGCAGCCCACAACGAGCCTGAAATGGCAGATGAGCGGCTTTGGTTTCATGATCACACGCTATCCGGGATCCTGCCATATCCACCCCACCGATGGAGCCAGGATTTCGGTAACCAAACTTAAACAACCATGGCTGCCACGCTGGCGAGTAGATGGTCAGGCGCTTCGCCTCCTCACTCATGTTACCTGCTTACCTCTGTTGTAGCCCAAGACGATTCGCGTTGGGCCTAGTATCGGTAAGCCCGTTGTAAACAGCCCGAAGCGAAATCCATAGCTCCGAGGGGCTGTGCTTGAGGATATAAATTAGTCGCAGATGCAATTCATAGATTTTGTCGCACACACTCCAGTGCCAGAGGAGTCGCACCCCTCATCACCTTACACCGCCTGGGACCTGGCCTGCGGGCCCAGACTCCGAACAGCGTCTAAGAGACCCAACTCTGTAACTAACCAAGTTTGCTACCTAGCCGATACCTCACCCTACCCTCTCCGGGGAACAACAGGAGAGGGGGAAAACCAACAGCCGGGCGCGGATGGGCTCTAGCCCCCAAAACCCGCCCCGGCGTATTAGGCTCTAGGCGCGCTTCCGCATGCATGCACGCCTAGAGAGGACCCCGGAGAGAGTAGGGGTGGGAGGGTGGGGAACAAAAGGCTCGCCTACCTACAGCTGCAGCCATACTTAAGAACTGTCTGCAACTACGCAAAAGTCAGCGCCTTCCTAACTGCGCACGGAAACTCAGCGGCAAAGACCTGAAAGGCCAGCTGAGGGCAAACTGTTTAACCAAGGTCAAAACGTCTAGCACCGTCCACTCGCAAGCCTGGTGGCGACTGCTCTGCTCCCTGTCGTACATGCGCTCCAAAACCCCATTTTTAGTTGACACTCAAAATGATACTTTTGTCGCACACACTCCAGTGCCAGAGGAGTCGCACCCCTCATCACCTTACACCGCCTGGGACCTGGCCTGCGGGCCCAGACTCCGAACAGCGTCTAAGAGACCCAACTCTGTAACTAACCAAGTTTGCTACCTAGCCGATACCTCACCCTACCCTCTCCGGGGAACAACAGGAGAGGGGGAAAACCAACAGCCGGGCGCGGATGGGCTCTAGCCCCCAAAACCCGCCCCGGCGTATTAGGCTCTAGGCGCGCTTCCGCATGCATGCACGCCTAGAGAGGACCCCCCTTACCCTGTCACCCACCGCACGCCTCGTCACCTCACATGCACCCCACAATGCGGGCCTTAGCCGCCGCGGAGGGGAGGATATACGCGCTCACCGCCTCCGACCGCCACCTCCCGTGCGCCTTGATCTGCTCTCCAGAGGCCCCCCCTTCCGCTGCAGCCGTGGCTCCCCCCCTTCTCAGGCTGTGGGACGCGTAATCTGGTACCCGCCCGGCTATTTGTGGCAGGGCGCGCTGCATCTCTCCTAAGAGCGCCCTAAGCCTACGCGTAAACCCCTCCTTCCGCCAAGCCTCCGACCCCGGTCCCCACTGGGGGCCCCGCGTGAAGAGCGGCGCGCTGGGCTCCGCCCCCCCTGAGCGGGCCCGCTCTAGGTGGCGCCCTATAATGCGCCCGATGCGTACTCCGCTGCCAGACGATGCCCCCAGGTGCACATCCACCCCTGCCCCAACCTGATCGGTCTTGCTCCTCGTTATCCGCACCACGTGAACCCCACCAGTCAGCGAATGCACGTCACCTAGCCGCAGCCCCGCCAGCTCACTTCTCCGCAGCATCCCAAAGAAACCCACCACCAGCCAACACGCATCCTGCTCGAGCTCCGCTCGGCGCGCTGGCGCCCCGTCCGCCGTCGCTGCCAGCCAGCCCAATAGGAGCCGCAGAAGCGGCACCGGGAACGCCTCCTTCGTACGTTGCGGCAGCGGCTCGGCCCCTGCATCGCCGCCAGCTGTGGCGGCTGCCGCCGGCGCCCGGGCACGCCACGCCTGCCTCAGCGTGCGTTGCACCAATGGGTTCCGGCGGATGGAGGCCTCCGCCGGAAAACCCTTCGCGCGCTGCCAGTCCGCAAGGGCGCTAATGGTGCCTGACAACGTTGAGGGGGCCACACGGTCGGCCTCATGGGCGATGAACAGGCTCACCAGCTCGGGGCTGAGGTCCGCGCCCCGCGCAGGTGGGAAAGCCGCCCTCATGGGTAAGCCCAGAGCAGCGCAGAAGGCCGCGTAGCGGCGGCGATGGGATTCGTACGTCCCTGCTGAACCCGCCGACACGGCGCTTCCCGCTAGCGCCACCAGCCTCGCCGCGAGTGCCTCCTGCCGACCGCCCGCAGCCCCTGCCGGAAAACCCGCCGCCGCCAGGATGCAGTGGATGCAGCGGAACCAGCCGCCGGGGTACGAGCCCGGCGGCAGTCCCAGGCAGCGGCGATGTGCCCGTATGTCGCATGTCTCACAGCGCAAGTCCCCCACGGAGGTGCGCCGCACGCAGGCCTCGCAGCTCCCGCCACCCTCTACAATCGCCATGGGGGCGCAAACGCGGATCGGAATTCGGTCAGGGCAGGCGTAAGACCAGCATATCGTAAGGAGAAGGACCCGCCTCGTCGCCCCAGGGCCAAACGCAGAGGCGGCCGCCCCTGGGCAGCACCTGGGCGACCCGGAATGGTGCGGATCGGCTACGGACGAAGGCCCGGAACCACCCCCGCTCCGGCCAGAAAGGCACCACCACAACCGCCCGCGTCCGCGAGTCACGCCGTGCCGCTGCCACGAGGGTCGCTAGCACCTCCCCCACCAGGGCCTGGGGTGGGAAGGCCCACAGCGCCTTGCCCGCCAGCTCGGCCTCCTGGCCAAGCACCGACCGCCCCGCGCTGTAGAACACCTCACAGCCGGGCTGCCGGTTGGAGCCATGGGCGTCGCAGCAGCAGTCGACGGTGGGCCGGAGAGAGAACTTGCGGCATAGCTCCCTGAAGATGCTGGCCTTCAGCCGCAGGTTCTGATCCTGGGCGCTGTCAAGGCGGCGGCTGAGGCGGTCGGCCTGGCCGTTGTCCACGCCGGGAATGTGCTCAGCCCGGACCTCGAACCCTGAGCTAATCGCAAGCTCTGCAATTTGGCGGCTAAGGCTGCGGTCCTCTGGGATGCGGGTGGAGCCGTGGTTGATGGCTGCTACGGCTTGGGTGTTGTCACAACGCACCAGCACCCGGCGCCCGGCAAGGCTGGCGGCCCATGACTGCAGCGCTCTGAGGACCGCCTTGAGCTCCAGCCACGAGATGTGCAGCTGACGCTCCTCCTCTGACCATGCCCCTTGCACCTCCGCCTCCCCCCAGACTGCGCCAAACCCACGCCCACTAGCGTCCGTGAAGAGGACGGCCCCATTCTGGCCGATAAACTCCCCCCTCACTAGGTCCAAACCGATGCCCGCTGAGCGCTTTACCCCGTCCCAGACAGAGGAATCCGCCCGTAGCACCTGCCACCAGAAAGCCAGGTCTTCTACTGCGTCCGCCGCCAGGCCGACAGTGGCCGGCGGGCGGGTGGGGCAGAAGAGGCTGTCGTAGAGGCCCTGCATGAACGTGAAACCCCAGCGGCATGCCCGGGCTATGAACGTTAAGCGGCCGACGGTGGACTCCAGGAGGTGCCGCTGCACTGGTCCGGTAGCTGCCGCGTCCAGGAGGGCGCGCACGTCCGCCGCGTAGCGCTGCCGCTTGTCCGGCGAGATGCGCATCTCCATCTTCTCGGTGTCGAACAGCATACCCAGGAAGTCGAGCTGCCGCAGGTGCTCGTTTCGTCCGCGGTCCTTGCTGGTCTTCCACTCCAGCCCCAGCTCGCCACCTATTTCGTCCATGACCGCGAAGGCGCCAACGACGTCTGCATGGGTCACCCCTAGGATGATGTAGTCGTCGACGAAGCAGAAGAGCTTGACCCGTAGCCCCCGCCGGTCGCACTCCGCTTGGAAGATGGCACACGCGGCGTTGGTTAACTCCACAAAGATTGGGGGCGATTGGCTGGCGCCGAAGGGTAGCACCACCCAACGCAGGACTGCCTCCGTGGTGGGATGCCTAAAGGCCATGTACCGGCGTGCTTCCGGGCTGCACTTGATGTGGTGGAAACCAGATGCGAGGTCCCGTTTGCCTAGCGCCCCTTGGAACGGCAAATGCTCCAGAATTGAGGCGAGGTCGGGCAGCGGGCAGGGGAGCTTGGTCATGCAGTCGTTCACCCCCGAAGCGGTAGGGTCGATGATCGGGCGCAGGTTGCCATCCGCCTTGCTGACAACATGCAGTGGGTTGATAGTGGCTGCAAAGTTGCGCAGGGGGCCATGCTGCTTGCTGTCGTACGCCTCCACCAGGCCCTGGCGCAGTAACTCGTCAATGTGGCTGGCGTACCATTCGCTGTGTTCGCGCACGGATGGGTAGTTGCGCAAGTGGTGCGAGGTTGGCGGCGTGGTGTGGAAGGTCCAGCTGGCTTCGTTACGGGACGCAGGCGTGTCGATGCCGTGACGCTGCCACGCGGCCGTATTAAGCTTCACGCCCCCTGGGCCGAACCAGCGGCCGGCCGACGGCGTTTCCGCCGCCGAGTCAGGCATCCACAAAACTGCATGAGGCACAGGTCAAGGTTACGCTTTGGGTGTTCACCCTCGCAGGGCCCCCGTTCGCCGTAGGTCGCGTACACCACCGATTGAACCACATGCGAACACCGTCAGGCCCTTCTTCCTTCAGGCAGAGCCACACGACCCCGGTGCATGCCACGGCATATTGCTTGTCACCCGCGCAAGGCCCCAGTCCGCCGTAGGTCGCGTACACCACAGACTAGACAGCAGGTGGACGCAGGCAGGCCCTTCTCCCCTCGGGTAGGGACACGCCACATGGACACACGCAACAGCACATTGCTTGTCACCCGCGCAGGGCCCCAGTCCGCCGTAGGTCGCGTACACCACAGACTAGACAGCAGGTGGACGCAGGCAGGCCCTTCTCCCCTCGGGCAGGGTAACGCCACAAGGACACACGCAACGGCACGTTGCTTGTCACCCGCGCAGGGCCCCAGTCCGCCGTAGGTCGCGTACACCACAGACTAGACGGCAGGTAGACGCAGGCAGGCCCTTCTCCCCTCGGGCAGGGTCGCGCCACATGGACACACGCAACAGCACATTGCTTGTCACCCGCGCAGGGCCCCAGTCCGCCGTAGGTCGCGTACACCACAGACTAGACAGCAGGTAGACGCAGGCAGGCCCTTCTCCCCTCGGGCAGGGTCGCGCCACATGGACACACGCAACAGCACATTGCTTGTCACCCGCGCAGGGCCCCAGTCCGCCGTAGGTCGCGTACACGCTTACCTTCTGGTGTCTCCATCCCTGCCGTATTTGCGTCAGCTGCCCCACCGCCGGCTGTACTGCCGGCGGCTGGATGGAGGGGGGGCGCCGTTGGCGCCGGGGCGACCTCGCCCCCAGCTGACGCTGCCGCGTCCTAAGCCGGCCGGCGGGCTGCCTGCTCCTGCTTGGCGCATTCTGCGAGTGCTGCCGTTTGGGCCCCAGGTTCCAGCGACCGCAACTCTCGGCAGCCGCGGTAGCTGTGTCCGGGCCTCTTGCAGTAGAAGCAGCCGTTGTCGCGTGGGGCACGGGGCTGTGCTGGGGCCGGCGGGAGTGGAAGAGGCGGGGGCGGCGGGTAAGCCGCCGCGGGAGCGGCGGCTGAGGCGAACTTCCCGAAGAGGTGCTGGCGCTGGCTGTCCGTAAATTGCGACAGGGCGGCTAGGAACTGCTGTGTGAGGGGAGAGCCCTTGCTGAATACGTCCATGACGTCCTTGAAGGGCAGGACACGGGCTGCATTCTGCACCTGCCGGAGGACCTCTTGTGTACGAAAAGCCTCCTCCCACACCTGCGCGGCCTTGGCCAAGAGCAGCGAGAGCTCCTCCGAAGAGGATGCGCAGTGTTTGGCCGCTTCCAGCTGGGACGCGAGATGCTGCAGGGAGCGGAGATGACTGTCTGCCTTGTGCGTGAAGGTCGCCTGGTCCCGGGATGCGAAGCTGACGTCCGCCAGCGAGACCAGGCTGCTGAGGCCTGGGATGCGGTCGAACACGTCTGCCCAGGCCCCTTCACGCTGAACGGTTGCCGCCAGGGGGCCCAGAGCGGACGGCGGTGCTGAGCCGAGGGGTAGGTGGCCGAGGCCCAGCACTGAAGAGTTGCTGTTTAAGTCCCCGCCACTGCCCCCCAGCGTGAGGCCCAGTCCCCCTAGGCCTCCCAGGCCTGCTGAC